AAGTTCGCAAACCACGCTAGATCTCAACCCTGGCCCCCTTTTCGAAACCTTCGAGAATTCCAAAAAGAACCGGGGCGAACAGCGGTCAGACTAACATCCCTGCTGTACCCAAGTTTTCCCTCCCTTACGACACGTTCAGCTTCTGACCAAACCAGGACAAGGGCCCTTTGGCGTAGTGCAGTGCTTTCTCAGATCCTCATCCCCGGAAGGGCCCCAAGTCAGGTCAAGGGTGCCAAGGCCTGAGAGAGAGGGTGCGTGCTCGCGAGCGTACGGTCGACGCCGAAGGCTTGCGGGGTCAAGGCAATCAACACGAGATGACGGATGGATCCTCTCATTTCTTCTCATGCTGAGGGAACAATCGACAAGACAAGACAAAGGCGAGACGACGAGTCGACCGCCCGCCCGCCCGCCCGCCGTTGCACAGAAATTGACTAAATGCCTTGGTACGAAAAACGGCGTCAAAACTCAACACCACGGCGGGTGAGCCAGCGAGCGAGAGACCGGGTGAACGAGGCCCGAGATGTCAGAGCGTTTTTCAACCGTCGTGCAGCTGCTTCATGATGGCTGCATTCCTACATGTACATGCTGCATGTATGTGGCTCAATACGTGACGGTACATAGGAGCTGGGAACTCCAAGACATTGTATCGTATCTGGCTCTCCCTGCCTCCAGCGATCCGTTTGGATCGGGCCACCCGGCCTGCTGGGTTTGACATCGTCCACACGCTTTCTGAAACACCCTACTCGATTTTTCCCATCCTCATCCCTCTCTTCGCCTGCCTGCCTGTCAGCCTGTCTGCCTCACTTTTTTCCCTCGCATGCGCAGGGGTGTTCATCTGTCATTGCGTAGTCTGCGACATGGGATGTTTCTTTACCGAGACTACCTCATTTGTATCATGTACAATCGACGAGATGCATCAGATCAACCCAGCCCACCGGGTCGCTTGTCCGCCGCCCCCTTTTTCCCCTGAGGCCAGCTCGACCGGCTCTTTTCTTGTGGCCACTCGGCTTCTCCCCTTCAGTGGGGCGCCATGCGACAAAAGTAGTCTTCTGGTAGCACGAGACCTCCCGCGGCGTATCGAGCTCTACCGGCAAACACTGTTCAGATCCACTTCAACAACTCCGGAAGTCAGGAAGGCGTCCCGGTCTTCACAGGGATTCGAAAAGGAAAAGGTAGAGGGTGCTATTGGACAGCCAGAAGCGCCCGGACTCAGTAATGACGACAGACGGCTGACGCGACACCTTATTTTCTGCGGGCGGTAACAATTCCTGCAAGAGCCGAGGCTACTGAGTTGTGATACCGATACAATCTGAGAGGAAGGAATGCCAACAGTGTCTCAGGCTTCACCGACGATATGACTCTTCCATCTGTACTTGACTTGCAGATGCAAGGCGGATCTGACACCTCCTCGGCAAGAGCCTGAAAGTGCCCACGTCGTCGGTATCTATTGGAGTCTATTTTCAACTGCCTACTGCACATCATGCATACATGTCAAAGGGAGCCGCGGGCGCGTGTGAAACAGGCGAGTAATACTGTACTATGCCGCTTCCGTAACAGTCAGCCGCGAGATTTGAAGTGGGGGACCAGGCCTGATTTTAGCCACTTCTTTTGTGACACAAAACGAATTCGGGGCTTGAACGCATACCCGCACAAGCAAAAATTTAATGTGTTCAATGTCAATTCTTCCAGCATGCCCTGACCGGCAGTGCCCAACTCGAGCATTATCCCAATGCCGAGATTTGGTGTACATGGGGGACACGACTGCAGCAAAAGGGCGACTCCCGAGTGGTGAGGATGGCTAGCGATAGAACCGCATCCAGCATTCGAACCTGCTTCCAGACTAATTGAAGACGATCTATTGTATCTGTGGAGTCGGCTGCCCTTCCGGCAGTCTATCGTTCGGGGCTCACGGCCCAGCGTGTTGGGTGCGAGTGGGCCGCTGACTGGCCAGCTCAAAGTCGAGTCAGAGATGCTTAATATCTTTGATTGGTGTGGGCCTATGGCACAATGTACCCTACAGTCCCAGGTTCGGAGCCCTGACTTGAAACCACTGCATTAATTACAGCACTTTCAAGCTCATCACCGCCAGTTTTGTGTGTTTGTGCTGGGCTTGATATGTGGCTTTTCGTTCCGCAGCGCATGCTCCGCGGGCATTTAGTAGGCGAAAGGTCCGGTGCGGCATGGCGGTGACAATGTCTCGGGTTCCTGATGAAAATCTCAAACCTCGATGAATGTCTAACCCCTTGCTCGCTAACTTGTAGGTGGCTCCCTTCTTTTAACCCTACTTTATGGGGCTCCGGGCACGTCAAGTATTTTCGGGTTTTACTCCAGATATGTCTCGCGCTTCTATTGACACCTCACGTTTATGACGTTGAAGTAAATCTGGAGATTTTTTTTTATTGTAGGGCAGCAGACCGACATCTGTGACTACAAAAAGGACAGAAACGAGTACAGTCAACGCCAGCCACGTGTCTGTCAGATGGACTACACGCCTCGGTCAGGCTTGGGGTTCTGGATGCAACAATTAAAATTTTCTATCCCTGCCTGCCGGATCACTTTTGCGAGGGCCGTCAATAAAGAACCCAGGAACTTGCAAGGTGAAAGTCCCCGCCAGACTGGGGAAGTCCATATCGGTCAAGCAGCAGGTTCTATGCAAATTCCTTCGAGCTTGGCAGCACTTACATCCACGCTTTTCGGCTCAGTTGAGTACTTCTCGGCCGACTGACGTGCCAGAAGGAACATCTCCTCCGTATTTCGAGACCAGTGGTCTTGTGTAGGCTGTACCTCGTGACAGAGCACGAGATACCTAGCTCCAACCCGTTATTGCTACGGCTATACGGTTGAGCATAATTACTACAACTCTCCGATAATATCCCAGCAACATGAACTTGCACACCGATCAGAAGGAATACTTGGCATACACTCATTCTAAGCGTCGGTCAACGTCGAACTCGTATGTACTAGGCTGTGAAATATGGTTGAGGTATGACAAGCCTGCGGTGTCTTGATGGTGCTGGCAATGCAGGTAGATCCCGAATGACTCCTTCATGCATGGAAGGCATCTGCTGACTATGTGGTCCATCGCTCTGGAGACCACAACAAAATCTGATGCGCCGGAAGAGATGGGCAGCGGTGGGCGTGAGGAAAGAAAAAGACAAGAAGTCACCAAGCGAGGAACACATCACGACCAAACCAGCATCCTAAACAAGAAAAGCAGCCACGGACAAGGAACGTTTGGCTGCCTGCCCATGTCTGCCTATTCTTGAGGGCATGAGTTGGCTGAGAGCGTGGGGGGAAGAGACGAAGAAAAAGAGATTATCAACCTATTGAAAGAGCAAACTACAATACCGCAACTCTTTACTTACTCCCAGCAGGGGCTAAAGTGATAATATCTATTTTCTGTTCTGCCCAAACCGACGTCACTGGGGGGCCGCATGGCATTGCACGCCGCATTGCCAAGAGCGGAACAACGAGCCATAGCATGGTATGCCATGTGCCATGGGCATAGCCATAGCCATCGGATTGGTGATATCCAATGCTGACAGAAAGTCGGTTCCGCTACGGATAGAATCTCAGTATGCACAATCCTTTCGGGTCAGTGTTGATTATAGTCCATCTGCCATCTGCCCGTCACCTAAGAGGCGTGGTCGGTTCCGGGAGGTCTTCCCTAGTAACATTATCGCTCCACAGCCAGGCTGAGGCGACCCCGGGGATGATTTCCGTGTGACGAGAGCCTGGGGCCGTTGCTTGCTGTTTAGGCTCTGGCTCTCAGGCTCTCAAGCTCTCAGGCTGTCAGGCTGTTCACCGCCTCCTATACCCTTTCCGTTGTTTTGTCTTTCTCAGCGACTGAGAGGGTTAGGCTGGTTTGCTGTAGCCAATGCGATAACACGAAAGTCAACTGACCGTAATTCATGTTGCTGATGTTTTGTGCGCATGAGCTAGGTTTGAAACAACAAAAATGATGTGTCCATGGAACACTCATCCTCATACATGCACTTAGCCACTGCGCGAGATACTGGGGTGCGCTATTGGTCGAGTTGGCAATTCTCTTTTTTTTGTTTGAATTCGCACCCAACAATTAAGCTCCAACCCAACCGTCAGTCATGGCGTTCGCTCGAGACACATCCCCGTGGTGTTTGACAAAAGCCACTGGAAACCCCCCTGCAAGCCTGAGCAGAGACGCTGATACCCCTGCAGAAGTACTTTCAGAGTACAAAGCTCTTGTAGCACGCGAGTGGAGGGCTCTACTCCGTCTCCGTCTCCCTGGGACCTAGCCCCTGCAAGCCCCCCAAAGACCAGTCCGCCCTGTCAAACTAAGGATCCGCTGTGCCTGCCTTGGTGCCCTGGCTCCTGAGCCCCACTGCCCATGTCATGCCCAAAAATTTGGCCGTTCGCCGCATCGCAGCGCGGGCAGAGTAGCCTGTAGCCCGGACTGCACAGGAGATTTGCCCTTCTGGCGCTCATGTCACCGCCGGTTCCAAGCTTTGGGTCTAGTAATTAATTCTATTCTCCAGGTAAAGATGATCAACAGTGACAAGTTTCCGTACATGCACCCCAGTCCCAGGTAATAATGCGAGGGGTGTTTTGCTATTACCACTCCATACTCCGTGGTCCATGCCTTCTTATAAGTGTATCCACCCCATCTCTGGTCCTTCTCTTTTCCTTCCGCGAACCTTCTATAATCCTTTAATTAGTCTCCCTTCTCCCTCCTCCACAGGAATTCCCGTCTTGTCTTCTTTCTTAACCTCTTCAACTAGCTCAAGTCTCCTTCAAAGTTGTCTTGTCTGCTCATCTACACCTACATCTACATCTACAATTACAACAAGCAACACACAGCCAAACCATACATACTCGACGACAACCAAAGCTATTGTCTAACACTTGACGAAACGAAACGAACAACCTGGAGGTGTCAATCAGAAGAACAATTGGAATTCGCCAACAACTACCTTGAGAAAGGAATTTAAGAAGCTTCCCAGGAGGATCACAACGAATCAATCATGGCGAGGAGTCGTCAAATGTCCGCGGCCAACCGCGATGCCGGCCGCAACGAAAGGGAGCTTCCACCATTTCCCACAAAGCAGATGTTTGTTCTAGGTATGAAAATTGATCTGATTGGGTTCTGTGCGACATTGCGACTAACATAAAGTAGCCTGCTGCAGAATATGCGAGCCTATTGCTTTCATGTCCATCTTTCCTTACATCTACTACATGATCCAGGACTTCAACATCACCGATGATTCCAGCAAGATTTCAGTCTACGCTGGCATGGTCACTTCCGCTTTTACATTGGCAGAGTTCTCAACCGGAGTTCTTTGGGGACGACTCAGTGACAAGATTGGCCGCAAGCCAGTGCTACTTTTCGGTCTGCTCGGAACTGCTATCAGTGTCTTGGCTTTTGGTTTCGCTCCCAACTTGCCTGTTGCGCTCTTTGCGCGTGCTCTGGGCGGTCTTCTCAACGGGTATGTCGTGATCCGATGTCAATGCGAATGCGCAACTAACAAAGGCCAGAAACATTGGAGTGCTCCAGACAACTGTAGCTGAGCTAGTGACTGTCAAGGAACAACAACGTGAGTCGAACTCAACAATCGTATGCGACCTGCGCTAACAATCAACCAGCACGTGCTTACACTATCATGCCTATGGTCTGGTGCATTGGGTAAGCTACCAAACTCGTGCGATCGGAAAGAGCAATTGCTAACTGAGTTACCTATTTAGATCGATCGTTGGACCTATGATTGGAGGAGCATTGGCACGACCATGCATCAGCTACCCCGAGATCTTCGCCCGTGGAACCATCTGGGACCGATACCCCTACCTTCTCCCCAACCTCTTCAGCGCCGCCACTGTTTTCGTTGGAGTCATTATCGGACTTCTTTTCCTTGACGAAACCCACTCCGAGAAGAAGAACCAGAGAGATCGTGGTCGAGAGCTTGGAGATTACATTGCCAGCTGGTTCGGTGGTGTTGCCAAGTGCAATGGACGAGGTCGCTCTCCCGAGAAGCAGGCTCTCCTCGATGGAAAGCACCACGTCCAATATCTCTCGAACGGCACCCGCCCTAGCTCTGCGCACTCTGACGACGAGGCTCTTCCTGCTTACCGAAGCCAAGAGAACTCACCTCGACTCGCTCCCCAGGCCGATACACGATCATTGAATGCAGCCCCTTTGGAGCCCGTCCTCGAGCGAAAGACCAAGACTTTCACCAAGCCTGTCATTATGAACATCATTTCCTACGGCATTCTTGCCTTGTAAGTTCCACTTCAATTCTCAAATGTACAAGTGGGTAGTTTCTAACACATATCAGCCACACCATGACTTTTGACCAGCTTTTCCCCGTCTTCCTCAGCACCAAGCGACTCGAGCACCCCGTACACGACCTTCCCTTCAAGTTCACTGATGGATTTGGCCTTGAGACTAAGATGATCGGTGTCATCATGTCCGTCCAGGGATTGTACTCGCTCTTGTCCAACTACCTCATCGTCCCTCCGGTTACTCGACGACTTGGGTCTCTGCGACTCTTCCGAATTCTTGCATTCTCGTACTTTGCGCTCTACCTGGTCACACCTTACCTTGTTCTGCTTCCCGACTCGATGAGAATGCCGGCTATCTACCTTCTTGTCATCTGGAAGTGCACTTTCTCCACCATGGCTTACCCCAGCAACGCGATTTTGTTGGCCAACTCGGCACCATCCAAGCAGGTCCTCGGTACCATCAATGGAATTGCGGCATCGACTGCCAGCTTGTGTCGCGCTCTGGGCCCAACCCTGTCTGGACTACTCTACTCTTGGGGTCTCCAGACTGGTTATTCGGGACTTGCATGGTGGTTCACCGGACTTGTCACCATCGCTGGAGCATACCTTAGCTCCCAAATCACCGAAGGTGGTCCTCGGGATGAGCCAATGCGCCCTGAAGAGGATCCTCTTCTAGACGATACTCTTTTCACCGACTATGACGAAGAGAACAGCGTTTAAAAAAACAAAATGAAGCAACAACACCGCATGAATTTTATCCCGGAGTTTGGAGGTTTCGAATAAGCGAAGAATCGAAACAATCTGGCGTCATTTCTTTCAGGGACAGATTGTATAAAGGGTCCTCGAGCCCGTATCGAATAATACCCCCTTTTTATTTCTTTCCAACACAGCGACAGGGCATGGAACAGGCGTTTTTACAGCAAGAGGAAAAAGAGACGGATGAACTTGGGAACTCTTTTCACGAAACATAGACTATGGATTCATTCAACGACGGAGTCAACGACAAGTAGAAGGACATTTAAGGATTTTGGGATTTTTTTTAATGGATTTCGCTACACGGCCAATGGCACCATGCTCATGCCGTATCGCGGACGACACGGCCCAGGAGGTTTAGAAGGCGCTGTTCGGTATGAGGGTTCTGGTGGCATTGCGGGTGTCGGTAGCGTTTGCTTTCAGGCTTTTAAGAGTGCGATATTCAGTTCTGGCTACCTCACGGGGCCAAACTGGCGATGTAAGAAAGAAAGGATAAGGGTTTTCCAGCAGTAATTTCAAGACTGCAGTCTCGTTGAACAAGATATATGACATACGCAAACTACTTGCCCGGTTTCTCAGTGTGACATGAAAGTGATGTGCAAGTAACAAGACAATCTACTGGCGATTAATGAAGCAGCTGGAATAACGGTGACATACGAGACAGAATGGAACACCTCATGGTCAAGCACAGATGGCAAGATACATGTATAAGCACGAAGATTCGAGGTAGCTAGATGGTAGCAATTTCGGATCTCGTGATTAACCGCACGCAACCCAAAATGTTGCACTGGTTAGGTGCGAGGTGTTAGAATACCAGTTACTATACGAAGTATCCGTAAAGACGCAGTCATTGAGATAAGAGGATAGGAAAAGAGAGAATAAGACCCTTGTTGGTGTGTAACCCCACCATGATCTGATGTTATGTAAATGGGGGAGATACTACTTGGTAGCATCAGTGAGCCTGGATAAAGAAAAGAAAACAGAGGGAAAAGAGTTGCATGGCGGTAATCGAGAAGTTTCACTGGGAGGGTATGAGTGCCACGAAGCGCGGCTATCGTATGAGTGCAATGAAATGCCTTCACAGCGATTCGTGTAATGCAATAGGAGTCTGGAGCCTATAGCGAAATGGGGATAAAATGGGTGTTGGGTGGTGGTGTGGAGCGAGGTTTAGCAAAAGAGGAGAGGCCCTTGCTGCGGAGAGAGCAGGTTTGAACACCTTTATTTTTTCTTCTTTTTTTTTTCTTGTAGGAAAGTGGTTGGGTGGTGAACGGTTTTGAGGGTTTTGAAATGGTATCTCGTGGTGGTGTTTTGGTGTTTTGGTACTAACTTGGTATGGGTTCAGAAGCCGAAACTTTGTCAATTATTAGTGATGGCCAACAGGAACTCGAGATACCGAAAGGTAGTCTAGAATTCGGATTTTACGGATTCCGTGTCCAATGGATCCAGTATAATACTGTATTTAACGAATACGGTGCCCGGCATCTCAACTCGGGAGTCAGATGCCAACTCAACTCAACCGCGCCGGGCTGCGGCCAGACCAGCGAGACAGTATTTGGAGTATAAGAGTGATAGAAACATCATTTATTGTATATGGTCGTATAAGTCGCCAAATCAGATTAATGATAGGTTAATCGAGATATTTAAATATGACTACAATTCTCGTTGTTCATTGGTCTTCTTCTCTTATATTTCCTTCAACCAACACAAATACTCGCACGGAATAGGAAAAGGGACCGGTTGGGTAGCCGGACCACATCGGATAATGCAGATTACAAAATATTAACCCATGTCTGACTGTGGACAAAACTTGCACTCTTGATAAGAAAGATTGAAGTTCTGCTAATTGCTTCTGATAGGTAATCGTTTTGAATTACAAATGAGGCCCTGTATATTAGTTGAATGTATCGTAGTTAGAAGCGGCAATCAACCAAGGTTATCTCCCTATCCATCTCCACCTTTGAGGCGCGCCTCTCTTCGTTGTGTTCTACAGAGCAACGTTATAAAGAAGCAACCTCAACTGACAGGTCCCCTTTCCCCTCAATTCAGGGACTACCTGCACTCGCTGCGACTCAGGTCCGCTTATTAGTTCAGACCACTGCTGTTAGATCTTCGCCCCGCAGAAGTAGCTGACAGTTGTAGTTTAGTTGACGCAAAGAACATGTTTACTTGTTTGGCATTCTTTGCGTGCTCCTGTTTTAAGTGATTGACCAGTTTGATTATATCAATCATCACCTCACTAGACACCGATAACATGCTGGGTAACAATCGCCTGGACGGACAGACCTAGACTAAACGGAGCGGTTACCGCGGCTTGTCGATCCCTCGCGTTCCGCCTCAATTCTTTCAATTGCCTTCCCCATTTGTATCTCCTCCCCCCATCACCTCTTTCTGTCTTTGTCCTTGAGGCTTGTGCTACTGTACCTACTGTACCTACTGTACCTACTGTACCACTCGCTCCGTTACTAAGTTAGTCTGACGGTTTGACCCCGGCCGGATTACCCAATCCACCGTTCCGCCTTCCGCCCCCCGTCTCCGTTCCGCCCAAGCTTGAGCTCAAACCCACTTCACGTCTCCATCATTACTTCAATTCGCGAGAGACCTTGACATTACAACTTATCTATACGGAGCCTTACAACCACCGCCTGACTTATATCACTCCGTCTCCGTCCCCGCCCTCTCACTCGCCTCGTCCACTCCGACTCCGTCGCAAAGTTATCGGCTCCGTCCTCGGTTGCCCGCCGGGCCGTCACCATGCCTGCGCGTGGCCCTTCATCTCCGAGCTCGCAACCCGCCAAGCGACAGCGACAGAACTCTGTTGACGATGGTTCGCCGCGCAACGGTCAGCCGAGCCCCCAGGACCGTGACCGTGAGCGCCTTCAGACAGATGGCGCCTCAGCCGCATCAACCACTGCGTCTCCCACGGTAACAGCCAAGGCAGGCCAGAGCAGTAACTTTCGCAATGTCAGCGCCTGCAACCGTTGTCGCCTACGCAAGAACCGCTGCGACCAGAAGCTCCCCAGTTGCGCCAGTTGCGCCAAGGCAGGAGTTGCTTGTGTTGGCTACGATCCCATTACAAAGAAGGAAATCCCACGCAGGTACGATAAAGGCATTGATAGTGCGCGACGACCCCCACGTTATGCCAAAACTGCGCTCGTTGCGGATTTGGTGTCGCGCGCCACAGATGTGCTGGAGAGACGGATGAGCAGATGCTGACCGGCCGCGCAGTTATGTTTTCTACCTTGAGACCCGAGTCGAGCAGCTCGAGAACCTACTCAACGCCAATAACATTGCCTTTCCTCCAGCCGAAAATCTAGAATTATGCTCTCGAATAGGTACCGACACAGCCAGCATCAATTCAGCTACCGAAACAGGCTACTCAGGTCCATCAGAAACCGGCGATCGCGGCTTAAGCAGACCGCAAAGTCAAGCGGTCGAATCGCTGAAGAAAAAGCCGGGTCAGGCGGGCTTCCTCAACATCGTGAGCCCCTCGAAACCTCGCTCTTTAGCGTCTGCATCTGGTGTCTCGTTTGCTCGAGTCGTATATGCAGCAGTTCAATACTCAGCCGCTGGACAACCTAACCAGAACAATTCAAGATCTACCCATCAACCAAGCGGTAACGGGGCTTCGCTACGTGATTCGTTCTTTGGTCTTCACACCAGACCCTCTATCAAACCTGCGACTTTTCCAACTAAGGAAGTCGGTCTGCGCCTTGTGAGATTATACTTTGAACATTCGAATCCTCAGATCCCTATCTTGCACAGGGGAGAGTTCATGCAGACATTTGAACGTATATATGCCACGCAAGATCCGGTCCAAGGCTCGCGGGAACTGTATTTGTTGAATATGGTTTTTGCCATTGGTTGCGGTGTTATTGTTGGCGAGCCGGTAAAAACAGAATCATCCGGTGACCAAACTGTCGAAAACAGAAGTCGGTGCGAGCCCGAGGAGTATCACGCGAGCGCTATTGTCCACCTGGAATCGTGTTTGAGCAACAGCGGAGGAGGGTTAGAAGTGCTGCAGGCCGTGCTTCTTCTCGCCAATTTCGCTCTTCTTCGCCCTGTCCCTCCCGGCCTCTGGTACGTGCTAATCGATCAGATCGTATGTTGTAAAGCTCTCCTGACTAACATGGGCCAGGTACATTATTGGTGTTGCTGTGCGACTCGCAGTCGATCTTGGTTTGCATTATGAGGATGACAGAGAAATTGATGCCATGCCTAGTGAAGCTGAGCAAACCGAGAATGGAGCTCAGAGCCGTGGAAAGAAATTATGGCACCGAGATATGAGGCGACGTCTCTGGTGGTGCACGTACTCCCTTGATCGCCTAGTCAGCACATGCGTCGGAAGACCATTCGGCGTCAGTGATCAGGTCATTACAACCGAGTTCCCATCATTGTTGGACGACGACTATATTACTCCAACTGGGTTCCTGGATCCACCATCAGATCAGATTCAACCCAGTTACAAGCATGTAGCACATCATTACTTCCGTCTGCGGCTGCTGCAGTCAGAGATTCTCCAGGTACTGCAGTATAACCAGGCTCAAATTGTCAAGGCCGGCGTCCAAGGAAAGTATCCCGATATGCACATTCATCTACCGTCGCCCTTCCTGGTGCAATTCGATTCGTTCCGTTCATGGCGTATAGATATCGACCGGAGGTTGTATCAATGGAAGACGTCGGCGCCCTCGAGGCAAGAGACGGGCGTCATGTTCTCGACCGAGTTTCTCGAGCTCAACTACTGGCAGGCCATCATCATGCTCTACCGCCAGAGCCTCAGCGTTCCAGCCATGTTTGAGGGCGAGTACAACTCATCCAACGAAGTCAACAGCCCAACAGCTTTCCAAGCAGAGCTTCGCGAGGACGAGGACCGAATCTATCTCAAGGTTGCTGAGGCAGGTCAAAAGATTCTTCGTTTGTATAGGCAGCTTCACCTTAGCGGGCTTGTGAGCTACACCTATCTTTCCACGCATCATTTGTTTATGGCGGGAATCTCGTACCTTTATGCCATTTGGCATTCGCCTATCGTACGAAGTCGCCTGGTGAGTTTTGACGAGACCCCGACTCGGGGAAATATACTAATAGTGGATCTAGAGCATGGATGAAGTGGACTTTACTATTCTTGCCGCCAAATCGGTTCTCACAGATATGATCGACAAGTGTCCGCCCGCCGAGACATGCCGAGATGCGTTCGATCGAACAGCCAAGGCCACTATTAAGATGACCTCTTCAACAGGCGGTTTTGGCGCCCCTACCTCCAGGAGACAGCGTTCAGCATGGAACACACCACCCGACTCGTCCAAGAACTCGGGCCCAGTGCGTCATCGCCCTCAGGGCTCAGACCAGGCGTCATATCATGTGGATTTATCTCTATCCGACTCCCTTTCCTCCCCTACCATGTCTGTCACTGGCGACGGAAACGCGCAACCATCACCCCCCATGGCACGATCAGCTGAGGGATACTTGCTCAAGTCGCGCAGTCGAGGCGGACCAAGTCCTACAGACACAAGCCACAAACAAGACGGATCTCCTATAGAGTCAGGAGTGGTCCCATCTCCTATTCCTCGACGGGTTACGTCTCAGCCGTCCAATGGTGGAGGGTCTTACGGCGGGCAGCAGCAACAATTCAACGGACAGGAGTTCCCAGATGCGCAGACGATGGAGTTTCTCCAGAACCTGGGGGCGTCTTCAAATGGAGACTTTGCCGCCATGGACCAATCGCAGCTTGATATGGGACTCAGTATGAACTGGGAAGGCCTCCATCACGACTTCGGCGAGGCGCCGCAGATGAACCCATTTGACACATTTTTCTTTGGCGGTCCTCAAGGGGGAGGTAACCAAGACGGTGGCGGTATGAACATGTAGAGGGCATGTTTTGCATATGCTTGGTTTGTTTCTTTATTGCCGGCGCGGTAGCTGCCTGTAGACGCGAGTCTGTTCAGTGGAATTGGTGGTATTTTGTTAGTGTTTTGTTTCAGTTCAGGGCATCACAGGGTGAGGAACATGCCTTTTTTTTTTTGACGTTGTCGATGCTGCAAAAGTAGAAGTTCGGGTTGGAAGATCTGGAGAAAGACAAGAACAACGAGATGTGCTTCATCGAATACATACCATGGTGAGTTAAACGAATGTACAACGGCAACCGAGCAAGAAGAATAGGAGATATCATGAGCGGCACTGTTACATTGCGGAAAAGGTGGATGTTTTCATGAGATGGGTTGAACGATACCAGATTTCTGTTTATATATTTAAAAGCTAGGGTATTTACCGCAATGACTGTCTCGATTCGAAAGACTCAGCGCTCATTTTGTCCTCCCCCGTTCTGTTCCTCCAAACAAATTACTCTCTTCCAGTTGTACATCGTGTGAAGTCTCCTCCCCTTTTCCATCCCCAAACATCCATCATTTCTATGAATCCCTCACGTCGTAAATTCGTAATTAAAACAAGCTGAAGAAATAAATACGCAAATTGTCGCCACATCCTCCTCGTCTATCGACCGCGACTATATCTTCTGCTCTCCCTCCTAGGCGAGTAGTCTCTCGGTGAGTATTCTCTTGACCGGTCCCTTGATCGGTAACCGTCTCCCATCAGCGGCTCCCGACGAGACCGATCCTGACTGTAGCGTTGCGAACGGCGCGGGGGAGAAACAACGCTGTGCTCCTCTTCCACAACGATCTCGTTGTCGGAGGATATGGTCGATTCTTGAGCGTAGCGCGGAGCAGGCGGATCGACGATGATGCGCTCGCCACGGCTATCGCCAACCAGGGGCGATGCTCTTCTACGACTTCTGTCCCTCGATTGCACCGTCGTGCGGGATCTCGTCCTCTTTGATCTGGAGGTGGCCCTGCTGCGTGATCTGTTTCTCGGTCTGCGATCCTTTCTGCTACGGAAACTTAGATACGTCGAGGTGTCGCCGGTAACGGTGCTCATGGGCCCTCCGGAGACGACGGTCGATGCACCGTCCATAGGTCTGCCGACGGGCCCACGATGGAGGATCATGTAAATGAGGTATAATAGGAGGAGGAAGCCGGCGACGGAGCCAAGGACGATGCCAGCGACGACACCGGGGGCCAGGGAGTCCTCGGAATTCTTGTAGGCCGTGGGGATGGCAGTGAAGGAGACGCTTGATTCGTCATTTTGGCGAACGGAGAGATGATGCCCTGAGGGTATCGTCGCCGATGGAGGAAGCGCGGGCATTTTGTTTCTTTTGGACTGGTTGGAGAGGTATTATTAGGTCTGTTGTAGAGATTGCATTGCAATAGATGACGAGAACAAAGTAGTGATAGGCTCTTCAAGATTAAGGATATAACAATCGAGAACTAATCGGTATTCGGACGGTGTTTTGGCAGCAAAAGAAAGAAAGAAACGAGGCTGTTTGTACTTTGTAGATGGGACAACGCAGCGCAGCGCAATTCGGCGTCCATTAAAGATGAAAGGTTGCTGCTGCACGTCCCCCCAGCCACGTCCTTTTTTCTAATTGAACGTCATATCCTGCACGCGTTCAACGGTAATTTTACCGAGGCGCGAATGCTTAATTGATATTAACGTGTTTGTTCATCTTGAGCTATGATTCGTTACTGTGGTACAAATTAATGTTTAATCCCTATTCGTGCCTCTTCATTAATATATTTCTCTGTTTACTTTCACTCAATTGATTTGTCTCAGGGCAACAGTTCGCAAAGGCCCAGTCTAAAAAGTGGAGACAGTCTCATGTAGACTCAGCACTTTAACGACATCTTACAAACTCCAGTTTCAAGGTTTCTCATAGTATCACAGCCCTTCTCAAAAAAATAACTTCTCGAAGTGACATATTGTTGGTCACGCCATTGTCCGTTATGACGTCCGCAAATTTCAAGCGTATTACTTCATGTTTTTTATCCTGAATCGTGATAATGGCTTTGGATCAATCAGCATTAGACTTGTCTATCTAACTACCTAGTCAGAGATACATCAATTCTACAAATGGCCAATTGAAGCCTTCAGTAATCCATTCCCGTGGTACGCCCATACGTGGATATCATCCCAGGACGTGGTCGCGTGACCAGAAATGCCCAGCCCAGTCATCTATAGTATAGCCATGACGAGAAGTCCCTTCTCGTCCCAAAACAAAGGAGAAACAAGTAATAGTGTTCCCAAGACTGCGAACAGTCTTATTCCAGTTAAACAAGAGAATCCCCACCAGACGCTCCATTAAAGTCGTGAGAGAAAAAACAAAATAAGGAGAGGGTATATGTTAGTGATCGAGGCTCTTAGGCCTTGACTTGTAGCTTGGGTGGTAAGGGGGGCAGCGCGCACGTTGGTGGCGGTGCTGGAGGAGGCCCTTCGTTCAAATGCGGCATGCTTCGCCGATTAAATAGATTCTTTCCGTTCGTATCGGGCTTCAAATGAGGGCTGCTCACAGATCCAGGAAGAGGAGGAAGAGGTGCTGTGGGTGGTGGTGTAGGTAGAGGCAGAGATTCGGGTGCCATTGGTGGAGGAAGATCGGCCGAAGCGCTATACTGAGATGCCCGGTCCGACATCATAGACTGCATGCTGGCTCGCCTCTGAGACCGTACCTTGGCCGACATAGTGTCGCTTCGTCCTTCACTGTAGGCATCCAGGGAAGCACGGCGGCGTGCTGCCTCATCAGTCCCGGTAACGGATGACCGTGAACGTTTCCTTTGTTCTAGGCTCGGCCGGCTTGAGCCAGTCAAGCTACGCGAGAGAGCGCTGGGGTTCTCGGATTTACGCCATTGCCGCATATCTGAATGTCGACGTGAGCTGCCTGGGCGGTTACTTTCGATGACCGGCTCATCTATCGGAACCAGGCTGGGCCTTCGTGATGCCATGTCATACGAGCTGGGGATGTGCGGCAAGGACATCAAATCATCCTCTGCTGGTATAGTTGCTTGTGTTTCGTCTCCGTGGCGTGTCACTGGTCGTTCATGGATTTCTTCCATTGGAGACGGCTGATCAGCGACCATGGATAAAGGTCTCGCAACAGGCAAAGTCGTTGGTGGTGCTCTGCGGCCCAAAGATCGCACCTCTAGTGTCCCTGACTGGGAAGCCATGCCGAATTCCTGAGCCATGTTCCGTACATATGAGTATCTTCGGTTTGACGAGTTCGGCACACTGAAGTTAGGCGTGGGTGCTGTCGCATCGGGAGCTGCGCCAGAGCCATAACTGGACTGTGGTCGCAGGCTGATAGGCCCGCCTTGTAACTCGACGAAAGGGCTGAGGACTTGCATTGACTGTCTTCGATCCAGGATAGCTGCAGCGTTAGGTCTTGGCTTTGGCTCAGGAGTACCAGATGCCTCCTCCATTGATTGTTTGTGTTCTATGGGCACAGGAAACGTATCGACTGTTGGCGATGCTTCTGGTGACGACCCAGCAGATGTTACAACTGTTCTCTGGCCAGATGATATGAAGGAGAGACGGTGCGAGTTTTCCCGCAAGCTATCCAACTGCCTGCCATCGTGCGACACAAAGCTATTAGTTGTCGAAATGTCATCCAAAGGGTGATCAGCGGGAGGTTCAGATTCGGTAACATTTGTGGTCGAACGACTGGCGCTAGCCTGGCTATGCGATGGTAAACTTTGGGGTGGTTGGAAACTTTCGGGGCTCTCAGGGCTGTCAGGGCTCTTGGAATTTTGGTTCGCTATTTGTGATAGCCGATTCAGGTCCCTGACTACCAACGTTCTTTGGCTGTGTCTTTCCCGCAACGGTGTGGGTTCGTCTACAGCTTTAGGTTTGCCTGTCTCGGTAAGCGTCTTCTTGCCCCCTAATGTTTCGATCTCACGACGTAGAGTTGAGATCCAGCCTTCCATATCTTCGGCGGTTTCAAACACCATGAGGCAATTAGATGCGCTGCGCCGTTCAGTGGCCCGGAAGTTCCATCGCGAGAACAAGGACCGCGAGTCCGTTGCTGGTGTCCCATCAGGTTCGGTAGCTGAGGAGACCTGGATCACCCAGTGACGGCCAGGTATGACATCGCTAGCGAATGCCGCAGAATCCTTGCCGAGTTGCAGTATCCTTTCCGGCAACCGGTCAAAGGGCCCTTCGGCCGCATACTGTAGCAAATACCCCGCGGTTACCAGGACGTAAATCTTGTTTACCCATTCAAACTTAGGCGCAGGTCCAGATGTATTGCGACGGTGCTTCTTCTTAGCCTTTACCTTCTCGGTAGGTCCAGTTTCACCTTCCAACGCTTCGGTTACGTCGTTTTTCATTGTGTTTGCACGCCGCTCATGCATACGCAGAATTATTTCGGTTGGTAATGAGGTGGCTGGCAATGTCATATGCTTGACAGCTTGGGGGAATGCTTTGAAAAGAGGCGGAGGGTGCCATGTCGAAACTAGTCCCCGCGGCGACTTCACTTGTCCTTGGGTTCTCACAACCCCAACAGATCGTGGATGAGTCGGCAGGCTCTTGTGGCCTTCGAACATGGTAGATAAAGGACGCGGGCTGAGGGGTGACAAAGGTGTATCTTTAGGCATAATATCAGGTTGAGATGCGAAATAAGGATTCGTGTCAGCAAGAGATAAGGTACTTGCGAGTGATGTAGGCGTTTGGGGAATGGATAAGTCCTTGGGTGTCTTTGATCGACTGAACAAACTCCTCAGTCCCAATCTCGATTCTCGCCTGCTTGCCCTCTCAGCTTTCAGAGGCACGCGGTTCCCTTCAGCCGCCATTACATCAATGTTGGGTGGGCGATTTCTTCGCGAAGGCACATGATGACTCTGGAGTGCTTCCAATGTGCCACCGTGGGACACAATGGAATCTCTATAAGACATGGCGCCGAGATTTTCGAAGTGCGATAAGATTGACGAATTGGTATGCGTTGGAGTCAGCAAGTCAAACGGTAGGTGTTATTATAGGAAGTGTATGCTGCATATAATGCGTAAAGCAGAGCGGCATAGGTGGGACCCCCGTACTGCTCAAATGCAGGCGGTAACTCGAACTCGTTCGTGTGACAAAACTTGAGAGTGATCCTGGGACAAAGACTCGTTTAAGAAATGCGCGGCATATATTCTTGCATTCGAAATGTGTAACACAGGCCGAGGCTGACGCTTGGGTGGGAAGCGTATGATATGCAGGACGCCGCCTTGGATGTCGTAAATCGCACCGCAATTAAAAAGGTTCCGTTGGGATATGGCGCAAGTATCAACTCATACAGTAGAATACCCAATGACGATTTCTTGCCCAGAATGGAAAGTAGAAATAGACGCACGTTGGTGGTGGCGAAAGCAAGGTATGGTGAGCAACAAAGAGCAGCAACTGGAGAGAGCGACTTGGGTCAGTCAGAGAAGGTGAGGCCTATTGAGACTGTGTGGTAACGAGCGAGGGTTGAAGCAAAGCTGCTGAGCCAGGAAAAGAGGCGCGTATACAAACAAAACAGAATCAGAACATAACAACAAAGACGTCTGGGTTGGAGGAGAAGAAGAAACGACTTCAAAATGGAGAGGGGTGGGAGTGGGAGTGGAAGGAACTTGTAAGCCAAACTCCCAAGTGCCTGCCCTCTTTCCGAGTGCAAAGTGGTGTGGTAGGGACGGAGTACCTTAGGTAGTTAACGGTGCATGCCCTGTACGGAGTACCTAGGTCGGTAGCTTGGGACTGCCTTATGGGGATGCTAAGCTAAGCCCACCTTGGGCACGGAAGCAGGAGCCATGCAAGGGAGGGGGAGGCCAGAATTAAACAAGTCAAGGGTAAGAAACGGAGGAGACCAGAAACTTTTCCTATTTTGGCACACTTGAAGGGAAACATTGAACTTAATTAGTCTACGCGATAAATCCCAAGTCGTCTCCCTCGATCCGACCATCCGTAGCAATGCAAGCAAGCCTCTCGTTAACGTAGCGTGTCTAGGTGCCTATGTATCGCCATATCATACTCCAATGCATCGTGGTGCACTCGCTCTGGTCATAGAAATATGAGGGGCACAATGCAACTCGATATGTCCAGTGATGCAGGTACCAAAAGAACCCACAACCGCTCACTCACACGAAGGGCAATCGAGCAACCAACGTGACCGGAGAACATGGGGCATGGTGGAACCGTTCCTGAGGAGGAGGAACAGGAACAAGGACAAAAGACCACTCAGCGAGGCGAGCAGAGGGCGAGTGAGGACACAACACGATACAGGGGTCAAGGAGCCCCTAGTCGGCTCGCCAAACGGCTGTCAGGGATTAAACCGCTACGTACTAAGCTGGTGGATAACTTTGGCAGCCATCCAAGCCATCTCTCCAACGGGCACCATTAAAGACTCACGATTGTTGACTAAGTCAGCGAACAATGCTCCCAAGCGCAGAGGGCTGAGGTCTAAGTAAGGGCCAAGGCCCAAGAGCGTGGGACATACAATGACCATAGACCTACAGTCGTGAGACTCGGTGCTTGGACCCTGTCCAACGGCCTAGCCGTTGAGTTACTACTACCTTACTACTACTACTACTACGTATGTATGGACTTATGTTAAGAGCACAACGTGGATGACGGTCTTTATACGTGTGTTACACAAAAAAGACTCTACTAACTTAGCACACACGCAATATCGACGACAGAAAAGGGTGGGAGGGCGACGAAGCAGTAACCTCATTGGTGCGAACTCACCAAAGCGGCTTTAAGGATGCGACACGATACAACTCTACTCAGGCCGCAAATTCGAGTAATTCTCTAAATCACGGCATCGTGTATTGGGACAATGTGTATGATTAGAGAAAATTTATTTTCTTTTTCAGTCAAAGCACTCTCGAAGTCATGTTACACGACAACATCCATTTCACTACAGCACATCAACTTCTATCTAATAAAGCTCTCTTCAACCTAAAAGCTTGGGTTTTCTCCGACTCCGTCCGGGACCAAGGGCCAAGAAGCCGGTCCTGGAGACCTGGCCCACGATGAGCAGGGTTGAGCAGAATTACGAAACTCTGACAGCGCAGTATCATCGATCCACCCCTGCTTTTCTTTACGGGCAAAGTCCCCATGTGACTTTTTCTTGCCGTCTAGCAATCCTTGATGCTTGTTTCCTAGAACCAATGACTGCCTCGTCGCAGGTTCTCGTGGTAGAAACGGTGAGCTCTGCCGTCCAGCTAATCACGATCGGATTGATAGGCCGATCTCATTGAGCTTATATCGCTTGTCAATATTTGGTACGGCAAGAGGCCAACACTATGAAGATGGCTATTTCGCTATTCCTCACAGAAAGCCAAACCGGACAAGTGTTGAAGAAATGTTGTCAAAGGGCGGCATCGGCGGTTCCAGATTTATGGTCCGGGCTTTATCGTTGCCAGACCAGTGTCTCACAATGACCGGATACGGAGATCGGTTCTTCTCTGCCAGTTTAAATGCCCGAAAAATGGCCTTCTTCTATCTCAACAGTCCGGAAATACGAGGGTGAATCCCAATGAGCTGAAGATCGTGGCTGTTGTTTCGGGGCTGGGAACAAGGTATTGAAACCAATTGAGCAACCTCAGGGTCCCCTGGACCCCTTCGACCGTGAGTTTTTTTTTATTGCCTTCACAGTTGTATATGCGACTGACTGTCAGTCCAGCTACAGCCACGCCAGATGGAAAGAGAAAACCCCATACTGTGAATAGCCGGCTCTGCTTCTTGTAGCCAGATTGTTCGCATACGCAGGTGTCAAAGTTCAACATCGGACAACCCTAATCATTTCTCCACCTGATGATCCATGTGACGAGCGGTTGGTGCAGCGAGTCTACTGGATCTGTCTTATCAATTGAATGGCAAGCACCATCATATGGCAGAAGAATAAGACATGATACTGACCACTCCAACTCTTTCTTATGGCGGCGGCAATCTCGCTGAGCTGACCATTACCATCAAAAAAATAAGCGAGCTTAATGCTCACCGATCTTCCCCTTGTGTTATACAACATGCGTTGTCCAACCACAATTTTGCACGAGCGAAGCAAAGTTCATGTTGGATCTTAATGATGGTAATACTCATGGGCATGGCCCTAAAGCAGTGCGGTTCCGCTCATGGCCTGTCGCTTTACTGATTTTGCTTTTCTCGGGCGCATTTTGGCTTTGTCAGCTTTGAAGCATTTCGGATGGAGCAGAGTGAGTCGTCATCAGTTATCGTCCGCAGCCCGGCATATAGAACCATCCTACCATCGATCGACCATACCGCATTTTGTTCAGCAATGCCGTAATATCATTCAAGACACTAACCTCTTGGCATTTGAGTCCACCCAAGCTTCATGCAGGAGCTCCTATAAATGGAACCCAGGAAATGCGTCTTGTTTTGCTTTGCTCTGTTCCTGCAGTAGTGGACTGGACTAAGCTCGAACTCGTCTGGTGCAGATGTTGGTCCTCGCAAACATGGGCCTAATTTCTGCCTTGGTCAAACAAGGTAGCTTAGGTACTAAGTTTACCGAGTACCTCACCTCCAAGTACGTACTGAGGAAGCCAGCGCCATGTGTATTTTGAGGGGACCTTGAGTTTCTCCCTGCTTTTACGGGCCGACCCCTTGACCAGTCGTGAGTCAATTAATCTCTGTGTAAGACAATTCAGCATTCATAGGGCAGGCCGTGTCTCAAATCCATTCAGCCAACATGAGATGAGCCAAAAGCAAGTCCAACCCATCTCAAGGTGGATTTGAGGTCAAGTTGGATAAACAACCAGCATCCGCTTCCTAGATCCAATTTTCTCATTAACCTGGGGCCTGGAAGCTTGTCGACTGATCAGTTATTAACGAAGGGTCTAGGGTTAATATTGGTTTTAGTGCCGGATAGCACGGTAGTTGGCACCAATATTAGCAAACCGACAGGGAATTTGGCACAGACAATACCGCCAGACTGGCTGAACCATCTTAACCGAACGGCGAAAACAAGGACGATGCCACGGAATGTTATCTTGACTGTGAGATCCATGGGATACCTGGCGGATCTGCAGTATATCGGGTTGGGATCTAATACCGAGTATACCGTCAGTGCTGACGAATCCATCGTGGCTCATGGCCGAGATGAAGATGCCCAGTATGCTTTACTTTTTGAGGACGCAAATAAATAATAAGTTTTTCTGTTATTACAGAAGGTTTACGGAGTACACGCCATCTTGATCCGGCATACATTGCAAGGGGAGCCCATCTTCAGAGACCCTGCAAGTTGGATGCCGCTAGCTAAGGCTATACTTTCTTTCTTTAGCACATCACTGCAGGTGAAAGGTTTCTTGTTTTCTCTTTCCTCTCAATCGTTGACTCATTTAACGTACCTGGATTTTCTTCTCCCAAAGTTTGGAACTACCTATTGATTGTAGAGACCCTGTGCGATTGACGCAATCGCCTAACAGTAATGTACATTTACTGTCCATACCTAAAGGTCATTTAAGGGATCCAGCGGGTCTGGTTCTCACTGTCTATGGCATGTTCTCAGTGTCGCAAAGTTTCATCATCACGGCCCCGGAATGATGGACATTGAGGCCTGTTGGTTGAGCCGGGGCTGTTGGTCCCCTTCTATACCAGAATATTTGAAACACGATATTTAGCTAGTGCAGCTAATGAAGAAGAAAAATTGTGCTGGTCCCTTGTTTCTGTCCTTTTAATGTTGGGACGAGAGCTTTGACTTTTGTTTCAGGAGCTGTGAAGACTCGTTACATGTTCATGCCGTTGTTGATGTCTCATGGTTTTGGTAAACATTATGTTGAGAGTGTATGTATATGAAGATACAGTCTGTTGAGATTGTACTTCTTGGGAGAGTCGCAGTTTCGTACATGATCATGAATCTGTAGTCATATGAATAGAATCATCGAGGTAAATGGCTGATCACGACTCGCTGTCTTAATCATATTTTATGTCCAGCAGAGTCTTCACGATGGTCTCGGCCCAGAGTTATGTCAACATACGCGGCATCAAAACTGCCAAACTCAACACCGGGTTCTCATGACCATTGACACCATGAATAAATTGTGCTTCTCGTGGAGGTGAAAATGCACGTGCCCGGATGGAAGGTCTTGGAGAGCAATAGCGGAGTCGTCGCTGTAACCAGGCAGCCCAGCCCTCCGCAATCGACTGACGTGCCCTGTGACCGCCGTGGCCCAGCCTAGAAGTTTGGTCTGGAGGGGTCGTGATCAGCACACAAACAGACCACTCATTGCCTTGGGGGTTTTCATGATCACGATAGACCTCGGCCTGAATCAATCCTCCCGGTATTTCTTCAATACTCGGTCCCATTAAATAACCTCGCTTTTGGTTTCAACTGGCACTCCTTGAGTATATGCACATAACTTGTGTTGCTTGTAACGTTAGTATACACATCTTATCATAAAAACGTCAGAGGACAGTGCTTTCTGCAACGACCCCTCCACACATGCCAAGCTCTGTGTCAACATAACCTCAAGTCACTAATCGCTTCACTTACGAACCGTCTTGCTCCTAGCGTATTCATCATCTCTGTCTGCACTCTTCTACTTGCCCACTCTCTCGTGTTGGTGAATTCTAATCAAGATACGATACAAGGACGAGCAGGTGCCATACACGAATCCAACATCATGGCTTCTCCACCAGACACCGCTGCGGGGAACATCGAATCAAGGTCCCCACGTTCAGCTTCGATATCACTGCAAGCTGCCGCAACCATGAATGCAGGTCTTCAGCACGAAACTACACGAAGTACGTAGTCCTGATACGTTCCAGTCGGATAAATTTGTTTCTAACGTCTTGTAGGATCTTCAGGTAGCTCTATCTCCCGCAATCAACCTTCACCTCAAACCGGTCGACGAAGATCCACCGTGCTCATGAACTTGCAACTGAACGACCCTTCTGTGCCATCACCAGGCGAGATGGCCAGCGAACAATCAGGTCTCCCGACTGCGAGTCCGCAGCCTCTCTCTGGCTCTCCCTTGATGGGCGATCCTCATCACCACAGAGCACCCAGCCTGGGTGAGCTGCATCAAGAGCTAGAGGCGGAACAAGAAGCCCATGTGGTAAGAAACACCAGACGTTGGTATAGATATGATGACAGGTAACTAACTGCTCTTGATAGAATCGTCTCCTGCAGATGATTCGGCAACAGCAACTCGAGCTTCAGCGCCTCCAGACTTCCAACCCCAACAGCCAGCACCAAAGCTCAGCTGTAGACGACAGCAGTGCTGTGTCTGAGCGATCAGGTCACGGAACTCCCCATGCCTCGACTTCCCATGTATCGATTCCTCCCATCCCAACAGGTGGCTCAGGTTCCCGCTCCACCAGTCATCGTCATCCTCGAAGCTCATTTGATCTGGCCCGCGCAGACCTTCAAAGACGATCTCGTACACCTAGCCGCAGCGGCGCTTCCCCGCGACTTCGTTCAACTTCCATAGGTGGAAACAGCGAGGACTGGGTTTTAGGTGGCCGGGATGAAAGTGCGTTTTATCAGGCCGAGACTCAAATGCTGGTTCGTGAGAACCAGATGCTTCGTCACCGAGTTCGAGAGCTGGGTAAGCACAGTGTACTGCTGTTGAGAGTGTCTTACGCTAATACTTACACAGAGAAACAACTGACCGACGTTGGAACTGGCTCACCTGCCGCGCATGAACCACCTCACCACTCACACTTGACAAGGTCTTCTACGGCAACAGATAAGGAAGAAGAAAAGCCTTCTACTGAAGCAGTCAAAGAGACTTGAAGTAACGCGAGGTTCTTGCACTTTCTCGGAGCTTAGCACACGAAACATGCTCCGTTCACTTACGGCGTTAAGCGATCACGGTACAGGGTATGAGAGCTGAATGGGTAGCAATTGAAATTGGTGCTAGCCTAACGAACATGGTGTTCAAGCTTTGCAGTCCATGTATGATGATTATGATGAGGCTGCTTGATAAATTGGAAGGATTGAACTGTCACTTGGGCTCGATCGGATGTGGTTGCGCCGTATCTAATGTAGTTTCCAAAGTAATGGAACTCATCATGAGCAATTATTCACTCCGCCACCAAAATAGCAGGGAGTACAAATGAACAGATCTTAAATAAATCGGTACCATGTGATTTCTTATCCATTTTTATAAATATGACTCAGTACGCAGCGAGAATTTCCTGTCGTTGGACGTCATCGGCCATCTCGGTGTACATGCCGTCTTTGCCGAGGACTACCATGAGAGCTATGGCAGTCTACAACTCAACTCTATCAACACTCAAGATGCTTCGCAGAACAGCATTCAAACTTCCATTGAGCCTAAGAGCAATTCATAAGCACAGCTTCAGCTCAACGTCACCTGCCAGAGCCGATTTCACTCATGCCGTAAGTTCGCCTCCTCATAAGCCCCGTATCATGGCCCGAAGCTCCGGCACCGGAGTTTCGTTGCCCGATTAATCTAGTACCTAGTTGAATCACGAGGTATCCGATGGAGCTCAAACCCCATTGTATTCGCCACGGCGCATGAGGATGAACACGAGATTCTGACGTTATTATAGGTTATCGGCGGTGGTGTCGTTGGACTAGCAGTAGCCCGACAACTCGCGCAGCGGGATGATACTTCGACTGTGCTCATTGAGCGCCATAATGCCATTGGCACAGAGACAAGCTCGCGCAACAGCGAGGTTATCCACGCAGGTATTTACTACGGACCATCGAGCTTGAAGGCGAAGCTCTGCATTCGTGGCAAGAACTTACTCTATGAGCTTTGTGAGAAACACGACGTTGGCCATCGTCGTTTGGGCAAATGGATTGTTGCCCAGAACGATGCGCAGCGGGAGACCCTTGAGAAGATCCACGCCCTTTGTGAGAACGATCTCGGTGTTCCGACGCGCTGGGTGAGCGGTGAAGAGGTGAAGCGTGACGGTGAAGGTGTCCGGGCCGCGTGTGCCCTCGAGAGTCCAACAACAGGCATAGTCGACTCGCACGGCCTGATGCTGTGTCTCCAGGGCCTATTTGAGGAGTCTGGAGGCGTTTCGGCTCTCAATTCACCCGTGATGAACATTACTCCTCTCGGTTCGAAGCCTGGCAGTGAGGGCTGGGAGATCGAGGTCAAAGATGCAGCTACAGGCGAGACGTCGAGTATCACGGCCGAGACACTCATCAATGCCGCAGGCCTTGGCGCAGCGGTCGTTCACAATATGATCGTTCCATCTGATCAACAGCAGGAGTTGTACTATGCCAAAGGCAACTACTTCTCGTATTCTGCCTCCCAGCCCAAGATCTCGCGTCTGATATATCCCGTCCCGGAGCCTGGTATCGCAGGGCTAGGCACTCATCTGACGCTTGACCTTGCAGGCCGTCTACGTTTCGGCCCTGATGTCGAGTGGATCGAAGATCCAAATGACCTAGCCGTCAACGCGGCACGACTACCACAGGCCATCACTGAGATCCAGCGCTATTTACCAGGGATAGATGCATCGGCCTTGGTTGCAGACTACGCTGGGATCCGGCCTAAGCTAGCTAGTCAAGGTGATGTTCTCAAGGGCAAGGGGTTCCACGACTTTGTCATTCGGAAGGAAGCAGGATACGAGGGTTGGGTAAATCTACTGGGTATCGAAAGTCCTGGATTGACCAGTTCATTGGCTATCGCCGAGATGGTCCAAGGCCTGTTATATGGAACGGTCAAGTCACCAGAGTAGACCATTTCAATCGAGTCTGGTAACACTTCTTTGTAATAAAGAAAAGGAGATCCAGCTATCTCAAAAAACGCCTGTAGAAGCAACAACAATAGAGGTCCCTACACAGACCAAAGGATAACAATAGCTTAGATCCCATAAGTTTTCCCAACCACATCAGCTACCACAACTTTATTTCCGAGGGGCATAGAGAACCCCTACCTGCTGGGGCCAGGACTCCCTTTCCATACTTCGACCAGCTTACCCAAGCTTTAGAGAAGAAGGTTTTGATCACCAAGTAACCTACCAAGCCAAGCTTTCATGAGTCAACCCGACAACTTCTCTCACAGCTGGAACAACAAAGCTAACCCCAATGACAGTCAAGATATCGACCGTAAGCAACACTTCCCGCTGGAGCCTGCGAGGGTCCGATGCAGCCCAGCAATGGGGCTATCATGACCTTTGAGCTTCATTTCTTTTCATTCAATATATGATCTTATTCAAGTTTGATTCAAATTAGAAGCCTAGTATGGGCAGGTAAGAACTGAAAAGATAATCGCCAGAGACAAGCATCGCAAACGCCATCAAAAAAAGTTTGAGCGTACTCAAGGTATCCTATGCTCATGCAATAAGCAGCCATCGTTATTGGTCATCGCTTTTAGTAACAAGCAAGATAGCAATCCGCAAAAGACTGTTAACAACCCGTCTGCGCCGGCAGAAGGGTTCGTATCCATCTCTCTTACCTGGTCTCACCTCATCGAAACACTTGGGCAAAATTTCCTGCTTTGAACATCGACGTGGAGCTCGTATATGCCGTTCTGTGCACCGACAAATCTATCAAATGTTAGCAAAATTTTCAGCAGGTCATCATAAGCAGATTCTTACAGGACACGGCCATCTTCACTCCAAGCCAACCCAGCAGTGTTGTCCGGAGAGGGCGGCACTTCAAATACACCGTGATCGTCCTCCCATCTATTCACAGCTTGGTTCAAGAGTGGTACTATAATTGTGGTGTCGTCTTGGTCCCGGTCGTTGTCACGCTCCCGCGCTTGGAGGATCTCAAGCACAGTGAGATATGACGGATCCTGCCTCTGGCGTTCCGTGAACATCGCCACTGTTTCACCGAGAATTTCCAACTGTTGGTCTGGTCGTGTCCCAGTTTCTTGAGAATCGGAAGCACCACGAGGAGCAGGTCTCGTTCCACGAAGTCGGTCTCCAGGACGGTAGCCACTCCCCAGTAGACCTCCCATGATACTACTACTTCTTCGATCCCCAAGGCGCCCAGTATCGTCGTTCGCAAGGGTTCGCCGGGCAGCACGGGCAGCCCAGAAGTTGGTCCCTCCACCTGTGGTTCTTTCCTCTGCTGCTGCCGCCACCGCTCGCTGGGCGGCTCTCTCGCGATTTTCACGATTACGTCGATCTAGTTGCACAGCTTCGAGCACCAACGTCTCGTGGGCAGCTAAAGGAGGGTTGAGCGTGTTAAGCAAGTCTCGGCGTCTAGAAGTGCCTGTAACGTCCGATGCCAGGGTATTATCTCTTCGTTCTCGGCGGCTATCCAAGAGTCGCGGGTCAATAGTATTCCGGTCAAGGATATTGATATGCTCAAAGGCCGGTTCCTCGATGTTGATGATTTGGCGAGCCAAGAAGTTACTCCTCATGTCGGCAATACCAACGTTACCCCTATCCTCAGTCCAGGCCAGCATCCCATATGGCCCAGGGCAGAAGGCCATATCTCGTATAGCTCCAGGGCCACTGTGCGGTCGTGAAGACTGGAAAGTCGTGATAAGAGGATCGGCATCGGGGTCTGCGAGGAGCGCGGCGTTGAAGACGGAAATGGTACCATGTTGAGTGCCAACTGCGAAATATGCTCCAGATTCGGAAAAACAAGCAGCAAAGCTCCCTCGGCTATCTGTCCTATCGTCCTTTCTTTGACTCTTGAGCAATATTCTCTGAGTCTGCTCCCATTGGTATGTGGGGGATTCACTTGACCTGACGGCGGGCGACTCCGAGGTCCTCTTTACACGCTCGTGAATGTACAGGTATGGATCGTCAAGAATAGCAATTAAGAGGCGGCCATCGGGGGATATGAGGGCTCGGTTTACGAAATCTGGGTAGGTGATGACATCCAATGCTTCGGTCTTTTCTTTCTGTTCGAAATCACGAAGGCTGACCAGCGTCACAGTCCGGTCATTGTTGGCCAATACCGCCACCGGTTCCGTGTACGCTTTTTTGTGCGCTGGCATCGCTGTAGGTGGGAACCATAGTGTGATGCAGTTGACCCGATCTTTTGCCAACTTCATACTTTTCGCGATGAGGCTCTTGTTGGAACGTCTTGCGCGTGACAGTAGAGAATGTATGGAGTCTTCACGAGATGAATCGAGCCCGAGGCTCTGTCGCGTTTCTGGGTCGAATTCTGATGGGGATCCATGGCTGTCGTCGTTCCCTTCGTCGAGTCGCATCGCCACAAAATCGCCACTCTCACTCCCACAGCATAGCCATCCGTTCTCAGCGACGAGGCACCGAGGTGCAAAAGTTAGGAGCTTGATTGTTTCGCATTCTCGAGTCGATGTATTCAGGCGCTGGACGTGGTTGCTTCCATTACCTCCTGGGAAATAAACTATGTTCTGCTTCTCGGCGCTAACAAGAGACCGTAACTGCCAGTGTCTGTGGATATCATGAGCATGACGGCGTCGCAATAATATGTATTTTGACGTACTGCGAGCGCACGGGGATACGGTAATGTTTTCGTGACTGTGTCAAAACGAGGGCGTCGGTCGGGTAAATACTGGGCAGTGTCAGTGGTCATGATTGATAAGCTTGAGCTTCGTCTTTGTTGCTTTGGGGAATAGGTGGGAAAACACACTCGTCCTCTGCCACGGCCATCTTAATCTTCGCCGCTCCTCAGAGGGAGCGACAACGCGGAGTGGTACTGAGCCCCGGAATTAAGTGTCAACCAGTGTCGAGTTCCGTGTAATGATATCGTCGAGCTTTCGGTTTCGCAAGCAGGCGGCGCTCTGGTAGCAAGCTAGCGATGCGCAAGCTACGGCGTGTTGGATTTATGAGATCAGTCGATTATGACCAGATTACACTTCGAGTTATAGCAGTGTATCAGAATAAATGTCGTTGGCCGCGAGTAAGTCAGGTAATTAATCGCTGATGTGGGTTATGTTGGATGCATGTAGGAATGACGTCTACCTGGGTAGAATGATGAATGGCCCATGGTCGAGCTGAGGGTCAACGGGATAAATTCAGGACCGACCGATGCTTCACACCAATATGGATACCACCTACCAACTCCGTACTTACGCAGCAAGCTACTCATCTCCATCTTCCTAGCCTCATATAGGTAGTATCTATCGATATGAATTTCAATCCGTACCCGCGATTACCCCTCTCGCATATTAGGTTATTGATCAATAAATCAATTATTTATACAGTGGCCTTGCAAATGTTCCAACACCTTCATCTGTTCTTATTTGTCTGTGTTATTATAGGTGGGTACGCACAGGCCATAAGCATCATCAACAACACTTTGACCAATTCTCTGGCCTATCCTCAACATGCTGTGAAACGATGATACTACGAATGTAAATGGTTCAAAAAATCGTTGCGTATTCTAATATACAATACGAAGTCTCTGAAGTGTCACTTCCACCAATCGAGCGTTAGGTACATGTCCGTACTCTGATTGTCTCTGGAAATGAGTGAAAGCGCAAGACTCACTGCAATAGGGTAAGCAGAGCTCACCAAGCTTCCATCATGGATACATGCCGTCATCAGCGAACTACCTAGACTGTCTGCTTTCCATCATCATGGCACCGGCACCAAGCTGCCACTGACTGTGTACCTACTGGAAGGCAACATGGATTGACTCATACCTAATCCATAAATTCCATCTTTTGCCTGCCCGAACCAAAGCCGCGACTTTTCCGGTAACACCGAAGCTTCATCACGTGCAACAAAGACTTTCACAGTCATCTGGGGGAAGAGGGGGGTATTTGAGAAGCACTTCCCGCTAGCGTGCAGCGCGGGCCTCCTCGCTGCGTCCGGCAAGGTTGGTCCCAATTGGTCCCCCACTATTGAGGTGAGGATAAGGTCTGTCAACAACTGAATCACCGCAAAACTCTTCGAGTCAATAATGATATTAAGAGACATCGGACTTCCAGAAGAAGCACGTAGCTGGAGCCAATTTCTTGCGTAATGTCTAATTGAACTACAATATCCACCCTGCCTAAGCAGTGCAACTATTACAAAAACCGCCCAGAAGTCGCCGTCATCGGCAGGCATTCCGGCGGTTCTGCGAGATCTTTCAGGCAGTTTCGGGGTGGGCCCCCTTGTAGCCTGTAGGGAATAACCATGGTCCGAACCTAACCGGTGGAGACGCCACAGTGCTTGCCTCTTTCCTTCGGCTTCTATGACTGACCGGGGAAAGAGCTTTTCTCAAGTCGAAAAAAATTCGTTCCGTCCGATTCTATCGTCTCCATTCATCCTCTTTTCTGTAAAACACCACATCTCCCCATAAACCCTCCGACTTGCGCCTTCATCACCTTTCTTTCCTGTATTCTGTACCCATATTTCTACAATCAAGATGTTGGCTTCGCGCTTGTCGAGAGCTGTAAGTCATGCTGCTTCACAGCAATCGCTTCATCCCGCCATGTACTGACCAGCGTATTAGCTTCCTCGAGCTTCCCCTCTCGTCGCTCGATCGACTGCCTTCACCCGATCTCCTCTGGCTTCCAAGTTCGCTCGCTATGAGTCTACTGAGTCTGATGGCAAGGTCCAGGGCGCCGTGATCGGTATCGATCTCGGTACCACCAACTCTGCCGTCGCTATCATGGAGGGCAAGGTCCCCCGCATTATCGAGAATGCGGAAGGTTAGTCTCTCACGTCAATTCGCCTGCTAGGCAATGGCTAACCATTGATTCATCAGGTGCCCGAACTACTCCTTCAGTCGTTGCTTTCGCCGAGGATGGCGAGCGACTTGTCGGTGTCGCTGCCAAGCGACAGGCCGTCGTTAACCCAGAGAACACCCTCTTCGCTACTAAGCGATTAATAGGACGCAAGTTCAAGGATGCTGAGGTTCAGCGTGATATCCAGGAGGTTCCCTACAAGATTGTCCAGCACACCAACGGCGATGCCTGGGTCGCTGCCCGAGGCCAGAACTACTCTCCCTCTCAAATCGGTGGTTTCGTCCTCAACAAGATGAAGGAGACCGCCGAGGCCTACCTCTCTAAGCCTATCAAGAACGCTGTCGTCACCGTTCCTGCTTACTTCAACGATTCTCAGCGACAGAGCACCAAGGATGCCGGTCAAATCGCCGGTCTCAACGTTCTCCGTGTCGTCAACGAGCCTACCGCTGCCGCCCTTGCCTACGGTCTTGAGAAGGAGGCTGACCGCATCGTCGCTGTTTACGATCTTGGTGGTGGTACCTTCGATATCTCTATTCTTGAGATCCAGAACGGTGTCTTCGAGGTCAAGTCTACCAACGGTGATACCCATTTGGGTGGTGAGGATTTCGACATCCACCTTGTCCGTCACCTTGTCCAGGATTTCAAGAAGACTTCCGGTATCGACCTGGCTGGTGACCGTATGGCTATCCAGCGTATCCGTGAGGCCGCCGAGAAGGCTAAGATCGAGCTTTCGTCTTCTCTCTCTACTGATATTAACCTTCCTTTCATCACTGCCGACTCCTCCGGCCCCAAGCACATCAACATGAAGCTCAGCCGAGCTCAGCTTGAGAAGATGGTTGACCCTCTCATCAGCCGCACCATCGACCCTGTCCGCAAGGCCCTGAAGGATGCCGGCCTCTCCGCCAAGGAGATCCAGGAGGTTATCCTCGTTGGTGGTATGACCCGTATGCCCAAGGTTGCTGAGTCCGTTAAGAGCATTTTCGGCCGTGACCCCGCCAAGTCCGTCAACCCCGATGAGGCTGTCGCCATTGGTGCTGCTATCCAGGGTGCTGTTCTCTCCGGTGAGGTCAAGGACCTTCTCCTTCTCGATGTTACCCCTCTTTCCCTCGGTATCGAGACCCTTGGTGGTGTCTTCACTCGTCTGATCAACCGAAACACTACTATCCCTACCAAGAAGTCTCAGGTTTTCTCCACCGCTGCCGACTTCCAGACCGCCGTCGAGATCAAGGTTTACCAGGGTGAGCGTGAGCTCGTCAAGGATAACAAGCTTCTCGGAAACTTCCAGCTTGTTGGTATCCCTCCTGCTCACCGTGGTGTCCCTCAGGTCGAGGTTACCTTCGACATTGATGCCGACTCCATTGTGCACGTTCACGCCAAGGACAAGTCCACCAACAAGGATCAGTCCATCACAATCGCTTCCGGCTCCGGTCTCTCTGAGACTGAGATCGAGCAGATGGTTGAGGACTCCGAGAAGTACGCTGAGGCCGACAAGGAGCGCAAGGGTGCCATCGAGGCTGCCAACCGCGCTGACAGCGTCCTGAACGATACTGAGCGTGCTCTTAACGAGTATGCCGACAAGCTCGACAAGACCGAGGCCGAGTCCATTAAGGAGAAGATCACCACTCTCCGTGAGTTCGTCGCCAAGAACCTCTCCGGTGAGGGCACTGCTACCGCCGCTGAGATCAAGGAGAAGACCGATGAGCTCCAGGTTGCCAGCTTGAACCTCTTCGACAAGATGCACAAGGCCCGCAACGAGAGCGGCGAGCAGTCCTCCTCTTCCGAGCAGCAGTCTCAGGAGGGTGAGAAGAAGGATGAGAACAAGCCTTAAATGTCTTGATTCTGTGTTATAAAATCTGTTACAATATCCGAGGTATAGGGATCTGTGCGGCTCAGATTACCGAACCTCCCCATGTATTTCACTGTATTCATATCCCGCCTAGCCGCTTTTACACTTTTTACCCATGTCTTGTTTCAGGGTTGGCGGATCAGGCGTTGGAGCTTTAAAACCTCTATTGAGAGATCTTTTTCGGTTGTTTTTCGAGATGATGTCACGCAATGGGGGATCATGTTGAATATCCATATCACGACTTGCCTTTCATAGGTAGACTAATCGTACATCCCCCCTCAAGATAATGTTTACCAATATGAATGCTCAGTGATACTAAACGATGTTTTTATTATCGGATTCAAATTGAATTTCCATACATAATTTACTTGTGATCGTAGTATCCATGATATGCTTGATTTACTAGACGCATGTTTGCTCCAGTAGTACAAATCAGTTGCATCAAGTCCACATATCAATATACTATTGTCATTATAGTATGTCATGACATCCATCCCCACGCAGTATTAAGTCTGTTAACACCATGCCAGTGAATCGTCTTGGCCTTCTTCTGGCCCTCTTTATCTCCTTCCAGCGGGTTCCCTCCGTTCAATTCCATCATGGAGCGTGCAGGCTTCAATTTCGATGCATGCGGCCCAGGCAGCTGAAAAGTGTCATATAGTGAACCGCGCTCATTTGGATTTTGAAGCGGCACACGCTCGCCTCGACGAATTGTGTCTGTAAAGAGAAGCTGTCGATACTCAATTTCGACCTCAGATACAGGTCGGGACTTATGTTCGGTTTTTTTCCTGCTTCGCTTGCTGCTACCGCTAGCTGAAGAAGATGTTGGCGAAGGTGGTGGATATGTGGTGTCGAGAAACCAGCTGCGTCGCTGGGAGAGGCGACGTTCGAGGAGTTGACGAACAACTGAAACAAAAAGAGCAACAACGGCAAGGACAATGGCAATGGCAATGATTGTCGCGGGATTAGGATGTATAGAGGATGAGTGTTTGGTTCGCCAGTTTTGCACCGGCGATATTGATGCTGAATGGCGGTCCATTAGGTTTAGAGTATAAAGACGGAACCAGGATACAAAATAGAACAGATGAATGAAAATGAACGAAAAAAAATGAGAGTGAGCCTAAGAAAGAAATGAGCGTGAGGCTAAGAAATGTCAAAGAGCTTGGACCGCCCAGCGAAGAGGCATAGCAAGCATTATGCGATCAAGGCTGAATGGAGGTGAAGTTGAGAACGGGGGTCATTGAAGGTGGATGTCACGACATAGGTACTAGTATACAGCGATGGTAAACAAACAAGGTCCTCTTGGTTACGAAGCAAGCTATAGGAAGAGCTAAGGACATGTCTCTCACAGGAATGGAGTGGAATGAGACCAAGCGTCTGGGTGATGCGCAAGGATCAAGGGTTATCATAAGACATTCAACGAAGATTGCAGCCATTGGCAAAAGTGGACATACGGGAAACGTGCTAAGAAAGCCGCAATCTTGATGGATCGCTTCGCTGAGTATATTTGACTATGATCTTCCGAAACCGAACCAACCCCTCTTACCTTGCTGAGGAGCAGGCGACTCGGTTCTCTGAGGCGTCTCTGCTTTGGCGGCTGGTGCTGCTGCTTCTTTCTTGGGCTCCTTGGTAGCGTAATCGATGTAGTTCCATGCTACGTCGAGGAAGATAGGCTTCACAGGCATGGCGGCAATCTTAGGAGGGAACTCGACGATGTGCGACAAGTTAACGCCATTAGCGGGATAATGATCTAGGGTTTCAATGAGAGGCTGCTTGACAGCGTCTGATGTGCTCAGCTCATGGTTCTTGCGAAGGGTGTCGACATGTACGATGGCACGGTGACGCTGGAGCTCGCCATTGAGGAGAGTCTGTAGGTACTCGACATCTTTACCAGACACAGTCAAACTCAGAGGGGTTCGGTTTGACGATCCATCTGACGACAGGCTGGACTGAGACTCTTCGACAAGACCATCGGCATGGTTGATAAGGGCAAGAGCATGGGCTGCGTTGCCAGAGATTGCATGGGAACGGGCGATGGTCAGTGCCCTGGTGTTTTGTTAGTTATGAAAGTATGGAGGCGTGGGAAAAGTTGCGACTTACTTGAGGGCTTCGAAATACTTGACATAAGCGGAAATCTGACCTGCTAGTCCCTGATCGTTGGCCACACCAGGCAGCTCCGTGATGGACTCGATGTTCTGCAGTATTCCATCGTACAGGGCAACCTTTTCCTTCAGCTTGGCCAGCTTCTTGCCTGTAGGAATCTCCTTCTCATGCTTGGCTGCTTCTTGAGCTGCCCTGCCCTTTCGTCTTCTCGCAGAGCTATATTCGTCAGGGGCTCCATCATGCTCTCCAGTCAGAACTCGGCTACGCCCAATTCTCCAGCTGATAGTTTCGAAGTTCACAGCAGTACGTGTGATTTGGAGACTCTGCATCCGGGAGTCGCCTTGTTCCACGCCCTCAGCCCTCATTTCGTCGATTGCCTGCTTGGTGGCATCAACGGCGTCCTGGCTGAGCATGAGAATCTCGTCGTAAGCGCCGGCCAGTTCGTAAGGTCCTCGTCCTTTGGGTTCGGCAAGATCTGTAGCCAGTCGATCCTTCGCAGCGAGTACAGCACCCCACGCCATTGCGATTTGCGCATCCTCGATGTTAACCTCCCGGGATCGCCAAGTCAAGGTCTTAGGTGCGCCTTCGGCGCTCTCGATTCCATCCTTGGCCTTTGCTTCGCCTGATTTGAGAATAGTCGGATCAATCTCGTTAATCTGGCTGACAAGGTTTGAGTCAGATTGAGGGAACGCCTTTCGAGCGATAATAGGAATCGGCACAGTTCGGGGGGTCTGAAGTTGGTAGGCGGCATATCGAATTGATGGATCGATGGTTTCGGTAAGCAAATCCTTGTAGATATCACCCTTGGTGGCGGTTGCCAGCGCGCTGTAGATGACACGTGCGGTGGCATAGTTTCGCAAACTCGTCTCCCAGCTTTGCTTCTCAAAAGCAGCGGTACCGCGGATAAGCGAGGCATATGCGTTTGCCTCGAGAAGATCGGTTTGGGATGCGCCAGATACGTCGGTTTGCGAAAGGGCCTCGACCAGCTCGTCGGCAGCACGGGTGGCCTTGATAAGACGAGAAGCAATGTGCGATCGAGTTCGGCCCGTGATGCCCTTCGTATCGCTCGTGTGACCGGATTTCATGCTCATTGTCTGAGCCCAGGCCCGTTCACTGGTAAGGAGAAGAAGTTGGACATATCTGGAAAAGCAGTGTTAGGTCAGACCAACATGGAATTCGAATTTGAGGATATGCCTACTCATGATTCTGTGCGATCTTCTCCGCCGTAACCTTGTCCTGGTGGTGAAACTTGCCACGGTTCTTGGTCGAGATACCCAGCTTCTTGCGACAGCTCAGCAGCCGCTTGGTCAAGCTCTTGTGATAGGTCGAGTAATCGCCATAGAGGAGAGCCTGATCGCGGCCCTGGACAACAAATTTGGTGATATCCATGGCTGCGGTGACGACAAGGGTGACTGATCGACCCGAGTACGTGGTATATAGGCGCGATTGCCGATACTGCGATAGGGGGTCGGAGGTTCCCTGTGGAGGTGATGGGATGGCTGAACAGGTGAGGTCGATAAAAGGGCTAGATGAGGCTTGACGTGGAGGTTTAGCGGGGGATCCAATTCAAACAGCAAGGAAGATGGAAAGGTGGGCGAAATGGCGGGGCACTTGACTGGTGCTCATCCACAAAAAATCGTTTAATTGAGGTGCGATGTAATTTGTTAGTGGCGGCGCAGCTATAAATGATTACAGTGTTAATGCTTTTGTTAAGCATGATGGAGAGATGCAACGGAAATGCAATTAGCTCATTAATTATCTATCGTTAATTGTTAATAATTCCGTGTTTCTTCAATAAATATCATTTATGGGAGCCTCGATAAGCTCGTTAGGTTAGATTGATGGGTCAATGGAGGACTGATGATATATGGCGGATGCATTGTATATGATCGAAGAGCGCTTTCAGCATGGCAAGGTAGTGCTTGGCTGGGGAGTCGAGCCTTTCACATGTTTTCTATATTTATGAATTGAAAAGTCAGAAGCAGCCACTTGAGGAACTAGGATCAATCTTGAAGCCCGAAACATAGTAGAGGCTGATTCGTGTTAGTTATTAGTGCGAGACTGTCAGACATTTATTGCCTATACCTATATTGTCAGGAACTTGGTCATAATTCCTTGATTTCTTTTTCACATCACCAGTCAAGATTGACCCAGTAATAGTCCTGGTAGTGACCTATAACCTGGGGCTTCTTTACATGTAGTCAGAATTAAGAAGGAAAGACAGACAGAGAAAAAAAGCCTCGATTGCCTCCCGTTGTTGATCATGTGCTCGCAGAGCCCACGCTGGGCGCCTAAAACTAAACCGAGATAGGCAGAAGGTGCCCACCTTTTTGGCGAACTTCTGGGCTGCGTGACCATTGCACCTCGATGTTGAGAAGTGGAAGTCACGCTTTGTCACGCGCCAGGGGACGTGCTTCTCCAAATCTACAGAGATCTTTCTTTACCTCTACGAGGTTACTTTACCGTACCTTAATAAAGCAAGAGAGTGCAGCTCCAGCTCCAGCTCCAGCTTCTTCTCCTTCTCCAAGTCTTGAGAATCGACTCTTCATCTCTTATAATAAGTGGCTTTATATGGTTCTCGGTTGCAATGCAAAGCCTCTTCTTCTAAGCCTTTACTTCTCCATCTTTTTGTCACTCTTCATCCCGCGGAGCAGGGGTTCCTTATTCCTTGTTCCTCTCTCTCTTCGCCCCCTCAGGCTTCGTTGATAACGAAACAATTTGAAGCGGCTTATCACCGCATCACATCGCATTGCTTCGCCTTTTCACGCCCTTTTCGCCTTGGGCAATCACATCAGTATCATATTCCGCACGTGAACGTTGAAAAATTGCATTCATTGTCCCTCTCCTCTTTCTTAAACTCACCTTCATCTGACTCCATCACACTTCTCATGAGAGCGGAACCTCTTCTCATGAAACCGACCCGCCCAACGCCTTTCTTGAACTGCATCCTGCACGTAGCCGCCTGCCACTCGCGGCCCTTATAGAGAGATGGCTACAAATGGTATGTCTTGATATTTCTGTCCAATCAATACCCCCTTCTATTTCTTTCTAATCGCCTATCTCATCTCGTCTCTTCTCATCTCGACTCGATTCACCTTGTCTTGTCTCACTCGTCTCGTGTCATACCTTATATGTCTAACTTTAGTTTAGGTCAGCCATCTCGCTCCGCAAGCGGCGTTCCATCATGGAACCCGGCTGCCTTGCTACAGCCAAACCACAGGGCAGTTTCGAGCCCCAACCTTGCAAACTCAACACAAGGGCAGTTTTCACACCCTCAATCGCCTTTGCAGCAGAACCAGAGAATGCAGCAGAGACCTCAAATGAGTATGAACATGAACATGCACAACAACTCAATGGTTTTCCAGTTTTCCAGTCCCAACGACACTCCGTCTGCTGGTCCCTCCAGCCGATCATCTACCCCAGGTAGCAGTTATGCGAACGGCTTCAATGGTGCAGGTAATTTCATCGAGCGTATCAATAACGTTCAACATCGCTCTGTCGTTCCGCAGCCCAAGCGGCGGAGAACAGAAGATAGTGAGAACGGGTTTCATCATATCATGACTCCTCAGATGCACGGCGGGGGTGGAATTCTCGGTCAATACGTTACGGATAGACGCCAGGAAGCCAACGGTGCAACTGCTTCGCCATCCATGACAGTTGATCTCACGGAAGGTAAGTCCCAATCGAAGGCCATGTATTCAGGCACATCCGCTAATTCTACTAGGGAACGATGACGATGAGGTAGTCATGCAAGACCCTCGAGAAGAAGAAGTATGTTATGGAATGATCAAAGCTTCCTTGGGCTGCACTCGAGTCCCTTCGCCAAAACCGGGTACTCAAAGCGTTTGGGGGCCAGGCTATCAGCCTGCCATCAAAGTTGTGCTCAAGCGGCAGGTTGGTGATTCGTCGTTTAAAATACAAGCATACGATCACACACGGCAGATCATTGGTTTAGTCGAGGCCCAAGGTGCCCGTGCCATTGCTCCTCTTCTCGACTCTAACATTCATCTGAGGACAGACAGCCGAATCCCGCCGCAGCCAAAGAAGCCCGGCGAGGAACCTGGCCAGCCAACCTCGCGATCTTACACTCTTGACATAGTCATGTACGGGCCGCTCAAGTACTCGAGAAACGTAGGCGGGCACCTGAGCAAATTCGGCCAGAAGTTGCTGGCACCCTACCTCGTTCAGAAGGGTATTCGTGTCCAAAACCCACACGTGCTCGAGTATCGCCCTCCACCGCCACGGTCTTATCCTCCCAACCCTTCTGGCGATGGCCAAAATGCCTCTTACGGTAGCACTTTCACCAATCGGACCGTGGAGGAGATTCGTTCAGAAGTTATGGGCGTGTTCGACTCCCTCACACGCAACGATGATTTGCCCGAGATGGAACCACATTTCAACATTCTGACGCCTTTGCTTAAGCACCAGAAGCAAGGTTTGTTCTTTATGATGACCAGAGAGAAGCCCCGGGAGGCTCAAGCTCACGAGAAGACCATGGTTTCCTTTTGGCAAGATAAATGGGGACCTTCTGGACAGAAGGTATACTTTAATGTCATCACCGGACAGAACCAAGCCAAGCCACCAGCAGAAACTCGAGGAGGGATCTTGGCTGATATGATGGGTCTTGGCAAAACACTGAGTATCCTTTCCCTGCTTACAACATCCACCGATGCAGCATACGAATGGGAGCGACAGGCACCAATTCAGCCTGAAGTACCGGAACAGAAACCGACCAAACATGAAGTTCTCTCCCAGCAGCCAACTCTGGCTTTAACACCAGTGACGAAAAATGCGAAAACTACTTTACTTGTCTGTCCTTTAAGCACAGTGACAAACTGGGAGGAACAAATCAAGCAACACGTTCAGCCTGGTGCTCTTACCTACCATATCTACCATGGACCCAACAGGATCAAAGACCCTGAGAGACTTGCAACATTCGATCTTGTCATCACAACTTATGGCTCAGTATCAAATGAACTCAGCGCTCGCCGGAAGAGGAAGGAAGGCCAGTACCCTCTCGAACAGATTGGTTGGTTCAGGATTGTGCTGGACGAGGCCCATATGATTCGTGAACACAGCACCCTCCAGTTCAAAGCAATCTGTCGACTACAGGCGGACAGACGTTGGGCTGTTACTGGTACACCTGTTCAAAACCGGTTGGATGATCTCGCGGCTCTGCTGGCTTTCCTTCGACTTCATCCTTTCCACGATCGAACCAAGTTTCTTCGATACATTGTGGAGCCTTTTAAGGCTTGCGACCCCGAGATTGTGCCCAAACTACGAATCCTTGTCGATACGATTACCTTGCGTCGACTGAAGGACAAGATTGACTTGCCTCCTCGGGAGGACCTGGTGGTGAGACTTGATTTTAGCCAAGAGGAACGTAGTATCTACGAGTTGTTCGCAAAGAACGCGCAGGATCGTGTCAAGGTGCTTGCTGGGACTAACAATGGGCAAGCGCTTGGCGGCAATACCTATATACATATTCTGAAGGCGATCTTGCGACTTCGCCTTCTGTGTGCGCACGGCAAAGATTTACTTAATGATGCCGATCTGGATGCATTGCAAGGCATGTCTGCAGAGATGGCAATCGACATTGACGATGACGAAGATGACGACAAGCCAGCGCTTTCTGACCAGAAAGCGCACGAGATGTTCACTCTGATGCAAGAGACCAACAATGATGCATGCATCGAATGCAGCAGGAAGCTTGGTTCAAACGAAAGCTCCAATATTGAAGCAGAAGGTCAGGATGACATCTTAGGTTTCATGACACCTTGCTTCCATGTCATCTGCAGAACTTGCATCAGAACGTTTAAGGAACGGGTCAAGTCCATGACAGCACCTGGCGAGAACAGTGGCAATTGCCCAGTTTGTAACACATATGGGAAGCATGGGTTCGTGCAGCTCCACCGAAGGGAGGTAGACGCGGAGCACGACGGTCCAGCAAAGCCCAAGTCGCGCAATTCTGTGAAGAATTTCGACAAGTACGACGGTCCTCATACAAAGACTCGTGCTTTGATTGAAGATCTTCTCAAGTCGAAAGCGGCGAGCGAGGCAAACCCATCAGAGCCCCCCTTCAAGTCGGTCGTTTTCTCAGGGTGGACTTCTCATCTGGACCTTATCGAGCTTGCCCTCAATGCCAACGAGATTGTCTTCACCAGACTTGACGGCAGCATGAGCCGTACGCAACGAACTACAGCCATGGACAGGTTCCGTGAGGACAACACCGTTCATGTGATTCTGGTGTCCATCATGGCTGGTGGACTTGGCCTGAACTTGACGGCTGGAAACAGCGTCTATGTCATGGAACCGCAGTACAACCCAGCAGCTGAGGCTCAGGCTGTTGATCGCGTCCACCGACTAGGACAGAAGCGACCTGTGCGTACTGTCCGATATATCATGCGGGATAGTTTTGAGGAGAAGATGCTGGAGCTTCAAGAGAAGAAGATGAAGCTTGCCAGCCTCAGCATGGACGGCCAAAACAGGAGCCTAGATAAGGCAGAAGCGGCCCGGCAAAAGTTGATGGATTTGCGAAGTCTTTTCAAATGATTGACGAACGACGACAGCTCCAATCTATGGGCATGGACCTGGAGCAGTAATGACCGCATGAGACAGGAGTTATCGGCATGCTTTTTTAGTCATTTCTTATTTTCTTTAACAATTTCTCTCAGCTTACTGGGAGTGAGCCGGTTCGGGCTCCAGCAGCATCGTCATGGGGCATGAGCGCGCAGGCATCATGGGTTACTTTATTCGTTCTGGGGCAAGGATAGACACCTGGCTCTCACGAGAGGGGTTTTCTTGTTTGCATCATGGGATCGTGGATCATGGGCTGGCACGGCAATACTGTTGAGTGGCGTGCGATACTACAAAAATACAACCTGGGGGTTGCTATGCGGCGTATCTAGGGACTGGATTTTCGTCCAGTAGGGGGGCAAACAGGAGTGCGGCCTCATGATATATAGACAATCGACGATTCTACGTATATCCTAACGTATTGGAATATGCAAGTGACTGACAAGGTTGAACGGTTTGGTGGTATCTTATTTTGACAATGATCCCAATCTACTAACCCCTGTAACGCCTCTCGTATATGAATCAACCCTTTTGTCTGACAAGCTCCTATACTTCAAGTTGACTCATCCTCTTGCCGCAATCCCGCATACTCCGTCCCTTGATTCGCAGTGCTCAAGCGCGCACACAGACTCAGCAGCACCACCGTCTCAGTCGCGGCATAATGATTGAGGGCATCAAGCAGAATTTGCAGATGACGACTGAAATTACCCTCCCACTTGCGAATGATCTCAAAGAGATTGTCAATACGGGCATCTACATCGCCATTGCCGGCCGAGGCTGAAGCTTCTTGGTGAGCTGATGTTGAGCCTCGCTGTACTGCCTTGGTCATCTGGAAACGTTTCCACTGATCCGCCGTCATGGTGGAAGGTTTGTTGGAGCCTGAAAGATCTGGATCTGACTTTTCGAGCTCGCGGGTCAGCCAGTTTGTGTAAGCAGCGAAAATTGTGCAAGTCTGCATGAGTTTGGAATGGATCTAAGAGGGTTAGTTATGCCTAACAAAGCCAAGAGCTTGATATGAGACGTACTCTTAATAGTTTGCTGTTAGTGAGCATGCATTCTTTGAGGCAAGTATCCAAAAAGTCCACATGATCCTGCATCAGTTCATCGACAGTTCGCGTTGGTACCCCTGAGCTCGAATCTACCGTCTCATCTTTTGTCTTGAGGCTCGACATAAACTTGTTCCAGTTTGGCTCAATGACCTCGGCCGTGCAAAAATATAGTAGTTGCTGGACAAAGACCAACATACGAGCGCGAAGCGTCCAAACACGCCGCTTCCAGATCTCGAGTTTTCGCAAAGCACCCTTGTGTGCCCAGCTGATACCCCGAGTCTGTGTTTGCCAGGTACTTGAGAGCTGCGACTCGAGATAGCGCAGAGAGAGGAGGTAACGGAAGAGGGCTTGATAGCGCCATACAGTCTTCCTGCTAATGACAAGTGAAACAGGGAAGGGTACTGCGTAATCGAGTTGGAGAGACGTGAAGCCCACGGCGTTCTTGTCGCTATCGATAGGTTGGTTGGCAACAGGTTGTAGAGCCTCTCCTTGCTCAATACCTGTGATATTGACAACACGTTGCAGGGCCTTTGTGAGAACAGTCTCGTTCATTTCAACCTTGACATCCTCCTTGAATGGATCAAGGGAGACAAGACTTCCAGGTTGGCGCAAAACAAGATCTAGTAGAGATTGCAGCTTGCCGGTGTTAACAGACTTGACAGGTTTGCGCAACTCAGACGCGCCCAGCTCGAGAAAGTAGGAGAAGTAGTCTGAAGGGTCGAGGAAGAAGTAGTGCTTGAGAGACCGTAGACGCGCAGGAAGAGAGTGCGCTGTGAGGAGTAATTGCATAAGGGATTCGTTGGCATGAGCGTAGGCGTTGTTGACATTTTCAAGAAATCGATTGTCGTCGAAAGAAGCTGGCACATCTTTTGCGACTTTGCTGACATCAACACCACCGCACTCACGAACCACGTTCAAGTACTTTCCGGCCAATAGAACCTTGTCCTTGACACCCTCGAGTTGTGGTGGGATATCATGATCCCTAATTGTGTATCTCCTCTCCCAGTATTCATCGGTATAGTCTTGCTCCAGGCGCTCGCGGCGAATACTCTTCTGCTCTTTGATGAGAAACTCGGCGTGGGGATCATGAATTCCGCCATGATGAAGCCATTCATTAAGCATAACCATGTATGGCTTGCTCGCATCTCGTAGCAGGGTCGTCAGCAATGCTCGTGCTGCTGGATCACCTGACAAAGATTCCAGACGTTTTGTAATTAGACCAAGAACCACGCCGCCTTTGTAGATTTTCTTGCCCGTCATATTACCTGGGACTAGCTCGCCTCCATCTCGGAGAGTCTCGAGAATATTTTCGAAATCGTCAGCACTATCCTCAGATTCGTCGGTTTCGTCGTCGAGAAGAGCATTCTTTTTGAGCAGCTCATGAGCGAGCGAGTATAGTTGTAGCATCATCTGGCTGGTAGACATAGTATGGATGTTGAGCACATGTACAGTGAATGTTTCGCTAGTGAGAAACTGTGTCTCGAGCTGCGCAACCATGACTAGATAGTCATGTATAAACTTGCGTATTGATGCGCAAAGGGCATGGTTCACAGCACCAAACTCCTCTCGACTCTGCACGTCGACAAAAGCCTCGAGAGCAGAGTAATATGTTGCCATTTTGAGCATTGACTGTGTCAGATCCTGCAGACTCGGGTCAAGGCCAGGTAGCGTTCTAAAGCTGGGCCCCGATAATCTGTCCCTCTCTTCATTGGGGTTATATCCTTTGGCGAACCTGATGTACTGGCCTTCGTATCCCATAAAGACAAACAGGAGGTCCTCTACTATGGCGGCTTCTTGGAGCTCCAGGCTCAGCTCGCTCAAGGGTTTCGGTTGGGGTGCCTGCGGTACAGTGGAAGCAAGAGGAGGTATTGATATTCGGGAGGCTAAAGGAGCCGTTGTATGTGGTAGGAGTGTCACTTCGGGGTTCCATGGTGCTTCACGTAGAGTCAGTCTTGAGGTCATGAGGCCGATGAATTGGAGAGAGGCAGACCCTGTGGAGTTTCAGCTCTTGCCTGGCGAGCTTCGGGAGCGTCGTGCCTAGGGGCTTTGGAGGGATTTCTACTCTCGGAAGCAGCATTCCTTCGATGTGATCGTTCTGGACTCGCATTTCGCGGGACTGCGCGCTCGAGGTGAGCTTCAAAGGTGCGCTCCGTTACCCTGCGGGACTCGAAACGACGCTCCTCCTCAGTGCGACTCGAAGCCCTTGGGGCACTTGAAGCTGAGCGTTTATGTGCAGCTGAGAAACTGGGCGGAGCAGGTGAAGGACCCTTGCGAGAATCGGAGCGTTCGGTCTTGAGGTTGGTTGTGGCCGAGACGCGGGGCCTGTCGTCGCGATATTCGTTGGCGCTTGCTCGGCCCGATGCTCGTGGTGCGCCGGAAGCCATTTTTTAACCGGGCTACATCTGAAAAAGAAGAAGACAAGATATTAAGAGTCGTGAATTGTGAATTGTGAGTTTCGTGAATTGTGAGTTTCGTGAGTTGTGAGTGTTGGGTGAAGAGTTGTGATTGTTTGAGCTTGAGGGAGCTGTAAGTGTTTGTGCCCAATCGAATCGCGACGTGACGTGGGGTTGTTTTGGTTGCGATTGTATTTCAACTCCCAAGGTAGGCGCAAATACATGGGTGCGCAGCGTACACCTCGGCGTACAAATATTCTATTCGAGAAATTTGACATCAATTGAAGCTCAGTGAACTAGTGACGATAAGCTCATTGCAGTCTTAATTCCCTATAGACCAAACTGTACGTGATATATAGATCTACGAATACTTCAAAGGTAGGATCAACACCCTTGAATGTGGCGGTGAAACTGTGGCTGAATACAGGACCTTTCACCCACTAATCAAACTGGAAGGCTCCCAAGTGCAATGGCAGCGCGGCTACGTAGGCGGACTGCTTGCCTGCAACTCCACCAGAGCTCGCATCCTCACTCTCATCATCCATCCAACCATTGATCCTCTCCCCCTTCTTCTCGCCTTGAGCCTCCCCACACTCGCACTCCAAATCAGCTCTTCAGATCAATTCCGACAGTTCTATTCACGAACTTGGTCTCTTCATCTACCAGGAATCTTCCGCCCTTCTCCAGCCTAGCTACCGCCACTACACATAAACCGCCAAGATGTTTATGGCAAGATCTGAATACGGCATGTTCACCTTGTTCTCAAATAACTTATTGCTTTACATACCTAGGACTTCGACTAATCTCTGTGCTAGACCGAGGCATCAACACCTTCTCCCCCGAAGGCCGTCTCTTCCAAGTCGAATACTCTCTCGAGGCCATCAAGCTCGGCTCCACGGCCATCGGCGTAGCCACCTCTGAGGGTGTCATTCTCGGTGTCGAGAAGCGCGTCACCTCAACCCTCCTCGAGACGTCGTCCGTCGAGAAAATCGTTGAGATCGACCGCCACATCGGCTGCGCCATGTCTGGTCTCCAGGCTGATGCCCGCTCCATGGTCGAGCACGCCCGCGTCGAGAGCCAGTCCCACGCCTTCAACTACAACGAGCCCCTCCGTGTCGAGAGCTGCACCCAGGCCATTTGCGATCTCGCCCTGCGCTTCGGCGAGGGTGCTGATGGTGAGGAGACCATCATGAGTCGACCTTTCGGCGTCGCTCTGCTCATTGCTGGCTTTGACGAGGACGGTCCTCAGCTGTTCCACGCCGAGCCCAGTGGTACCTTTTACCGCTATGATGCCAAGGCTATTGGATCTGGATCCGAAGGTGCTCAGGCTGAGCTACAGAATGAGTACCACAAGGTATGTCCACATAACTCTGCTTCCTTAGCCCAACGCCATGACTAACATCTTTATAGTCCTTGACTCTTGTAGACGCAGAGACGCTTGTTCTCAAGACTTTGAAGCAGGTAATGGAGGAGAAGCTTGATGCCAAGAACGTACAGTTGGCCAGCGTAACCCGGGAGAAAGGTTTCAGAATATACACAGACGAAGAGATGGCTACTATTGTGGAGCGACTGCCAGCCAACTAGGAATGTTATGCACGAATCAAGAGAAATAACGAATAGACACAAGAGAATCCAATCTTGGGATATTGACGGACATGAAACTACAGGCTCGCCAAATTATGTATTCTGAGACTGACGAAGCCACCCCCATTGCCTCACAGGAAGAGGCCACTATTATGTATCATTAACATATGGGTACTCAATACATGCAGTCCCGTCGGACCCCCGAGATTCTCCCATATGGGACGCACGCATCTTATGAACTTTTCTTGCTCCTCTCTCCCCTCTTTCCAGGTTACCATATGTGATAACTGCTGTCCGTTGATATTTGAGATATGGACCGGGAAGCAATGTCGCCTTATATAGAAGTTGAATGAAGAGAGAAAGAAGAAACGCAGTAGCAAATACTGTATAGAACCCCTACAGTCGCATCGTTTTAATTATCATCCTTGAGATCAAGAAACTCAAGATCTCGTTCAACACTCAGCAAGCCTATAGCAAGGGAAGCCCGCTCTGCCTTGGGCACTCTTATGCGCCGTATTTCGCCACTCTCAACTTCATGTATAAACCGATCAATTTGTCGCGGATTCTGCCACCTTGCCACAGGTACTGGCTCAGTCTCTGGGGCGCGCATGTAAGGAGGACCACGGCCAAGCTGCGCGGCCTTCATCCAGGACGACTCGCATCCCGTGGCGATGCGTTCCGCTGATTGCCATCCGGTCAGTCGAGTAATGTCACGCAAGTGGCGTATGACCCAATGGCGCTGTTTCTCATCCTGATACTGGGGGAAGGTTAGCTAAATCATGGCGTGTAGCCTATCAGTAGTGTGTGCATACCTCAATCGCTGCTACAAACAAACAGAAGCAGCTCTCAATGAAAGCGGCGCTGACAAGTGTGGTGATCTCTGTTGCCTGCGAGACATCTTCAGACAATCCAGCAGCTATTCGTCCCACCTTATTCGAGTATGGTCCAGTCTGACGAGCTGACATCCCAGCTGCTTGCATGGCAGCAGGAGGCATCGAGGGATGACATCGAATAAGATTGATCCTGCCCATGTAAAAGTTCATCCAAATTCCTGCCACAGAGAACGTTCGGTACTGCAGCGTCATTCCAAACGGCGAATCTCTCCTGTCTGAGAACTCAGGCTTGAGAGGTTGAAACTCAGGTCCCAAGCTGTTTTCATATGCCTCAAATCCCTGCTTGATAGATTCCCATTCATATAGAGCAGCAAGGTAGCTCGCTTCTGTATCATGATCTTCCGAACTTTCACTCTCTGGTGATGTCTCCCTAGGTGGTGTAAATCCTCTAGGAACCTGGAAATTTCCGTCTGTAGGAACAATGCCAGGGAACGACGGCGGTGAACTGTTGCTAGCTCCTGGGGAAGGCCCTTTGGCGAGACTTGCTCTTCGCTTTCGTGCAACGTCTTTGGATGAAAAGTCGGCCAGTCGGCCAAGCAGAAGCATGAGATGATCATATGATCCATATCTTTGACGGCAAATTAGTAGTGAGTTCTCCTACTTTGAAGTCTTACTTACATAGCTTCGAGTTTCGAAATTGGTGCTCTAGGTGGACACTGAGACCAAGACTCGTAGTTCATACTACGCCGGTTAGTTTAAGCCTGGCAGATGAGTATTTGACATAAACTTACAATAGTCTAGTGCCTGCCAGCATGCTTTGATACACATCCATCTTGCAGTACCACCAGAAAAGATCACGCATGTTTTCATAATGCTCAATATCTCTATCGGTCACCTTGCTCGATAGATTGATACTTTGGCCTTCGCCAAGGCCATAATCATCCGCTGTGACATCCTGGCCTGAGATTGCCCGTAAAATGTCGTAGTCCAGGTCATTGAGTTCGCTCTGGGATGGGATACTGAGACCAGGGAAGAAGCTGTCCATTTGGTTCTGGTTTTGGGCATCCTTTTCCGCCTGTTTGAAACGTTTCACCGGCAGATACTTCCTTGACATCGCCCTTAGGGGTATTTCACTAAACAATATTCTGGCCCCAAGCAGATGATTGCACCATTTTGTATGATCCGAAGACCATACCTCGAAGTACGATAGCAATAACGTCGCGGCCACTGTTGCCGGTTGTGTTCGTCTGATGGGCGTGTTAACATTCTTAGCTATTCGGCGGATTGCCAAATGATAATGTTTCATTGCAGCCGTGGCCGGTATGTTTTGAAGCTTGGCTATTTGCAGGGCACCCAAAGCAAGCATAGAATGAAGTAGCGCAGGATGGTTCAGCGATATGACAGGGAAGGTATCTTGCGAGTGGTCAGCCTCAGCCATGGACTCTGCATGGAAAGATATGGGACTTACAACTCCAAAGATTGTTGGCCCCTTTCGGAGTAGGGTCGAAAGAGTTCTCGCCAGTATGGTCGAATGGGTGTCTTTCGTACAATGACATACTTGGGCCTGTGACTTGGATAAAGTGCATAAATATCTGCAGCATTACGGGATCTTTAAGTTCCGTTATTCGGGCTGAAGCTGTGTAATCAGAGAGAATATTGCTTTGGGCAAATGTTGAGAAGGTTCGAACTCGTGTGCCGTTCGTGTCCCAAGTTCCATTGAACTGCTTCATTACGGGTCCGAGAACCTGTCGAGGGTCTTGGGTGTCGTCGTCAGATTCACCCATCGAAGCATCATCCTCTGGCATTTCAAAGTCATCATACTCGATGTCGTAATCGTGGACAGTTACTTTCATCTGCATTCCTTCCCTCTTCATGGCTAGGGGGTCTGGTTGACTGTCGCTCGGGTACGGTACGCCGCGCTGTCCGTTGAGGGCTGGGTCGGCATGATGCTGGCGGGGATCTGATTGCGCTCTGGCGTATGGCATTGAAGGGTCTGCAGGTATCATACCATTCATTTGATGATACGGGTGAGGAACCGCTGGGGCGTTGAAGTCATACGAATTTGGAGCCACCACTCCCTGTCCGTGAACATAATGTCCGTACGGTGGTTGCTGCCCAGGATAACCAACGGAAGGTGGCTTAGGGGCAATCGTTGGTAGCTGGCCTTGGGCAGAGGCTTTTACTTGTAAGTGGCCAAGATGCGCTGAGCCTTGGGGATAGAAAGCAGGACCAAAAGGCCCTCCCTGTATTGTACCCATAGGATCTTTGAAAATAACTCGTTGATTGTAGCCCTCGCATTGCCGCTTAGATTTAATACAATTGTTGCATATCGGTCTTCCTTCGTCGCATTTTATTCGGCGCTTCCGGCACGCTGAACAGAAGTTAGTGTTAGTTCTTTTCAAGCATTACACTTATAAAGGGATTTGAAGTCAACTCACTTAAACAACCAGTCTTTGTTCTTTTGCGAATGTTGTTCCTTTTACGCTCCGCATCTTCTCTTCCTTCGTCCTGCTGATCCGAAGCCGCAGGAGCGTTTTGGTTGACAGATGCGGACGCTGCTCCAGTGTCTCGATCCATGGTGGAGGAGTAATATAGAATTAGATTTGAGATGGTTCTATTTCCGCACGGTTCTCTTTATACTTTTTGACAATTTTCACATGACGGTTGTTGGGGTATTCAAATTGGCGGTTCAAGCTTCAATCATAGGCCACACATCATCCTGCTGCGCTAGTCGTGTAAGCTGTAGGCGAGCAGGCAATAGATTGCCGGCAGGGGATGGTCTTAGTTCTGTCGGATAGAGGTCAGAGGCAATTGAACATGAAGATGAAGAAAAAAATGATGATATGAACTAGACAAGAATCGAAAGTGATCAAAATAGGCTGGACGCAAAAATGTGATTTGAGAGATCGTTATAGTAGACAGAACGGGAAGCTGCATACAACCAAGTTAAATTGGCCCCAGGGGAAGAAGTAAGTGATGCAGATCGGCCAAGATGGTGGGAGAGAAGACCCGGTAGAGAGCAGAGCAAGACAGCGGGCCCGGTCCAGGGTTTGAACTCGTCTATTAGTTATGGGGAAGCTTCTGGAGGCAAGTAATGGAGCAACTGAAACATGCTTGTGTAACTTGATAGTCGGCGGTTTGCCAATTCAACTGGGCCGTCGGAGCGAGGACTGGTGCCTCTGGCTTGGTGAAGTCTGGCCGGCGACAGGGACAACAATCAAGCCAAGGTCGTCTTAGTATAGATGACGAACTTGTGCTCAGTGCTCAGTGCTTTGTCTTGTCCTGCCCGTCTGCAAAGTAAGCTTGGCTGCTTGGTAACGTTAGATGCTGTCTGAGTTGATATGCTGCCTCTGATACGTCAGGCTTTCTCCCTTTGTCTCGGGGGTTAAAGTCAACAAAGGACGTCGTTCCTTTTCCGCGGTGAAGAAAGAGGGGTTCCGTTGATCAATCCCAGTGCAGAATGCATGCAGACTGCAGAGTGAGCAAAAGTGAGGTTGTCCCAAATGAGTCCAAATTTGTAAGTCGATCTGGCGGAGGAGCGAGAAAGGGCCGAGGAAGGGCAGCACGCGCGCCGGAGATCCTGAAAGAGATATGTACCGCGGCCACCGCTTGTAGGAGAGGCAAGGGAGGTGGTGTTGTACTATATCTAATTGAGGTAGAGCAGAATTAGAACCAACGGAGGTTGAGATAGAATAAGGTAACCAGGTCGGATGTGTGGAGTTGCTGGTAGCTTACTTAGAGTGGATGATGGATACGGATACCTAGGCTGTTATTGGGATTGATGGACGCTTGTGGTCCTCCCCGGTGTACTGTTGGGGGCTCTTTCCGGTGATGATGATGGTGCCCCGAAATTGGAAAGGCTCTGTAGTAAGGAAGTACACACAGTGTTGTAGAGGGCTTGGCTGGACTTGAATGTGCGTGCCGGACAGGCTGACAGGTAGGTATTATAGGTAAGGTACTGCAGGTACAGAGATAAGAGCTTGGGGCTTATGTAGCGTCCAGGCTGTTTGATGGAAGAGTCTAATGGAGGCTAAGGTGAGGAGTGGAGAGGATAGCTAAAGTAAAGGTGCCGAGTCCTCCGGTGGAAGTGGGAATGGAAGTGCCGGCAACTTCCTATCTGGGTAGGACATGAATGAACCTATTACCCCAGATCATCCATGGAAGCTACTACCTAAGATCTTGGACAGGTCTCACCGTCTCAAGCAGAAAACATCCAAGACTAAATTTCAGAGCGAGGGTGGGTATCACAGGGAAACATTGGAGAGATATAGCAAGGGTTTTGACCTGAATGCGAGTCTGAGTTGTATCTTAGCCTACGGACACTAGTTTGCTTTTTTCTTCTGAATACGTAGGAGGATGGACGATCAATAGCAGCAGCCCTGAGGCACAGCAAGGATAGTATCATATCCGACTATCCGTGTCCGCCGCCTACCACGCTTCTTAATAAGGAAAACATTGTTATCCCTTTTGAAAGCTGCCATGAGCAATGCCAGTCTTGGATCAGTGTAAGATTTTCAGGCCCCGGGCAACCCATGGATCACCGGATGTTGACAGAGTCCTTGCAGCAATCATAATAAACGCAACATATTAAGGATCAACGTGCAGAACAGGGGTCAACACGATATGAGGCTAACAGGAAATAATACCGCCTGGGGGATATCCAGATATCATACCTTACTGTGATGTGCTATCTCATGAAAAGAGACTGCCACTGGAAATTACGCAGACGCTAAAAGCTAGCACAATTGGTCAGCGAATAATGAATTTAACATTGGTCGACCTCAAAATGACATTGAGGATGTTAAAAATGATTCCCATGTCTAGAAGCTGGGTTGCCAAGTCACAGAAACAAGTAGCCCAAGTGTAATTCCCGTCCCGAGACGGAGAGGGATGCGAATGCAACATCGATTGCTTGTTAGATCTCATTCAGTTAATTAAATTTGACAATATCAAGGATTCTTATGGTTCTTTTCACACCAAAATGATGACATTTTCTCATACCGGCAAATGCTACGGTTTTCAAGTGCCGAAGCAGTTTGTTGCCAAGAACAGACAATATAAATCACAAGCTTAAAGACTCAAACCGACGCCCAGCGCCCAACGTATTAACAACAAACGCCGCTATTGTCAAGGAATGCCTGTCTTAACCTTAATGGACCCTGCCAATCCCAACCCCCGATCACTATAGATTCATTCCGTCTACCGTTCCATGTCCACATCTACATCCATATGGCACAATATCTGTACATATGTTGGTACTCAGTCCTACAGCATGAATCTATGAACCAGCCTAGCCAACCATAACGGCACATCACCCCCTTTGCACATTGACTGCAACTTGCATTGGTGTTCTTATTTGGCAAATGCCAGCCCTAAATAAGGCTCCTATGACGATCTGGCTGCTCCTCCTGCACACCATTTCAAGTCCCAGACCGCCATGGCTGCGCCCTGAGATCTCCAACCCTTTGGTCCCTCACTCTGGGGCTTGAGCCTTGAGGCTTGAGTGTAAGGGGCGATCTAACTGTGCAAAAGCTTAACTAATACAGTATTATTTGGTAAATGCAACCTCATCTTCATGCTTCCAAATCTCCTCTTACCTGGCTACTGTCGGGCTCTTTTCGGACGATGGCTTCCTTCCCGTCCGCCCGAGTCTCCGAACGAACGGCTGCTAAAGTGCAAAAAGTCCAACCTCAGGTAATTCCATAGCAACCTCATCTGCATTGGATGTTTGTTACACAGCACCAGAAAACCCATGCCTCTTCCTTCCACCGCCACGCCCCGATAACAACCGATATCAGCCCCTTTGGGCCGTTGGGCAAAGTAATCCAGAAACTAAGACGTTGGTAGGTGAACGTTTACGTGTCACTATATTGTGCAGCGGGTCTCTTTCAACCTCCATTAGTGCACTGGGCTTCTCTGCATGCTTGTAACCAACACTGCCCACTGCCCTCATGATCCTATGCCCAACTCTTGACGCAAGTATCAAATAACCTGTGTGTAGAAACGTTGGTGTGACACAAACAAAGCACGGCGTTGTACACCCTTCGTTTCCCGTCTTGTCTAGAGTCATTAGACACATGCCATGTCTCTCTTACCGGGTACGACCTTTCCCGTAGCACAGTAGAGAGCACCGCCTTTGCGTAGCTATGAGGGTCTATGCATCATCTATAGGCCTTGGCCCTATCCCAGCAGGCTTTGCTACTGGAGGTCATTGCTTGCAGGCAATGCCGTGAACCCCGAAGCAGGACTGTATGTTGGATCGCGAATGCTCTTACTCTAGATCGATCGACTAAGAGGCATCTAGCGAGGCGGCAATAGAGACATGTCTAAGACCACACGAACATACGTCTGCGCTGAGAAGTGTCTCTTCTATTGCAATTAGTTGTACAGGCTGCCTATGAGTAACATCGTGGTGATCAGGTCTTTGGAGGCCTACGGCTAGGTATACTTGTGCCTCGTAGTTTGCGTGCTTGTTTCACATGTGCCAACTTTGTATGCGCACATGGCCTTACGCAGAGGTTCTGTATACAGGCGGAGGAATGTTTGGCACAAAGAGCGTGAATAGTTTCTGTCTTGAAGGCCCTGAGCAATCCTACTGCAAGACTGCAATACGCTTCCCGGTTCGTAGTATCATTTTCGACGAAGATGTAATCTACTTTTTTAGCATCGGCTCTTGTTACATGGCACAAACTGTATTAAACTTAACGCCACAATACGACATGTCCATCTATCTATTTGCATCTGTTGTACTTTGCAAAATCTTTATGGTCGGCTGCGCCAACTTGATCAGTGTAGACCAAGACCCTGATACGACTTCAGCGTGTGTCTCGTGTTCAGATAAAACACTCAACGAATGGACTATGAGTGGATGGATGATTGCTCGTGGCAAGTCAAGTCACCGGAATCGTGCATTAACAAAAGATACATGTCCTCGGACGTGCCCTTGAATCAGGGCTGAGTCAATCACTTTCAAATATTCGAGGCCCTACAACTATGGCGACCTCCGATCTTTTGGTAGCTCCATGAATACTTGAGGCTCTTTTACTGTGGCGAGTGACTCAACCATGTATGCAATGATACTAGCTTCGAATTAACATGCACATAGTCATCCTTTTGAATGACACAATATGCCGTTGTTGGTGGAACTCGTGCACGATAATTAGCGGTTGATTTGGGAGAACAGCCAGCTCACGATCAGAATTCCAACATCATTTTACTGCAAAGATATGAGCAGACGAGGATGAGACTATTCTATATTTTTTACTGGACATATTCTATTCATGTATGATATCTAGAAACAGACGTTTAACTCTACTCGTGGAAGAGATAGCATGACTTGTATTATTTTGTTTGGGCTATATTGGAAGATATTGGCTTCTGTCTGGAAATTTTCGAATTCTGGAAGACGTGACTGCGTGTGCGCTAGGATTAGATGCTGTGGTCGAGGCTATACCGACAGCCTATAAGCCAATACTTACCCCGGTAAACTGAATAGATTCTGGTGTTATATTTCCATTACATCTAAGCATTTTCAGCGTACATCGCATATACTTATTTTGCGCTCATGATTTATTCTACCGCTGAGGCAATGAGGTCTGCTAACATCCAAATCGGGTAGGTGCACGGATCACCTGTGGATCCCCTAATGGCAGGCGCGCCCAGGATTTCAGATACGTACCTGGCGCAAAAATTCACATCAACGAAAATTATCAAGCCGTTGAACTTCACTCACATCAACTCAACCACTACAAACATTTAATTCAACGCAGTCAAAATGTTTGCAGTTCCAGGATGGTCAGTCGCCGCTGACGGTCTCAAGGCTGAAGCACCGGCCAAAAACAACAGCGCGCCCGGCGCCAAATCCAGGAAGCGCAAGCGCAACAACGCCGCTGCGCCTACAGAGGATGTCACATCTTCAACAGTCGCTGATCTCTGGGAATCAGTGATCGAGGGCAAGAAGCCTGAGAAGCAAAACACTGATCAGTCTGCTAAGCGGCAGAGGAAGAGGGGTAAGGGAGGTAAGGGAAAGCAAGGTGAGGACGAGCAGCCTCAAGACGACAAGGAGGAGGGCAACGATGATGAGGCCCAGCCTCAACTCAAGAAGGAGAAGAAGGACAAAAAGCAGAAGCAGAAGCCATCTGAGGACTTGGTAGAAACCGCTACTACACCTGCGAAGGACGCTGTCGCAAAAGCAACACCTCTGCCTCCCGCTCCTCCTAAGCTCACGCCTCTACAAGCATCTATGAGAGAGAAGCTCATTTCAGCACGCTTCCGTCATCTCAATGAGACTCTCTACACCCGCCCCTCCGAAGAGGCCTACAGCCTTTTTGATGAATCTCCAGAGATGTTCGATGAGTACCACGAGGGTTTCCGACGCCAGGTCAAGGTTTGGCCTGAGAACCCTGTCGACAGCTTCCTCAAAGATATCCGGGGACGCGGCAAAGCCCGCCAACAAGGCAAAGGCAAGCCTGGAGCTCCTCCCACACCTCTCACCAAGACCCCACTGCCTCGCACGCAACAAGAGTGTACTATTGCAGATCTTGGCTGTGGTGACGCTCGTCTTGCTGAGGCTCTTCAGTCAGATGGCAAGAAACTGCGCATCAACGTCAAGAGCTACGATCTTCAGAGCCCAAGCCCTCTAGTCACCAAGGCTGATATCGCCAACTTGCCTCTCGCTGACGGTTCCGTCAACGTCGCTATCTTCTGCCTTGCTCTTATGGGCACCAACTGGGTTGACTTCGTCGAGGAGGCCTATCGTATCCTTCACTGGAAGGGCGAGCTCTGGGTTGCCGAAATCAAGAGTCGCTTCGGTCCCATTCGAAACAAGCATGCCCCTGTGACCCACAGTGTTGGTAACCGCAAGAAGAATGCAGTCGCCGGCAAGAAGGGCAAGGGCAAGGGTGCTGATAATGATGCTGGCAACGACGAAGATCTGGCCGTGGAGGTTGATGGTGCGGATGATCGCCGCCGAGAGACTGACGTGTCAGCTTTCGTGGAGGTGCTCAGGTCGCGCGGTTTCGTCCTTCAGGGAGATCGAGAGGCAGTCGACCTGTCCAACAGGATGTTTGTCAAGATGCACTTCATCAAGGGCGCATCGCCAACAAAGGGAAAGCATGTCAAGGAGCAAGAGGCCCCCAAGGGCAGAAGGGCTATCGTCCGCAGGATAGACCCTATTGATGAGGAGCCAGAGGCTAACGAGGCCTCTGTATTGAAACCTTGCGTCTACAAGATCAGGTAAAGGGGCAAAATCAAGAGGGGTGGTGGGGATTTATAGATTGGTTACTGCGACAAGCAATACCCGCGCCAAAAGCTGATGAGCAACTTGCACTTCATAACTACATGTAATTCTTGTATCTTACTCCTAAATATCACGCCGTGTAGCGGCGAAGTCATTCATGCGTGTCCTATCCATGTGCCCTAAAGAAAAGAATGAAATCTTTCTATCCGTCCCTTAACAATGCCGGATAGTGTGAGCCCATCTATCATTATGTTTCCGCATCATGTTGGTTATTTTCCGTCCATGTCCCAATATTGCCCAGCGCGAGTCAGCATCGGCCCTAATAATCTCGAAACTCAAAACTCCCTTAGCAGTTGGAGCTTAGAAGAATATCAAACTTGCGGCAACATCCGGGTTGCCGTCTGCAGCTTGAAGTGCCTGGATAGCCTGCTCTCTGGTAGCGCCCATCGAGACAAGACTCTCAATAGCCTGTGGTGAGATGTCTGTCCTTGGGGCACTAGGTTGGGCCTGAGGCGCAGCATGAGGTGCAGCAGCTGGGGCTGGTGCAGACGGGGCTGGTGCGGACGGGGCTGGTGCGGACGGGGCTGGTGCGGACGGGGCTGGTGCGGACGGTGCGGACTGTGCCAGGGTGTTTGGAGGCTGTTGTTGCTGTTGGCCAGGAGGCACGACGGCTCCAGAGCGTTGTCCAATTGTTGTTCCATCAGGACCAGGCAATGTCGGCTCCTGTACAACCGCTGCCTCTTCGTCCTTGGGAATTTCAGCCTCTCCCAAGAAAGGAACCTCTTCACCTTGAATGATGAGCTTGTCCTTGGCCAGATCAATGGTTGCTTGGTATCGCTTCAGCATATCAAGACCAAGCAAGAGATCCACCGATTTTCCCTCCATGACAGTAAAACTGCAAGGCAAGAACAGATTTCCGATTTTAATTTGTGCAGAATGAACACGGCCGATGATGTTTGCCGTTCCAACACCACGAGCAACACCGGCAAAGCGTGTATCAACGAGCCTCATAATTCCGCACGCCTCGGCACAAGCAGGAGACATAATGGTGGCTTGAGCACCGGAGTCTACGAAAGCCTTGACCGGGTGCCCATTGACTTCCACGTCAACGTAAAGCATGTGAACTCTTCCAAAGACTGCGTAGTCAGGAGGTCAGTTTTCGAGTTACATTCCGCACCCAGCAATTTAGCTTACCTTCAGGATTGTGCTCCATAGCATTTTGCAAGTTCTCCATGACCCGCTCTTGACGGATCATCTCTTCAATCTTCCTTTGGTTCTCGATGTTGAATGGGTCGTCGTTTAGTCTCTCGATTTCCCGTTGTCGTTCCTGGCGCTCACGTTGCTCCCGGTTCTGACTGTCAAGGAAAATTTGTGCGAAACGAGCAGGGTCGTCAACTGCAGAAGCCAGCTCGGGATGTTGTGACTGTAACTGCTGTCTCAGCGCAGGCTGGCCGAGAATCTGGAGACGAATGAGTTCAGGGTCCTGCTCGTTTCCAGCCCGTCTTCGAGGTTGGGGACGTCGAGCCTGCTCCGGGACACCAGTGCTGCCTCGCATATCTCTGACGTGCAACGCCAGCATCTCTCCGTCTGCAATCTGCAGCTGCTCCATCGTCTGCGCATCATCCGAGATTAGGCGACCGTTGTGGTAGATATGTTGCGAGGTCGGAGGAATGGTTGATTCTGCTTGGATGGATTCTCGGAGGGTAGCCAAGGTCATGTCGGGGAAGATCTCAAGAGTGAGCAGGCTGTCCTGCTCCCCAGCTTGGGGGTTGAATATGTTGAGAGTGATGCGCCTGTTTGTCGAAAGTTAGCATGATCGAAGATGACGTAAATATGCCCGGGTGGTGAACCAACATCGTAGTATGCTTATTGCTGTTTTTCTTTTGGTGTTGTAGAGTCTGGCAGCAGTTGAGTATATGACCAGACGGTGTGAAAGGGAAAACGTCAAGAGCTCTCAAGAAGTGGCTGGTCGACAGATGAGTGGGCGTGGACGTGGACGTGGACGTGGCTAATGATGCCTGGGCAACTAACGTTAGGTGGAATACCTACTGTACTGTAGCAGCTTCTAAGGTACCCACAGCAAGGATCGTCAAGATATGAAGACCGAAGTAGTTATGGGTAGGGGTTTTTGTTTGCAGGCCAGTTACCGCTTGTTCGGGTTGATATACCGAAGCTTTGAAAGAAACGGATATAAGCGGATATTTGGGTTTGTTGCATAAGGTTGGTAAAAAAAAGATCGGAGGGGAAAGAACGGACGAAGATGGAGATAGACGCAGATGCAGGTGCAGTAGACATGAAGTTTAGAGATGGTTACTGGCTGGAGCTAGCTGCTGTGAGGGAAGGGAGGGGCCGCTTCCGTAGGAGGGGCAGTTGATTTGGCCGTTCCCGAGGTCGGGATTTCGGACGGCGAGAAGGAGCTATTCTAGGTACTGTACCTACTACCTAGGCCCCTACCTGTCTAATAAGTACCTGCCAGCTACATACAGCATAATTGAACTTCCATATCGCGATATTATCTTGGTCTTGGTTTTTATCACGATCATCAAATAGTTAATACTATAAATAAATGATATTAAGACCAATACCATATGTTTTACGTTGGATAAAATAGTTTCACTATTCGTCCCAGCGAGAAATCGACTTACACCATTCTCCTTCGACCCTAAATCAGTTGGAGGTCCCCGCCATTCTGCCCTACGGTCGGTCAGTCTAGCCAAGCCTGCCACAACCTCCTAACAACCTTATCGGCATGCAGTAGTTGCTGGTAATACATATCCAGTTTTCTCTGGCTCTCCACACGAAACAAACTATTTGAAGCGGCCATGACTACTTATTTGTTTTCTCTTCTCAATCATCTACAGCCCACGTTTGCATTATATCTCTCATCCACCGCTGAACGCGTGCAATTACGCGCACCTGACAACGATGCCCTGGAAGCCGACGGAAGCCCATGGATGCTTACAATGTAGGGTTCGGGGGATATGGCACCAGAGAATTAGGCGCTATGATGATGACGAGTTGATACTCTCAATGCAGGCAGACAAGGAGTACGAATTATAGGTCTACATTACTGATGCCGCTGCAACTGCGCTTTGTCCTCGTAGATCCAACATAGGCAACCATATCGGACAGAATGCAACGATAAAGTTCCGAAGAAAGCATATTGCATTGGCCCGCTATTTCACATCAGTCCATTCATCCTCACCTTGGACTGTTGGAGATTGACCAACTCCATACTATGTACTGTCCAGGGCCACGGGTAGAGCGTGGAATGCTACTCCGTACCTATTCCGCACATAAGGGCGTATTGGTATTTGCGATCTAGGATTATAAGCGGCTGCTGCCATTCAGGGATCCCCCAACTGCTGATCGCCTTAGTTACAACGGCGGGGAGTCCTTTGGAGGCACGGTAAGATCTCCTGCAGCATTGCTCCCCGGTTACAAAATATGTAGCATCCTTGATTAAATATGCATGGAGTCGCAGGCATGTAATTCCGGCTTCCCGATGCTTGGGCGAGACAGAACATTCGCAGTCAAAATTGTTCGTATGGCTTTCTTGTTGCTAACAAAATTGTTGATATTCACGATAGGATTGCCAGTCATGTATGCTCCCGGATCACGGACACTTAGTTGCTGCTGGAGGTTGGATAAGAAAGACAATGTCAGCCACCCTGTTCCTTCGATCATCGTTGAGCAAACGGTATTCTACCTAGGCCGGTAGTTCTCCTTCTTTTTGTTACAGTATACTCCTCAAACGCTGTTCTCTTCCTTTGAGCTCAACTTACCCTAGACGACACATCAAGTATTATATATTCGCCCACAACTTCATCGTTCACACATACAATTCTCGATTACCCGTCGCGTCAACTGTTACCCTACCTACCTACCTAGGCTGGTGCCATCTGCCAACTCCCGTATTTTCTGTTTGCTCGCCTTTGTCGAGGTCACGCGACTTTTGATATGTCATGTGCCAGGCCCAAGCTACCACTGGTGATGGAGACGGACCAAGCTCTCCCCGCTCATGAGCCGATACTTACAAGAAGAGAAGAGAGGCTCGATTCAACAATATCTGAAGTCGTTTTCAACACCATCCTCACCATCTCCCCTAGTCAGGTGTACTACATACAACTGTTAGCCCTCAGAACCATAGTCTCGCATTTGTCCAGTACCTGAAGCCACTGCTCACCTTCTATATCCACTGACTGGCCCCATTCCGGCGCCGGCCTGCATCATCCGATCACTCGGCACTCGTGGGTCCACCAGAGTTGAATGAGCAAACAGGATTCGCAACGGTCAAGATCTTTTTGTCCCATGACGTTTCATTCACTGTCAAACGAGTTCGTGATCCAGTAATTCAACAATCTGGACCAACAGTCGATTTTGCGATATCCAGGGTACAAACGCACTCAATAGCAGACATTTGAAAACGCCAACGACTCATACAAACAATCAAAGTGTACGGCGAGCTTCTGTTTCATCTCATCGTCGCAGTATCATATCATTGAGGAAAAACCCCAAGTTCGTCAAGCACTACAACTTCAACCCATCATTGCATTGTCGACGAAACCGCAGGATTTTCTGCAGTAACCCTCACCCACCCACTCGACAAAGGCCCACAAAACCACCATCCAGCTTTATTCTGACGACCAACTTATACTGAGGTAGTACCTCTCTATTCATTGTCGCCAGGCTAGGATCGTTCCACCACTACGAAACACAACGTCAGCACGCCTATTCAAAACACCAAGGCTCCATGGGAAGCATAAACATGGAAACGAAGAAGGTCAATGAGTTCGCCACTGCCGCCAGAGATATGATCTTCTCGGGTGGCGCCGTGGTCATCAAGGAGAAGGAAGATGACGATGACGGTGCCATTGACGACGGAGACGCAGACGAGGAAATGGTTCATTCCAAAAGAAACTTTTCTCAGCTGAGGATTCAAAAGAGAAACTCGGAAGCTGGCCTTCTGAAAAAGGTCATTCCCTTCCACTGGGCTCCTATGCTCTCACCCCTGACCGAGAATGATATCGACACGTGTGTGACGCTTGAAAATGTCGCACTTTCAGAAGCCAGGTATAGATCACCGCGCGACAAGGTTAGTCATGAAATTCGTATAAAACTATGTTGTTCCAAAGACGACAATAAGATTCATGTGCCCAACCCCTGGTTACTGACCAAAAGAATAGATCGAGTATCGCATTCGGAAGTCTGGACTTTGCTATGGCCTGTTCAACACCGTGAGGCCGAGCGATGTGAAGAAGATAACCCTCACAACTATGGAGCACAGTCGACCCGTTGAGTCAGGACGCTGCGACGACGCCAAACATGTCATGTTTGCGCACGTCCTCGCTACTTTGGGAACCCAGCTAGTTGTCACTGATGCTGACATGGCTATGCCCGAGGATTGGCGGGATGTAAAAGCCTGCAAAGCTTCTCCTCTAGGTCATCAGTCTGAAGGGAGAACGATTTGCCTTCATTCGTTCATTGTGTGCCCGGAAGTCCAAGGAGTTGGCATTGGCAAAACAGTGATGAAATCCTATCTCGAAATGATGAATAACTCTGGCATAGCCGATCGAGTTGCCATAATCTGTCAACCGGTAAGTGACTACTTGAGACACTTGTCTGGGTTGTGTTAACATATATATCAGTACGCTATTCAGTTCTACAAGTGTTTCGGATTCAAAGACCTTGGCCTAAGCACAGAAGCTCTTGCAGGCCAGGGCTGGCACGCTATGGTAAGACGAGTCTCTGAAGACCATGAATGGATAACTGCTGACATATGCCCAGGTACTCGAATTAAAAGGTCCTAGTAAAAAGACTAAAGAGGAGCCCACGCGAAAGAGCAAGCAGGATGCTAAGCAAGATGCTAAGCAAGATGCTACACAAACAAAGACCAAGAAATCGCCATGATAGGTTCTGAAGGGCTTGATGTAGGCATCACGAGTTGCGTGCGTGATCTAGTTCTCCCCGCAAGAGGAAGCTCCAGGTATTATTTGCTTCATTTTCTCACATAACCAAGATATCACCGAGGTAGCCGCATCATTTTAAAATAATGAGATAGCTGGTCTATAAAAAGAACCCCACAATTGCACGTTAAATTTCATTTCATTTTTTATTTCTGTCCCGTCTATTTAGTGACCCTCTGATACCTATCATAACATCGTTTTCTCAGCCCAGTTTATCTCACATTTAGTCGGTGGCCTTGTACTTGATGCGGTACTCCTCAGTTCGCTTGACATCATCCTCGGAAGCGAAGCTCTTCATGCCGGCAATAATATCATCAAGGGTCAAGATAGCGAAGATGGGAATGCCATACTCCTTTCTCAACTCGCCAATGGCACTGGGACCAGGCTTGGACTCGTCACCATCAGTAGCAGGAAGCTTCTCCATACGGTCGAGGGCAACGACGATACCGACAACAATACCGCCCTCCTTTCGGATCTTGTCGATAGCCTCTCTCTTGGCGGTTCCAGCAGTGATGACATCGTCGACGATAAGGATCTTCTTGCCCTTGAGGGGCGCACCGACAATGTTACCGCCCTCTCCGTGGTCCTTGGCCTCCTTTCGGTCGAAAGAGTAAGACACTCGGTCAAGGTTCTCAGGGGCGATCTCGCCGAGCTTGACAGCGATAGAGGAAGCCAGAGGAATGCCCTTGTAAGCAGGACCAAAGATGATGTCGAATTCGAGACCAGTCTCCTGCTGAGCCTCGGAGATGGACTTTGCAAAAGCGGTGGCAATAGCACCGGCGAGACGGGCAGTATGAAAGAGGCCAGCGTTGAAGAAGTAAGGCGACATGCGCTTAGACTTGAGCTCGAAGCTGCCAAACTTGAGGATCTCGCCAGCGATGGCGGCCTGCAAGAATTCTTGCTTGTAGGGTGCGAGTTGAGCAGACATGATGACTGATGATATATATGTGTTATGAAATTAGAATTGCAGCGAAGCTTAAATGCTGAGAAAGAAGAGAAAAAGAAAAAGACCCTGAATGTTTCCAAAGCAAAGTTTGCGATCCCCTCCTGCAGCCCAGTCAGTGGTGTTGAGCAATAACTGGACTTGGACCCTTCTGGTGGTTCAATGTATGGCAGCGGGGTTGAAGTGGGGGTTGGGAAACGGATCCACAGGCCTGAAGTACCTGTAGCGTAGCGTGCATGATAAGAAAAAATAGTAGGTACTTGGTTAAGATGGGACAGAAGCAGAAATGTTTGTATTTTTCTGGGATACTTCAAGAGAGGGCAATGGGATACGCGAAGGTATAAATTTAGAATATGAAACTAGAGTCATTTGCAGATAAATCCGTCATATATTCAACCTGTTGCCAACTACTAAAACTGCCGAGTCCATCCACACAAAAAGTGACTTTCGGATTAGGCTTATCGATAAGCCTGACCGCCACGACCCACCAAGAAAAAATATTCGTCCAACTGAATTTTGCCGTCTTTTTCTGATACCTATTCCTTCGAGCGACGAGCGACCTTCCCCGTCCGCTTCTCTTTTTCTTAATACACATTTCCAGGATTTTCCAGCTCCAAACACCAGATCGCCCAACATGAAGACGACCTGGAAGGACATCCCCCCGGTGCCTACTCAGCAGGAGTTCCTGGACATTGTCCTGAGCCGAACCCAGCGCAAGCTGCCTACGCAGATTCGCGCCGGTTTCAAGATCAGTCGTATTCGAGGTATGTGACTTTTCCTATTCTAATATCTCTCCCCCCCCCCTTCACAATAGATCGCTAACATTCAGTCTTGTCTCTCCACAGCTTTCTACACAAGAAAGGTCAAGTTCACACAGGAGACCTTTTCTGAGAAGTTTGGCGCCATCCTCGACAGTTTCCCTCGTCTGCAGGACATCCACCCATTCCACAAGGATCTCCTCAACACACTCTACGATGCCGACCATTTCAGAATCGCCCTTGGTCAGATGTCAACCGCCAAGCACTTGATTGAGACCATTTCTCGCGATTATGTCCGTCTCATCAAGTACGGTCAGTCTCTGTTCCAGTGCAAGCAGCTCAAGAGGGCCGCTCTTGGTCGCATGGCCACTCTCCTCAAGCGACTCAAGGATCCCCTCATGTACCTCGATCAGGTCCGCCAGCATCTCGGACGTCTGCCATCGATCGACCCCAACACCCGAACACTGCTTATTTGCGGTTACCCCAATGTTGGAAAGTCTAGTTTCCTCAAGAGCATCACACGCGCCGATGTCGATGTCCAGCCTTATGCCTTTACCACAAAGAGTCTGTTCGTCGGTCACTTCGACTACAAGTATCTCCGCTTCCAGGCCATTGACACCCCTGGTATTTTGGACCATCCTCTTGAGGAGATGAACACCATCGAGATGCAGAGTATTACCGCCATTGCCCATTTGAGGTCAGCCATCATGTACTTCATGGATCTTTCAGAGCAGTGTGGATACACTGTCAGCGCTCAGATCGCCCTCTTCAAGAGCATCAAGCCCCTCTTCTCCAACAAGCTTGTCTTTGTTGTCGTTAACAAGATCGACGTGACCCGGCCCGAAGACCTCGAGCCTTCCGTTCAGGCTGAGCTTGAGGGAATCCTCAAGTCCGGCGAGGTCGAGCTCCTCCAGTTGTCTTGCAACACCCAAGAGGGTGTCCAGGAAGTCAAGAACGCCGCTTGCGAGCGCTTAATCGCCGAGCGTGTGAACCAGAAGCTCAAGGCTGGCACCAACAACAGCGGAGATATTGGCGGCCGACTGGCTGATGTTATGTCCCGTATTCACGTCGCTCAGCCCATGGGTGGTCAGACTCTGGAGACATTCATTCCTCAGGGTGCCAAGGATCGTAAGAAGTACGACAAGGAGGACCCCGAGCGCCGAAGACTCGCCAGAGATGAGCAGGACGAGAACGGTGGTGCTGGTGTGTTCAACGTTGACATGAAGGCCGACTACATGCTCGAGAACCCTGAGTGGAAGTACGACAAGGTTCCCGAGTTCTACGACGGCAAGAATGTCTACGACTTTGTCGATCCTGACATTGAGGCCAAGCTCCTGGCTCTTGAGGAAGAGGAGGAGAAACTCGAGGAAGAGGGCTTCTACGAGTCCGAAGAGGAGATTGACGATGATGAGGAGGCTGATGTCCTGCGCAAGGCCGAGCTCATTCGCGAGAAGCAACAGCTCATCCGCAATGAGGCCCGCATGAAGAAGCGCCTCAAGAACCAGGCCATCATCCCCCGCAAGCTCATGAAGAAGCCGCTCTCCGAGTTCGAGGACGCCCTCGACCAGCTCGGTGTCGACACCACCGACATCGCCGACCGCGCCCGATCACAATCCCGTGGCCGTGCTCGTTCCAGGTCTCGCATGGGCACCGAAGACCCCGATGCCATGGATGTCGATGGTCGCACTCCTCGCGAGCGTGTCCGCTCTTTAAGCCGACCTGCAAGCCGTGCTCCCACAACCAGCCGTCGCGACGACGGTATTGTGGACGACGCCAACCGAACCAAGGCCGAGCGTATCGCCAAGCTCAACCAGAAGCGCATGAACCGTATGGCCCGACAGGGAGAGGGAGATCGACACACAACCGCCTCTATCACCAAGCATTTGGTAAGTTTTTTGCCCTCAACGCAACGATGTTTTTCCAGAACTGTAACTAACACACTCTTCTCTAGGTTGTCGGCAAGCGTGGCATGGGCAAGACAAACCGCAGATAGAGAGCCAATACTTGGCTTCCCTTTCTTCCACACTTGGTTGTCTTTCTCTCTTTTCCGGCATATTTTTGCGGGTTCGCGGGCTGTGGGTTTGCCTGGGAGTTAGGGCGCATGGGAAAATGAATTGTGATTCCGTCGCTGCGTACGTACGTGCTCGAATAAAACCATAACACGTATCGTGCCGTTGCTTGGGATGAAGAAGCTCTGTCCGGGTTTAGCTAGATAGGTGGCAGATATCACGGCGCCCTCTTGAAAAGTACTTGAGAAGGGGCTGCCAAACTTTATCCTCGTTATTTGATCAAATGATGATTTATGAAGCATACAAAAGTTTCAATCAAATTGATATTCTCATCGCAATTATAGATACAGTTCAAGAATATTCGTTTTAAGTACTCGTGAGATGCTATCGAAAGAGGTATAATGAGATTGTGCGACTGTGCCCAAGACGCGCCATCATATTGGCCAATCTTGTCACATTTGTCTAGGCCACTATTCTTTATGAAATTTGTGGCCATCGACTCGCCAAAATAAAACCAAAACAATCCTCCAACCCTGCTTGCTCTGTTACAGTGGTGTGTGACCTTGTCTCTCTTCTGCCCTATTTACTAAGAAAAGGTTATGGAGACTTTACTGCTCCTCAGCAACCTGGATACCTTCCCTCAAACCCTCAACCTTGAGCTCCTCGCCAGTGGCGCGGCGGTAGATGTCCTTGACATCATCAGTGGTGGTCTCGAAGTGGCTGGTAGCATCGTAGCTCTTGGAGATGAAGATGTTGTCTTTGGATCCATCCTCGAGAGGCTCATAAATGGGAATAGGGGGGCCCTGTGAGAATGTCAGCGCATGTCATCAGTTGTTCAACTCGGATAGCTTACCATGAACTGCTCCTCAATCTTGCCAAGGCGGTCCAAACCGGCCTGGAGCTCGACGTGGTGGTTTGCTGATCCTTCAGCAATAGTCGAGACAATAGCGATCCAGTAACCCTTGGGGCAAACGTTGTGGGCGGAAGAAACACAGGCGATGTAAACATCTAAGATCGTTAGCGCATGTGCACATATTTGCGTGCTAGTAGTATTTACCGTTCTTTCGGCCAACCTGAGACTGGGGGATGATAAGCTGGGCGGAATCGGCGTCGTTGGTGCCAGCGAGGGGGTGCTTCAGAATGCAGATGGCACGGAGAACGTGTCCAACGACCTTGGCCTTGTTGGCGAAGTAGGAGGGGTCACCAAGGATGATCTTGGCCTTGGTCTCAAACTTCATCTCCTCGACACCGGTCATAGTGGCCTTGATGCCAACAGCCTTGTCACCATCGTACTGAATCTCGTCGATGTTGGTGTTGAGCATGTAAGTGCCGCCGTAGATGGCGGACAGACGGGCGAAACCCTGAGGAAGCTCGCCAAGACCGTAGAGAGGGTAGATGTAAGGAGACTTTCCGTATCGAGCAACAGAGTTACCGTACAGGCGAATGCGCTGGATAGCCTCGGGAGCCTGGCCGGGTGTGGTGATGTAATCGTCGGTGAGGTAAAGAGCCATGGCGTGGCCAATGAAGTCCTTTGTGGTTGTCTCGAGGCCGAACTTGTCGTAAACATCTTTCATGGTGCACTTGTTCACGTCCAGACCTAGATAGAAGTCAGCAAGCATGTTCGAGCTAGATTCGCAGGTCTTTTCCTGCTTTGGACTTTGTCCAGGGAGACGAACCCTTGTGTGTGGCGGGATCCTTGAGGTCGAAAGTTCCAACCCACTCGATGAAGGACTTCATGCGTCGCTTCTCGAAGATACCCATGAGGGGAGATCGCAGAGCCTCAGCGGCATCAGAAGGCACCTTGGCGACGGTAGCCTTGTTGGAGGCACCTTGCTGGACGTAGCTGCCAGCAACTTGCTTGAACTCGAGGTATCGTGTAACATCGGTAGAGACAAGGATGTTGGTCAACTCGCCAGAGGACATGAGGAACTTGGGAACAAGGTCGATGTTCCAGTCGTTGAGGCGACCATACTGCTTCCAGGGCTCCTCGCCTTCACTGAAGTTTCCGTACTTCTTGAAGAGCTATAGTCCTTGTTGTTAGAGCTGTCGGTCTGAGGGGGGTAGATGGGTCGGGATATGGTTTGGGGAATAATTGCGTACCGTCTCGAGGTTCACGGATGCTGCCTCGCTGGAAAACAGTTAGCTTCAAGTGTATCCAAGAGCAATCGCAGTCTAGTCGAGACTTACCCGCCGTAGTGGTCATTTCTGTCGATGTGCAGGACCTTCTTTCCCTTGACACTCAAAACACTGTTGAAGCACCATCAGCCGACCGCCTTTATATCAGCCATCACCGCCTAGTAGCTTGCGCGGGTCTGGGACCCTTCTGCTACACGACAAAGCGGTCAGGAAAAGATGGAATGGGTGCTGTTTGTCTTACCCAGAGAGAATACACTCGGTCAATCCTGAAAACCAACAGCATTAGCACAGTGATCACAACCAAACTTCCAGCTTCCAGCGTCCAAGGTCTGGTTGAAGCTCGGCGATGCGGGGATCCGTCTGCCGTCTGCTGGAATGGCAGAAAGAGGCGGGGAGAGGGAGGGGAGGGGAATTAGAACGTACCAGTGCCCAGCACGATGACGTCGTATTCCTGTGCGATCTCATCCATAATGGCGGTTCCTTGGTGTTGGTATTTGATGTATTTCTTAACGTAGGATGATAGGGATGGGATAATAAAGAAAGGAGCAGAAAGAAAGCTTCAAGGGGAGGTGAGTGAGGTGCGGTGCCAGGTGCCAGGCGCCAGGTGCGAAGTGGCGGGGTCTCGTTTACCTTTAGGGATCAACTCAACTCCAGTCTAGCTCCATTGTGGGGGCTTTTCTCTGGTTCCATGAGCCCCCAGGTAAGATGGTTAATTAATGAGTTAACGCCTCCAAATGGTAACCTCTTACCCAATTTATGCCTTTCTAATCTCATCTTCACTTCGTCTATGGCTTCAAATTTCTCTAAGATGAATAGTCTCGTGGCCATTGCTCTCCAATAGCCCCTATATTCTATATTGATCTTCATGTCGGGATGGCTTAACCATCAAATTTAGCTTAACTGTCAGGTCAATATAAGAGCCCCAGCAAAGACCCCAGCAACCTTCACCGACGGATGACTGGACTACTCTGCGAATACGGTCTATTACATTCTAATGCGCTGGGTCTTTTGGCCGTAACTCCTTTCTTTCTCTCTCCAACCACGGATATCCACCTCGGAGTTCCTAATGAATTGCTTGCTGTAATACTGGCGGAACAGCCCCTTACATGATGGTAATAGACTGGCTTACACGGCAAGCAAGTTCAATTAATTCCTTAGAATCGTACAGGCACCAGAATATAGTTTTTATCATGCGTATACTTTCATCTTGTTGGAGAAATCGCATGTTCTCATATGCTTCTTTGCTTCGTCTACTGTATCTTACATATCCTAGATGTACACGACGAATATGTCATCAACCCTGAGATGAGGCATCACGAACCGCCATCTCTTCCATCACACAATAGTACATAGCATCGTCTCGCTTGGAGTGAGTTCTTATTGTTTCTTCAACTCCTTTTCAATCTTTGCCTCCTGCACTTCTGTTGTAGCAGGATCAAGCTGTTTGGCCGCCTCTGACTCTGCCTCCGGTTGTGTCCACTCAGCAACATCAACATCATCCTCGTATGCCGATGGTGTGTAAACTTGGCCATCTGCGCCTTCAAAATTGATCTCGGGGTCGTTCATGGCGACGCCGACGGCGTCCTGCCATGTGTAATATCGCTCTGTCAGGACATGCTTAATAGCTCGCTGTGTCTTCATGACCTAAACAGTTACAAGTCAGCACACTGCATCGTGCTATCAGACACAGAAAATCTTACCTGTTCATCTCGAGTATCAATCTCCCGCTCACCAAATCCCAGCTTGGATCGAGTGAGCTCTACCCTCGATGTAGCAAGCATGTTCCTCTCTCGGCAACATACCCACCACAGAGCATGCAGATCCTCCCACGACTTCTTTCGCAATTCCTCGACCGTCCATGCACGTCCATGCCCTTCGGTCTCCTTGGGTGTGGCCAGCAACTTGCCCTGGCCTGGGAAGAATCCCCAGAGACCGTGGTTGGGGTCAACCTCAATCTTGGGCTTATGCTCGGCGGGTTTCGGTAGCGGTATGTTCGACATGGACAAAGGCTCGCGAGGTCCGGATCCGTACAAGCTACTCACACCTCGCTTTTTGTTGTTATCCTTGGTCCTGCGCTTGCATTGCGGTGCAGTCGTGGAGAAGCAGGCGACTCTAGGGACAACAGACGAGGTCTTTGATGCCGAGACCTGGACAATCCGGCTTGCCAATGGCCTTATCGTATTAGAGGGTCCCATTGTCATTATCGTGCCTGTCGTGGGGATTGGACGAGGCTATTCGCTACTCAGCTCGTCCCACGCATTCACAAATTTTGGGATGCCGTAGCTCGCAGTTCGTCGGCGCTACGTTATGCCGATGCTGGACAAGGCTCAGTCACGTGTCAGACAGCCAAGCAGTCAGCACTCCACCGAGCTTCACCTTGAAGCCTCACCGAGCCTTACGAAGAGATGGATCTCAACAGTGGATTCTCTGGAAACGCACTTGCAGCACGGATAGCTTGGTACAAAGTACATGAGGCCCTGAGGTGGGTGATGCGGGGGAATACTCCAGATGCCCCATCTCAAGGCCATCTTCTAGAACAAAGTGCTTGTCACCAGTTCCTGACTAGAACGATAATAAGAGCCACAATCGATTTGCGGGGATATATCCATCTACAGATATGAGGTTGCCAGCATTATGGCTCCATGGTCGAAGATCGCTAGTAAGAAAACACACGTCATATGTTGTTGTTCGGATATTTCGCAATGTTGCGAGTTTTGATATTTTGGGCCATCAAAAGAAAGCTAAGGCGGCAATGCGCGCAGAATATGAGATCACCAATAAGTAGTAAGTTTTGAGCAATTCCCAAACATGCGGTTGCCGCACCATTGGCTAGTCAATGCCAGGACCAGCGGTAATACAGAACTGGGGATTATGCTTGATTGTCTTTAACATTACGATTGAAAGTTGAAACCACCCTATACCACGCAGCATGGACCTCAAAACAATCCCTCTTGCAGTAGGAGCCAGCCCCAGCTCCATGCGCTCGCGATGTTACCTTCAGGGTAGGTCTGTTTCCGGTAATTAGTCTATAACTAGCACTTGGCCAACCTGCAAGCAGCGTGTTTAGGATATTACACGTGTGCGTGATATTAGGCGTCCCTTAAGCGACACGTACGCATATGTCTTCCATCCTTCTCAGTGCGCGGAATTATTAATATTCACGCCTCACCAGATTCACCACAACTAACAGGACCAACAGAACCAACAGAACCTATCACGTTACTCCTATGTCGGCCCGGATACACTATGCCATACAAAGACATGAGGGGTTGCAGTCGTGTCTCGGCAGCGTGGGGGTCTGTACAGCACCTTGGTCACCACCCTAGCATCCTTCGTAACTCACAATGCCTGATTCTGATTCAGGGATTAGGAGGTCATGCCGGACGAGCTAGAAGGCCATGCAAGTCAGAACGCCTTGAAGGATGGTGAACGTTACAACCTACCGAAGCCGTGACTTAATGCGTAGTATGTGCTCAGCAAGGAATAATCTACTGTAAATTATCGCGAAACACTCCTACAAGGTAACTTAGTATGCCCATTCATCAATCTCACTCGAAATACGGACAGTACTTTGCCTGCTATTGCACTGCCGCGGCATCCTCCGCTTTGTGCCGCTGCAGGAAGTTGAGTTTGCAACCTGCAACACGAAACTCAAGATTCGGCACGCTCTCTGTCGTCATGAGTGCGTGAAAATCAGCAGGCATATCTTTTCTTGTACTATACTAGGTACGTACGGAGTATCCGTATCCGTACATCGAGTGGCAATGCATGCAAGTCATAGAGTCAGGTATTACTGTGAGAAGAAACGTGATCTGTTCATCCACGATAGCTCAATGTAAGTTCTGTTAGTTGTTGGTTAATGTCTGACTGCTGCAAACGGTCTCGGTGCTTGGAAAGTCATACTCGGAGAAGCGAATAACTATCTACTTGAACACATGCTCAACAACAATCGTAACAAGAGGCTGTACCGTCGCTTTCAAGGGCAAATGTAGTAGTTACATGATTATGTGTGCTACTCCCACATGCCATAGTACTATGCAGTCGAACCACGAAAGGATAACATCAGGATTGTGTAAACATGGATTATGTTCGCTCGGTTTCAAAACATTTCGACACCACACAGTAGCAATGTGAGTTTGCCGACTTAACTTCTCGCTCACAGTGAACGCACAGTACATTGATATCCGACCATGGAGCGAATCGTTGCTCATGGCGCCTTGAACTAAAACATGCAGTAACTACTTGCTAGCTAGGAGCGGCCAATGGTGGGGGGCCTCGTGGTAAACGGATACCCTGGATAACAAGGGAGTCAGCCATGTCTTTCCGGTAGAGTTCCGCACTATCACGGTTAGTAGGTGGTGGTGGTGGTGATGATGCGAGAAGGGTTGTTGTTGTGATGCAGAAAGTCAAAATGTGTGACGTAAATGATTAACCTGTGATTGGGAATGATCAATTACTCAATTGGGGGCTTTATCCCCCTTATTTGGTCTTGTTGTCACCAGAAAGGGTTGAGTTGGCGCCAAGCAGCCAGGCAGAGTGCCTTTTTGCCGTAATGACCGTAGGGAGTTTTCATGGCGTATCGCTAGACTGGCCTGGGCACAGATGTTGATGTGAGGGATATATCGTGATTTTCATCGAACTCATCACGATGTCAAGAGTCTGGAAACCCGAGGCTAAATATTTATGACTCGTGTAGGTGAGCGCGTACTTGCATTTTTGCTGTGGTATTGGAACCCGCTGGTAAATCCTAAACAACATCGACGTATCATACTGTAATTGTAAAATGGGAATTGTTCAGTCATATGATCGATTGTGTTGTATGCACAAGTTTTGGTCCAACCTGTGGCGAAGATGAAGCCATCACGACATGCTTCCCATTGATGTGGCCCTGAGGGGTTTAAGGAGCGGGAGCAGACCCAGTCAGAGAAGCTTGGTGCGTTGAGGCTCAACATGCTCTGTACGGCACCACCAACGGCAGTTTATGCCTCTCCACCAGGCCCGCTTCTCCAACGATTGCCGAACATGGCTGTCAACTGGTGTGGTGCATTCAAAGGGTTCTGAAAGTGTCCATGTGCATGTGTATTCCGTATGGCTGGCTTGATTGAGGACATGGACATCAGTGCTCCAGGCTGCCCTTTTTCTCATACTTTCACTGTGTTGAATCGACGTACGAAGTACATCGTATTTGCACGGTTGGTTTGAAAAGAGAGAGCTCGTTCTCTGGTCCTTCCCGTGTCCGAGGCATCAGGATAGAATCCTAGTAGAACTTGAGTTGTCAGCCACCTTGATTCTGCCGGATACCCCAATGGAGCAGTCCCGACAGTTTGAACAGGGATTTACCATCAAGGTGTGCCTGTCGCGGATAAGCTGCGCATTATCTTTCCACTACTAGATTAAGCCCTGGTTAGCAACTCCTGCTTAGGCGAATGATGACATATTAAATGCTGCCGGCGGCACCCGGTCGAACTGATTGATCACGGACAGATATACCTAAACCGTACATGGCTCACTGACTACACCGTTTGTCAGCGACTAATCTGCAGGGCACATTTTAAATTTCGCAAAAATTGATGGTCGAATTGTGAGATAGAAGGTAGACTCTTGAACTGTAAGAATATCACCCATCAAGTGTAATGGTTGTCAATCTGTCAATCTGTCTTCCATGTACTCCGTAGCAACGGCCAAACTTAGCAACGGTTTATTAGTGAACCAGACTGTGAGCCAGGTGGGTACTGCGAATGTTGAAACGGCGGTATGTGTGTGTTTGCGAACCGAGTCGGTGAAGTTTCGGAAAGAGAAAAATGAACGTCATCACAGGCCATTCAAGAGTCGTGTTGGATGTTCCGTGAGACTTGGACCATGACTATTGCTATCCAGGGGTTCAAGGGATAGCCCGTTCATCTATCTCGTCGAATAACGTTTGAGTAGTTGTTGACAACCGTTGCTTATTAGTTCGCGGCCTACATCGAGCTGGTCTTAGAGAGCCACTCATCAGATTCCGCTCATCAGATTGATAACAATAGAGGTGCTCAGTCAACCTTCAACACAGTCTGTCTTTGGGTAGTTACCACCACGTAGTATTTTCACGTTCCTCGGCTTCGAAATCTTGCTGCAAGTCCCACACATGCTTAGCATACGCACCCCTTAATAACCCAAAACGCAACGCCACCGAGGCAAGGGTGAAAGATTTCCTTAGCTTCTCTAGCTTCTTTCCGACGAGGGACACAGGGGGCTAGAGGGGGTAAAGATTCCTCCAAGCTTCAACAAGTTAGCACTTGAAAATGGTATTGCAGTGGTTTTCCGGGAATGATGCCTGTCGCTCGGTGTTCCCGCCCCTATGGCCTTCTCCAAAGTCCCTTATTTGTTTCGAGTTGGCTGGCCATCATCCGATGACGGAAGGGATCCAGGCGTCTAGGCAACCAGATTTAGTGGTCGAGTGCCCGAACCCAAGAGTCAAGGTAGGAGCAACATTTCCACATTGTTTTCGTAGCCAGCGCCATTCTCGTGTTGTTGTTCGAGCAAACAGTTTGAGACGTTGAAAGGTTATTGATAGGTGAGCGTCAGCGGCTCAAAATAATGATGTTTTCTCCAACTATGGAGTCCGTCTCCTCACGGGAAGGACTCCACCACAACCTTCTGGAGCCAGAATCGAAGCCTTTGACTTCCCACCCTCGTCCTTCAGCAGATGCAATGGCGGGAAGGTGAGGGGTTCTCAAGGGACCCTGCTCCACCAAGATCTGCTTTGGTGGGACACCCGCTGTGCTTGCGGGAACCATTGAACGGTTGGCGTCGACAACAAGATGAGGGACCCTGGCATAAAAGACGTTGTGCCAACATCATATCCTGGGATGTGGTCAAGGTGATCACGAGTGCGCCTGCATTTCGGAATTGGCTGAGGGTACTCCGTATGGCCAACAACATACTACACCCTGGAAACTCAAGCCGATGACCGGCTTTGATTAAGCCAGGCGACTCTGTCCGATAGCATTTCCTTTTTTTCTTTCTTTCACGGACCATTGTCTCCAATGTCCCAGGACTTCCCTGTGCACTCGGCGAATTCTGCTCGTCCCTTCGTCCCCACTTTGCTTTTTCCTACAGTCTTGGCAAGCCTCAACAGGACTGCAATACCCGTTCAGCCTTCCAACGTCCTTTCCGTTGAACCTAGATTAGTACTTGCTGCATTTGCTTCTCATCTTACGGCTGATTAGTCAACACGAATCAGTAAATGCAGTCTCGTCGCTACATTCGATGGAATAATCATTGGATTATACCCAAAATCCAATGTGTGCATTCAGATCAGCATGCCGGCCTTGACTCAGGACCCTTGAAGCAACAGACTAGGGTGTGTTTTCGCTTGACTCGTGGATCCTGCATATCATTTCACAATCCTAGCTTCTTCGAGTCACGAGCCGGATGTTGACCCATAGGACTCGAGGAACGTGTAGTCTTTCTTGGGAATTCTCGTGATACAATCCCTATCGAGTCTGCTCTGTATTGTGAGGCGGTACGGAGTATGGCAATGGCATTGCAGTGAGTAGAATTTAACATGCTTGTTGCCAAGACTTGCCCACCTACCCTTACCATACCAGACTATCCGCGACAGGCCTTCCTGGCAAGGTGGTATAGATGACCGAGGTAGTTGTTCTTCAACCTCTGCCACCTTGCTTGACATAATATCCGTAACTATGAGTGAAGCCTTATTGGCTCTTGACCGAGGGGCGATTAGAGTGAGGAAGCAACTTGTCGACAAGCTATGAAATAGACAGACTAGAATCTGTCCAGCAAGCTGCCTGGTTGGTCGTGTTCCATAATAAAATAACAGGTCAGATCTGTCTCAGTTTCAATATCAGATCGCCCTTGGGAACGCTGAGGTAGACCGAGCAACGTGTATGCGAGAAAAGTTGTCCACGATTCCTAGTTCAGTATTCGTAGCGTCAAGACTAGTCGCTTCAGTTGCTCACAAGATGAGGCAAAACGCAGAAAAATTGGTGAAATGAGAAATGGTGCATGATCTGGTCGAGAAATCCGGCGCGAACTCGGTGTCCGAGTCGTGTATGAGGTAATGCGGTGAGAAGACTTGGTTTGGCGTGAAGCATCGTGACCTTGGGTGTGCAGCGAGGCCGGCTACGACACCGGAAATCGGAAGACTACCAATGTCAGGTATCCTGTACAAGGGCCACGCAGGGTTGTTGTGCTTGCCAGGTAGCAGAACAATGCGTACCTGTTACGAAATCACCCAACCTCCAGTCTCCCTGTGGACACCCCCACCCCTGTGAGCGACCGGCATTTTGGACCAATTGTGTGTACAGTATCAACCGTGCGAATATATGGACTCAGGACCAATTTTTGAAGTTGTTCGACGCGTCGTGCATCATCCAGGATATAATTTTTTTGATAACAGCGTTTCCCTGTCAGTGTTCAGGATCGCGAAACGAGACGCATCGTCGCAAATGCCGTTAAGAACCCTGGCTATCGGAGGATTGGGAAGCTTGCCATCAGAGGTTTCGATAATTAGGTGAAGCTGACCATGATGGTCGAGGCTGCATGGCCCTTATAAGGGTTTATTTATCATCATTAAGCAAGCTTTAAGCTTGCGGCGATGTCGGACGGTGAGGCCGGCGGACTTTTGTCAACCAGCACCTCCTCGGAAGCTCAGTTTACAAATTTCATCGAGAAGGAAGCTGTTTGGACGAGGGGCTCGCCTGGTGCACTTTGTTCAAAAGTCCTCCCAAACTAGTTTGGCGCCTTTGTTCGTACGATAATGCACAGTAGATCGTCTCCTGGAAGTGTTGCTAGCAGAAATGGCAGGCGATTTTTGCCTCGAGGGGGGATGGCTGGTGAACAGAACAAGGACCTGTGTCCCTTCTGAAAAGTACGTAGTATGGCAGACTTTCTTGGATGATGCTTACCATAATAAATATGCTGATGTCTAATATCTTGATCTTCTTTGGATTTGACAACCTCTCTGTACAGTAATACCAAGCAAACATCTGTGGATACGACGAGGGTACCTGGTTCTTGACTCGACAGGTAGCAGTCGGTAAGTGACGAGTAGGTAGATTTCACCGCAAACTGTTGGCAGTGAATTGAAATCTTCAGATCTGACTCTAGCGGCTTAGAGCGGCAATGGATGGCCTGGCACCTGCGCTAACATCCAAGCTGGACAGGCCAGAAATATCGCCGTAGACCCGAAGTGATTCACATTTGGAGAGGGATGAGGTTGAGGGGGTGTAGAGAGTAAACCGAAGAAAAATTCGAACCATCCAAACTAGAAAGGGAACGAATTCGACACTGCAAACAGTTGGCGTCCAGTGTCGAAGCGTATTCCTTGCTTGGCACCAGCCTCGGGTAACAGGTACTTCCGCGTTTACTCCGGCTGCTGCGCTGCTCTTTCTTTTTCCGCCTGTCACTGGCGAGCACGCAGCCGCGCTTTCACTAATTCCAGCGCTCCCAGCTCCCAGGCGACTCGAGGTAGGAGGTACCTGAACCTTCGCTGCTTCTTCCTGCCCTCCCGTTGTTGTTCTCTCATCTTCCATTTCTCTGTTCTCCCCCGAAAATTTTCTCCCTCACACAACTCACAAACTCTGTACAGATTTACCTCACAAGATTTGAATTCTTGCATCTTGAGTTACTTCATCAACTCTTTCATCTTCATTGTCGTGATATCTCTACGGCGATTTGCGCGTCTGGCGTCTGGCCCCATCAAACACGACCGCGACCCGCGACCCTCTCTGGTCTATTTTTCGCCCTTTGCTCCAGATCCCAGCCGCCAACTGTGGTTCCTTTGCTTCGCTGTGGGCCCACTTCCCTCACCAACAATATCCACTTCCCACCTCTCTTTTTACCTCCCCCGGCCAAACAGTTGCAACTTTGTCCAAAGGCGTGGGAATTGATAGCTCGCGAGTACCAGTCATTATACACATACTGTGCGCGCCGGTCAGGGCTTTTCAACGGTTCCGCTGCTGGCACTTTTCTCCCTCTTTGCCTTTCGCCGCTCTCTTGTGATTGCATACTAAGCAGCACTGAATTTTTTTTATTACCTAGTGCTGCTACCGCATCACTGTTTTAATCCACACCCGCGCCAGCCCACTTCTTTTTTCCTCCCTCCTTCACTCGCACCTCTTCTTCCCACACCCACCCACTCTAAGCGGAATCCACTCAACGCTACCCACCTTTCCAAAGGCTGCCCTGACAGCTCGCCCATCAAGATCAGACCGCGAGAAGAAAAAAAAATAATACTTAAAAAGGTTCGAGACCCAGTTCTCCACTCTGTGCACCCTCTCCAAAGCACTACCTTCAAAGAGGGACCTGCCACGAGCCTCATCCTCCACCATCCGGGAACATCTTCTGCGGAGCTTTACCAGGCATTGTATTTGATCTTGCTTGCTCTCTCTCAAGTCTTGCAAACCTCGTCTTGGACCCCTCTCCCTCCTTTCTCCGCAAATTCTCGACTTGGACTTGTCATCCACCAGCAAGGTCCATTATACCCCGGGCAATTTTTGCGTCGCGGTATCTCCAACACCACGTCGATTGTCACGAGCTTCGCGTTCACAAAGAGTAGCATGGACGGTCCTCACTACCCCTCCAATGGTATAAACACGACTTCATCTGGTCAAACTTATCCTTCACCTACCGCAATCTCTCCCAACCAGTTGCAAACCGGCTCGCCACTGCCTCAGACTCTGCCGCCGCTGCAGCCTCCAACCTCAGCTACCATGCAGAACATGTACGGAAGCCACCCGCATACACCGCGAACCCCAGGCACCCCGAACACGCCTGGGTCAGCCTCCAACATGCCTAGCTACCAGCAGCAGACATCGCAGCCCGTGAATCGCGCTGGAATGTATTCAATGGCACCAAACCAATACCCTCCTCCTCAGGGCTATTCGGCTGCTATGATGCCCCAGGCGACCACTGCCGCATCTCACCCACAGCCCATCGCGCCAGCTCCTGCTGGTGGTCGCGGGCCTCCCGTGTTGCGCCCTATGCCTCCTGGTGGCATCATGTCGCAGCCTGGTGTTTCTTCTCCATACGGCCCTGGCTCGCTCATGCAGCCTCAGTCAGTCATGTCAGAGGGTGAACCTCCTACCCACGTTGTCGGTTCCCAGGGCCGTCGCGGTATCCTGCCTAGCGCTCCTGGACGCCCTGCTGCGCCGGCCGCTGGTACTGGTACCAAGAACACCGTGATTCCCGTCAAGGATGCGGATGGCAAATTCCCTTGTCCTCACTGTACCAAGACTTACCTCCATGCCAAGCATCTCAAGCGCCATCTTTTGCGACGTGAGTAGGATAACTTATTGACCACGACAGTGAATACTGACGATTTTTTGACAGACACCGGTGACCGCCCATACATGTGTGTCCTCTGTCGCGACACCTTCTCCCGAAGTGACATCCTGAAGCGCCACTTCCAAAAGTGTTCTATCCGCCGTGGTAACCCTACTGGAGCTAGTCACTTGTCGCACCCTCAGGCTCACGTCAAGAAGAACCAGCAGGCCCAGAAGGCTGCCGGCCTGGCCCACGATGGTGATCTCAACCACCTTAACGGTTTGAGTAACCTTCCTGCAGACAACATGGTCCACCCCTTTGGCATGGTTCCAGTTTCGGACGGCATGAACAACATGGCACAGGATCAGAGCCAACTCTCTCGATCCAGCTCGCTCGGCCGTCTTGACAACGGTAACAACGCTGACAGACGGAACATGAACGGTCAGGTCATGGGTGCTTCGCAGCCCTATGGTGCTGATCCAAACATGAACCAGCAACAGATGACTGGCTACAGCATGCCTCCTACTCAGAACGGAATGCCCATGTACGGCGGTTCAAACACAAACCCACCATCTGGCCTTGATTGGTCTCAGATGTTCCAGGCTGGTGCGCATCAAACCTACGTCAACAACTCTTTCAATCCTAATCTTGGACAGACGCAGATCGGAATCAAACCCGAACCTAATGCCGGGCCCGGAACGACAGGCGATAGTGCCAGCGATACCCTTTTGTCAAATCTGGGAATGCAATCTCACCAAACTTCATACAACCTACTTTCTGATCAGATCCTTAATTTCTTCTATCCTCCTAACCAAGCCATCGATCCCTCGAGCGCAGGAATGAACCTCTATTTCTCGCCAGACAACGTCAAAGACTTCTTGGACAAGTACACCCACTTCCACATCCATATGCCCTTTATTCATGTCGCGACTTTCAAAGTCATGGAGGCGTACACTGGCTTACTTGCAGGCATGTGTTGCATTGGCGCCTGTTACTCTGATAATGTCACGCCCTCGAACGTTCGCGAAATGATGGATTTTCTTGTCATCGCACTCCAACGCGACTGCAAGATGATGTCTACTGCTGAACCCCAGACAGGTCAACCGAGTCAAGCATCTCGGGCTGACATCGAAGAGCTACAGGCTGTCTTGCTAACGTGTGTGTTGCTGCTGTGGAACGGAAACCCACAACAACGGGAACGGGCCCGACACATCTATCCTGCACTTGCAGTCAATGCACGAAGACTGAATCTTTTCCAATCATCTAACGACCCTGCTGCTCTGTCTCCGTTGCATCACATCAACTTCGATCGAAGCGCTTTTGACGTGCAGCAGTGGAAGTGGGATAATTGGATCGAACAGGAGCGTAGAAATCGCCTTATGTTTGGCGTCTTTCTGATGGATGTGGCGATGGGGCTTTATTTCAACTCCCAACCTCTGTTCGATGTTATGGAATTCCATCTACCTCTACCTTGCGACGATGTTGCTTGGGATGCTGACAAAGCCGAGGACTGCGCATCTGCGCTTGGCCTTCATGGAATTGTCGCTGCTCGAGAGAAGAACTCATACGGCACACAAAGAGCAAAGCAGCCGGAGATGGACTGGGCCCTCAAAGCACTCTTGCACCCATCTTATCAGATCCAACCAGGAAGTACAAACCTTTATGGAAAGTTTGTTCTCATCCATGCCATATTAGCTCTGATTCAACGGGCGCAAATCGATGGAAATGCCGCTCAACTGTCCAAATTTGGAACGCCCCCTCCCAATGATTGGATGACCCCAGCCGGCGGCAATAGTGGACGGGGGACTCCTGTTGAGGGAGCGGCTGTCAACGTGGACCCACAAAGTCTACAGGCGCTTGTCATCGCCCTCAGCAAGTTCAAGAAAAACTGGGACGCGGACATGGCCAATCAGTTCCCGCCGACAGTCCCAGGATCTAGCAATCCTCGGCGACACGGTTTCTCGAGGGACGGCATCCATTACTATTGGCTTTCGAACTATTTGCTCAAGCATACACAAGCTGCCGATCTACGATTGTCTCCTGACGCGCGCTTTGTGCAAGTAATTCAGCTTTTGAAGTCTGTCAAGTCGTGGGTAATGTCTGATGGTGCGAACAGAGGAGAAGAATTAGGATCAATCGGAGAGATTGATGATCAGTATGGAGCTATGGATCTTACACTGGAGATGGCAAAACTATTTAAACCTCTTCCACAGGTGGTGGAAGACGCTGGCACTGCGTCTGTCAAGACGGAACTTGACACAGGAACGGCAGTATGATTTTCTGACTTTACACAACCAAAAAAAGCACTTTAGGGGTGGGGCTGCATCTGGAGGCGTTGCATTCTGTTTTGTTCTCTTTATTTTCTTTGTTTCCTGGGTCACTGGGTTTTACCAATGTGATGGTCATATCAAGGTAGACCGGATTGGCATCACACATCCATGGTCAGCACCGTTGTGCAATGCATTTGTCGAGAATAGACGGAAGAGGAGTTGTACCTGCATATTAGACTTTGATCAAGATAGAGAGGGAGGTCTAACCGGTTGAAGGTCTTCCGGTAGACCATCATGACTTGATGGCTTGGAGCTGGTTAATGATGTTTGCCTATATTTTTATTTGTGCCACCTTGAGTGAAGTGAATACATGCATGCGTTGACTGTTATGGATATGTGTATGTTTGTTTTGTAAGGCTGCTACTGCTACGTCAAGCCTTTCTTTATGGAGACGTGTCTATTAAATTTGTTCGGCATTTATGCCCTCTATAATCCGTAGTTACACAACCCAATGGGCTAGTTACCCTCCTTCTCGTTCTTCTCGACAGTGACAATTTTTGGCGTGTACTTGTCCAGCTCAGCCTTGGCCTCTTCAGTTGGAGTTAAGCCAAGTGATTTCTCAAGAGGATCAGTCAAGGCGAGCCCCGCCGCACCCCAAGCGATGATGGCAACACCAACGCCGAGACGGGTCCTGGGCGAGAGATTCTTGAAGGTCCTAATTGTTGTGAGCAAAGAAGCATTGGGGAGTGTGACGTTGGCAGGGACTCGCGTACCTGAGCATGGCGGTTTGATGATTTGAGGAGCGAGACAAATCTATATTTTACATTGCCCAGATCACCTATGAGATGTGAGTTTAGAGGAGGACTTTTGGTGTGCAGTCAAGGGGCTGAGAATTGTTGACACTCACTTTTTAACGCTTCAGTGATGCGAATGAAGCGAGTGCGAATACTCTGTACTAGGCACCTATTAAAGCTGAAGTTGGATTTGCGGATGAGAAATGAATTGAGGTGGATGAAAAGCGAGCGAGGCTTGAGGCGGAAAAGCGCATGATATGATAGGTCAGCCTGAAGCTTAAGCGTACCTACCTACACTACAGGCAGGCTCAGGCTTAGGCTCAGGCTCTCTCTCTCTCTCTCCTCTTGCTCTCTCCTCTCTTACTATCACCAGTTAAGCTTCGCTAAGATTGTATCGATGCCGTCGCGACTGTTTTAAAAGACGAAATAGATTTGTAAAAACTCGTGATAATACCAATAACAATAACAATACCAACACCTTCAAACCATCCGCTTGTCTACGGTGGAAAGTCGAAGCCATGGCCACCCTTCACGAAAGGGCATCGTCATCGTCATCACCACATCCCCGCCTTATACACCTCCCATACGAACTCATCAACAACATCGCCGCCTTTCTCACTCGGCAGGACTTTATAAACTTTCGGCTTTCTTCTCGTATAGTTTCCGCATGCACAACGCCACTGCTTGCTTTGACCTGTTTCGATGGCGTGCCGTGGAGAACGGACGGCAAAAGACTCCACGAACTGTCCCACATACCAAGCTGCGCAAGACGGATACGTTCTGTCAAGTTTAATATGGCACGTATGGTTGAGGAAGAGGTTGAGTACGCTACGTCTCGGTTTATAAACGCGGATGAGCTCAACCGAAGATGGGGTTCTTATCTCATGACTCAAGACATCTTCCTTGGACCAATCGAGTTACCACTCGACTTGGTAATTCCCGCATTGAAGCGACTGCCAAACCTCAATACCATTTGTTTGACGTGGACACATTGTCCATGGGAAGATCACTTCGACATATCTGACGTCTTTGACCGAGAAAAGTCTCTGGAAATGGCAAGCAATGAGATATACGATACACAGGATGCTGTCCTGGAGGCGCTGCTCCAGCGCAATACGCCTATGAAGAGCTTGACTATCGAGCCATTCTTGCATACGGAGCTGACTATACCATCTGGTCTGAAGGCCAATGTCTCGACGGTTTTAGGGTCTGTGACTCAGCTACACTTGGAAGTCCAGTATGAAATCGGTTTATTTGAACCAAAACGTCTTGACGACTGGATATCACTCATGCCCAACATACGAGACCTTCGTGTGCATTCTTGCCCGGTGAATAACCCGGCTCCAGATATCGACTTTTTCATCACCAAGAGGCTCAAAAATCTCGAGAAGCTCGACCTGTCCTGCCTCCAATTCAACTTTGTCAACTTCTCCCGCTTGATCACGAACCACGCCTCAACACTCAAAGAGGTCAGGCTAGAATCTCTATGGGGCTGGTGTGACCCCTTCAGCGCAGAAGAAATCGACTGGGATATGATGTTCCAGCTGATGAATAAGAAGTTGGAGGTCCTGGAAAATGTGCGGATCAATGGCACTTTTAGTGACAACGTGGGCTGGCACCAACTATTCTTTCACGGAGACCTGATTTGGGCAGAGGCACTGGCCAGGATAATGGGAGAGATTAGTGAGCCTCTTGAGACGTTTATCTTGAAGGGAGGAGAGTATCCCCGTCCACGATGGATCATTTGAAGTGGTTGTGGTCGATTTTAGGGAACATTTGGCAAATGCGGCATCATGTTAATAAGGTAAGCTACTTGATGTACAAGAGTATATGCATAGGTGGGCATATTATCAACCGCACGCTGTCGAGCGAATACGTATCACGGAAATCGGTTTAAATATCGACGCAACAAACGTGAGTTGTCAGTTTGCAGAACGATCACCGACGCTAAATCTACTTTTTACTGATATCCCCAGAGCAATTTACCTAGCACGTCATCCAAACGCAAATTGCATTCTGGGGAAGGAAGCTACTGTACTTCATAGGTAGCCACAAGACGTTGTGCCCAAAGGTACAAGGAAGCCCTGGGATGGCGAGAGAAGGTCTCTCAATCAAGAACACCCCAGAGCTTGGCCCTCTTAGCTCTTCCAGTAAAATAATACAGGCAAAGGGAGGGAGAAAAAGGAAAGAAAAACGAAAAAGATTCTACGTGATATGAATCTGTACTTGGATTTGCTTCTTGGGCAAATTTGTCTCAAACGACGAACTTGTCTCATATCACAGTCGGTCAACATCCGCAGTAGAGGTGCGTCGGGGGACAATTTGTCCGTAGAGATCAAACTTCTTCTTTTATATCTTAGTTTAATTATTCAACTGGAACAATCATATAATACCACAAAAAAGAAAAGAATTATTGAAGAATATGTACTCTATGGAGCTAGTGACCCAATCACGCAAACAATGCCCAGTACTGCAAGCCTTGTTTCAGAAATATTCCCTTTTGAGGCGGCACGAGGGCAGTTGGAATGGTGGGATAAGGACCAGACTTCTAGGGAGAGGGATGGAGACAAGAGGCAATGTTCAAATGTAAGGCGATGTGATGCAATGAAAAGATAGACGAGGCTGGTTACACGTGGCTGATGAGGCGTGTGTAGAGCTATGAGACCGTGTCGAAAAGCTTGGTAGCACGGATAAACGCTTGGAATTGCTGGGTTAACTATGGAATTTCTCTTTATTCGACCGTTGACAAAGGGCCAGGAGGGCTACGTTGTCTACGCCTAGGTAAGCAGTGGTAGAAAAAATGTCAGTGTTGGATGAGTTAAAGTTAATATGGGACTTGTTAATAAAACGTTTTATGCACGATATAAATGAGCAAAACTAGCAAGCCCCGTCTCCCAAGCAGCGATACAGTGGAAAAAGAAACCATATGTATGTCTAGCATGCGTGCGAATCCCTCAATGTAACGAATGAAATTACATTATGATTCTTTGGGGACTTTTGTATGTGGCCTTCTTTTGAGACAAGGTTAATAAACCGTTAGATATAATTTAGCAGAAGAAAGAAAAAAGACCAACGCATCTCGGCTACTCAAGGGATCCTTGAATTGAAAACGAAGAAAACGACGCTTCTTTGTTGATCCGATCTGATAATATAATCCCTGCAATTCTCCAAGAATAATAAGACGACCCGCTCATTAATCTATCAAGATGGGCTCCAGTAACATCGAGCATGCGCGTGCGTTTGTAAACTCGGCTACTCGGACATTACCATCCCCTTGTTCCGGTATAAAGTATGGATAAATATAGTTAAATATAGTCAAAATTGTAAATTAATAATTGCAGTTTTGTCATTGATATGTGTCTTGGCTTTTGGACGCCCAGTCCGACTTTCCGCCTCAAGGAGGGCTGCGAATCTCGAACTGGAATGCGAATATCCAAGGACATGGGTTGTTTATTTCCCGTTTGCACGTCATGCCATGCGCCTGGTAGTTATCTGTTATCAGGTAGTTCTACGACACGGGACAATAAAGTTGGTGTTTTGAGTCTGATTTGTGACATGTACGGAAAGATGTAGATGTAACCTACAGGTACTGTCTTTTATACAGTAGCAACTCGTAAGGAGGAACCCGGTTGAAGAGAGTGACATCCCGGCCGCGGAAGACAAGACCGTTACGTTAAATTAAGTTAGCTTCAACGTTGGTTGGACCGTGTTTTGCATGCTACGTAGTGCGCCACGGCACATTGTGGTGTTGATTGATCAAGGGCACTTGCTTTGCTCTTCACTCGAGATTCTGGGGATTGGGGCAGATTTTGGTAAGTTGTCTCTTCCGACTGGTTAATCGTATTTCTGGTTTGTTACAATACTGTAACAATTAATCAACCAATCAATCAAGACAACACCATTTAATTGGCTGGCTCTTGTAATGCTTTCTGCACATTCCTGAGTCAGGCACAGCATTGTTAGTATCACTACCTACCTATCAACGGCACAGCACCAGGCGTTTGAGTTTTTCTTGTTTCCTTTTTATGCTCTTTTGCTCTTTTGCTCTTTTGCTCTTGTTCTGGTCCATTTTTGCTACTGCGTCTCGCATATAGTAACATTCAAAACCAATTCTAGCTGGTTGACTGACTATCCGTCTGATATGTGACGGTTGCATGTTTAACGTATGTGGTTTCGGACAGTATACTGTGAACAGAGGCGACACTCCAAACCGAGGACGACCCCATTGAGACATGTAGGAATGCATTTGCTGTTCCCTCTGGAGGTTTTCATAGGCCCCCCATCACCAGTTTCCTTCACAGAATCCCAGGATTGGTCGGCTTCTGGGCAGGGGTCGCGTGGCTTGCAAGTAGAGACAAGACAATATGAGGCAGACCAAAGGGCGAAGACTCAGAAAGACGGATAGAGAGACAGAGACATGGGAAGTCGCCTTCTCTTAGCACAAAACGCTTTTGTAGGTGGAATCTATATAGAACGAGGGGGTTATGCGTCGGAATGCGAAGCTTGAAGACAAGAAAGCCCTTGAAGCCTCTTCTCCCTCCTGTCCTGTCTCCCCCTTACTCCAATCTCGAGGGCATCCAGCCATTGTCATATCTCGCGATCATACAAAGACGAAATATATTTTACTTAACGATCTCGATCTCGACCGCACTATTATCACTCACACCTCTCTTAAGCCTTTTTCTTTGTCTTTGTTTTGTGGTTTTTGTAATTTGATTTTTGGAAGAGCATGTTCAGACCTATACGATACGATACGATACATACAGCCAGCCTTGTTATAGACAGGAAGTGAATTGGAAGAGGACAGGAAATGAGAGCAGCAGCCGTTGGGGGCACAAGAAGAACGTTGCTCAAACAGGTACGATCACTTCTTTTGTCTCGTTTTTCTCTTTCTTTCAATCCTTGTCTATGAGTCGACTATCGCAAGTTAAGTCGAGTCGAGTCGAGCGACAACCATTGCCAACCTTCAAACCTCCGACGGGCAATGATACCGCACATCAAAGGCCCATAGAGATACCGACATCCAATCCGGGATCTGCTGTACCTTTCGGGGACAGGCTGGCTGGGCACAGCAAACGAGAGCAATCAATTAAGCATCGTCACACACGCATTCAGTCACACACATACATACATATACACACGCACCCATATGCAAGCATGTGCAGGGCCACCTGCACCATCTCGAACCTGAATTTGACGGGGACTGGGCTGACAAAATATGCTGCAGCAGAGCTGGACCTTGTTCTAGCTAGGTAGTTCCCCATGACGGCGCGCAAGAAGAAGCTGAGCATCAGCAGCATTGGAGGGAGTAATAAGAAGGATAACATGAAGGGCAATGGGAAGAGCAGTGGAAATGGAAGCAGCTGGGGCTTTGGACGTTGGGGCTCTACTAAATCGGCTTCTACGAGCACAAATAGCTCTGTAAGTTGTTCTTATTTTCTTTTTGTTTATGCTCACAGTTGAGCCTTTCGCATCTTGTCTCTTGTCCCTCTCAAGGATACTCCAAATTCGCATGTGCTTCCTTTCCTTCTACCCACCCACTCAATCCTTCCCGACCCCCCTTCATGCAATCGGTAAACACTCAAGGCTGCAGTGAAGCATCTTCTGCCCAACGCCTTACTCAGTCAGGTTGCACGGGCGGGCGGTCATAAAAAACTAGCCTTAGGGGGCGTTTTAGTCCCTGGAAGTCTTTTTTTTTGGAGGCTGAATTTTGTGGTTCGTGATTCCGTTATTAGCGTACCTACAGTAGGAGGCCCGGCCCCTAGGTGTTCCCTGAAGCGAGGCGGGAGAAAGAGAGAAGAAGACCAAAAAAAAAAGACGACGATCTATTAGTGAGGAAGTTTTTGAGTTCGTTGAAGTCAATTGATATGAGGGAAGCGAATCAAATCAAATCAACAAATCAAAAGAGACAAATTGGCCAATCCAAAGCAATTATCCTGCCTACCTCAAGCAACACAGCACAACACAGCACAGCACAGCACTCTTTCCCCTCTCTTCAAAAAAAGAGCCCTGTCGTGGAATCCATCGCTCACCCTCAATTTTGTCTTGTTCCCTACTTTTGTCCTTAGCTCTTTGATCGGAGTCTCACCTTGACCTGGGGGGCAGGCTTGTTCAAAGCGGATCATCCTTCTCTCTGTTTTTCTCACTTTCAAAGCTTCTTCTTCCTTTTGCTTGCTTGCTTGTCTACCTGTCCCTGTCTTCCCCTGCTTGTATCCTTGCAAAGAAACCTGTCGGGTCCCGATGGCTCAGCGGCCCACGACACCCACCCGCCCGCGCTGACAGGTCACACCCAAGCACGCTTTTCCATCCTCGCTCTCACTCTCACCCTCTTCCCGAACTTGGAAGTGGACTAATAACATCAATTCGTTCCAGGGAGCCACTTCGTCTGCTTCAGTGCCTTCTACTGCTGGCGCTACTGCTGCAACCGCTAGCTCGTGCCCGAATTCAGGTTCGACTTCAAGTCCCTGCCCATGCCCGAGCGCTGGACAGATTCAAGGACAATCGCACACCCACTCCCACGGCCACGGCGGCCTTGGCCATGGCCACGGACACTACTTTCGCTCTAATCATAATCATACCCATAGCCATAACCTTCAGCAACATCAACATCAACATCAGCACACCAGCTCGGCCCCTTCTCACGCTTCTGTCGCCGCTTACAACTCGGCTCTAAACAAGCCTGTCGTCACTGTCTCTGTCGCTCCTCTCTCCGACTCTAATTCTGTCTCTTCCGTCTCTTCCTCTTCTACTTCGACTACAGCATCTACACCAACATCCTACCGTTCGCCTACCACCACCGCTACCAACACCCCGGTCTCGTCTCCTGCCTCATCTACCACCTCTCCAACTCCGAGATCGACGCCAACATTCGCTACTCCGGCATCCTCTACCAGGTCCGGATCAAAGAGGACCGTTCACTTTCGCTCCGGCACAAGCATCTCTGCCAACACCAATAACAATAGCGCGCCCTGCATCCCCATCCTCTCTGTCGTGCCTCCGCCTGGCCAAGACGGCGGCGACGGAGAGGCAAGACGGCCCGCCATGCAGAGAGTTTCTGCCTTTCTCCCCTCGTGGGACAAGAGGTCCTCAAATTCCAGAGCAGGCTTGTTTGGCTGGTCCTCAAACCGCTCTAGCACCTCAATATCAGTCGCAAACTCAAATTCCTTGTCAAGGATAAACACCTCGGCTGCTAATGCGAGTGGCCGAGTCCAGCGGGAAGCTTTCTGGCCTGCGACTCTCGATCTTGAATGCGAAAAGGCTGCTCGCATCCTCAAGTCGTTCTCCAGTATGCTTGTCTCACCTTCCCGTAAGCCTCATTTCACTGACATGCCATCGCAGCCGACGGATATTTGGTTCCATTAGAAGAAGAAGACGATGCACAATCGACAACGAGCGAACCACGGTCTCCCAAACGAGTCACCAAGAAGATCCCCAAGCGCATTATTCAGAATGCCGCCGGAATCGCAATCTTCACATGTATGCGCAGTGGTCTGTATATGACAGGCTCCGGCGGTTCCGGTATCCTCATCGCTCGAAAATCCGACGGTACCTGGTCGCCGCCATCCGGAATCATGCTACATACGCCCACACTCAGCTTCATCATTGGCGTTGATGTTTACGATTGCGTTCTCGTTGTCAACAATCTTGCTGCTCTCGAATCACTCACAAAACCCCGTGTTACACTCGGCGAGGATGTCGGTCTTACAAGTGGTCCCTTGGTGTCTTTAGATTCAGATGAGTCGCACATAAAGTGGAAGGACCTGGGTAACACCGTATTTACGTACCTGAAAGCGCGGGGTCAAAATCAGGTGGTTAATCTGAATGGATGCATTCTGGCTGAGAGAGGAAACGAGAATGAGCGCTTCTATAACAGCCCAGTCACGCAGATGGATGTTCTGGCTGGCAACGTCGCTCGTCAAGTGGACGAAGTAGGGCCGCTTTCAGAGGTTATCAAAATGGCCGAGGGTAGGACAGACTTCGATGCCTCTGTGATTAGTAGGATCGCGGCCGAATGCGCGCCAGGAGACGCCATGATCGCGTCACCCAAGTCATCGACACCCGCCTCACCTCGGACTGCCTTCGGTATCCCCAACCTCGACGATCCTGACCCTTTTGGCGTTCTGGCTCTCGAAATGGCTGGTCTAGAAATCAGGGAGGCAGGCTCAAGATTGCGACCTACCAGTAGCCAATTTGACTTCAACCCCGCGCCTACAAGCCCAGCCTTCTCCAAATTCAACAGACAGAGTGTGGATACGTTTGTCTCCAAGAGCAACCGAAACAGTTATATGTCTTCGCGAACGGTCAAGAGTCAAATGACAGATGCTGGAACACAGACAGATGTTGGCGCAACACCCGAGACAACGCCTAGCCCAGGTCAGAGCGAGGATGGATTTGACAGGTCTACCCGCACGCAAATTCCCGAGGTTACGGAGGAAGAAGAGGAGGTCGATTACACAAAAGTCGATCTGACACCAATAAGGCATCTGAGTGGAGCGCACACCCCTCTCAGTACAACCAGTCACAACAGCACAACCGCTGTGGAACACGACACACTCAAGGTCGAACCAAGGGATGACACTGACAAAGCCTCGAGCAATTATGATAGCGACAGGGATGACAAGAGCAGCCGAAATGCCGGAGACGACTCTGAAAGTGAGGCGGAGGTGGAGGCAGAGGAGGACGAGGAAGAGGAGGAACCTGTGGTGTTTGAGGTTGCTGCTGTGCAGCCGGCAAGGACCCAGGCTGTTGCATCCCGCATGATCCACGCCAAGGGCAGCATGGTCACCATCCCCAAGAGAATCCCCCCTCCCCTGCCCATGAGGAGCCCTGCTAGGACATCGCGATCCAGTAAGAGCGAGATTGGCGATGTGTCAAACCTTCGAAGCCCTCTACGAAAGCAAGCTTTCAGCGAGGAAGATCTTGTATCAGAGGATGAGCAGGCAACCTCCGAGTCTTCTCCTTATCTGAAGCCCGGAGAGTTCAAGGTTGAGAAGGCGGTCCGAGTCGAGGCCAAGAAGATCGAGGAGCATAAGCCTGAGGCAGTCAAGATTGACGAGCAAGAGTCTGAGGACGACAACTCGTCGGATTCTGATGTTGAGTTCTTCCAAGCCGAGGAGGTCAAGATGGACAGCACCAAGACCGAGGAGCCCCAGGCGAAGGAGTCTGAAGCCAAGTCTGCAAAACTTGACGAGCCCCGGGAGGAGCTCCAGGAGGAGCGCCCCGCCAGCCCCGGCACTCCTGAGAAGAAGCACACTTCATCTGTTTACACCGGAGTGACTGATGATCGATGGAGTATGGATGGCTCAACACTGACAACGCCTACTTCGGACCGACCGTTCTCGATCATCGATGATATGACTGAGGACGATACGCCAAGGAAGCCAACAAAAGAAGTTGAGCCTGTGGTGATGAACGAGAAGCATGATGAACTGAAGAAGATTGCATCAAACGAGGCAACCCCCAACACGATCACGGTTGTATAATTGAGGACGGCACGACGACTTTACAGCGGTAAACGGGACACGGCGCATGACTTGAGCTTTTTCATGGGTAATTAATCACTCGGGTGGTTTTTCTTCTTTCCTCATTCTTTCTCTTCTTTTTTGGGAGAGAAGTTTTGCGCATTCTTGTCCATATTTTGGTGAAAATGTACGTTATGATGGGTTCTTTGTGTGAAACGGGTTGACTTTTAAACCTGGTTGGCGTTTATTTGGAACGGGATGGTTGTGGCCAGCCCATCAGTGCCTCGAGCAGCGAAGAGCTGATACCAGCTCGAGGTGCAACTGATGGGAAGAATTGGTACTGTTGAGGTACTTGATGTGTGACGGGACGGGATGGGACGAGATGAGACGTGATTGAACAGGAAGGGATAGGGCATAGCTCGAACATGTGGATAAAAAGGGTCCTTGTACTATGGAAGCAAGTGATGTCTGTACCTGGAGTTGTTGGTTTGAAGCCCTGGCATGACCTGGTGTTTATTGGTGGGAAGGTCAGACAGACTACGATAAAGTATTATTCTTAATGCTATTGAATAGATACAATACGAAACTAAAAGCTTATACTATTGAATGATTCTTATTTATTGACAGTGTTGTCCCAATTGTACTTATACAATGGTCTGTTTGGCTGGCACTGGCAGCCAGTTCTGTACGTAGACTGTTTGCTGCCGAACCACCTGCCTGCGTCAACAGCACCAGAGAAAGAGATAAACAAAGGAAAATGAGCAGTCTATCATTTTCATCTTTCCACACACAAGATATATCTTTGTTTTGGCTTTTGACCTGTATTTAGATGACTTGGAAGACCTAGAACAAGATGAAGATGGCGTCTCATACAACGCCTACCAAGAAGGACACAGAAGGTCACGTGCCATCACCAGCCGCTGCTTCAGATGCTGGTGCGACACCAGCCACACCTGTCGCGTCGACGCACCGGTACAAGCTGCGGGCGCGCAAACCTCGAGAAGGCTCGCCTACGCCTACACCATCGCGACGCAACAACGGCTCTGTTACGCCGTCACCGTTCAAACACCACTACCACCGCTACAGCGGCACCGAATTCAACCTAAGCGCAAGTGCTAGGAACTTCAGAGCTCGCACAATGTCTGGCACGGCGGGCAAATGGCGCGAGGAGCAGGTCCTCATCATCTGCCCCGGCACCCACACCACTATGGCTCAGCTGGGATGCAGCGAGTTGACGCCTCCTACGCGGCGCATGCCTACGAGGATGTTCAAAGAGGGCGAGCATTGGGCGCCTTACCACAAGACGAAGCGCACCGCCATAGTCAATGGCGTTGAGGAGGAGGAGTGGCTGGAGGATGTTGATGAGGATGAGGGAGCTGTGTATCCCATTGAAGGTAGCTATAACCAGCCGCTAGAATTTTGCAACTAATTGAGGTACTCAATGCTAATCGCCCATGTAGCTGGTCGCATTGTCAACATGAGCGCACTCCTCGCATTCCTCGACCATGTTCACGGCCTGCTTACAACCACATATCACAACACCCCCATCATGCTCATGGCTTCACCGCAATGGACCCGACCCGACTGCGAGACCATCGCCCGATACGTTTTTGAAAACACGAGAACACCCGCCCTATGCATAATCCACAGCGGAATCGCTACGCAGTATGGCCTGAAGTGGCCCAACATGACTGTGGTCGATATCGGCTTCCAAAAGGTCGACGTTACGGCAATCCACGACGGGCGAGTCGTGAATCACATGGATGTTGGTGCATCCGAGGCAGATGGGGAAATCAGCGGAGGCGAGGCCTTCACCCGAAACTTGGTCAAGCTACTCCAAGAGAAGGGCTTCAACCGGGATATGGCAGAACAACTCAAGAAGAGCAACATTTGCGAGGTACTGCCTTATAATGCCGCCGAGGACGAATTGATGCTGCTCCCCAAGGAAAACACTTCGGGTGCATCAGCAGGTCTACCGGCGCCCGCAGCCGTTCTTGAGGCTGCCACAAAAGCCCCTGACGTGGCCAAAATTACAGATCTTGAGGATGGTGAAGAAGGCACCGGTAACGCAGACGATGATGGCGTGCTAGACGTGGCAGCTATTGTTACGAGTGGTCAGACAAAGGAGTTCCTTGCTAAAAAGGAGAAGGAAAAGGAGAAGGAGAAGGGTAAGGGTGGTAGAAAGAAGGGCGAGAAGGAGGCTGAGGGCGCTGCAAGGAACGCTCGTTTACCGAACTCTAAGAGAACACACAACATCTTTTTCTACGAGGAGATTGTCCAAGAAGATGTTCCTCCACCAACGAAGGAGAAGGAGAATGTCGAGGATGCTACAAATGGTACCAATGGCACCAATGGCACAACGGAGGCTCCCAAGCCTGAGGGCGAGACCAATGGAGCCCAACCCCCAGCAGGAGAAAATGCGACCGCGCCTACGACAGAAGCTCCCAAGCCAGTAGAAGGCCAAGAACCAACACAGTCGATAGAGCCCAAGCCCGCATCCGAGCCTAAGCCTGAAGTTCAATCGACAACCGAGACGCCCGAGAAGCGACCAAAGCGCATCCGTCGAGATGTTGAGGTCGGCCTGGAGCGATTCAAGTTCGCCCAGCGACGTGAGATCGACCGTATTGTCAGCGCTATTTATCGCACCGTCCAGGGTATCGATGATATGTATATGCGACCAGCCTGCTGGGACAACCTCGTCTTCGTCGGTAACGGTGCTCGTCTTCGCGGTCTCCGGGAGAACATCCTCCAGACTCTCAATGCCCGCCACCTCGTCTCCCCTTCTACAGCCACCATATTCACCTCCGAGCTGCCCTCTAACATGGCCACGCCTACTGGCACTGGCGCCCAGACCCCAACGGGCTCTTTCACCGGCGCGCCACACCAGCTGTCTACAAGCGGCGTGAACCCTCTCCTTCAGGCCGCCACTACAGCCGCCGCTGCTGGCACCACCGGTAACAACATGGTCGGCACGCCGCAGCCCGCCTCCGAGGCTGGAGGCCCCGCTACGACTCATCACTTCCACAGCCAGACCCCCACAAGCATTAAGACTGCGTCTCTGCCTTCGTACCTGAGCGAGTGGACCAAGAACGGCTTCGAGGAATCCATGTTCCTCGGCGCCCAGGTCGCTGCACGCATTGCGTTTTGCTTGCACTCGAACATGGACGCCCAGACCATTGAGGCTCAGCGGCTTATGAGTTTGAGCAGAGTTGATTACAAGTAAGTACCCGATCCCCCCTTTTTTTATATAGATGAATTACTGACAACACAAAAAAGTGAACTTGGCCCCAAGGGCATTCGCACGCACTCAATGCTTGGCTAGACGATAGACGACCATACTGAGCTGAATGCTTTTCTGTCATTATACGGGTTTCTCGTTCACATCGCCTCGGCCAAGGCTTTTACAACGTGGACTTGAGAGGAGTTTTAAAGGGACCAGCGAAATGGTAAATAGCAGGATGCAAAATGAAATGAGCAGAGAAAAGCTGAGAGGCAGAGCAGCGATGAGATAATACCATAGATTCAAATATGCTGTACGAATATTTTCGATATTATGTTGCTCGAACTAGACTGCCATGAACCATGAAGCGTTACCAAATATACCATGGCAGGCGCCAAAATATGATCCCCTCATTCTTCTTATCCGAAACCATTATGTCAATACAGTTGCATTATACCTATCATGTCCTTGGACTATTATAGGTCTCCATTTACAGCGCAATCGTGAACATTCAATCATCCATCAACCTTTTTCAACTTTCCATCCATAAGAATCAGGGTTCAACAAAAACCAACAGTGCTTGCTTGACTCCGTTGATGCACTGTACCGAAGTCCGAGGACTTGGACCTCCCCAAAGCCGGATGCCACTAACCCGCAGCATTTCGGATTCTGGCCTCGTCTGCGGCCTTGTGCCAGTCGGTTCGGAATAGATAGATGTACTCAATGGATGCGACACTTCCAAAATGTTAGCGAATGTGACGTTTAATACACACCTTTTCAACTTACGTGATTGTTCCAAGCGTGACTCCAACCCACAAGCCACTCAGCTTCCAATCGAAACCAAAAGCCAAAATGAGCGAGCATGGAAGAGACAGGGCGTAATAGGCGATAATGTTGGCAGGGCCGCCAATGGATTGCTTGCCGATGCCTCGAAGTAATCCGTGGGCACCTGCTGCGAGACCATCAAACACTTGCATGACAGACACAATGGGCATGACTGCAGCAACAAGCTTGATGACATCTTCGTCCTTGGTAAACAAGAGCGGTAATTGGTAACGCAGAGTGGTATAAATAGTCAGGTTGAACATGCCTATAACACAAGCAGCAACGAAAGCCTAAGGATTGTTAGTTGATAGCCCGATCTTCAGGTTAAGATCAATCTTACCACAGCACCTGTCATCTTGGCTGGTTCGACAAGACCAGCCCCAATCAAGTTGGCAATGCGAGTCGAAGCAGCGATAGACATAGGGAAGGGGATCTCATACGAGAGCGTTGTGATTGTAGTCACAACACTCTGTGCAGCCAGATATTCGGGTCCGAATCGACTTGAGAGTAGCGTAAGAATCTCGAATGCTAGCCATTCGGCTTCTACCATGATCATGCCGGGTAAAGCAAGTCGAATCATGATCCACCAGTTACTGAGGGCTCGTCGGCTGAAACCGCCCCAGCATTGTCGCCCGTTAACGAATCGAACGTACAGGAAAAGGAATATAGGGAGAAGATTGGTGCTGATAGCTACAGCTGTAGGAGCTCCAATGAAACCCCACTGCAGCTTCCAAACCAAGAGCCAGCTCAGGAAGACGTTGAAAGGTGCAACGATAAGGAGAACATAAGTCGTAGCACGGAAGAGACCCTGAGCTTGGGTAAATCGCTTACCACCCTCAAACAGGATGAATCCCGGAATGCTAAAGATCATGACCCTGAGGTACATGCCAGCAAGTCGAGCTGATTCGGGCTCGGGGACGATGGCCCGAATAATACCTTCAGAAAACCACCACAACAAAGCCACAGGGAAGCCAAGAACAAAAAGGAAGCAGGTCATGCGCTGGAATTGCAGTCCAACAAGATGCTTGTGACCAGATCCGTATGCTTGAGCGCACAAAGTATCAAGAGAGGTGGCAAGGCCTTGGAACGGAGCCAAACAAGTAATGGCCGCGGTCATGTTGGCCACTGGATAAGAAGTTAGCCTCAAGATGCACTTCTCCTCAACAAGTACCAGTTAGTTGACTTACAAGAAACAGCACCAAGTTCAAGCTTGCCAATTCGTCCAACAGCGAAGATGCTGGTGACATTGATAGAGTATTGTAGGAGGAAGGTGACGATGAGCGGCACTGAATAGGTTACGATGGTTTTGGCTTCTCGTTGCCAAGTTGTCTTAATTCGATGCTCTGCCACGGCGTTTTCCCAGGCGTCGTTGAGATGCTCAGTCACACTTTCGTCGGTCTGAGATCCCAAGAGAGGATCCGTTTCGCCAGGAGGTGGCGCCGTGCCAGCGGGTGTCCCTTCCTCGTCCTGTGGTATCTTTGTGCTAAAAAGACGACGATAGATGCGAGTGAAGGGGCCATCTCGACGACGATATCCATGCTTTGGAGGAAGAACATGATTGTCGCGGAGCAAACTTCGCTCGGCGTTGCGAGATTGCTTCCTCTCTAAAGCTGTCAAGCCTGGCTCATCATAGGTTTGAGGGTTCATAATTGGCCGTGAACCTCCGAAAGCAACACCGCTGGGCCGACGATACATGATGGGATCACCCTGGAGGTCAGACACAGAGACGTCGTCATCAATCGCATTGTCGTCGAACTCATCATCTGAGCACTCGGCAAGATCCGCAGCCAGAGCTGCCTCAGCTAGAGGTGAACCGACACGCCATGAAGACGACAAGGCAGCATGTGCGCCAGGACCGCGCGGAGTGCCAAAAGGCGAAACTCCAGCTCCCCTTCCTATCGAGTCCATTTCGACTCAAATAGCTGCTATAGCGAGAATCGCTTATCAAGTAGACGTAGATTCAGATGACAATTCTGCAGGGTTCACGCGAAAAAAAGACTTCTTCAGAGTGCAACAAGGAACGCCACTGGTCAAATGGTGGAGTAGAAAAAGCTGAGTGGAATAATGTAATCAAAACGAGTTCAATTGTGCTCTTCAACTGGACATGCACTGATGACAATGCGTAGGCTGCGATGCTAGGAGAGAAGAAGAGAACAAAGCCGGAACAGGGCAAGACGAGAGGAGGCTGTATATAGGTATAAACTATATCCGTAGCTGTCGCCAAATCACTAGACCCGATTGAAAAGAGGCAATGAGCCCGTTTTCGCACTTCGCCGACTTAATTTTTCTGGCTAGCGTTCAAGTCAGACCCGCCTTGCCACAGTAAAAGGCGCCATTGAAATGCCGTGAAGGCTGCTGACCCTTGCCAGGTGGAGTCTTACCCGTTCAGGTCAAAGACGTGCAACTTTCGATTCACCATATCATGATAGGTGCATCTCAGCCTCTTGACATGATGCGGGGGTGGATCGTCGATAAGGGTCGTACATCGTGCATGGTTGTGGTTTCTGATGCTTGACGACCAACGGCGTGTCTCGGCCCGGCTGGTGTGATGAGGCTCTCAATTAAAGATTCCATATAAATAAACATTTCGTGTCAAGCGATTGGTCAAGTTCCGGCCAAGCCTGCAGCCTTATCATGACTTCCAATATCATGAGTTCGTCTATCAGACCCAATACTGCCCCGCCCAGTCTGGCTCTCCATGAGACATTGAAGCGACCCAAGGGATTTCATCGCTACCGTACCGTTGCAGTGGAGTGTTGTACGGTATGCGCAACCCAATTTTCGATTGAGTTTCCGCCTCATGGCCCGAGTTTTGTGTAACCTCTGGCAAATCTGATTTAAAAGTGCCTATCATGATTGAACCCGGCCTCAAAAGCTCTGGCCATACCAAGACTCCAATCTCATATGATGCGATGCGCATCTCACCAGTTGGTCTGGCTGCCTCACCCCAGGCTTGTTTTGAAATGTTGGCCGATGTTAGAAGACCCCAGTCTATGCACGATTCGTTTGACCGAATGTACGTCTTGATATGTGGAGCTGCCCTCTTGCGGCCACTCTCCTGTAAAGAGGTATTGTTGGGAAGTTCTTGGAAATTGTTAAATAGTATTCGGAGGCGTGATGGAACTCAACTCACTAGCACCCTTGGGGGAATCGTTGGCCCAATGATGGAAAATTGGGCGAAGATATTCGAGTTGCTTCGCTTGTTGTGACGATTGGATTTTGGTATGTATAGAACTCCCAGATGCGTATCCGTCCACTGACCGTCGAATCTCATCGGCCGTGGGAAAGACAACCTTGAACTTGGGCCGCTTGGGGTTCGAATTCTTGCAATGACTCAATGACTGAAAAAGGGTATTTTGCAACCAGTCATCCTTTGCCCCAAGTGTAGCAATTGATGATACCTGTACAGCAATGCTAGAGTCATCACAATCCCTACACGGGACATGGCGTAAAGATCTTTTCAAAGCGGCCCATCCCCAAGATGTCTCTGACATATCTTGCGCGTTATGCTTGCCTGGTATACTTGCAATGAGCGCAGCTCTGACGCTCGAAAAGTCATACTGCACAAGTTCATCGGCAAGGGGTTTGCAGGTAATCTTCCGCTTGTCATATGATCTCAAGTAGTTGATGAGATCGACTTTGAACCGCTCTCCGCTACCGATGGCATAATCGTCCGGGGAAGATGCAGAGTTCTGTAAGCTCGACGACTTGTGAAGTAAGGGCGATTGCCAGACGCCATTGCTCATGTTAGTCCAGTCCTTAGGGATCATATTAGCCGTATGGATGATGACTTGAGCTGTATTATCATGTCTGAAAATAATCATCATTTTGGAATGGTGCGTTCCGAACATTTCGGGCATGTGTGCTATATGGATATCAACGTTCTTGAAGTCCGCAGCAGCGTTCTATCGGCAATTAGCGAATGAACCTTTGAACACGTTTCATTCAGCTATTGTACCTCCAACGCTATTCGATTCTCATCTTCACGTTTCCAGAAACCGTGCACTACGTGAACCTTGACTAGATGACGTGTATCTGGATCGAATGCGTTCATTAGAAATGGGATGTCGTGTAAGAAATTGAATTCCCAGCATTCTGATATGAGGGGATCGCCTAGCAGGTCCCGTAGGCTTACGGCATCATTGTTGTCGCTTTCCGGCAGATCTCGAATCCAAGTTAGTTGCCACGGTGACTCGATTGTAGCTGGTTGTTTGTTCCTCTTTCTAGGAGGGCTTATAGAGCGCTCCAGCGATTCGGGTGCATGAGCATCAGGTTCTTCTGTTCGCTGGCGCTTGGCTGAGCGATCCATTGTGATGATATGACGAATGTAAGCTATGCGTAGAGTTTGTCGACTTGCTTTGTTGAAGGGAAGTGCTTTATTGAACAAGTAAAATGGCTTAAAATGGGAGCGATCTTCGAAGATAACTCGCTAACAAGGGCTGATAGGAGAAGCTTGGGATATGTTGAGTAGTCGCTCGTGAGGTAAGTACCATGTGCACCGTTTGTGTATGTGCGAGGGTGGGAAATGAACCAGACCTGTGTATCTCGGAGATAAAAACCCTTATATAGTGTGAAACAAACGAGACTGTCCTTTTCGGAGAATTTAGGTATGCTAAAACAGTGATGGTTATGAAGGAGCAGAAGTCGAAATAGTATCAGTTGCCCTTGGTAAAGGTGTCTAAGCTACCGACCTACGGTACTTCTTCCCTTGTCATTGAGAGGAAGCGGGACAACTTACAAGGCAACCGGGACCCAATGAGATGCAATACAAGTCAGACTCAGAATAACCCAGTCGACTTGTTAAGACGAGTATCTACCTCGGGTAAAAAACATCTTGCCAAATTCAGCCTCAGAAATATTATTTGATAAAAATCTTGGACTGAAATTCATAGCAGCTTCTAGTTCTCCTTTGTATCGTAAATGTGGTAACTCACGGTACTCACCTGCAACAGAAACACTTCCAAACCAAAGAAAGACAAGCGCGCAGCTCAAGTGGAGTGGCTTAGCAGGGGATCATGTCCTCCGTGTTGTGGCGTCGAGTTCCGATAGGGAACGTGGTCTCGAATTCGAATGCGCCTCCTGAAAGAGACCTTGTGTCCTCCTTTGATCCTCTTTTTATCTACAGTATCTATTCTCCTTTTTGCCCCTCATCAGCATCTACTGTTCGCGCCTGGTGAGCGTGATCGTGATCGTGGGATCGTTGTTTTCTGGCCATTTCTGTTTCTTTCTTTTCCATATTGCGATAACTTCAGGTTCCCCAGCTTCACCCTGTACGATCGCCGCTAGCTAATTGCTATCCGTACCACCTAATACGGTTCGACCTTGCTCCCGCTCTGTTGCGCTTCGCGCTTCGACATATTCTTAACTCTTCGACGGCCTGCGATCTCTACAACACTCACTGCTGTTTATTCTTCTTAGACACCTTATACTTTGGCGCTTCTAGCCCAGCATGCGTCTCTCTCCGCTTGCGATCCTTGCCGGGTTGGCAGCCCGTGGTTTGGCTGAAGAGGAGGCCAATCCGATAAAACCTTCGACGTTTAATGGGAAAACGGTACCACCACTCAAGGAGTTGACGCCGGCCAACTGGGAGGAAGAAATCAAGAAGAACAAATTTCTGATGGTGAAGCACTACAGGTATGCTGGTATTAAACAGACAGTGATTCCTTTGCTTACGAGTTATCAGTCCCTACTGTAAACATTGCACAAGATTCGCTCCGACCTTCCAGACCCTGTACGAATTCTATTATACTTCGAAACCCCCGGTTGAAGACCCAGATACCACATTCACAAAGTATTACGACTTGACGTTCGGTACCGTGAACTGCGTTGCCTACTATGACTTTTGTATGGATCACAACATCCAGTCATACCCGACCTCGATTCTGTATGAAGACGGAAAGGTATTCGAAACCCTGCGCGGAATCAAGAACATGACGACAATGACTGGCGCGGTTGAGAATGCGCTCGCCAAAACACACCCGGGTCGACCTGGGCTCACCGTATTGCCCAATCCTGGCGATACCACGTACCCTTCCCCAGAGGCTGATAAACAGGCTACGGAGCCTGTTGCTGAGAAGAAGGAAGCAGGAGCTCAGGGCGATGCCAAGGCGCCAGTGGAGAAGCCTGCGGGTGATGCTGAAAAGCCTCTCGATACCGCACCTGAGCCAGCTGGTAAGAACGCAGGCAAGTCTCTCGACGATGTCACCCAGATGCCCAAGGAAGCGGAGAAGTCAGACAAGACCGACTCAACTGAGAAGCCAGCAGAGGAATCTGTTGCTGCTAAAGCTGGTAGCCAAAACTCATTTGGCGCTGACTGGAAAGTACCAAGCACTGGTCAAATGCTCAAGAAGCCCAAGCCTAAGGACGACACACCCAAGTACAACCTAGAAGGTATCAGTGCTCCTTTGACCCCAGACAACTTCGATACCTTGGTCACGAACTCAAAGGACCCTTGGTTCATCAAATTTTATGCACCTTGGTGCTCTCACTGCAAGGCAATGGCTCCGACGTGGCAGCAATTGGCCAAGAACATGCAAGGAAAGCTCAACATCGGCGAGGTCAATTGTGAGGCGGACCATAAGCTTTGCACGCAAATGGGCGTTAAGGCGTTTCCTACTATTCTCTTCATGACTGGCGCAGAAAAGTCTGAATACAAGGGTCTCCGTGGGGTAGGTGACTTTGTTACATATGCAGAGGGGGCGCTCGAAGTCGCTGGTGGCGTTTCCGAAGTCGACGCCGAAAGCTTCAAGGAGCTCGAAAAGACCGAGGAAGTCCTCTTCGTCTACTTCTATGACCACGCCACTACGACAGAGGATTTCAAGGCACTAGACGCTCTGCCACTTAACCTTATCGGACGAGGCAAGATTGTCAAGACAAATGACCCTGCGCTATGCTCCAGGTTTAAGATCACAACTTGGCCCCGGCTCTTGGTCTCGCGAGAAGGACGTGCGACATACTATACTCCTATCACCCCTGATGAGATGAGAGATGTTGACTCGTTGGTCTCCTGGATGAAGTCAACATGGCTTCCACTTGTTCCTCAATTGACCGCCGTCAACGCCAAGCAGATCATGAGCCACAAGCTGGTTGTGCTCGCCATCCTCAAACGAGATGATGAGGACCGTCTGCAGAACTCGATCTCCGAGCTAAAGAATGCTGCCAATGAATGGGTTGATCGCCAAGTCCAAGAATTTCAACTCGAGCGTAAGAGGCTTCGAGATGCTAAGCAGATGCGAATCGAGGAGGCTCAGAGCCGGGATGACCAGCGAGGTCTTCGCAATGCCAAGGCTATCAAGATCGACATGGACTCTACCCGCCGTAAGGAGGTTGGCTTTGCCTGGGTCGACGGTATTTTCTGGCAGAGGTGGATTGCCAGCACATACAACATCGACGTGAGAGATGGTGAGCGAATCATCATCAACGAAGAAGACGTAAGACTCCCTGGTTTCTCTTTTTTTACAATCATTACTAACAATGCCATAGCGACACCAGTTCTGGGACACTACCCCTACGGGTAATCAGATCATGATTAGCCACACCTCCATCATGGATACTCTTGATAAGATTGTCTATGGTCCCAACCCCATTTCTCCCAAGTATACCATTGGCTCTTTTGCCAAATTCTTCTTCGACATCAAGATGAACTTTGTCGATCATCCATTTTTGTCCTTGGGCTTCGTTATTGCTGTTGCTTTCGGTGCCTACACTTGGTTCCGCAACCGCACCCGACGGTCTCGCGGCACCTTCTTCCGCATGGATGACTCCATGGGTCTCAAGGATGGACTTCTGGGACAGAATAGTAACGCCAAGTCTGACTAAGCACCGAAATCGTGCGAGATCAGTGTTGCTAAGGATCTAGTATAGGAGCAGATATGACCCTGATGCTTGCGGCTATATAGTCGTTGCAGACTAGCAGTGGCCAAATGTAAAAGAGGAGGGTTACTGGAATGGGCTATAACAAGATCTTCATGGTCATTTGTCGTCAAACTGGAGTTCTGGGCCTGTTGTCTATTTGTCTTGATTGCGCGGTAGCTGAGCTGAAGTGGAAATACCACGTTTGCATATTTCATGTCGTGCACAACTACCAAAATGCTTCTGCATATTCGAACCTTGCTATGATACATCCTGTGCACTTTCTACAATTCCTAGGCCATATTGTCTCATCTTGGCTGTTGTATCACGACCAATTCACACTTAATTAAACAAATAAAAAGAGATATTTAGGGATCCATGATACTTCAATAGCATAGGTATAGATAGACACCTCTCTTACAGCAACTGAAAAGCACAAGCATTTAATTCACATATGTATTTCATTACAGGTGCCGTGTATTGATTGCTATTTCACGTCGTAAACTTACCTAGGCCAATCTATTACCCTGCTTCGATCTGAGCACTATGCGAGGCTTCATGATATAAGCCAGTGTTTCCAGATGTGAACATGATCGCCTGCATCCCTGTCTTCTCCGTAAGTTCAATCCGGATCTCAGATCAAGTATAAAGATCGTAAGTGAGACTGTTGAGTGTCAAATCTTCCTTTGCAATGTCTCCAGCATCAATCAAGAAATCGAGAGGCATCTCGACAAGTGTACCGCGAATACGCGACAGCCACTGCTTGACTTCCTGCACGCCACCTGGGAACTCGGATCGCACGATGTGACCGTACTCGACCTTGCCCTTCTTCATCTCTGCCTTGACATCCTGGTCCTTCTTACCAGGGATGATGAAGTACTGAGAGAAGAATGAATCGTACTCCTTCCAGGTCCTGACTCTGTTCGTGGGAACAGGGTGGAATGCTCGGTCGAACGTCTCGGTGTTGACACGAGCGGTGGTGGTCCAGAGACGCTGGAAGTCGGGGTGCAGAGGATCTCGAACGAGGAGATCGGCTGGAGAACCCCAATCGTAGTTGTTTGGATCACGGTCAACGGGTGTCCAGTTCTGGTTGGGCTGGTCCCAACGTTGATCTGGGATGAGACCTAAGTGCTTGCGGAAGAGATAGCGACGAAGAGACGCAGCAAAGCGGGAGGCCGTGTAAGGACGTCCGTTCATGTAGGATTCCACAGGAGTAGGATCTTCGATAACAACGGCGATCTCAGAGTCGTGATCTCCGAGTTGCGAGCGGTCGTTTAAGTTGGCTGAACCGCAGATGACAAGACGATCGTCAACAATGAGTAGCTTGCTGTGGATGTACAGCTCCTCAGAGACGAAAGCGTTGATCTCGTCCTCAGGATTTCCGTCCCAGTGCACATCAGTGACTCGAGGGCCTTGGTCCATGTAGCATGCGCTGATTGTATCAAGGGTGCGATCTCCCACCTTGCTCGCTCCTTGCTGATATCTCTGGTACTGATCTGTCCTCCCAGACTGATGCTCTTGGCTCTGAGGTCTATTGCCATAGCTCGAGGAGCCTGAATATCTTCCTTGCTGCTCTTGGTACTGTGGGCGATCATCGTATCTCGAATCAGAGCGATCCTCATAACGCGTGTCAGACTGTCGCGAGTAACCTTGCTCCTGTCTTTCCTCATATCTGGAGGAGCCATATTGATCATCTCGTCTACCGCTAAACCGCGGGTCGGCCTGTGGATGGTCATAAGGGTTGCGCTCGTTTTGACCGCCATAACTTTGCTGCGAGTATCCACCGGAACCCTGGGGTCTGGTTGCGAAACGAGGGTCAGCACCTGGGTGGCTGTAAGGATCGCGCCCTCCTCGGCTGCCGTAGTTGTCGCCTCGCTGAGATTCTTCATGGTGTCCACGATAGTCATCATCTTGCCGATGCCTGGAGTCATAATCCCCCTGTCTATCTTCGCGGTAATCATCACGCTCGGATCGATCTCCATATCCTCGGCTCTGATATCCGCCACTCTCTCGAGAGCTGGAGAAATCACCACGGCTTGACTGATAGTCTTCGCGTGCTCTTCTTCCCGAGTCTTCGTCCGGGTAACCCCCAAGTTCTCGTTCTTTTTCCTTTCTCGCATCCTCGTAAGAGACACCAGTGCGGGCTTCTGCTTCAGCCATAGTCTTGGAGGTGTTGATGCGGTCAAAGTTGCGGAGGTTGTAGAATCCGATGTATCTGCTAGGGTCGCGAACGCCCGCTTTCAGAAGCTTTCCGATGATGCTTAGGTCGCCTCGAGAGATACTGTCATACTGGAATTCCATGATAGCTCTGGTTCCCAACGCGTCCTTATCGTGTAGGTCACCAGCGAATGCTGGAACAGCTGGCATTGCTACCCATACATGGAAGGCCTCGCCTTCGTGATCGGCCCGGATGATTCGCTCTACCAGTGCAGCACCAATCTTGTTCTTAACAGTCTTCTGCTTGTCATCGGAAGCAGTGATGAAGAACTTAGTAGTTAGTAAGATCCATCAGAGTAGGGGAGCTCCTTACCTGGTTCTCAATGTAGATGCAATACTTGGATTCCTTAATTGCCTGAATGTAAGCATTCTGAATGGAACGCTCAAGAGGATGACCAGATGACCATTCAGCACAGCTGTCTTATGTCAGTGATTATGCAGGAAGAAAAGATGTAGGGCTTTCATACCTTCGAATCATCTGAATGTGAGGCATGTCACCACCGTCTCGGGACCTGTGCCCACGGTCACGGTCGTGCGGCTCATCGTGTTCTCCAAACGACCTGAGTCTGTTCATACCGCGGCTGAACTGCTCGGTCAAGCCACCCAAGTGATCATCTTCACCTCTAGAGTGCCTGTCTACACGGCTGCCACTGTCTCTCGTGGGCACCTCAAGCTTGGTGTACTTGCCAGGATTCTTCTTGCTGTACTTATCTTTGAAGATAAAGTTCCTATGTATGGTTAACACTAAAGCTCTAAGTGATAAGTGATGGCATAGCTCACCATCGGTCAACGAAATGGTCAAGCATGTCACGGGTTATAGGCCCGTTCATGCTCAAAGCAACATCTGACCAGCCCATTCTAGAGCTCTTGGTACGATCAACTATACTATGTCAGTTTCCCGATGGAATAGGCAAAATGAAGTTGGCTAAAAGTTTAACGATACAGGCGTGTGCCAATATGTTATCCTGCGATCGGCAGCTCTAATAAATGACAAAAACGGTAAACTCACGCTTGTTCTGGTTCCAGTCCTTGACGTCTGCGAAGTCGTAGACTCTGTTATAAACAAATTAGCATACTGCAAAAGTCTATGGACAAGAGAGGAAGTGTTACCTAGCGTTGTTGTAGTCTTGAAACATCAGCATATTGAAAAGAAAGAATTCAGGGGGGGGGGCTTACCTTGTCCAGGGAAGATAATATCATCGAGATTACCAGGATGAGCATCAGCAATCGGGTGACCTAAATGTTGTGAGTATCAAGTACGGTCTCAAGCACGATACATAAGCTTACTGCTCGTATCCCACCGTCCAAAGCCTATAGTTAGAGATGTCAGCATTGTTCACTCTGAATATATTGAGAAATACCATACACATATCCAACCCTCCCATGAAGCCTAGTTTTCCATTGTCGATGAGGAGGAGCTTTTCGTGATGCGCCCAGTACAGCACAACGTCACCAGCGGTACCATAGACGGCCTTAAGCGCATCTCCAGACGCCTTGAACAAATCAAAGTTGGTCAGAGCCTTGATTGACTTTCCCAGTTCTCTTTGCAGGTCATAGCCAGTCGGGATATGGTCCGGATGACGGAATACCTTAATACGATCGCTGCTGAGAGCCTCAAGAGAAGTCCTCGTATGAGACGAATTCAATGTCAAAGCTGCTTCCACTTCTTTATAAACAATAATCCTTACATCTACCCCACGCTCAGCGGCCGCTTTAAGCATGCGGTCCAGACGATATTGCTCATTCTTGGCTGGGGGGCGGCGGAGATACAGCTCAGGGCTGAGCCACCAGTCGAGAATGTAGATACTTTCTTGGGCCTCTGATGAATTACGTGTTAGAAAAGGCGATGGTTTGTCGTTTCGAGAAAGAGACAGAACTTACGCTCTATGGCCTCGGAAACAGCCCAAAAGTATGAGGCACCATCTACATACCACTTCACATTGCCTTTGCTCTCGGCAGCAAATGAGTGATAGCGGTTCACAGCTTGCTGTCTTTGAAGGTACTGGGCAGCAGCATCATGAGGCTTATCGTCATGTGATTGTTTCCCTCCTCCCTGGGGTTGTCCATAGTTTTGCGGCTGCTCATGATGCTGGGGCTGTCCGTAGCCTTGTGGCTGCCCATAGCCTCCTTGAGAATGGCCGCTGGAGTATTGATCGGAACCTCCATGGCTGCCGTATTGGTTTTGTCCTTGAGGCTGTCCATAACCGCCTTGAGGCTGTCCATATTCTCCTTGGGACTGGCCATATTCTCCTTGGCCTTCATACTGACTGTGGCTTTGAGATTGTCCATGGCTGCCTTGTGAGTAACCGTAATCTCCTTGGCCTCCGTACTGGTTGGAGCTTTGAGACTGGTTATAGCCTTGCTGGCTATAGCTAGATTGCCCATGAGACTGCTGGCTCTGGCTCCCATGGGGTTTAGAATGGTTATCTTCATCGTCATCATCCTTTTTGTTAAGAACACTTTCGACGTGCTCGCCAATCTTCTTGAAGAAATCCATGTCGTGTGTTGGGGACGAGGACTGATACCTCAGCGTATCCTATGATTTGGCGGTCAGCGACAAGGCAAGATAGAGGATCGATCCAAAATAGCCTAAGGAACAATATGTCAAGAGCGAGCTAATGACTTACCCGAGAAGCAGTGCAGTATCCGTGGATTTAAGGCAAATGATGAGTCGAGTCGTCTTAGTGATGCTGATAAGCTGACGCCATGAGGCAAGCTAAGCTTGGAAGCTCGGAGGTGGGGAGCTGAAATGATGACGATGATGGCGCGTAAAGCGGAGAGCCAATGAATGAATCAGAGGCCTTCAGGGTCCCTCGGTTGCATTTATGCAGTTATTAAGTTAATTAATTAATCAATCATTGTCATGGAAGCAATCGGATTGGACAAACAAGGAACCATACCCGGCTGTTGACCTTATTGGGGCACTGATCAAGAGCTGCGGGGTTACGTCTTATCAACAAACACCAACACAGTAATGGGCACTAGGAGTTAAGAGTACATACTCTGATCAAAACATCCTAACAACAACGACTCTTTTGTTGCTTTCCGGTCTGTGAAGAAACCTCTATTGTTGATATTTCTGTGGCTATTATTGGGACATTTAAAGGTGCTACCAGACTCAACATTGATCTATCACTTTTCAATTCATCGAAAGGCAAAGTATCTTCATTCTAAATGAAAACAGTTCCTGGGCATGACGGTGACTGTGAGGTAATATATTCTCAATGTCCAGCATATCTTTCTTGATGCAGGATGGCTAATGAATCTATACTTATAGGTGTGCCGAAGTTCCACGAAACGGACGAAGATCTACCTAACCTGATTGGCAAACTCAGTGAGGATGACTTGCTTGCCCTGATTAGAGAGTTCGAGAAGCCCTCCGACAATGATCTTGAACCCTGCGATCAATTTGACAACCTTTTACGTCGCTTAAAACGGGACGAAACCGACGATGATTATCTTTCAGATAATTGTGACTCTTGCTCAAAGTCAGAAGATAAGATTTATCCCGATTCTATGGCAACTAGCAGCCAACCTCCTCAAAAGAGGTCATTACCAAACCAAGAACACACCTTACCAAGAAAGCAGCCTCGTACTAGCCTGCCCAGTACTGCTCAAGACTGGCTCGAAAACTACAACAAAGAGCATCATATCGCAGACAACGACAACAACGCCGATGTTTTGTATTTCCAGAGGAATATACGCGATCTAACTGCACAACTCTACACATGGGCCAGAACCAATTACTCAAAAACATGGTTCAATACTAGCCGGTTTTACCGAGAAATGACTTTCGGATTTAGATCAGTATTGATGCGAGTTGACCACATGAAACTATCCGAGATTGTTTTAAGCTCTATTCCATGACATGATCAAAAAGTCTTTGGCCAGAAGGACCTTCAAGCATCAGACCTCCTAGGCTTACCTGAAATCTCAACCATATTTCAACATCGAGCAATATACGCCAATATTGCCACACGACTACCTGGTGCTGATATAATTCAACCGTCACACAAAAGAAGGGGCCCCAAAAGACAGTTCAAGAAGGCGAAAGTCAGTACTAAATCCAAACAGACAAAAGTCCATATTGGCTCATCAACTCAACCAGCAGGCGCTGGTGCAAGAATTCATGAGCACCAAGTGAAAATCAATGGACCGAAGAAACATAGTCATGAACATTATCACTATGTCGAGCAAGATACTGTCGCCCCTAACTTCCGTCTCATTGCGGTATTCGGAAAGGCTGCCTCTATGCAGGACCGGGACCTTCAGCGATGGGTGCCAGCCTTCGTTGAGGGTCTCATGATGACCTACCTGGGCTCATACACCAGAGAATGTATAATATGGTGGAATTCCATGTGGGCGCCGCCAGTGTCTATTGACCTAAACGAATAAATTCGTAAAGGACTGTTATTGCCTCGCTAGCATCAGCAAGTCTTAACCTCGCATGGCCTTTGGTTCAAGGTATCCAGGGAGGAATGACCGCCGCAGTTATCTGTGGGAATTCAAGCTGTGCCAAACAAACTGGCCTTAGCAGGCCTAGATACTGCCAGACTACTAAGCCAGCTATCGCCTTTAGGCCCCGCGTACAGCGTACCAGAGCAAGAGGTTCCAGATGTTGCAAATCTCAGGGCTGGCCAGCTCAAATAGCTCAACACAACGGATGTTCCACTTGAGTTCTGGGTTAGACTTGCTCACGCCTGCTTCCGCCTTGTACGCAGAGACCCAGACGACTCGGTAAATACGGGTTTGATTCATCAACTCATACAGAAGTTCAAATCGACCCATATCTTACGAGGCGAGAACTTCTCTGACTGGAGCGGCGCTCCAAATGCTAAGAAGAAACTCGAAATGGTAAACACCTACAACAGAGTATCCGAAGGAGCAGTTTTCCTTGCATCGACGGTACTATCCCTTTGCTTTGTTGCACTCCGTTTGGTCCGCCGGGTTTGGAATGACTCAACCAGCGACGCCCTCACCTTGATAGAGGAGAACAAAACCATGCTCTACGGAAATGCGATCGACAAGTGGAACAAAAGGGACCGCGAGGACCCAGTCTATCTTGGCGTACGACCCAACAGCGATCTTGCAGGTATTGCTGCAGTTGCTCGACGAGAGCGCAGCGAGGCTGCCTTTATGCTCCAGCAACCTAGCAGAAAGGCCACCTTACTCAAGCCACGCCAACCTGAGAGAAGTGCCCTAATCCAGAAGACCATCACAGCTGAGGATTGGCATGATGTTAACCGCCAATGTCTCAAAAAGGTATTGGACAAGAATGTTGAGCAGAGGAGCTGGCTGATGACATACGTAAGCATATCACAGAAGCAACCGCACCCCTTGTCTCAGAGATGTATCGCGAGAAGATCCTTCTGGCGTGCTACCAACTTGAACTCAGTAACCATATCATGTGGTTACAACAGCCAGCAGAGGAACATATCACTGTTCAATTTCTTTCCAAGGAGCCGTACCTAACACCAGGGCCTATGATGGAGGTCGCCCGAGAGCTAGAAGCTCTTGCTCTATTAGATATCGACCGAGAACTAGCTTTGAAGCTGAAAGGCCTCTCTGACAAGATCGCGGATTTCCAAGATTTTACCAACCACCAGGATAAGCAATATCTGACCGAGCAACGTGAGTGTGCTCGGATCATGTATGATCTTATGTCGCAGTTCAGAACCGTCGATCTAGGCAAGATCGACCGGGTTATACAAGAAACCAATACTAGCAACCAAGGCAAAGTTTGGTCTTGGTTCCACGGCGCCACTCGTAACAAAGGCAAGGGGCTAAGCCATAGAGAATGGCTGGCCGAGTATCGATCCATGGACACTGAGTGGGTTGATACATATGCAATGATGAATGCAGCTATTAGAGCTGTAACCCCATCTGATGACCTCCTGGAGTTGTTCAGCAAGCTTGTGTACAAGCACGGATCATCCAAGTTGATTCGTGAGATTAACGAAAACCTACCATTCTGGGATGAGCAGTACTATCAACAGTATTGCTCCCCCGGTACTAACAACGAACACGATGAACCTACCAAACCCGACGAACCTACCGAATCCGACGAACCTACCGAACCCGACAAGATTACTAAGATAAAGACCGAGCCTGGAGTCAACAATGCCGTGTATGCCGACGAGATCGCACAAGCAAATGAAGCAACCAGACTTGTATTCGCAGGGATACCTGGTCCAACCAGATTCACCATTACTTCCAATGAGCAAAACTCTTCCGACGAAAATGTATTTACCTCTACTAAGGGCGCGAAGCCCTTTAGCCCATTCACCATCTCGAGTAGAAGGTTCCCTATTCCAATAATTCCTACTCTGTGAGATAGGGCCAAGGAGTAGTGAAGCAAAGCCAATAAGTCTTTCTTTCTTCGGCTGGCACCCAAAGTGCGAAACGCAATCGGTCGTGAGAGTGAGATTAGCCCAAGGAAAGTGGAAGATTATATAAACTTGATAAAGTATTTAGTAGAACTTAGGACAATTTAATAAACTCTAATAAATTTTCTAAGTTTATATAATATTTTGATTAAGTTTTCTAATTATCATGGATTTTATATCTTGTTGTACAATAGGGTAACTGAGTACGGATATAGATACTACAAGTTACCTAGTAGGTATCTTAGACACAGAATGATGTACAGGCTAAAGTACCTAATCCAGTGATAGACCCTTCCAGCACAGGCAGGTTATACACAGACTAACATTAAAAGCAAGGGTCTTCAGCATGTTTGACTGCCGAAGCCCAAACACGGCACGGGTATAGACTACCTGATGCAGACGGGCTAGGTATTAGCATAAGTTGCTAACTTGCCATTTGCCGAACAGGCACATGTGCTCTGCGTAGAGACATGGTCAACTGGGACATTTGCTTCCCTATGAAACGTCTTGGGCTCCGTGACAAGTCCCCAGGAATGAATGAATGTAAATAGCCTGTTCTGCTTCCTTGTCGACTATTAACAAGATTCGTCTTAGTCAACAGCAGACATCCATATCAACACTTGCTATGCTTTTTTCCTATTGCGTAACCGAGATTTGACAATGTGATTGTCCTGGGTGGCCTACAGTAGCTCATCACTTAAGATAACCTTAGTTGATGATATCGACCTCTGCTGTTCTGCCATGTCATGACACTGACTCAAGTCCTCCTCCTATCCACATATACCAATCAACTACCGCCGGCCAACAGGGCACAATATCAATAGCTCCCGTTGCCCATCCGTCCCGTCCCGTCTCGTCTCGTTTCATCAACCCATCCATGATTCACTAGCTCTTGAGGTTGGCTCTTGGCTTTTCACCTTTGGGTTTGCAGAAGCCTCCCTCCCAGATTTGTCACTTCTTGTAAGTATAGTATGCGCCATTTATTCTGATGATCTGTGGCAACCCAGCCGTGGCGTGCAACCTCTTCACGATTCTAGTCTATGTCAAGAAAAGAAAGTCGAAGGATCAACCAACCCATGCACCCCCAAGGGCCCCAACCCAACGTTGTTCGAGGGTGTCAAAAGCCATCCATAAAGTGGTGGCAGCGGAGCCGTTATAGCGGGAGCTAACGTGGTCGCACCCATCCACATGGCACTCATGGCACCCCCGCCGGCACCTCAGGCGAGGTGCCTTGGTGGGCTCCACTACAATTATCCGGTGCGGCGGACCACTGGACCACTGGACCACTGGACCACTCACTACCTGGGGGGGACTGGGGTGGTTCACCAACCCGCTGGGAACCTGGAAGGCTTTCATCTTGTCAGGCCTGTCAGGGCACCTTGGAGTTAGTGGCTGCAGGGGAGAAGGCGAATTTTTCTCTTAGCCTGGACTGAATTGGGTTGGCTTCTCTGTCAAAAGACGATGTTCATTGAATCACATCCGAGCTCATCTTAATAGTCACTCACGTCCTGGTCTTGTGCCTTGTGCCTTGTACATCCATTCATTCTCTCTAACTCAACTCCCTAAAGCCGAAATCTCCCGATTCCTTCTTCCAGGAATATCTTCCAGCTCACTTCTCTCCATGGAATTCAAACTTTCCCAGTTCTACTCCCAAATTCAACCATAACCGTAAGTTCAGAGATAGCTTGGAGTTTGATCTCCTACATCGGATGTCCCATCTCCCCTCATTGTATTGCCAATTAAGCCTAGAGTCTAAGTCTTGTTTAGGAAATTCTTCACGAGCAGTCAAGATAGTAACTTGACCTCGACAGTTCAATTATCAGACACCCTTGATACAAGGGCTTCAACCTTGCAGATACAGTATTCAACCAAAAAGCAAGCATTACATACTGAAACACCAGTTTGCTTTCTTGTGAACCAGTCACCTTATCTTCACTCGCCATTCCGCACATAAGCACTCACTCGCCCATCAATTAGGCACTTTCACCATGACAGAGTCAGGATCAGTGGCACTCTTCTCGCCCGGTCAACATGGCCATTTGATACCCTATCTTGCTGCCATTCACGCCTCTTGTATCACCCATGATCGTACTATTGCGGGCTTCTTACCGCCCCTATCTCACGAGAAACTCCTCGCCTGGTGGAAAGAACGCATCGCCGAGGTCGCAGATGGCAAACGCCTCATATTCATCCTCCTCAACGAATGCGAACCCCAGGAACGCCCGAAAGGTCCAAACGTCGTAGGCGTAGTCATGCTTGCCATGCCTTCGTCGGAGACAGGTCCTTTCCGTGGCGCCGTGGAGAAGCTTCTTGTTCACAAGGACTTTCGCGGCCGAGGAGGCGCCAGAACTCTGATTTCCGCTCTTGAAAATGAAGCGACCAAAAGAGGTCGAACTATTCTAGTGAGTCCAATATGTGCTCCTCTCCTCAATGATGAGACCTTCCGGAAATTGACCAAATACCTAGCTTCTCGACACCGAAACCGGGAGCGCTGCAGAAGAGGTGTATAAGAAGCTTGGGTACGTTGAGCTCGGCCAGATTCCAAAATACGGCTTGAGTCCAAATGGTGAACTAAAGGGTGGAACTTTCTTCTGGAAACATTTGTCATCACACCCCTAAGGTCTTCAAGTATGCCAGGAAGCCGTGTTGTACTTAGTTAACTACCTATACGGAGGCGGTTGGGGTGCGTTTTGAAAGTATTGTAGACTCCTTTACGATTAGGGTAAAGCAGGGGAGCGAGGCGACTCGATTTTGTTCTTCTTGAGGGCGATTGTGGCTTACGAGGTGCTTTTGGTTTGCTTTTAAATAGGAAAAAGAAGTAAAGTGAAGTGTTTACTATACATCAGGATTGTATAACATCAGCATAAATGCGCGAACCAAACCACGTATTGAAATTGCCGCTTTCATTGCTGCCCGAACTGCACAAATATTCATGGTACTATTACAACTTCCAAAGAAACGCCACCCCCACGGTCAGTTTTTTAACACCATCTACTCGTCATCCGCGAGTTCCTCGACCCTTGGGGCCTCGTAGTGCCGTTGCTGTAGGTCACCAGTGTTGACCTGAGTATCTGTACCAGTCGTTGTTGCGCTTGTGGGCGCAACTTGTCCAGTGGCGGCTGCGAAGGCGGGGTTGGCGCTGGTTCCAGGGACTGCCGACTTCTTCTTCTTCTTCTTTTTCTCGGTCTGCGATAATGTTAGTGTCTTGATCATTATGTTCCCAGCTTCTCTGTACTAACCTCGTGCCAAGCCCAGACGGGCCTGAAACTGTCCATAAATGAAACATCTTCCCACAAGTTGGGGAAAAGCCAGAGACCAGGTGATGTAGTGAAATAGGTGATGCAGAAAAGAATAACACGGAAGATGGCCATGAGAAAGAACAAGCCAAGGAGTCCCAGGAGTCCCCAGCTCAGGTAATAAACGCCCTGACGGAGCACCAAAGGCCAAAGAGGGTACAGAACCACGGCGAAGATGGCGAGGAGTGCAAGGCCGGCATAGATCTTGCGCTTGAGCTGACTGCCTTCCCATAGCCAAGCATAATACATGTCATCCCTTGCCTCCTGTTGCTGCTCAATCTTGACAGTCCACTGGCCCTTGACACGCTTGGGTTTCTTTCCGTTGGCACCTGCCTGGGGTTCGACTTTAGAGACTCGGAGTGCAAGCATGCTCAGGGGCAGCAGCTTGAAAGTGTTCTCGAGAGAAGCTCGGTCGGTAATTTCGGGTAGAAGAGGGTTCTTCTTGCGGGCTTTCTCATAAGCAGGGGACTGGAGAATTCGTAGGGCTCGCTTGACTACGTTGTGTTAGCACTTGAAGAATTTCCAACGTTGCGCTGACCTACCTCGAAACATGTCCTTTCGCTCGCCATTGAGAATAACAGTTCTGTTCTTAAGATCCTGGCCTCGAAGGAACTTGGCAAGAGCAAGAGCCTTGGGGTTGGGAGGTCCTGGAGTGATAGGTTGAGAGCGTCCTTGCTGGGGAGGATGAGGATGGTCGTGGCCATGATGGCCGGCTTCGCCGCCCTGCTGCTGTGCCTGTTCAGCGCGCATGCGCATCTGCTCTTGCGCTTGTCTCTTGATATGCTCGATGAACTCGGGGACAGTCATGCCGTTCTTCTCAGCGTCGATAGCAAGCTGGCGCTGCATTGCCTGGATCTGCTCTGGCGTTGGCCGCTGTCCAGGCTGAGGCATGGGGATCTGGCCAGGGCCAGGTTGAGGGCCAGGTTGAGGAGGTGGAGCAGACATGTCGAAAAGTCAATGTTAAAAAAGAGTGTATTGAAATGGGGTATGAGAAGAAGAGGATGAGGAAAGCAAAAGCGCACGAAGGCAAAGTGACGAGATGTGGACTTGACAGGTTTAAGAAAGAACGAGCATGGTATGGTGTTGCTGCCACTTGGACCATGCCGTGCCAATCATGTCATAGCTCGCCCAGAGACAACGGTGTTCACTTCCACTACAGACAGCTCCAGAATTTCCCGGCGGGTTGTTGATTGCCCGGCCTCCGGCAAAACTGACTCCACGTGACTGCAATTGAGTGTAAGACCGTGATCGTATTAATGCAGCTGCTTTATTTGAGACTGAGAGCTCAACAGCCGCCAAAATGGGTGATCGCTTAACACAACTTCAAGATGCTGTAGACCAGGTTTGTATTGAGGTTTTTTTCATGTGGTTGCGAATTTACTGATCAACTCTATAGCTAGCGCAGCAATTTGTCGCATGTCTACACTACGTAAACAAACGACATGACCTTGAACCGCTTGGTCCTAACGACAAGATCCGGGAAGTGAAGGATGTTCCAAAAGAAGGTATGCTGATGTTTATTCTTTTCCTCTAAAACGAAATTCACTAACGCAATACTAGTTGACTCGCTGCCTGCTGATGAGTTTCGTGCCGGCATGGTAGAGTTGTCACAGGATCTCATCGTCAAAGAGCAACAAATTGAGGTGTTGATCTCGTCACTCCCTGGACTAGACAACAGCGAAATGGACCAGGAGAGGTACATCAAAGAGCTTGAAGAGGACCTGAAGATTGCCGAGGCTCAGCGTCAAGAAGCAATCAAGGAGAAAGATCAGATACTAGCAGAGCTTGACAGTGTGATTCGAAGCATCAGGCGGCCTTGACAAGGCATTCGGTACATAATGGTATTTTGTGGCTTGACATGATTATTGGTGCACAGCGCGGAGTTAGGGGGTATGGGTAAATGAGACTTCAAGGCAAGCATCCCACTCATGGAGCTTTTGGTCTTCTCTTAATCAGAAAATGCATATTACAAAGGTATCCCAACATAGTGAGCGCCTTTAACGCCACCTTCTAACTTTCTATCCCACGCCTTACATGTGTGTCCAGCGCCTTGTTTCGTGCCGCAAAATCACAGATGTTATCCCTTAGTTCGACGTAGATTTGAAGAATTGCGGGTAGATGTTGCGCAGTTCTCCCAAGTGCTGAATCTGGTATTGCGAAGCAGGGGTTTTAGGAGCAGGCACTCCTTCTTCGACAAGATGGGCTGCTGTCCAGCCGAATTCCTTTGCCTTTGTGCAATTTAATGCAGAATCGTCTATGAGAGTTAGACAAGTCCACCAAGAAGTAAATAAACAAGACTTACCAACAAAGAAGCAATCCTCCACTCGCTCGATGCCTGCCTCGCGCATTGCCTTTTCATACATGCGGGGGTCAGGTTTGCAGAGCAACGGTTGCTCTGCGTAGTTGCAATAAGTGAGACCATCGAAGATGTCCTCAATGCCCAAAAGCTTGACCACTCTCTTTCCGTGGTTCACATAGGCGTTAGTGAAAAGCCACACCGTAACCTTGTCTTTGTCGATATCATCCAGAAGCTCGCGTAGCTCAGGGTTGGGCTTGATAATGCCTTCGAGTGGCAGAGCATCGTCCACTTTGGCGTTGTAGTCCAAGGGATCAATTTGGTGGTGGCGTACAAGCCCTTCAATGGCCAGGCCATAGTTCGTGTAATACTCTTTGTGCAGTTTCACAGCTTCATCCCAAGGAATCTCAAGATGCTTCGAGAAGTACTCGTCAATGAGTTTAGCCATTATGTCATGAACCTTTGCGCCTGTGGTTACTGTTAGAGTCAAATGGTCTTAGACATGAATTTTCATTGAGGCTTACTCCGTGGGTAGAGACAGTTGTCAATATCACTGCATCAAAGTTAGCTCAAAGTTCATATGAGGCAGAAATCCTGAAACTGACAAGAAGAGGACCGGCTTTCCCCGGCTCATGTCCTGAGTGCTGCCCATTGTGAATTTGTTATAAGTCTGAGTATTAGGACTAATTTTGGGGTTGACAATGTGAGGATAGCGAGGGGACGAGTTTGAGTTGAGCAATAAAGGTAATGGCAGTGAAGGGAATATGCGTTTGAGTGATGATAATGCGGAAACACGCGGTCGTAATTGGTACATTGAATGGATATCAGGAAGAGAAAAGACAGCTTAAATAGATTTTATAGGGCAATGGCGATCTGTACTAACTAAAAGGGAAGGCTAATATTTTGCTTCAATCAACTCTATCCGTTCGTGCAGTACGTTGCGTCTCGCCCAATGACTCTTACGGTGTGCGGCTGAATAATGGACAAAACTGAGCGCGTGTAATGTTCCGGACTCCGATTGCGGGACGGGATTATCACTAGGAGCAGCTAGAGGCTTGAGTGCCTACAAACATGCGATGAATACGCAGCATACGCTGTGGTATATGGACGATGGCCCCTTTGTTTGATTGGATCTCCATTTAAACCACGTGGAAGTAGATCACTTGACTTCAATTTCCATGAGTGACATGGCATGAAGCATGGCTCTAGATTGAAGACGGCTGTCTGTTACGTGTTATAGGTTATAATCGCTTTCATGATCCATGTTTGCAGGACGCTCATCATAAGCTTTACAGGATAGACCCTAGTTACCTTAGCTTGATAAAATCAATGCCAGGCGAAGAGCTTGTAATGCACTTTGACGCCAAGAGACTGGTTACTGTTGAAAACTTAACTTTTGGTCTTCCTACGCTTGAGGATTGAGTCGGGACGATGCTGACTTATACGAAGCCCAATCTGTACAACCAGGGGGTTGGTGATTATAGAGTCGTAGCCGCTAATTGAACAGATTCTCAGTGTAGGAACAAAAGAAGGTGACTTGTCGAAAAGGGGACAAAATGATACGATTGTAGTGTTCGAGAACTGGATAATTTATCGTCACAAGAATCTCGTTGTAAGTGATCCTTACCAGGTATGAACAAATTACAATGAGCTAACTCCCTGTGATAGCCTCATAGGCTATCGCAAGCCCCTAAATTAGAAGAATTCTGCCGTCTTCACCGCCTAAATTGTTGCCTCGCCACGTTGGGTAGAGTCAATGTGGCTGCGGCTGCCCTTACTCTAATACAACCATTTCATTATCCTGCACAGACCTTCAAGCTCTCTGCTTTCTCGAACAACAACCGAACCACCGACTGGCATTTGACTAAAAGTATTTTTTTGGTCCGCATCATAAAGCGTCGAGTCTGGCGTTGTCTGTCGGGTTCATTACTCAACTCATATTTAAGCTAACGCGGAGTTGATCCTGTTTTTGCTTCCCTTGTCTGGTGTCTGGTGTCACCTGGTGACGCGACGTGTATACTTCGCTCGTTGCCGATATGGCACAGGATATTGCTGTCCAGGCACACGTTGCTAGCAGCAATGAGTTGTCTGGTCTGGCTGAGAACCAGCGCTATCGCATTCAGCAGTACGAGAAGATTGTGCGCTTCCAAGTTGCTGTTCTCTCTGGTGGACATCCCACCATCAAACTTTCCTCTAACCAGATTGCATCCGCACAATCTCTTGATCATCCGATAGATATTTCCACGTCAAATGGCGTTCCGAACAACCAAGCAGACAGACTGCTGTATTCTACCGCGAAAGAGCAGAACGCAGACGCGACTACCACTGTTTCTTCTAGCAATGCAAAGAACAGCAAGCCATATGGAACTGGGTCTACTGAGATCAATCCCATATTCCTAGAAAAGTCTGATGACTTGGTTAAAGCAGAATTGCAATTGCAAAGACAGAGGCTAGAACGTGCTTTACGAGACGAGGTCGATCAGAGACGGGTTACTTCTAAGAGTGTAGCTCAAGGGGAGCCAGTTCTCGATTTTGATCTTAACCAAGTCTTGTCGAAGGCGTTGACTCTTGTCCAGAGCAGTGCAGGGCCTGGCACTACCTCTCCTGCTGCTGATGCTACTAACCCTGACAATGCAAGTGATTCTTTCGACGACAACACTTTCTACTCTTCGCAACACAACACACCGTCCCCCGTTTTGACTTCCCGAGTTCGCAACGAATCCGAAGACGCGCGAGTGCTCGACACGGAACCACAACCGCCGATGAACCATCACAACGTTGCTATTTCCCGACCTCGTCCGACTGATCCAGAGCCAATCCATCTGGACCCCTATAAGCCTAACATACCTAGGCCCCAGCAGGGTTCTTCAAACGGGGCAACCTTCGCTGGTCCCTCAAGCATCAATACCATCTCGAGACAAGGGCAGGTTCCTGGCCTTAGCGCTTACAATGAAGGCAAAGCTATATCGGGACAAGTTGTCGGTGCTGGACAAAATCCTATCAATTTGGAGCTTGAGGGGCGTCAAGGCGATTATGGATCAGCCGCTCGACAGCCACCCCGTGAAAACTATGTTGACAGTCGCCCCCCTTCTCCTTTGATACGGGGACGCGACCGATCGCCTCAAAATGCTCAAGGCTCGCCACTGAGAAATGCTAGGCGGCAACCTCTTGCTGCCGAAGCGACTTCAACTTCGTCCACGGGTACTCCTGCCCAAGTTGCCGCTCTCAGAAATGAGCCAATTGCCGTGACCAGTCCTGAAAGCTCGCCGCAAGGCGGAAGAGTATCTGACAAGCGGAAGGCAAAGAAAAAGAAGAGAAAGGCTGACAAGCAAGCGCCAGAGGCTGAATCAACTCCTTATATCAAGGCAGAGCCTCGATCTCCATCTCCCATGAATGCTCCATCCTATATACGTCCAAATAAACGTCAAAGGTACACACAGCAACAGCCAGATGATCCTGGCTATGAAGAAGTCCGTTATGAGCCGCACCTAGGCCATTATCCGCCAGAGCCTCTACAACACCGCCAGGAGAGGGATAACCGATTGCCAATAAGTTATGAAAGAGTAGGCTTTTCTTCCCAGCGTGCGGCAAGCACTACTGTTCCAGGGAGTACTATCTACAGGAGAGAATATGCCGATGAACCATATGCTTCCAACAGGTCTTATGCCATTGAACAGTCTCCGCTCATTCCCGCTCACCCTCAGAGACAGTCGGTTGGAGGAACAGGAGGTTCTCAGGTTCGACCTAACGACGGTTATCAACGCCCATCATGGCCCTACTCGGGAGCTCATGAAGCATCGCCTGCCACATTTAGGTCTGAAGGCGATGTCTTCATGACACCCCACAGACCAGCGCCCACTCGAATCATTGTAGATGCTTTTGGACGTGAGTATATTGAGCCGCCGCGTTCGAAAATTATCCGGCAGTCTGCTGCCCCTCCGGCCCGATCCGGAGAGCCTGAGATCGTCTATGAACGAGCTCCGCCTCGAAGACCACAGGGGATGGAAACATATGAAGAAGGAGGGGCAGTCTATCGGAGAAGGTCACCGTCGTATATGCCTAGACGGGTCGTTACACAACCTGAATACATCTCGCAAGATTATAGGGATCAGCGCACACATGAGCATTCGACTCGTACGCTGGGTCCCTCAGGCGAATTTATTGAGGTAATGGCACCTCCTGAACGACGCCGCATGGAAGACGGGGCAAGGGAATATATTACAAGGCCGACCAGCGTCCGACCAATGGAGCCTATCCGATATGAAGTTGCCCGGGACTACGGGCAAGTGCAGAGTGTGCGACCCGAGCCGCCCGTACGTCAATATGCAACAAGTGTTCACCCGGAAAACCGCCGTGAGGCTGCACAGCCTTATGGGCGGGAATACGGTGCCTTGACTGCAGAGCAAGGTGGTGTAAGACAAGAGTACAGCACGCGGCCGGTGGAGCGGTACTACAACCAGCCGATGAGAGGAGGGGAGGAGATTGCATTCATTGAGCGACCGCGAGGAGCAACACAGGAGATTGTCTATGCAGATGATGCAAGGAGAGAAGTATATCGCTAAGCTAGTTCGAAGAGAGGTGCGATCAAGATGAAAATCAGCGGGTATAAATAAATTGGCACTGAGCGGATGCTTTGTGTATAATGAGTGACGTATAAAAAATATCGATATCCTTCGTGATTATCCTGGACTACCTATGTTGCATGATCTCTGTGTATGTAATATTCATACTGTTTGAAGCATCAGACGCTGTTGAAAGTCGGCCCGCTCAGCAAAGAGTACAGGGTTAGCCAAGTCAGTATATGACTGTATTCCATGTAGCATCGAACTTGAATTGGTTATATTGGTTTCCTGACTGTGGATAATGAGAATCAAGCCGATCATGACCTGCAAGAATCCATCTAGGTGTAGTGTAACAAACGCACCAACACGACGAACCCACCACAGATCTATAATGATTTGATGGATGCTATGGAGTGCTCTGTAGACAGGTTTTTGCTAATTGACCACAATGCGGCTGATACGAAAAGTGCTAGCCGACACAAACGCCATTTACAAGGACATAGACCGCTATGTGGTAAAAGATCACTGGCAGTCTGGTTTTGATCAAATGAGTGAGCTGATGCCCCAGCGTCGTATAGATATGGCCGCACTGAGTAGAGCTGTATCAATCATGCTGTCGTGGCATTCTCTGAGGACTCTGTCGAGCTCATGGGCAGCTGAGAGGTTGGGTCCCATTGTCTGACCAGTCGGATTATGCGAGGACCCTGGAGGTCAGTGCAAACATCACGAGCCTAATATACACATGAGTTTTTGAGACATGGCAGTTCTCACATGTCCCTTCGAGTTAGTCCCTAGGACATCAACCGCTGATAACGATGAATTTTCCGTTGAGCTCACTGCTGGGTCAGTCGCGATACCATCAAGTAGTCAACATAGGCTGTCTATGTGCAAACACGTACGAACTTGGGGTATGCGACTGCGAGGAAGCTAAAGTACCTAGTTAGTAAATGAGAGTGGCGTGGCTCGTGATACTCATGAAGACGAGGTAAGCCACATGAATTGGAGTAAAGGAAATGAAGCAATCAACAAAGATGCAAGGACGCGCATATGTTCATACGCAGTAATTTAGACCCGTTGCGCCACATACAACCTCAAGAATGCTGTCCCCCTTGATAAGAACATGAGTTCGCCATATTGCAGTACACAGGTCGAAACTGTTACCCTTTTTGCTCTCGGCTCTGTGCATTTTCCCATTTTGCGGTGCGGTCAAGTAAGGTCCCTGACAAACTGATAACTATGCTCAATGACGAGTTACTAGTGGCTGAGCCGGTGCCGGGCTCTTGGTGAGAAGCCGGCTTGCATGGGTCTGCCCTCGAATCAGCTCCCTTGTTCGCACTTGGACAAGTCACACAGACACCAAGCAAGAGCCCTGCCGTGTGGGGACGCCGTGTGATCGAAGCTTGGCCTAAGGTTAGGCCAGGTCCGCTGCGAAACGAGATGTTGCTGACGGGAGATATGGCGATATGCTGCGCTGTCGACGTTTCCCCTTATTACTTCGTAGCATCTTGGAGTTGCTGTGGCAGGTCTGGCGCGGCAAATAGCCCTGTCTGCTGTTCTCTGAGTACGACGCAAAAAGATGGGTTTCATGTAGCTGTCCTCAGCGACAAATCTAAGTGGATGACAGTTGGCGGAGACGCTCCATCATCATGCAGATAGCCCTGTATCCAAGTTCTCTCGATGTTAGTGTTTAAAACAACGGTACTTGAGACAGGCTGTGGGTTTGGAGATGTATTGAGTATCCATAGTTTGTGTCTTGACTGAGTTCCACTAGAAAGGGACATCCAAAGACTCGCTGTGCTTTACCGAAGCCCTCGAGCTTCACACTAAAGTCGCTGGAACGCAGCCGGTTGTGCATAGCGTTCCGCGGGAGGAGGTGTCTATGCCTGTTCGTGGGTGCGTGGTCTGCAGGAGGCTCCTCCTTAGCCTGGGCTGATGGTCCCCACCGCCTTGAAAACATCCATGCCCTAAGACGTTGTTGTTCGAAGGTGATCGAAACAATGTGGCCAAGGGCTTGACTGTTGTGGTTCGGGTGGTTTAGTATCTCGTCATTGTCGAAGATGATCCGTCATGACGACCGGAGCTTATATGGTGCCAGGAGAGAGGTCGCCAATATTTTGGAGATTTGACAAAGTTGAATGATCTGCATGATTGAAACTTCTCTCAGTTCCAAGGCAGCCAGGGATGGTCAATGGATTGCCAGTGGTGGTTCACTGTGGCTGTTCTTATCAGAGCCCTGGAGTATGATTGAGTGACCACCATTCCGAGAGAATTTCTCTTCCCAATGACACGTACCATGCTCGAGAGTCGAGATGTATGAGAGGTTGGTGTGTTGACTTTGCTCGGGCCTCAATTTGAATCGCATTTTTAATAAGGTCTTGCTTTTGCTGTGTTGCAGAGCTGTGATGGTTTAAGATTCCATCTCAAGGGATTAGATAGTTCAGCGAGCTGGGGGACCCCAGCCACGGCACAGGAGTTGACGGTAGGTACGGACAGGCACTAAGAAGCTGTACCTGCCTCACCCACCTAGCAGGCTTGTAGTGACCTTGATCTGAGCCCAAGACCGCCCAGGGTAAGAAGTATCTACCTTTGCTACTCCTCGTACCTTCATTCTATGCTGATTTGACCTGACGTCTCTCCCATTGCTTTTCGATTTACTGGGCTCCGCTCTCTAGTCTCAGTCTCCCCTTCCACTTCCCTCACCTCACTTACCTCACCTCAGTCAACCTAACCTAAACTCTCTCTCTCTCTCCCTTCCTCCCTCGTCAGACGTGGAAAGAGCTCACATATACCACCATCTCTCTTTCTTTCCCCTTGCCCTTATCCTCTCCCCCAACCGTTTCTTGCCCAAGCTTCTTCGATACCCTTTTCCCTTTCGGTTCTATTTACAGTCCCCTCTCGCATCGCATCTTTGTCTTCTCTTCTCTCGACTTTCTCCACCTCCGGCGTCCCTCTTCCGTCCAGCCTCCTCCACCTTGGCCGACCGTCGCCGCCCACGATCCGGACGACGACGACAATCTTCACGACACAGCTTTCCCGCCCCCCATCATGAATAAGTTGGCAAACATGCGTCACTGGTCGGAAAGAATGGCACCCAATTTCGGAATGGGCCGTCCCAATATGCCTATGAATGCCCTCAATCATCCCAAGAACGCCGTTCAACCCGGCCAGTCCATGGCTTCCCCTCAAGCCGCCGATGCTACGATTCTTTACTCGTTCAATATCCCATTTGCTTCCGATCTCGCGGGCCCCGATACCGAAGATATCCTTCACGCGACCACAGACGCTGTCCTGCGATGGACGCACCCCGAGGACGCGCCGGACGACGTCCAGATCCACAAGCTGCCGGTTCACGTTCAGAATCTTAACAATCTGCACCGGATGTGCCAGGAGATTACCAACGGACCGCTACCCGTTGAGGCCTACGTTCTATCGACAATGCCTAAGAACGGCAAAGGCCAGCAGGTCGCTACTGTCTGTCTCTCAGGCTCTCCAGAGCTGGTCCATAAGAGCCGAGAGACTATTTTGAATGATACCCCCATTTCCCTTGTATGTTCCGATGGTTCTACATCAGGTCCGTCCTGCTGCTGATTGAAACTATTGTCTAACATTACTGGTAGCGTTGTACCACAATTGACATTGATGGTCAACTGGTTTGCGATCTCAATGCTGGTGTGCTCAAGAAGCCTGTTACTGATACCCTTGATTACATTTCGAGCTTCTGCGGCGTCGATATCTTTCTTCTTGGTCCCAAACTGACCCCTGTTGTCGATGGTATGACTGGTGATGCCGAACTACGCATGGATCAGCGTTGGAGAGTTGCTATCTACGGTGATATTTTGTCCTCTGAGCACGCAAAGGCGCGCGTCTTGATTCACATTGACACTCTGGTACCAGTTCCTGTTTCATATCGTTGTGCGTGTACGTTCTAACATCCATACAGCTCAATCGTATTGTTGACGGTACTCAGCTTGATGTTTCCTGCCACCAACTTGTTTGTGGCCGACATCGTAAGAACATCAAGCTCATTGAGTCTTCAACCGGAACTGCCATCTACTTCCCGCCTCCATTCTCGACGATGTATCGCTACTGTCCTCCCAAGGCGACACGTCGGGATCCGAACGACATCTTCATCACTGGTGAAACTCCCCAGGCTATCGAAATGGCCAAGCAGAAACTTCACGAGACTGTCCAACGCATCCGGCTTTATGTGAAGGACGTAACCATCCCGGCTGCTAAAATCGACAGTATCTTGCTCGGTCGCTTGGACAAGGTTCGCAAGATTCTTGAAGCAAACGGTACATTCATCTTGTTCCCTCCCTTGGCTAGTCAGCGCAACATGGTTAGAGTCCAAGGCAGTGAAGGTCTTCACGTTGAGCGAACCGTGCGGGAGATTATGTCGTTAGTGAGTAATTTTCTGTCGAAATTTTCGTCTCTTGCTAATGTAAGCACAGGCTGGCCAGTTCTACAGTGCAGGCTGGTTCATCCAGCATGCCGATGCCAGACAGTTTCCCAACCCTAATGACGTCAAGAGCATGCTTGTAGATATCTGCGCTAACTCTGATGCTGATCTCTGCTTCGACAAGCTTAACTTCACTATTACTGGCTCTGATGATGCAGTTAAATCTGCTCTTCAAGTTATCTCGGAGATGAAGTTTGCTTCGCAGTCTCAGTATCAGATCCGTGTCAAGATCGAGCTTGCCAACGAGCATAAAGAATTTGTCAGTGGCAAGAAGAACGGTAAAATCAACAAAATAATGGGACAGAGTAATGTCCAGATTATCTTCGATGGTTTCAACGAGTACAACTTCAACATTGATGTCATGGCTGCAACCTATGAGTCTATGAAGCAAGGCCTTACACTCGTAGAGCAAGAAATGCCGGCATCTATCTCTTTCCACGTGCCTGATCAGTACCACAAGCGCATCATCGGTATTGGTGGACAGCATATCCAGCGTATCATGAAGAAGCACTCGGTCTTCGTCAAATTCTCCAATGCTATGGATAGGGGTAAGATTTTAGCATACCCGATTCTGTCAACATGTTCTAACCTTGCGACAGGAGGTATGGGACGAGAAGACGATGACATCAAGGTTGATAACGTTATTTGTCGCACACCGGCTCGCAACGCGCAGAACTTGGACGCTGTCAAGAACGAAATTTTGGAGATGGTCGATCGCGCTGTAGGTGTTATGATTTACCTGATGGCCAGCTCAATACTAACAACAATCAATAGGATTCTGAGTACACATCTCAGATTGTCAGTGTTGACCGCCTCTATCATCGCCAGCTTATTGCCAGACTCCCGGAGATCGATGATCTAGAACAGAAATACAACTGCAAGATCAACTTCCCCAGCACTGAGCAGGCCAGTGATGAGGTAACTGTTAATGGCCCTCAGTGGCAGGTCCCCCATTGTGTCGATGAGTTCCTAGGCATGGTCCCTGATAAGCATGAGCTTGTTCTTGCCAGGACCCCTGAGCTTGTCAAATTCCTTGAATCCGCTGAGTTTACCCATGACCTTGTGCCCAAGCTGAAGAGCCAGCATGAGGTTGAGCTCAGCGCTCGCCAGAACCCTGACGAACTTACCGAGAATGGCGAACCTACGATCACTCTGCTATGGGGCTTCACCCGTAACAATGCTGGCGGTCTCCGTGATGCTATGGACTTCATTCAATCTCAATTCGCAACTTCGGGGGCGGAGATCAACGTTGTCAAAGGTGCTCTCCCTCGTCCCAAGTCGGACTCATTCGAAGACTCCCTGCAGTATTTCGACTCCAAGCTTCTGCAGCACGCTCCTGCGCCTATTGCTGCTGACTCTCCCATCAAAGCTGGATTCGGTGATGAAGTCGCTCGTGAGCGAAGCAGCATCCTTGATCGTCTCCGAAAGCCTGGCAGCATGACATCAATTTCATCATTCTTGGACCGCAGAAAGAACAGCTCTCACTCTGGTAACAGCAACTTTTTCAAGGGTTCGAGCAACGTCTCCAAGTCGTCGCTCATCTCGATTGAATCGACCCGCAGCTTCAATGCTGACCGAAACCCATGGAACGACAGCGGAGTAAACCTCCCTGACGATGACAACCCTTGGGCCCCCCGAACCTTCGGTACTCACATGGACAACAAGTTGTCTATTCCTCAACCTGGCGATCTCACTCCTCGTCACAGCACCCGCGCTTCCGGCGACAGCGGGCGCCCTTCCACTTCACATTCTATGAATTCAGGATACCCCGCCCCTATTGGGCCTTTCCGTTAGATTCCCCCGTGTTAGAACCTCTACATGCAAATACCCCGGCTGGATATACCCTGGCGTAAAAATACCCTGGAACGTCGACTTATGCATCGGTCGGTTTACGTCTTGTCATGTTTTTCTTTTTCTTTTGCCTGATTTGTGTTTGAATGCTTTACTGTTTGTTGTTCAAGTCGATTTTGTTTTTTTCCTGGTTTACATGGAATTGAGGTTTCTCTTTTGATGACTTGACGTCCACTCCTTATACCCAGTCATGTGACGAAAAGCTGAGGCCACAAAAAAAAACGAAGAATACCCCTGGTTGCTGATTAAGATGGATTTTTGGAGACATGAAAGATGTTGGGAGGAAGATACCACTGTGGACGAAAAGAAGAAGGAAAGTTGGCCTTCAAAAAGAAGATGACTTATACACGGAGTCAAAGCAGGGCTTGTTTGGTCGCCATGTGGATGATATGCATGACTTCTCATGCAAGGACTGCATATGGCAAATGGATTACTCGCTGCCTTTGGAAACTGCCAGAGAACGAAAAGGCACAAGTCAAGCATTTTCAGCGAAGCGTTGTGAAAAAAGTTGAGAGCATTGCCACTGAGCAGAACGAGATTGAGAAATGACAATGATACCTGCGGTTCAGCCGCGACTGCTCGATATACGGAGCTTTGTTTTCGCCAATGAATATTCCTATGCCATAATGTGAGACCTTGTGAACAAATATGTATATGAAGGCCATCCCTACTTGGAGAAGCTCGAAAAGTTCATAAGAAGAAATCAGGGTAAACCACAAGACCATTAGTTAATGTTAGATGACAAGACCAAGGCATGCGGTTGCTATCTTTGTTGCAGAACCTGGAGCCAACCAGTCGTAGTTGTCGAGTAAATCGTGTTGATTCGTTTCTCATTCGCTTATACACAAACAGGCACCTAGTCATCCCAGACAGCGGCCTTAGCCTTTTCAACGTCGGCCTGTCGCTTCCTCTCTTCCTCCCTCTCCTGCTCTCTTTTCTTCTTTTCCTGCTCGCGTACACTCTTCTGATATGCCCGCTGCTCCTCCGTCTGCTTGGGTGCCTTGAGGCCTAGTCCGGCAGCTATCATACGTCGTGCAACAGCATCCGTCTTCTCCGGCCGCCGATCAGGGTCAGATCCAGCTCGAGGAGCTGGACTGCCTACGGGTGAAGTCCATGGTAAACCACCAACAGGCGACATAGGCGTTGGAGGTGGTGGTGCAGGCGTGACGCTGGGAGTGGGTTCGTTTGACTCAGCCTCGGCTTCGGGCTCAGAGTCAGAATCAGCATCTTCCCATGAATCTGCGACAACCTCCTTGGTTTTTGCCTTCTTTGCTGCGGGGTTTGAAGTCGTTTTTGCCGGTTCCTCTTTTGTGTTGAGGGATAAACCCTTGAGTGAAGCTGAGAAGTTTTGGTCCTCGGACATGGTCAAATCTATGGATATGTCTCAGGCTGTTTGTGGATAACAAGTGGGCGACGAGCGCGTAATGAGGATTTTATAAGCTTGCGGTAACTGAATGAGTAGTAGAGTAGTTGATGTATATAAAGGCGTGGATTCGGTTGGATGTTGAAGAACAAAGAGTGCAGTTGGAGGTTGTTAGTCCACCAGGCTTGAGATTGCGGAGAAGTACAGGGTAGGTGGGACGTGCAAGGTGTCGATCATTTATGTTTAATTCTACCTCTGAATTGCTGCATGTGAGATTGTGCTATTATGCTAGGTATTCTATACGTTCAGTGTTCTTCTTTTCCCTGAGTAAGTCTTGTGTCTGAAGTTGGGCATATGGTCGGTCGTGTATATGAATAATCCTTCACCACGGTAATCAATCTCAAACGATCTTTTCAGACTATACCAATTGCGACACCAAGACATGTATGAGGATTGAACGTTGGTGAACTAATAGTCTTTATTGTAATTTGATCATCTCGCATCATATGTATTATTAGATCCATATGCTATTAAATATGTTTGTTTACCGATGACAACTCGACTCTTATTCTAATCCACGAGATCTAGGTATGAGCTTCGGTGTATCATTCAACGTTTAGCCCGAGAATCTGCAGCAGTCATGGCGAGGCATTCATGCTATAATTCAAAGCGTTTTCATGTCGCGACTGACAGCTTAACGAAGCACGCGAGCATCGGTAGTTGAATGTCGTGATGATAGGTACACGATGGATCAATGGCTGTAGCAACAACCGATAGTGGGGTTCAGTTGTTCAATTGGTCGGACGCTGACAAAGATTAGGTAGTCTATAACACTAGCGCAGAACGTCTTAGAAACTGCTTGACTCGAAATTTTGGATGATGTCGTTAAATCCGACCTTAGTCTTAAGGTATTAGATATTGGATTATTAAGTCGCCTCCACCAAACGGTGATGCGGACAATTGCGGCCTGCATTAACCTTGTCGACCACATCGAATAGAGCTTCCCCAACCCAAGTTTTCTTTCTTTTTTAACAAATAATTACTCTTTAATTGTTCATCTGTTCCACAATAAGCTACCCGCCGCGGGGAGCTTCCAACTCCTCTCTCCTCTCCGATCCTAGCTTTCTAGCTCCGTACTCGCTTGCTCCAGAGCCGAGCAGAGCAGAACATAGCAACGCATTGCATCGCATCACCAACCATGATTCCCCGTTCACGCCTTTCGGGACGCCTCGTTCTCGAGCGCTCTCTCGTTCACGCATCACGAGCATCTTCCGAAGCCACCGCGGCTCGCTGGACTTCTTCCCCCGCCTACCGCAACCATCACATCTGCGGACGCCGGCTTCCCGTTATTCAGCCCCGGCTCGCCGCCGCTGCTTTTTCCACGTCCGCCCGAGTCGCCAAGGAGAGGGATAACAATGATAAGGGTTTCTTCGAGTCTGCGATAGAGCCATTGACAGAGCCCTTGTCCGAAGAGGAGGCCAAGGCCAACGTCGAGAACAAGCGCAAGGAAGGTGATGGAACAATATTGGCCGAGTCGAAGAACCCAGGCCCTGACTCACCTGGGTCCGGAAAGAACGATAACGGTAGTCAGTCGCAAGATGGAAAGGCAGGAAGCGCCGCAGGAGGTTCTGGCTCAGGATCTGGTGGCGACAACTCTGGTGGTGATGGAGGTCGTCGTGGCCGGAAACCTTCTTCCGAGAAGGCCCTCCAGAAGCCTGTCGTCCCTGAGGTCTACCCCCAAGTTCTAGCCATTCCTATTGCCCGAAGGCCGCTTTTCCCTGGTTTCTACAAGGCGATTACTATTAAGGACCCCGAGGTGGCCAATGCAATCACCGAGTCGATCAAGCGTGGCCAGCCGTATGTCGGTGCCTTCTTGTTCAAGGACGAGAACGAGGATGAGGATGTGATCCGGAACCCTGATGACGTCTATGACGTTGGTGTCTTCGCCCAAATCACAAGTGCTTTCCCCATTCACGGCCAAGAAGGTGCTCTAACTGCTATCCTCTACCCTCATCGCCGTATCAGATTATCCAGTCTACTGCCTCCCGGCGGCCAAGATGCTGCTAAGAAGGGTGACTCCAAAACCGAACCTGCACCCGAACCAATTCCCCAGAAGCCCGTCGAGGAGGAGGTTACCCCTGAGAAGAAGGGTGATGTCGTCGCCAGCTTTGAAGAGAGCGCTGTCGAAAAGAAGCCCGATCAGGCTGCCGAGAAGTACGAGCCAACATCATTCCTTAAGAGATATCCCGTCAGTTTGGTCAATGTTGAGAATCTCGTTGATGAGCCCTACGACCCTAAGAGCCCTGTAATCCGCGCCGTCACCAACGAGATCGTCAACGTTTTCAAGGAGGTTGCTACAATGAACAACCTCTTCCGAGACCAAATCTCCACCTTTTCCATGAGCCAGTCCACCGGAAACGTCACATCGGAGCCCGCCAAGCTTGCCGATTTTGCTGCTGCTGTGTCGTCAGGCGAGCAGAAGGAGCTGCAAGAGGTGCTTGGATGTCTCAACGTGGAGGAGAGGATGCAGAAGGCTCTCGTGGTTCTCAAGAAGGAGCTCATGAACGCCCAGCTCCAGTCTAAGATTAGCAAGGATGTGGAGAACAAGATCAGCAAGAGACAACGAGAATATTGGCTCATGGAGCAGATGAAGGGTATTCGTCGCGAACTCGGCCTCGAGTCTGATGGCAAGGACAAGCTGGTCGAGAAGTTCAAGGAAAAGGCCAACAACCTCGCCATGCCCGAGGCAGTTCGCAAGGTCTTTGACGAGGAACTCAACAAGCTTGCTCATCTCGAAACAGCTGCATCCGAGTTCAACGTTACCAGGAACTACTTGGACTGGCTAACCCAGATCCCCTGGGGCAGGAGGAGCGCCGAGAATTTCGGTATCCCCAATGCCGTTAAGATCCTGGACGAGGATCATCACGGCCTTAAGGATGTCAAGGACCGTATCCTGGAGTTCATCGCTGTTGGTAAACTCCGAGGTACTGTTGAAGGCAAAATCCTTTGCTTCGTCGGACCTCCTGGTGTGGGTAAGACAAGTATTGGAAAGTCGATTGCCCGTGCTTTGAACCGCGAGTACTACAGATTCAGTGTCGGTGGTCTCACGGATGTTGCTGAGATCAAGGGTCACCGAAGAACCTATGTCGGTGCCCTCCCCGGCCGCATGATTCAGGCCCTGAAGAAGTGTCAAACTGAAAACCCCCTTATTCTGATTGATGAGATCGACAAGATTGGTCGAGGTTACCAGGGCGATCCTTCATCAGCTTTGCTAGAGTTGCTCGACCCCGAGCAGAACAGCTCTTTCTTGGACCACTACATGGATGTGCCTGTGGACCTTTCCAAGGTCTTGTTTGTGTGCACTGCCAACATGACAGATACCATTCCTCGACCTCTACTAGATCGAATGGAGCTCATCACACTCTCCGGTTACGTTGCCGACGAAAAGATGGCCATTGCTCAGCGATATCTTGCTCCCGCTGCCAAGGAGACAGCTGGACTCCAGAACGCTGATGTCACTTTGAGCGAGGAAGCAGTTGAGGAGCTCATTAAGTCATACTGCCGCGAGTCTGGTGTGCGAAACCTCAAGAAGCAGATTGAAAAGGTCTACCGAAAGTCTGCCCTCAAGATCGTCCAGGAGCTTGGAGAAGAGGTTCTTCCCGAAGAGGAGGCCCTGACCGAGGAGGGTAAATCTGCTCTTGAGGAGGCTGAGAAGAACAAGAAGTCTGAAGAGGCAACTGAGGGCAAGGAGTCCAGCTCTAACGAGACTGGCGCGACTACGGAGAAGCCCCGCAAGGCTCTCAAGGTCCCAGACTCTGTCCACGTCGTTATCAACAAGGAGAACCTTACCGATTACGTCGGCCCTCCTGTGTTCACTTCCGATCGTCTCTATGAAGTCAGCCCCCCTGGTGTCTCGATGGGTCTTGCTTGGACACAACTCGGCGGTGCTGCAATGTACATTGAGTCTATCCTCCAAGCTCCTCTCCGACCATCTACACGACCCCACCTTGAAATCACTGGTAACCTTAAAAACGTTATGAAGGAATCCACCACCATCGCCTATTCCTTTGCTAAGTCTTTTATGGTGAAGCGATTTCCTGACAACCACTTCTTTAACAAGGCAAAGATGCATCTGCACGTCCCTGACGGTGCTGTCTCGAAGGATGGCCCTTCGGCTGGTATCACCATGACCACTTCGCTGCTCTCCCTTGCTCTTGACGCACCTGTCAATCCTACAGTTGCCATGACCGGCGAGATTACGCTTACCGGAAAGGTGCTGCGCATTGGTGGTCTCCGTGAAAAGACTGTTGCTGCTCGACGTGCTGGCTGCAAGACTATCATCTTCCCTAAGGACAACATGTCTGATTGGCTAGAGCTACCTGAGGTATGTTTTCATTTACTGATATCTTTTACTGTCTGATTAATACTAATACGTACTTGCAGAACATCAAGGAGGGTCTTGAAGGTCACGCTGTAGCCTGGTACCCTGAGGTCTTTGACCTCGTCTTTCCCAATATCGACAAAAAGCAGGCCAACAAGTGCAAAATATGCGAGTGGAAGGCTCAGCAGAAGAAGAACGACCCCGAATCAGCTGAAGAGGAGGACTAAATGCAGAACACACAGCACATTCATTGATGAATTCTAGCCATGTAACTGCCGACGAGTACCAGCCCCAAAATTTTGACGCTGAGGAATGTTGCGGAGCATGATTTGAGGGGCGTTTGGGCACGGGGCGAGAAATTAGATGAACGATATAAAGACTCCCACTCTTGTTATTACCACTATGTGGACATTGTACTATTAGAAGCATGCATTAGTAGTTTATTTGGGGGTGACACAAGACAGCCTTGTAGTTGTCGCCTTCGTGTATTGTACATATAGGAAAGCGACTTCATTCTATTTCATCACTGGATCATGCTTGTGTAAGATAATCGATGCAACATCAGTAGTGCTTGATAATAATAAGACGGATTCGTCAGATGGTTGAGATCATGGTCTTCGCGGCGTCTCCGGGTACAAGCGCAACCTCATGCGAACGATGCTACCTTCGCGAGGTAGAGTTCGAGGCCCGCAATGTGGTTGCAGCCTGAAGCGTGATATGGCACGTTGGGAGGTTTGATAGGGCAATTTAGAATGGTCACCTCTGATCCAATGGATCATAAGCTAGGAAACAGTCTAGGTAGACGATATTACTTCACCATACTTCCATCATAACCTTCTCTTTCGAGTATAACCTCGAGGGAAAAGAAGCTATAATGTCGGATGCCCTGACTGGTTCCCCAGACGGCTGATCCTGGTTCGTACCTCAATTGAGCCAAGGCTCAGAGATCTCATCTCGTCCATGGCGGTGCGGGATCGGTGGAGCCAGGCACGGGACGAGCCTAGCTGGGGAAATAAGTTTAGACAGCAGCAATGAGGAGCAATCTGAAGTCATATTTCTCGATGTTTTGCTGTGATGTCTGTCGACAACATTTCACATAAGTCCCAAGCCCTGTAACGCCCGCGATGCAATGATGTTGTTAAGTCTAAATCTGCCGATGCATCCAGGCTATCATCCCGGGGTCGATTGGCACCCGAGGGAAGCACTCAAACCGTCTGGAAGCCCGTTCATACGTATAGTGTTACGGCCCCATTGCTTGCATGGCGAACCGACAACCTGTCAAGCCTGGGTAGCCTCACTAGAGCGTTGGTCTAGCGTTTAGCGGGCCATTCTCATGCTGCACTCATGCCTGACCCCACGCGAGGCTCTTTGGGGATCTTGGCCGGTGGATCGGGCTTCAGAGTTGGCCGCAGTACTAGCTCGGTTCGTGTGAAGCTGAAAGCACCTCAAATTCCTGTGTGAGGTAACGAGTTCGAAATTTGAGACGAGAGAGAAGAAGTGTAACCAATTGAACCGACTGAGCCCTCGGCAAGCGTAGGTATTTCCCTATTGAGAGAGATGCTTGGAGTGTGTGCGCGAATTGGAGAACCTCGACTTGGGGCATTGCAAAGTTGCATCGGATACACAATTGCTTATTACGGAACAATTGATGACTGGAAAGTCTGAAATAGGTGAAAAGACGCATATCACATCATCATTGGAGAGCGGAAGCAACGTGACGTCTAGCTTCAATGCCGTCAAGGGTCTGAAGCTCTAAACCGCATGCTGATACGGCAATGGCAGAGGTGGACTCGGGTACTGCGATGCATGCCATTTTGGCCTGTTCGAGATCGAAGCATAGCGTTGCGTATGGCTATAAGTTCGCATCTGCATTGGCGTACCCATTGATTCAATGCATGTTATGCAGTGCCTCAACTTCGCCATTTTTCCGGTCTGCCGCATGCCTGGTGAGCGGTTGGCGGTTGGAGTGTCGGCGCGGTATTTTGTTTGCTAGGTACTCAATGCGTTCGCCTTGTGGAAGGAATAATTGGACAACATCACGATCGATATGGATGGTACTCAGCATCAAGCGAGCTCATAAGTCGGGCGGCCAGCCAAAGCGAGCTGTATGTACTGGAGGGTGTCGTCACTTGCGTATGCTATCATTGATTAGTGTCCAGATGGTCTATATTGTGGTCCAGGTTTCGAGGTCAGCAGCTCAAAATAACACGCACTCACGTTAGAGCAGTCCTTGGGCTCATCCTTGTCCGTTAGATAGCCCCTGCGTCAATCACCAATAACGTGGTTTTGGCTGTAACTGTAATTGTTGGTTGAAGTTGTAACTTGAGCCATGGGCCGAAGCTGTCATGACCGCCATCTCGGGTAGGCTGGTTTCCTTTGCGGGTGTTGAAACCAAGGCAGATGGCGGTAACAGATAACTCTCTCTACCTTAGTAGGTATGATAAATTGGAATAGGTCTACTTTGCTTCATTATGGAAGTCGCTTATTAAAACGTACTCGGACCTTCCTATCCATTTACCTTTTATGACCGCTCCTTCCCATGAATTCCTGTTGTTCTCATGCCTCCGAAATCTGTGATGGGGAAGTTGGCACCAGAGTGCAGATGCTTGCTTTACATCACCCTCGTGATACAAGCTTTGGCACGCTAAACCACACCAACTCCAATAGAGCCGTGCACGCTCTTATTCTTCCTTACCATCAAACAAAGCGACACCGGTTATTCTCGATATCCGCTTGCAAGTTGTAGCCCTTTGTGCCCGACCACAAGCCAGACTCTCTCCGTGCCTAATGATGCATCACCGCCCTTCCCCTGCGCTCAAGCAAATGCAAACTCGTGTCTAGCGTCGATAGAATGGGACGAGACAAGGGCATATGAAAGGGGCCAGCTCATCGGTGGTTCCCCACTAGCAGGCCGTCGAGCGTCACCGTATCTCTTGAAAGGATGACTCTGCAAGCCGCACATAGCATAACACGCTTCTTGTGGTGGACATTGCTCGCCTGGCAGGGTCTCTTGGCCAGCTTTGGAAACTGAAGGTCCCGGCATGGTGGGATGAATGGACCATGATCGCGACACCCACGCCCGAAGCCATGCACAAATGTCGTTAAGTCAAGCAAGAACCCCTGATGCTCCTCGGCAAGTCTGGGGCAAAGGACAACCACAGCCCTGCGCTGACATCTGGACTTGGGCTTGGACTTGGGTTTGGGCAGTGAGTAAGTTAGTGGTGGCTTTGCAGCCAAGTGAGCAGTCGCACACATACGTTGCAGTCCATTATATCCAGCCCCTTTGCAAGGCGGCCCAGCGAGAGCGTCATTGGGACGCTCACTCTTAACAGGGGAAATACCACGTTTTTAGTGTGGCTCAGGCTTCTAAAGAAGCCCAAAGTGATGGAAGCCCAAACGTCAGAAGTTCAGCCCCTCCGTCGCCCGCTCCGGCCCCGTCTCGTCCCGCCGGGACTAGGAGCCAACTATCCACTAAGCCCACACACACACATATCCGCCCGTTTTAGGCGTTGGACCTCGTCGTTGCCATTGAATATCAGCAGGGCGTGCATCGCAACTCCATTTTCAACGAGCTTCTGTTGTCACAGGTTTTTCTACTACACCTTACCAGAAGACTCTTCTTCACCCATCACGAGTATTCCCTATCAATTTAAAGCTCCCTGCCGCACCGATATCTATTGCGCCTCCGGCTTCTTTTCCCGCGAGTTCGACCGCTTGTTAAGAAGACCCGCTTCTCACCGACCGTTCATTAATATCCCAACCTCCTCGGGGCCATAGTACCGACCAAAGTAACGAGTTACTTTTCTTGTTCTTGGGTGGATCGAGCTGAGAAGTTCTTTGCTTTACTTCTATTGTCGAAGAACTCTCCTTCATTGACGATCTGGTGGAATTCCTGAGAATAATTGACCGTCTTTCACCTAAACGCCATCTGCTAGCGAGTATATTTCATCCGTCTATTTGCTTCACACATTTCCCTACATAGTAGGCATTTTGCTCTACCTACTCCAACATTTTGTTTTATCAAGAATACAAGCTTGTGAAACCATACATAGTGTGGTGTGTACATCGCTACAAGCTTCGACTTAGAATTGGAATTCCGCCACTGTTCAAATATCGAATTATTACTTCATCCGCTGCATGAACTTGGGATCATATCGATATCGACTCCTAGTTGTGCTTGAATACAGCAGCACACATCTGGTCGCACTGTCGCGGCCATGGCCCAGGCCGGCGTAGTAGCGTCCGGGCCACCGCAACCGCTTCATTCACAACCAACAGCACTATCTGGCACTCAGGGGTTCTTCCGCAAGCTCTTCGGAAGACAGGGCGGCAATGGCGCTTTGCAAAAACCTTCCGAACAGCCGAAAGGCACGCAGAATGAAGAGGAGTCGACTGACCTGGAGAAAGGCGGATTAATTCGCCGAATGTCTCGTAGGGTTGTGCCTGGACTGCCTCGGGCGCAGACTTTTAAGCGTCAGATATCAGAAAGGAGAACCAACTTGTCACCGGTCGAATCAACACCTGACGAAAGGCGAGCCGTTTCTATGGATCGACGCTCATATAGACAGCGGACACCATCAGCCTCACAGCAAGCGACCAACCCCCGTGTCAGCGCCCCAAGCTTCCTTGGCTCTCCCCAGGACGATGTACCGCGATTCGTTCCTTCAATATCCGTCGATTCTGTTGCAGACACGCCACCTCAAGATCCTACTGAACCGATTTTGCATCGAGATGATGAGGATACCCTTGCCGACGAGTGCCCAGCTCAAGACAACCTCTCTACTGCAGATACACATTCGATAACGGGATCCCAGTACGAGGCCATAATCCATGAGGAGCTAGAAAAGACTTGGATATTGAACCTAAGCATGCATTTCCGTGACCGGTCAAGGAGGGAAAAGTTCTTCGTTACATATCGTGAACGTGATCATCTTTGGCGGCGTGTTACAATATCGCTTGATTATCGCGATGCGCCCCCAAATTCCCTGGAAATGGATTTGATTCACACGCATTATCAGCGAGAAAAGAGCGCAAAGATTTACGAAGCCATCCGGGAAAGCTTGCGAGATATTCAGTTTTATGACACCGTAACTAACCTGAAGCTCCAAACTACTGACGGGAGGCTACATGTGCACGTGGTTGAGGACGGCAACGTAGGTACACACTCCACGAGTCACTGGTTTTAAGCTAATGAGCGGCAGGAAATCATCCAATACCCGACTGTTGCCCAAGTTAAGCATCTAGGATGTCGTCGTGTGCGAGAAAAGGACATTGCCTTTGAATCACACATGTCTGGATTTGTCTATAAAGTCAATGTCAACGGTCACACGCTCATAAAAAAGGAAATTCCGAGCCCTGACACTATAGACGAATTTTTGTATGAAGTCAACGCCCTCAACTCTCTACGATTTTCCCACAACGTCATCCACTTCTACGGTGTTGTAGTAGATGACCAGGATGAGCACGTCAAGGGACTCCTTATCAATTACGCAGACCAGGGGGCTCTCATAGACATCATCTATGAGCATTGCAAAGATGGCGACTGCGAGCTCCCATGGGCGACGAGGGAAAAATGGGCGCGGCAAATTGTAGAAGGGTTATCCGATATTCACGAATCAGGTTTCGTTCAAGGGGACTTTACCTTGTCGAACATTGTTATAGATGGATATGGCGACGCAAAGATCATTGACATCAATAGAAGGGGTTGCCCAGTAGGCTGGGAGCCCCCGGAAGCAACGCCACTCATTGAGAGTAACCAACGTATCACTATGTATATCGGCGTAAAGTCAGATCTATATCAGCTCGGTATGGTTTTGTGGGCTCTGGCAAGTCAGGAGGACGAGCCAGAAGCACAAGGGCGACCCTTGATCCTTGGCCCCGAGGTGAACATTCCGGATTGGTATCGACAAATGGCGGAAGTTTGTTTGAGTAACGACCCACGCATGCGGCTTCAGGCGTCCGCATTGTTGGAAATGTTTCCTCGGCCAAAGGAGCATGAAACTTGTGGACAACTGAACCCACCCGAATCAATGGTCGATGAAGGGTATACTTTACAACAGTACCTGATTGACGGGTATCACCCAGATAATCTTCCTCAAATCACCACGGTCGAACCACCCAGCGACTGGCCCTATGTCAACCGAGCTTATGCAGACACAAGCCCCGTCAGGTGTGAACCGTACCAGTACACCCGTGGACGCTCCCCTCCAAGCCCCTTACCGAGCAACTGTGAAGGCTACAACTCCCCACGAGGCTTATACGACGTTGCTGCTTGGGCAGCAAACAGAAACATACCATCATCATACAGTGATGTTGGGCCTGATGGGACGCCGCTTGATGAGACACCTGTCGCTAATAAGCGAGGACTTGTTGATTCTGATGCGCTGACAGCGCCCGATTCGACTTTGGAGAAGAGAGGAACACCAGCGACCTCTACTTCGGCCCCAAGTCCGACCCGTGGTGCGGATATGGAGGATGAGATATATGTTAGAGCTAACACGAATGTTGCTAAGGATCGAGTAGATCAAAGAGCGGAAATAGGCGACGCTGAAGGTGATACCGCACTCCCGTATCGAGTGTCAATCACCGAATCGATGAAAACTGGAAACACGAGCCCTGGGGACAGCAATACTGTAGTCAGAGACAGCCCACAAGGAAAAGGACAGGAACCTACAATGTTGGGAGGCGCAATCGATCACTCGAACGCTGTTCCACTGGAGGAACGAGGAGGACTTGCTGCAAAAAAAGAAACTAAGGTGGCGCGAGCCTCGCATCAGAAAAACCGAAAGACCTTGGATGATTTATCCGAGAATTACGACAGCCAGAAGGAAAGCCGAGCACCCCAAGAAGGGTACAAACCAGGGGACCATCAGACGACGCTCGTAGACGGGAGAGATGTCTCAAATGAACCTACCAAAAAAGCAGAGCAAAAACCGACACAAGACGCAGCAGAAAAGCAAGGGTCCACAGCACCTGATGCCCACCAAACAACGACCAATTGTACCAAGAAGGAAGATTTGATTACGAATGTTGGTGAAGCAGGCAAGAGACCAGAAGAGGAAGCGATTGGCGGTGGTGTCAAACGCACCGAACTGTCAGCAGATACTGAGGTACCGCAACCATTTACTCACGACGACAACGAACTGGCCCAAGAAATGAGCACGACTGACGACAAGTCCAGGAGAGTGAAATCTCCGTTGGGACTATAATGAATGTCTACGACACGGCCTGATGAAGGTTAATTTTGAAATTATTTGTATCTTGATAGCATAGTATACTATTCTCATTTGTATTAGCGGGAAAGTGGCAGGCGTAACTCTGAATAAGGCGCAAACATGTTAGTTAGTGATTGAACTTCTTTTCTGTTAATGGCATGCACAGTTACGTCTGTCGTATTATGACGTCGAAAAATGGGCTGGTGAATTAAATGTCCTGCGCAGCGTACGCAGTTATCAGTCTTATATTGGCGTGTTGCAACATGTTTGTTTGTTGCTTTAGAGTTGTGGCAATCATGCTTCGGATGTTGGCCAGGTTTGGCTGATTACATGTATCTGGACTGAATTCGACAGATATGGTTGAGAACAAAAGAGAAACAGGGGGCATATAGCTTTGTATCTCAAGCGGCTAGAAACTATCATCCAAGTCAATACTTTACATGTGGGACAAAATCCACACACCATCAGAAGATATCAGTACATACCAAAGTCTTAGAACATTATGTTACTATTTGTAGTATTACTATAAGCTACTGTAGAGTATCCTGGATATGAGCCCCTTTCTTTGACAATTTCCTAATCTTATTGCCGTATTTCGTCAATGAGTAATAGCTAATGGGGAGACGCAATGTGCGACTTCTGCTCACTATCGCTTTATTTGGCAACGTGATGGAGTTGCTAACTTACAGGTAGCTATATTCCTTTGAATCCCTTTGTCATTGGCGAGCAACACCTTCCAGTCATTCTAGCTATTTATCCTAGGATGACTCCCTACGTTTATCGGGCTATTCATGTTTATGTACTCCAAGTATTTAATAGAATATATACCTCTAAAAAGGTAAAATGAGAAATCCCAGCTTTTCCCCTACAATAATGGATGCATACAGCTTTGGATATTTTAATTATGTTTAATCGAATTGATGTAAACCTTAGGGAACCGAAGTAAGATACACCAAGGCTCAACTCTATATATGTCTGTTCCTTTTAACCTGTATACGGTGGTGAATATTTGGTGCAAGCGTTTTTTATGACCAGGCGCTCATTTCTCCTGGTTTTGTATCCAAATCTAGAGGAGGCTGATTTGGGATACGACAATGTGATTTCATGCCACTGGGGATGGCCACTCTTCCAAGTTGGAATATCAGAAGCATCATCAATATCACATTAGAGGGCCAATCCGATTTCTCATCATGTACACAATGGGATCTATTGTATTAGATGGGGGTATTGCACACTAGGCATAATAGCTTGGACTATATATTATCAGTTGTAAGTGTCATGTTGCTAGAACTCAGACTGCCTATAATATTGAACCCTTCATCTATAATAGAGTGCAACCAATAAGGTAGCCGTAAACCCTGCACGCGATCGTTGCCCTCAACCATACTTACAGGTACCTATAGTTTATGTACGGAGAGTTAAGGGGCGTTCTACCTTTTGTAGTCGAAAGAAGACTATTGGTATTGCTGCTCTTTTAAGTTTGCCTGCTTCAACAGTATCTGAAGTGCCCTCTGTAAAACTCGCCATCTTAAACCGATAGTAGTAATGTTCTAGAATGCATCGAGGTTGAAGATGAGCATCACGTGATGCTTCAACAGTTTGACAGAAAGTGTGGTGCAAATCTCTTGTTTCTTGGTGCCTAATTTTGGACGACGGAATGACGGGAAAACAAGGCAAACTTGCAGCATCGGATAGGATGGAGGCAAATGTGGAACCGCCTAGCTTGGCGAATCCCGATCTTCTTTGTTTCTGTTGGGGAGATTCTGGGGGAGAGAGCCAGGGTTTGACAGACAGTACGTACCGCTATCCCTGCTCAGTCGGGACAATGGAACGGCAAGACAAGCATGAAATCGACAATTCGCATCTGGGGGACGGGCGAATAAGGAACCGAGGGTCTAGAGATTGAGACCCTGATTATTGAATCGTGTCAGTTACCACGCAAATGGGCCGAGGCATCGTTCGACGTGTGTAGAATTAGGATTGGTGACGATTATAGGTTCGTGATAGGGCTGGACTAGGTACTACTATGCAGACCAAGATATGTTGAAAGAACTACGTATACTGTAGACGTGGAAGCGTGAATGAGATTCAACAATTACCAACAATGACAATCTAATGAGCAAACGAGTAAAATCATCTGACGTTCCTCAATTACACCCGCATAGCTCATATACATGGCATGATATTATCGGGATTTGGCGGCGTTGCAAGCAACCACAATCATCCATATCAAGGATTGCTATCAAGATTCGAGCGTATCAACCAAATCATGCACTGTACCAAAGAGACTGTGCACTGGCTGACTGATCAAATCTCCATCTTTCACTGCTAGATCTTTGAGATAAGCGTCCGTCTACGTCAGCAGACCAGTACGTAGAGTCGGCTCGGCATGTCCGGTGTGAAAACGGTGCTCAGCTTGAAGGGATTTGCACGTCAACAGCTCAATTGGGAGAGATTTGCCACTGCAACAGTCAACGACAGTCAAACAGTCGACACGACTGGATTGCCCGTGTCTTTGCATCCATGTTGCCATGTTTGTGATACGGTGTTGTTTTACTGTTCTACTGTACTCTCACCTCAACATTGGAATATCTGCCAACTGCACGCTCTGGATATCGATGACCACTGTTCTCGGGCTTTTCAGTCGTGTCATGCCATGCACTCCACTTCAGAAAACTATTGCGCAACGTCTAAGAAAGAATCAGTGGAGCTGTTGTGTTATCCTCTTGAACCAACCTCAGTAAAAAAATAAAAAAACTCGTCGTCAATTGCAAGCCCAGCCACCCAAGGGCTAGGCGGCTCCGGGTTTCTTGTGGGAGCTCACCCCTGCATGGAAGGAAAGGCACGTAGCGGCTCCTCTCTGGCGTAAAGGCTAGAAGAGATGTGCCGTGGCTTGCATTGCGAGGTGGAGGAAGGTAGGTACTCTTCCTGCAAATTGTTGCAGGGGAATACCTCCAGCAGTTGGTAAAGGTACTGAGCTTTTCCTCAAACGGTAACCGAACCCCACATTGATTGGAGCCGCCAAAAATTGTTGGGGTGGAGGGGGTGGAGAAGATATTGCTTGGGTAAGTGTTGAGAAAGTGTTCGAGGAAGGAGTTTGAGGTTCGACGTCGAACACTTCTTGATCCGTTCCAGCTGTCCGAGCAACTGGCCATTGATTGTCGAATCCCATGCGGCGAATTAGCACTCTACTGCTCCGTATCGTGGCCTGTTTTCTGGCATCATTATTCTTTTCGTTTAAACGACGGGGCAGGGCATGTGGAAGATCTCGGTATCTAACGTTAGATGGAAGCGGGGAGCAAGATTGGGAGATATCGTAAGGTGTTGGGTGTAATTGGCTGTCGCAGGTTGAAGCACTTACAACGATGGCCAGCTAAATGCCCAGAAGCTCGTTGACTTACACGATAAGGCATCATGGCCAATCGATCTCAATGTCGATGTCGACATTTTGAAGTATAATAAATCTAGAATCATCGGAATACGGGAGTCCATCTACTTACTGTACGGCCTCGCTTTCTCCGATGTTCACAAAGTCCTGATGATCGGTTAATTCCCCAGTCTGCGTATTAGCGAGCCTACCTAACCCTTGGAAGGCAAAGTCCAAGTCCCTTGAAATTCATGATTGACACTTCGTGTAAGCGCTGTAATGGAAGTTGCGGGAGGAGACGGACTGAGGAGTGCAGTTGCCTTTTTTTGCATTCCGGCCGCCCCAATGGATTTTTTCCCCTTGTTCATGTAGGGACGGCGGGGGGTGTGTGACACAGCCGCTAGATTCAACCTCCAGCACCGAAACACACTCCAACATCCAACCCAATTCACTTCGAGGAAGAGAGATAAGGGCATATCTCGTCGACCACGAGAACTCGTCATTCGTCCTCATCAATCTTCACAAGCAAAAAGTTGAACCGCCGAGGATCAAATGTCAAATGGCATCATGATGCCGTAGACAAGATTTCAGAAAGTCGAGAGACAGAACTTGATTCGTGATGTCAAACGTCAACAGAATGACCAAGCCCGCCCCAACTCAACTCAAAGCAAAGCGAAGCAGAGCTCTGAGCTCCGGACAGCTTCCTGTCATTGTCATCTGATATCGGCAATTAGCTCCCCTTGATTTGCCTCCTGATTCTGAGTCTGAGTCTGAGGGTCGATGTCGATTCACACAAACCCCAGTCTCCATTCCCCGTTCCCCATTCACAGAAACCGTCTTCCCAACCTTGAATTCGCCGCCGCAGCCACTGCAAGGGTTAAACGTCCATCAAAGCTCCACCTTTAGGCCTGTGTTTTTTCTTTGCCTCCTCACTGAAGGCTGCTGTTTGGTGTCTCTACCGCTGCAGAGACCCTTCGAACCCTCCACTTTCTTCCTCCCCACTTGTCTCACGCCTCACACGCCAACCACACGCCCCCCCCAGTCCATACCGCTTCCCTTCTCTGTCCCATCCAATCCACCCTCAGTTGTCGCCCAGCTCTGGGTCGGGCCTGATAGTATAAAGCCCTTTTAGAGCCCTCTACCCCAACCGTATCTTCTCGACCAACCTTCCCTCTCTCTCTCCTTATACTCTCTTCACCTTTTGCTTAGGATATCCAACATCCTAAAAAGGTTCAGTTTTCCCCTTCACTCCTTCGAGTAACCATCAACTTGTGGTACTCGTGTGTTGGGATTTTTATATTCGAGTCGACGACGTACACTTGCCATCGCCAAACGTTCAATCGGCAACTCAATCGACATGGCGACAGCTACTGCTGCAGGCAAGCATGCCTCGCCATTCCCTGATGGCACCAAGGACTATGTTCCTCTTCGAGCTGGCGTTCCCAAGAAGGATGCCAACAAGGTCCACATCGCCGACACTCCTATGACCTGGAGCAACTGGCCCCAGCACATCAACTGGCTCAACACAACACTCGTTGTGTTTGTTCCTTTGATGGGCTTCATCTCCGCCTACTGGGTTCCTCTTCAACTCAAGACTGCCCTCTGGGCCGTCTTCTACTACGTCCACACTGGTCTCGGCATCACTGCTGGTAAGTTGAATCATGTTGTGGCACTGCTGCCATCAAACCTCCATTGGGCTGGAATCATTACTCACACTGCTCAGGATACCATCGAATGTGGTCTCACTCCTCCTACAAGGGTACCACCCCTCTCAAGATCTACCTCGCTGCCGTTGGCGCTGGTGCCGTTCAGGGTTCCATCCGATGGTGGTCATATGGTCACCGTGTTCACCACCGTTATACCGATACCGACAAGGACCCTTACTCGGTCCGCAAGGGTCTCATGTACTCGCACATGGGATGGATGATCCTGAAGCAGAACCCTAAGCGACAGGGCCGAACCGATATCACCGATCTCAACGAGGACGCCGTTGTTGTCTGGCAACATAAGAACTACATCAAGTCTGTTCTCTTCATGGCTCTTGCCTTCCCTGCTCTCGTCGCTGGTCTTGGTTGGGGTGACTGGTGGGGTGGTCTGGTCTATGCCGGTATCCTCCGTGTTTGCTTCGTCCAGCAAGCTACCTTCTGTGTCAACTCTCTTGCTCACTGGCTCGGAGATCAACCTTTCGATGACCGCAACTCTCCCCGTGATCACGTCATCACTGCTCTTGTTACCCTTGGTGAGGGATACCACAACTTTCACCACGAGTTCCCTTCAGATTACCGCAACGCTATTGAGTGGTGGCAGTACGACCCTACCAAGTGGAGCATCTGGCTCTGGAAGCAGCTTGGTCTTGCCTACGAGTTGAAGGAGTTCCGCGCCAACGAGATTGAGAAGGGCCGTGTTCAGCAGCTTCAGAAGAAGCTCGACCAGAAGCGTGCTACCCTCGACTGGGGTATTCCTCTTGAGCAGCTTCCTGTTGTTGACTGGGACGACTTCGTTGCCCAGTCCAAGGCTGGCAAGGGTCTTGTTGCTATCGCCGGTGTTATTCACGATGTGACCGACTTCATTAAGGACCACCCTGGTGGCAAGGCTCTTATCAACTCTGCCATTGGCAAGGATGCCACTGCCATCTTCAACGGTGGTGTTTACCTCCACTCTAACGCTGCCCACAACCTTCTCTCTACCATGCGCGTTGGCGTTCTCCGTGGCGGATGCGAGGTTGAGATCTGGAAGCGTGCTCAGTTCGAGAACAAGGACATCACCTACATGAACGATTCTGCCGGTCAGCGCATCATCCGTGCTGGTTCTCAGGCCACCAAGATTGTCCAACCCGCTGCTAGCGCCGATGCTGCTTAAGGTGTACAATCATTATAACGAGAAGATGAAAGGATAATTGATTGAGGTGCAATATTGAAGGATATGAAAAGCGTCATGTTTTTCGGCATGTCGTTGAAAGGGTGTGGGGGTGAATAGTCAGCCACAATCACATGCCAAAACATGGACTGTTGTCTGGACTCCACACCCATCCTTACCAAGAAGATGAAAAGCACATCACGTTTGTTTAACTCGAGATCATAAATTCGACTCATGAATGGCGTTGGGGGGTTTCTTTATGTTTTGAAACTACATAGCTTATTTGGCTTTTAAAAATACCAGAAGAGAATGGTTTAAACCATAAATATGAACGAGTGCATCATGACCAGTGACTGGTCACTTGCTTAGATAGTACTTCTTAAAGAATACACATTTTGAATAACTCAAAGCTACCAATCTTCTATTGTGCCACATGGTGACTTGTTCTTCTCTCAAGCGACCCTCGGCCTACTCTACTGACTTGATCTATATAAGGTTATCGATGTAATATGACGTGTGTCAAATTCTTGTAACGACCCAGCTGGCATTACTTTCTTTAAATTGTTATAGATCTTGCCCAGGTTTACTTGGTAAGGGATACGCACAACCAGCTAGTAGATCCTATCCCGTATCCAACAAGAGTCTTGTGTCTTGTCATTAGCCAGAAGCGAACAGAGTGACCCCTATTCTTCTGTTGTTTTCGTCTTCATCCGATGCTTACTCAAGTCTCGTCTTTCCCAGTTTATAACTTGGGAGGAATATGGGATTCTTGGACTTTGAATCATCAATCTTGGAGGTACGCCTCTTCCCGATGCTATCATGCCTTTCTCCAGATACAATGTGTGGGGTGCCCTTCGCCCTCCATGGCTGCGCGCTATTGAGTCTGGCTAATGATAGGTTCGTCGACTTCTTTTCGACAGCATTGTCGTGAAGAGGATCAATGACTGATGTAATAAGAGGACATCGGTGCTGGCGAGTAGTGATATCACAAAGTGCCCTGGCTTTAGATATGGTTTAGTTTGAGAGCTGAATTCTACAGCCCCCTCGCGTTGAAGGTTCATGGAGTAGCCATTCGCGCTTTCTGCACTGCCAACTCGGAGCTCTTGGCCCATGCCCCATTAGGTGTTTGGCGATAACACAGTAATCTTCCGTCATCGCCTGTGCTGCCTAAGATCTGGCCATCATCATCAAAGCCGACACGCCACACCGGCGTGCGATGATTGTCAAGTTTAGATATCTCTTCGAACTTGTGCTTGACTTGACCTGGCTGCCCTGACCACTGTCGGTCATTATGGGATCCTGATTTGGCGAGGCTAGCACTGAGGGTGGATGGGTGGTGCTGCTGATAATTGTGAGAGGGCTGGAGCTGTGGTGTTGGTGGTTGCTTTTCTGTCGGCGTTGCAGTTCCATTGGTCCTCATCTGTGGCGTGGAGTCTCTTGTTGACATATGAGGAGCAGACCGCAGAAGGTCAGTTGCGGACCAAGATTTGCCATCATCTTCTGAATACGGAGTCTCGATGCGGAAGACACGCGCATAACCGTCCTGGCACGCTGTGGCGATGACATCGTAGCCTCTGATATTTCCTGGTGCCCAAGCTACATCCCGTACTAGGCCTCGGTGACCGGTTAATTCAACAGCGAGATAAAATTCCTTCTGGGTCGACTGGACGCCTATAGAAGTTGCGACAATGTCGCGCGATCTGTAAACTTTGACATTGTCCATTGCAGCAACTACAAGGCCTAAAGAATCCGAGGGTACGCCTGCACGTAGAGCCGTATAACAGGGCTCTGGATTGGGATCGAAGCGCACACGGAACGCGAGCTCTTCTCCTCTATTAGGCTTTGCAGCAACACTGAACTCATCGATGGACCCATATTCAGAAAGGTTCTCAGGTTGGTCATTTTCGTATACTGTCAAACGGCCGTCTGTCGCGAGCAGCGCGAGATATGTATGTCGAGTCTCCTCGTTATGCTTCATTGAGAAGGATCGGTACGGGGCTTTATTAGATCGTGTATCAAATGCAGGTTTTCCATTACCTGCACGTCCAGTGCAGAAGCGTCGGCCAGGCGCAGCGGAAGGATCCTCAGCCCATAGACGGAACCAGCCCTCAATGCCGAGGGAGGCGATCAAGTTGGGATAGACGGTAGCGGGAAGCCATTGAATCTGCAGAGCGAGGGAATAAACAGTCAACGTTTGTGTGCGACAGAATGACACAGAAGTAATATAATACTAAGAGACAAGGGTAAAGGGGGCTGCGTTACCTCTAGAATCTCTCCGCCATGCGCGGTCCAGGTATCGCAAAGGCGCCATGTGCCATCCTTGTGGCGGTTGAAGACACGGATCTTGCCATCTACTGAGCCGGTTGCGCAGCGGTCTCCGTATGTGTTGAATGCGACGGCCTGGACGAGATCTTTGTGGCCGTGTTGAAGGTTGAGGTCGAAGGCTGGCGTTTCTTCGCCAGGTGAGGGTGGAATCGAAGCGCTCATTGCGGAGAGTATTAAGTGGCCGAGATTCTTTAGGGTAAAGGGGAGGTGATCGGTAGATTTGTTGTGTCTCGCAGTATAAGTCTGCTCCAATATCGTCGTGTCGTGAGGTGGTGATGTGTAGCTGGGTGGTTACTCCAAAGCGGCTCAAGTTCAGCTGGGTACGTACCTGTCAAAATGCAGGTTCCCCGCGTGCCTGACCTCAAGTTGCAAGCAAGCCAATAGATACGAAGCAGCATATAAAGATCAGAATTGCTCAAATGTACCTATTAATCTGGTACTGGGTACAGGGTTCAAGATGCGTTCTATAAATAATGCAATGAGAAACCAGTATGATAGGTTAGCAATCCGGTTAATTCTCATGTAAAGCTCCATGCTGTGCGAGGTAGCTGTCAATGGCGTCAGTCAAGTTGAACCAACTTACACGCGGCACTTTGACTACAAACCTAACTTAAGAAGAGCCGAGAAGTGACTGCATGATAGATCATGATTCAGAAGACCACCCACCGCATTTATCTAGAAAGCATTCCTACATCATATTTCCTGTATCATAAGCTTCACCTGCAAGAGTTGGGTATAATTGTAGGAGGTTGTCATGATGGCACAAGCTCCTCATGCTTAACGCTTCTAGTACACAACAGTGCTGCGCCACAGAAGCACCGCAGCAGTGTTGAGTCGATAGTATCACAGCCAAGAAATATTCACTCAGAAAGACTGAATTACCTGATTATAGACATGATTATCAGACTATTCACCTACCTATTCATCATAAGCATCATCAGGTACCCAGAGTCTGAGTAGCTGCGGGCAGGGATTATCGGCTCGTTCCACTGCATGAGAAAGGCCTGGTCCGCTAACTTTTGTCAAGTAGCGGCTCCACAAGCGAGTTGCTCTCTACGACTACCTAAAGCTAGAGCCTCCAGCCTACTAAAGTTCTCAGCCTCGTCAAACTTCAATCCTCCCTCCACCAAAACATCGCCTTCAACTTAATTATATAAACCATCATGGCTCATCTTATAAACCCCCTCGCAACAACGTCTCAGCTATATCATAAATCTTCCTTCTCATCTTTACCTCAAGATCTTCAAGACGCGATTTTCATCACTTCGCAATGCCTCACTCAAGCTGCAGGTCAGCTCCTGGAGCTTCCTCAATCTGTGACAGCGCAAGCCAACGTTATTTTGGCGCGGTACTGGCTAGTCGACTCACCGATGGCCAACGAGTTTAGTGTAAGGCCCAAATCTCTAATATGTATCTATATTCCACTCGACAGGACTGACCCGTGCTTCAAGGACACTTCTGCAGCAGCTCTTTATCTTGTTGCTAAGATGGGACCTCAACCCCGGTCATCACGCGACATGTCAAATGTATACGCCTACCTCTTATCAGAGAGCTCATCCTTCTTGAAGACTCCAGGCACTCCAAAGAATGACCCAAAGTCATACTATGTACCCGAGGCCGATTATTATGCTTTCCAGACTCGTATCCTTGCCATTGAAGCTCGCATTCTCTACACGCTCTCGTTCGATACACACGTCTCATTGCCGCATCCACTTGCCATTACTTACCTTCAGACTCTCGATTTTCTTGCGCAGCCTAAATCCATCATATCTCTGCGCACCATCCAATACCTGAACTCGGCTCTTCTCTCGCCTCAAATGTTGTACCTCACCCATCAGCCCCACGCATTAGCTACGGCTGCTATATACAACGCAGCTCGAGATGTGGGTGCTAAGATGCCAGAATGTGAATGGTGGGAGGTGTTTGACGTTGATCGAGAAGAGCTTGGATTCCTTGTTGTAGGAATGCGAAGCGTAGAAAACTATCTGCGCAAGTACAAGGAGGAAATGCCGGATCTGAGCACGGGTATGCCTACAAGAAAGTCAGTGGATGTTGAGCTGCAAAGGAGAGGCATGGGCGGTGGGGCTGAAACTGCTGCCGTTGACGAAGAGCAGCAACTCATGGAGATGATGGACAGCAAATGATCGCGTGCCGTCCATCTCCAACTCTGATGCTCGGTATCGAATTCGGCTCTCCTTGCAGCAAGCCAGAAGGAGGCGCCACCGCTATCTCGGGCTGCAGATCGCAGGTCGCATGTCAGGCAAGGTATGGCCAATGAGCACTGCTGCATTCCTGCATATCAAAGGCCGATTTTCCAGAGCATCAGGCCATCGTCTCGAAGACGAGTGGCCACTATCAGCTCGGGGGAACGGCAGTGACAATTGAAATCCAAATAGATGGATCAACTCCGAAGGTGTGGCATATCAAAACCTGGACCTGGCTTCCAAAAGCAACTTGACAAAGTCTGGAATCCGCCACAGGAAACGGGATATGAGAAGAGGTGATAATGCAAACGAATAGGAGTGCATGAAGACAACAAACATTTGTGCACCGGTGAAGACAAAGACAGTCTTGAAGAAAGCCGCTCGATATATCATGCATGTGCGTGCACGACACTTGGCAAGCCTACTGTCCTATAATCACGTCTACCCTTACAAACTCTCGTGATCGAGCAGACGACCTGCATGGCGATCAAAACAGAGCTGCGGTAAGGGTGGAACAACAGCCTCGCCTTTGCACTCGTGCGATTCAGTCTATGGTTTTAGAGTACTCATGTGATAAATACTATGCTTTTCACTCCACAATGCGAACGATGGAGCGCCAAACGCGGTTGACGCTTGGAGGCATATAGCAAATTTCAGTGCCAATTCGTTCATTAAACCCGCATAGTCAAGTTCAAAGATACATGGATCAAGCTTTTGCCGACCCAGCCATCGCTGTTAGTGACATGCGGTGAAGGGGAGTATGGCTGGGGAACAGTCGTGGGACCCCCCACGCACTTACATTACCCCAATCAACCTTGAGGGCATCGTGGAGTTGAGTGCGGGGATGAGAAGCTAGCGCGCTGGTCCTCGAGCCCTCCACATTGGGGTCTGTTGAGAATTGCCCTCAACGTTACAATTGCAAATTTGAGCATGATGTAAGTCGCATCCATGTGCCGATAGCAAGGCGTAAAAGGCCGGGGTTAAGTGTCCAGTCAGCCTTGAAATGATTATTTGAGTTGGCCATGCTCAAGTGGCAAGTATACAGTATACGGAGGAGAGTCTGCTAACTGGTCGGGAGACATCTACCGAATCTGAGGAAGTTTGAATGTCATGGTGTGCTACAATATCATTGCAATATCATCAACGAGCCTCCTCAAAGCTTGACGGTCCCGTGGCATTCCGGTGGTTGCATGCCCAGATATAAATTATTTAGCTAGAGGGTTCAATTTGACTTAGCGCGCAAAACCTTATCTCTAAAAATGCTTGAGGTTTCGTGATATAAGAAAATTTCTCTCGATATCTAACTCCCTATTTGGGACCAAGAGGAAATCAGGGGGAGGCCGGCTAAGACGGAGGACGATGGTAACCGTCCTGCAAAGCAACACATCAAAGTAGTGCGGCCAATGGCAGAAGATCCCAAGCAATCCCCATTGGAGCGAGGTTCGATCGACATGGTCAATCGCGGCTTTTTCTGCCCTGGCGATTCTTGAGGCGACGTGAGTGATTGGATCATATTGATAAGATCCATCTAAAACTAAAGAAAAAGTGGGAATTGAGGAAGTTCCAGTTTGGTCTTCTAGAAGAACGTCTCGACCACTCACACCTTTGGTCGTTATGCCCGTAGGCTTTGTCTGGATTCTACCGTCGGAGAATGGATACGTCTTGGGGACACTCATTAAGTAAGTATGGCTCGTGATTCTCTCACGGCGTTAGGCGAAGAGCTTGTAAGTGGCAACTGGCCTTGAGAACAATTGTTACACGGGTAAAAACCCGGCATTATTTGGCTGTATCTGCTCCGTACTGTGCTGTACTTGCGGAAACCCCATCCACATGTTGGACGGAGCAGACGGAGACGACGGAGACAGGGGTACGCTAGTTATCGCGTTGCCGCTCGCCGCTGTTGGTGTGTGCACCCTCGAGCGAGCTTCACATCGTGGGGCAAGCTGAGGGTGTTGCTGTTTGAAGGAAAATGGCTCATAATCATCATGAATTGCTTAGTTTCGTGGAGCCTGGAGAGGTGAGGTGCATCCTGTCATCGTGGAGATGACGAGATACGTATCCTCCATCACGAAAGGTATATTAGGGCTCCTCTTCTTCCTCCTTGATGCTAATTCATTCCCGCCTCATTCTCACTTTACTATCAATCTCTGTATTCCACCTGTATCAACTTCTTCACCTCCACACAAACTTCCCACTTTCACAATGTCTGAGTCTTCTGCTCCCCAAGCCCCTGCCCCTCTCGGCCAGAACAGAGGCATCAAGTTCTCCTTCAAGACTGGCAACGCTCGTTACCAGTGTGTTCTCCAGGACCGCAACCAGTAGTAAGTTGCCTGTTTGGCCCCAACTGTCTTCCCAGCTCAAGCCAAGTGCTAACAAACCTGTTTCAGCGAGCGCACCAAGGCTACCCGCCAGAACTCTTCAGACTCTGTCTCTTCCACCGACTCTACCAAGACTGAGAAGTCTTCCCACTAAATGGGCAATTTGGGAGAGTCTGGAATGATGGCATCTTGATATATCCTTGGCTTGTGCCTACTATCAACGGCTGTTAGGGGAATGAATCAATGGTGGCCAAATCGGCACAAAAAACGGAGGAGTTTATTTATACCACAATTATCGGGCATTAGCGACGGGTTTGCAGGGACATTTGGCGTCTCTATCAATCAAAAACAATATTTTCTACTGTTACCATTTGCGACCTCCCATGTTGTGCAATGTTGCATGTTAAAAGTGAAGTCGACACAGAATGACTGCTTTGACAATTGACGAATAGTAGTTGCTTGACCATAGTACCAAGACCTTCGTGTACGATTTCATCTCTGGGCGCGCAGGCATCACACCCAGTCAGAGGATACAAATGACAAACTGGCAGGTGGGTTTTCATTTTCACATCCATCGGCTGCAAGATTCCGAGTGCCAAGTTTCGCTGATCTTTGACATCAATTCCCCAAACAAAACAACGGGGCCAGTGAGTCTCAGTGTCTCGCCTTTTTCACCTAGATTGAGCATTTCTCCACTGCCCCGATCCAGGAACAAAATGCCCGATCAGTTGCGGGTTTCCCTTATTATCCACAACGGAATTCGCGCGGGTTGAAAGGATACGGACCAAGAAGATAAGAAAGTCGGCGGTCGGCGGCTTTGACTTCCGGCGGCTGTGGCGTGGGAGGTCGGAGGGTTCGGAGGAGTGACCTCCGTCAGATTGGACCGGAAGGGTCGGCCGGGCCGAATAGTTGAAAGCAATTGATGAGATCGGTAGCTTCGGGTACATCTATATTAGGCACATCGCTGCCGTTGCAAAAGTACGACTTCATTGCAATCCCAGGCCAAATGGAGCACTTATTGACCTGACTGAGGGAGGATCAGAAAGTCGTACGCCATGTGCGACAAACTTCCCACCCAAGCGTCGTCATGTCGTGCCTGGCTAGTAAAGCACCCAACTGATGAACCATGTCCATCTCTTGAACTGACCCAAGCTGACTCGAGCAGACGATATCCTCCGACAATCGGTGCCGCGCCAGCCAACTGTTACGATGCCAGATGACTGGTGGGATCTCACGTACTCGTAACGGGCGAAGGTTTGTCGAGTGTACACTTTCGTCTTACAATGAGACGACTCGACCGTCAAGAGCTAAACCTACCATGTACGTGTGAGTATGATGACGTCTCCAAAAGGGTAGGTAGAGTTTCAGGGGCTTATCCACGCCTCTTACCACGCTTATGTCAAACTGAGTTTATGTGACGATGTAGTCTTACAGAGCACAAGACAGAAAAGGTTGGATTCTGCGAAATGGACGTTTTGCTGTCTTCTAACTAGTAGTAGCTTCTGGGCGTGATGGCAGCTTGTGAGTCGCTCCTTGCATTTCACTTTCACACGCATCACATCACGAATGCGCTATCCGCAAGCGGCGATTGAAATGGGAACTTAGATTCAGTCGTGCTTTGGGTCCTTGAGATGCGAGTTAAAGACGAGTTGGCAATGCAAACAAAGCATTATAAAGTTCGACTTTGAAAATATGTTTCTCAAGAACCGTATTGTTAAGGTGTCTTATGCGTGTATATACTCAAAAACACAAAAAAAGAAGCATCAGCACAGCCCACTTTACTTTGAGTGGTCGCTAACAAAGTACGTATGTGATGAGTCTGAGTCGTAGTCGTAGTCGTAGTCGTCGTTGATGTTGTCTCTGGGCGGGCTCTGCTTTAAATCCTCCCCTTCCCATTTCTTCCCACCTCTTCTTGACGAACTCTTTTCCTCTTTTACTTATTCATTCTCTATCACTCCCACTCGTTGTTTTGTGTGTTTTGCGGCTGGATCTGCGACTCTACGTACGACGTGCTCAATCATTTGTGTCTGCCTAGAGATGCCTCATCCTCTGGTGGCTACAGGTATGTAAATCAATCTACAGCACCCCGCCACATATTGTATCCTACCTAGTACCTACTCCGTACACTACACTACACTGCAGCACCCGACATCATAGCAGATCTCCCTACTGTAACCCAGCATCTACCTCGATTTGCCCATAATCTTTTCCTTCGCTGCTCGTTCCTCTTTCAGCCAGAAACAAGTCGTCACGGGCCTCTACTGTTCGTGGATTACCCCGCGTCGAGGCTTGCGAATCACAGCGCGCGTCTTGACTGTCTAGGCTGTGTCTGCCTGACCTGACCTGACCTGGGGCCGAAAAGTAGTCGCCTGAGCCACAGTCCCGAGGCTGACTGTGGCAAAATACAGATGCCAGAAGCAGCAGGACTACGCAAGCTCAAACTTCCCCTTGATTTGCCTCCGAATTCTAGATTTATTTGCTTGATCTGATTTTACTTTACTTTATTTGAGTTTCTGGAAAGCTGTCTTTTACATTGTCTTTTGTCTTGCGACAGACAACACAGCCTCTGCTTTCTTCCTCTTTTCTCCTTGCTTGCTCGCTTGACATGATAGCGTCCCCCCACTCCACTTTATATCACACACCTCTCTTTCTCTCTTACACATACAGTCTCTCTGTAGACTTGTTTGTTATACAATGCCTAACCATGTCATCCTGGCGTCAGGTGCTGTAGTCGCCGTATCGGTCGCTGTTGCAACCGCTGTTGCCATTTTCGAGTCGCCTGAAGTGCGACGTTATGCCGACGATGTCCGCAGAAGAATAGCTATGGCCCTGCACTCTATCGGCGAAAACATCGATCCCCCCTATCGTGAGCCAGTCTTTAATAGACCCGAAGATGCTGATGGATTCCTCGAGTCCCGCCGGGGAGTTGGCGCTGAAAATGGCGTTGACGCTGACGAGGAAACACGCCGAAGACAACGTGAGGAACTGCTCTATTGGAACATGGTCATGTTGGGGAAGCAAGAGAAGGAACAGAAGATGAAGGAGTCTTCAGACGAACCATCACGGTCCATGACGGACACGCCGCGAAGAGGCTCCTCATTTGACGACTTCCTTCGACAAGATGAAGGCGCCGAACGGGGTGCTTTTGTTTTCAACACTGGAGCTGATACTCGAGGAGCGGACGAAGGTCTGCGGCGTCGTGGTGATGGCCCTCGCGGCTTCTCGACCCTCTACACCAATCCTTTCGCCGACGAACACAACATTGACCACGAAGAGCTGGACGACGAAGTCGAGTCAATCCGCCATATTTCTCCCGCTAATGACGAAGCTTCCGACATCTACAGTGCTACCACTCAAGACCGAGAGGAGACACCAGCTGCTGCTGCCCTTATTGATACTGACCCCACACCCGCTCGCTCCGAGACAGCTTCTTCCGCCACCCTCGAGCATGAGATTGGTGTGGATGAGTACATGACCGCCGGCCAGGAGGATCACGATGAGGCTTATGCCTCTATCCAGGCTTGGGCGCAAAACACGAGCCCCGAGTTTTACTCTCCTCTTCCCGTTACCCCCAGCGCCCCCATGTCCGAGCCCGAGATCATCAGCGACGACGGCATGATGACCCCTACCGACTCGGTATCTCTCGTAGGCTCCGGAGATGATATTGCCAACGATGCGCAATCATCCCGCGAGGGCGAGAATGGCCGTTACTTCGATGTCATGAGCGAGAGCTCCGGTATGGCTACACCTGCGAGCTGGTCTGAAGTTGGCAGCGTCATCAGCGAGAGCGATGCCCCCATCCCTGTGCGCCAATAAGGACTTTGAAAGGAATCGCCTCAAAAATCTTAGTTTCATCTTTTTGTGAAAGCAACAACCCAACGAAGTAGCTATCTTTGACTTGCAAAACTACACAACACACTTTATGGTGCAGTCTCTTGGGTTTATCCTTTTTTTTATGTCAGGAGTCGGAGTTCAGGTTCCGGTAGCAAACTTATATCCTTAGCATCTGGCTAATTTCGTTTCTTTCTTTCATAAAATCTATCATCCTATGTTGTTCTGCCCGACTAGTATATGTGAACGCCCTATATGCATCTGTGAATTCAAGATTCAAGCTTCTTCTTATAATCGCCCCAAAGTTGTTCGACTGGCCGTCCAATCAACTCAGTCCAAAAAGGCTTCTCCTCGTATTTCTCAATCCGCAACTTCTCGTTCAGACGTCTGATAGTGCCCTTTCCGAAACGCTCCTCCAGGTAGTCCAGGAAGTAGGCTGTTTGCTGATAACCAGCGTCCCATTTCCCATTGCCGTCTTGTTTCCAATGAGGAGGGCTAAGAAGACAGTGGAGTCGCACCCAATCTGCAATACCCTCAATCAGACCACCGGGACAAGTGCCATGGCCGTTATACTGAAAGCAGTGAACGAGTTCGTGAGTGAGCACGCCGTGAATCTCGTCTGTACGGCGAGAAATGGGGTGGATGTTGGAGATATAGTCGACAGAGAAGTGGATCTCTTTGTGATCACTATCAAGCTCTGAGCCAGTGGTGTAGGCTACTCCCGACATGCTACGGAGTACAAGCGTGACAGATCGTGTCGTTGGCATTGTGGTGGTGGGACACGTGGGCGACTCATAGAGAAGCGCGAGAACATGCCGGGCCGCCTTGGCGAGGCATTCTGCAGCATTGACAGAGCTCAGGAAGACTGCAGACCCTGGGTGGGAGAGGTCGCGCACCTCAAGGCGTAGCTTGGGGACCTTGAACTTGCCGGCGCCAGGAATATCGGGGCCGTTCCGTGACCCGGAGGGAGTGGGTACTTGGATGGCGGGGGTCATGACCGGAGCCCGGGAGAACAGTGAAGAAGGGGTCGGAACGGGAGTAATTGGGGGGAGATGAGGCATGTAAGGGCTTGGGGTTCGAGCGAGACGAGAGGGCGCAGGGCTTTTTAAGATGGGCAGGACAGGAGATGCCTGGTACAGGGCTAAAATGTGAGATGGTAGGTATGAATGAGGTCTTGAAGCCGGAAGTGAATTGAATGGAATGGAATAGAGGGGTAGTATGAGGCCAGAAATGGGGGCTTGATCAACGAGTATGAAAACAGCTCTATGAAGCGATCATAGAAAGGAGGCTATGGTGGTTACAAAATAGGTAGCTTATAGTCTATAGGAAAAGACATATCCGAAGAATGGCTCATGTAAGATAAATGAAGATGAAAATTGACAGTATTATGAGATGGCCTAACATACCCCTCAGTCACATTGATTTGGCTGCCCGAGCAGGGGTGATGGGAAATAGAGCCTTGTAGAGCTTGGAGCTAGCTGCTGCAGGGCCCCCGCAAGCCCTACAACTGGGAACGAGCAGGGTCGGTGTAGCCCGTCAATAGCGGCCCAGGTGCTCGAATACGGTGGGGCAGTGGTTCTTTCTGCTTCTTCTCCGGGGCAACTGCGGCAACCATATTCTGATTGTTTTCATCCCGCGCCTGACATGGACACCCAAAAGATAACAACAACCCGACCCAAGCCAAACCAAGCCAAGCCAAGCCAAACCAAGCCAAGCCAAACCAAGCCAAGCCAAACCCCTCGGTCGTTTCATTCTAGTACCACATAACAACCCCGAACATAACAACAACAACAAACGAAAAAGATCTCGCACACGCTCAATGCGCACGTTTACTAAAGTGGTTTCCTCGTTTCGCTTTGTGGCTCACGAACTGTCTTGCAATTAAATCACAGGTATGCATTCCTTGTCTAATTTCCTAAATACGCTACACCACTTATGCGCATCGCCATGATAGAGGGGGAAGCTGATGTGCTCTATCCCACTTCGCGTCGCGTGCACGTACTGTCCTCGTCCTCGACCTGACCCCTCCATTCAACCTCTGTCTTGCTTGCGACTAACCTGATGCCGTTCTGTCTTTCAGATTCGCCATTGAATTTTCCCATGGCCGACACCAAACTCACCGACCAACAGGTCGCAGACCTCACGACCATACTGCGCGGCGATGGACCACTCGATTCAAAAGTCCAATATGTCACCCTTATAAAGTCGGGCATCAAACAACACAATGTTCCCGAGACAAGCGTCCCCCAGCTCTTTGATGGCTTGCGCGCAGCTACTACCTCCCAACATGCCGCCCTAGTTAACGCCGGCTTCACGGCGCTGAATCATCTCTTAACACGTCTATCACGTCAAGAACCCAAGCTTATATCCAAAGAAGTTGCGAGGACTCTGCCGATTGTCATAGAGAAGCTCGGTGACCATAAGGACAAGTTCCGTTCTCTCGCTTCGCACTCGCTTGTTACTTTATATGGCATTGCGCCGCTCGATGTCGAACGCTTTGTTCGAAATACTGCCATGACAGGAAAGAATCCAAGGGCCAAAGAAACTTCCATGCTTTGGCTCCTCCAGGTAAGCGGAAGCGTCCTTGATGCGACCATCCGCGTGTGCTAATGGTGTACAGATGCACAAAGAGAATGGCCTAGCTTTCCGAGCTTACGTTCCTGTGCTTATGGAACTGCTTGAGGATGCCGATGGGATGGTGCGAGATACTGCCAAGAGTGTTGTCATGGAGCTTTTCCAATCCGCATCAAATGCCGCCAAGTCTGATCTTAAGCGCCAACTCAAGACTTTCAAGGTGCGGCCTGCCATTGAGCAGGCCATTGTGGCCTCCCTTGCTCCGGCATCTTCTCGACCCATAACCCCCGCCGCCGAAGCCGCGCCGGCACCTCGTCCAGCTCTATCCGCCAGTACTTCATCCATAGTCGACCGCCCCATTACGCCAGGAGTCGATACGAAACCCGAAGCTCTAGAACCTTTGTATGTCAACACAAATCGAGAACTAGATGACATGTTTAAGGAAATGGCGTGGTTCTTCGAAGGCAAGGAAACAGAACACAACTGGTTGAAACGAGAGAACGCCGTTCATAAATTACGAAGGCTCAACGTGGGTAACGCGTCTGATTTTCCAGACACCTATATTCTCGGAATCAAGAGCATTTTGGACGGCGTTATCAAGTCCATTACATCCCTGAGGACAAGTTTATGCAAAGAGGGTTGTGGTCTCATCCAGGAGGTCGCCAACTCGTATGGCCCTGGAATGGACCCGTTGGTGGAATTGTTAATGCAGTGCTTTGTCAAGCTTTCTGCAGGAACAAAGAAGATCAGTTCCCAGCTCGCAAACGTGACCGTTGATATACTTCTGAGTAACGTTTCATACACTCCACGCTTGATGCAGCATATCTGGATGGCTTGCCAAGACAAGAACGTTGCGCCAAGAACTTATGCTACGGGTTGGCTTAAGACAATTTTGAAGAAGGAAGCCCAGCACAAGGCTCATCTTGAGCATACTGGTGGTGTTGACTTGATCGAGAAGTGCATCAAGAAGGGCTTGGTTGATGCTAACCCTGCCGTGAGAGAAAGGACCCGATCGACATTCTGGACATTCTGGGGGCTCTGGCCCGCAAAGGCTGATGCGTAAGTTGATATATCAGTGATTCCATCAGTATCTTGGCTAACAGAATGCAGCATTATGGCCGACTTGGATGGCACAGCGCAAAAGCTCCTGAACAAGGATCCAAGTAACCCCAATTCGCTCAAGCAGGCCGAACCAGCAGCAGCGGCAGCGGCTCGACCTGGGATGGGCTTATCTAAGAGCACTATGGGGACCAGCAAACCCAGTATCCGCGAGGCTATGATGGCTCAACGGAAGGCGAATGCAGCAAAGAACCTACCGGCTAGGCCTGGCTCTGCCATGGCTAACCTTTCGCCCATGAAAACAACCACCTCAAGCACCTCCAGCGCAGCAAGCAAACCCTCCGGAACACGAACCCGGCCAGAGACTGGTGGTATGTCCGGGGCTCCTATGCGACCTGCACGAAGAAGGCCGGAGATGGCGGCGCGCCCTGCGACAGCTGGCCCCTATTCCGTCCGTGACCTAGATGCCGGGAGTCCCGAAAGCATCAGGTCAAAAAACGTAACACCTAAAGCTCGAGATACCACGCCTAAGAGAACTGGTCCTCGGACACGGCCTGGACATGCGCCGCATGCCAGTGAATCCAGCCTGGCATCGCCTACGTCTATAAAAGCAGGTCTTAAGCCAGCCGCCTCTCCTCGAACGAGTCCTACGAAGCTGAAACAATCCCAATCCACGATGCTGCCGTTGAGCAGCCCTTCAAGAGCAAACGAGGATATTACCCTCATGATCCCAAGTATGGCCAACCTGAGGGCTGTGCAAAAGCCTGTAGTTGAACCTCAAAGAGCACTCTCAGTGCCTCCAGAGGCAGCAGAAGAATTGACTACCCCTGTTACAGAATCTGCACCACAGCTGGCTCCAGCAGCCATTATAAAGGCTGCTCCAAAGGCCCAACCAGAGCATGAGGTTGCTCCTGAACCTGTGGTAGAGCCTACGCCCGAGTACACGGATCAACATATGGAAGAGATTGAACCTGTCGAACCTGACGAACCTGTTGAGCCTGCAGGACTCGCCAAGTCTCCTGAGCCTGCACTGCCTGATGAGTCTGATGAGCCTGATGAGCCTGCTGTTGCTGTTGCTGTTACAGAGCCTGTGGACGAGCCCGCAGCCGTGCCGGCCGAGTCCATGCACGTCGACCCTGTCCAAGAAGCCCCCGCTGCAACGCTTCAGGTCTACGAGGATCCATTCACCGATGACCAGCCAGCACCGAAACCAACATTCAATCTTCCCGTGCTGGAAGATAAACCCGTCAACGCTGACGCGGCCCCCATGCTCAGTGCTCGCTCTCAATCTCCCGTGACACAAGACGTAGAAGAATCTTCTGAGAGAACGAAGCAAAGTTCACGGCTGCTTGAAAGCGGCATCACCAGAATCAAGGCAAAGACTCTTGATGTGCATGGCTTCCGAAAACTGCAGTCTTTGTTGCGTGATAGCAAGGGTATCTTCACTGACGATAAATTTGAGGCCCTGTTGATTGGTCTTTTCCAGTATCTTGAAGACCCTCTGCCAGGCATCAATCAAGAGAAGGCTCAGGATGTCAAGGCTCAGATCCTAGCTACAATCAGGCTACTGCTCCGAAAGGAGCGTGATAACTTCCAACCTCATGTGTCCAGGGGCCTTGAATCACTTCTGGAAACGCGCAGTGCGTATGATATGCGTGCTCATATCGTTAGTGGCGTTGAGGTCTTGGCTGATGAGCTTGTGACCATTGGAGACGGCTCCGAGATTGTTGTTGTTTTGACAAAACGACTCCAAAGTGTTGAAAGTTCTGCGCCCGAAGGTAGTCGCATACTCAGTACTGGAATGCATGTGCTACGGACGATGCTCAATAAGAGACCCAACTTTGTGCCCATTGATACAGAGCTTGGTCAACTGGCTGCTCTTGCTGGCCGATGTCTCGTGTCAACAGACTCAGGCGTCCGCATGGATGCTGTTCAGCTTTGTGTTGCTTTGCACTCAAGGGTAGGCGAGCAGGCTTTCTGGAATGCCCTCAAGGATGTTCAGGATGACCCAAAGAGCTTAATCACCTACTATATTGTCAAGAGGCAGCGAGAGCAAGCACCTACCATTGTTGCTTGAATCTCAAAAGTGGTACAGTAGTCCACATCATGCGGAGTTGGAGGTTGCTATATCGGTTTGGCGTTGGATGCTGGAGTTTGATTAAATCCGGCAGGGGTGAATTAGTTTGATGGGATGGCAGGATTAAAAGCAATGGCGAGTCATAAAAGGTGTCTAGTTACATGTCGTTGATGCACTAGCAGACAAGGCGTGTTTTTGGTTTGGTCTTCTTGAGCTCTGGCTATTGAATAGTCTCGCTGCACAGAAATGTTATGTGCTACTTTACCTGTCTGTACACTTAGTTCTTTGTAATTACTTGCACATTTTATAGAAAACTTTGGCCACGACTTTTGTAATACCCGGACCAGAAGCTAGCAGAGTTAAAAGCATGTAGATGATGTATCAGCGCACCCGTATTGTAGGTATAGCACATTAGAGCATGGCACCATCAAGACGATCATGGAGAATAAGATGATATATGATATACACCTGGTGATATAAGACTCGCATCAACGAGGAGTGAAAAAGAAACAACCGATGCCCTTCAGAGGGAACAAAGAGCCGCCATCCATAGTAAGTAAAGACCTTTTCATCAACATACACAGGTCAGCCAATACTCCGCTTCCCCATCAGCTCCCAAACCGCCATCACCAACGCACAAGAAATTTGCCAAAAAAGCCACAACCATAGCCAGCAAGCAAGCATGAGAGAAAAAAGAAGTGGATATCATTAAATGCCCTGGCACAAAAACGCCCTGCGGATTGAATGGCACACGCAAGCAGATGAGCGTGGGCGCTTGAAAATCCAACAGTGCCCGGGTGATTTGTTTTCATGACAACCTAGATCGTGTAGTTGTAGTTCTCAGAGTAGCCCAAGAATCCACGACTCGAAGGTCTCGTTAAAAAGGTGATACAGTGGTCATAAGTCCTGTTCGTGTAGAGATCTCGAGCTCCCTAAGCGTCTTCGAAGATCGTGTTACTGTTCTCAATGACAAATTGTATCGCAAGGTTCTTTGCGTGCATGTCCGTCATCTCGCGCTCGAGACTTGTGTCACGCATGATGGTAGGCGCAAACACGACAGCCAAGTTCTTGGGAGACATCTGAAGGCAATCGTTAGTAACCGAAGATAATGTGTAGCGTTGCGTATAGAACATACCAGGTTCTCAGGTTCACGCTGAGCAACTCGTGCAAGATGGAACATCAGGAACTCGAGACAATCACGATGCCGTTGGGGCATCGAAGCAAACGTCTTACGCAGGTGATCGCTTCGTTCCGTTTCATCAACAATAGCTATCGACTGTTAGTATAATCTCCTGTATAGATCCAAACAAGAAAACTCACCATTCGACTCAAGAACACGTTCGTACACGTCAAACGTGAGCAAGGGAGTTGGCAGCTTGCGGAAGTATTGCTTCAGCACACTGGTGACAGCGGTGATATCCAGATCAGGGTCCGAGATGTCAAAGTTCTCATCCTTGCTGAAACCGTCCTTGATCATGTTGACCTGCGAGTTTCCGCCAGTCTTCCGGTAGATACCTTCTTGATCCATGCCTCTTAGCTCGACTTCCTCGATACACCTTGTTACCACGCTGGGTATTTGTCGACGCTCGTGGTCTGCTCGCTCTTCAAGATCGGATCCGAAGAGAACAGTTGCAGGTTCTGCCGCATCGATGTTGTTCATGGTACCTGCAGAGCCAGACTTTGGCACAGCGTTCTTCTTGCCAAAGAACCCAAACCCTTGTCGTTCACGTTCTCGCTCTCGCTCTTCTTGTCTCTTGGTCAGAGCAGCGGCCGCACTGTGCTTGTCATGCGAGTTGACGCCGTTAGAAGGAAGACCAGCAGGTGCTTCAACTTGAGCCACTGTCATGTTGTAGGGCATTCCAATATTCTCTCCAGTCAGTTGACCCTGCTGCTGCATTCTCTCGCGATCGTTCTGGAATGCAACGACAGCTCTGTTGACGCCCTTAGCAACACCCTGGGCCAGTCCCTTGGATCCCTTCTTCCAGTTGAACTTCTTGGCTTGGCCTTTTCTGACCTGTACCACAGTTGGTCCGGCTTCGACAATAGGCTCTTCGTCGGCAGGAACTAAAGTGGCGCCGGTCGACAGACTGGCAGAGTCGAGGTTGAGAGAAGAGCTGTTGAGACCCTTGCCCGGACCATAAATACCCAGACCACCTGGAGACTTGATATCTCCTCCGATTTGTGACTTGAAGCGTTCCTGAATCTGGTGCGTCAAATCATTGTTCATATCGGCGAGCTGTGCATTCTTAGATGACAATTGCTCAAACTCGAGCAGAGCACGATCTCGGTCTGCTATGGCCTTGTCCTTCTCTTCGAAGAGTAGATCTCGCTCTTCGTGTAGCTGCTCGATCGCGGCAGACATAACCGTTTTGACCTTGTCGAGCTTCTGAACAAACTCCTTGATCGCAGAATCCTCCAAGTCCCGGGGGTCTACAGGCGTTTTGGTTTCCTTGGCTCGCTCGACATATCCAGCCAAGACTTCCAACTGTCGAATCATAATCTCAGTCTGTGTGTCAAGAACAGAAACGGTCTTTCGCTTCTCCACCAGCTTCTTGTTGAGGCTCTTGAGGTCTTTCTCGGTAGTGAACTGCCTTTCGAGCTCTGCAACTCGCTGTTCCGAGTTTCGTAGTTGCCGCTTAAGGAATGCAGGGTCATCGCCAGATGCCAGAGACACGGGGCTGCTGATATCCTGCGCATGGTAATCATCAGCGACCGGCGTCCTGGGCCATCGAGGCGATCCAGTTGCCCGTGTGGTCTCGCTGATACTCCTGCTATGGCCGACTCTTTGCGCCATCTGGTTTGGTGACTCTACGCTGTTGGTACGGCCATGTCTGACGGCGTTTGAAACCCTGCGGAGGATGGAGGTGGAGCCTTCATCAGTGCCCAAGATCCGTGCCATATCTTCGTCCATGCTGAAGTCACCGCCGCTGCTCCATCTGGGTAGCTTCGGCGAGTGCTTGGGCTCTCCGTTCTCATCCTTGGCTGATTCTTTGCCAGCGGCATGGCCCTTGTTGTTTTGACTGCCAGGAGGCGCTGGAGCCGAACGTGGTTGCATGTAGGTATCCGTGGTTTTCTTTTGGTCCGACATGCTGCGAGACGGAGTCTGTCGGGTGGGTGTAGGATCATCGGAGCCATCTTGTCGGCTCTGTTGTCGGTTGCTGCCATTTACTAATTTCTGTCAGTGCCTGCCGGTGCCCGTAGGGACTTCCGTGGTGACTTCCGTGGTGACTTACCATTTCTCCCAGAATTTGTAGAAGCTTCCTTTCGAGGAATTGGTTTTGCGTTATCGGGTCTAGAGGATGTTCTTGTTGATGAGTCCATCGAAGCGCGAAGCTCGTCATCGTCTAGATATCTCGACTCCAACGATGAACGGGAGGCGGGTGTGGTAGCAGCACTGTCGGAGTGTGGCAAACCGCTATGACCACTCTTACTTGGTTGTCCATTGCTGGTTCTCGCCGAGTTCGTTTCTGCCGGTATACTAGAGGATTGCGAGCTGCTTCTTGAAAGTAGCTTCTTACTCTTGGGCGCTTCTTGCAGCTTGAAGTCCTCGGTAGGAGGCCGGCGTCCGCTTGTCTTTTGGGTCTTCTCATCGGCGGCAGGTGACCGTTTACTCGAATCAGTTCGTGAGGACTTGGAATGCTTCCGGTCAGGTAGCTTAGGTGCATTATCATGCTCAGAAGCAGATGCCTGACGGCCCTTTTCTTGGAAAGCGATATGTGGGGTAGAGGTATGGGAATCGCTTCGCTTCTCTGAGGCGGGCTTAGCGGAACCGAAATAGTCCTTCTCCTTGGACTTCCCACTTTCCGGCAGGTGATCTGAGGTTGATTTTGGAGTTGGATGTGGACTTGGGTCGAGGGCAACCGATATCATGAAGCTGTCGGCATCAGTAGAAGTATTTTCACCTCGCGGCATCATGGTTGAGTTGCGGTTGCTTCGATATGTCGTAGCGGGCAAGTTTAATCCGTCGGGTTTTCGCTCAGGAGAACGAGCTGGTCTGGAGCTGCTGCGTGATGAAGATTCGGTACGACCGTGATTCCGAGGGCGAGGAGATAGCTCCGTCGCAGTATCTGAATCAGGGTCGACTCGATCGTTGGAAAATGCATTCGGAGGGATGGCGTTGGCAGGAAGAGCGGGCAACGACTTTTCTGTGATCATAGGTGAATGCTCTTTTTCTCTTGCTTTCGCTGCAGCTGCAGCTTTTGACTTTTTCCGCCGCCTAGCCATGAGCGTTTCATGGCAGCCCATGCAGAAGATGCCTTGTGAAGTTCGAGCATATCGGAGGTTTTCGATCTTGCGTTTACAGTTGCGACAACGGAAACATGTGGCACAAAACGCCTGCTCCCCAGTAAGGATAGCTAGGTCTTCAATCTTATTGCCGCAGGCGCTACAGCTGTATGTGCAGTTGTTGCAGATGAGAGATCCATCTCCGAGGAGTAGGAGGTTTGCGTCGGAGTCGAGCAATGTGCCACATGTATTACATCGAAAGCAGTCCAAATGCCATCGGTTTCCGGCTATTGAAATGTCAGCTTGCCACGCAGTAGGTCGAGATAGAATTCGCAACTCTTGCGGTGAGGTGCTGATAGTAGTTCTGAGCTAGCAGAGCACGACTCGCGAGACCAGCTAATCCTCGAAGCTGTTACATACCTAATTCAAATGCTTTGCCTTCTTCGAGGATCTTAGCAATCTGTTAGCAAGCCAATTCCCAGCAGCCTCTAAGTTGGACAAAACACCATACCTCTCCACAGCCTTTACAGGGGAAGACATCGTCGGTCTCATTATCGATCCCAGGACTCTCCAGATAATCCTCCACGATACTAGTCATTGTGGGCAGTTATGTGGAAAAGCAAATAGTAAAACTTGGTCTTGTAACTTGGATCGGAGCGGTCGAAATTTGGTGCCTACAACGGATACGGCATTCAGAAACTGAATGGTTGCAGCCCAAGGTAGCAAGCGACACGACGCAGCTAAAAAGCAGGCGTCATGGACGAGGTCGTAGCAGAGAGCAAAGGAGCCGGATCAAAGATCGTCGAGGAGCAAGTCGTCGAGGAATCGGCGGGGAAAGGGCGTTGTTGAAGCGGTCGGCGAGTTTGAATCGAACAGGGTAGTAATATTTGTTGGAAGCCGTCGCACGGTTATAGTGCCCCTACTGTGAGGGAGACTGACAGGAACTTGAATGGAGTTCAAAGTCAGGAAGCAGTGGACAGCCCAGCAAAGTAAGGGCAAGCCGACAGCAAGAAGACGGAACCAGGGGCGTGTGGAGGGTTTGATGAGGACAAGGGCCTAAGTTGGGAAACGGACCAGGGGTCTCCAACGATGGATTCGCTTGAAGAACGTCGACCGGGTTGGAGATGAATGCTGAAGTCGTAAAACGGACGCAGGAGGCAATTGAAGCGAATGAATCTCTTGGTAAGAGAAGCTAAGCTAAGCGATGCGTGTTGAATTGAGTGATGAGAGATGTGATAGAGGGCAACGTCCCAGTCGATGGGATCGGCGTATAACGGATGGTGACCGCAAGTAAGGTAAGATAGGTGGATGGTTGGTAGACAGATAAATCGGTCAGGGCATGGATGGAAAGAAGACAGACGTGACAGAAGGTAAGAGCCCGAGATGACAAAGAGCTTTACTTTAGTTGAGACTCCGCGTCAGGCACAATACGACACGACACAACAACGACTACAGGCATGACAACAATGGAAAGGGCCAGCACGAAAAAGAGGATTGGATCTGATCCGGATATGTCGTGGTCCTGGTTCACCAAGGAGGGAGAGGAATGAATGGCCGAATGTGGATGGGATGAACAGCTGGAGCGGAACAGCCACTGGAGGGGGGGGAACGTTCCCCTTAGCCCACTTGCCCACTAGTCCACTGAGCTGCCCGGGCCTGGCCCAGGGGATCATCCACTAAGGCCGGCCCTGGGAGGACAGTGAGAGAGAGGGGTTTTCAGCCTTCAAGCTTCAAGGGGACCAATGCGCTAAACGGCCCCTAGCCGTTCCAAGCCTGAGCGGGCTGGGGGCAGGCGTGTTTGGCTGCTTGGCTTGAGGTTGGGTCTCCAGTCTCATGAATGTAATGGATCCGTCTGGCGGGCTGTCACTGTCATTCGAACGAGAGACGCCCAGTCATTGGAGGAGCAGGGATTGCAGTACATACATCAGGGGTGAATATACAGATATTGGATTGGGTACGTATTCTCAAGTCCACGCAACTGCAATGCTTGCGAATTCACGGTTGCAAGTCATCCATCATGGCAAGATGGTGTATTCATGGCTGTTTGATAATAACCTCCTAGAAACCTTGCATATGTATAGCCCGGTTGACCGTCTGAACCTTATCATCTTTTCAACCTAAGGTTTCTGGGCGCTGTGGTTAATTCATCCCCGCCATTTGACGATTCACCACCCAGACATAGTAGGGGAACTTCTTGTTGGAATGATATCGACCCCATGTCGCAGAACAACTGCCCTTGGTCGCCACATAGGGTGGGCTCTTTTTCAGGCTCTCTGTGAAGCCATAGCTGACAAATTGGCTATGTTTATCCGTACAACGTTTAGGTGAGCGGGCATAAGGGGTACTGTGGTGATTACTCGTGTACCTCTTCTGTGACGGTATCAGTGGAGGTTACGTACAATAGGTATGCTTGGAGTCTGCGCTACAACTTCCAGAACTCCGCCAGTTTTCTATCATGTATTGATACATACTAATTTATTTAGTTATAAAGAACACATAAGCTGATATAATTGACAATTTCTGGGGTTAAACCTATCAACAGTGCTTCTCTCAAGTTCAATCTCCCTTCCATCTCCATCCAGAAGACCATCTTCAAACTAAAAGACGCTTTGGCTATTAGCGTACTGCACTAAGCGCAGAGTCCCAGGGGCAGCGAACCAGGGACGCTGAGGACAAGGCACAGGCACACTCAAACTCGCCCTCTAACTAACGTTACGATGCATGTTCGTAAAAGCAAGACATCAGAAAGAGGCGCTTGTGGCGGCCGCGGTTGGGATGTGGGCATCATGACCATTGACCATAGCCTTGGTCTAATTATGGGAGGGGGATCGAACTCCCTCTGCATTGTCGATCTGATGCCAAACCCCGCCTAGAGGGGACGGGACAGGTTAAAGTGCAGACCACTGATAAGACATTGCTTTTGCCAAGATATGAGAACTTCAATACATATAAAAGAGCACGATAGTGTGTATTAGTTTAAGTGGAGGTGGGTGAAGGGGCAGAGACTGGAACTCAGTCGAACTACTGCATAGGAAGGTGTGGTAGCGAGACATTGTATGCTATCAATCGCAATTGACTTCATAGAATATGGAATGAGATGCATGGTATTAAGTTGTGGCAAAAAAGAGACGGGATGCTCAGGGCTCCAATCGATGACCTGAGGTTGCACAAAGTCACAACATAGTCGGGTACCGACTTAACACGACTGACACGATGGAAGCAGCTGCAGGCAAACATATAGATTAGGTTCAGTGCATATGTATGTCTCTACTAATCCATGAAGAGCTTTGAAAACGGCCATAAAATGAGAGAAAAAAGCAAGGGGTCGCATAGAGTTAAAAAGACGGTAAGCTAAAGGTATCGTCACTATCGTGTATCGTGTCGTGCGCTGTCAAAATGTGATGGTTTAATGGTCCGCTGTTTCAGACAGATTGCTCTCTCTACCCGTTTTGTAACTCGCCTGCAACCAAGTACAGTATGGATACAAGGCATTGACGAAACGCAAACCATGAAACACGTAACGGAACAAGAGGATTTCGTTCCTTGTCTCGGTAGAATACCATGGGTTTGAACGGATGCAAACAGAATATGAACATTATCTATACAGTCACTTGACGTAGCCTCTACCTAGGCAGTACTGTAAGTATCTTCACTTACGGATTACTCCGTACTGACTGAATGTTCTGTAATCATCTATTTTGGTCCCTCTCATAAGCCGGACTCCCTTATTTGTTGTGGCGTAGCCCGGCATCCATCATGAAACTCAGACCCTGGAAATATATTTTGATGCAAGTATGAGAAAGGGGCATAGCCTAATAGAATAGCATGGGCATGGCTGCATGGATCCGTTTCGTAAGCAGGGGTCCAAGTAACACTGACTGGAGCAATCTTGAGCATGTCACGACCACGTCCCTGGAACTTCAATTTCCCTTTTACCATGAGCATGACTATAAGCATGATCAAGAGCAACAGCAAGGTAGTATTGTAAGACAAAAAGAGGCTGGACCGTTGGTTAATGCTATTAGCCTTGGAAAAAGTCAATCAGATACTACACGGATGATCCTCCGCTTACGAGTTGCAACCCCTAGGTAGAATATACATACTGCCTCGTGATGGGATGGACTCGCCTAGCTAATCTTGTTCTGTTTCTGACCGTCCGATCACTTCCTCTGACAGCTGACGAGGCATATCTTGAAACCACCAACCGTCAATCCCGCTCGTTTCAAACTTTGCCATCTATGATTTGTCATGTATGGATCACATTCGCTACACTTTCCCCTTGTGCGCTTTTTCGCTCTACTCCCGACAGTCTGGGCGTGGTCTTGGTAGTTGTCAGCCTAACTGGCTTATGGTCGTAACCACTTCTACCCAGTTTCATATTTGCTTGTTTTACCCAGCGGCAGTTTGACAGGTAGCGCCCCTGGGTCTGTCACAAGTAAGCGCCGGTAACTTGCACCGAATATTCGTGTCGAAGCTTACGAATGTAACGTTGGCATTGAGCAAGAATAGCCAGAACAGGTAGTCAAGCTATATGATCACTTTGATATGACCTAGAAATCGATAAGCTTCCAACTTCAAACGCTAGAGAGTGCATATTCACCTTGGCTTGAATGTCACCAACAACCTTCGCAAGCGCTATTGGCTTCGAGTATCAGGCCCTCCAAGCAGTAGAGCCCAGTGTCGGATTTCATTTGCTTTCAACTTCAATTCTCGCAAGCTTGTCCTTCCTTGTTGGGGAAATTGTGTATGCTTCATACTACTGGCTGTGCAGGTTGCGACACGAGCATAGAGTAATGCGTGGATGATGCATCTCCGAGAGTCTCGTGGTATATCTATTCGAAACTTCGCATTGATCATCGGTAAAAACTAGTCATCAAGACTTAGCCAAGAGGTAGAATACAAAAGGCAATAGGGAAAATCCAATACAAAGCTAGGTCGCGAGAATACGCCAGCGGCTGCATGAGAAAGTTCGAGGAGTTGGATCATGTTAAAAAAGTCTCTTATATACAATCGATAAAGTTTCTCAAGAGCTATGACACTCTACGGAACAGTAGTCTGGAACATTCAATAATGGAGAGTTTCAATACCTATGTCGTAAACTGCACAGTGAAGTTTGAGTTCCTGTTCCTTACCTGGTTAGTTTATGAGCTACAACAAAGAGGCATGTGAAATCGTAACATTGGCAACCAGCCATGCAATGTCAAATGAGAGATCGACATTACTTGCTCCCATACTACCTATCGACATCAGCACAGAAGTCATAACATAGCGCCGTGTCTATATGAAGCAGCTTGAAACACTGCTATGACTTGTCAGTGCATCTCTCAGGATGGCCTCAACATCAGGCCAGGTACTGGCACGTCTTATCTCACTCTGACAAATTGAAAGCATTTGGAAAGTGAATAGCTTTGCGGCCTTGTATTGATTTGATTATGGCGGTCATTAGGTATCAAACTTGTGCGTCAACTTTTGTCTAATCCGATAAACGAAACTCTTGAACGCCCTCACCATGCTACATGCGGGAGCCATGCCTGGCACCGCTCGTTCCCATCTCGAGCCCTCATCGCTTCTCAGCAATCATCTTCTTCACCTTGTCCAGCAGCAAAGAGCTCTCCCTACCGAGCTTCTTGTTGCCGTCGCGATCCCGTGTCTTGGCCATGGCCCTCTTGTAGCGATCTCGCTCGGCCATCTTTTGCTCACGCTCTTCGCGTCTGCGCTGGAAATCTTGTCTCCTTTGCTCTTCCTCCTGGTGAAGTTCGGCCGCTTTGCCGAGTTGCTTCTCGTAGTAGCCAGGTCTTCGGGTCCGCCGCCTGTTTCCATCACTGTTGTGCTCGCCAACAGAGTTCTCCTGGGCCTTTGCCTCGTCTGCGAGCATAAGATACCTTGTGGGATGCATAACCTCGGGCTCTTCCTCGGCTTGCTTTTCCTCGCCTGCGTCAGCCCCAGCTGGAGCTTCATCTTGAGCAGGTTGGCTCGTCTTTGGTGGTGGCGCAGTCTCCTGTTCACGAGCCTTGATCTTTGCATAGGCCTTCTTGACCTTTGCCTTGTGAATTAACTCCTTCTTGACCTTGGTGACTGTGTGACAGAATGTGAGTATGCATTTATTTGGTGAAGATGAAAATGAAAATGAAAATTTTTGAGGGTGAGAAGAGAAGAGAGGAGAGGACAAACCTTTTCGTCGCCAAGGACCGTCTGGCAGATTCTCAGGACCGACTCTGAAGCCATGCTTAGGCTTCTTCACTTCTTGAGAGGCATCGGCGCCCTCTTTTTGGTGTTTGGGAGCCATGACTGTGGCTTTGTAAGTCTTTCCTTTAAGAGAATTGTTGTTGATGAGAATTGGGACGGGCGTCTCCACAGTTTCTTCTGCGAAGGAGTGGGGCTCACGCCAACCGTAACAAACTCAACTGCAGGGCGGTTTTCGGAGGTTTCGGGCGGAGCTACTCCGTAATCTGATCAACCACAAGTTCAAGGAGAGTTTCATGCATTCTTAACTTCCACTATAGGAACTTTGTTTACTTGGTACACGTAACTTGTATCAAAATCACATAAACAACTGACGATACTGGAGTTGATTGGTCTGCTGTTAAGTGGACTGATGAGGGAGCTGCTGGCACAACTGTTTCGGGTCGGGGATGCATTGCCAGGTCACACAAGGAGAGGAGAAGGATACGAATGAATGGCAATGGCTGGGCTTGTTCCTGAGCTGCTGATCTTAGCGAGACACATCAGAGCAGGTTTTTGTCTCAAGCTGGTGCAATAGGTATCTACTGAAGGTGAGCAGCTGTTCAATGGTACGGCATTGATGTTGTATGGGGTGTTAGCACAGCTTACACGTCAACTCTGCATCACATATTTCACCAAATACGGATGGAATATGTACTCCGTATGTCAGGGTTCATTCTAGCCGCGCTAAACGTAAAGTATCCGCAAGGGACGTGAGCACTGAGCACTGTAGTTTAGCGTGGTGAAAAGTTCCTTTTTGCTAGGCCTTGTGAGTAAGAAATCAGACTATCTATTAGCATCAGCTCCACCTCAACAATCAGAGCCAAAGTCACGTCCGGTGGTAGTGGGAGTTTACAATACTTAAATAAAAGGCAGCAGCTTAAGTATCGGTTTAGGATATATTCTGTTCTTAGACCCATTATCAAACAGGCGAAGGAACTGTCAACATCACTCTCCATACGCTGTAGTACCTTGATAAGTGCGTGGGTATTGAGTGCAGTTAGTCATTGCTCTAACCTACCCGGCGTTAGTACCTAGCTTTAGACTGAGCCTGACTTGTGACTTATGACTTTCTAAGGTCAAGTACCGAATGATTCACACGATTTCACTCTCACCTTTCACCTTTCACCGCCATCGGCCCTGGCTGGTGATGGAATTAACGCCGTATCATATGGACCTGAACCTGGACCTAGACCCTGCCGCTTCTGCCCGCCTCGATTTTCAATACATTCACGTATAACTTCTTGGATCAGAACTTCCCGTAATACTACGGATATCTCGTACTCACTGGCCAAGCTCAATCTCTTTATTATCGCTTCTGCCATTTCCGGGGCATGACGGGACCCCATCGTCACTGTAACTGTCGTCATATCGGCAAATGACGTCTCCCAGACCCCATATTCATATCCTTATTCACATTCATATTCCCATCTCCTGACCCACGCCGTGCCTGACAAGTTCCTTGATGGCTCGCATGGCATGATATATCATATCCACTTAGTCCGATTTATTTACCATACCCTTTTTCTACTTCTTTGGCAACCTACATAGTATAATCCGCCGGTTGCACCAGCTCAAACAGATCCTTGTACCACAGCTCGGCTGTTGGTTCAAAGACAATATCGCCAGAACAACTCCTTGCATCCATGTCAATTACCTACCTTATAACATCAACTGCGCCCTACCGACCCGTTTGTCTTTATTAATGACGGGTATTAGTTCACAACAGTGCGGCTGCTACAGCCCTTCCACTTCACGCCATGCCTATATTCCAAGCTGATTTAGACAATCATGAACCTGTTGAGCCGCCGCCGCCTCTTGATGTGACCTCCCCCAGCCTAAGGCGTCTCTCAGAAGAGAGCATCCGCACCGAACTTTGCGAAGGTCCTCTTCTCGACAGTCCGCTTCAATCCAACAGTCCGGACAGGATTGACGGAGCCGAAAATGCCATATCAGATCGAGCTTCTCTTATAGAGAGGTTAAAGAGAGCACAGTCTCCAAATTGGATCCCAAACCGACATGTACATTATGGGCTCTCTTTCTTCTTCTGTAGGGGTCTTATTTGCTAACTACTCTCTTGCAGCTCGACTCTATCATTCAGCACCACGCACCTACCTCCGAGATAAAGCGCCCTCAGTCACCTTCCGAACCCTCTGTACTCCTCGCAGCTGCCCAAATAACCCCCGAAAAGAACGACCCTCACTCCGAGTTCGACAAGAGATTACGCGATGGGCTCAACATCGAACGACCGAGATCGGCCTTACACAGTGGTAACTTCACAGAAGAAGAAGTAGCTAAGGATCGTCCTGCTCTAGTCAGTAGATATTCTGTACCAGCAGAAACCCCATGGATCGCGACTTCACCTCCCAGGCATTACACGCCTTTCCAACACGATAAAGGAGTCCCTTTCGCGGGGGGCGCTGAGAGTTTCCAATCCACCGTCTCGCCTCTTTCCTCCTCTCTATCGTCCAGCTTTGTATATAAGCCGCCTACCAGTCCTTTGGTTCAAGCTCAGAGCTCCGAAGAGCACGATATGTCTATGCCAAGGGACGCACTTGGATTCACTGGATATGCTGGAGCTAGCCGATATACACCAAATAGCACTTCGACGCCATGGATGTCTCCGTCATCGAGATATTCGTTGCCACAACGTGTGCCTTCATATCGAAGAGAAGCGTTCCCATACCAGGCGCATCAACCACGGAGATCATTAACCTCAGCTCCAAGCTTCATGCAAACGGGCGCCTCGCCACCAACGCCTGCTACCCTCCGACCACGGAGGTCTTCTCTGGTTGCAGATTCATCGGCACTTCAGCACGCTTCTATGGTCGGTTCGTATGAGGAGAGCATTCTACGTGGTCGCATGTCTACGACTCCCTCTAAACCACTGGATTTTGTTGCCCAGATAGGAGTACTTGGTAAGGGCAAATGCAAGTCGAGTCTGAAGTGCCCACCCCATGTTACTCTTTCATTCCCAGCTGTGTATTACAGCTACAGTAGCACATCTCATGGGCGGTCAAACTCACATGACGGCCCGAGCCCATATGTTGGTCAGATTGACCTTGAAAACGGTCTTCCTAACCCGGACGACGAACACCGGTCAAAGAAAAAGGCGCAAAGTCGCTACACAGAAAAAAGACCTTCGGAAGACGTGATGGACATTGGCCTGGATGGTCAAGGGTCTGAAAATATCTCACGTCGAAATTCTCGAGCCAGCCGCAGGTCCGGATCAGGTTCTGCAAAAGCCCCTCCTGGTGGAAGCTACCGCATTCCCGAAAAGGGTCAAATTCAAATCATTATCAAGAACCCAAACAAAACCGCTGTGAAGCTCTTCTTGGTCCCTTACGACCTAACGGGCATGGAACCTGGTACTAAAACATTTGTTCGGCAGCGTAGCTACTCGGCTGGTCCGATTATCGACAATGCCCCTGCCACATCCGAAGCGAACACTGATGATCGGCCTATCTTGAGATACCTTGCTCATCTCCATATTTGCTGTCCCGCCAAAGGCCGCTTTTATCTTTATAAGAGCATTCGCATTGTCTTTGCGAACCGTGTCCCCGATGGCAAGGAGAAGCTCAGAAACGAGACAACATGGCCAGAACCCCGATACACTACCTATAAACCTATCCGTGCCATGCATCCGCCATTACCTACACAGTCTGGCCCTGCTGTTATGCTCGCAGCTGAGAAGGCTTCGCGCAGACGAAGCGTTGGCTTCTATCCTGGCTCAACCTCCCAAAACTTGCATGTTATGGGGAGCATGTTTCGAGTCCATGATTCTCCTTCTGGAGGCTCTGCAGCAGGCAATACTCTGCCAGTTGACCCTATACCTTTCTATCTTTCGGGCCGTGCTCGAACAAGCAGCGATGTTAGCAACAGCACAAACACTACTACTGCTCTTGGTAATAATATGCGTTCTCCCGACTCGTCCCAAGCTAGTCGACCATCGACCAAGGACTCGACCAGTAGCCTAGCGCAGGGGCCTGCTCTCTACGAGAAGCTCAGCAAAGGCGAACCAGGATATGGCGGCAACGCTTTTGCTCTCAATAGATCAGGATCTCTTGGCGGTGCTGAGGGCTTGCTTTCCCAGCGCTTGCGTTCGCTTGGGGTAAAACAACCGTCGCCTCCCGACACAGCCAGTCGGGAAAACATGTCTCCATAGACCAAGGTTGACACATAGTCGACTAAACAGCAGAGGATATGTTTACGGTACATAGGTTCCGTCGTACTAAGGGCAGCTCTTTCCATTTTACATATTTACAGGCTGGGATATAGATTAGAGTATTGACTGCTCTAATGGCCTTTTTCTGCTCTGCTTATCAGGTTGGATTTCACGTGGGCTTGTGTTTGCGAGGGAGTGTTTAGTGATTTTAAGGTGTTTGGCGTATCTTGATACCAGGCAAAGTCCAGAACTGAAGGTTTAGATAGACAATTGAATCTTTTCAAAACTACATACTGACCTGTGATGATCTGAATCAAGGACATTGGGGTTCTCGTACTCAAGAGAGCAAGATATGTTTCAGAACGTCTACACAAGCTTGTGTCATAATTTGATACTTGTATTATACAACGGCAATAACCGAAAATCTCTAGAGAGCTACACATACATAAATCTACTACACATGTTCATTCATCATACATTTCTTTACTTATCAAGCGGCTGCTTCTGGCGTTCCAAACGCACACGCGACTTGCGTTGCCCCGCAAGGGCTCCGTGGCGTTGATTCTTTGACACACTCCCTGGTGTCCTCATCCCATGATCTCTCTGGTCATAGCGATCCCAGAATTTGTTCCAGTAGGCGAATCTTTTGCGCGCCTCGTGGTCGTCGGGGTTTTCGCTTCCCATAGCCTTGACTTCGATCTGGACGTCGCCCTGCATGCTGGCTTCTGAAGGAAGCTTCCCCTTCTCCAAAAAGTTGTCTTTTCGTCTGGAGTACCACTTGAAGGCGTAGCTTCGAACCTTGTCATGCAGCATCTTCTTCCACTGATCTGTGCTAACGACGCCTTCAGGGTCGGGTGTGATTCCAAGGCTTGTCTCGCGCTTCTTTTCCTTTCGCAGGTCCCGGAGCATTGCCTCCTTGACCTTCATCAGCGAATGGTAAGACAGAGTCTGCAGAACCTTATCAAGATCGGAAGCTGACACTTCTTTTCCGTTGATCACATATGCCGTAGGCATCTCCTCAACCTCGGACGTGATGAAAGCGTGATATAAACGAGGATACTTCTCCTCGACAGTGGAAAGCACTCGAGAAACGTCTCCAGACCAAGCCGCCATCTTACGCATCTCCAGCCACTTCTGCAGCAAACGGAAGATAAGGTACTTGGGGGGCTTCAGCAAATGGGTGTTTCGCATCAAGCGCGGGACTGCTCGCTCGTTCCAACCCTGCCAGTTTGGCATAAGAAGGGTCTCACACCAGTACATTGCGCGCTCCCATTTGCCCATGTCAGAAAGGTCACGGACAATACGCGCCCAATTTTGGCGGGTGAGCTTGAATCCGGCTTGCACAACCTTATCAACAGTCCGGCTGAGGCCATCCGCATCCTCCTGCTCTCTATAAGTTCGTGCCACCACGTCCACGATGCGAGACAAATCGTACTCAGTGCCTGGCAAGATACCATCACCAGAGCGTTTTCGGCTGTCGGCATAAACACTTTCCCACGTCTTGTCCCACAAATCTATAACTTTGTCATAGGCCTCGTCCCTGAACTGTGCGTACATCAGAGCTGACACGACATCGGGGGGGAATCGCTTGCTAGACTGATACTGAGGGAAGACTTGAACAAACAAGCTCATCAATTCCTCAACCGAACCAAATTCTCGAAGCTCAACAAGGAGAGAAATAGCTCGACCAACCTGAGCGGTCTCTGCTTTGAGGTCATTGAGGTTGCTGGCGTCGGTTGCGTTGGGCTTCTCGCCAAGTACAGATCTGTCAGCCGTCTGAGTTGCCTCAGCAGCTTGTCGGAAATACTCAACCAGTTCCTTTCCGAGATTCTTGGTGCCCTCTGTGCCAGGCGTTCTTTTAGCAGCAGACATGACAAGTGCGACCAAAGCACCGAATGTCACGGGTAACTCTGACTTTTGCAGCCGGAGATACAGACTCTCGACAAGTTGATACTCTCCAACTCTCGCGGCTCCAGCCATAACAATAGCAAAGTGCTCCGGTGTAATAAGAAACAAGCGTTCTTGAAGGCCGCGCTTGAGCAGCGTATATGCAGGGGGGATTTGGTTGACCTTAACGAGCGCCTGGAGAAGGAACCCATAAGTTTCGTCATCCCATTCCACACCCGTTTCTCTCATTCGTCGAAGTAACTCATAGACCTTGTCTATCCTTCCTTCAACACCGTTAAAATTGATGAGCTGATTCCAAAGGGCTTCAGAGGTAAGCTTGCGATGTGTCATTTCAATACACAAGCTCTCCGCTTCGGACAGGAGGCTGTTCTGACAGTATGCAACAACCAGGGCCAGTCCCATTTCTTTTGTAAGTTCAACGTTGGCCTCTTGAGATTTATTGAAGAATTCCAAGGTTGTCTCCAGATCGCCCTTCTTGGCGCTCATCGCCATAGCGTGGGCATAGGTAAATGAGTCGGGCTGATGTTGACTTGAGATTTCATCAAATACATCCAATACACCAGCGTAGTCATTAGTCCTCATGTAAGCTTTCATTACTGAGTTCCAACTGTCGATATCTGCCGGGATATTGTATTCATTGACCATCTTGTCCAGCTCTTGCCTTGTCTTTTCGACGTCTCCAAGTTGAGCATAGACATTCATTGTGCTTCTGAACGCACGAGGTGATTGAAGCACTTCGGGGAATTCTTCCACGTACTGAGTCCATAGCTTCTTTACTGCCGGTACATCACCTCTCCACGAATAATACTTGAGAAACTTTTCATAGCCCCATTGGTTGAGCCCCCCTTTGAATCGAATCCAGTCTCCATGCAGCTCTTCCAACCTCGCATTGTTTTTCGGGAAGTTAATCTTGAACATGCCGCGGTAAACGGCCATTGCAGGTGCTGCGTCTGGCAATTCCCGGAACTTCTGGTAAATAGGAACAAGTTGCTCCATAGTAGACCGGCTCTCTTGTTTGGCATACCAACGATCAAGCATGGCTTCGATATATGTGTTGTACAGAGAGGTATCGCGTAGATTTTCGAGAATAACGGTCGCTTGAGCTGGAGGACACGGCTCAGTTAATGCCATGGTGGCAAAGAATTTCCGAAATGCGGACAAGCCTTTGCTAGCAATTACATCTTGCTTGATTTTCTTGTGTTGGTTTGCACCTTCACCAACCAGGTACGCCCTGAAAGCGTAGTAGAGATCTCCCTGTCGAGGAATACTCCCGAGCGCCAGAAGTCGGTCTATACTCACGTCTGATTTCTTATTTTGTCGTCTCAGCATCCTGTGCGTATAGTACGTTGTCCATACGTCCAACGCTTCAGCCCACTTTCTCGAATTTATGGTATCCGCCATCAGGTATTCTAGGCCTTGGTCGAACCCCCGCTTCTCTGCTCCGTTCTTGAAGCACTTCACAGCCGATGGTAGATCTCCAGAACGCAGAAGTAGGATGATTCCTGCGGACAGAACCTCATTGGTCCATTGTTCCATGGGAATTTGTCGAAAGACTGAGAGGGCTCGTCCTGTCTCAACAATGTTGTGGGAGCGAGAAAGATACTGGACCAGCTGGCCACGTATTCTAACCCTTTGGTCATTATCTATCACCGAGTATAAATCCCAAGCTTGCTGAAATTGGCGTCCTTTTGCTGACACAAGATGCTGAAGTTCTTCAAGTTCTGGTTGGTCTCTGCCACGGCTTGAAGCTCCTGTAAGTGGCCCCGCGTCCCCCGCTATGTCCGTCTCTTCAGGATGCGGGCTGTTGCTCAAATGGTCAGGCTGGTCGGAAGTCGTCGTCTCGGTCGAGTTCGGAGATGTTATGGACGAGTATGCCCGCCTTCTTGGAACGATCGCAGTCCGTTGTGCCTGTTGTGGATTGGGAAGTTCGGGATATAGGCGCCGTAATAGAGGGACAGTAGATGTTGGGTAGAGAAAATCGAGCATCAAGACTGAAGCCATCAAGGTCGATTGTAGTTGCTTCGTCTCCAATTCGGAAGTTTCGACTTCACCAGTTCTTGTTGGGCCAGGCAATGCACTGGAAATATCAATAGCGGCGGCCCCATGTTGCCAGAAACCTGTGCGCAAGTTCCGAGTTTGTTTCGAGGTCCTGTTGATCACACGCTGGAGGCTGCACGACTCTAGAGTCGCAGCTGTTCGTTCGAGCATCGGGGCCAAGGGGCGGTAGCGTATTAAGTTGGTGGGAGGTCGAGGATATACACAATCATGCTTGGGGGCAAGCGAAAGGTAAAGGACCAACGGCGCAAGAACTAAAAGGACAGTCCAGAGTTCGAGGGGAGGGAGGGTGGTATACACGCAGTAAAGCCGCAAAAGAAGGAAGGGAAAGATGTCAAGAGAACACACAAAGGTCCCTCAAAATAATAAGGCTCCAATCGCTATGTGAAGGAAAAAGTTGAGCTCGGCTCTAAGTTAGCAAAGAATTGACGTTAACATCAGTCCATATTATCCACCATCGAAGAAGAAAAAAGGGTCTCGAAGAATCCTGGCCAGTGAATGATCTGGAATAGAGAGAAAAGTATGGGACCCCGGTTTCGCCTCTTATCCCTACCATCATCGACTCTCGACTTTTGTACTACACTAATAGACCTAGAATTCTGATATCTATTCTTGTGTTTATGGTGAGTCATTATCCTTCCTTCTCTCAAAATTTCGGATGATGCTATCCAGTTTATTATCGTCTCAGAAGTATCGTATTCGTAAGTGATCACACAGCTCAAGGCATATTGAGTTGCACATACTTGACAGGGAACAAGTTATGAATAATCGTCAATTTACTAAATCAATTGAATAAAAAAATCAGGATATCTTTGACAACCTTGAGCAAAGGGAATATTTCATCCAAACTCTCCATAGCGCCGTCTCACCCATAGGCAGGATACGTAAAGCCAGTATATTCCAATTTCCTGATAACAAATGAAACTCCGTATGCAACCAATGCCAGGATATTCTTATAACTTCGAGATAGCCAGCTCTCAGCGTAAGATCAATTTATGTAAAGCAACCAGGACAGTATTCAGTCATCGTACAGTAAGAATTAGATACGTGGGTATCGATCCGGGTTTTCGGGTTCCGTCTGTGTACATCCGATCGTGTGTGGAGAATAGACATAAGAATGTAAAGGAAATAAAGTCAGGCGTGGCATATATCACTTTTATGCACTCGGCTTTGTCTCGTCTGCGGTGTCAGAAGACGAGGCTCGGACCTCGTTCCGCAGCCCGGAAAGGCCATCGGTAGATTGCTGAGCTCCGAGCTCCATCTCAAGACGAGGGCCCCGGCTCTGGCTCCGGGTTCGCTGCTTTGACCGGGCTGGTCGGTGTTGCTGGAGCTGGAGCTGGAGCTGCTGCTCAGCGGGTGATGCAACACGTGAAGGACAGTGCTCTCGGCGGAGGCGGGCATGAAGAAGCCGGCGTCTTGTGGGAGATGGCACTCTTCTGGGCGACGAAGGTCGGGATGTATAATTGAGAGCTGGGGATGCGGCTCGGCGACGAGAGCGACCTCGAAGGTTGCTCGACTCGTCTGGTAGTGCAGCTCGAAATGGGCGGACACTGCCGCGGGTCAGGCTTCGCTCTCTTTTACGGCCTCGTAGGACATCGTGGTCGGCAGTTGGAGAAATAATGGTAGGCGGCTCCGAGTAGGATGAAGAGCCAGGTGCGACTCGAGCTGTCATGATGTGCGTTTGTTCTTTGACGCTAATATAGGGTGTTGATGGTGGTGGTGGTGTAACCGTGTGCAAGTCAAGGCGATAAGGAAAACAGACAGACGTACGGATACGCAGCAGATAGGAGAACAAGGACAAACAGATTAAAGATAACAAAAGTGGTATCAACGCAGTCGATAAACGAACTTTCCTGGGCTTTTGGGGGTCACTCGAGCAACGACTGGGTGGTCTGCAGGGAGACGTGGCAGCGATGGCATGTAAGTTATAAGGCACGGAGTATGTTTTTCTTCTTCCCTTGCAAGTGTTCAAGTGAACAAGGAAGAGGGGATTCCTCGTAGCTTATATAAATTAGATTTTCACAGCAACAGAAGGGAATGGAAGAAGGGAAAAGAAAAGGTTTGTAAAAGGGGGACAAACTTCAGGGAAGCTCTGTTTTACTAAGGGAGAGGAGAGAGGGTTCAGGATGTGGCAGCGGCAGCGGCATAACACATCCGGGGTTGGGGCCCCCTCGTTCCCCGTCGTTTCATTGACATTAATTAATTGACTTAATAAACAAAAAACATGAGATGAGACGAGACTTTGGTGTATAAATGCCTGTTTATCATCCGATGAACTAGTCATTGCTTTTGTTTCCACAGTTGATCCCTTAACCATCCATCTATCTACCTACTATCTCTTGCTATCACGTACAATAACCAACTACTCTTCATACTACCATAGCTATGAAAAGCTTCCTCAACGACGGTGTTACAATTAGATCGGCCAGCTACTGGCGTTGAACTCTGTCGGCTAGCTTCTCATCTCTTAGCACAGTCCGAATGGGTTTTGAACCTTGAATAGCGACCGGCATCTTCCCCAAGCCAGGCTCCAACTCAAGGTACCATCCACTGTCTACCCTCGCGGAGCAGACCGTTGGGCAAGCTACGGTCCCATTGTCCACTCACGTCGTATCTGAATACTACTTGCTTTCTGCTTAGCTCTACCAATGGCGCCCTTTGTCAACAAATACAAGATGCCGTACCGTGCTGGCACAGCACACTTCGAGAACTGGTATGAAGAGGCTTGGCTTGGAGCATACCCCAGACCCAGATGCTTAGCCCCTCGACGATCATGACCTAACTAGAGTTAACGAAACATGACGATGCATATCATGACGTCCAAACAATGTGTCAGCTATTTAAAAGTTACTTGGGTATTCTCTGCAGTCTACTTGGATTGGATGTTTCTACTCTAACGACAATTCGGAAGATGGAAAATACACTCTTTATGTCAGGGATATTCAGAGTCTACCTATCGGTAGGATAGCCAGTTGCAATTGCACTATACACAGTAGCCGTCATCATCATCAGTAGCTTATCCGGGTATAGTAACTTCTAAGTTTGGCGTGCTTGAGTTCCCCTCCACCACAGTTGCACGCGATCAAACGAGTTTGTTAGCGCCCAAGGCACTTGAGATGCAACCTGGAACCTTCGCTGCGTCGTTGGTTCAGCCGCTGGCAACTTCGCCTCGAGGTGGCGCCCTTGAATATTCCCCTTTCTTCTGGTTCGGGGCGTCTGCCCAACCATACACATTCAAGCTATGCCAGCCATACTGCACCGGTATCTGTCAAAGGAATACCGAATCGTGAAATGCCAGCATGCATCAGCGATGGATGCGATGTGATGTAACACAAGGCCCAGACCATTCGATCAACAGCTCAGCATATTGTTATCTAATAATCTAATGCTCTTCACGGTGCATTCATGCTAGGCTGGAGCCTATGCAGAAAGTGATAACTAAAATAAATGCAAATAAATGTAAATAAATGTAGGGTATGTTGATATGGGAATTGGAATGGGGAATTTTAGACTAAGTACCTATCGGACTGCAATTCGAGGTCTACTGGCCAGGAATACGTTCACGGATTGAAAAGCCCGGGTGTCCATCCGCTCCGTGTCCTGTTCCGGAGCATTCGGGGCCGAGAGCTGTTACCTGTTGGTTGTTAGTGCATAACGGCCAATGTAAAAAGCATAAAAAACCTTCCGCATTCGTTCTTATCATGGCTTGTTAAGTTTATGCCCGTTCCTCATCCAAAAATCTATCAGATCATTACCGTTTTCTACAGCCAATGGTCCTTGTTCGTTGTCTTGTTATTGTACAGTCATGATACACACGGCTTACTATCGCGGCATATGATATCTGTAGTTGACTCCGCTGACTCCCTTCCAGTGGAGGCCTAGGCTGTTCAGGGGCATAGATCCACCAATCAAGCCCGCCCCACGCTCTAGTTCCAGTGGAGAGGGCCTGGAGGCTGCAGCAATGTGGAGATGCTGTCAACTGGCTCTGGGTTTTTTGGCCCTGTCACAAGCTCGAGAGCATGACAACTTCAAACCGACACATCGTCATCCTGCAACCAGCTTCGTTTTGGTCGTCACTGCCAACAAAATCGCGCGATAATTTGTTGATGGCCTGTTTCTCTTCTTAATCAGTTCTTTCTACTTCTTGTCTTTCTTCATGACTCCCTTTCCCTAAGTCGCATGTCAGGCCTCCATTTATAATCTAACCTTTTTTACCCCCTTTTGACCAACAATAACACGCGTCACAATCGAATAACGCAACGAACATTCTCCGCCGGCCACCTAAATCAACAAATTTATACCTTCTGACAGGGTATGGCCGCGATAGTCCTATAATTTCGACCACGATTACCTCTTACATCTCCGTTCGCGCTCCTTCCATCCGTCGCAAATATGCCTCGATCTCGGCCGGCAACAACAGGCTATGAACGCCTTGCGCAAGCCGACGATGTTAGCGACGACTCAGACGAGGATCCTCTCTCCCAATCATATGCTTCTCTACAGCCTGCCGCTGCCCCACGATATGCCCAAGTTTCGCAACCACGCCATCGCTCTGGCATGACCAGCCCCAAGTCAATGGCCTCAGCTTCCCAACCCAAGTTCCGTAACCGTTCTGGAAGCAGCGCCGGCGTCGACCTGAAAGCCATCAATGCCCGACTCGAGCGCTGGGCTGACGAGATTGCCTCACGTTTCAAGCGGAAGGGAAAGAATCAGCAAGGCGAAGAGGAGCGCCTTGAGATTCACTACTCTGTCTTTCAACCTCCTGAGGGCGTTCGTCCGGTAACAGCTGAGAGTATTGCCATGCCGCAAGAGGGTGTTATGTCAAAAGAAGAGTTTGAGACCATTGTTGAAAGCGTACGGAGTGCTATTCGGCAAGAGGTCCATCCCAGCATGATCTCTCAGGGTAGTTCCGGCAGTTACTTTGCTCGGAATCCCGATGGCAAGATCGTGGGTGTGTTTAAACCCAAAGACGAGGAACCTTACGCCGCAGGAAACCCCAAATGGAATAAGTGGATTCATAGAAACTTGTTCCCTTGCTGCTTTGGACGAGCTTGGTATGTCCATGCTCAGGTATCTGTATGAATGTATTTGCTAACTCTGTGTAGTCTTATTCCCAACCTTTCGTATGTTAGCGAAGCAGCGGCTTATGTGCTCGATTGCCAACTGAGAACACATCTGGTACCATATACCGACGTTGTATGGCTTGCTTCCAAATCATTCCACTATCCATTCTGGGACCGTCGCAAGTTTCATCGCAAGAAGAAGGCCCTCCCTGCCAAGCCGGGCAGTTTCCAAGTCTTCCTCAAGGGCTTCAAAGACGCCAACGTTTTCCTTCGGGAGCACCCTTGGCCGGACCAATACTGGTCCGGCTTCCGGACAAACGACGGTCAGAGCAAGAAGAAGAAGAAATGGACGGAAAGCTGCCGCCCGTCAGGAAACGCCACTCCAAACAACGGATACAACAGTGACGATGAAGAAGCTGCCCAGGCTGCGAATCTTTTGGGTCCTGATAATTTCATTTGGACCGAACACTTGAAAGAGTCTTTAAGGCAGGAGCTTGAGAAACTCGTCATCCTTGATTATATAATGCGAAACACAGATCGTGGTCTTGATAATTGGATGATTAAAGTCGACTGGGAGACGGGTAAGGCCTCGATAGCATCGGATCCCATTCAATTAAACATGGAACCAGTTGCGGAGGAAGAGGCCCCTCGACCCGTCGATCTGTCTCAACAAGGACCACGTGCCACGAGAGCGTCATATCCCTATAAAACACAAAGACCGATGAGTGCTTCGAGTAGGCAACCCGCAGGAACCGAGCCGGCCATCACTGTCGGAGCTATCGATAACTCATTATCATGGCCTTGGAAACATCCGGATGCTTGGAGGAGGTAAGAGTGAAGTTCTGATGCTATTGCCAGCGAAAGAAAGCTGACACGTATTTCTAGTTTCCCGTTTGGCTGGCTCTTCCTACCTGTAGATCTCATTGGGAGACCCTTTTCTCAAAAGACCAGAGATCATTTCCTGCCCCTCCTCACATCTACATCATGGTGGACACAAACGATTCTTTCATTAAAGAGGGTGTTCCAGATGGATGTTGACTTCCAGGAGCGTATGTTCGCAAAACAGGTCGCTGTTATGAAAGGTCAAGCTTGGAACGTCGTCGAAACACTCAAGACCCCAGACCATGGCCCTCTCGAACTAACTCGCAGAGCAAGGGTTTGCGTCTGGGACGACCTGGTTGATGTACCTGTTGCAGTTCCTATGCGTAACACGTCCTCGGAAGTCCGTCGCAACCCCCACGTCCGTCAATCTATGGACGAGGCCGATATTGCTAGCTCGGCCCCTGCCAATAATCCCCCAATTGAGGACCTCCTTGGCCTAGCCAGTGCACCTGCAGATATGCCTCATCCTGGTCGGTTTGAGCTCTCATCTCCGACGGGCGAGACAGCTCAGTCGCCAGATGAGGTCCTTTCAGGCGAGTCCAACTTTCTGGCACCAACAGGACAGCATCATCATAGTGGGGACGTGGCCGAGCGTCCCGCGGTCCGGGCAGCCGGTATTAGAAACAGTTACCAGGGACCTGTTCGTGCACTCAACATGTATGAGCCTGCACGTCAACAGCCACCACGCCAGCAGCGTAGATACTCATTTGCCAACGCCGCTGCCCGCCGCAACAGCAACAGCATCGCACAACAGTATTATGGTGAGCATAATGAGAACTACACCGACGACCTGGAAGGTGATCTAGGTTATGCTGCAGCTGAGGGACAGATGGGTAACCAACGTAAGGTCATTGTTGAGCGGCTCGAAGCTGTCAAGAGTAGGAACCCTGTGTTTACCTGCTGGTAAGGGCTGATGCCCTTGCTTGGCTTCACATCATGAGTTATTCGCTGTCCTTTAATAGATAGCATGTTGAGCATGACTCTCAAGTCGCTTTGTAGCAAACCCGACCCGGAAGTCCATGGGAATGCAACCCATGATAGCGTCGCTGTGATTTAGCCCTTCTAGGGGTATCATGCCATGTCTATGCTGCTTCATGCTTCACCAGTACTTTGCAGGCAATTGCTTTTGATGTCTGATCTACCTTAGTCGGGATACATGCGCATAACGGCGTTTGCCAGTTATGCCCTTCTATGGGAACATGGTTCTTTCGGATGAAATCATGGAAGAACATATCTTACCGCAAGCCAATGCATCATTATTGCGGCACAAAAAGAAAGGAACGAGAACCACTGAAGCAAGCAAACAGCCAAAAGATCCACGCTGGCTTGCATGAGGAACCGGTGAAGATAGCCAAGCGATGGTGTGCGCAAACAGAGCGGGGTCGAGAGCTGACCTGCCATTGCTATACGGATACCGTACAGGACAATCCAACTCGGCGGTTCAGATTATTCTTGTTGTTGTTTTTTGTGCTCTGGTACTGGTTTTGGCGATGCTTTGAGTTTATATAGGGTCTGTACGCATTATGATGATTGAAATACACATGTCGTTATGATAAACCGAACCAGACGGAGCGCCGCAGGTAATGGCCTTCGGTCTGCTGCAGTATTCATAGCAAATCTCGTTTGTAAGGTCGCATAGTAAGATCCCACACCTGCGGGAAATGCTGTGTTGTAACGAATTTCATGTGCCAGAATTCCACGAATACGGATAATGAGCACAACCAGCAGCCCACCATTACCGGCTCTCTGGTCAAAACCCGAGAGTTTGGGTCGGTAAACCATGGCTAGAGCATGGTCCCCCTGTCCTCTGTACGTATTAGCGGTAGCGCATAAGCATTCTTCTCCATCGCCTAGGTCGCTTAGTTGGCCATACCATGTCCTCTCGAGTACCGTACCACATGGCCACGCATTGTTTCCTCTCTCTCGTCTCGCCAGTCGTTGTCTTCTATTTGCCTGTCTGGGAGCAGGACGCGATTAAGCTTACCTAGGACCGTCGAGGCGAGGGCTACACAAGTTATAAGGCTTCACCACACGCCGTGACAGCCAGTGAACCATCTTGGTACACAGCATGATTTTGGCTCTGCGCTCTCCCCCCACATGCTTCATGTTGGTAGCCCGCAGTACCTCTTCAAAGACATGTTGCCGGTAACGACTACTGGCCCCTTCCGAAGCTTTGCGTGACGATTAGAACGGTCCAAAATTTCGTCTGTTTTGGTGCCACTTAATATGACCATCTAATGTTTGTGAGCCATACTACGTATAGTAGTTCCGAATCCTTGTTGAGGTGGAATCTAGAGTTTGTGTATTTTACCATCGTAATCTGCAAATCGACGTTAGGGTCCAGTCATCTCATGATTTATAAGTCAAAACTCACAAAGCTGTCACATCCTCTCTTGTGGGAATCTCCCGCTTCATGGAGGGCCATATTGCCATGGATTTATCTACGTCGTCACTTCAAACTCGTTGCGATTTGCTTTTTTGCCGTAACAATGCAAGCGCTGCAAGCCTGCCAGGTTACCCCTGTATATGTAAAAGTTCAACAGTAGGGACCAGTCATGGCATTTCGAATGCTTTTTCCCCCTCCTTGCTTTGGACCGACGAGAAACCTTAGCCCCTTGCGCCCGACTGTTTGCAACACTCCGACCTGCAGCGGCCCGTCAATGAGTAAAGGAAGGTTGGCGCTGTATTGGTCCGGCCGATTGGCAACTTTTGTTCTGTGTCGGCCGCAGATGACATCAAAAACTCAAATAGGTCGTATGATGCTTGGGAAATGGCCAAGGGTCAGCCCGAGGAGGGTGCCAAATGCACAGCAGACACCAGCCGAGGGAACCCATCCCAATGTAACTTAGTGGCACGTTGCCAGCATATGCAGCCACGAGACCTCCTTCATACATCCTTCTACCACTAGAAATCCTTTTTCTCCAGGCTGTGCATGATATGCTTCTCGTTGAGGCCTTAACTGTGGTTCAGTTGTGGACACACGAGGCGGTGAAGAGACAAAGCTTCTAGCTCCTGGTCCTAGAATCGTCTTTCTTTCGCTTTGAAAGATCCCAGCACGTCGAAGGTGGATCATCTTTACTGTAAGTGACCTGTCTTGGTGTGCTTTTGGTGATACGGAGAAGTGCTCCGACTGGGCTCTTTGGCCGTTGCGCATGCTGGCAAGCCGAGATTGCCACGAACAAAGCACGTCCATTTCCTTCCTTATCAACGCTAACAGCGTCTCTTCAGGTAACTCGGTGTTGTTGACTTGTTCAACAAGGCAGGTTACCTCTGGGAATAGTTACACAGTAAGCTCAAGTGGTTGTCTCCCGGAGGTGGTCCCAGGTCCATGTCCTCGGTAATGGTCAGGCTTGTTACCGGACTGTTCCCTCAGGCGGTGCGACTATGAGCACACTTTGCTCACAAGAACACCACCATAGGTAATACCCTCTTCCTTCTCGTTATCGCAGCATCTGTATTGTTTAGCGCATCACTATCACCATCGCTGGGGGGAACAGCCTCACCCTTGAGGTGAAACAGCAGTAGTCATTGGGCACCCCCTTCCATGGCAAGCCCGAGACCTCGAGCCACCCACAAGTCCCGACAACCGGGTGCCTGCTTTTGAGATGGTGGGAGAGATTTCGTCCAATATAGAATGGGCCTATTGGGTGCTTCCACTGGATAAGACGGGACCGTACAAAAGCTGCACCTGTACGGAGTATAGCCAACTGAAATCATGTCTTAACATGCACCAAACCCTCACCTCCACCTGAAGTGGAACCAATGTCGTCCGCCAAAGCATGGAACCATAGAATTGACTGCCAATAAAGGCAATCAAAGGTATTCCCAGCTAGTTGATTCCAGTTTTACCTGTCGAAAGCCGTTTTCCCACTCGTGTTATTTGTAACAGCACCCAAAACAATTGGCGATCCTACCCAACCTGAACTCATGATGGTCAACATTCAGTGTTGGGTTATCGTTGTGAACCAGCCTTCCACTTGGGTTTCCAGATCCTAGTAATATTTGCTTAATATCGTGATTGTAGTTACGCCATTAATATGATTCAGACATGGGAACAGTTTCCTGTGATAGAGTAGACGATGTTCTTTGGGGCCAGGATCAACACAAGAGAAATCCGGACCTCTAAGGCGTCAAGATCGGCATTGGGACATATGGGAACCAGTGCATTGTCGGCTTGTGTCTCGGCTCTCCGCCAAATCATCTCCGCATTCTTCGAGAAGCCCTGTTCCACTTATGAAAGGTACGTAAAATCCGCCAAATGCAGAAGCCGCCATAGTCCTGATACGTCTTCGGGCTCTGCATCCTGGCACCTGGGTGGCTCTTATACGTCGAACTAGGGCCGCACTTCGGGTACCACATGTCGTCCGAAGGGTTGATGGTAGTTTTAAATCAATTTTAGAAAGTTAAAACCCAGTTTGCCGCGTTGACGTCTTTTGAGGAAGTGTGCAACATATTTGTCGCCTTGATAACTAAGTCGAATCCAATAATTCAGCCCCGAAGACGATGGACGCCGAGTAAGACCGCCAATGCTTTTAGACATGGAAGTTTCGCTAAACCTGATGCAAAGAGACGGAACCGTGCCCTTGGACGAGACTTTCACTGAGGTAATCGAACATCATGGACGTACTTATCAGCATTACGCCTTGATGAACGGCACATATTTTGTGCCGATCGATGAGGTACAGAACATGATTGATTACATACCAAATCCATGGACGTGAAGTAACAACTTAAACCAGGGTGAAATATCGCGCCTTGAGGTGATGCACGGAGTTCTCAGCAGCCTTTTTGATGGACGACTCGTATTTCCTCCTATCAGATCGCCACGAAGGATACTCGACTGCGGTTGTGGCCCTGGAGATTGGGCAATGGAAGTTGCTACACAATATCCTGATGCCGAGGTGAGTCTCCTATGAATGGTTGACGAGTCTCTTTCCGAGAAAGCTACTGTAAACCATTCAAGTTCAACAGCTTGGCATTGTATCCCTGTGTAAATCCCGAGACATCAGGATTGTATGCCGCTTGTATCGCACAGTTCAAGAGGCCATGTAACCGAGGTTACCATCGCGACAGAAGTCGAGATTAACGGTTACAGCTTCGAACTGTCGAGACCAGAGACCTTAGTTAAAAAAGTTTAGGCCCGACTGACTGTCCCGCAGGTTCTGGGCATCGATGTAAGCCCGCATATGATTCCGGAAAACCCTCCTGATAATATGGAACTCCAAGTTGACGACCTCAACGGAAGGTACTTGATCGTGGGTTCAGGGATATGAGCGAGGACTGACTGGAACCTGGCACAGATTCACATTTTCGTCGAACCACTTCGACCTCGTCCATAGCCAAATGCTAGCAGGCGGGATCCATGCGAATCGATGGCGAAGCTATATTCGAGATATTTTTCGGGTATTGAAACCAGGCGGCTGGTGTCAGATGGTCGAAATATATTTCAATGCCCAATCTGATAATGGCACATTAACCAGTGGCAAGTCCTCCCCTCGGGTTACCATATGGCCAGCCCATATTGACCATAAGCTATAGATCACGCTTTATCACAATGGTCCGGGCAATATCTGGATAGCCAGCAGCCGTACAAAGACCCGCGAGCGCCGTTGCATTTAGCTAGCTGGATGAGAAGCGCAGGGTTTACCGAGGTCGAGTCTAGACTCTTGACGTTGCCAATGTGTGGCTGGTCAAACGGTAGGGTGTAACGACTTCCTGGCAGCATGTTCAAGAGCTGATCGCGATGTAGCCTCTCGAGAGTATGAAATTGGCAGCTCAAATAGTGACAACGTGAGCCAGCTATTGTACTCGCTCGCTCTCTACCCTTTCACGCAGTTTCTCGGGTATGTTGGTCGCTCAGGATGATACGGAATAGCGTGTGGCTAAGCTTCGAACAGGATGTCTCTCACCGATTTCCAACTTTTGGTGGCTCAAGCGAGGAGTGAAGCTAGCAACACGGCTTTCAAGGTATGTTCCCTCGATGTTCGTTGATGAAAACTGCGATTCGATGCAAGAGATCTAACATCGATGGCTGAATGCCGGAGTGCAGGCGTATTTTCCAGTGTAAGTTGGCACACACATTTTTCTTTTCTGTACAATGTTTTGACGAGTGGTACGACAGTTATGTTTGTATCGGTAGGAAACCACGGCGATAGGAAGCCAACAACAAGCTTTTGAAGTCGAGTCGCAACAAAAGCAATTGGAGAGTTGGTGAGGTCTGGATATTGAGGCCTAAAGACGAGATGCGTCGTGCTGCGTCTTCTGGGCGCTTTTATGGAACAACTGAGCGCGGATGGTCAAGATAAGGAGAAGCGAAGACGAGGAGACAGGAAAAGATGCTCTACCTTCGTCGTCAAAACAAGGTTTTGTTGGCCGACAAGGAAGGCGGCAGTGGCGTACCATCAAGTGGATAACGGAGGAGGTTTGAATGGAAACTGCAGACTCGTTGCCAAGCTGGGCAAGAGCAGTTTACCTAGTTTTAGCTGGGTGTGAAAGAAGGCACCAAGGGAGGAATGTGCAAGTGCTAAGATGAAGAAAGAGAAATACAAGGAACCAACATCCGCAAAGTGGCTGCTCATCCCCTAATACCTTACCTAGTGAATTCCAGGAAGTTGACTCGTGAAACCGGTCAATGGACACTCGGTACCGACTGGCTGGGACCGATGTGTAAGAGACTCGTTACCAGCGGGCGCACCCCAGGTTAGGGACCATGCAGTTTCAAGGCGTAGGTACTAAGGTAGAATGAGAATGAAAGGGGGTTACTGGATGAGATAGTTAAGAACTCTTTCCTCTTTAGTTGTGTAGGCAATACAGCAGAAGTAATTACCTGCAAACCAACCGTTCATGCTCCCATGGCGAGGAGTACGACAATTATTAATCCCGGGTTCAAAGCCGATGAGTTCATCTCATTTCCACCAACAACGAATCAATTTCAAATAGTAACCGGTATCAGATGAATACTGACCTTTTTCTTGGCCTTTCCTGGCATTCACTCAAATCTCACTACCAAATAGCACCGTCAATTCAAGAAAGCAGAGATGTATCTAAACAGAATAGCTGATCTGCAACTCCTTCATCATGCTACGTCCGAGCCGCTTTTGGTCTATTTCGCTTCCCCGGTCCGTGAGGTGAAGCTAGTGCACATCCTACAGCACCTAACGGAACGCAGCATCATCGGTGGTGTCCCCGATCCTTGTCTAGGCATATGCGTGCGGGTGCACCAATGATCAGGTGATTTAGCGTAGCGACGCCAACGACGGAGGGAGACACGCTTCCAGGTTATCACGGACAAGGAGATTGTTATATACGAGACACAAGGTGAGTACCTTAGTTGTTATGGAAGCGATATCGGGTGTTACTACCTGCTGTTCAACCAGCCAACCCCTCCATGGGGAACACTACGAATAACATCAAGATCACTACAAATTACCCAAACGACTCCAAATTACAGTAGGTACGATAACTCTAATTCATTACTCCGGCTCTCCGGTTCAGTCCCCAGATATGTACGGATATGACGGTTGACGGTTGACGGTTTCAGGGTTGACAGTCTAGGGTCCCTGGCAATTAGCCTGGTCTCCATCCATGGCTTAGCTACTGTGCCTTTGCCGTGCTTCCACTAAACGCAGCTGAAGTTTAACGATATTGGGCTCCTTACACCGCCAATCACAGTCGCCAATTGGATGCCTCGAAATTTTGAGCTCTCGTCTGATGGTTCCATCCATGCCAGCTTGAGCTCTTACTACATAGCAACTCCAACCTTGCGATCGTCACATCGAATCACCAAGCAATTCATCCACCCTCTACACCAATAGACCATCCCAGTTCAGTTTCTCAGCTTTACCGTTGAAATGTCCGCAAAACATTCCATGCAACTTTTCCGGGCGCTGCGCATCTCCCAGCCCGCCTTCCGACAGCCCGTCATCTGCCGTTTCTACTCAACATCGACCGATAATGCGCCCCCTCCTCTGCTCTCCAAGCTCAAGGCCGATCTCAAGACGGCCATGCGTGCCAAGGATGCCCCTCGTCTGAACGTCCTCCGAGCTATCATGTCCGCCAACCTCAACGCCTCCAAGACCTCGACTCCCATCAAGACCGATGTCCAGCTCGTCGCCTTGATCCGCAAGATCCAGAAGAGTGCCCAAGATGCTGCCACTGAGGCCAAGGCCGCTAACCGTGAGGATCTTGTCCAGAAGGAGGAGGGTCAGATCAAGGTGCTAGAGGAGTACATTGCCGGCAGCGGTGTTGAGAGTCTGACCGAGGCTCAGCTCAAGGCTTTGGTGCAGGATGCTGTTGAAGCTTCAAAGGCTGCTGGAACCCAGGCCAAATCCATCCTTGGCGATGTCATGAAGCGACTAGCTGGAGCTCTTGAGGGTAAGGACGTTGACAGGAAGGAATTGGCCAAGATGGTCAAGGAGCTCACTGGTTAGGATGGTTGATGCATGAACATGCATGGTGTAAAATATGTATACTATGGGTTTGGCGAAAGCTGGCATTACGATTGACATGAATACGATCACACACTAGCTGCTTGCACGAATATATGAGCTTCGATGCTTGAAGCCATACCACTCACTAAGAGTATACTTTTCAGAAGCGTGGCCGGATTCGATAATTAATCTCATAAGTAGATTGCGTAAATGAAGACTATCTCTTGAATGTGACTGTTCCATCTCTGAGCTTATGCTAGTCGAGACTCGCTCGTTGGATCCGGTAGAAATGAGGCTTCTCAGCAACCCCGCCCAGATGGGGATAGTGTAAATGTGTAAGTGACTCACGACAACCGAACAGTCACAATATCCTTCTACTTAACCTTCCACTCATCCTAAAATTACCACCTTCGTTATACTTGGACATTATATCCTATCACTCTCGAGGTTCTTAATTGCAATGACTTCCCGCCAAAACATCAGTTCGGGCTCTGCCTTTGAAGAGCTAATCGGATATTCACGAGCTGTCGTAACTGGTGATTGGGTTTTCGTCAGTGGCACTACTGGGTAAGTGTCTCTTCCTTTCATTTTTCTGGCGAAGAGATGCTAACGCATCTTAGTTATGATTATAAATCTGGACAGATATCGGCCGACGTTGCTGAACAGGCCGATCAAACAATGACCAACATAGCGGCTGCACTGAAGGATGCTGGTGCTTCGGTCTCGGATGTTGTTCGTGTCCGTTATATTCTACCTGACCGTGATGACTTCCCCAAAACGTGGCCGGTGTTGAAGAAGTGGTTCGGGGATGTTCGTCCTGCTGCAACTATGGTGCAATCGGCATTGATGAAGGAGGAGATGAAGATCGAAATCGAGGTCACTGCGAGAACAGGATGTGGTGGAGATACTCATTGATGATATGATTGTATTTTTATTCTAGTGGGCTAGAGGCGCAATCAAACTTCCCGCAGTAAACGCAGTGCTCATAGTGACGAGACTCGATGTAGACATCATCGACAGACCACTTACGCCATGCCCAGAAGTGCAGCCTCCCGCCAACCTTGAGCCTACAATCATCAGAAAGCCACCGGATGCCGCAAGCCAAGCTTTAGTTTCAACAACATCACGCGGGACAAAGGACGGGAAGACCTTGGTGATGGCCCAGGCACCTGTCGCCATACCCGTGGCAAACAGTGTGTTCTGTCGGCTGGTCGGCCAAGATGCACCTCGGGTAAGCCACCAGAAGTGGTTGCCGAGTTCTTCGTATGAGCCTGAAATACCAAGCATGGAGCGACGGATGAGGATGGAGAAAAGCTGGGAGATACCGATAAAAAGACCACCGCCAGCGGAGAAAAGTGACCAGTCCGAGCCAGCGGTGTATACAACGGATGCAGCAATGGCAGATATGCAGGCAGATTCGAATATGGCAACGGTTGTATCCTTGGAGAGCCCGAGGTTCTCGTCTAGAGTTACTGTCTCGGGCTTCACATCTGCCTTGTCCCTTTGAGCTTTGGCTGCTTGTGCAATATAACCGGTGTAGGCTATACCGCCAGCGATGGCTCCTCCGAGAGCGTAGATGCCGGTCCGTAGACCAGCTCCAACTTGTGCGAACAAAGTGCCTGGGCACGATCCTGACAAAGCCATACCAGCACCAAGGAGAAATCCGCCTAAAACGTTGCCGTCATACTGCCCGAAGAGTCCAATAGGAGATGAACTTCTAGGCTTGAGCTTCAAATAACCATATTTTTCGGCAACCTTGTAGATGATACTTGTGGTGACATGTCAGTTGGTGTTTGGGGTTATTATTAAGGCGACTCACGCGCTGCTTGCAACGGCACCAAGAGAGGTTTGCACCATGTGCCAGTCTTGGAACTTGAACTGGTTGATAATCGTAGAGGGTAAAAACACACCCGCTGCTACGGTAGAGGCGCCATAGACGGCACCCGATAGTAACGCGGCCATCCAGGAGTTTCCTCGGTGTTAATGTTTGGTTGGTGTTTGTATTAAGTCGCCAGTGGTTGATGTCTATGTGATTGTTGCCGGTTGTCGGAGGGCTAGTAAGCATGCGAAGTCTGAGTCGGAATGGCGTGCGGCAGATATTTACTCGCACCAAATATGGAGTTATAACATGTCCAAACATGGAGTAATTTCAACCATACTTGTAAATTCAAATTACTCAGGAGATCAAATCACAACTTCCAGTACTTTTTCAGACTATTTGCTTAGAGTTTGACAATACATGTGTCTTGAAATTGGACAGCGTCATGTGGGGGAAACCGATGCTATGAGATCCCGGAATTTGGTGGACAAGAGTCAAGTATCATGTTCAGCGAGGACTCTCGGATTTATGCTCTGCCAAACGAAGATTGAAGTTTTCAATGTGCGTGTTAGTGGTGTATCACATCTCAAAGAATCGGTCTGGAAGTTGGAATAAGGTGCTTACTTCTTGTGTCTATCCTCCATCATGGTAAGGAAAATGGCGAATAGATGAATGGCGGTGTTGTTAAGAATGAACTTGGCAAGCTATCTTCCTGCTTTTACATGAGTATTTATATTACATTACATGATATTTAACTCGCAATCGTCGATAAGGATACGATTTTTATCAATTATTGACCTCAACTCTCCATCATACCGATGTGTAGGGTAGGACATCGTCGAAAGTTTCCGTGGTTTCGATACAGTATACCTTGCACTGAATGCTTTGTTTATCTGTGCATTACATCTACATAAGAGTATACTTTTTACTCATAATATACTTCATGAAGTTAAGTAATGAACCAATTAGTAGCGTAGGTGTTTTGTGTCGATATTACTCGAGTCCTACCATGGAAAGCATCCCACTGACGACGCCTGTCACATAAATGTCTAACCCTGAGAGTAAACCCAAATACATTCTCGCTTAAATGAAATAAACAGTCCTAAGATAAAAAGGAGATAAACGAGTCTGAAGGTAATTCAACATTATTAATCAACGGCATCTTGAAGCTCTTGCATCACCGTGGCTGGGAATCTATACTAACAACCGAGGTCTATAATGCGGGGCCGTGGTTATCAGTATATCACTACGGACATCTCGTACCTCAATTCATAGTCTCTAACATGAACTGGAACATTAACCGATATCTGACTTAATCCAATAAATTGCCATCGAGGATTGTTTAACTGTTCTATATTCCCCGTGTAACACAATTGGTGACATCACAGCCGCAATCATGCCTCGAGCTCTTACTCTCCAGCATATCGAAGGTGCCAAGCCTGGAAAGGTCTACTATCCGTGAGAGCAGCTCTTCCAAATCCAAATGGGTGTCCATTTACTTACTGACAAGGCCGACAGACTCCAGATTAAGCAAATACCCAAACCAACACCTGGCCCAAATGAGGTTCTAGTCAATCTCTCCGCGGCGGCGCTCAACCATCGTGATCTTTTTATGCGTCGCCATCTCTACCCAGCCATCTCCTTCACCAACCCAATGCTAGCTGATGGCTACGGTACTGTTGTCGCTCTTGGGGCCAACGTAACCCGCAAGAACCTCCTCAACAAGCCTGTCATCCTCACCCCCATGCGCGGCTGGGAATCGGACCCTGCTGCACCAGAGGACAACCGCAAGTTCGCCGTCACTGGCGGCTCAAAGCTCACTGAAGTCGGCACCGCTCAAGACTATATTGTGGTATCCGAAGAGGAAGTCGAGCCTGCACCCGAACACCTCACGCCCGCCGAGGGCGCAGCTCTGCCACTGGTCGGGCTCACGGGGTGGCGTGCATTGGTCACCAAGAGCAACGCTGCCTTTCCTGGCGCAAATGTGCTTATAACAGGCATTGGGGGTGGTGTTGCGCTGCAGGTACTCCAGTTCGCTGTGGCCAAGGGTTGTAACGTATTTGTCACATCTGGCGACGAGGCAAAAATCTCAAAGGCCAAAGACATGGGTGCCCAAGGCGGAGTCATCTATAAGAACGAGGCGTGGGATAAGGAGCTTCGAGCACAATTGCCAGCTAACAGACCATATATCGATGCTGTGATTGACGGCGCAGGCGGCGAAGTTGTGAACAAGACTGTGCGACTGCTCAAAGCTGGCGGAGTTATTGTGCAGTATGGTATGACTGTGGCTCCCAAGATGGACTGGCTAATGTCGGCCAACCTGCAAAACATCGAGCTCAAAGGATCAACAATGGGTTCTCGCAAGGAGTTTCGGGATATGGTTGCCTTCGTCAACGAGAAGAAGATCCGACCTGTTGTCAGTAGAACAGTCAAGGGGTTGGATAACATTCAAGGGATTGATAACCTCTTTCAAGACATGGATAAGGGCAAGCAGTTTGGCAAACTGGTAATCGAATGGGACTCGGACACCGAATCATCATCAAAGCTGTAGATGGATGGCTGCCATGTTGAATATAGTTAATGACTTCACCAACTGGGGACAACAATTTTAAAAAACACTTCTTTCTTAACTATTAATCCTTAAACAGAGACACGAAGAACGCCAAGTCATTTTCAGGGTATCAAACACCTCGAGAGCTTGTACGTGAGATGAACACAACTCACACCAGTTGCCCATCCATGTAACATGTAGTACCAAGAGCTCCCTCTGTTTACTCCTCTGTCTTCTTGCGCTTCTTCTTGGGACGGCTTTCTTCCGGTGGGACGAACTCGGCCTCACGCTCCTTGACCTTCTCCTCCTTTCGCTTGTGCTGCTTCTCCCTTCGCTCCTCCTGCGCAGCACGCTCCTTGCCAACCTTGCCCAAGAAGTACTCGCCGGTCTCGATTTGCTTGTCGACCTTGCTCTTCTCGGGGGCAGGAGGGAATGGCGTATAGACCTTCTTGGCCTTGTCGTTGACTTGGTGGGGAACGCGGCGCTGGCTGAGAACCTTCTTTTTGAAGTTGGGTAGGAAGCGATCCCAGCTCTCCTCGCGGAGTGCAGGGTCTTTGGCAAGCTCTCTTTTGATCAAGAGTAGCTTTAGTTGATAGACAGGATGTATATTGGCCATGCAATCTTCTACGACTCGTCGAATCTCCTTCAGTCCCTTGTAGGGTCCCATCGCGGATACAGTGTTACCATGCACAAGCACGTATGTCGATGTGAGGAGTTCGAGAGCCTTGAGAGTCGAGCCATTGGGTCCTAAGATTCTTTGTCTTCGCTTCACAAATCTGTCCTTGCTTCCCACAAGATTCCTGATTTTGATGATATCGCAAGCAATCCCATCTTCGAGGATCTTGATGGCTTGAGGTGCGGGTACACTTCGTGCGAGGAGCTTGATGAGATCCCTGGCGTTCAGGATGGCGGCGGGGTCGTAGGTTTTTCTGGTTGTCTTCACTGTCATGGAACCCTCGACCAAATCAAGTGTACAGGCAATGCCGGTTTTCTCGAGGGCACGGGTGACCAAAGGCCAACACTCTTTGAGGCTAGTTCATAACTTGTTAATTGAGCTGTACTTTTTTAAAGATCCCAAGAAAGCATACTTACTAAACTTCGCGATATTTAGGAAATAAAGTAGCGAAAGAGGACTCTTCGAGAAATGTGCCACCGACATTATCCTTTGGAGTGAAAGTATCGATCTTCCATTTGTCGATATCGTCCGTGTCCCACGGCTTCTCTGCGTTATGTGTGGAAGGCATTTTGTTGTGCTCTCAAAACTTTGATAGAAAAATCGCGGGTGAAGTTGCGACGCCCAAGATTTTTTTCTGAGGGATGCAGTAAAGGTAGTCCGGGCAGTGGGGCGACCTGAATGTGGGGATTGGATATCATGATCCCTGCAGCAAACCAATCAGAATGCAAACGGTATTAGCTCTCGAATTTCTTCAACTGCAAAACACCATCGCACGTTAAACGTCGCATTACGAGATCCCACCAATTCTAATACCGAACCAACCGCCGCCATGTCCAAAGGTCGAGGCGCCGGAGGCGTTGATCAGATTGTGAAGCTGATTGTTGGAGCTGGACAAGCCAGTCCTAGTCCCCCAGTTGGTCCTGCTCTGGGTTCCAAGGGTGTCAAGTCAATGGACTTTTGCAAGGTCAGCAGCTTATGATGCGACTCGGTGGTCAGTTGCTAATACTAGCCCAGGAATTCAACGCCCGAACTGCGCACATAATTACCGGTACACCAACGCCCTGCCGAGTCGTTGTCCGCCCCGATAGATCATTCACATTTGACGTCCGCACACCACATACCTCATGGCTACTCCTCAATGCTGCTGAAGCCCCAATGGGAAAGAAGGGCAAGAGAAAAGGGGCTGGAAAGCCCGGCCATGAGACTGTGGGAACTATCTCCCTCAAGCACATCTACGAGATCGCAAAGATAAAGCAGAGCGAGCTTCGACTTTCAGGGCTGTCATTAGAAGGAATTTGCAGATCGGCTATCTACCAAGCAAAGACAATGGGCATCGAGGTGGTGGCTTGAGGCATGTTTTACGATATGGGAATGATAGGACCACATATATGTGGTATGTACAGATATCTCCAACCAACTATTTTATGTGTACAACAAGTTATGGATAGAAACTAGGTCTGCGGGCCAAATGAAGAATTGTACGATTATGTCGGTTTAGCAGCGAAGGTCAGTGTACTAATAATCTTGTCGTCATTGTATACGGTATGTCAAGAGTAATTAGTGCTGGTGTTATGGACACCAAAACCGTCCATCATAACATGAGGTAACTTGATCTCAATTCCTATCTGAAAACAATAGCATTTACGGCACAAACCGTTCAATTGTGAGGCTGGAAATCGAGCTTTGAGCCTTGACCTTCAATAACCCAGCAGGTCTGAAGACCTTCGTGTGCCTATTTGCGTATCAAGGGGATATTTGATCCACAGTACGCGTGGCTTGCGTGGGATCTCGTCTAATATTTATAGAAGTTATGAAGAAACTGGCCATACTGTAACTGTGTGCAGTCTCTCGTGCCATATAATTTGTAAAAGTGAGCTAAATGTCCCTAGGCTCATGCTCATGGGCGTATTGTCGATGAGGTTAATCAATTTGTCAATACTTCCAAGAAATAATGCCCCGCGGTATTAAAACAGTTTTGACTGAAGCAGATAACTGTAAGAGAATGTGGGTTCGCATATTCGACTGTTGAGACTCTTGGGTCAAGTCGCTATTAATAAACATAATAATAAGGTAGTCAATAGTCAAGCCGAGCGTGGAGACCTTATTCCATGGCATAAAGGATCGACAACTCCAATGGCTGGGTCTTGTATTTCCATAAAGTTAGTTTCTAGCCGGAAGAGGTAAGCATCTCATACTGCAATTGTAGTACCGGTAGAGCTTGATTATCGAGATGGCTTTGTAGTCCCAGCCCTTAGTCTATTGAGTTTGTTTTACAAACAAAAGAGGCTTTCTTGAGTTGCCACTTGATCGTCGACTGGTTGAACGAAACAAAACCGGAAATACACAGTTCCTTTGACATGTGTAATGCCGATCGCTTGCGTATTCCTGTTCCCAGTAAGACTGGCTGATCTGCTCACACCGGAAAAGTGCAAGGCGATAAAAATGTTTTTAGTCAGTGCATGGGGCTCCAGATTTTCAACATTCCCTTCTTGGCTGGTGAGTGATGAAAAGATTTCAGGAATTCCCGGACGCCCAGGCTTGCAGGCGACCGAAGCTTGGCCGGGCCCGGGACGGGAACTCCGCTTAGCTCAGGATTGACTGGCGGTAAACTTCGAAATGTATCGTGACGGAGAAAATTAAATCTTGTGTTGTTTCTACAGCAGGTGATTTATAGTGGCACTTAGAACTACGTGAGACAAAAGGCGTGACATCGAAATCAATAACTTCAGGGTCTATACGGCTTATATGCAGCGCCACTGTTGTAAGACATTGTCAAACCGACCGAGCTTGTTAATGCGTTCCTCAACATGAGAACAAAGCTGAGAGATCGGGGCAAGCCGAGAGTTTGACAGGGGTTCCTATCCACGGATATGGGCGTAAGTATCCGTAAACCTTCAACTGCGGAAGACTTACCGTCAAGCCGGTCTCCTCTATTCATCATACAAGTAGTGCACACTCCATTAAGGAGTTGAGTCATAGCAGCATGAAGATTGCCAGCCTAAGAAGGAAGCTATTCAGCAATTCAGTGCACGACATGCCCAATTGTGCACGGGTACTGCTCCTAATTCCAGTTGTCGAGCTTTTCTTTTTTGCCAATGAGCCCTGTCAAAAGATCTATGTGTATGGAGTACCTGAAGTAAGATGTACAAGATACTTGGTGCTTATTATAACCAGGCCATTTGTCTAGTATTTGTGACGGGGTAGGTCAAAGGCTGACAGGAGTGAGCCAGACTGTTGGTAACGATGAGTGGGTAAGCATCATGGATGCTACGTTAAGAACCGTAGTAGTTGGGTTGAATATTCGCATATATATCCGATTGAAGCATCAATTTTGACTTGTACCTGAGGTAATCACCAGCTCCATGCCAAGAAACATTCTTAGCGTCCATCTAGCGTGTTTCTAGCACCCGCATTGCCGTGGAAGGACTTCCTGGCCCTGGGCGCTAGCTATGACCCAGCGGAAAGCAACCTAGGCAACCTGAAAGAAAATCGGAGGAGAAGCATCAAGCACACCTCACCTCAAAAAGGTGGGAAGCAATAAGTGGGACCCCCACCAGCGCGGGCCATCCTCTTTTATCATCCATCGTTGTCGCAACTCTTTAGTCTACTCTCGTTTCGCTTCTTCTCACAACCCTCCCCATATTGCTAATTTGGTTCCCTCTCTGGTTTCTTGGATTACAACCCATCAATAGCATCGTTTCTAACTCCGATGGCTTCCTCGAATCATCACCAGGAGCTTCCTAGCTCTCTGGGCGCCTCTGGTAAGCCTATCATCCGGTTCTGCCGAGTACACTTTGCCCCACCTTGATCTTCTACTCTGAGCACCATAAGCACCTTGCGAACTCTCGCTGTGGAACAATTCCTAACGGGTGACCCCAATAGAAGCTCCGGAGCTCGATAAGAGGCCTACACAGGACCTCGAAACCAACGACGCCACGCCTGAAGACGTTGCCGGCGTTCGCTTTTCTTCCGCTGTCCAGGAGATATCACCTACACAACCCACTACCGTTGAACCGTCGTCATCAAACTTGGAACATGAAGATGGAGACCAGTCGAGCCCTTTCACCGAGGTTACTGCCGATCAGCTTAAAGCATTCACGAAGTCACTCCACGGCCGGCCACTGCAAGAACTACGCCTAAATAACTGCCAGTTCGAGGCGTTTTCTCTTCCGCCCTCCCGAGTATGTTCCCCTATTGTTTAAATTGCGCCCAACTAGCCTGCATGGCGTGTTCCTGGTCGAATTCCATCATAATTGTTGCTGGAACTCTGTTCGTTAGATCCGGGTGTTCTTACATCATGGCCAGAACCCCAACACTGCGCATACACTCAAGGTTCTGCGACTGACGCTAACTGATGTCATCGTAGGTCCCATCGAACGAAGATGAATCCGGACAGTCTACGAGACTGCCCACACCCACATCTGCCAGCTTTCAATCCCCACACAGCAGCCCTCAAATCTCTGCATTGGCGTCTCCTCCCCTCACTCCCGCAGCATCCGGCCAGGCTAGCTTAGATAAGAAGCCCAAGGAAGGATTAAAAGCGAACGAGCCTCCAATCATCACCCCACAAGCTTCGTCATCCCACGAGAAAGCCTCGCCAGCTCCAGATAGGAGGCCTTCCGCCCCACGAGCTGCCTCGGACAATGTGGTTCGGAGGGCGTCATCTGCTGAAGAGCAACATCAGTCTCACCGCCGAGGCATGTTCACAGCTGGACCTGGATCTGTGCCTGCATCTAGAGAGTCGAGCCCTTCTCGAAGTTCAGCATCTAACTTCTACTCGAAGCCGTTTACCCCTGGTGGCGATGCTAATGATCCCTATGCCAAAGGCCGGCGGCCTGCACCAGCAGCACACACTACAAAGCACTCAATCGACCCAAGGTTCATTTTCTCTCGCAAGAAGAAGCACAGCTCTCCACATGGATCCAAGACAAACTTGAACGATAAGCGCGCTTCCTCAATCTTTGGTAGTGCGAGGAACAGCAGTGAAGAACTTGCACAGAATGATAGTATTACCACTGGCAACCTTCACACTGGACATGGTTCAATGGCAGATTTGAAGCGATTTTTCCGAAAAGGAGGACACCACAACAAGAAACGGGAGTCTTCCCCAGCACCATCGATCAAGCTTGGTTCCAAGACACCTCCAGTTGCCAAATCGACCCAGCAATTACCCTTTGGAGACGATCATGGACTGTCTTCCAAGTACGGTAAGCTCGGCAAGTTTCTGGGATCTGGTGCGGGTGGCTCGGTTAGACTTATGAAGCGCAAGGACGACGGTACCGTGTTTGCCGTCAAGGAGTTCCGTGCGAGACACACATACGAGACCGAAAAGGAGTATAACAAGAAGGTAACAGCCGAATTTTGCGTTGGATCAACCCTTCATCATGGCAACATCATCGAGACCTTGGATATCCTCCAGGAAAAGGGGCGGTGGTATGAAGTAATGGAGTACGCTCCGTTTGACCTCTTTGCAATTGTTATGACTGGTCGGATGTCTCGGGAAGAGATAACATGTTGCTTCCTCCAAATCCTCAATGGCGTGACTTATCTGCATAGCGTAGGGCTTGCCCACCGCGATCTGAAGCTGGATAATGTGGTGGTCAGCAGCAAGGGCATTATGAAGATTATCGATTTTGGGAGTGCACATGTTTTCAAATATCCATTTGAGACTGACACTGTTCCTGCTAAAGGTATGTCGCAACCCTAGTCAACTGTAGAACTTTTGATTAACTTGTTTTTAGGAATTGTTGGCTCTGATCCTTATCTCGCACCTGAGGTATACGACTCGAAAGAGTATGACGCTGTTGCTGTGGATATTTGGTCTCTGGCCATCATTTTCTGCTGCATGACTCTTCGCCGTTTCCCTTGGAAGGTTCCACGAATGACAGATAACTCCTTCAAGTTATTCGCGGCGGATCCAACTCCGGGACACGATCCCAGAAAGCTGATTGTCCCCTCCAAGTCAACCAACGACCTAACCACCACGCCGGCGCGAGATTTCTTAGCTGAGGATGAAACAAAAAGCCTCCCTTATCACGATCGAAAGGAAGACGCAACTCCAAGCCAAGCCGCCACCACAACCGAATCGAAGGCTCCAGCCACGGGAGAGAAAAAGGAGGTTATCCGAGGCCCATGGCGTATCTTGCGTTTGCTGCCTAGGGAGAGTAGGCATATTGTCAGCAGAATGCTTGACCTTAACCCGAAAAAACGTGCTCGAATGGATGAGATTCTACAAGAGCCATGGGTTGCAGATACAGTTATCTGTCAGCAATTCGACCATGGTGAAGTGGTCCCTGCGGACAACCACACTCATACCTTAGAACCACCTGCCAACCAACAGCCGGAGAAGAAGTGATGATTGGACAATTTGGCTGCGGCTATCGTCCAGCATTGGATATAACAGGAATGGAGCCGGGATTTGGCGTTTACAGAGCAACTCAACGATGTATTGGAGGTCTGGTTGGAAGCGTGTTTGTTTGGATTGCACATAATGAGTGACGAACAGATAGATGGTGGATCAGCAATTGTGAGGCGCGCAGTAGCATACATTTAGTCACCATGAAGGAGTATGAAAACGGAAATGCTCAGACTATCCGCGAGGAGAAGAAATTGAAAAAGTTGAATATACACGTAACCTCATAATTAATTCTCGTGCAATCAAATCAGCGAATTGAAGCACTTGGCCATCATCAACGGGCTTGTTCGGCATCATATGCTGCTTTTGGATTGAGTATCGGAGGTGCAGTGCCGGTTCTCGGAACCGGGGAAAACAAGGGCCGATGGGGAGCTTGGGGGGGGGGAAAATTGCTGACCATATTCTGGAAGCTGTTGGAAGAGACGAGATCCACCGCCGATTTGAACTCCGTTGAACACCGAAGCCGAACTCTTCCTCTTGTTTACTTTTCCAGATACGATTCAACGACTCTCTTCACCATATACCCCAGTCTTCTTACAACTTAATCACAATGGTGCGTTGATTACTGTCTACTCTGTGGCGAGCTGCATGAGCACCCCGCGAATACTCCAGCCTCGACCTTCTAGCTTCTTATCCTCGGCAATTGCGAATCGCGGGGAGGCTAATGTGGAAGACATTGAGGCATTGGGGCGCATGGGGATCGCAAAATTCAAAAACGACGAACTGGAACTAACATGATTGCGCTACAGGCCACCTCTATCAAGTCCATCCGAGCTCTTGCTCCCCTCCTTGACCGTGTCCTCGTCCAGCGTGTCAAGGCCGAGACCAAGACCGCCAGCGGCATCTTCCTGCCCGAGTCTAGCGTTGAGAAGCTCAACGAGGCCAAGGTCCTGGCCGTTGGCCCTGGTGCTATGGACAAGAAGGGCAACCGACTACCCATGGGTGTTACCGTCGGTGACCGTGTCTTGATCCCTCAATTCGGCGGCTCTCCCGTTAAGGCCGGCGAGGAGGAGTTCCAGCTCTTCCGCGACAGCGAGTGAGTTTCCAGATAGCGCTTGGTGTCGAACGCCAGGCATCGTCCTTCAGATATCAGCCAGTATACTAACCAGCATGATTTAGGATCCTGGCCAAGATCAACGAATAAGATACACATTTATCCAAACAATAGCCAGCCTGTACCATACTGTACCATATTCGAGAGCGGCGGACGTAAGAGATGGAACTCTACTGAAGTCGCTTGGGAGGGGAAGAGGGAGGGGATGATTGTAATGTAGGCGCAAAACGACAGACCAATTATGCAAGGAGAAAAAGATACAAATGTTTGTATAAGCGTGTGTGTGTGAGGAGTAAAAATGTTGGTCGCGCAAGACAGAATCAAATCTCCACTCCTACCCTGTCAATTATATGATTTACGACTTGTTACTGCACGATGGTCTATAAGCAAAGTGTCTTATGTGCCGATGCATGTTGCTTAGACGCGGGACTGCTAGATGTCGCATATATAGAACGGTTAATGATCAATTGGCTCTTGAATAACCCGAATCATGGGCCGCGTCTGAAGCGCTCATAAACAAAAGGCGAATGGAGAGAAGAATGTGTGTTGTACGGCCGCCCCAAGGTCAGCGATGTGTCGCCTTGTTTCTTGTTGAAACACGAGGAACACACTGGATTAAGGAACAAAAGGGTTTGTTTCGAAATGACTGCACAAATGGTCGGTGGTTGTTCAGCTGGCCTATCATTTAAGGGCCTGATGTAAGGGATTGTGGCTTGGTCGGAGATATAGCACTATGCATATGTTGGTGATGCCAGGGGAATAATGCGCCAGTAATAGGATAATTAACAAGTTCACTCAAATAAGCAAGAAAAGACAGCATTACATGACAGCGGAAGGGTTTCTTAATATTATGAGCCTAAATGTGATAGATATGTCAAGGCAGCAACCAACGTGCTGCAGTTGGCAAGCAGGGTGATGAAGGGGTAAAGGCCCCTGGCATAAAACATGTGGAGGAAGAGGAAGATCGACAAGATCCTTGTCGCCCAGACTTGAAAGTTGAGTCGCGGAGCACAAAGTTGAAACTAAACGTTTTATGAACGCCAAACATTTTCCCATAGCCCAATATTCAGTGCGACCTCCTTTTCTAGTGATTGATGGTTCATGTAGGGAAAATAGAGTGCCAAGTTCTCGACACTCAGAAGACGTAGTGAGTGATCAGAGACCAACGCTGAGTTCCATGGTTCCCCAGAACTAACTACCTGGTTGCGGCTGAAGTGAACCCTTGAGGGTCGTTCTCGAAGGATGATTTAGAATTGAGGGAAAAGGCAAACATCGCTGAGGGAAGGATCATGACGTTGTTTGTTGGCTGTCAAGAGTCGCACCATGATGAATACAGTAATGGCATGGCACCTGTAATAAAACTACTGCACTTCATTCTAGTGTAAGGAGTAGCATACTTGCTATACGATCGACTAAGGTGAATCATACTGGCATTAAATAACTGAGTTGTTTTTAAGGTTATTAAAGGCCATTAGTTTAGTGCAAAACATAACAAGGTAGCATCCACGGAGAGAAAGACTGTGCTCTTCCTATTCTATCGTTAAAGGTCATCATTGGTAGGTTACATCCACAGCGGAAACGCCCGGTTTGCCTGGGCGCTTGTTTTGACGCAGGTACCAGAAAATAGCCCAACCAACATCCAGAACTCCTGACTATGTTTCATTTTGAACATCTTGGCACTCAGCGACTGCTCTTAAATGATGCACCGTAAAGGACTAAGGGTCACAGGGGCCTTGACCACCCAATGGCCCCTGGCCCTAATGTTTGACGGCCACCACGGTCAGCTTGATTAAGCCCTCAACTCTAAGGATAGCCCTGCAGAGAAACATCGCATGAGCTTGGCAGCACTGTCCATCTCATCTCATCTATCATCCTGGGGAAATGGGCGAGGGATCGAGCCAGGGGTAGTCCCAAGCCACCGTTTGAGATGCTGGTCTTGTTTGCCGTCTTATGTCTTATGGACCGAATCATCGGTAAGTGAAGGCTCTTGGTGTAACTTGGGCGAGCTTGGCCATGGCCTTGATCCATGTTCGAGCCCTTCTGGGCCCGAATAGACTTGTTGGGTCTCATCTGCAAGCTGATCCAAGCTGCCGTTGAGATACCGTGCTGTAAGCTGAGGAGTCGAGGTATATATCGTAGCCTAGCCTCCAGTTCTGTGATGCTCTCTCGTCTCTCCTCTGTACCTTCATTCTTCCCTATTCTGGTGTTCTGAGTTGATCTCGACTCTTTCTCTTCTATTCCCTTCATTCACTCATTGATTGACAGTCATTCCTTACTGCCATTCGGAGGCATATATACATTCTCTACAAAAGTCAACAACAGCTTTCTCGCAGAACTGGTTTTCTGCTCCTCTCTTTTTGTCTTTATCCAAATCATTCTCTCAAAAAACTCAACATGAAGTTTCTCGCTACCGTTCTTGGCCTCGCCTCTGCTGCGAATGCCCACACCCTTTTCACCACTCTCTTCATTGATGGCGAGAACCAGGGTGATGGAACCTGTGTCCGCCAGCCCAAGGATGCTTCCAAAGCCAACAGCCCTATCTACCCTATTACCGGAGATGTCATGGCTTGCGGTATGTGAAATGATTGAAGTCAATGCTTGCCTGAACTTGTGACTGACAGAGAAATGCAGGTGAAAATGGTGACAAGGCCGTCAAGTTCATCTGCCCAGCCCCAGGTGGTGCTCAACTGACCTTCCAATTCCGCGAATCCCCCAGCTACCACAAAGAGGGCGCCGTTGCCGAAGGCCACAAGGGTCCTTGTTCCGTCTACATGAAGAAGGTTGACGATATGTACTCGGACAAGGCTGCTGGTGACGGCTGGTTCAAAGTCTGGGAGGATGGATACAACACGAAGACGAAAAAGTGGTGTGTCGACACTCTCCGAGCCAACGGCGGCCTTCTTTCCGTTGACCTTCCTACTGGTCTTCCTGCTGGCTACTATCTGGTCCGCCCTGAGGTCCTTGCCCTCCACAGTGCCCCCGAAGGTGACCCTCAGTTCTACCACAGCTGTGCTCAGATCTTCATCGAGAACGGCCCCGCAGGTCCCCTTGAGATCCCCAAGAAATACGAAACCAGCATCCCTGGCTATGTGAACAAGAAGGATCCTGGAGTGACCTACAACATCTATTCCGATAAGGGTAAGTACTCCATCCCCGGACCTGAGGTTTGGAACCCCACCTCCAAGGAGACAAGCACCAAGCAGAAGCAGAAGGAAGGCCTTGTTCCCAAGACCTGTCTGGCCAAGAACGCCAACTGGTGTGGAACTCCCATCCCCAAGTACTCCGGACAGGACGCCTGCTGGGCCGCTGCGAAGACGTGCTGGGATGAGGTTGGTGACTGCTGGGACAACGCTCCCCCAACTGGCGGCCATGGCTGCGATACCTGGAACGATTACTGCAAGGAGATCAACCGCGCTTGCAAGTCCAAGAACTTCGAGGGGCCTCCCAACTTCACCGGCAAAGAGTTCTTTGCCAAAGCCCCCGGCCCTATTCCTGCTCCCTATGGCGACTTTAAGGGTAGCGATCTGGCGACCGAGGGCAAGAACGCCAACTTGAACCACAAGTCTGCTAGCAAGGAGACCTCCCCTGCCCCCACCAAGGTTACCCAAGCTCCCGTTGCCACGACTAAGGCTTCAAAACCTGCTAAGAAGACCAAGTCTACCGAGGCGGTTGCTACTCGCAAGTGGGACAAGTACGAGAAGAACACCAAGTACAAGGACACACCCGTCATTGCCTACCCTATGCCCGTACAGACAGCCAACGTTCCCAGCGTCCCAGTCCAGGGTGACAGCTCTGCGCTCAAGGTATCTGAGGATGGTCATTGCGGTGGAGAGACTGGCCAGACTTGCGAAGGTAGCAAGTTTGGTGACTGCTGCTCTCGCGGGGGTAAATGTGGTCGTAAGGCCAAGCAGTGTGACTGCGGCTGCCAGAAGGGCTTTGGTATTTGCAACAAGTAGAAGATGCATTGGATAGTATTGGGGGTATGGATATGGATTCTTCACTTCTTTATGTACATTTGAGCGAATGAAGGGTCGGTCAATGGACTGCCGAGAGAACTCTGAGCGAGTTGTCTTGACCGAATTGGCTATGTACAGCATGGTTCTTTTTGGAAATTAGTATTGAGAAATCAATCAAATGACTCTTTTGTAACATTCAATGCACTCTCATGTGAGTTGATGATTTGATATCCGTAAGTGAGTGACGTGAGATCCAATCCAGGACAATAGTGAAACGTGATGAGCCTCAACTAACTCGCGTTATTTTCATGCATTGACCTACATATTCTGTTGAAACCGTTTCTTGTGAAAATGATGGTATTTGCCTACGTCGTAGAAGGAGTATCCTTGTGGCAAAGTCTGATGTAGACGCAATAAGGGTGGCTGACTACCTATGCACTTGGTGAGAGTGGTCTTGTGATGGTGTCTTTCAAGATGACGTCGTGGGCCAGGGGCAATATCGATGGTGGCAGAAAAGTTGACGATGAGAGCTGTTGTGGGACCCGACTCTGCATGAGAAAGTGATTACAAGCACCAAAGACAGACGCCACAGCATTCGTTGTTCAGGGGCAGAGGCTACATCGTTGAGTTAGTGTACCACAAGGGAAGGATCATAGAATCTAGAAGGGCTTTATGGTTGCTGGCAATTCCAAGAATACTCAAAAGTTGAAAAGGAAGACCCAAGTTATCATACATCAATAGATTGTGATATAATTGAAACCGTCTACAAACGAATACATAACCTAGACATTGTAGGTCATGCGTGTAAACCACCTTGGTATTGTTTCAAGATTATCGAGGAGGGAATTTCGAACATCTTCAGAAGAAAACGGGAAAAAGCCATTTATAATACACGATATTCCAAATCAATTTGGTAAGTACTTGATCAAACGCTGCAGCCTGACTGACACGTAGAGGGTCTAACAGAGAGTCTGCCGTTTGAAACAAACCACATGGAGTTGGATAGAGTCCAAAACCAGTAAAGCCGTGGAGAGGCGAATAATAGGCCCCTTCAGCCCCTGCTATACACGTATTCTAGCGACCTTAGCCGGGCTCCTCACTAATGGATGCCTGTGCCGTATGAAGTACATACACTCACTTTTCATCCCTCTTATTCGCCTGCCAAGTCTGGGTAGGTGCAGACCGCAATATAGTACAGTGCAGTCCAGTAAAGTACAGGCCAAATAAACGCTACAGGCCAAGTTAGGCGATAGGCTACAGCCTACCTACAGCAAAGTCCCCTCCACTCCCGTCCCCCGTTTTCCACTTCCACTTCCACTTTCCATTTCCTGACTCCATCTCCATCTCAATCTCAGTCTCCATCTTCAACCCTCGACGACACATCAGACCTCAATCAACCCGCCCTAGCTTCCTCCCTCTCCCCTCCTCCTCCGCATCCTCGACCACCGAATTATTCATCGCTATCGTCGCATTCCTCCACAGTAGCTACTTTTGCTACTCTCACTCTTCGTCATCATGTCGAGTAATCGCAACTATGATTTCCTGGTACGATATCCAAAACCCAATCTACGCTTTCCCCCCACCGCCCGCCAACCCGCCCCCTGCGTTTCCCTTGGTTCGAGATGCCTCGAACCAACCTCGACGACGGCGTAGACTCGCATCGCATCGCGCTGCAATGGTCGCTCCGATTCACTGCACTGCATGCAACCGTCTCACAAATAAGTCTTGCTAATCTTCTGCATTCATGTAGATTAAGCTGCTCCTGATAGGCGACTCCGGCGTCGGCAAGTCGTGCTGTCTGCTACGGTTCAGCGAAGACTCGTTCACCCCTTCATTCATCACCACTATCGGCATCGACTTCAAGATCAGGACCATTGAGCTCGATGGAAAGCGCGTTAAGCTGCAGATTTGGGATACCGCTGGTCAAGAGCGCTTCCGCACCATCACTACCGCCTACTACCGCGGTGCCATGGGCATTCTCCTTGTCTACGACGTCACCGATGAGCGCTCATTCAACAGTACGTTTCCATACTCTCCAAGATCCGGCTCGATACACTTGTTTTCCCCGATGTGTTGTTGCTGTGCCTTTGCCCTTGCCATTACCTAGACGGTTTCGGCCAGCGCCCTTGGCCCAACAAGCACCTACGCTTTTAGAGCCACATACACCACCGACAAAGCCCCATACTAATTCTTGACAGACATCCGAACCTGGTTCCAGAACGTCGAGCAACACGCTACCGAAGGCGTCAACAAGATCCTAATCGGCAACAAGTGCGACTGGGAAGAGAAGCGCGTCGTCTCCACCGAACAAGGCCAAGCCCTTGCTGACGAGCTGGGCATCCCATTCCTTGAGGTTTCTGCCAAGAGCAACATCAACATCGATAAGGCATTTTACAGCCTGGCCGCAGATATTAAGAAGCGACTTATCGATAACTCCAAGAACGATCAACCCTCAGCGAGTGGCGTCAACGTCGGCGATAAGAGCGAAGGCGGCGGCAGCAAGTGCTGCTAAACCGAATACCCCAAGGAGTCTGTTATCTGTCATTTCTCCGTTTGCCGTCCTTTTTATTTATCAAGCTTATAACTTTGTAACTGGGGGAGGGCGCGCTGCGCGTGGGTCAGCGTGCCTGAGAGTTGGAGAGTTCACCATGAGAGTGTCGGGAGCGAACTTGCCTACGTATGCGTGGTTGGGAGGACGGGAGGAGAGGAATCGAAAGGAACTGAAAGAGAGAGACGTATGGCTGTGAGCCCGCACAGGACGGCAAATACCAGTCACATTCAAGTAGGAGAGGCACGGCATTGCGAGAGTTTTTGGTCATGCGTGTTACGTTATTCTCCCGATCGACCTTCCATCCCATCTTAGAGAGCAAATCCGGTCCGGAGTTTCGGTTTTTGATCTGGGTCTAATATACATTGCTTTCGTTATGTACCTAGCTGCGGTTCGTGGCTCCAGCCGTGCCTTGTTTTGTTTGCAGGATCAATGCAGAGTCGAAGAAACCGAGACAAAGAGGGCTACATCGCGAGAAAGGCCGGCAAATGCCTAGCCGCAAAGAGAGACAGATTGGGTGGGTTGGAAGAACATTGAGCCATTTCTTGTTGAATTATTGTTTATTTATGTTTATGTCTTGCTTCATCCGTACAATCGCTAAATTTCAATATATGATACTTTTACACGATTCCGCATCATGACACCTTCCATGTCATATTCGAGAATGCGCTGGTTCCAGCTACGAATGAACCGCCAGGCAGTTTCTGGATTTTCACAGATCATAACAAATCGTGAGCTGTGCTTATGACGGAAATCCACATCGTCTTGAAGCGGTACTCTGGTGGTGTTTCTGAACATATCCTTTCGAAAGCCGAGGGTTTCTGAGAGGTGGAACAAAACATCCGTTCTCCAGCGGTGACCACTGTCTACACCGTCTTGGTGGATCATAGCCTTAAGCTCCGCAGCCGAGAATGTCGCCTGTGGCAACTCGATCAAGACTGCGCTGGGACGAGTTTTGACACGCGAGCTCTTGACAATAGTGTCCATGACGTGCTGCCAGGCCATCTTGCCTTTGACTCGACCTTGGTGCGCCTCCAGTCGGCCCTGGTAGGAGCCTGGAAGGATCGCGAAGCGCTCAAGCTCAGATGCAGGATCTCGTCCAGCGTCGAGCAGTGCAGGGGGCACTTTGCTGGCCCAGAGCTCTGTCTTGCAACGGTTCTTAATCTGGGCTATACGCAGAATGCGCTCAAACTTGTGCCTGAAAAGCGAGGCGGCAGCGCTGGAGGAGAAGGCCACATGGTATTTGCCCAGAGGCTCCATGGTCCAAGGGTCGCGCTCCTGGCGGACTGGGCTTCTTCGTAAGTTTCAAAGGGTCGAGAGATGAGTCAGGAGGGTTGAGTACTACCTTCGTTAATAAGGTTGCCCCAGCCAGAGAGTTTATCAGTGGCGAGGCGATGGAAATCGGCAGCGCGCAGTGAGGTGGGGAGACCGTCGATAGTCAACATGTGTTTGCCATCCCTGAGGCCAGAAGGCTCAAAGCCATATCCCGCTGGAGAATTGGGCTTCGAATTGGCATCGCTCTTCTTGGCGGAAGCTCTGGGGCCTCGTGTCGAAGGACGCCTGGGGTTCTCTTCTAACGAGATCCTGTCACGAAACCCTGCAACGCTTGACGACGACGACCTGGTGTTTCTACGCAAGGCGAATCTGATCGGTGTAGCGAGGGTCGCCCTGGCGATGGGGAGCCATTTGGGACAGATCATCCGGGCTGCGGGATGTGAGGAAACATGGGATCCAAGTTTGATGAGAGTGGGAAAGTTCAGGCAGATGCAGGTATTGATCAACCTAAAGAAGCGAAATCTGGGGGTGAAGTCGTTTTGCGCTACGGCCGAGTTCTGAAGGGGTTTAGCGGGGTTGTTGATGGCTGGACCCCTGGCGGCCTGGTATTGGAAGAAGGCAGAATGTCTGTTGTGCAAAAGGACCGAGAGGATACATGGACACTCCTGCTCATCGCTTCACTGTTATGAATATAGGTCAGTGAAGAGGAGGTGAACAGATTCCAATAGCCATTTTTATATCACACCATAGGTTGACAGAGGGTTGGACTATCCACGTACCAACAGTCCCATGCAAAAGTTTTTATAATAATCCAGCTACGAGTCAATATAATGCTATAGAAACACATATAGAAATATATAGAATAATTAGGAGATTTTAGACACAGTCCTAGGATAAAATCATATAGAGTTATATAAACTAAGAAGAGTTTATGATATCTTTTTCTGTCTTTCTTTACTTCAACTTCAAACCTTATTAAGCCCAGTCTTTCCAAATCTCCCAATATCATCAACAATAAAATAATCTATGATCAGGACAATAGGAGTCACACAAGGCAACTAAACTCTAATCAAGTAAAATTGTATATGACTCACAGAGCCGTACGCATAAGACCTGGCTTTTCCTCCACACTTCAACCTGTTCGATCCTTCCATTGAAGTTTACAACGAGTGCCCTTCCTTCCTTCCTGCCCCTCAACACCAAGTTTTAGTTGGTGGGGAGTCTACCTATTTTTCTCGCACGGACCTTTTTTCACTTAGACATCTTCATCCTAAAGTTAGGCCCTTCATATTCTAAGATTTGACAACATCTCGTCTTTTTAGACAACCTCATCCTAAAGTTAGGCCTAAACTTTTCTAAAAATTTGTCAAAATCTTCATAATGCTCGCTAAGAGCATCGATGCCCGGGTGCGGCCTCAGGCCAGTGGGCTTATGGAGAAATCGAGTATGCAAGGTGCCGCTCGGGTTTACGTGAGTAAAGAGACCATGATTTCTCTTGTTGGGACTATCGAGCACGGAAAGCACTGCCTTGTCACTTTGCTCGAATCCTCTTCCTCTTCCTCTTCCTCCGACCCGACATCACCCAACTACTCCGATGGCCCGCAACTAGTGCTACAACGAGAAGCAGCACTCTGGACTCTCCCAGAGAAGAATCTCAGCAAAAATGTGGTTGTTATGTCAACTGCATTCAGAGAAGCAACAGGCTTCAAGGTCGGCGACCTCATCCGCCTCACAACCACAGGAGTAACACCTGACGCACAAGAAGTGGTCCTGCAGGATGTGACGGACAAGCCCGAAAACGACCCGGACAGGTTGGTGAGGTGGGAGAAAGAGGCAAAGTATCCCGTCTCATGGGAATCTCTGCTTGGTCCTGTTCTTGGTGAGTTCAAGTCTGATCGAAAAACCTCGAAACCCCTGATCGAAATGCAAATGCTAATGCTAATACTCTCAAGATCGTGCTGATCTGATTTTCCCTGGCGGCGTGGTGGAGGCGGTTTTCTGTGGCAAGTTGCGCAAAACTTTCGTAATCATGTCTGTGAACTCACAGAGCAACAACTTGGCAAAGTTCAAAATGGCTTCGACAACCATCACTATTGCGGCAGACGAGACATCCATCACGGACGCCGCTCCGCTGGCTGGAGGTGATCTAGTTGTCACTCAGATCCCTGGACTCTCGGCTCCCGTCAAAGCAATCAACACTTTTCTCTCTGGTTTCACGAAGCCCCCCTTCTACAATTTCAGTCCAAGATCATGTGGCTTCGTGATCCATGGTAGCCGTGGTACTGGAAAGACTTTTATTCTGAAGCGCCTTGCTGAAACAGGATGGGGAAGGGTTCACTGGATCAAACAATCTGACAAGATTTCTATTATCAGAGAAAAGTTCAAGCTTGCTGTAAGCCACCAGCCAAGCATAGTGCTCATCGACAATTTGCATGCTGTGATCAACAAGGATCGTTCCAACTACGAATCTGTTATTGAAACAATTGGCGAAGAGCTGGATGCGCTTTCTGACATGGCATCCGGCCGCAAGACTCTCCCCCAAGTGGCGGTAATAGCAACATGCCTCGACTTCCTAACTGGCGTTCCAGAGGAACTCGTGGCGCCTGGTCGCTTCTTAGAGAATGCCCCATTACGCATTCCTGGACCGAGCCAACGTCGGGAAATACTCGAGTCTTTCAACATGCCCATCAAAGAAAGCGAGAAGCAAGATCTTCTACTACATCTTGCCAAGATCACACACGCCTACGTCCCCAAAGATCTTAAGAAACTAGTAGCCCACGCAGTTTACAGCTCCGGTGATCGACTCCTCGAGGCGGGTGTCGAACCACAGGCCGATGAACAGGAACACTACCTCACAAAGGCAGATCTCGAAAGGGCAAAGAGAAACATACGTCCCAGCGCTGCACACGACGTCAACCTGAATCCTCCTACTGTTCTATGGCAAGATGTTGGTGGACAAGATCATGTGAAGACGGTACTTGACCGGATGATCAAGTTCACCATGGTACGATATATGAGTTATATATCCCTTTTATTCTGACACTAACTTGGTGATAGGAACCGGGAAAGTTCATCCGCCCACCGTCCAAAGGCCTCCTTCTTTACGGCCCTCCTGGCTGTTCCAAGACACTATCCGCTCGAGCGGCTGCAACGGAGTCCGGCTTCAACTTCTTCGCCATTAAGGGTGCTGAACTCCTTAACATGTTCGTTGGTGAGACCGAACGCGGAATTCGCGACCTCTTTGCTCGCGCCTGCAACGCATCCCCCTCAATCATCTTCTTTGATGAGATCGATTCTATTGCTGGGCAACGTGCTGGTGCTGCTGGCGGCCGCGGTTCCAACAACATCAACACTGTCGCAGCACTCCTTACTGAGATGGACGGCTTCGAAAAACTATCTGGTGTATTAGTGCTCGCTGCCACCAACCGCCCTGACGCGTTGGACCCTGCGTTGCTGCGACCAGGTCGTTTTGATCAAGCGCTGTATGTCGGGCCTCCCGACGAAGCCGCTCGAGAAGCTATCTTCGGAGTACACCTACGCGGCATACCCCTAAGCGCCGACGTCAATATACCCGAACTCGCCCGTCTCTCCGAGGGCCACTCTGGTGCGGAGATCCAGGCCATCTGCGACAAGGCCTCTGTAGTTGTGCAGGAACGGTTTGAAAAGGATGAGGAGGCGAATGAGCTTGTTGTGAGCATGACTGACTTGACAACTGCCATGGGCAAAACGAAACGCCATATTACAACGCAAATGCTGGAAGGTTTCAAAAAGTGGGAGGCTCAGTTTTAGTGTGAAGACTTTAGATGAGTTTTTCTCTAGTCATAGACGAGTTTGAGACAAACTTTGCCTAAATTATAGATGAATTTAGAACAGCAATGTTCAGAGACCACTGATGGCCGAAGCAAGACCCCCCGTATTGTAATGCAGCTTGAAGTACTACGTAAAAAGACAGTGAAGGGCATCGCGGAGCTAAACAAATATATCTCAACTTCTTCCGGTTGAAATACCCCGGCATCTGATGCGTCCCTTCTTGAGCAAGCTTTGGGTTCAATGTGAGTATGGCGTAGGGGTCCCTTAACATAACATCACTGAACAATTCTATACTTACCAACGGGTGCACCATGAAGCTTCATTGTCTCTAAGAGTACTGTAAAGTTAGAAAATCTTCTCTTATCTTCAAGACAATACAAATAAACCCACATAGTTCTGTGCAAACTTGAATGATAAGCCAACTAGTGATATATATGATCGTAAGGATATTCAGAAAGCATCATAGTTAGAAGACTTCATATAAAGATCCAACAGAGCTTATTATAATTTATACAACTATATCTTAGATACAGAACGGGGCAGAGTATCTGTAGTTTTGTACAACTACTGTATCATTATGACAAGATAATCAAATATCGACAAGTTTAGTTAGTTTCTCTTTGTCCCCCACCTGTCAATCGAAGGGAATTAGGAAAGCAAAGAGATCTTTGTTCATCCTGATACAGCACCATGAAGTTCTAGTGTCATACTAGAAACCTGTGCTTGAAAGCTCGAATACAGCACGAAGAAGAAAGGATAGGAACCAGAGGAAAAAGACATCAGAGCTGCTTATCTTGCCTATGCAGTGACAGCTTCGTCTTTATCCAGATCTTGCAATGGAAAAAATCATTTTATTGAGGTTGGAACGGCAGCATATAATTCATTGGAACCTGTAATTAGGGAGACATCGAAGAAGCATTCGAGATGTTTAGACGGGTCTTGTTCATTTCATCGTTACGAATGGCCTAGGATTGGCACCAGCTATCGTCTCTGACCCGACTTGGCTCCTCGCATTTCTCGCAAGGACCATAAAAGTTAAGTGTATTTATTATACACGCATGACACATACAACAGCACAAACCGTCCCCCTCCATCACGGCCTCTGCTCAACTAGCAGACCCGATGTTGACGATACCCTCCAGTGTTTACGATCCTGCCAATCTCGTATCGTAAAACCCATATCCACCACACATCGTATCATATGCTATGTCGTCGCTTTTCGACGACTCTATCAGCCAAAGCGGGGGGCAGAATCTCGGTCTAGATAGAGCCCATTAGACCAGACCAAGCAATGCTAGCACCCCAAGCATACCTAGTCAAAGGATGGTTGGAGGGGTTGAAGCAAAGCATAGGAAACCAAGAATATAGTGACAAGAGGCCACAAAGATATTTGAAAGAATAAACGCCGGTTCCCTCCACCTAACCATCCCTGAACAAGCAAGCCGTTCTTGCTAAATGTAGTTATGTAGGGGCAAGACGTCGAGTCTTAACCCGCAGTTTCGTAATAAACCAAAAAGACCAATAACCTGTACGCCGTCGCCGAAAGCAGTGAAGGGGATTGTTTACGACTCTTCGTTGGATCCAGGGCCGCTACCTGTTTTTAGGCCGGAGGAGAGACTGATCGCGATCTTCTTGGTACCTCCGCTAGGAGAGTTCACGTTGAAGCTCTTGCGTCTTGTTAGGCCACGAGTATTGCCTGAGACTGCGGTGACTGAGCCGCTGCTGTTACGCCTCTTGCTTTGCATCATCTTGCCAATCTCGTCCTCGTCTTCTTCCTCTTCACGCCGGCGCTTCTCTGCGAGGCGTTCAGGTGGTGGGATGCCTCCTCCGAGACTCGAGTCGATCGGTGAGCCCATGGCATCGGATGCTACGTCGCTCTGCTGGCTATCCGGTGTTGCCTCGGGGTCCGCGTTTTCATCCGTCTCCTCGTCGGAGGCATAATCCACAAGTAACTTGGAAGTGGTAGATCCATTTGTAGAGGGTGTCTTCGCCCCCTCCTTACTTGACTGGTCATCTTCTTCGGGGTCAGATGTTGCCCAGTATTCCTCCTGTTCCTGCTCGACGGTAATCTGCTCGACCATTCTTTGGTTAGGTTGAGGTCTTCTGCCCATCTCATCTTCTACTTCTAGGAAGTAATCCACATTCGATGTGTACCCTTGAGTCTGGTCGTACCGAAGCACAATGTCCCGGAATGTCGGCATGTAGCTCAAAGACATTAGCTGTTCTCTGTAATTGGCCACAAGGTGCTTAATAAGGTCTTTCACGTTCTCCTTCTTGATAAACTCAAAAAACTCGAGTGACGCCGAGTCCAACAGATTGTCTCGAGGCATAGTCTCGATGAGTACTTGAAGTATGGGACCCAAAATCTGCTTCTCTGTAAGGTGCTTGATGTAAAACTCATCCTGAAGTCCTATCAACGATCGGAAAAAGCGGATAGCAACTATTAGATGTCAGCAAAGGTTAAATGACAAGAAGTGGTTGTTTCATACCTAGTCGTAAGAATTTCTCGGGGCATGCAAGAAGTTGAGAGATTCGTTTGGCGATGTCGTTGGACATTACGTAGAACTTGCAGCGCAAGTTGTGTTGGCGGACGAAGAATGTGAGAATCTCAACGAGATACGTAAACATCGACGCTTGCTGCACTGTGAAGTTCATGTCCGTTCGCTTCTCTAATTCGACTAGGGGTTTGAATAGCCTTGGTGCTGATCGTTCGTAAAATCGGTGTAGGAAAACGTCTTGCTGAGGGTCAGTAGCGCCCTGGGTTCTCTGTCTTCCAACGAACTCGCCATTTGCTTTTGCGAAATTTTCTGGGTTTTGCATCGGTGGTGGTGGACCGGGATCCAGGAGAACTTTCAGTGCTTCTGATATTTGGGATTTGACACCAAGGTCAACTTCCACCAGCAGAAGATCGATCAAAGAGTCGGTCAGAGGGGTCTGATTTTCGTGCATCTGTCGGTACAATGTCTGGCGAATCATCTGAGGGTCGTGATCGATGATGGAAATTAAGATGTCTGTGGCTCCGACTCTAACGCCCACATCGTGGTGCCGCAGTCCAAAGTGGATGACTTGTAGAAGACCGTGGGCAATAAAGTTGTTGTATAACGTCTGGCGCGCTGGCGGTTGGATATTCTTGGCGATGGCGCAACATTGCTGGATGAAGAGAACGGCTTCCTTCTTCCTCTTCTGGTCATTGTTCGCGGGATTGAAAACACCAAACAACTCGTTAAGGAAGGCGGCGTTAGCTTGCAAATGCTGAACAATATCAACCTGGTTGAAAAAGATGAGTGAGTTGAGGACGGAGAAGGTAGGGTCGTCGAGTATGCGCGCAAGAACAACGTCCTTCAAGTACTGTAATCGATATGTCTGGTGAATCTTTCTCCTTATCTGCTCATCCTCAATGCGAACAACTTCCTTATATCGACCTTGGTTGCCCAACCAGTGGCGATGGTTGGCTTTGTGGCTAGGAAAGTCGGGATCATACTCAAGTGCCCCGACGACACCCAAAACACATTCGTCTGAAACCGCATGCTCTATAATCGAAGTGTCGTTGAGAAGAATAACTGTCTTCATAATGTTGCAGAGTCGGTGTAAATCCTGTAGGCTTTCTAGGTCCTCAGCCATCTCAACCAGAGGGACAATTTTGCCGATGAAATCTTCAGCCATAATTGCCTTAGCGAGCGCGTCACGGCCATTGGCTGTAGTACTCATCATTCGCATAGTTGATTCAATGTCGCCGAGGTTTCCGAGTTCGGCGCTGGGCAAGTTAATAGCTGGCGGAACGTCAATAGCAAGATCATCGGAAAGACCGTCGTCTAAAAGCTGGGCGTCAGTGATGGAGGTAATTAGCCAGGGGAAAGGATTGCATACCGGCACCAGGAAGGTGATTGTGAAAGGTTTGCTGGACATTGCTCACGAAGCGCCTGGTATGCGTTAATGACGGAGTCATATGAGAGGGATCATTAAAACAAACCAGATCATGGCACATCCTTCAGCTTCCTGGAAACTGAGTGCCATATCAACGCCGCTGCTGGGTTCCTGCCATACAATCAGGGTATCTGGGAGTCAGGTTAGTCACATGACGTTTATGCGGCGCAAATCGGACATGATGGCTTGCCTTGCTGCTTCTGGAATCCATCTTCCTTCTGAATCTTTGTTTCTAGTAGGAGACGGTCGGGGTGATCTTCGGATTCGACAACAACGCGCGGGTCTTTACGTCCGTCGTCAAGCTACGAGCACTATAGTCAGCAAAAGATTCCGGGCGCAAAAGTATGCATGAGATTGTCAAATGGTAAAGACAAGGCATCAATGACGTACAGTCTCGTAGCTCGCGCTACAGAATCCGGTACCTCGATCGAACCAGTCATTGTTGCGCAGTTCGTAAACCTTGACGCGCTTCTTGTCGGTGGGCTGATGAGGCACGGGCTGTGCCATCATCAAAGACTCGGGCTCTCCCTCGACAGTGAGGTTCGTATACGCGGCCAGATCCGGGGCAATTTCGAGATGCTGTTGCAAGGACAGCTCCGATGGTTCGTTGGAAGTCAGAATCGTAAGCGCCGCCACGATTCCTGTGGGTGCGCACAGATACGGCGCGACAGATGGACAATGTCAGGATATCCTGATGATGCGAGATGCGAAGTCCAAGATGCGCAACGGCTCCAAGGTCGAAATATTATGAAGACAGAGCGAGTGGGGGCCTATCGATGCGCCGCACACGGTAGTCGTGTTGATGTTGAGGCGAGGCGCGAGCGATAATCGGCGAGATCGGGAGGTTGGACAATTGGGGTTGGCGACACGCCACGGAAGCAATCGGCGGGAAAGAGGGAGCGACGACCGCGGTAAAAGGAAAGCGCGACAAGCGGATGGCTACGTCGGCAACAGTGCCGTGCAGAACCAGAATCTGGGGATGCGGCAGGCGGAATCCGGAGCCAAGATGGGGGCTGCTTCTAGCGATCAGGGTCCGAATCTATCGAGGGACCGTTTGAGGCTGTCAAAGAATTGCGGATTGAGGTGGGCAATGCGCGTGACCAGGCTGCCAGATGAGGTGAGGTGGTGTTGGGTTTAGTCTTAGGCCTTGGGGCTTGGGATCCTCTTCCGGGGAGGGGGACCGGCCTTTTCCCCTACCTGCCTACCAAGGGCAAAAGCTCGTCTCAGCCACAGTGAGGCTGGTGTCTGGGGTACTCATCATCCAATCAGATAGCGTATAGGGCGTCGCCACTCAAGTAAAATGACGTGCGCTTTGGGTTGTGAAAAAAGGAAGCGGATGATTGTCAGCCAATCAATACTTGGGGTTATTTCAAGACTGCAGGAGACCCCTAGCAAACCTGTCAAGACATTGAGGGTCGTCATGTTTAAGGCAAGGTGATGCAATATCTTGATATAAGAGAATTGAGAAGAAAAAGAAGTGGCAGGCGTTGCTGGGCTAGGGATGTTTATCATCTACCTATTCTTTCCCCTCGGTTCGGCCCTTATGTAGGTAGGTAGATAATGGGCCAACCATCCTACCATCTCAATTGTGTCGTCGCCTTCCCCGATATACACTGGAAGCTGGAACAATGGATAATTCTCACGCCGAGCTTTTGTAAGCCTTTGTGGGACACCTTGTGTAGACCTCGTCTAGTGTGTGACTCGACTGAGGGTATCCTTTGTGTATGCAGGTTGCCAGCAACAGCGTGGGCCTGGACGTCAAATTATATTCTGCCGGTTCACACGTGAATTGCTTCTCGAACGATTCAACTGCCCGATCTCATGCATTTCTAAACACAGATAAGCATTAACCAAGCGGTAATGTCTTACCTTGTCGTCTGGGCGACACAAAATAAACTTTGTACCCCGGATGGAGCGAATGGGATCGGCAGGGACAATTAAACTTATCTTTTGAGTTGGGATCATGACGCTACGCTGCAGGGACACGTTCATCCATAATGCCTGCGGTTTCTCTGCGCAAGGTTTATTACCGTCAAGGGTAAAGAGCTCCAAGCAATTCGTAGATTCGTCGACCTTGACACGTAATAGTAGAAGAAGGGCAGGAATGGAACGAATATATTTCAGACTTCAGTTGAATTCTATTCGGGTTGTGGACAAGACCATTGTAAGTAGCTGGAGCGAACACGCAAGGCAGTTCTCGATATGCACCAAACGAATCGATGACCACAGAGATCTCATGAAAGTTAATCGAAAGGCATGATGGCCTTACATGCTCAGCATTTTATAAGTTCAATGCTTAACATCCAAGCGTCCATAGTTCTTAGCTTCGTCAACTACCAGGCTGACTATCAGTAGATTGCCGCAGCCATGGCGTCCCTCATTAACAGTGCTAAGTATTCTTGGAGTGAGGTATGCCGGTGCAGATAATCTATCTGAAGACAACGCCATCCAATTTGCCAGCATATGGAAGCTTTAAGACGTTAATAGTTCAACTTAGAGCGTGGTAGTTTCATCGATCTGCCGATAGTGCTCCTGTGCATTCCCCAGATCAGCCCAAAGGTAGCATAAGGCGTGCTTCCCTATCATAAGAGGCACCAGCGTTCAGGAACAAGTCAGTAGTCAACGGCCGCTTCGAGAACACATGAAATGAGATTGGCTTCTTTCAGATTGGCAATGACGGAAGAATGCCAAGAACATGTGTAAACGCAAAGAGGCAAACCACGTCGCCTGTGGAACTCAGACTGTTACGATTCTGAAGCAGGGACGTCAATGAAACCGCCACAGAATAAATGGTTGAGGAAACACATCTTGCCGAGAGTCTCAGACAGAGTTGGCATTGGATGAGAAAACCCTTCAACCAACATGTTGTTTCATGGCTTGAACTCTCACCCACAGGTCCGTATTTGAAACATGTCAAACAAGAGGAGTCTGATGTAAGCCAAGATGCAAGGTCTTGAGTCGTTCAGCAGTTGACCAACTTTTTTTTCTCCCAACGGTATCGGCTTCACCGCCAGGGGTTAATACAGTGGAGGCCGTAGAAGCTTTTCTGCAAAACTTCAGTTGGTGCGCGCCGCCAAAGGCTGAAAATACAAACTTGACTCTTCTAGGAAGCCGCTCGGGCTTCCAAAGATTCTAGCGTGAGACGACGGCCTAATTGAGCTCCGTAAAGATTTGGAGGTGTGACAAATAGTGGGGGATCTTCTGTTCTCTAAAGTTTGTGGTTTTTTTCTTTCTCTTTTCTATGAAGGAGACCCCTTTTCAACCCAAATAAAAGTGGTAATGGTCCAACAATTCCCACTTTCTGTTCAATTGTCATATGACTCAAGATTGCCAAGTCTTTAGAGAGAAAAGAGGAACAAATGTTTTGAGAAGAAAGCCGTGCCCTGGTCGCGTGGCTGGCTTGGCTAGACTTTGGGGTACATGGCATCCCTGGTGCAGATCTGGATCTGATCTGATCTGACAGCGACAGTGACAATCAAGGACAGGGGGGCCTGGGCTGTCAGACCTGCCAGGGCGCGGCACGTTCCCTCCCTTCATGCACGACAATGGAGTATTTACAAGCACAGTCATCATATGCCGCGGTAACACGCAATGACGAGGGCGAACCGCGAAGTAAAACGCAGCGGCGTCTTCATCTTTAGCCAGGGGCATCAGAGTCCCGTTAGCGACCCGAGAAGCCGGTAAGTGGGTGTCTCTTCGCGTCCAAAATATCCATCGAGGCCGAAGGGCTTCGGTGATGTGATTGACGCCACGATATGGATAACGGATCTTGCCGGCATCGAGACCTTGGAGGAGCCATATGATTGTACTTTTCAACCACAGTTACAGAGGCCAAGAGGTCAGGGCCATTCAAAGGGACTTTAATCGTCATTTTGTGTTTAATCAACAGAGATGAGGCGATTCATATCAACAGATATACCTTGGGGCTCAGCATGACGTGTTCGTGATTACGAAGCCTCACTTCACATCTTGCTATAGATGTAGTGCTTACTTGGTAGGCAGTGTGATTGCAGAGATATCCGTCCCACGATTGATTTTATGGAGTACATCCGTAACTGCCGACACTGATTCAAGACTTTACGGCGAAGGCAGCATCCGAGTGAGCGAAGCTATCAGGCCTTCTCCACCATGCGTAGTATGGCAAATATCCCCTCTAGCACTAGGGGCAAGACCAGAAGCGTTGCCAAGTACTTCAGGCTATAGACTTTAGCAGCAAGATTCAACGTGTGCAATTCGAAGCAATGATTGGAGTCTTCGTAAATTCAGTAATGCAAGCTCTCTATCCAAACGAGCCCTGATGGCGTCTCAAAGGCTATGCTCTACATAGTAGAAGATCCTAGGTAGCTACTCACGCCGCTTACACAGCGAGGCAGGATGACTAGTGATCCAATGGTCGAGAATTGTTTCGATAACTAGGATCTCGGAGGGCGAGACTCAAGTCGATGGCTGAGATGTCCCCAATCGCAACGCGGTACCGCAAAGCCACCAAAGGCCAGTGCTGTTTTTCAGCTGTGCCTGACAGGAATATTCCGTCCGTTGAAGCTATGAATAGAACAGCTGAATCAGGGTCTGGTGGTGGTTATCTGTGCTCGTCTAACACGTGTGTTGACGCCATGGCTTTCAATAATGGCGGAAACTATCATTCTGTCTAAGACATCGACAGGCTGGTACGGATACTGCCTGTGCTGTACTTTGCAGCCTACATACCCTCTACTACGTACGACAGAGAGACAAATCCGGTGATATTCCATGATACAATGTCTTGAATGACGACAGGCGGCATCATATCTCGTACTGATTCGTGCTGCCCAGAGGATCTGCAACATGTGGCTCAACGCTCTATTCTAGCCTGTCCCCTCCAACCCCTGGAACCTTTTCTAGTCGTTTCACACATGACCCCTTAGTTTCTTGTCTTACGCAAACTATTCACAGGGGAAAGCACCAACCGGTTTGTCGGATCCGCTACAGTTTGGGCGTTTGTGGCGCCTCACTTTACCGCCCTCGACACCTTCAGTTTGTCTCTGAGTCTCGAACGAGGAAAAGATCGGCCATTCCAACGCCGTTGCGGGCCGTCAGTCTGTCTTGGACACTGAAAGTCCACTCAACTTTGACGCCAGCGTCCAACGCATCTGGGTCTCTATAAAAGTGATTACTATCGTCGAGCTCGTTGGGTTGGTTATATCTAGACAGCCTCTCCCGTTGGAAAACCGACTCTTTCTCTTCACAACACACCAACAAGCCAACACAATAACCACAACTTCCCACTTACAACTCTCTGCAACAATATCTTTTATATCAACACCAATCTCTCTCCAACTTACACAAACACCAACCACCATGTCCATCCTCAGCCACATCAAGCGCGCTCGCGATCATAAGGAGACAGCAAAGACCAAAGAAGTTGAACAGCCCAAGGTCACCAAGCCTACACAGCCTTACCGTCATGTTCCCACCCACGCTGCCTGTGACTCTGTCAACAGCGGCCCCTCTGGTGCCCGTCATCACGACCGTTCCAAGATCCGCGCCGAGAACCGCAAGCGCACTGCAAAGGTCGTTGCTGAAACCATGCACGACAACCAGGCCATTCAGATGAACTTCCCCGGCTCGTCAACAGCGTCTCCCTTCACCAGCGGTAGCTCAAGCACAGCCTACCAGGCCAGCGAGATTGATTATGAGGGAGACGTCAGTCCTAGAAGCCAGTCACCTGTTCAGAGCTATGGGTTCTCTCCCGTGCCCACCTCTCCTCAACCAATCTCCCTCAAGGGCAAGGAGATTGTTCGTGGACCCCAGTATGGCATGTCCTACTCTGTGTCTCCCGACCCCCGAGATCGGCTCGCCGAGCGATTCCAAGCCGGTGTTATGATCTAAGCATAGCATGCACTTGAAGAGGCATCCGCCCCTGGAGGGTGTGATCCTCTCAAACATGCCCAAAACTCAAACAAAATAGCCGGCCAGGGGAATCACGTCCCCTTGCAGCACAGCTTCGGGCTTCGGCTCATCAACTTACACCGAACCGTCCAACACGCTCTCCATAGGGATCGAGCAGGACTCTGAGTGAAAGTTCACAGAACAGAAAGATGAAACAACCAGGAGTTGTTTGCTGAAAGCACGGGGACCATCGGGCACCCCGATGCGATCGATCTCCAAAATATCTTGGCCAATATCTTAAAAGTGTTAGTGGATAATTACGCCACACTTTGGACTTTGAACAGAGCTGGAATCTGGTAAAGGCTGAATTAAGCTTCTCTACTTCATGTACAATAGAAATTATACTTTATCCAGAACCTTGTTGGGGTTCGCTTTTTACTTAGGGCGCCTTATCAGGCGATTGTTTCTTTGGCTGGAACTAGCAGATATAATTCATAACTATTATTCATTCTCACATGCTTCTTTCTTTTATTGTGCATACATGATGTGAACAATAGCGCTTGTTCAAGAAACAGCACCTAGTAATAAACATTACTGCAGTTAAATCCATCGCCTAAACTAATACGACAACAATTAAAATAATCAATGCGCTTAAAATTATACCCAAAAACAAAGTGTCATCCGCACCGCTCCGACTGGTCACTGCCATCATGCTTGGTCCCTGTCGATCCCTGCCGCAACAGCGCAGCTACGTAATCAAGGCCCTGTAAAGCATGGAGATGCTTCGTGGCCTTCACCTTAACAATTAACCGCGACCACGTATCACGTTTCTCTTCCATGATCTAACTTTTTGCCAACGGGCGCATTTACTATTCCTCACTTATCTTGCTCTCGATAAATACAATTCTCAATGAACGGGCCCTAACTTTACACGCATATTGCTCTCCATCGCTGAAGCTCCGCAGCCATCAGTTGCAGTCAACACCACACCTCCATTATGGCTGTCGCAACATTTTCAGAGCTGCCCTCAAAGTTCCTTGGGCCTCTCCGGGCTTGGATAGAGGCCACGCCTGTTTACGTCCTTCTTGTTCTCTTTGTCGCGCTTGTTGCGCTGACTTTGTTCGAAGTATGTCATACCGAATTGAACCCCTCTGCGATCCCCGCGCATCGTCAAGCTCACCTCGTCTATTAGCTCTATGTCATCCTGCATCTCGTCGCGCCAAAGCCTCGACCTGTTCACGCCTCCGAAAAGCAATACATTACCAGTGATCCTATTACCGGGCGCTCACAGCCTAAGCCACTCCCATGTTGGTACGATCGCTGGCTTGCTGAGCGCCAGATCAGCGAGCAGCATGTCCAACCCGCCGAAGCATTCCCGACACCTGATGCTGGAAATATCGAACCTGCCGATGTGCGTCTAAGTGTGGTATTTCCGGCCTACAACGAAGAAGATCGTGTCATCCCGACTCTGGAGGAGGCCGTGGCTTACCTAGACGAACACTTTGGTCGCACCACGCAAGGGACCACCACCACCACAAGCCCGACATCGAAGCGACATGTACGAAACGCCCCTAAGGAAGGCCTAGGAGGGTACGAAATCTTAGTCGTCGACGATGGAAGTCGAGATAAGACAGTGGAGGTTGTTCTCGAATTCGCAAAGGAAAATGGTCTGCATGATATTCTCAGGGTTGTTTCGCTGGCACGCAACAGAGGCAAGGGTGGAGCGACTACGCATGGTTTCCGACACGTGAGAGGTGAATATGTCCTGTTCGCTGATGCAGATGGTGCGTCGCGGTTCTCTGATGCTGGGAAGCTCATTGAAGGATGTGAGGAGGTTGTTGATGGGTCACACCGTGGCGTTGCCATTGGTAGCCGCGCCCATCTTGTCGGCAGTGAGGCCGTAGTCAAGGTAAGCTCACTCTTTAAAAGAACCAGAATATCTTCAACTAACTCGATGAAGCGATCGGCTCTGCGAAACTTCCTCATGCGGTCTTTCCACCTTGTCCTCATGATTCTCACTCCCCCGGCTACGTCTCGCATTCGCGACACTCAGTGCGGTTTCAAGATATTCTCTCGTGCATCTCTACCTCACATCATTCCCTACATGCACACCGAGGGCTGGATTTTCGACATTGAGATGCTCATGCTGGCCGAGTCGGCTCCCGCGACACCAGTCCTTGGCCACGATGGCAGTGTTATTGGCACCAGTCCTGGCATCAAGGTTGCTGAAGTGCCAATTGAGTGGCACGAGGTTGGTGGCAGTAAGCTCAACGTTATCCAGGACAGCATCAAGATGGCTATTGGCCTTGCGGTGCTGAGAGCGAGTTGGATGTTTGGTGTATACCGAAGAAGGCTGACATAGACGGAATGGGGAGATCTATGGAAAGGTTGAAGCATAAACATTGGTATAGTTACGTGCAGATATCTTCCTGGTAAAGGAGATAATATTTGAGAAGTAGTTCAAATATACACCAAATCACAGCAAGTGCCGCCATGAATTGTGGGATGCGATTGAGTTGCAATTAATATTAATTCTGATATAAAAGTCTACTTCTATCCCGCCAGCTCTAGCTACGGGCAGTTTTGGAATCAAGTATGTGTATATCTAACAAAAAGCCACTCCCACGCTCAACACTAAAATGCTCAAATGTCTCATAACGATCCATAGGTAGAGAAACGGTGTATAACGGTCCCTCTACTCCAAGTCCCTTCCGTTTCTGGAAGAGATATGGATTCCTTTTTAGAACTCGACGTAAATATCCCAAGCCAAAGCTCCATAACGCCGCAACTGTCGCTGCTCAATGACAATATGCTTATTTTCTTCCCTTCTCTTTATCTCTGCTCCGTGTCTTACTGGAAAGTCTCGCGGTACATGATAGGGACAAAAACGATGCATGCCTTCCATAGGATAAGGACGGCATCGATGATGGCGAGAGGTGCCTTGAAGATGCCCAAGATTCCGCAACCAACGACGGCGCAGGCGTTAAGCCAGATGGCGAGGAACGCAACAGAGAAGAAGTGGTAGGCAAGGATGGATGGACGCTGGATGATACCGGCGAGTAGAGCTACAGGGCCGTCGGTTGAGCCGCGCTTGAAGTAGCTGAAGCAGCCATGCTGGAGAGCACGCAGTTGGCGGTCGTTGGCGGCGAAGAGGGAGTACAAAGCTTGGGCAAGAACGTTAATGATGCCCGTCAAAGGCTTGCGTCTCCAGTAAAGCTCGTCGAGCGCGTTGTTGACAAGCTTGGCATCACCGAGGTCAGACACCTTGCTAGGGTGTAGCAAGTCAGAAAGGATGACAACGTCGTTGAATGCGACGGTCATACCACCGCCAGTGAGAGGGTGGCGCATGTTCATAGCGTCACCGAGGAGAATTGCTCCGTTGGCTCGTTGTTTTGTAGGGGGAAGCCAGCTGTTAGGCATGCTTCGGGGAATCTTACCATCCTCCAGAGCCTTCTCAGCTGATGGTCGGATAGTAGGAGGAAGAGCGGGAAGGACGTAGTTGCGGATGTAGCCACGGACACCGCCATTCTCAGGAGAAGCTTCGGGGATGCCTTGAGGCACGTCGATAAGCGCGCGAGTCTCATGAGTGCCGATCTGGTAAAGGAGGATAGGGAAGGCATTGCCAATGATCACATGTCCATGACCAGTCTCAGGAAGATCGCAATCGATAAGCTCAAGAGCGTAGAACTTTGAGCAGACCTTAGGCTTGGTGGATAGAATCTCCTTGCGCCACTTGGAATCGTAACCGTCAGCAATGACGGTGAGTTGTCCGAAGTAATAATCCTGTTCCTTGACACCAGTCTGCTTGTTCATGGTTCGGCTCTCGACACCCAGAATCTGATCCGACGCCTCGCCACGCAGAGTCTTAACAACTTCAGTCTCAACAACGGTGATGTTCTTGTGGTTTATGCAAGACTCTCGTAGCTTGTTGATGAAGCGACCGTGGTGAAAGCTGCACCCAGACGGTCTCTTGTCTCCTGTGCTGTGACCTCCCCACGCATGTGTAACATTGCCGCTATCGTCGAGACCGGGGTAAGAAACGAGGACCTTCTCGCCATGGTAGAAGATAGTGTATCCGTAGCAAGGCACAGCGTCAATGCCCTCGAGACAGTGACCGAGGCCGAGTTTTTGTAGGGAAGCGACACCGCCGGGCTGTAGAAGTTCGCCAACAATGCGATCGGGCTCCTTGAGCCATCGCTCGAGGAGGATGACGGATCGGCCCTGGTTCGCAAGAGCAAAAGCCATGGCGCAGCCGAATACACCAGCTCCTACAACCACGACGTCGGCCTCATGGTATTGTTCGCGACGGCGGGTCTGCGCCTCGGCTGTCGTGAGTACTGCGGTAGAAGCCATTGTTGAAATAGTGAATTGGCTGTTGTTGACAATGAAAGAAAGGAAGACAAGTTGCGTCGCGCGGCAGTTGAGGACTTGTCTTTGAACTTTCGATGGGGAGTGGGGAGTCTATTAATCGCAGATCGGGGGCGGCGAGAAATTAGATGGATATGGCCGGGGATAGGTTTTCGGATTACCCTTGAAATGGAAGTTATAGGGGGGAAGTGGTCAAGGCGTATAAGAGTAGGTAAAGATTAAATAAACGACTTTTAAAGTCGAAGAAGAGAGCAATGATTTGTTAAGAGAATAGCAAAGTCAATCAAGGCATTTATGTCAGATGACACAATCTCTCTTTCAAGATATCTCAGATAAATGGGCTTATCTTTTAAAGTAAGTTGAGTTGGAGGCGTCAGGGGCCACCAGATCCAATTCGGCAATGACGCTCTAGACTTTTTGTAAGATGGATATAAAAAAGTTGGAACAAAGAAGCACAATTGGGGCAAGTCTGCTTTAAAGAGTCAAGACCACAGATGGTTTAAGAGACGACATTCCCTTTTTGATCACAATTGACCGGATATGCGCCGTTTATAGCGATCCTTTGCTTCTCCTCCTCGATGCATTCACCTCTAGAATAATGTTCAATCAGCCTATGAGCCATCCCTCATTGTCAGGGGCACGACCCTTCAACGGCGAAAAAGAAAAACCTACCCATTGGACCCTGGACACTCGACTCTTCTAGGGCTGTCAAATTCGGTCTTTCAGGGAGCAGCCTACTGAAGAATCCCCTGTATCACTTCACCCCGCAATGCTGAGTCTCCCTTAGAATCGCGCCACCACGACCCGTAGACGCCCTGACCGCTAGAGGCCCAGCCAACCAACAGGACTGATATCTGCTGGGCATGGTTCGATCATTAGAAAGGACACCGCCAGGTTCCGGGTCTGTAGCATGTGAAAGACCCTCCATGATTTTAACAAGACGCTTTCTAATTCCAAAATCGTACGTGGTTCGAACCAATTCCTCTTCTGCCGAGTCCGGTAATAATTCGTCTCGAAAGAGGTCCAGCGAACTAATGGGACGTATTCGGATGCTACTCTCAGGGTTTACCAAAGGCTGGGCTGATGCTTGTTTAACGTTCCTGCGTCTGGCCAATTGCCACCGTCCAATCATTGTCCGACTGATGACCTCCATTAAACAAATCTCATGATGACGGGGTCAACGCTACACGAATACGCCATTGCATGCGACATGTGACACTATCAAGCAGTCCCCACCAGCATCAATTGTCAATTGCAGTTGGGTAGACAAACAAAATCACATGCGAAATACCAGGGTGCATAACATTTTTATCACAATTACCATCCTAATCTTTTAACATGTCTTATAAACAGAAGCAAAGTTTCAGCTCAAATAATTTACTGTATTGTTGCTTTATATTGTTGTTTCTATATCAATGGTACCATGATAGATATCATCCTTTATCCAAATAGTCCCAGGCCACATAAAGAAAAGCTGACGTGACCAAGAAGCCAATATCCCCAAAGAGCTTCTGTTGTAACAATAATGTCAATACCGCGCCAATGCATATGCGATCTAAGAATACATCGTCTTAAAACATCGCTCAAGCCATTTGCTTCTCTAAAAATATCTCATCGTCGCTCGTCTCTGGTGAAGGCGTTCGTTCTCGTTTCGTCCTTTGTTGTCCTGTTCGAATGTCGTCTATATTCTGATTTCGAGCCGGTAAATCATCCTCAACAATACGATGCCTTGTCTCGCTCAAGACCTGAGGAGTTGAATCGCGTCTTGTAGATGACTCCCAGTCCGTATTCCTCCTCTCTTTAGGTATCTGGCGTCCAACTTGCGCATCTGGCAAGAAGCCCCCTTCGAAAGCTATTGGCTCGTCTGCATTTTTGAAAGCGCCAACAACCTCTTTGGCCAGAGTCTCCCGCTCTTGTTTGTTCGTCGCTCGTAGGGACTTGACATGCTGAAGAGCGTCGTCAAGGCACAGCAGAACTTCCTTGTGCGAGTTCTCATTCTTGCGGTCCCTTGTCGCCCTGGAGGCCACAAGCTTCATTGCCAACTTGATAGATTCCTTGCATTCTTTGCTGCCCTGCCACCATTCCAACTTCGACGTGAAGCTCTCAATAAGTGACGCTAGGTCTCGATAGCGACCTTGCCCTGTATATGAGTGAACAAGACTGGCAAAGTTGAACTGGTTGTAAGCTAGTTCACCCATGCCATTTTGTTGTGCCGCCATCTCACACACCCTGATTGCAGCTTCAGGGTTGCCTTTCTGTGTAAGAACCCGCACCGCCTTATTATAGACACTATCGTGAATGCTTTGGCCCTTGGCAAGGTTCTCCTGAAGCAGGTCGCCTGCATTGTCGCCAGCCTCAAGTCGTGCAACCAACATGGGAACCAAAGCACCACTGATATCATGTTTCCTCCTGTGGGCATCGTTGATGAGACCCGATACTGTGCAGGAATGGGCGCCTTCTATATGAATATTGGCAACAACAGCAAGTCGAAGACATCGTGATGAATCGCCAAGACCTTTCTTGGTCGCCTCCTGGTAGGCGCTGTAAACACCACTCCAATCACTTCGGAGTGCGAGAGTATTCATATGCTTGAATGCGGCCCGTTCATAGATAGAGATCGAATCCCCTCGCCTTTCGGGCAGGGCCGGAGCAATCCCATAAGTGTCTGTGTTTTCTCCTGGCAGGCGTTTGTGAAGGTCATGCAGGGCGCCGTTACTCGTGTAGCTTGCCAATAGGGGATCTTGCAGCCAAGGCATGGAGCCATGTGCGTCCTTTAGCATTCGAACCACATCAATTCTCAACAGGCTCCAGTATTTGCAGCATTTGTCGGCGATCTCGTTGAAGAAGATCTGGTCCATTTCCATGCCACCATCCTGGCAAAACTGCACCCACGCAACCAGCGCTTGGATATTGCGAGTTCGGCCATGTCTATCCAGGACGAAAAATGCGAGGGGCCTATTTAAGGCCATGTGGTGATTGTTGACGAGCTCTCGAACAAAGATGTCAATCTCAACAGGTGTATGATTCTTGCGATAGATCTTTGTAAGCCAGGAGAGAACATTTTGAAACTGAGGAGATTGTTTCGCCTTTGGTCCGAATGTTTTTAGCTCGGACATGACCTTGTCCCAGTGACCAAGTTCGGCTTCTCGGACGATGAATCTCCCACGGAGCTTAACATCAACACCAACAGGCTTTGGTCTTATTGCAGAGAGCTGTGACATTTCTGCGTTTGCAGTCGCATCATCTCCAGCATCAAGGGCGATGAGAGCAATCCTGCGTCGGACAGCATACTGTGTAGACAAGGAAAATATCCCATCAGAAAAGAGACCACCTTCTTGAAGCATGCCATATACGCCCTTAACTTCGTCAAAGTTCTTTGTTTTCCTCCAATGATGCATTAGCAACCGAGTGATCCAATCATTACGGTTTTCAACCATCGTTCCCTCTACGGGGCGAGGTACAAAGCCCGAAAGTCTTCTCAAGAGATGTCGGACGCCCTCCGCATCATGGCGCTGCAGAAGGCTGTCGAGAAACGGCACGGCAAGCAAACAGACATCTGTACAAACAGGCCGAACCGCTTCTAGGATGAGAGAAACCGCATCATACTCTCGAGAAACCGCTGTAGACTGAAGTAGACGGATGCCTCTCGATAGAATCTCTTGTGGTTCCTCGACCTCTGCTGAGGTTAGTGCTTGGAGCACCTTGGCGGCTTTTCTTTCTTGTTCGACACGAAGAGCGAGCGGCATGTCCGGAGACTCCATCTCTGCAAGGATTCTGTCCAGGTGTGACCAAGATGCCAACTGCTTGATCAATGTCTCATTGACTGGCTCTGATACTGCCGCTTCAGCGCGCCCATCTATACCTTCACTAGGCTTAGACTGGAGGGTGGTCTTAGAAATACTCGATTCAATGCCGGTCCTTGTTCCTCGTGCCGGTGTCTTTGATCTCTGACTTGGTGAAGGTATAGTTGGTAGGGCAATTTCAGGCGAAAGTCTGAGTGGAAGACCATTATGGGCAAAAGAACTGGATTCATATATCCGTGAAAGTTCCTTTCGAGCTGCATCCCACTCGTCCCATCTCCTTTGACGAGCCTGGGGTGTACTGGTGGGGTCGGTATCCTCGGGCAGTTTTGTCTCGAAGACTTCTAGCGCTTCAATTTCTCTTGGTCTTGATAACCCATTCTCCAATGAGTCGATTCGTTGTCGACGACGGCGTAAAGGATTGTTGGTGGGGGCGTGGGAGAAATCGTGGGCGATTTCAACCGGGAACGCTTCTCGTCTGCTGCTGTAGCTTTCTGCCAGCGCTGCGGAATTGCGGTTCACCCGCGCAGTGTGAAGCTTTTTGGCATTTTCGAGAGCAGCTCGGGCAATATTCAGGCGTCGACGACGTTCTTCGGCGAGGATAATAACCGAACAGGACGTGGTTAGGAGAACGCCACGGAGAGCGTGTATTGCGGCCCTGGACGGGGCGGGGCTTGGTGTTGCCATCTTAGGCGGTCGTCATCTTGATCCGAACCAATATTGCCCGAACCCGGCTTCGTAAGTTCGCAGATGCGTAATTGGCGCTCAATTCGTTGTTGAGATGTCGCTCGCAATAACTTGTCGTGGTGTGATGCACAGATTCTGAGCCAATGGGGTGGAAGCTAGATCGAAGATGAAGTGAAGGTACGTACTTATTTGGGTAGCCGAGAACCGGGGCCAATGGTGTCTCTCGGTGGGGTGGCATTTAGGTAAGCATTTGAGGCGAAGTCTGGGGTAAGTAAAGTTCGATATGTCTTCCATTCAGTATTCGAATCATTATGCTAGTTATCTATGATGATTTTTTTTCTTGTCCGTGTCTTTATGGATTCATTTTCATACCTGTGTTGCAACAATGATTTAAACGAAGTAAGAGCTTGACTTAAGACGCAGTAATCTTTCCTGTAGCATAATTCATGTGCTTCCTTGACGCGGTAAAGTGATATCAAGTGGCCGTATAAAAAGTGCCTGTTTGAAAAGCAAAACTTGAGCTGTTAGAAATATGCTAGCAAAGTGTACTGTTTGTCCATGTATCTTCAGAAATTTAGCATATCAAAAGCTTTTATTACTGATAGTAGAACAAGATATCCCAAACAGCTTCAGATTGTTCCAAATCAGTAGATGTTCTTGCGAATAAATATCTTACATGTTTTCATATTAAATTACAGCATGCGGATTCGTCCTAACTCATCTGTTCGGGTCTTCAGTTATCATGTGTAGTGCGAGGCACCGTTAGTCGTGATTTGGTAGGAGCTTGATCAATATGCAATGCAGGTTGACCCTTGCCAGAGTTTCAAACTTGTTACCTCCAGCATGTAATTGTTTATATTTACCAGCTTGATAACTACCTGTCACAAGAGTCTTTACAAATCCAAAGTAAGTTATGTATATTAAAGCTTGAACACCATGTATCCAGTATGGGAATCGAGAATCATGCCCGGGTGCAGAAGGTCCATCCCACAACGCCATACAACGTTCTGGGTTAAGGTTACCATCCCAACTGGTATCTGCATAAAATATATATACTCTGTGGATGGTCGGCAATGATGCTTTTCCGTAACCATCTTCTTCAGTTATATATAACATCGCCCTCATTCTTTTACAGTCAACGATTGATGCATCTGGTGCCACTGCCACTGCCACTCCGTCATCACCTCAGTGTCACTTCTAAAGTTCTGAGTGGCTGCCGTCATCACCGACCTTAGTACTAAACTCTTCATAAACTCTTCTCACACTCAGTAGGTATATATTTTCACCTTCGCCTTCACTCCCCTTTTATACCTCTCTCTCAATACACACTCTTGAGATCTACCGCGTTCAGCAGCAATGGCTCTCCCCTTCGCGCCGCCACCCAAAAGCCCTTTGGGTCGCTATCGCCTGTTATCACCCACCGCCTCTATTTGGGTTTCCCCTATCTGCTTGGGTACAATGAACTTTGGCAACGCTTGGTGAGATAACTATACAACGTCCACCATGCTCTGCTCTAACGCCGACCTAGGAAAGAGTGGATGGGCGAATGTGATCAGTCTACATCAAACTCAATCTTGGACTTTTACTACGAACAGGTATGAAACATGTGTCGATATGTACTCGCAGTAGGCTAACTGCAAGTAAGGGGGGGAACTTCATCGATTCTGCAAACAACTACCAATTCCAGGAGACCGAGAAATGGGTGGGAGAATGGATGAAGAAGCGTGGGAACCGTGACGAGATCGGTTTGTTGCACTACCTCTACCCAGCATTCAATGATGTGATACTGATCATACATATAGTCCTTGCCACAAAGTATACCACCAACTTCCGGGCCGGACCCGGCAGGCCAAATATTCTAGTAAACTTCACTGGGAACGGCTCCAAGAGTCTCAAGGTTTCGGTTGAGGCCAGTCTTGAGAACCTACAGACCGACTACATTGATCTAGTATATTTGTCCTCCCACTGGCTCCTAGATTGCTAATTCTGGTATAGCTCTATGTCCATTGGTACGATGGCAACACTACTATTCCAGAGCTAATGCAGTCTCTCAACCAGCTCGTTCTTTCTGGGAAGGTCCTTCACCTAGGCATCAGTGACACTCCTGCCTGGATTGTCAGGTGAGCGGACTGAAGCTATGAAAGGATAAGCCAAAGGCTGATAACTGTATAGTAAGGCGAATGAATACGCTCGCTGCAATGGACTTCGCCAGTTTTCAGTTTATCAGGGGCGGTGGTCTGCAGCCTCACGAGACTTCGAGCGAGAAATCATCCCAATGTGCCGAGCTGAAGGAATGGGGATTGCTCCGTGGGGCTCTCTCGGCGGTGGAAAGTTCAAGACTGAGGAACAGCGCAATGCTCAGGAAGGAAGAAGAGTGGAGGCCAGCGAGAAGGAGATCAGAACCAGTCAAGTGCTGGAGTCCATCGCCAATCGTAAGAACACACTCATCACTAGCATCGCACTGGCATATGTCATGCACAAGACCCCTTACGTATTTCCAATCATTGGAGGCCGCAAGGTGGACCATCTTAAGGCCAACATACAGGCGCTCACCCTGAACCTATCACAAGAGGACATTGAGGAGATCGACGGTGCTGTCGAGTTTGACCCAGGATTTCCCAACGATTTTCTTTACCGCGGAGGCCAGTCGATTGGAGGCCCAGACGTTTGGTTGCTTCAGATGGGCGGCACGTTTGATCATGTCCAGTCGTCCAAGGTGATTTCAGCTGTGACAAGATCCCGAAGCATGTCTGCTAACCATAGATAGCCCGTCTCGCCGGCGAAAAGGGGGGAATAGGGCGTCCGTCTCAACGCAAACTTTTGGCGATGGCTACCGTCGCGGCCCAGGCCGAGCTGGGTGGGATTGGACTGGAGGGAAAGGGTTAGTACTATAGTGAGGCCTTCTTACCAGTGGTGAGCCTCAGGAAGACTATCTTGTGGATTGGAACGAGAGCACATGTGCTCGAACGTTAAAATCATTCAGGGGATAAGCGACCGGAGGTATAATTAGGAAGTCGACTTGCGTTGCGCAGAGAAAAAAAACTTCCATAAACTACCTTAACTGAAATTTCATTCACCATGTGCTACATGTGTGCACATATACTCTATGTGTGTAGATTGTAATACTAAAGTACCCTTGAAGCCTTAATACATATAGGTGCTGTTCTCTTAGCTTGGATTAAATTCAATGCCTTCTATAAGAACCTCACATTTCTGTTTGAGATTAGCTATCCCACCAGATCTTGTTTTAGGACGTCAGGAGTACCTACGGTAGTAAAGCAAAGCCGTTCCTTCCCTGGCGCGGTGGATAGGGGGCGTACCTGCCGTTTATAACAAACCCTCAGATATCTGGTCTCGGAACTTCATCGTCTCCTCTAGCGATATTATATCGTTCAATTCAGGAATTCTCACAGCAGATTGGGACTTTATTTATATCTTTCTCTTCTCCTTTAAATCACCATCACCATGTCCGAGCAGCTCAAACTCAGTAGAAAAGCGAACGAAACTGAAAACACCTCGATCGTTGAAAAATGTACTCCAAAAAAGAGGCAAAGAAACCGGAGCTTGGGGCCGGCTGATTCTTCCCATATAGAGGAAGATACAGTAGATAACTGTGCGAAATCAACCACAGATGAGTTTGCTCATATTCAGTTGTGTGCTTCCCATATGGACCAGGACCTTGAACCACTGAGTTAATTCAAGAAAGCATCCCAGAAACGCCACTTCGAAAACCGAAAGCCATGAAGTTACCTACTTTGAATAGGACAAGAGTTGAAGAACACCAGACCAGCGAATGGCAGCTACCGTTGAGAGTCGTTCAAGGAGGGAAGAGAAAACGCATGGAATCGATTCGCTCAAACGATGGCACGGAGAAACATACTGAACGAAACCTTTCAGGTATATACGCATAATCGCGTGTTATACAACTGGATTACTGATATTTACACAAAAGTTCCGGCCGATAGTGAGGAGCAAGCCCCAGATGAATCTCCTATTGTGACGAAGTTAAGAGCTGTCCCCCGCGGGGCTCCGCGAATTATTGAGAGGAAAGGACAATTCACTATCCGAAAAGGTGTCCGAATTCGAGACTACAGACTTCCTGGACCTGTCCCGTGGCCATGTGTTTCGCCATCCAGTGCCGAATACAGGTGTAACGACGGGTTTGACATAAATGAGGCATCACTTGGATACCCGCAACCAATGTCGATTCAATCAAGGCAAACCCCGTGTGGGCAAGCTGCGTCTGGACACGAGCAATATCAACTCCCCAGGAGTCCATCTGTTGGCACGAATACTAAGCTCGACTAGTCTATTAATCTACAGCAAAAGGGCAAACATACGGTGTTCCAAACTTCACGACATGCTTTATGGACAGGTTCATGATAGGGGTATCTTGATGCCACTTCTTAATCGAGATAGTACATTCAAATACAAACAATAGAGCCCGCAACCACCAGAACGCCTTTTGGGATAAATGCAATTACTCATCCCACTTATTTGGCCCCCTTGCCTTTAGCTTCGTTCTCTCCAAGCTCACGAATCAACACCGCCGTCTGACCGGCACCATTGTAGTCTTCCTGGCCAGTCTCAAATCCAGGGCATACACCAACAGCAAGGTACTTGCCATCACTCGAAAAGGCAAGTGCAGCAACGCTGTTGGGGAATTTCTGGTACTGCTTGAGTCGTCGCTTTGCTTCGGCGTCCCACAGAGCCGCGGTGCCATCACCACCCCCTGAAGCGAATGTTCCATGAACCGGGTGGAAGGCCAAGGCATTCACAGGGTAGACAATATCTCCATCGCCATCCGCTGCTGCTTGACGATGGCACTTGAAAGCGTACTTTCGAGCTTGCGACTCCGCTGTATCTTCGAACCACTCAACTGCAACCCGACCCTCGATACTGCTAGTAGCGTATCCAGCATCGTTAGGCATGCAAGAGACTGCGCGCGTAAGATATCGCAGAGACGATTCACGCTGCTGCCATGGTTGAAGAACAGAAGAGCCAGTTGCGAACAAGTCAACAATGGTCTTGAGGTCGTAGATGTTAATGACACGGCCGGCCATGGCAACTACAATCTTTGTAGGACTGGCAGCCAGCGCATGGGGCTTGCCAGGAAGGGAGATCCTTATGGGGGTACTTGAAGGGTCTCCGAGATTATGAAGGTTCAGACTACAGTCCCAAGATGCCGACACCAGAATGGCTGGTTTGTGTTAGTATGACTCAATCACAGGGGTATCCAATGACTCACAGTATGTACGACTGTAGGCTATAGATCGAACCGGTGCAGCATGCTTGCTCAACAATGTCTTCTCACCAGTCTCCAAGTTGATTCTGTTCACTGTGGTCAGTATAAGTCTTGGGCGCATTCATTTGCATTCACTGACCTGTTGACACCCCAGTCCATGCCAGCAGTAAATGCTTCATTGTCGTCCGCTCCAAAACAGACGTCCAAGACCGGTGCTCGGTGCTCATATGTGTTGACCAAAGTTGTCTCTCCCGCTCCGCCCGCGATATCATAGCAATACACCTTCTTGTCCCATGATGAGACAAGGAGCTTGGTTCCTGAGGATGGCGCAAACGCGATGGACGACACCGCGTCGGTAGGAGGCGGTGAAAGTTCGTATTGAGTCGCTGATGTCCAATTAGCAAACAATTGCGCCTCAATCACAGTAGCAACCGCGCAGAACTTACCAGGAGCCATGGTTGGGTATGCTCTCGTCGACAAAGGTTGATGAAGTTGTTTACTTTTGGTTCAGTCACGTGTAGAGCTCATCATGGCAACACAAGCAGCTGGCGATGTTTTGCCGGATATTTCAGGTACTATGGAGTAGGTACCTACCAATGAGCCACACCCCGCCACAACCCCACCATCATCAAGTGCAGTGTAAAATGTCAAAATTATGACTCTTCCCCCTCTACATCCACTGCTAACGTGACGATTTACGACTTGTTCACGAGAAAATCGAATCTGCTACGTGTCAAAACTACCGATACGGGAATATAGTTTTACGAACAGTTTTTCGACCATTTTTCAAACCCGACTTGCGTGCGTGCGACGGCACTCGAGATCGTTACCCCCACCTCATCTACAGAACCCGACCGAATAGCTGAACAGTCGAAAATACCGCCAACATGTCGCAAACAAACTGCCGTTTCTATGAGGAGAAGTACCCGGAGATCGATAGCTTCGTCATGGTCAATGTCAAGCAGGTCAGTAGCAACCTGATTTGCCCGGAAACCTCTCTCTGACCGATCGCAGATCGCCGAGATGGGTGCCTATGTTAAGCTCCTGGAGTATGACAACATCGACGGCATGATTCTGCTCTCTGAGCTGTCGCGACGACGTATCCGAAGTATCCAGAAGCTCATCCGAGTTGGTCGCAACGAGGTTGTCGTGGTGCTCCGTGTGGACAAAGAGAAGGGTTAGCATTTCCAGCAAGCTGCGCAAGTCGGACATGGATATTGATAATTGGCCAGGTTACATCGATCTTTCCAAGCGACGAGTCTCCCCCGAGGATATCGTGAAGTGCGAGGAGCGATACAACAAGAGCAAGATGGTACACTCCATCATGCGCCACGTTGCCGAGAAGGTCGCCGTTCCCATCGAGGGCCTTTACGAGGCCATTGCTTGGCCCTTGAACAAGCGATACGGCCATGCTATCGATGCCTTCAAGCTCTCCATCACGTTAGTAGTTTGTTACTGATCTACAAGCGCCCATACTGACTTCATAAAGCAACCCCGAAGTCTGGAACGATATTACCTTCCCTAGCGATGCCGTCAGCGAGGAGCTCAAGACATACATCAGCAAGCGACTCACTCCCCAGCCCACCAAGGTCAGAGCCGATATCGAGGTCACCTGCTTCGGTTACGAGGGTATCGATGCTGTCAAGACTGCTCTACGCACCGCCGAGGCCAACAACACCGAGGACACACAGGTCAAGGTCAAGCTCGTATCTCCCCCTCTTTACGTCCTTACAAGCACATGTTTGGACAAGGCCGTCGGTATCACTCGTGTGCAAGAGGCTATTGTCGATGTGCGAAAGAGCATCGAGGCCGCTAATGGTCACTTGACAGTCAAGATGGAGCCCAAGGCCGTCACTGAGAGCGACGACGCTGAGCTGCAAGCACTGATGGAGAAGCGTGAGCGTGAGAATGCTGAGGTCAGCGGTGACGAGAGCATGAGCGACAGCGATGAAAATATTCCTGAAACCATCTAGACGATGAGCAGACGAAACCTCCGGTCAAACTGAGTCGACAGGACTGTTGGAGCCATCACAAAGTGACCCTTGGTCAGGGCTGTTGGACAAGAAAAAACGGGTGTAATAGAGAGCATCTGGGAAGCTGAAAGGAGGCGTGTATCCCGGATTGCGAAGCATCACAAAAGTCCAGACTTTCATGTACTACTTCCAATTGTAGGAAGTGGCTGGCGTCCATAACGGCGTTGTTAACGAACAGTTTATTGATTACTTGGGATAGCGTATTTGTGTAGTGATCTGTGTGATGTTCGCATATCTGATTGGTGATTGTAATAGGATCCTGATAATAGTACAACAAACAAAAGTATAGGATGCTCATAGGAAGAGACCTGTTACTCATGGCGTACAACTTAGTAGATTATCGGACTACTGAGGTAATTTCGTGAATTCCTCTCAAATAAAGTAGAAGCCCATGTGATAGTATATACACTTCCTATCCAACCGTATTCAGTAATTGCCTGAAAGATGATGTCTCATAAGAGCTGGGCTTGCAAGGTTTGAAGTTGGATATTGGGTGCTCGATGTTGTAGCATGACGGATCTAGCCGAGAAGAGCTTAGACACTTCAGATATGAATTTCTATACTTGGATTATGCAACTCTTCAGGCCCAGCCAGTCCATGTTTCCACTGCAGCATTCTATCTCACAAAGAATTTGACCACTCACGATACTCATCTTGGGCAACATACAGAGCATTTGCTATGGCTCTCGGCTCGGTGTGGGCACGCCTCAAAGGCAACGGTCAACCCAGCTTTGCCAGATCAACGGCATTAAGACTCTTTGGTTTCGCAACATGGATCCCAGTCATCGCAATGTTTAACCTGCACGTTGCAGAACTGACCTTTGTGGACGGAGTATCCATGTATCCGCTCATCAACGACGATAAAGACTCGACGCTACGGCGGGACGTGATCCTCAATTGGAAGTGGTCACCTCAGAAGAATCTAGAGAGGGGCATGGTGGTGACATTACGGTAGGGATAGAGCCTTTTCATACATTTTTGGAAATAGCCAATTGATGGGAAATTAACATACAAGCTACAAAAGGAGTCCTCTACATCCCGAGACAATCGCAGTCAAGCGCGTGGTGGCGCTGGAGAACGACGTGATCAAGACCAAAGCGCCTCATCCGCTACCAACGGTGCGAGTGCCGCAGGGCCACGTGTGGGTGGAGGGCGATGGACCACCAGGGTCGAGTCTGGATAGCAACACGTATGGGCCAGTATCTAAGCAGTTGATCACGGGTCGAGTTACCCATGTTGTGTTCCCTTTTCGCAAGTTTGGAGCGCTTCCGTGGCGAGAGCACCAACGGCCGTTGGTGGAGTAGGATTGTTATGAGAGATGTACGATATTCATGTATTAAAAGTGATGACAGCATATGAGATAGATCGTTTTCCCTTGAAAGACAATTCATTTCCTATACGAATTCAAATAGTTATGATCTAAACAGCAGAGACCTTGTCAGGTGAGTCAATACTAACTACGGATAGTCCACACACAACAGTTTATGCAATTACATATCCATGGATAGCTAGAACATCTAAGTTGAGGAAGCGATGAGTATAATAATAAGGGCTCAAAGGAGATATCCATTAGCACGTTATGGCTAGATCCTGATTTTCTCTTTATGTATTTATCACAATAATATGAATTCTTCATCTTGGGTACCTATAATAGCATATCCAATACTGTATGGTGGTTGATGAGAAGCGGGTAGCAGTGGCGTAGGGATTGAGTCTCCGAGATAAGATAAGAACATCGTCCCGCCTTGCAACAAATTCTTTCAACGGGTTCCCTCTCATCGGGCGATCAGGCGCTGACGTAGCACAGCGGATGCTGCGCTGTAAATCCCAAAGTGACCCCTGATCGGCCACTAAGAAACCACTGAGCAAAGCCCACTAGAGCCGTAAGGCAATTAATTCGCGATTACCTTAACCCAGCAAAAGCCAAGGCCTCGTCAAAATTCTAACAAACCAAAAACGACGTCGCTCAGACTTTCTTATCTCTCTTTGCGACCCTGCGACCTTCGCCAGCTCCCTCGAAGGAACATCGCGACAGAGCGATTCCTCTTAATTGTTATCTCCTTCTCTTTCTTGGGGCTCTCTTTTCTTTTCACTTTTGCTTCCGAAGCGTTCCGCCGCAGACCGTCACTGGCTTCATCATCGTCCTCCGGTCCGACTTACTCGATCTCGATTTCTTACCCCGGACATGACCTTGGGTCTTCAACAACAAGGTTCTGACCTCGCCTTCGCTCAATCGACGACGACGAACGACGGATCGACGACAGTCGGCAGTGAACTTGCGCCAGCTCCCGAGCATCGTCATGCTGCTTGGACGGGACATCGTGCGGAAAATAGCAGAAGCAAGAGTCATCAGAATATGACCGCACAAAATGTTGAGGCCGAGGAGCGACCGCCGTATCTTCATGTACGTTATGACCACCATACTTCCATGATTTGCATCACGAAGTGTTTCCAGCCTGTTCCTGTTCCAAATGCGCTAACACGAGTTCAAAACGACAGGCCATGATCGCAGGTGGTATTGGAGGATCTACTGGTGACTTACTCATGCACTCACTCGATACCGTCAAGACAAGACAACAAGGCGACCCCCACGTTCCTTCAAAATACACATCTTTGGGCCAATCCTACTACACCATATGGAGACAAGAGGGTATAAGACGAGGTCTCTACGGCGGATGGATTCCTGCGCTAGGCGGTTCATTCCCTGGCACTGTTATGTTCTTTGGAACATATGAATGGAGCAAACGGTTCCTAATCGATCATGGTGTACAACAACATGTAGCATACCTAGCAGGAGGTATGACAGTCCATTCAAGCCAACCATTCTACAATTACTAACCAACTGGTATAGGCTTTCTTGGAGATCTTGCCGCATCTATTGTCTATGTTCCTTCAGAAGTTCTCAAGACACGACTTCAACTCCAAGGCCGTTACAACAACCCCCATTTCAGTTCGGGTTATAACTACCGCGGTACCGTCGACGCAGCTCGAACCATCGTGCGCGCAGAAGGCGCCTCTGCCTTGTTTTACGGCTACAGGGCTACTCTGTACCGTGATCTACCCTTCTCGGCCCTGCAATTCATGTTCTGGGAGCAATTCACTACTTGGGCCCGCAAGTACAAGCAGAGCCGCGAAATCGGCTTCCCCCTCGAGCTTCTCACCGGCGCAGCAGCTGGCGGCCTTGCTGGTGTAATCACTTGCCCTCTGGACGTTGTCAAGACACGGCTCCAGACACAGGTCAACACCCCCACAGAGTCCCGAGTAGCCAAGGACCACCATGCCACTTCTCAGGTCCGACATATCTCCACCTCCTCCCCCAGCACACACCGACCGCGACCTGGCGCTGTTCCTCTCGATACATCCTCCGTCTTCACCGGCCTGCGCATGATCTACCGCACAGAAGGCATCGCGGGATGGTTCCGCGGCGTCGGACCCCGTGGTGTCTGGACATTCATCCAAAGCGGCTGCATGCTGTTCCTGTACCAACGACTTCTCCGACAACTCGAGGTTTTAATACCCGAAGAGCGAAAAGAAATGTAGACATCTCCACACATACAACACACATAAACTTTGTTCTTACTCTTGTCATTACTTCACTTGCTACATGATTTTTAAAAAGTTTATTCCCGCGCGGTCACAAAAAAGCATACTCCCCGCTTCACCCATCATCCTGTATAACTCATTATAGAAGCGGACTTTATGAGATGAATTGCAATGGCCATATATGTACAGATAGAAAGAAAAATTCGAGACTTTGGGCGGCCGTCATTGCTGGGCGTTGGGATTAGAAGGAAATGACTGATCAACTATATCAGGACATGGATAGACATGAGAGCATGATGAATAGACGCTCTCGTTTGACTTTACAAAGACGACTCAAAAGCAGACTTGTTGCCTTTCACGGCTACCTGGTGAAATCATGCAACTATGGTGCGACGTACAGGTCTGCGAACGAGAGTTTGAATACTACTGCGTAGTAGATAATGTAGAACTTGGGATATGAACAAAACGCCAACGCTCGACATTTGGTGATAAATTTAGGGGTATAAAACAGGACCTGTTCAAAGCAAGCACAACAGTAATTAGCAATAGCAATATAAACCTCATAATTCCCTTAATCTTTCAGTGGTCTTCGACATCGTTCAAAACTCTTCCAGAATTAGGCATCCGGGTCACTCTCCTCCAAGCACGGCAGCTCCTCAAAATCACCAACGCGGGTACGTAGCTCGTCACGAGCAAGGCACACTGCGGTAGCAACGGTCAAGGCATTCCAAATTCCCTGTTGCTCGTCTTGAAAGTCGACTTGAACATGGAAACTGACGTACGCATCATCCCCTTTAGATGAGTCAGTTGTGAGGACGAGAACTGAAGTGTTGAGGATGAAAAGGCCGTACACCACGGGTGGGTGACGTCGGTAAGTTTGCGTGGAAGGCGTTCGAGGTTCATCCGGTGAAGATGGAGATGGTGGGGAGCGTGGAAGGGACGGCTCTTTCGAGATTGTTGTGGTTTCGTGCAATTGTGTAGTCGAAATACCGGTATCCTCAAGCCCAGGTTCAATCTTGACAACGATCATGTTACTTTCAGCCATAGAAGAAATCCTTTCGACGTGAGGATGCGAGCCACTTCGACTATTAGTAGGCGTTGGCCATGTCCCAAGCGATGGTGACCCGTCTTCTGGCTCGACTTTGATTTTAGGGGATCTAAAGATGCTTGGCTTGACAACATCCCAGAACTGCGGATTCCTGTCCTCTCGGAGAAACTCGCGTTGAATTTTTGCAAGCGATCTCATACGATCTTGTATGTGCTCTGTAATTTCATCTTCGGGCATGCTCGTATCGACAACTTCAGTCAAGAGGTTGGGCACGATGCGGAGATGCAGGTAGTCGCCGTCCTGCGATGCCCAGTTCACATACTTGTCGATCTCTCGCTTGATGAGCTGTGATACTTTGCTTCGAAGACCACTCTGTATGTTTGTCCTTGACTTTGCGGTGAGGTCCATGAGGCGAGTAAGAGCCATCGTTGCTGTGTACAGTGAGTATTGTGTATGTATGTACTTTGGTATTGGGATGAAACTTACCACGAAAGTCTTTAGAATGGGCATAAATGATAGGAGGAAACTCGTCCGTAGTCTTGAAGACTACGTCTGAGATAGGTACCCCCCGTAAATCGACATCCCATGTTGTAGGCAGCATAGGTAAATCCTGTCGCATGAATAGTATCTCGAAAAGGCGTTCTTCGGCGGGTGCCCAGCTACTGGCACCAGGGTATCGTTGCTTTTCTAGTTCCATTTCCTCTTCCATATTATCAAGATCAATACTCTCTTCGTCGTTTGATAAAAAGCTGAGTTGAGCATCGTGAAAGGAACTTGGGGATGTCGACGATATATGAGTGTCTTCATCGTCGTCGGCTCCATCGTGTTGTGGAAGCCGAGTCGTCGAGTTCAAAGAACTCTTTGTATCGGTTTGTTCTTGCATGGTTGATGTTCTAATAGCATTAGTGCGATTTTGAGCCGTCTTTGTTTATTGTGTTTGGACTTGGACTTTGTGTTGTGAGAGGAAAAGAAAGACGTCTTTGTGTTGCTCAGAAGGAGTTGTCGTTGCACTGCAAGTGACTGCTAGACAACTGACTTGGAGCGATGTTGCTTGTTCCCAGCCCGACGATTAGGCTGGAGTGTTTTATTTTGGATAGGCTTACTCTTCCATAGCATGATATAACTTTCTTTATCAATAACAATAATCAAACTTTGTTCTGATCATTAGACGATGAATACCTAGAAATGATATTGACGTTCAATTACACTGACAAGCGGGGCGTGCACGTATCATATCTGCCGCTTTCCCACCCCTCCCGGAAGTTCACTTTCGCCGTCGAGGCCAATCAGATGCCACTGATGGAAATTCTTCACATCTCAAATCAACCGTCGCGATAACTTTCAAGCACATATCGACGACCATGGCCGAGGTAGCGAAGACGGTAGCTCGCCAATTGCCCGGCTTCAAGCTGGGACAGAAGCAGATTTTCCTGTGAGTGTCTTATTGCCAATATAATTGCTGCCAGTCTCTAACATTCTCCTCCTAGGCCCAACCATGTAATCACCTTTCTTCGAAAAGAGCATCTCCCACCAAACGAGGCCACCTTCCAAGTCCCTCTGCGATTCACAAAATTCGATCTTCGAGATTATCTCTGGAATTTATACGATGTCGAGGTCACAAAGGTCCGATCTTATGTCAAGCAGCAGCCCTTGACCCAACGCAACTCGCACTCGCGCTCATGGTACCGCCCTAAGCCCCTCAAAGTTATGACCGTCGAACTGGCAAAGCCTTTCCAATGGCCCGAGCTTCCCGAGGATACTTCGCCATGGAGCAACCAGCTGTGGAAGATGCGTGAGGAGATGTTGGAGAAGCGAAATGAACAGCACATTCAGCAGCAGCGATTCAAGATTCCCCTCAAGAGCAAGGAGCCTATGTCCAAGGAGAGACAGGAGCTATCCGATTTGGCAAAGAAGCTAGTGTCAGGAGAGGAGAAATGGACCAACGATGTTATTCTGGATCCTAAATGGGAGAAGATTCTGGGCAATGGGGAAAAGGCGAAGAAGGTTACGACCGAGGCATAGACGAATGACGGACAAAGGCAAATCACGACCTGAGGATGCAGGACACACACTGCTAATGAAAGAGACGGCAAATCTATGAGGACCTATGGATGGGAGTCCTCTGTATGATACGCTGGCATTATAACTGTACATTATTGTAACTAGTCTTGGATGGGCAATGCATGCTGGCGGGTTAAGACTATGATATAAGCGCAAATATAGACGCTGAAAACTCGTATTTCTTTTGGCACTATTCTATGTCACTCCAATTCTCGGGCTGCTGAAAGCGCAAGACATCGTCTCCCCAACTCCACCAGCCAGAAGTCAAGTTACGAGCAAAGATCTCAAGCCCGAGACATTGCTTTCCGAGAACATCTTGAAACAAACCTCGGAGATTGGGCTTGCGGGAATGAACATCGGGGACTGCCATAATGACTTTGGGCTTGAGACCATCTGGTTTCTTGCCGCCGATACGTTTGGCTATGATGAGCTTCTCCCATGGCTTCCTCCATGTAGACTCAATATCATAGAGTGGCTCACCTGATGCAGCGACCTTGAGCCACGTCCACTCGGTCACAAGCTCAAGACCCCAAGCAGCAAACAACCCTGTTGGAGAGTTTAAAAAGTCGTGGATGCTGTGTTTATTAGTGATCCAGACGGCGACGAGTGCGTCTGGTGCAAGATGAGAAGCCAGAGGAATTTGTAGCAAGAGACTGCTCATCTCATTGAGATTAGAAACAGTGGCATATTTGTCTTTCTTCCTCCTCGCAGATCGGTTGGGCCATGGAGGATCTAACACAACAAGATCAAACTTGGGAGCTGACATGTGAAAAGAATCACGCAGAGCCTCAATGGAACCATGCAGAGGTTCGGCTTTGTCTGGAAGCAACGGTGGTAGAGCGGATACCGGCGGTGGTGGTTGCGGCTGAATAAGACGATCTCGATGGAAGGGACCGGAATATGAGTATGAGTTGGCGAGTTCCTGTAGGGCGCTGCTGACTGTTGCAGTGGTCATGAGCTCAGCTAACTGGGCAGCAGGCGGCGCGAATGCCGAGTGGTCGTCTCCTCCATGCCGGGGCTCCGGGGTCGGAAACGGCACTGCGGGGGGCTCTGCGGAGACGATACGGCGCCTGGGGACCTGAGACGGAGGAACCTGGCTCTCTTCCAGGGAAGTGGGTATATCAAGAACAATAATACTCTTGTCTTGGCTCTCAAAGAGAACAGACGACGGCCGGTGGCTGTCCATAACACCCAAAATCTGATTCCCGATTCCCGGATGACAATTTTCCCACCTGCTGTGTCCCGCGGTTGAAGGAACGAAATTCGCGGCGAGAGTCGGTAAGCCTCGGCTCGGTTATTGATCACCGGCACTGCTAAGCCTTAAGTTGCCTTTGCGCGCATGAATCTGCTGAGACTCAGTATTCCAGTGGATTGTCAGCGCATTCGCCCACTGAAGTAACAAGTCTCGAACCCCTGGTGGGCTAACTTTGGGTTTTCCCGTAGGGGTTTTCTGGGGAATGGTTCCCGGCTCAAGGCCTGCGTGACCACCTGCCACTCCCAACTTGTGGGGAGCCTGCACTTGGCCACTGAGGATCGGCTTAATGACGTTCAAGCCGCCGGATATCTCTAAAATCCTCCCGTCTTTGATACCCCCCGCAAAACCTGCTCTTACCATCCTTTGAAAACTACACAGCACATTCACACCTTTAATTATCAGTCGCGTTGGCTTCGAATACCGATCCTCGCTTGAACCTGCCACGGAATGTCGCGTCCGTAGGCTCCGAATCCGTCCTTCAAAGTCAGCCACGTGCTGCTCGTCCTGAGACAATGTCCACAGCCGACGCCGCTCACTTGGAGCATGCTTCCATGACCGAGGTTGCGCGCAATAGCAACATACCAGATCATGTCTCTTCACAGGCTCTCCACAGGTCGCATACGGAGCCTACTAAACGTCCCACGGATATGGATGCTGTAGCGCCAAAGGCACAAATGAACAGCTTTGAATATATATGGAAATCTGGAGTGGCGGGTGGTTTAGCCGGTTGCGCTGTGAGTGCTACATTTTACTGTGACGAAACTCTGCACAACATTCTAACTATTTGGATCAGGGCAAGACAGTCGTTGCGCCGCTAGATCGAGTGAAGATCCTCTTCCAGGCCAGCAACCCTCGATTTGCGAAATATACAGGATCATGGGTTGGCGTCGCAAGTGCCATGAAGGACATCCACCAATACGAAGGCCTTATGGGACTCTACCGCGGACACTCTGCGACTCTCCTTCGAATCTTCCCCTACGCCGGCATCAAATTCCTCGCATATGAACAAATCCGAGCCGTTATTATTCCCGATAGAGCACATGAGACACCAATGAGGAGACTGCTCAGTGGAAGTTTGGCAGGCGTCACATCGGTCTTCTTCACATATCCCCTAGAAGTCATCCGAGTACGACTAGCTTTCGAAACTAAGCGTGATGGTCATTCTTCTTTATCATCAATATGTCGTCAAATCTACAATGAGCAGCCTGTCCAGAAAACAGCGGCAACTCGGCTACCGAATGCTTCCGCGCCTATATCAGCCGCAGCAGAGGCAACCGCGGCGACAGTTGGGGCTGTCGCTCCTCAATCAGGATTTATCAACTTTTACCGAGGCTTCGCTCCTACCGTCATGGGAATGCTCCCCTACGCCGGCATGTCTTTCTTAACCCATGACACTGTCGGTGATATCCTACGATCGCCGTCCATTGCGAAGCACACGACACTACCGAAGAAGGCCAATCACCCTGAAGGAAAGCCAGCGGCTTTGCGATCATGGGCAGAGCTTACTGCTGGTGGTGTTGCAGGTCTCATCTCTCAAACGGTATCATATCCTCTTGAAGTGATTCGAAGACGAATGCAAGTTGGTGGTGCCGTAGGAGACGGTCGTCGACTTCGAATAGGCGAGACTGCCGGTATGATCCTTAGGGAGAGAGGCTTCCCTGGTTTCTTTGTCGGTCTCACTATTGGATACGTAAAGGTGTTTCCCATGGCTGCGGTCGCGTTCTACACATATGAGCGCATGAAACTTGTCTTTGGCATATAGATATTTTTGAGCATTACGAAGCCTTTGGATGTTTGGCTTGGCCGGCGTTTGCGGAGTCCTTATACGGAATAGCAGCGGAATTATGTATAACTTTTGGAATAGGTCTTGGGCGAAGTCGGATAGGGGCATACGGTTAGGTGTACATATAGCAAGAGTACAGTACAATATGTACATACCGTCAGTTGTCAACAAGGTTTTCTCACTTGAAGATCAACCTATTCCCATTCAATATCCGGGTTATCAGCACCATCTCATCTTCACAAACGCCATGGTGCCTTTGCCACGCGCTATACTAAGACAACACGGCGGACTGCGAGTCATCCACTGAGTAATTCGCCTATGTTCGAATGAGAGCACCCTTCCTCTCAGACTCTTACTACATCAGGAAACCCGATGTCTGAGTCGGGTACTACTCAGCCTGATGGAATCGTTAGAGTTTCGGGGCCTAGCGTTACGGCCAAAGGCGAAAAGGCGATCTGCACGAAATAGTTCAGCGCCGTTTGATGATGTCGCACGTCCCAGGCTGCCATGAAGTTTCCCGTGTCCCCTGAGATTGGGAAAGGATGAGGGGTGAACTATGAAGCGTGTCTGTGGCGTCGAACTGCATATGATAGACTGAAATAGGACTACTGCCACAACAGACTTCTGTAACATCGGGCTAGCAGATGGAAAGTATACGGTACTTGGAAGATGAGAGTTGAGCATCGGGCTTTTAGGTAAGTTGCCCGTTGCCGATTAAGATTTCTTGGTTTTGAAACTCTCCCGTCTCAAGCTTAAGAGACCAGGGTTGATTACGAGGAATTAGTAAGCTTTAAGGGTGATAATGAGTATTGGTAGATTGACACCTGGTAGTCTCTTCGGGTTGAGTTTTAATCCTTATTCGACGGAGTAAGTACATGGTATGTACGGATCTCAGGCGAAGTGCTTCTCAACTTACACCTCTATGTATCAGTATATCATGGTAGTCATGGAGAAGTCAGTGACTCAGGTTTATAACACAGATAAATTTGGCTAACATAGAACGCTACATTGCAAACATTAACCGGTACGAGATCTTTAAGTTATTTTGGTAACCACAATCACTGAGCCAGAATGAAGCATGATTCCTGAGTACACATCATGATAGTGTTCGAGAGAAAACTACCCTATACTTGCGACCAGAATGCCAACGATGGCGACTACACCAAAATTTTGACAGTATCTTTAAGAAGTACAAGCACGAGTTTCTATAAACTGAGATCTGCCGATGCCAAGTCAAAATATGCAACTGTAACATAAGCAGCCACCGGCAGAACCTGGTAGGACCTGGCTGTTGAAGTTATAGTTAAGGATGAGCACTTGGGACTCTAATTGGCTGCATGGGGTTCTGACCAATAACAACGCAGTATGCTGGAAGCTAAGGTAGAACGCAGTGAGCTCGCCAAAAAGTCCAAAGCTTTAGCCTCAGCCTCAGCCTTTTCATCTTCACTTGAACAAAGCTCCACCACCAAACAAACACGCCAGATTCGCGAACATTGAACCACTTGGAATACGTTGCTTTCAATTGGCTTTATTTGATCAACATACACAGCGCATACAGCTCCCTTAAATTGCGATCCTCGTTTCAGCGCGACCACCTTCACCATGGCGTCCGCCGCCGACCTTGACGGCCTCGTCCTCCTTCGCCAATCCATCTCCTCCAACGCGCCTTTCATCCCCAGCGCATCAGCTGACGCCTCTGCGACCGAAGTCCCTCTCTCCCAGGCCACACATCTGCGATTCCCCAATCAAGATGTCGCTGTCCCAATCGACAACCCGACGCGCTTCGTGTCGCATGATAAGCCCGTTGACCTGCGCAGCATCTACTTTGCGTGGCTGAATCGCGAAGTTGCCATCCCCGAATACAATGCTTCGGCTACAAAGCTCAACGACGAGTTGGCTGCTGGTGGTGGCTCGGGCAAGGTTCAAAACTTGGGTTTCATCGAGCGTCTGGATTTGATTACCTGGCTTGAGGGTGCCAGCGAGGAGAGCGAGTATATCAAGCCCCTCGCTAGCGACAAGGATGCTGCAACTACTGGCGCAGCGACAGCAGCAACAACAGGCGCTGTATCGTCAGCTACTCAGGCACGATCGGGTCGTGGTACTATGGACCCGCGGTTGGTGGGCATTTACAATGGCGAACGACGGATGGGCGATCGCAACACTGTCTTAAGGGGCAACAAGCCTACAGTATGTATCTTTGCCTCAACAAGCGGCTGAACTGCATCTAACTTTGTCAGGACTTTTCACATGTTCGCAAACTTGCTGCGCCGTTCATCCAAAAGAAGTCTCAATCTAGCTCCTCCAGCATTCCTAATAATCCTTCACTTGCACTCAACCAGAAGGCTCCCACACGGCGACCGGATCCTATTATTCTCCTATCTCCCTCGGCATCTTCTTTGCTTCGTCTATCAAATGCGCGATCTTTCCTCGAGGATGGCAAGTTCGTGCCTACCGATGCGGGTGGTAACTCAGCCACCATGCTCCACGTTCAGCGCACCATCCCCTCTATCGACCCTAACCGCCCGATGCGTTTCATTCTGGTCGAAGGCTCTGAAGCGTTCAAGCCTGAATATTGGAACCGGATTGTGGCAGTCCTCACCACAGGCCAGACCTGGCAATTCAAGAACTACAAGTGGAGTGACCCTAACGAGCTTTTCAAGCATACGCTGGGCGTGTACGTCGGCTGGCGAGGTGAATCGGCTCCGGATAACATCCGCAGCTGGGGTCACCGAGTTCTGTCTACTGGCATTGATCGATGGCGAGGAGAGGGCCACGATGCCTCGCGCTTCCGTGATAAGGAAATTGTTGAACAAATCTGGCGAGCTATTGAGGAAAACATGAGATACAGGGGCTGGAGAAAGGACAGGGCTCCTTCATCGATATAATCTAAGGACCCAGGAAACATCCAAGCGAAGTAGAACTGGAATTTGATGCTTGCACGCGTTGGATTGCTTGACCATTAGGGGCTATCATGGAAAGGGAGGGGAAGAACTTGCATTTCCCCGCGTGTGCTAAACGTCCTTGTAAAGGGGCGAGGCTCGGGGGATTAAAAGCGACGGCGTTTGAACGGTTTCTTGCCATCAAGGCATATTTATCTAGTCTGGCTGTACCATGTGGCGAGAGGTATAGAGCACTTCAGCACCTAGGTTAATTGATATCTCGTATTTGCAAATGGCGTCGGTCTAGCAGCAAGCAGCCGGTGATTAGGCGCTCTCGCTTTATAGCCAGACCTTTCACCGGCTGGCGTCAATGGCATATAGCAACGTTCCGATGTCCTGGGTCACCGCGAACTCGAAGCCTATCAGAGTGTGGTCAGGGATATCTGAGAAACAGGACGGGATCTCTCAAGCTTAAGCAGAAGTATCATAGGGTTTGCATCCGACTGGATAGCTACATCACAAACTACACAATCGCAACTCGGACCTGTATGCACATGCATCCCGGGTTTCTCATAGCTCACCGACATGGAGCTCCGCAGCAAACAAAGCAACATATCTCGAGACCAGCAGCTATAGCTCAGTTGTAGCACAGACATACCCACGAGACGGGACGGCTGCGGAAGCTGGCTACGCCCGCAAACCACCATGTTGGAGTTGAAGTCAAGTGACAGGCCTGTGTCGGTATGCAGCGCAAAGCTGCCTTTTCCCTTGGATCTGCACTGCACACGCCTTGACTAGCTTATTGCCTCTACGGATATCCTAATGTCAATCTCGATCAGAGCGAGCTTGGAGGCAACCTTGATGCAACTTCCTTGACCTGATTGAATACCCCCACACACATGGGCTTACTGAGTGCTGACGAGTCTGGGGACACCTATAGATGGACACGAGTCAGTCACTTTTGTTATGTCCCAGACATTCCCGGGCTGCCAGACACAATCTACTAATGAGGGATCGTCACGAATTGGACAGATTTGTTTGAACTATGTATCAGAAGGGCAGACTAACACGACCCATCGTCAAATGAACTTGGCTCCAGCCTTGGCACTTCTTCCCGCCGCTGGGCTGGCGGTCGGTTGTTGTGATCCTGGCACACAGTAGGCTAGGGCATTCTTTAAAGACGAGAAAAAGAGCACCAGACTTCAGCCCAACGTCGGTCTGAGAGCCCTAGGCTTCGCCGAAGATGCAAAATTTCATTTCCTTTTGGTACAAGAGAGAGGTCTAGAACACGGATATAGCTCCGCTTCATTCTTGTCTGTGTTTCCTTTCGTCTCTGTATATCCGTAAAGTAGCATTATCGAATGTCGAAAAGGATATGCTCCGTGATTCAGAGAGCCGGCGCCAAAGCTATGTCCACTTGGTGGCCGACGGCTCTAAGTGAATTGAAATCGCACGATGGATTCCCGTAGTGGGTGGGTTTAGTAAAGGCGAGCACGTAATTCAGCCGAAGGGAAATAGGGGGAGCTAGGTGTTGCACGTTAGGAACTACAATCAATTGGTGTTGTATGCTCATACGGTAGCTGAAATACAAGAGATTTTTGAATCCTCAACTCTGTGCCTATCAACCTACATACGGATACATGTATTCCATTATTAACTTCCCAGACATAATACAATCAATACAACTAGGAATACCAGACCCCAATTCTTGTTCCCGTCGGCAAGATCGCCCGCTAGCAGAGTATTTCAGTCCAGAGCTAATTTTCAGGTCTCAGACTCCAGGGCCATATCCCGGCGTAACCGCACTGGAGGAGTAGATAGCTCACCGACTAGAAGCTCCCGTGTCGAGAGCCTGACCTTGCTCGACTCTCGAACGCGGTGGGGGATGGGTTCATATTGGACCATAATATAGTTACACTTATACTGGATCCCGGGGTTCGCCGTGTGAAACCCTGGAATCGTTGCCGATATGAAGGGTCCAGGATAATGCCGATATTTTTCGTCGGGCTCAAGTGCCGTCGAACCTCATTTCAACATTTCCAGGGCACAAGTTTCGGTAATTATTAGTTGGCTAGCTGGCGATCGTGCAATAACGCTATTGTTGTTTGTGTGCCAGGATATTAATTACTGCTGTAGGGCTGTGTGCTGAATGTGTAGGTACTACGTATGGATAGGTTAGGTTAGTAGTTTGTACCTTGTACAAGAGCACGCAGGCACGCGACACTGGAGAAAAGATTGCAATTGCTGGGTTACGGTACGGATACTGTATGCTCAGATACCTCGGGACGGAAGTTTCGAGTCAGAGCTTCCAAATTAGACTGTCGGGAGTTACTGTTGACCTGTCTAGGGGAGGAGTAAAACACTGGCGGTAACTCTACCATAAGATATATTTAGTTAAGTATAATAATATTAAATAGAATTATTTCTCTTTAATATGAGATCTTATAAGTATTTATTAAATACTCCTCCAAACTCTCATTATTCTTATACTCTTTATATAATACTATTATAAATATTCTAGCTAGAAAGTCTAACATGTAGGAAATCTACTATCCGGTGTTTTGTTTCTTCCCGAGGCCTATGTCTGATGCTTGAGGAGATGTTTTGCAGAAACTTGTGGATATCGCCCATCCCGGAATGGTTAGTCGGATCTGCCCCGTGATCGTCTGCCTCGTGGATGTTACATAGCAGTGGTAGACACATGGCAAAACACATGGCTATGTACATTGTACCTCTCGCGTGGCAAGCAGCATGTCAGACAGAGGTACGAAACCCTGCAGATTTGCAGTTGTTCAACAAATGCCATCAAGTACAAGTACAAGTAAAGACAATAGGTACTGGTGCAACATTCCAACGAAACATTGTCCATGACACACGAGTTTCGTGACTCGACTAGACAGAGGGTCAATCGGGGTGCTTTGTTTACGATTCCGCCTACTCCGAGACCTCACAAATAATGCGCTCTCCAAGCTTTGACTGAGTACTTGTCGTAAACTTTAATGATGACGAAACGAAACCTGCATCAACATACGGAGTACATCCTGATGCGTCGTGACCTCGAGCTCAGCTTGGAGCTGAAAGGCGCTAAGGATTACCTTTACCGAAGCTTTGGACTCGAATTAATCAACAAGCAACAGGGGTTGTTGGCTGTTGGTTTGATATAACGACAAGTCGACACTACCCAACACTGTATGTATGCACGTCTGCCACATGGCATTTTATAGGCGACCAATCATGTAAATCAAGACGATAGAACAAACTTGTCTGGTAAGGCAGCCACCTAGAATGCACTACAAAGCTGCGGTGGATCGCGGCGAAGCACATTGCGACTCGGTTAGTCGGTCTAGGAGTAATTACTCACGGAAGTAACAAGGGCCTGGAGGCGAAAGAAAAAAAGAAAAAGAGAAAGAGAAAAAAAGGTAGGAAAAAGAAAGCCATGCCTTTGGCTAGTCGTTAGTGACGTCCTGATCGAGCCACGACTAGTATATTATTAGTATAGCTTGGTGAATTAGAGTCTTGTTTGAACTGCCGTGATAAGTCCCTGGGATTGTTGGGCTGGATTGAGGCCTGGAACGTGAATATGATACGCGCGTAGCATTGGAAAGACAGGAGAAGGAAAAGAAAGAGAGGGAAAAAGAGCTGCCTAAGCGACTCCACTGGTCAATATCGCGCGTGGCTTTGTGTAAACCCACGTGGCGGACCCCGCAAGTGCGAGGACGAAGTAAGCTGTGAGGTGTTGGGTCGTGAGCGTGATGCCACTAATTTCACACCCTCTGTAGATTTTTGCTTTTTGTCTCTCTTTCTTGATGCAGGCATTTTGCTGCGTTCGTGAGATCACTTCTCGGCCGGGATCTGCATGTCGTCAATACCGCCACTTTTAACCACTTCTGCGTCGGTATTGAACTTACACAATGCAGATCGCTGACAAACCTGTTTGCGGTGAACATTGGGGACAGCTTTTGGATTGACCAGGCAGTTGGGGTTCTGATAACCCTGCTCAGCACTATTCAAAGAGAATGTGGATAATTAGCTTACCAGAAATCAGATCATGTATCCGTACTCCATACTCCGTATAAAACGTATACGTATATCAGAGCCGAGTTGACCCCGGTTCGTTGTCGCGTAGGGAGGGGGAAAAAGACAGCCTTTCGAAGCGAAGGAGGGGCCGGTTGCCAGCTCGTCGAATACCAGCTGCTGTATGGCAGTTTTACGTGCAGCGGATTTCTGTTCCTTGGAACCTTGCACGGTAGGACAAGCTCTGTCATGGAGCCACGTGGGAATATAGACATGGTTGAGAATGTGACCAGTCACACTCGGTAGCAGACCGTACCTAAACAACACGAAGCCTCAATTTTATACCCGCCCAGCGGCCCAGCTCACGAATGAGCCAAAGTTGAGCGATTGTGGAGGTCTCTGGCGCAAGGCTCATAACTATGTGCTCTGGTGTTGTGCTGGTGGGATTGGATAGTGTTCTCAGTCTTCTGCTGAGTTGCGGTGTAAGGATGGACCAGCCGCCAGGATGCTCTTCTCCCAGACCACCCTCCAAATCCGACTATTCCCATCTGACAGCTCCTTCTGGGCTGACAGGAGAAGCTATAGCCGTAGCTGATGCTTGCGCTTGCTTATTGTTTAGGTTCCGCAGCACTTGCGCCGTTTCGTGCTGTATGAGAAACATCCGAAACATACCTTGCGTAACAGCGCGTTGGCTGCTTATTTATGCGATAAGGCTGTCATGCCTTGATGCACGCAGTGGTATTCTACTAATTAGCACTTAATTGTTGTTGGGATGTTAACTTGGCAGACGACGATCCAAACGGTAGTGCAGTCTTGATTTCAGCCAGTAGCATGTGCCATAGGGCATCTTGCCTGCCACTTGTGGTGGAGGATTGAGACTATGCAACCCTGGGACTTGAGAGACAGGGTCGGTTAACCATAACCGTCCCATTAGTCAGTAGTCAACGCCCCCAGTTCGATTTGGAATGACATGCGGTATTCTTGGAGTTAGTGTTAGAGTGAGCGTTGCAAGCGTGTGGCGGAAAGTCTTAGATGTACGGATAGTTGCGGTAGGTAATACCACTCCTGTATGGTAGGGCAGGTGCGGTGGGCGCTTATCAATTTTTATATATAGAAGTGTGATCGGAAGCTACGGCCGTGATTTGATTGCTGGTGTTGTGCCGTTCCTTCTCCCAACGCCGCTGGTAACTTTGCTCCTTCCATGAACGATGCGGGGGTCTACGGGCACTTCCTTGCCGATCTGTAACCCCTACCAACCCAGAACCCCTACTGAAACTTAGGCCTTACCTCTACGGATACTATGGACCCCCTTCACCTCCATCCTCCGCCCTATCAATTCTCCATACTTGTCCAGACTTTGTCACCAGGGAGTTGAAATCAGCTGATTCTACGGCAAGGCTACCAAAACACTCCTGTCCACAGTCCGACTTGCTTGGTTACTGGACGGAACTTTGAGTCGGTTGGGATTGCTCAGCCAGCCAGGAAGTCCAAACCCTGACCCCTGGTACGGACAGAATTCTAGAAACCTTCTAGAAAGTGAGCACAGAGCAGAAGAAGTTGCAACGGCGCGAATCACAATCTCGCTTGAGCACCGCCAGGGGCCGGCGCTCTTTTAAGCTGGACCAGTGAGCCGAGCATGACGTGAGCACAGAGCCGTATATACGTATTACTCCGTACTGACAGACAGGCTCCTTTTGAGATGCGGCTGGCACATCTGCCCGTTGAACCACCAGCATTAGACTAACTTAGTGCTTGGGGTAATCTGGAGCGGCAAGTCGAAGGCCGATGAATGCTACGCACACCGCACAGTGGTGATCCTTATGGCAACTCCTTGGACCACGCCAGTAGATGGCGGGCTAGCATTGGCAGCGCTCTAATAATCAATCTCCGGCGTACCAACCACTACGCAAGCCAGAACGAGGTCAGAGCGATCTATGGCGTTCGTTAGCCACGATTTGCGACCATAGACCTTTGAACTTAGCCCAAAACTGCTGAATTTACGAACGTACCAAATGCTGAACCCGTGAGGCGCAAACTGCAGATTCCCGAGAGTCTGAGTAGCGGGCCGACCTCTTGCATAACTTGGCAGGCTCGTCAAAACATCACAAGCAAGCAAGCAATCATCGTGCTAGTCATAAGACACTTGCAGGCCATGTTCATGCGTTAAGACCAACTTGGCTTTTCGTCCATCCGGACATCTCCAGCTGTTTCAAATATTGTGTTTCAGCGGCACTTCTACCTAATTCCAAGCGGGACAGACAAGCATCAGCATCACACACTCAAAACCTACGGGAGACACAAGACCCTGCCACTCACTCCGGAGATGCCATGGGGATTGGCCCCAGGGGCGCGACCCGAAGTACGACCCTACGTCCCTACGTACCAGCGCAGCAGTGAGCCAGCGAGTGGACCACAATCAAGTTTCCTGAGAGGATTTGCAACACGTTCACCAAGATGGAAGGACTGTAGCATGCTTCGGCTGCGTGCTCCGATACCATCTAGGCAATTTGGGAGCAGCCACGAAGATACTCCGTGGGGCTGAGTAAGGGGCAACCACATTCAGCCGCGGCATGGTTGCAATGCACAGGAACTTGGGCGCTTTGATCGCATGGCAGCAACGTGACGCGGTGGCAGGAGGCACTGAGCAAGGGAGTTCACCAGCCGAATACAGTCTAGCAGGGTGGGCCGAATCCCTGGAGCCACGCGCGCTCAAGGGGGAGGTTGAGAACTGAGTGACTGTGGAAACGTGAGACAGACATTGGATGCACACGCCCGCGGCTCAGCAGCCACTCGCTGGTTTACCACCATGTGAAAAACGAGTGTCCAGCGGCCCAAATGGAATAAGCATCAAGAGCAGCGAAGACGTGGACAGCACAGCAGACGACCCTTTGACCAGTTATCTGCTGAAATTGTAGACCGCAACATGGCAGACAACCGCCGTATTAGAACAACCCGGTTAGGTGTGATGTTCGGGGGCTGACGTTCCTCCCTGTTCATGCTATCATGCACCAGTCCGGCTCTGGTTTTCATCAACGTACAGCAAACCTGTGGACAGAATGCATGTAGCACAAGCCTGCCTTGTCAAAGGCGCGGGGAGAGATTTTGCTCCTGCGAGCATTCCTCTGAGGCCTCTGGTTAGAGTGCCGTGCCGCACATACAGCGATTTGGGATTGGCCAAGGTCTTTGGCGCTGGCAATGCGATGATTTCACTCGATGCGATTTGCAACGAGGCGTCGACCCGGGCGACACTTGCCTCTCATGGTTGCACAAGGCACTCTCGTGGCGGGCAAGCCATCGGTTGAATCCTCACAAATCTCACAGCATGAGAGTCGTAAACCAGAAGAGTTTATATACGCACGCATCATGTGGAAAAGAAAATGGAGTTATAAGCTTGAGTTGTGTCGTGCATTGCATTCAAACCAGTTTTACTGCCACTCAGTCGTGTGTCGCTCCCCGATACCATTGTGCGCCAGTCGACCGGACCAGTGCTGTCCTGCAGAGTAGCAGAATGTGGAGGTGCTGCAGTTTACAGACCGCTTACGGAGTACAGATCAGCAAAATAATGATGCAGACATTCCGCGAAGCTCCAACAGTCGGATGGTTTCATCAGCCTGTGTGTGAACCGTCAACAAAATCCGATGCCCTAAAGCGTCGTGCAGTGCTTTTTAGTGCATGGATGCAGCCCAAATGCGACTGTATACTGCAGTGCATAACTTATGAGCTATAAGGGCCCCAGCGTCAACATCAATAACTGACATGCAAGTTGCTAGAAGCAGGTGGTTGATGTTATGCTGTATACAGTTGTGCTATCAAATGACATTGCGTCCGTCAATGGGTGTGTTCAGCGACGATTCGAGCGTGTTATTACTGCTGCTACTCCGTACAATATCGATATTGCTTACAATTTATCGCTTTGACGCACCACATGAAACATAGTTAAGGTCAGGATGATATATATCCGTCACTATCACAAACCCTCATCTTATCAAACACAAGCAGATTGCTGTCGTGTTTGGCTGGAATCCCTTCGTACCTTTGATTAGCCTCAACACCCCTATGATCCCTATCATGATCAAGCTCTTGGGTTTACCCCCATCTTGCTGATACGTATCCGTAGCCTTTCATTTTACATTACATGTACGTACGTCTATTTTCTCTTGTCCCCATGTTTCAGTCGGAGCCGAAGGGAAACTGGCTGTACCAAAGGTACGGTACCCGGGGCATCTATGGCGCTACTCAGCCCAAACTACTCTTCGCCGGGAGGTTGCTAAGAGCCTCCTTAGCCTTGCCGACCGAACCAAACATAAGCTTTGAAAGTCAGTTGGCTGGTCTGATTGAGGGAGCTGTAGTTGATTGGTGTTGATGGTGAACGCTACAGTGCACTACGGCAGCTACGTAGTATGCTGTGGTGAATATGAAGAACTGCGCAATGGACACTGTAAGATGATAGGACAGGCTGACGACAGGTCATCACTGTATGTACTGACGAGCGCGAAGATGCGCTGAAGCCAAAGACAAAGACAAGGGGCTTGGGCTCAGGTTCCTTTCAACAGACAGTCATGGCTGGCACTTCAACAACAGCCCTCAGCCCTGGTCATGAGAAGCCGGCTGCTACGGATACAGAACGACAGCATGAAAGATGAAGGGAACGGCAAATGGAAACCGAGCCTACTTAGACAACCCTAGGCTTTTTTTCTTTTTTCTTTTCTCTTTTCTTTTTCCGTTCTTTGTACGAATATGGAGTATTATGGAGTTTTTTCTCCTCTCTTTTCTTTTGGTGGTGCTGTCTAATTCTTTCTTAGTTGGAGATTTGATCCTTGCCCTGACCCTGATGCTGGTCCTAGCCCCTGACCCTGCGAATTAGCTTAAAGTCCATCTCTCGCCCGCTATCCTCAGCGCCCACATCAGACCGGAGAACGGAGGTCGGCAGGGGCCCACTTGGAGAACCATGACCTAGACGCACACCCTGAATTGACCAGAGGTGGTCTCTTTTGGGTACCCCACCCTCCCCCTCTCGCCAGTTCAGTCGTCTTGGGGGGGTCTTTTTCATGGATGTCCACTGGAGTACCAGTGCCAGTACCAGTACCCCCCGTACTCTTCGTGTGTACTCCGTACTCTCGACCCTCTCCCTACCTGCTTTCCTTTGCAAATCCTATCCACATCCTTTCCTAATCATACCTATTCTACTAATTCTATATACGGTCTACCTTACGGATACACCTGATCTTCTCAATTGCTGTATTTCTTTCAGTGCGTGCCCGTCCCACTTACACTTGCACTTGGAACTGCGCTTGCACTCACTCGCCTTGTCCAGTTCTACCTAGCTCATCTGTGCACATCCACTACCACATCCATATCCACCTCCCAAAAAAAAAACCCACCTCCTTCTTATTTGAACCTTCCCGCTGCCGTCACCATAAACCTCCCCTCCCTCTGACCTTTCTTGTTCCCGTTAGATGGCCACTCTGTCGCATCACCAAAGACCCACGGTTAAACAGCCTGCCTCTCCTTCACATACGCTCGATCTGGATACGAATACTCCACGCTCCTCTATCTCAAATCCTTCGCCTCCTCTTCCAGAGACCACACCATCACCACTGCCACCAGCAGACATCAACTCTTCCGCTACCTCCGCTCCTACAGGCCCAAACGCAAACCCACCAGTTTACATCCCGTACCACCCGCAACACAGCCATCACCGCCATACAGCCTCGTCAGTCTCGAGATTGAACAACCGATCTTCGTCAGGTCTCTTTGCTTTGGCCGCCTCTGCCTTTGATCGCACACAAAACGCCATCGCTGCCATTTCAGAGCCATCTATTCGACCTCGTCATTCCAGCGGTGCCCTTTCACGCCTCTCTTTGCTCACGAGCTCTTCGCCTTCATCTGAGCCCTCAAGCCCTGACAAGTACCACCGTCTTCGAAGTTCTTCTAATCAATCGCTTTCGTCCGGTGCATATCTGGAAAACAAGATTGCTTCCCAGACTCTTCCGGCGAATAACCCGCCGTCCCAGCCTTACACGTCTACGGACCCGAACCTACCGCCTCCCATCAAGTCCTCCACAGCAAACAAGATGCATCAAACATCATCGCGTTTGTTACGCATGACGGATGACGACCGTCCATTCACAAAGGTAAGCCCTGTTGTCATACCCAGCCTTGTATCGTGTACCTTTATGGGTGCCGTTTTGTCTTGTGTGTACAGACACACACATGCCTTTGTGCCAGTACCTGTTCTCGAAACATCATTTGCCTAAGCTTTTACTGACATTGTTGCACAAATAGGACTTCAAAGATCTGTTCTCAACCCTTGTCGTCAGTCTACTACCGCTCTCGGCTCACCGAGTCCGATTGACCAAGGTCGAGTACACCTTCTTGTCCGAAGATGCCATTAACAACCTGGGTTCTCTCAAGTTCTCCCAATCCAACCGCATGCCTGACCCCAAGGATCCCTCTCGCATTGTCACCACCACGACAACCACGACATTCTCCATGGCTAAGGACATGGCCCGTTCTATCTGTCAGCGTTTCCTAGAGGCCCGCTTTATTGAATCTGCAGATGGCAAATATCAGCAGGTTTACACGATGAAGGGCTCTGTTTGGCAATTGACCCCAAAGGGAATCACCGTTCTGGACAGATTCTGCGCTAGGAACGGAATTCAACAGAAACAAGTGTCAGAACTGGCCAACCTTGCCTCCACCCAGTTGGTGTTGCTCGAGCGAGACCCTCAGACCGATAAGCTTCTCCATGATCAAGGAACAATTGAAGTTATTTTCCGCCGATTTGCTGGTGCTGAAGGTCGCAACATCAAGCCTACAGTCAACGCCGCCGATTCCGATTCGCTGCATGATTACCGAGATGGTCTTACAGGTGTTAAGATGGCCGCTGAACGGAAGGTCAATGGAAAGACATATCGAGATACCTTTACTGGTAAGGCCACGACCGACTGGCTAATGGACTGCTCCACTATCGTGGATAAGCGCGAGACACTTGAGGTGGCTACGTTGTTCGTTGAGTTCGAGTTGATGGAGCCTGTGGCTCAAGACCGGGCTTATATGGCCCAAAACCCCGGATGCAACCTCTTCCAACCGACAAAATATGCCATCTACCAGCTGTCGCAACGAGGCAAGGACCTTGTTAGTGGTGCTGCCTCTCGAGGTAGAGCTTCAGAGAGTGAAGGCGGTGCTGCATCCCAGAGGAATGGTATCACCAGGGATTCCAACACCCAGCGACTCGACAAGATCCTCAACGACCCCGCTCTGCGTCTCCTCTTCCGAGAACAGCTTCGGGACACCCATTGTGAAGAGAACTTGTCGTTCTACCAGGATGTCGACGAGTTCGTGCGAAGCTGTAAGGCCGCTACACGGGCTGCGCAAAAGTCACCCAACACCAACGCTATGGACGGGATCAAGGAGATTATGGCTTCGGCATATGGTATCTACAATGCCTTCCTGGCTCCTGGATCGCCTTGCGAATTGAACATTGATCACCAACTGCGCAACAACTTGGCCACGCGAATGACCAAGGCTGTCGGGCAGGATGTGGCTATGATTGACACCCTGCAAGAGGTGACGTCGCTCTTCGAAGACGCTCAAAATGCGGTCTTCAAGCTGATGGCTAGTGTAAGTTTTAAATTCCGCCTCCCCAGCCCCAGATTTCCCGTTCTCGGACACGCCGATCCGATCTCCATCAGACCCGATGAAAGCAAAGCAGAGCAGCCGCTAACAGTGAAAACCAGGATTCGGTGCCAAAATTCCTTCGCAGCCCCAAATACGAGCAGCAACTGCGAAACTACGAGTTTGACGTTGTCAGCCGAGGACCCGAGCGAAGCCAAAGCAGGTCGAACCGAAAGTGATGATCTTGTAGGGGATCTGACCTTCACGAAACTAAAGATGGCCGGCTAGGCTAGTCTTGAAAGGAAACAAAAGCTTAACCCTAGCCCGAAGCCAGAGCAAACCAAAAACCCAAAACAAAACCAGGACCAGGGCCAACACCCTTGCTGGTATACCTCAAGCTATCGCATCATCTGCCTCATTTAAACCGAGTCACTTGTATAGACGTTTGAAAGATTTGGCTACCCGAGCGCTTGCCACCCTCCAAAAACGATACCACCTAGAGACATACCATATCACACTCATACCTTTGCATGCATTATCGGTGTTAACTGGTTTCCGAGCTATTTTTTTGCCTTTGTTAATTTTCATTCTCACCTCGGCCTCCTTCTTCCGTGGCTAGTGCTACGGGTTCGGCCTTGGCCACGGCAACAAGCTACGGCTTTGCCTTGCCTTGCCTTGCCTTGCCGGTAAACGGTCTTTACGCTTCGGCTGGCTCCGGTCACACTCGGGCGGCTCCTAGTCTGGCGATCCATTTACTCATCGGATATGGTGCGTGATGGGGGAAAATACCCCTTCTCCACCGATGCCGGGTCGCGTTCGGTCCGACATTCCGACGATAGATTGCAGACATAGAGGAGTGTATCAAGATGTGTTTCTCCAAGCGTCACCAAGCAAAAGACTGGGCATCGACATCACCGCAACCTGACATCATTCTTCTCTACCTGGGCAGGATATTCGTCGAAAGATCTAGAGACCGAACTGGGCGTCGCAAGGACGATCGACAATTTTGTCTTTCTACATGACTATGGATATATGATGAATTGAGAGTGAGCGGTTGATTGATTTGTAAAGCGCAATGAATGTTTTTCGATACAAACGCGACGACATTTAATTTCTTGTTAACCTTGTGTTGTGTTTTACTTGACTCTTTTTGTATTTTTATTTCGTCTTTATGTCTCTTTTTATTTATTAGCATGCTACGAACGGGACCATGTTGGCAGCAAAATGGGACCGAAAGTAATGCATAACATTGCATGCATTGCATTGGAAGGAGTCGGGCACCTTACATGGCGGGCCAGCGTTGAGATCCGATTGTACATACAAAAAGAAACCTGGGTAGGGCAGACTCGGTGATCTATCGAGGAGAATAAGACAAAGAAATGAATCCACTCACTTTTGGAAAATGTCGTGAAGTGACTGGATCATGTGCGTGTGGTGTCTACTTGAATTTTAAGCTTCTGTTCCTGGTATGGTATGAGTATGAGTTATGGACTGGGCCAGTATAGGAGGGCACATGGAATGTCTAGGTGTATTTAGACATGATGTGATACTACTATAGATACTACCAGTGATTTCCTGTGGTATCTATTGTGGCCTAGGAGCACGCGATATGTCGTAGGTTAAAAGTCAAACATTCTGCCGCAAAGCTCCAAGGAGTGAGTACATACATACATACAACATGAGCAAAAGAGCTCGACTGCATGTTTGCAATCAAACTAGAGACCTGTCATGTAACCAATGAATGCCTTTATCCCTCTATACTACAGTCAATATGTGAAATCTCTCATCTCATTAACAATACTACATCCAACAGTTAGCAGATAAACATTCTCCAAACGGCAAACGCACTTTGCAGCACTTTTTCTTGGCCCGTTGTCTTAACAAGACATTGCATCAACTAGAGGCTGAATGTTGTTATTGTCTGATCATTGCATGATTGAGATTTGATATTGTACAATGGGCCTATGCCATGTTCTGTATAGGTAGGTATGTGGGGGTCCACGTCAAAAGCAGTCAAATAAGGGAGTATGAGACAGCATAGGCCGAGACAACGTCACAAAGGACAACTTCCAGATCGATCGATCGTCAGAACGTTTTGTTTGTTGACTTATGGAGTTTCATTGCAGTGAAAAAAGAAGATGTGTTCTTTTCAGTAGATGCTATCTGCTAGTGCTATTACTACGTCATGCGACTTACACGAGACTGTATATATGAGTATCACACCACACTGCCAAGCAAACTGCACTTAACAAAGACTCAAAAACCACTTACACTCGATCAACCCAATCTCGGTCTGAATTGCCCAGAAACACGTCAAGTCAGCCCAAAATAGCACAATCATTCTTGATTGACTCGGAAGAAATTACACACACAAAAAGAATGCTCTCCCTGCATCCCATAGCCCAGGCCACAACTCCCTTGGAACGGAGCCCGCAATTTCCTCATCCTTCTCCCTTGCGTACTGGAATGAAGCAGCATGGCCATTCAACTGTTTACCATTCTTCTAAGTGGCGGCTAGACTGTCGCAAGCCTCAGGGGCAGAGATAAGAAAAAGGAAAGAAAAGAAAAACAAAGACAGGAGAGTGAGACAAGGGGGATAAACAAATGCTGCCCCGAGTCAGTGTGCGAGGGCTTCACTTATAGATAAAAGATGGCCTCTTCAACCGCTTCATCTAACCCGATCTCATCACCACTCAGCATCCTTTCATCGTTCTTTGCAACCCACACTCGTTCAACATCTCGCCCAAGTCACTCGCTTGATCACACTCGTTCACTCCAGCAAAACTCGCAACTCGCTCTTCCGCAACTCCAACTTCTTCTCAGACTTTCAAGCCAAGTCCACCAAACAAAACCAACTCATTCAAGATGTACGCCCTCAACGCCGCTGCTATCCTTGCCCTTGTTGGCATTGCTGCTGCTCAGCCCACCTATGTCGTCTCCCCTGCTCCTGTGCCCACTCCTCATGGTGGCAAGAACGGCACCATTACCGTCACCAGCGTGTACGAGGTTTACACCACCTACTGCCCTGAGCCTACCAGCTTCCACTTGGGCGGTAAGGACTATGTTGTCACTGAGCCCACCACTCTGATCATCACTGACTGTCCTTGCACCGTCACTGAGACTCACCCTGCTGGTCCTACTTGGATCCCCAGCCATCCCGGTGGTGGAAAGCCCTACAACCCCGTCCACCCTAAGCCCGGCCACCCTGAGGAGCCTGGTCACCCTTTGAAGCCTGAGCATCCGGTCAAGCCTGGTCACCCTGAGGAGCCTGAGCACCCCGTCCAGCCCGAGCACCCCGAGGTCCAGAAGCCCGGCAAGCCTGAGACTCCCGCTCCTGGGTACTCCGCCACTCCTGAGCACCCTGCCACTTCCGAGACCCCCGAGACTCCTGAGACTGAGAAGCCCTCCAAGGGCGAGGACGTCCCCGAGACTCCCGTTATCACTGCCGGTGCCGGTGCCGTTAGCTTCAGCCTTGGCCTTGCCGCCATCTTTGGTCTTATGGCCCTGTAAGCTCGCAACGACAAAGGCAAATATCCTCAAGAGAGTCTCAGTCCCGAAAGGACGAAGCAGACGATCTTGCCTGTTCGTCAGCTTGCCAACTTACTCTTAGGACTGATACATCTTGAGGATTAATAACGCTACGATTCATCACGAGCGGCCAACGACATTTTACTTCGCTTCGCTTCTTCTCACCAACGTATTAATGACAACATTTTTCTTCTTGGAGTATTATGCACTTGCATTTGCACCGTCAAAGGGTGGGGAACACTCGTTATTGTCCTTCTATAGTTCACAGACTTTACTCATGTCTCGGTAATGAGACGTTTGAGTGCGGTTTGAATTTGGAAGGAATAAGGAGGAGAGTCCATCTGTTCAGGGGCTACCAGAGCCATTGCCTTTCTTTGTGACGAACCCCATTCCCATCAAGGGATTCTCGGGGGTGGGTGAGCCACATCGAAGGGGATTTCGTTTGTTTGGAGACTTTTGATAGAAAATGGGAGCTTCGGAAGGCATTTGCATTGCTTGGAGATGACCTGTATCGTTGGAGTAATATATAAAAGTATAGCACCTAACGAATTTTATCACTATATTCATTGAATCCATTTTTCTAAATCTTGTGTATATGGTGAATGTGCCTCGCTCATACCTTGATTGATAGCAAAAAATAGACATAAAAGTCAAAGCTAGAAATAACGCCCCAGCTCCAAACCCGAAACAAGGACAAATTGTTAATCAGATGTGACTAAGTGCTTGTTTCTCAAGCTAGTTCCGCAGGCCCTGTCCTCTCCTCCAGGTGGCGAGGGCGGTTATGGGTGCCGTCGTCTAGCTCCGCATAAGTCTCTCTTTCGTCAAGCGGAGAGTGTGAACTATTGTAGGGGTTCTGATCCGAGAACTCATTGTAATGGTCAGGCCTGCTGTTGCCACGGTAAACTGTTCCAGAGTGACTGAGCTCTGATTGATTCGATCCCAATCTCTGAGGCTGTCCAGGGGGCGCGAGACCACCGCTTCTCTGTTGATGCACATCGCCCAGGCTTGTAGAGGGTGTGCCGTGGTTGTAGGGAGGAGGTGACGATATGGATAGGTCCGGGGCGAATCCGCGCTGGTCGCTGCCCACGGGATGCGGGAGAACGGGCCTCATGGATGGTACTCCTGAAGATTCAGAGGCCGCAGGGGTTGGCGTTTGAAGGCTTCCGGGGGAGCTAGGACCAAAGTTTTGTATAGAGTGTCTTGATGCCTTCATAGATGCCTTTTCTGACAACTTCTCCACGAGACTCCCATGGGACTTCTTGATGGTCTTCTTCACAAATCCTACCATGAGCATGTTACAGCGCATATCAACATCCTCGCGGAGATATAGACCCGTAGTCGGTGCCCCAAGACCCAGCTCAACAGGCTGTGGGCGTTCTCCAGGCATGGTACCTCCCACAGACCAACGGCCACGGAGATCGAGCCCCATAGGAGCATAGCTGTGTGTCTGGAGCCCATCCGGTGAGTCAAAAAAGGCGGCAGTATATGAAATTTGGCCCGAAACAAGGCCACCAGGGAGGTAGTCGATACGGTCCGTCATGGAGTACCATATGCACTTCTTCTCATCCTCCGGGGCGTGTGGCGGAGGGGGGATTTGGTGGCGTTCTATAATGAGAGGATTCAGGTCGATCATGGCAAGATGATCGTGGAGAAATTCGACTACATGCTGGCGAGATATGTCTGAAGGTAAGGGTGTGATTGTTGTGAATGTAGACCGAGTCATGGTTCTTTTTTCTTGGTGAAAGTTGTGATCGACACAATGCAGGTAGGTTATTTAACTGCCGAGAAAGATGAGGGAATGCCGAGTAATGGAATCTGATATGAGAACGAGAAGAGGGCTATGTTGATTGGGTGCCAGTTTTTAGAGATAAAAGACGTTGGCGATCTTTGTTGTTGTTATGATAATCAAAGATTTGAGATGACGGCGGTTGTTTTTGCCAAGAATTTATGAGGTGCTAGTCAATGCCAAATGCTATGGAAGGAAGGATGGAAGCAATCCTTCCCGGTTCAGCCCCAGCTGTACGGATAAGCCACAAAAAATAGGAGGCAGCTGCGACCTGATAGTTAGCGAGTGGCGATCGTCTATCGAACCTTCCAATCCCTTGGCCGAAGGAGGTCGGGGAGTTGTATCAGATTGCCACTAGCTCTGATACGTCTATCAAATCAGGGTCTGACATCTTCAATGACGTCTAATGAAAGGGCAGATAATAATAGCAGCAAAACCCTTAACTACCTATCAGCAGCGGAAATATCAAATAGCTTCACTTCGCCAGTTTAATGAGTGAAACAATCAACTGTAGCAATTTCAAATTCACGCGGTCTGTCACTTGACACGTCTCACTAAGAAGCCCGCTTGGTCTGGTCTGGGTGAGATTTTAGCCTGGACCTAAGCAAAACTCCAATATTTACGGAGTGCGGATACACACAATGCAACATAGTGAGCATGGCTTACTATATCCAGACTATTGCCGTAGACTCGGATGCCAGAATATCACACCGCGATCTTCATCTTCAAAGGGTGCTTGCTCCCTATGCAAAGCCGTCTTGTTCCCATCGCAAAATTCTCCAACGAGTCAGGGAAATACGAAAAAAACTCAAAAGTATCGCCGAAGTAGTCGTGACATGCCCCTACATGTATACAGGGGCTTCATTAATAGTACATACATCTATAGAACAACGGATGTGTATCTAACACGCCAACGAGGCATTATATCGTCAAACAGTGGCCTCCTCCACTATATTTCTCTGCACCATCTCGCCAATACGGCACTCAACTTGACCGCTGCTGGGATCTCCTCCAGCGCGACATCCACTTTCCACATCTTGCCCTCCAAACCCCCATGCCCCAGGTTTCGGGCACCACCTATGCCGGCTGGCACGAGCAAACCAAGTGAGATTAGTCGTTCCCAGGCAATGCCAGCCACGCCACGGCTCCAGACCCGGACTCCTCCGCCTACAGCGAGCATGCCTGCCGTTGCGGAGTGTACTCTCTGCCTGCCCATCAGAGAACTGTACTCATCGTATGCCATCGCCAAGTTGACCGTGTCTGTGTGTGCCACAATGTCCAATCGTGCAGCAGCAATAAGAAGTCCCAGATCTAGCTCAGACAGTGTAGACAGCAGGTGAAGCCTAGAATCAGGGGGTGTTAATGATTCAACATCTCCTTGCACCGCAGGTATCTTGAGTGTCACGTCGCTGGCTGAGAGAGCCGACAAAGGCAAGATCCATTCGGTAAGGAATGCCGAAGTTGACTTGGTTGTGTAATAGTGATACTGAAGCAGGTCCTGGAATGATCGCTCCCTGTATAGCCCCTATATTGCCTGTTAGTATCTTCCGTAAACACAGGCATACACTGACATACCTCTATCTTTTGGCTCCAATACTGCTGGAACTCTGCATGTCCTTCGAGATAAGTGTTGATGCCCTCCTTCTCAGCCTCATCGTTGTCTACGATCAACCCCTGTCTGCAGACTTGCCAATAAATGGGAAGACTCTTGGGTTGAGAAAGATACACATAACGATGACTGAATCGACTCTTGACTCGCTTCTCCAGCATTTCAACAACATCCAATCGAGTTGTACAGCCCACCACGGCGATGGGCGCCTTTCGCGACTGTGCAATATCGAACAGGTTGTACAGTAATGTTTGTCGAGGGTGAGATGCAAACATGTCGAACTCGTCAATCACAAACACAATCGACTGTGACGTGACACCTTCGTCTGTACCGATAATCTCGGACGGATGTGACAAGAGAGCGAGCAACGACGCCATGGTGTCGGCATAGTTTGTCTGCTATGTCAGTAAGATTGTAGCAGAGGGGAGCGCGGGTTTAACTCACTCTGTTCACCAAATCGTCTTCAACCTGCATCTCCTTGCCCAATTGTCGCCAAATCTCTTTAAGGGCAAGCTTGTCATCAGTGTGGATGAACCCATTGAGCCTTACTACGTGAAAATCGTTCTTGTGTTCTTGCGATACGTCTGTGATAACCTTTTCCAGTAACTGTAAGATATAGTTAGCTTTCGGCATATCCCAAGAAACAGTAAATAGCCTTACAGTAGTCTTGCCACAGCCTCTTGCGCCAATTAGAAGCATTGAGTTTCCTTCGCCAGCAACCACAGTCTGTTCCACAAGTTGGTAGACCTTCTCCTCAGCCTCTAGTTGACCAGACAGTTGCAACCGTCTTCTCCCAGTACATCGATCCATGAGAACCCGCTGTAATGATCGCAAATGCTGTTCCAAATTGGTGATATCGGGTACATCTGCTGCAATTTTGATAGTGGGAACCTCCTTGCCCACAGTCTTTTTCGGCGTTTTAAGTATGTCCTCTTGAGTACATGACCTGCAAAGCCAATCACCTTCTGGGATGTCAGGCACACCGTAGCATTCTTGATGAACTGCAAAATCACACATATCGCATAAAATGATCTGATTCGGGTCTTGAGAATGGGGCTTGAGACACATTGCGCATACGATCTCGTCTGCTTGGGACGGTGCCGACTTGCGTGGAGTCTTAGCTTTACTTGGTAAATCTTCAAAGAACACCTCTCCATTTTGATGTTGACCTGCTCCAAAAGTAACATTCTTCGGTCGCCCTCGTGGTCTCCCCTTCTTCGTAGGAGTTAGAATCCCCCTTGGTGTAGGTTTCGATACCGACAGGTTTCCATCTGTTGTCGCCAGTTCATCAATGAGCTCTTGCGATTGTGTAGGATCGATAAGTTGGCCATTTTCGTCGACTTGATCTTGGACCTTCTTCTTCCGTGGTCTCCCCTTGGGAGCCGCAGGTTTCTTGGGTGTGTTGGTTCTTGGCCGACCAGGGCCTACTTTCTTGGGCAGAGGAGCAGGGCGGTGCGCATCTTCGGTATCCCATTTTGTTCCTCTTAAAGCAGATAGCTTGATTGCAGGACGAAACGCAGGTGCCGCAGCAGGTTGTGAAGATGCTTTTGATGGTGATGTTGCAGGTTCCTGGTCGAGGCCTGATACCCCTAGATTATTGTCTACGGGCGGCCATGAATTTTCATCATTCGCTGAGATAGAAGGGTATGCGGAATTGATGGCTTTGAGGGCCTTTGGTGTCGATGGAGATCCAGGTACAAGTTCGTCGAGTCGGCGTTTCTTGAGGGTCGCAGGAGTCGGTACAGGCTCGTCTTGAAAGTGGTTTCTTTTTCGACCGCCAGGGGTGATGGAGGGAGTCATGATGGAGATGTAAAAGGTTGGTGGTATCGTCAAGCCTTTGCCGTGTCGAGGTCTACCATTGCATTATGTCTCGATGCGGTTCGTGGTTCGTGATGTGTAGTTCGAAATTGTTGGTTGCTGGCCATATGCATTATAGCGCTAGCCAAGGCTAATTCCAGGGGAGACGCGTTTGACGCGTCGTGATGGGGCATTAACTTATTAAGCGCTTCAACTGCTGCCAAGTCACGGGATCTTCGCGACATGCACAATCGATCCACTTTACCAGCCCTACGGGGGGTCTTTTGCCGTTGGGTTTCCTAAATGGGTTGCATTCTTCGAGGGACATGTTGGTCGGATGTTGCATGCAGCGACTCTTTCTGTTTATGTCTCTCCAGCGCTAATGACTCAATTTTGATTGCATCTGGTTATGCTGTTGATGGGTAGTGGTTATGCGTACTCACCCTCTTCAACTCCGTATGTCTGTCTTCGTGCATCTTTACATCTTCTAGGACATATTCCCAGACCATTCACATCATCACGTACATCACATCAAGCAAGAATGAGAGATGGATGTGAACTGCAGATTTCTAGCGATAACCAGGATATCTTTCTATAGTAAAGTGCGGCTGAAGAAGAACGACAAGGGCATACAGAACACCTCTAAGCGACAGCACAACGTACGTTATGACTAGTCAGCCGCATTGCAAGATATACCCCAAAAGGGTAAAAGAGCGAAAACATCAGCACCAATTCGAGGGACAGGCCTGGGACTTTGGTCAGCTCGTTACCGTTTGTTCAGTAGCAGATCCTCCACTCTCAAGGGTCAACCCTTTTCCAGCCTTGTGGATCTGCTCCCCTTGACAATCCACGCCAAGTAGTATCGGTGTTCCTAAAAACAGATGGGCTGAACCATTCATTTACTTTTCAGCGCCTCTTATTCGCTCCTTGGTTCAACATAATTGGGGGCTGGGCCCCAACGAACTTTCTCACGTAAGATATCATTCCCGCTGCAACGGTATACTGCGGGCGAGTGTTCAATCAGGGCCCCCAAAAGCTTATCGGCTGGGGCCTTTCTAATGCTTAGGTTGTTTTTCTCTGTGCTGTTATAGACGGACACTAGGCAGTACTAGGTCATATTTTCTCTGATCAAGGATCAAGCCATGAAACTCTGTATGGCGCTTCCTCCAGCTAAGAGCCTAAGGCCTTTAAGCGTGTTAAAGTAATGTTGATCGGGTCACATTGGACATAGGATCCACGCAGTCATGGCCATAGTCTATGTTTGAAGACATTGTTAGTCCCTGATGTCCCTGCTCGTTTGTTATATCCAAAAGTTTCGGTGAGATTCACTTAAGTAAGACAGCTCTGCCGCCTGTGTAACTGAGCGAAAACCTTGGACTGCGTCTACAGACTTCTTTGCTTGAGTTATCTGTAAACAATGGCAAAAGACGACTCACCCGAGGCTGTGGCGGCTGCCAGTAAGCTGGCTCTTATCAGGAGTCCTCTCGTGACAGACTCTGGATCTAGCTTCGATGCTCTTCCTACCAAGCGCACTACGGCGCCTGATTTAGCACTCTTTGGCAACCGATACGAAGATGACTGTCCCCAATTCCTCAAGGTTAGTATCTCATAACAGGATAGACACTTGTATAGAAGAACTGTCTTTGCTGACACCTTAACAGCACGAGGACGCCAGTCTGCTCGAGCTTTTCTACGATCTCTTCTTCGCCGCAAACTACACCGTCTTTTGCGAGACCCAAGGTGTCAACAGTCATGAGCGCTTCAAGGCTTACGTTGGCTACTTCAGGTACTAGAATCGGATAAAGTTAAAAGGGACTAATATACTGACCAACCGGTAGTATTCTCTGGATCACATGGCTTTCAACCAGCTTATACGATGTGCGATTTGTAACCGACAGTCTCTTTGGTGAGCCATAATTTGAAGACTTCATCGAGTTATGCTAACAGGTTTAGAACGTGCGGCTCGAGGTGTCCATCTAGGTGTCATGGTCGGATTTGCCGTTGTTGCTCCCAAGTTTACACCCCACGATCAGGATATAAAGACGATGAGGACCATGTGTAAGCTACCTACTCCTTGAGACTCTTCGTGTTATCCCTTGACCTTCTCAACTAACAACCTCAAGCTCTCATCCTCACGGTCTCTCGCCTATGCTTAGCTGTCGAATACGCCAGCATCCTCTGGCACATTCGAAGATACAAGAAGCAGGCGCTGCCGATGCTCCTACAGATTGGCTTGAATTTTGTTCTCGCTATGATCTATCTCGGAGTCACATTCCGCTTCACCGACCACAACAGCAACGTCTTCATGACGTGGTATGTTCTCGCTGGTGTTGAGGTCATCCTTACCTTTGCCATAGCCTATATCTTCCCAGTATTGAGTTTCCAAGGAACCCACTTGATGAAGCGAATGGGCCTCTTGACTGTCATTGTTGTTGGTGATGGAATTATCACCATTTGCCGAAGTGTAGTCACCATTGTTGAGGCCCCTGATTCGTGGAGTAAGTTGACACCCCTGAATCAGTTTCTATCTCATTGCCAAGAGTGTGAATTAACGTCTTCGTAGATTCTCAAACAATTGGAATTGTCACTGCCGCTGCAACAGCCATTTACGCCGTCTTTCTCATCTACTTCGACTGGATGAGAAGTCCCTACCTCCCCAAGTTCCGCCAGCAGCTCTGGACTCTGCTTCACTACCCTCTCCATCTCGCCCTCTGCCTCTTCGTGCAAGGCTTCACTCAGCTCGTCATCTGGACCAAGATCTTTGATGTCTTCTCCCACCTCGACACTAATTCGGTGCTTCTGAACGACGAAAAGCTCTTGGCTAGAGCGACAACAAAAGAGATCGTGAAGGAGATGGAGAAGGTCGTGGCCGACTTCTTCAAGATTTACACACCGCAATACATCACGACCCTGAACACGGCTGACGCGGCTCTGAAGAATCTGTCCACCGTTAGCGACAAGCTCTGGGGTCAAGCCGTTAAATACACCCAGACAAATCTAGAGAAGGATGCGCCCGATCCTGTGCAGTTCCAGACCGTCCAAGATGCCCTGCTAGCGCTTGTCAGTGCCATGGAGAACGCTGTGCTCGAGACTTTCAAGATCAATCTCGTGAAAGAGGTTGATGACGAGAATCAGAGCAAGGGCATCGAGCAAACTGACGCTAGCTTCGAGTCGGAGCTCAACGAGAAAACGGCGATACGATTTATCCTCATTGTAAGTCGACACACTCAAAATCGCCCTCTCTCGAAATACTAACATATTGTGCAGTTCAACTACACATACATAGCTGCTGGCATCTCCCTTATTCTCATGGTTACCCTCTCTATCATCTCGCGCACGCGCCCCTGGAGCAAATGGGCCATCACCCGCCATACCATCTTCGCTCTCCTCGGCGTGGGAACTAGCCTCGTCGCTTGCTTGAGATACAACCAAGAACAAGCCGACAAGTTCCAGGTCAGCGCTTGGATGCTGCCTACTATTACTCTCGTTTGGGTCGTCGTCCTCATCATGACACACATCCGCAACCCGCCGCCTCTATTTTTCAAAGGAAGTGAGTCTTTTTGGAGTAGGAAGAAAGAAGAGTCATCGCATAGCTATAACATGCCTTCGGAGGGACAGACAGCGTATAAGGCGGTTCCACACACTCAAGTCGCTTCCTCCGTTTAGACCGGATATTGAGAGCGATGCTAGAAAATTGTTTGTGATCTAGGGCATGTGGCAACAAAACAAACTTCAATTTAGCAGGTTGCCCATTTATAGATTGGACTTTTAAATGAATAGTATACATTCTTAAGTGTGAGTTGACATTACTCTTCAAGCCACAGGGGTCTCAATGGACGACTTCTCTTGAGATCTAAGTCGCGTTGATTATCTATGGTTAATTTGACTCGTCCTTGACGACATATTTTACCACAAACCTCGGGTAAGTTCAAGGACCTACCCATGTACTAATAACAAATACTCATAACACATAATGAACTGCTATACATGAATTGTACATTCTGTTACTGCATTAATAAGGTCTAGAGTAATCAACAATCCATACCAGTTAGGAAAGGGTTGCTGTATGTAGTATCTAGGGGCTGTTCCATCAACTCTGCCGACCGAAGCTTAAGCGTCATGAAAGTCGCATCCTATTCTCAGCTTTGATGCACCCTTCCTGCGTCCGTGATAGACACACACACCCGTTCCCCCGCTTACATGCTTCTCGTTTGCTGGGCACATGGGGCTATTTGGTAAGTGTTCTGGGAGTTGGAACTCGAAGGGAATTGGTTCATCAAATGGATTTCTACGAATGGGCTTCTTGGGAATCTTGTCCCACCACTCGCTTGTGTCAGCCACATAGCTCCCACGACGAACGGTTTGTAGTGAAGTATGTCTTGAAGAACAGCTGGCGTACGTTTCATGCCGATCATCGTCCATGGGAGGGACTGTCTCAGTGAAGAAGGAACGTGGTCGGCCGCTCATAGTGTCTTCTGCCAAAGGAGGAGTCTTGATGCGTCTCGCTTCCTAAATGGAAGAAGTGGTCAGCAGCTACCATGTCTTGGGTTTAACCGAAACATACCCCTCCAGGAAAGTTGCTATCACCACAATCGACGTGTACTGCTTTAGTGTTAGCATCGAGGTTTCGACAATACATACACCAGACAACATACATGACGATGCACTCGAGCTGAGAGAAGGAGGAGGAGTCTCACCTTTGAGTATCTCTCTTACAGAGCTCGTTACGCTGCTGAAAGAGTCTCCCGATTCTTTACGGACCCATGGTGCTCTGCCAAAGAGTTTTCGCCGCAGTCTAAGCTTACTTGTATCATCATTCGACCATGCGCCTGTTTTTGTGATTTGGTGCATGCTGGAGTAGTTCCTAGTGCCATCCATCGTCGAACAGTGGTGCACTTGTTCAGGTATTGATGGACATGGTGGTTCCTATCAGTAATTAGCCTGAATCGTGTTACCGGGTCTCTAAACCATTCGCACTTCTCTTCGAGCTTTGAGTCCCAACTTGGACTCAAGACTCTTCTTTGCTTTGCCGTATAAGCCCCCAGAACTTGGAGGTGACGAAGGCGGAGTGCTCGTTCCTCGAGCTTTCTTGGAATTGTTCATTGGCGAGATCGATTCTGTGCTGGCCATACCAGGAGAGGTATCGGCCGAGCCTTGATTTATGTCGGAAAAACGAGTGACGGTCGGGTGCTGTAAGGAGAAAACGTGTGCTGACTCCGATACAAAGGGGCTTGAAGGTGGTCTCGACTCAAAGGCCTGGAAGGTTGCTGGCGCTGACATCGGCGTCAAAGGAGATGTAAACGAGTCTCGGAAATCTGTTTCGCTAGCCGACTTTGTTGAGCGGTTCCGCCATTTGAAGAAGCTTTTGCTAGATGTGCTCTTCCGTGGTTCCATAAGCTGGCGCTCTGCCCAGTAACCTTGCGGGAACCAGACCTACTCGTATCCATCGCGAGGAGGTCGTGGAGGTTCAACGTTGAATCCTGAGAAAGGATGAGGATCAATAGGTCGAGGTGTAGTGTTAGTTGAAGGAAGAGGAGCTGCGAAGTCATTCTCTGGCATAGAAGGAAGTCTCGGCTGGTGCCTCATGAAGTTCTCATACTTCGTTTTGGATGGAGAAAGCGACGTAGGAACGAAGGGGGTCGGGGTTTGTGTCCGCAACGGGACATTGAAGTAGCTAGGCTCTATCAGTACTGCCTATGGATCCAAACATGGAGTGTCAGTACTTAGATTCATTCATATTATGAAGACTGGTTGGTAACAATGGATCCGAACGAGACAATGCTGGCATAGCGAATTCCAAGCGTAAATCCTTGAATGAAGTCGCCCTTTGGTCAAGACTACTCAACCTTCGGGGCGACAAAGGCTATATATAGGTGGATGGGAGAGGACTGTTTCTATGTCGAGCAAGAAGTGGGAATTTAGGAAGCGGAATATAGAACGTTATGATAAATGTATGATTATGAAGCCGCAGGGAAGGGGAGTTGAAAGATCAAAGCCTGTCGCTTGGAGATGTTGGGCGAGCTGATGATACCTACCTACCGTGTCAAACTTGCTTTGAGAGCCATCGCACCTTACATTTACTTCAGTGACCAACTTGGGTAGGTACTACAGGTAGCGGCAGATTTCCATCAACAACATTGAGGCATGTAGGTACTACCTAACTAGGTAGGTACAGGTAGTTACTAGGTAAGGTAGGTACTAGGTATGATTCAACAAAAGAATAATGAGAACAAAGTATCACTGCGGAAAAGATTTATGTAATTGGTATAGAAATGGGCTTCTAGTCTCCAATGGACTTAAATCTATCTCAACTCAGGTCGAACCAGCTTGAAACCATTTTGATACGCCAAACGCCATGTTAGTCTTCATTCATTAGGAAACATCCTTGATCGACCGGGCCAATCCCATTAGTCAATGAGCATTGTGTCGTCGCCGTCCATTGCCGGACCCTCTTGCTCCATCGGCACGCCACGTCCTCGGCCAGCCAGAAGCTCTCTTCTCACCTCAGGTCCGATAGCTGGGTGGCCGTGTGTCAGGAGGAGATCCAGAAGAGCCTCACGCTGATCTTCTGTAACATCACCCTTATAACGCTGAGCAAACGCAAGCAGACTCTGATGCCAGATAACAGGCAACTTTATCCTGGCGTCTCCCTCGGCGTACCCTGACATAGTATCGCCAGCCCGAACAGAGGCGGGGTCGACACTGCGGAATCGCAGGAAGTGGAAAACCAGAGCGTCGATAACCTGGAAAGGTAGCGCGTACTTCTTCTCCAGCAGAGCCTTGATGAAGATGTTGGTGGCACCTCCGCCCTCTGTGCCGTGCGACGCCTCCTGAGCGGCAATATCACACAAACCCTTAAGAGCGGCGGCTGAGTGAAGAACGGGAATAGAAATTCTGACCAAAACGGCAGAGATAATGTGCGCTTCTCGGAGCGTACATGTTCCACTACCAACGAGAGGGAATAAGAAACCCTTGAAAAACGCAGCAGGCTTGTAAAGACCCTTCTTCAGTGAGTTGAACAAGTGGATGTTGAGCTTCTTGGTTTCGTAGATGTCTTCACGAACACGGTCGAGGATAACCATTTCCAGGAATCGTTGGACCACATGAGGCTTGCTAGAAACGAAGATCCTTGTTGCTTGGTAACAAGCGTTGGTAGACCACTTTTCGGGCTCGGTTACAGCGAGAATGTCTTCCCAGTGAGGGATCGTGGGAAGGATCTTGAAAGGCTTGGGCAGAGGACCGGACTTGTATCGAGAGAGAATTTGGCCAACCCTGTAATCATTAGCTTGTGGGGATTTGCGCATGACCACATGTCAACTTACTTGGTGTAAACCTCGATAACCTTGGGAGGGAGCTCATATTGGTCCTCATCGGGAGGCCCCAAGTTGTTCTCTCGCCTCTCTTGCGCCGCCTCGTGGGCAGCAATCTTCTCCAGAATGAGATCTGCGAGGTTGACACTGTCGCCTTGCTCCTCTCCTGTAGGCTTAAGGTCCCAGCCATGCTTCAACAGCTCATCCTCTTCCTCATCAGGCATGAACTTTCGGTACATGTCGAGATCATTGGGATCGACTTCGACCTCTTCCACAACCTCATCATCCTCGCCCCAAGCTTCATCGTCATCGTAAACCTTGTTCTCCTCCTCAGCCTCGATGTCAAATCGCGAGTCGTAGCCGAAGCTGTCGGCGGTCGGTTTGGCTACAGCCTTGCCAGCGTTTTCCTCCTCGGCCAACTCGCGACCTATGCGCAAGATGGTCCTGGAAGCGCGATCGTCGACAAAGGCTTCTTCGTCATTGCCGTCGCCTTTTGATCGCTTCTTGGAAGGCTTGTTCTTGAGAATTCCAGTGGCTGTGATATCATCCTCAAGAGGGTTGTGTCGTCGCGGGTGCCGCGAGGCGGTGGGAGTAGTGGCCTTGGGCATTTTGGGCGTATTGAACTTGGAGATGGCACACAATGTGGGCTTGGAGTCGCAGTTAGGTAGAATTTCAAATTTTTTGCCTTATCGATAAAGACCCCTCTTGCTTAAACCCGCCTAGCGCGCGTGGTGTCGGCTCACAAAGGTGGCTCACCGCTTTCGGGCGAAAAAAGGCAATACATCGATAAACTGGTGAGCTGGTCGAGGAGATATACGGCGATTGAGTCATTGTGTTTCTTGATGAGTTTACTGAAGGTACCTGCAGTTCTATCCGAGTACGCCAAAGGCTATTTATCATCATCTCCGCCACCGCACTTCTATAATTGTCGATTTGGTACAGACAGGTTAACAACACACACAATCAGAATCTTTGTAGTCATGAGGTGCAGATCAAACATGTACGAGAGAACTATTTTATATCATCGTAGCATATTATGACTCCTGATAATAATACATAAGACGTTCTAAGAACACTTCCATCAACCCGCCTCGTCTAAGCTTTTAGGGTCAAGGCTTGAGAAAATTATGCCAACTGGGCTGCATTTTGCCCCGCCACTATGATGACACACAGAAGAGAGAGACCCTTGGAAACTTCTTCAGCATGTGGGTCCCACTGAAAATTCACTTGTCCGGCCACTACCAATGACGTTCAGGTCACTGAAGCAGCGATGACTTCAGGCCTATAACCCCACCACTATCATGCCCCTCCAAAATCATCACCAATTCAAAAATATTCGCTTTCACAACACGCATCGAGGATATTAAAGACACAAATAAGATGGCTACTCAACTAAACGAGGTATATTGTATCATCCTCCGTTTATAAGAACCCTCAGCTCATAAGAACCCTTCATAGCTTGTGGGCTTCATTGCCAACCCAAACGCGCAGATTCGTCTGCTTGCTGCTGAGAACCTGGTTCCTTACTCGTTGGCAGAACCCAACGTCTTCAAGGCTGAGAAGCTCCAACCCATCAAGCATCTCAGTTTCTTGGTTCGAGATCATCCCGTAAGAAGAGCTCGTCTGTGTCTATATCTGCGTCTCAAACTAAACATGTGCATAGAAAATCGCCGAGCATGCTATTACAATGCTCGTCAACTTGTCAAGTGACAAAGAGGTCCTCGAATTTCTAGCCACTGACGAGAAATTTTTGGGCATTGTTTTTGATCTCATAGTGGTATGTGTAATGATTCAAATCTCCCAGTACCGATCGCTAACCTATAGGTAGAACCCAGAAGAAACCAATGCCAACCTACTAGCCATGCTTGTCGCCAACCTTTCAAAGTGGGATGGCTTGAAAGACTTCCTCAAGCGAAAGCAAGAGCCTCCCAAGGAGCTGGGCTCAGATGAAGTCGTTCTCAACCAGCTGCTGGATCTTTTCGTCAAGGGACAAGACGGCACATATAACAAGAAAGCCGATTTTGACTATCTAGCCTATGTCTTTGCCGATTTATCTAAGCACGCGGACATCAGAAATCATTTCCTTCAAGAGCAGTCATACGACAAGGTCATTCCTCTTAACAAGATCAAGGTATTCACCGAGCACAAGTCCGATATTCGACGCAAGGGCGTTGCCAGCACCATCAAGAATCTTACTTTCGAGGTGTCATCTCATCCTGCATTCCTATCAGAGGATGAGATCGATATCCTACCCTACATCCTGCTTCCTATCATGGGCAACGAGGAATACGACGATGACGATAGCATGGACATGCTGCCTGATCTACAACTTCTACCGCCCGACAAGAAGCGAGACTCCGACAACCAGAACGTGCAGACACATGTGGAGACACTCACCCTATTGACATCAACACGGGAAGGACGTGATTACATGCGTCGCGTCAAGGTCTATCCTGTTATCCGTGAAACACATCTGAGAGTCAACGATGAGGGTGTTCAGGAGGCTTGTGAGAGACTTGTGCAGGTGTTGGCGCGAGATGAGGAAGGTGAAGGTGAAGGTGAAGCTAAGGAAGAGAATGGAGTCAAGGCCATTGAGGGTAAGCCCGATGCTGCTAACGGACGGGTTGAAGAAGTGGTTGAGGATGAAGATGATCAGCTCGTTGAGGTTTAAGGTCATCTTTGCAAAGCTAGAAATGAGGAGTTGTGTTTTATGACTAGGACGAGAGGGAAAAGCACGGCTTTGGAAAGGCAATTTTTGGGTGCAATTAGAAGAAAAGGCCAAGGTCTGAGAACTGGCCCGGCTTTGTTGAATATTATGAATATAGGTACTCAAAAGTAACGTATATAGACATTGAACGTTTTGTAAAATAACGAGTGTTGTTCTGTCAACCTAACTCAAGGTATCATTACCATAAAATGCTGCGCTTGTAAATGAATGTTCTTCCGCCAAAGTTCCATATGTACCTATCCTTCCTGATATGACTTCCGAAATATACTAGAAATTCCCATCTGCAATTTTACCAAGTCGTCTATTTCATTTGCCCCATATCTTCTTCACTCTCTTTGAACATGCTCTTTCGAATCGGGCTCGCTGAGGCTTTGGCTGTGATATAGTCCCGACCGGGAGCCTCGTTGGCACTGGGAGGGGACACAGCCGTAGGAGACACCGGTATGTCAAGAGGAGGTGACATGGGTGTTGGATCTGCAGGAGGGGAAGGAAGGGTATCTTCTGTCATCCCAGGGAATGGTGGTGTGTGCAAGTTACCATCTTCAGTCCTGGGACTTACAGGGCTGGTGATATGTCGGAGAGCCAAAGCGTCGCCTTCGGAAACACCAGATACATCAGATTTTACACGAGGTGCTTCGCTGTTGCTTGCAGTTATCCCAGATATGTCAGATGTCATGCGATTATGACCTGCCGTAGGAGAGTCAGGCTGTGACCCTAGAGGGCCCGTTGACCTTGAAACGGTACTTGCATGCTCACCTCCAACAGAGTACGAGTTGCTGGAGGGATTGGACATGGAGCGAGATTTGCCATCATTAGCGAAATGTGAGTACTTTTGTATTATATCGACAGGTGATAATCCAGTGTCGTGGAGCTCAGTTGGTCGTGAAGTATCTTAAACTGTTAGTCCATATAGTTCAACCGGATTGGATAGGAATTTGTAACCTACCAGGCATCTCGTGAATTTGAGTATCAGCCACCTCAGCGGGAGAAGCAGGATAAGCAGGACTACCGGCCGGCGACGGTGTTACACCGACATATCTCGCAGGAGAGGCAATTTCAGTTCCGGGGCTTGCAGGTGTCTCATCGGTAGTGACTGTCGGCGCTTTCTCGTTATGCTGGCCTCTAATCCATGATCGGATACGAGAACCGGGATCTTCAGTACCATAGTCGCTTGAACGGTTCTTGAAGATCTTGCGACGACGCCAGAGGCAGAAGACGACCAAGAGACCCGTGACCAGCATGAGACCAAGCACAACGCCAAGGACTGGCGCAACCCACTTCGGGAGACCAGAACCACCTCCGCTCTTGTCATCGTTGTTGTTATCGCTGCCATTGTCGAGTCGAGGCCTTCCTGTGGAAACTGCTTTGGTATAAGGCCAGTATTCCTTGATTTTCTTGCTGTCGTAGTCAGTGTCGAATATGTCCCCGAGAGCAGAGGTTGACCAGCCATCTGCAGGCGCAGTTGCAGTTGCGCTGCCTTTGGCATCACCTCCAATCTCGGAATAAATCTTTTCGTGAACACCATAGTCGCTGTACTCATCAGGATCATATCCTTCCAACCACTTTCCACTGGTGACGTTAAAGTTAACGACTGGGCCTTTGTCAAGACAAGTGATCGCACTTCCGGCCGGAGGCGTGTAGCCACCGAAAACCAGCATCTGATCTGGGTATGGCATAAAGCACTTATGTCCGGCGCGAGCATGAATCGGTTTGCCCTCGTTGATCTTGACCCAAGTAAATGATGGCAGCGATAGTACCCAGACATCATCACTGAAAGGATCCGTTGGATGGATGCCATCGAACCCGCCATAGTAGAAGATGTTGAAGCTTGTGCGGTCGGAAGCTGTAGCTACCACGGCACATCCTCTTGTTCGTGCACCTGGGCCATCCTTTGTTTCCTGGTTGTACCACTTCTTACCTTGGATATCGTAAACGTCGATGGTCTGCATGAACTTTGGACTTTGTTTCTCCTATCACCAAAGAGTGTCAGCATCAGCTTAGACAGACTACGTGCACTTGTATGCGACTCACGCTCTCTTTCTCGTTGGCTGATTTGCCACTTCGTCCCGCCCATTCGGGATACACGACACCGCCTAGGACAACAAGAATACCCTTTTTACCCACGGGAACCCAAACAACCTCTGCGTTGGCGCGTCCTTTGACATCTTTGAGTGTTGTGTTGGTCCAGGTCTCGTAGAGTTGTTCCTCCATATCCAAGGTGATCAAGGTATCGGACACATTGGTGGCTTTCTTCTCTATATCATTTGTAAAGAACTCTCCGTTCGTGGGCGATCTCAGACCAGAGAAATAAAATGCAAGATTCTCGGATGGCACACTCACACCTCCTCCATAAGCGACATATCGGGTGACTCCCTTGTCCAGCTTCGGATCGACGAAACCTGGTTTCCATACTGGCTTGTCGGGCCCATATTGGTATGCTTGATATCCCAAAATCTGATCTTGATCGGGTGCCTCGTACAAGTCGTCGTTTCGCAAAAGATCTCCACCGTAAAGAAAGAACTCGTCATCATTGCCAAGAAGAGCACCATCGATAAAGTTTGGCGAAGCACCGTTGCTGTTTCCAGAACCACCTCGAGCCTTTGACATGGCTGGGTCGTCGAGAAGGATTTTGGTCACATTGGTAGTTGTGTTGAACGGAGTGCTTAGGTTGAAGTTGAGGATAATTCCTTGGTTGTTGCCTTGGAACCTTAGTCATTGAGTGGTGAACATGGCACAATATAACTTACCAGTGTCAAGTCCCGTCTCTGTTTGACCATCATTCATACGTGCAGTCCATTTGATATCACCACCATCCAGATACACCATATCCCGGATCATGATAGCTAATCAGACATTAGACAGAGTAATTACTAACCGAATAGCTAGTATGCTTACCTCTTGGTTGTTTCCAAATGCATATTTCAGTGCTAACTTGCCCATCTTTCCACGCATCGAATTGAGCGGCAGCAGGACCTATGGCTGCCGCCAAGAATGCCCACGACGCAGTATTTCTGAAGATCATGGCTGCGATCATGGAACGTTCAGAGAGGGTCGCACAGAGGAGGCGTTTGAGAGAAATTAACAGTAGGGAGATGCTACTGGACCATTGCTTATCCAGTATCCTAAGGCGCCCTTCAAAGTTGGCAAGTAAGCCGGGTATCCGCTGATAGGCAAATGACAGAAAGCGCAGGGTTGGTTCGGCAGGGTAAGGGATTTCTATCGACAAAGAAACAGCCTCGGTCTAGAATCAGAGATCGCTATAGTATCCAAGCGACTCGAAGGGTGGCGGGTTTGTGCAATGCATGCACGTTAAAGGGAGCAAGGATAGTGAATTAGACGCCAAGGTAAAATGATCGTAGAGAAAGAAAGCGAACGGTGTGAAGAGAATACAAAACGGTCTCTTAGGCTTGGTATGAAGCTGCAGAGCAAAAGTACACTACTCGCTGTCAAGCAAAACGTTCGCCACTGGGAACGGTTGAGATCGGGGGGAAACTGTAGGATAGGGCTGAATGATCAGCTGTTTCTCGAGTCTCAACAGCACATTCGTTGGCCGGGGATTTTAATGTGCCATTGGGAATTATCCATGCTACCCAGTGGTTCCCATGCAAAAATGGACACCACCTGTGATGTACCATGCTCTGCATGCACTGGTACGTTTATGGTCACGCTTTCAAGCTGACGCTGACCTGGATAGTGAGAGATACCTTTTGACAGGGGGTCAATTATTATGTTTCTGCTCAGCCTCAATCCTCCAAAGCCAGAACTTACCGCTAGCTGTAAGGCTATGAAAGTTGAGGGTGGTTCGTCTTCTTCAAGAACAGAAATTTTGGGCAGCGGCAGCAACGGGTGGATATTCCGTGTCTGAGGGCTGACCTCAAGGACTTGTATGGATATATGGGCCCAGGCTCGTTCTAGGACCAAGCCAGGGTATAGGCATCGCCATGAGCAGGGCCATCCAGCTCATCTTGCAAGAGGTGATAGTTGTGGCATGCAGACTGATGAGTGAAGAGATACGGCCCTGTTCAGGTCCATGGTGAGGAGTGATTGGTGAACAAAGGCTCAGTAGTCATGGCTGAGAATCGGACAAACCAACAATAACTTAAGTTACCTAGTTATTGGTCGTGGCTTGTTTCACTGACTAACAGCCACGGCTACCATGTTGCACGCGCAGTTAGAATAAGAGCGATCACGCATAAAGTTGATTGGTACGTCAAGCCGAACCAGTTGGTCAGATCGATCAGGCTCGGAGGCTGGAGGGAAACTGATTCCTCCCTTAGATTGCGACAGAACACTAACACGGACGCGGGCATGACCGAACGGAACAGTTAACTGATTCTGGCAGAGAATGTCAGCAAAAAAATCACCATCACAAAGACGGATCCAAAAGTCCCATCTACTGAAAAAGATGTAAAGAGGCTTTGGAGGCTGGGCTTGACCAGGATGGGAGTGACATGGCCGATCTCACCACACACATCCCTGCCAAAAATAAGCACTGGCACATGTCGGGGAGGAGACAATGCGACGAGACCACATCGTCGGACCCCCCTCTCCGTGAAGCCAAGGAGAGCAGAGGCTCCGTTGCCATAACTGTATTTATTCTTCGTGCTACGGGGTGGCACAAGGATGTTCTCTCCATCACGAGTGCGTTGGCTGATTGGCAACCTCTCAATTTTCCTGGTCCGCTGCATCTCGGACGCAACTCATCGTGGCCCCCACAGACAGTCCGTTGTAAACGAAAAGTCGCGCAGAGATGTAAGACCGCGGGGTTGCAGATTGCAGGCTGCGGCCATCAGAGGCGTGCTCTGGAGTAGGTAGGCTACGCAGCACCCGACGAGGACGATGTTCGGCTATTGGGACACGCACTTCGCAAATGAACGTAGGTTGAGAGAACAAAGAAAATTTTGAGGTGATGATTCAATCATAAACGACCGCGATGAACCGAGTTGACCAAGGGCCATATCTGATCCGAGCACCTTGTTGACGTGTTGATTGTTGTACTGTGTATCCGTAGCCTGGACGAGTCTTTCTCTTTTTCTCTCCAGCTGTTATTGAGTTCTCCCTTTCGAGGCTCGGCATGTGGGCCACAGTGGGGCCAGGGTACCAGGCAGGTAGGTCCAGTGGGGGGAGTAAGCTTTTAGTGCACCAACGAACCTAGGTAGCAGCCCTGCACCTACGCCTCGTGCCTACGTTGACCGACATCTAACGTCAGGTACGCGAGAGCCTAGTTCGAAATATGCAAAGAAAACTCTTTCTTGGAATCAGGTCTTGATTCTGTGAGCTGTGGACTGAAGAGAAGGCTCGAAATCACAGGTTCCATTGTATCTTTAGATGCCATGTCTACCTGTACAACAGAGTATGGATCTAATACAAGATCACGTCTCCACTTACTCCCGCTCTCACAGGGCTGGATCGAAACAAAAAACTTCCGCCCTGGATTGGGTTGCTTTGTTTAGACTCCCGCCAATCAAAGAGCAAGATGCCCTGACCAACAGGCTGTGGCGCCTTCCTGCCCGCCCGTTTCACTCTGAAAGCAAGCCACGCCGATTAGTCTCGAACCCGAAAGGCAGGAGCCGCCTCCAACTCCAACTCCTCCCTCAACCTCACTTGTTCTAAGCTTGAACGTAAACTTGAGGCCACTCCAATTCTTCGACTTCGCATTCGAGGACGCGACAGCACGCCTTTGTCTTTGTGTGCCGCACTTGTTCTGCCTCATTGTTTATGCAGCTGCATCTTATGCCCAATCGCTCGACCAGAAACAATGTGACTGGCTAATGTGCACTTCTAATACGGGGAATTCTGATGTCTCTGCATCCAATCGTTTCCGATCTCCTTGGAGATTCGGCTTCGCTTTAGCCACAGCATCAATGGCGTAACTTGCAGAGCAACCTGACATGTTGTGATGCAGCATTGGCTATTATTATCACCAAGATGCATATTATCAATTCCAGTATGCAGTGTCACTATCAATGTCACAATTTCGCTCATCAAGCCCCAGCTTTCAGGCTCAGCAGCGGAGTACCGCTGGATTGATTCCCAGTTCATTTTGTTTTTCTAACCGTGTCGGATCTCCGGTTCCATTTGCTTGTCACGAGGTCGTCGCGTCGGCTGTTGTCAGCAGAACCCCCGTGGGTTAATGTGATGTGTTATTGTCACTTCTCCGCCCCTTCACGGCCCGCAGACCTGGATCTCCAGAGTCCAAGTGCGCGATATTGGGAGCATTTGCCTTCCAACGTGAAGGCACCAGGACAAGGGCCTTGTCCAAGTGGACCTGTAAGGCCGTGGTGCTTGCTCAATTAGGGTATATTTCAACGTGCGAACCCCTGTCAGACCCTTGTTCCCATCCATGCTCAGTGCATCTAAATGCATTGTTGCTCATGCTAGTTACCCATCGTCAAGGTAAGCAAGCTCAGGTGAAGTACCCACAAAGTCATCCAGAACTTAGCTTCAGTTGCACACCCGCCTGATGGATCTTTGCCCTGTCCCTTTGTCCTAACTCGTCTTCTATGCAGTCGCCAGACTGGGATCTCTTTAATTTGAGCTGACTTTGGCTGTTAAGTTTGATTACACACTTACTCATTCATCTTATCACCAGGTTGGGATTCTGGTGAGTCGGCTTTGCTTTGGCATCGGCTCGCAATTCGACTTCCCGGCAGCTTTCTTACCACGTCAACAGACCGGTGTGGCTTATTTGGGAGGAAATTAACTCCAATTGCTCTTGGTGTAAGTGGTAGTGTTGAATGTTCACGTTACTGGCATCTGGCAAGGCTTTCTTTCTCCGTGCTCAGCCCCCAATCTAGTCCCCAGTTATATATTATATATCTGTCTTGGTCCTACGTAGGGTTCGTCCACCCTTTGTTTGACATTCTCTAACGTTACAGTCAAGAGTAGTTGGACCTCTTCGTTCGTTTTCGATACACTCGCTACCTGGGATATACGAGCCTGACGCTGCTATCACTCATTGCGTCAAGGGCAGTCCCTTACCATGCGTTTCTCACTATTGCTCAGCGTCTTAGGCGCTGCAGCTGTCGAGATTCCAGCTCAAAATAATGGGAATGGTCTGCACCGGAGGAGTGAATCAGTAACTCTTCAGCCTGCTCCTGTCGCTACTCAGGCGCAAGATGGTTACATCGCCAACTCCCCTGAGCCTCAGACGTATGCTGCCAACGACCCAGAAACAACGGTAGCACCAGTACCGCAAGCTGTCTCCTCTGGACCAGCTGAGAAGGATAATACTGATATTCCATCGCCTGCCACAACGGCCGAGGCCCCTGGAACCAGCGCAAACATGGTCTTTGATATCAAGTGCGGCTGTAATGTGCCCGTGACAACTGTTGTGACCATTACAGGAGAATATCCTGGAAGCTCTCCGCCAGTGGTTCTTCCGCCCAGTACCGAGCCTGTCCCTGGACCTCCAGTTATCACAGCTTCCTACACGGTTGCGCCGCCGCCAACTTCGACATACCAGCCTCCTGAGCTCCCGACTACGACAAGTCAGCCGCCCCTGGAGCCTCCCACCATTACAGGATCATACTCCGCTGAGCCTCCCACCACAAGTAATGAGCCTCCTGTTCCTCCTACTACCACGAGCGAAGAGCCCGAGCCTCCAACCACCACGACCGAGCCTCCTGTACCCCCCACGACAACAAGTGAAATCCCCATACCTCCCACGACAACTAGTCAAGCTCCGGAACCTCCAACCACCACAACACCGCCTCCTGAAACGACTGAATCTTGGTAAGTTGTTATGACTCGTTCAAGGATCTCTGGTTAACACTTTGAAAGCGCACCTGGTGGCACTACCACCGTTACCGATAAGATCACTGTCACGGACAAGGTCACGGTGACTGAGAAGGTTACGGAGAAGGTCACGGAGAAGGTCACTGAAAAAGTAACAGTGATCGAGACCCAGGCCGCGTCAACAGTAACGGAGACAGTGACAAAGGGGACCACTGCAGTCCAGACTCAGCCTGGAGTGACATTAATCGAGACTGTTCCCGGGCCAACAATCATCGAAACCCAACCAGGAGAGACTGTTATTCAGACTCAACCAGGAGAGACCGTCATTCAGACTCAACCAGGAGAGATTGTTATTCAGACTCAGCCTGGAGAGACTTTGATTCAGACGCTACCTCCGGTCACGATCACTGAGCCTGGAGTTACAATCACCGAAGACGGGGAAACCGTTACTGTCACTGGGCCTACAGTTACAGAGGCTGGAACGACCATCACTGAACAAGGACCTACTGTAACACTTCCTAAAGTCACCGTCACTCAGGCAGGAACAACGGTAACCCTTCCTGAGAAGACCGTCACGGAATCTGGAAGCACTGTTACGGAAGCCGGAACTACCATCACTGCGCCTAGTGTAACAATCACCGACACCGTTACCATTCCTAGAAGCAGAGTGACTGTCACCGAGACTGGAGAAGACGAGACAGTGACAGTACCCAAGACTATTGTTCAACCCGGTGAAGAAAGAACCATTGTGCGGACTGTTACTCTTCCTGGTCAGGAAACGGTCGTTACAGTGTCCGGCGAAGAACAAACTATCACTGTACCTGGAGAGAGGACTGTTGTCACTGTGCCTGAAGAGCAAGCCACGGTGACAGTCGAATCGGTTGTCACTGAGCGACTGCCTGCAGAGACATTGACCATCACCAAGGGTGGACAAACTGTTGTCACAGTGGTCCCAGGCCCAACAACCGTTTACACTACCACCTTCACGATCGGCCAAACAGTACAGCTTCCTCCAACCACGGTCACTGCCACACCCGGGCGAATCACTCTGTGCCCCAAGCCTACGGGTAGATCTGCGCCACTCGACTCCAAATCTGATCTCACATTTGGCTGTGGGCCTGGCTATGTTTGCAACCCACCAAAGCCAGCATGGTGTAACGTCTGGGCTGAGCCGCCGGATGAGGACTATCTGTGTGAGCCTCAGTACTGTATCAAGGCTCCTAAGATCAAGAAGACCAAGTGGCGCAAGAACAAGACCAGTTACTACCCCCGATCTCCAGGTTATTTCAACCTGAACCCTGAGGCCTTTGGTCTTTCTTACGACATCTTCGAAAAGCAAGTTTATGAGAAGATCGTCAGCAAGGAGCTCAAGACCTTCACCACTGGGAACTGGGCTTCTCAAACAACATTGAGCGACTGGCCCGATGCTACTACTTCAGTAGCAGAGTCTTCTGACTACGCTTCTAGCAACAACCAACGACGCGGAATGCACATGTTTGATACACGGGACGTCACTCCAGCCATATGCTACGATGACTGCGATGGTGCTTACAAGATTGCTCTGTCAACAGGCAAGTCGGACAGGCTTTGCCGAAAGGGCTCCTCATTCCTTGGCAGTTACAGTATCTGCCGAACATGTATCAGTGACAATACGGAGAAGTCTAAGAAGACTGTCCGAGACTACGTCGAGCCCCAGTTCAGTCAGTTTGTCGAATATTGTGATGGAAAGGATACCACGAGTGCCACCACAGCTGCTTCTGGTCCCGAATCCCAGGTTACTGAAACTCCTGATGTGGAAACAACAGGTCAAGTTGGGGCTACCTCTGGTGGTTTCACTGCTCTTCCTGTTACATCGGAGGAGTCTGAACCCAAAACGAGTAGTGCTAAAGCCAAGCCTCAGTCGACCACTGATGCTGCTGAGCCTACAAGTGTCCAAGAAGAGAATACTACAAAGCAGGCAAAGCCTACGTCTGTTCAGGAGGAAAAGACTACAGAACAACCTGAGCCTACTTCTAACAATCCCGAGCCTTCAAGCGTCGGCGACGAAAGCACGGAGATCATTGAACCCGCTTCCACAGACTTTGAGCCTAGTAAAACGGCAGCCCAAGTAACGACAGATGCAGCTGGAGCGACCTCGGATGCATCAGAACCTACCACGTCTGTTGGAGCTGTTGAAGAGACTTCGGTGCCGGTCGAGACGACCGAGACTGATACAGCAGCTAAGGAGGCATCGACCAACGGGTCTGAAAACTCTGAAGCTGGTGAGTCCACAACTTTGTTTGTTCCTACCAAGAGTGTTGTTGTGGCCGTGACATCGTCGCTTGGTGACTCTGACACTGATGTGGTTTCTACTGTCACAGAAACAGGATCTAGAACTGCTCACACCAAGGGAGTCGAGACAGACTCTTCCGAATCTGCCTCAGAGACTGATGGTTCCGCCGCGACCGCGACCAGCGGTTCTGAGGCTGCGTCTGAAGCTACTTCCGGAGCTACTTCCGAGGCTGCTTCTGAGGCTGCCACCAAGACTGCCTCAGAGACTGATGCTTCTGGAACTGTCACAGCGACCACAGTCAAGGTTACAAGTTCTGGCAAGGTGGATGCTACCGAAACTGCATCAGAAACAGAATCGGGAGCTGCCGCAACAGAAACCACAGAAACAGACGCTGCTGGCGCTGCCACTGCTTCAAGCACGACTAAGTCACGTCTCGAGACACGTACTACGACTTCTGGCTCAGATGAGACTGCAGCACCTTCGAATGTTGAAGCTGCCGCGTCTCGTTTGACCGCCAGTTTTGCCACTTTCATCGCCATTCTGGCGATGCTAGTGCTCCTCATTTAATCTTCAACCACAAACACATTTTTGTATAAATCTTCACGACACTCATTTACGATAATGTCTATTGGACAACGATTGCATGCTTACATTTACGCTTCATGGATACTCAATGCACATACATTTTTGGAGGAGATATGACTTTACATACTTCGGGTTTTGGCTTGCTGCTACGACACTCTTTTGGCGCATGTTGGGAAGCATATAGAGACCAGCGTTGAGATACCAAACACTCCTTTACATATACCATGGGAACGAAGAAGAAGAAGACTGGCTTTGGATGCGGGAATTAGTGGTCATGGACGACCGGATTTAATAGTGCAGAGAGCAGAAGGAGCGCTGTATGAGGTTGAAAATTTGATCATCTTCGCCGCCGATTTGGCGAGCTGAGGCCTGCAATTTTGCTGTCTGTTCTGTGTGACATAATTTGATAAATAATATGGGCATAACGTCCGACTTGTTGAGGTATGGTTTGACAAAAGAGTGGTATTTATAACATCGTAAATTCGTCTCGAGATGCGCAATACAGGTCCGCTACCAGGCGCGCCGGAAAGACATCTCTAGTATTACTATTAGCTCTGGTCACCTTCAAAATGCCATTCTACTTACCGCTGTTTCTTCCTTTTTTGTTTCTTTTTTTTTTTCTTTACCAGTCGCTCATTCCAAGCTCCTTTCGCTTTATGTAAAGGGGTTCTTCCAAGTTGCCCGCTTCGAGGGTCATAAGATATGCGACTTCGGCGTCGACTGTCGATCGGCGACGAGGGAAAATGACCCAGACACTGGGGACAGGAAAGCCTGGAAAAGAGAGACCGAGCATTTTGTAGTATTTCTTGGTTGTGGATTTGGCTGAAGAGAGATAGTCTTGCCAGTGTAGTGAGTCAAGCAGAATAAATGGAAGTGGTTTGTGTGAGGGTATTCAAGCAGTGTCTTGGATCTCTGACACAAAATATACATTCCCCTCGTCCCTAGATATCTAAAATCTTCTTCCCTCAGGGACCTAGACCTCGTCTCCGCACAAATGTCTGGATCTTCAAACATCCCAAAGCCCTATCGTCAGGTCCAAGATATTAGACGGAATAGGCAAAAGATGCACTCTTCAGGGTTCTGGGCTTTTAGCTTGGAATGCAAGGGACATAGAACGCCTCGTGGCGCCCGAGACAGGTGATCTACCATAGCTTGGGGTAAGCTAGTTAACAAGGGACAGCATCACGGTGAAGATCTGGAATGTCGAGACACGCAAAGCCAATTGGTCAGGGAACATAGTGTAGAGTCAATCTCGCATAGATCGTCGACGGCTTTGACGTAGCTCTGCTGCCGGCTGGTCCCTGAATGGCATTGATCTTTAGAAATGTGACGATATATGGCGGCTGAATTCAAACAATCAACCCAGATATGGCATAGATACAGTGGAAAGCCAACCTGATTGTATAACAAAAGCTATGCTCTTTTCATTCATTAAGGTAAAATCGAGTATCTGAAAAAATTCATCATGTCCCAACGCCGTCATTCCTGAGCTTGTTTGTTCATGCACATCGCATTGTGTCGCATCAAGAGCAGAAGCAGACTCTGTATGTATCCAGCTTTTGCCTCCCACCCGTCCGTCATTCAGTAAAGTTCTCCAGAAAGTCATGTCTCATTCCACAACCAATCCCTCAAGCACACGCATCGCCTTTGTGCCTTCGCTCTCAAACCGGTGAACAATCGACTCGCACTCATGCTTCAGCTTCTTCTCAGCTTCTGAAGCATTGTAGAATATCCACTCCTGTACTGTCATTTGCTTCTCAGGTGACGTCAAAGTCTGGCCCTGCTTAAGGTATCGTTCCATGCCATTCTCCTTTTCCGATTTGTTACGTGGTGTGCCAAAGATGGCCTCGAGGTCCAGCTCCGTCCAAGGTGCTGTGCTACGGAGTCCCGCAATCACGTTGCGCTTGGATGGTGAGCTGCGCATGGGCGAGCTACGCGTGGGTGTAGATGCCACAGGCGCAATCGCCACCTTCTTGGGGTTGGCACTAGACGTTTGTTTTGATGATGGCGGTTGGTTCTCGGCATCTGAAGACTGAGGAGATTGAGAAGGAGAGATGGCTGCTTGTCTGGCCGAAGGCGCAGGAGATACAGCCCTCCCAGGAGTAGAGGGCGGATTGGCCATATGAGCTGAGCTTGGGGGCGGGGATGAAGGCACAGGCCCTACTGCAGATGATGGACGTGCTGACTCAAGCTCTTCTTTCTGCTCCTCGGACGCGTAGACCTCCACGTCTTCCTGCATTGGCTCTTCCACTGGCTGAGTAAAAGGCTGCGTTGGCTCCTGGCTTGCTGCAGCTTCCATCGACTTGCGAGCCTCCAATGACTTCTTAGATGGACGACCACGGCCACGCTTAGGGGGTGCATCACTCAAATGACTCTCTTCGGCCCCGATAGATGCACGAGATGCTAATGAGGCCTTGGATGGGCGTCCCCGGGGCCGTTTCACGGGCTCCTGGGTGGGCTCGGTGGGAGTTTCCGCTGGTGCTTCAACCAGCTCAAGCTCATCGGCAGAGACGTGAGAGGCGACAGATGCTCTAGATGGACGTCCACGGCTTCGCTTGCCTGCACTCGAGCGAGAAGCCGCCGACTTCTTAAGCACAGTGTCGGTGCTAGCGAGACTGTCATCATGAAGTGGCTCGTCTACATCAGCCTCTGCTTCTGGCTGGGTAACATCTTCTATGGGTTCCTCAGCCTGGGTTTGCTCAGGCTCAATTTCGTCCTCATCAGCAGGCTCAGGTGCTGTCTTGGCCTTCTTCGGCTTGGTTTGTTTTGATGCTTTCCTGGTTCCAGCCTTTCTTCCCTTCTTCGGAACATGCAATTCTTGGTGTTCAACCTCAGCTTCAGCTTCAACTTCTTGCTCGGGTTGCGGTACGGGCTCGGCTTCCAATTCATCGACTTCCATCTCAGCTTGTAAAGCCCTGAGTTCGTCTTCAACTTCTTCCTCATTTGGCTCTACTGGCTCAGGGTTCAACATGGGATAGTCGCGTGAATATTCGAGCTGCTCAGCCTTGGGTACCTTTTCTCTCTCTGTCTTGAGTCTCTCCGAATCCGAATCAGCAGTTATCTCGTCGTCTTCTGAGAGCTGTCTCTCCAGATCAGCTTCGAGCTGTCGCTCTATTTCGTCATCGTCAGGAAACGTTCCAGGCGTTGCTTCGTAAGTCGTGGTAGCCAGCTCGGATGTAACAGAGGTTATGGAGACATCGCGAGCAGATTTAGATGTAGGTTTTCGAGCTGCTTTCTTCTTCCCACCCTTCTTAGTGGCTAAAGCTTCAGTCGTGTCTGGGTCTTCCTCATGTTCTAATGTTGACTCATTTATAACCACGCTGTCGTGTGTACGTGTCGCGCGCTTCTTGCCTGGTGGACCCTCGGAAACAGCGACACTGACATCTTCCACTGCTGTGCTGTCGCGTTTTCTTCCTCGAGAAGGCTTCAGCGATGATTCTTCTCCAATTGAAACCTCGGTCTCTTCAGTTTGTGCGTCCTTCTTGGCCTTTGTTTTCCGTCCCTTTGTGGTCGTTTTGCGTGCTTTTGTCTTTTTTCCACCCTGGGCGGTCGAGCTCGTTGTCAACACACTGTCCTCCATAGCAGCTGTCGAATCGATTATCGAGGTGGTCTCGGAAGCGATTGTAGCAACAGATTGGACAGATAGGCGCGACGCTTTAGATGCACGTCCTGCCTTGCTTCTGCTAGACTTCTTGGCAGGTTGCGATGCCTCAAGCATTATGAAGAAAGGGCAGTCGGGCGATCGGTTGTGGTGCTCATCGCTGTACGTTGTTAGTTGGTGCCTCGTAAGGAGAGGGCACGCAATACTTACAGAGGTTTGTCACCCGGTTCCCAGCCGTCAAGCGCAAGTTGACAGTAGGTACAAGTAGCCATATCATCCGAGTCCTCGGTTGGTGTGTACTTCCATCCTGCCTCAACCAGCTGCTTGGTCTTGCACTTCCATCCCTTTTTGGAATCGTGGGGCCACCTGCCAGCAAATGTTGCCTTTCGAGCTTCCTTCATGTATGGCTGATCAGGATCTTGTTGCGCATAATCGCCTACTTCCGCCTCGATCGCGGCGACAACTGCCCATCCACATTCGGGAGCGTGCTTCAGGTGCTCGATGAGAGGGTCGTCGTTCGCTTCCCAGCCGTCGAGGCCCTTGTGGCAGAGGAAACATGAAGCATTGTCGGGATTTTGTGGTGTAGGGTTGAAGAAGAGTCCAGCGCGAGCAAGCTGTAGCAATGTTAGTAGTCGCCTTGACCGGTGTGCAAAGAAAAACATACGCTTGCAGGTGTTATGCTCTTGTGTGGCCAGCCGAGGGCTTTGGCTCCTCTTCCACTGGCAGCAGAACCTCGCTTCTTTGCGCTCTTTTGAAAAGAGGCCAAGCGACTCTCGTATGTGATGAATTGATCGGTGGTGTCTTCGAAAGACATGATGGTGACAGCGGTGCGCGTGGAAGCGCGATCAAGGGTATTGAGAATTAACGTTAGAACGCGATGTGTTAGACTGGGCAAAAAGACGGCCGCTGCGAATGAAAACAAAGAATGAAGACAATTCAATGGGTAACCGCTTTCATCGCAAGTTTTAGTTCAGCATAGATACAGAGTGGCAATAAGGAGAAGTGCGAACTAGGAGCGGTGGAGGATAGGTAGGTAGTTGTGTGGGAGGAATTGGTGGTGATATTATCCGTACTCGCTTGTAAGGTATTTGGTTTGGTTAGTATTTTGATCGATCAGACTCAGACTCAGACGCCCGGACGTGCAAAGTGTCGGTGTGGGGCTTGTCGCGTTTGTTTACTTTGGTGGGTCCAGCAACCCCGGCCCAAGATCTAAACATCCATGGATTGCGCCAGCGGTCACCAATGAAACCCCTAGAGAGGATGTGTTATTTATGAACCAGATACGGTGAGTTGCCTAGTAGTAGTAGTAGTAGTAATTATCTGGTGTGAAGAGATTCCCATTGTTTGTTTGGTCCCAGTATTCGTATCATGTTGTCCAGTTATAGGCTCCGTGTTGTTACGTGCCTGTCACTAATTGGCCAGACCTATACTGAGACCCAGACAGCTACTACTATTCTCCTTAGCGCTCAATCTTTACTACGTATATAGGTACTGACATGACTGGAAGCAAATAACCGTTTATAACTACAATATGGCATTGCTCTCAAGCTACCTAGCATAGTAAAATCCGCATACACCAATCTCACAGCTTGCCTGCTGCTTGCAGTCCTCGCTCTCCATCCACCAAGATGCACCAACCCTCATGACCTCGGCCACCGTCACCAGCAATAACAGCTTCAAATGTTCCCGGGGCATTGGCAAACTCAAGGACAGCCGCATCAAAGCTTCCAGGCTGCAGCCAGACAGAAGGAATGCCCTTCTCCTTTGCCTCGCGGAGTAACTGCAGAGTTGCTGCTGGAGGGGTAATAACTGATAGAGACGTCTGCGTAGGGTTCGAAAGTGCTGTCACGTTGGGGACAGTGGCATGATCCTTGTTCAAAGCACTGACGGTCTCTGATCCTGGGTTGATAGGAGTCACTGGCAGGTCATGGTGGAGATACCAGACAAAAACTATACAAGTTGTTTGATTAGAAAAGCACTATATCAATACTTCTACAACAGGGACACCTTACCTCGATGCCCGAACTTTGCAGGGTTGGAGCTTGCACCCGCCACCGCATAGGCGGATGACGAGAAGAATTTACGAACAGCAGCTTCGGTTGCCATCTTCAAAGAATGCGTGTGAAAATTACTGGTTATGAAAGATTGAGTGTTATGTGATGTTGTATGAGCTTTCTCTAGCGACGTTGCCGAGGATAAATGTCACAAGCAGTTGGTTGAGCTGCGGGGCTTTACGTTCAAACGCCATACAAATACAGCTGAGGTGATCGCTTGTTCCGCGTTCTTGATATGGGCATATCAAACATCTACTAGATTTATACAATCGAATTTAATTTCGTATTGAGCATTTGTCTAACTTTCCTTCAATTGTTATTGCTTTTGTTATCTTTGGGGAATTCCATGTAATTTATCATAGTTGTCAAACGTCTACACGGAATTGTGGTTACGAGCAAACGCACCACCTAATTTGAACAATAGTTAACCGAACTGCGACGTTGAAAGCCGTTTCTCATTTGGTTTATAATTAGTTGCCGGCTTGGCCAACCGGGTGATCCCGCAAGTTTCTTTGCACACAACGTAACTACGGGTGCTATCCACCCGTTATATCATTGTTTGTGACTGTTCGCAAGGTATGATGAAGCAGTCGTCTGGAAACGGACTCAAGAGACATTAATCAGCCACAGACAACCATTCCCGCAACTCCAAATAACTTGAGAATTTGGAATGAAATATCAAAATATGTTATCTGCACTTTAAGGGGGTTTTCTTGTAGCCAAAATGACACAGGAGCGATTGCGTCTAAGTTCATCACGAGAAGTATAGGGTAGTCAAATCATGCCTTTCGGTTGCCGGAATTGCATGCAGGACAACATCTCGATCGGCCACAAACAAGCGATCACGATCTACGATAAGCTCTATTTAGATGACGGGGACGCCGTTGCATCGCCTTTAAAGGCCTGAAGCTTGGCTAAAGTTGGAGATGACCTTGTCGAGGATAATCTCCGAGATTCGCGGTTTAAGGCCAACTGGGTTTGGTGGGTTGTCAAGAGATTAACCGAATTACGATAGCAGTTATGACATATTTGGCGTCGCAGGGTCAAGCCGACATGGAGGCATGATGTTAATTTAACTCGCTTGAGGCATGCGCAGACGCAAACTGACATCTGATGTAAGTGATTTGCCTCAAGGACAATTGCATAGGCTATACAGCCCAACTAGATTGGACCTGGCTATGATCACATTATATGGTGAATGTGCTTGAATGAAGCCATGATGAGGGCAATATGGTAATTGTCGACCTACTTATGAACTATAGATGAGCGCCGACATCGCAAGCGCAAGCCGTTCTGGCGGAAAGAGAGTATGGATAGCAAAAGCGAAAGGAGGTAAACAGACCGAGAGATGCTTAACGACGACAGGTAACAAGCGAAATGTAAGTGAAGAATGAATGAATTGTCGAAGAATGGCTATCTAAGAAAAGGAATCACGCTTATATACTCCAACACTATCCAATTCGCATGGTTCCCATGGCAATACATAGTATGCTGGTTGAGAAGTCATGATGACCTCTGAAGGTATCGATCTAAAACGGAGCACTTCTGCCAAGACAAGCAAAACTAACGGCCATGAAATTCCATATTTTATGACCATTCATAATCCATATTCTCAGGCTAGTATGCGACATAAATGTCGATATGTCCAATGCGGCCATGCATTACTTTCTCCGGTTTCGATAGTTTCACCGCTTAGAGATATTAGTGGACGGTAGACAGAATTAATGCGACTATGGACCTACTGTCCAGGCATAATAAGCGCTCGGGCTATTTTTGACATACGGACGTGGCTCAAAGTTGGGCCATGAAACAGACACCGTTGCCCCGTCAGTCGCTAGGGAAAAGAGAGCAGGGAGGCCAGAGCGTGGAGAGGAAAGTGCCCATGCAATGTATTAGTAGACTTGGCCCTCTTTTCTACTTCCTTCATCTTTCAACCTCTCAACACCATTTTTCTGTTCCGAGAAACCATCACAAAGACTCTTTTGATCGTTGTATAACTGTTTGTTGTGTTACCCAACCAGCCAGCCACCACCACTACCACTACCACCCCTCTAATAACCCCCCCAAAATGGTGAGCTCCAGTTGCCCCGGACACCCCTTTCTTCGCCGGCGTAAACAATGCACCCCGCCTTCTGATTCGACAGTTTGCTCGCCCAAATAGTTGGAAGTTGGTTTTGCATCAGCTCGCGCGGCACAAGCCTTGGTTTCTACTGCATTTGCATCCCTCTACATCTACCCTTGAGTCGCAACGCTTCTCAATCGCATTCTTCACAAACTTTGCAACGTCATAAAACAAATCATCTGCAATCATGTCTTCTAACAAGTTCGATTCTCAGGCTTCTACCAACTATAAGGAGGCTTTTGCCCTGTTCGACAAGCGCGGAAACGGCCGTGTCACTGTTGACAGTCTCGGTGATCTTCTCCGCGCCTGCGGCCAGAATCCTACCCTCGCCGAGATCCAGGACCTCGAGAAGAATGTTGGCGGCGAATGTGAGTACATCCCTCTGCAACGACAACGACAAGATTCAGGAGCGCATGGCTGACTTTTCCGACACAGTCGATTTCGAGACATTCCAGCGTGTTCTGAATCGCCCAGGCGGCTTCCGCGACCCCGGCGAGCCTGAGGAATACTGCCGCGGTTTCCAAGTGTTTGATAAGGATATGACGGGTTTCATCGGCGTCGGTCAGCTCAAGTACATCCTGACAAACCTGGGCGAGAAGATGACCGACGAGGAGGTCGATGAGCTTCTCAAGGCCGTTGACACCAGCTCAGGCCAGGTCAACTACACCGGTAAGTGTTCCGCCATTAAAACCCGATTTGAGCAGTCACTAACGTCATGAACGCAGACCTCGTGCGAACCATTCTCGCCAACTAAACACTGTTAAGATAGGGGCGGATTAGGTTATGCATCTGCGTTGACGGACCGGCGTTTGCTTGTTTGATTATGGATATGGATGGACTCGGCTATGGATACGCTGAAATGATGAATTATTGCTGCGCTTGCGCAAACGTACTAGCATGTATGGATTTCTGGTAGATAATTAGGAGATGGCTGAAGTTACCAATTGAATCTCTATCTATCCTTGACTGGCGGTTTCTTGTTGGTTCTTGCGAAGTTATCATGAATGGTAGTTGCGGATGGGCGCCTATGAGCATATTGAGCATATTGACGCTTGATCTGCTTGATCTGAACAATAAAAAATCATGACCATATGGTCTTTGTTTACTTACGCCGTTATCAAGGCCAATCAATCACGGCTGTAATAAAACCTTGTTTGTGCCATAAATGAAGCGTACATAATTATTTCATGCTTCTCGTTAGCCGCTTGGATCATCCATGACACCACATCCACATCCGACTGCCCCGCGTTTTCCACTGGTTTTAACGGGTCCGAGCGGGAGCTCTATGCTAGCTATCGTCAGTAACGCCCCATCTTGCTGCATCTACGGTAACTCTTCTTAACGCCTTTGACGCCTGCACAAGCATCAATCGAATTAGTCGGTAAAGAAGGACCCCTCTTTTCATTGTAGGTTGCTTCATCCATCCAACCTGTCCATCCTCAAGCCAATCGGCTGACCTGCCAGGAGACATTCCACCTCATCAGTCATCATTCAAGCTGGCTAAGCGTGCTTCCTCCCGCCGCAAGCCCCTCCTCCTCCTACTCTCCTTCTTCATCCTCCTCGCCGCCGTCATTCTGGCTTCCTCACGAGCTTTCTCTCGACTCGGTTCTATAGTGAATCACTTTAGATTCCAAGCTCCACGAACCATTCTATCACGAAGACAGCTCGTCACCAGCACCATGGCTCCAGACAAGTATCTCAACCCTCCCCAGGCGCCGCCTCTGTTCACCGCCACCCCCGACTCGATCGCTGCCGAAACCAAGAAGCTCTGTGATGCTACCAAGAGTGTACTTGACACTGTGGCGGCCAATGCCTCTGCTGATAAAGCTTCCTTCGCCAACGTACTCGAGCCTATCCTCATAGATGAGAACCTGGCTGCCACGCAGAGACGCATCTTGACCTTCTATCACCATGTTTCCACAAACAAGGAGTTACGGGATGCATCCACCGAGTCAGAGAGAGTCTTCAATGACTTTGGTATCGAGTGCAACATGCGAGAAGACATCTTCAACGCCGTGGATGCTGCCTATGGAAACCGAGCGTCCCAGGATCTCACCAAGGAGCAGTCACACGTCCTTGAGAAGGAACGACAGAAGTACATTCGAAACGGTCTGCGTCTACCCGCTGGGCCCAAGCGAGATAGATTCAAAGAGATCCAGAAGCGTCTGAGCGAGCTCGAGATCAAGGCGCAGACAAACCTCAACGAGGAGAAGGGTGCCATCTGGTTCACCCCCGAGGAGCTGAAGGGAGTTCCTGCTGACGATATTGATATCGACTCTCTGGAGAAGGGCACTGGTGAGAACGAGGGTAAAGTTAAGCTTTCCTTCAAGTATAACCATTACTTCCCTCTCATCAAGTATGCCATTGACGCCGATACCCGCCGAAAGTACACTATTGCGGAGTCTAACAAGGTAAGATCAAGACACTTATCCTCTGCTGGGCGTGTGAACTGATTAGTATCATTTTAGGCCAACGTCAACGTGCCCATCTTCCAAGAGATCATCACTCTTCGAGATGAAGCTGCTCGACTCCTTGGGTACGATAACCATGCAGCTCTACGCATTGAGGAGAAGATGGCCAAGACCCCTGCTACCGTTCGAACCTTCCTAGATGACCTTAGAACCCGACTGGCCGAGGGTGGTGCCAAGGAAATCAACGCTCTCAAGGAGTACAAGAAGAAGGACTATGAGGAGCGCGGTCTCTCATTCGACGACAGCTTTTACATGTGGGACACATCTTTCTACTCGCGAATTCAGAAAGAGAAGGAGTACAGTGTCGACGAGGCCAAGATCTCGCAGTACTTCCCTGTCGAGTCGACTTTTGCTGGCATGCTCAAGATTTTCGAGGAGATTTTCGGTTTTGTGTTTGTTGAGCTTAAGCCGGAGGAGCGAGCCAGACTCAGTCCTACTGGAAAGGCCGAGGATATTGTATGGCATGAGGATGTTCTGATTTACAGTGTGTGGGACGATGAGGCTTCGGGCTCTAGCTTCAATGGCTACCTGTACTTGGACCTTCACCCTCGTGATAACAAGTACGGCCATAACGCCAATTTCAACCTCGAGCCCGGTTATGTCACTGAGAATGGCAAGAAGCATTACCCTGTCACTGCCCTTGTCTGCAACTTTAGCAAGCCAACCCCCAAGAAGCCGTCTTTGCTGAAGCACCACGAGGTCGTAACTCTGTTCCACGAGTTGGGACATGGTATCCACGACTTGGCTGGCCGTACCCGTTACAGCTACTTCCACGGAACCTCGACGGTGCTTGATTTCGTCGAAGCTCCATCTCAGATGTTGGAGAACTGGTGCTGGACCCCCAGCGTTCTTAAGTCGCTTTCTAAGCATTGGGAGACACAGGAGCAAATTCCTGACGAGCTCATTGAGAAGCTGGTTTCCACCAAGCGCCTCAACTCGGCCATTGGCGCACTGGGACAACTCACCATCGGCCTGTTTGACATGACCGTGCACACACCCGAGTCTCATGAAGCTGTTAAGAAGCTTAACGCTGGCCGAGTCTGGAACGAGCTCCGACACGAAATTTCTGGCACCAAAGGCCCCGAGGATCTCGGAGAGGGACTGTAAGTACCTTATGGAACCAGGACCTAAAATGACAAGGCTAACTTATGACTAGGGAATGGGGCAACCGACATGCTGGTATTGGCCACTTCATTGGTGGATACGATGCTGGCTACTACGGCTACCTCTACTCCGAGGTGTTCTCGCTCGACATGTTCCACTCGTTCTTCGCCAAGAACCCCATGGACGGCAAGGAGGGTCGCCGATATCGCCATACCGTTCTGGAGAGAGGAGGAAGTATTCCCGAGCTGGAGTTCCTCAGGGAGTTCCTGAGCCGTGAGCCTAGCTCAGAATCATTCTACAAGGAGCTGGGACTTTCTTCGGCTGCTTAGAAAATAGAACTTGTATTGAATACAGTCGATAGGGAGAAAGAACCCCCCGATTAAGAACAGATAATAAAAAAGACGTCATGAGAGTGTTGCGGCTCGGAATGTTTATGAAGATCCACGTGTCAATGTCGCACAACAGCACTATCAACTCTTGGCTTGGAGTATATGCAGTGATATACGAGAATAGAATCTCGTATCTTGCAGCCACCCGCGCCGTAGATCTTGTTACCTAAGTCCTGTGCTAGTAGATTGGCAATGCAATGACCACACTCTAATGATGTTACTGGAAGACATGGGCAGGCTGTAGATGTAAAGCTGGCTGTATTAATGATGGTGTTGCACAGCCCTGGTGTCGTGTAACCGACTTTTATCGCCAAGTGATAGCGAGAAATTTGTAGCTGTGGATTTTAGAATTCGTTGAGAACGAGCTAGGAAGTACCCTCGTTGATAGGATGCAACAAACCGCTGCTGGGAGGGATATTTAGAATAGCTCGCCAACATTACAGGTTCCTTTTAGCTAGGACTTGACGCCAGTTGGGGGGGGGGGGTTATGCTTAAGTTGTTGAGCCCTGCTTGTAAGGCGTTCATCTAAGATATTAGGAAGATGGCCCTAGAGGTAGGAAAACGTATGTATGAACAAGAAGGTGATGCAGTTTGAGCATGAGGAGTACAAGCAAAATTTCGAGCCAGAGTTGCAAGAATCAAGACAAACTGTGTCCGAGGATCGATCCTGGGTAATTGTGAAGGGAACCAGTGCCAAGGACTCGGTAGGCGAACTTGAAAGGCCTGTGGTTACATCCAGTTGATAGTCTATCTGATCATGGGCTGTTTTAGATATGCTCGGACAAGTTCCTGGATTGAAATAGAAATTGGATGCTGACCTGTAGTTCTTTAGATGCCGATATTTATATGATATGTCGAATTAATGCTTGGCTTCAGAAGCCACATTTACAAAAGTCTAGTTGAGGAAAAGTGCCATTGCCTTGCCTCAAAGAACTCGAACAGTAAGCTAGGAGGTCCACGTAGAAGTGAGTTTCGAATGCGGATCCGCATCTCCATCTTTGAGGCCATCTTCAAATGCTCAGATCGGGGGAAGCTTTTGAAAGGAGTGATTAGTTATGCTATGCTAGATTTAACCGTGAATCGTTCACACCAGGGAGATGCGGAGCCGTAACGGGGACAAGAAGCGGCGTAGGATCTCCGTGCGGCTTCTCCCAGGCCTTCATGGGCCGTGTTTTACACCGATAAGCTACAAAGTGATAACTGACAAGTCAAGTCTTTTGAATCAAATAATGGAGAAGTTTTCACTGCCGGTTGATAAGCCGGCTGCAGTCGGCGTTGAGCGGGCTTACACCTCCGTATCCCGCTTCATCAGACCACTCCAATCCTCCTGAGGGGAAGTAAGGGGAAAAGAGCCAGTGGCAGTTGGAGGTTTGAGAGACAGCCATGGAATAGGTGGGGGAAAACATGTGAGCATGACGCCAACGCCAATGGCATCAGCTCCATCTCATTTTATCTTAAGATGAGATGGGGGTATAAAGCTTAACGGATCTGCGGAGAAAGGCGATGGCTTGCGCGGGGGAACGGGTAGTCTAAGTTGGCGATTGCGGGGAAAGATGGGGTAGTTTCTGGAGAGTATTAGACGATGATGAGATATTATCAGTCTATGATACTTGGGCTTCAATCCATTAGTATTAGGTAGATAAAATAACCCGCCATTATTGTCTAGAGATGAGTGGAGGAGAAGATATCAACACCCACTCATTGTTGAGGAGAGAAGAAGCCCATTCTGTTTGTCTCATCACCAACAAGCCACTTGATGTACTTTACGAAGCCCATGTGATCTCATTTCCACGCTGTGCCTACCCGTGGCCAAGCTGAGAAGATCAACTGCAGAAGATGCTGACCGTTTTTGTTACTTGCCTTGGTGAGCATGGCCACGTTCTAACAACAGCAGCGGCTGAGAAACAACTGGACAAGCACTCTCCAAGCCGTGTTCCAGAAAACAAGCCTCAATATGCAGGTTCCCTAGCGTCCTTTTCTCTGTTTCTCCAACGACTTTTCAACCTTTTCTTTTTAGCGGGCTGAGGTTCCAGCTCCAGGCGACATCCTTTCCCTTCCCCTTCCCCTTCCCCATTCCCATTCCCGTTTCTTGGCTGCTACCGTTATGTTTGCGTTTGCACCGCACGCTTTCGGGATTTCCGTCGGGAGCTGGACCGTGCTATCCATGGTAAGCAAAAGGAGGGATTGTATCACGAAACAAATAGTCGTTCCTTGGCTTGTCGGGTTGGTCCTAGGGTCTGATTTAGTGTTGCAGGCTGTGTGCTTTGCATGTGAGTTGGGTGTTGGTGTGTGTGCATGGCGCTGCGTAGGTGGGGATGTAATAGGATATGCAATAAACCTAGAAGAATCCATGTTGTCTTGCCAGATCCTTGACAGAGATTTGACGCCCTCGCTGACCGATATCGACCCGTCCTGGGCGACACTCTGACTTCTTGCAATTGGTCACGAACCAACTATGATTAACGCTGCAAGGATCAAGGTGCAGAACCCCTTGTTTGCGGAGACGAAAACTAGAACTCATGAGGGGAATACCGGGTTAGGTAAATGGAAGAGAAGTAAAGATGAGGCACGGATAGAGACAAAGTAAACAGCGGATCCAATGTGGACGGATAAAGTAGAAAAAGAAAAGAGAGGATAAAGTAAAGAGCTTATCTTTTGGTTGGTAAAAGGCGGGGGTTTGGAAATAGAGACAAACATTCCTAGTAGAATAAAGCAGAAAATACCTGCCTAATTAAAAACCCCAAAGATCTCTTTAAGGACATGTTTGCGTCTGTGTAAGTGCGGAGCGTGGTTTTGAGAGATGGGATGGGATGGGATTGTCTGACATGGTCCGTCATGTCTGAGCACAAGAGCTTGCAACTGGGGAGATACATAGCATTACATGACATGCCATGCACGATTCAGCGGTAACTGTATTCGACGAAGAACGGTACACCAATCGATCACCGTTGTTACTTGTTACCTGGAGGAGTACTCGATGGAGGTATCATGGAACTGGGGGACATATAAGGTCAATTTGATATTAGAAAATGAGACATGGAGCAATGATGGGAATCTCTAACTGTAATCTTGACAAAATGTGAAAGAAACGAATTAAAGAATCCTTCGCTACAGAAACCTTCTCCGAATTCACATCTCCCCTTATCGACGGCTCACACCTCGCACTTGAGCAACATGCCCCAACACTCCTCAGAGCGCCATCTCGCGTGGCCGCCCCTCGGACGCACAAAGAAGGAAGTTGTGTCATGTAAGTTTGCGGTAGCATGAGTTTGAGCATGTCAATGGATATTCCAGGGTTACATGGCCTATCTGCCGGGCTCCATAATGATGCTATGCTTCAATTATTCTTACCGGTCAAGTCACTGCTGCGAGGTATAATCCACAGGACAAGGAAAGGCGTGTAAGTTGAATGTAGACAGGGATTTCATTCCCTGCAAAGTAACCCCTCACACCCCGCTGCGTAGAGGAGAAGGAAGAGCAAAGAGAGAGATGTTGTTATATCGGGCCCGGGATGGGGGTCTATTGCTTTGTTAATAGTCGATGTACACCCTCCTTTCTAAACTGAGACACAAGTTAATAGATCCATGTCCTTTGAGAATACGTCGAGAAGCATTCTAAACCGTGGTTCGTCGGCTACTGAGCCTCCTATCGGCTACAGCAAGCGGACGGACAAACGGATGGAATATCTTGTGCAGACGAGGGTTGTATTATGGCTGCATTGCATGATTATACCCTCCCCCTCCCCCTCAGCACACTCCAATTGGCAGCACACTCTCCACATTAGAGTTATTTGGCCTTTAACGAGAATTATCTCTTTTTTCTTGGCGAGAAACGTGGGAGTAGGTTCCTCTCCACATGCTTGGGGGTGTAAGTGAGGCTTTCCAAGAACAACAGGATGGTATTAAAGGACTGCCTCTGCCCTCGGTTGTTGAGATGTCGAAGTAGAAGAAGCATTAGAAAAGGACAAGCTAGTTTGTTCTTGTTATCAATTTTCTCATTATATCCTCCTTGTATCAGATCTCCCGTCTTCTCGCCTCGTTCGACACGTCAAAAGAGTTCCTCCTGTTGCACCATCACTCCCGCGTCTGGGGGAATCCTTTCTTGTTGTCTCGCATATTAACGAGATAGAGACAGAAAAGAAGAAGTAGAAGCAGAAGCAGAGACAAAAGAGTTTTGAGATACCTTACACTTGCCTCGTCCCCTTTTGAGCCTCTCTCCCTCCATCCCTCCTTCTTCTTCCTGTCTCGGCTGGTTACTTCAATTCTTGTCCTTGTCCTCCATCAATTCCTTCCCACCCACGTTTTCTTGGTCCGCCGCTATCCTCAAAGAAGCCGGCCCTACTTCTTCCCTTTTCCCCCTTCACTTCATCTCGTGATCCCGAGATATTCTTCATGTTTGATATCACAATGAGCGACTACGATCGAAAGGAACCTTTCGATGACAAGGCCTCGGCTTCTGGGGTTGATGTCGCCGTTGACCCTGATGTTGGGTTGAGTGAGGCCGAGAAACAAGAGGCTGTGAGTTGCACATGTTTATTATCACGTATTGAACAAGACGCACTGACATGATTTCAGGAGAAGAAGCTACTTCGCAAGATTGACATGCAGCTCGTTCCTTGGGTATGACAATTGTGACTATATAAAGGGCAACTACTGACTACCATCTAGCTTTGTCTGCTCTACCTTGTCTGCTTTCTTGACCGAACCAATATCGGCAATGCCAAAATTGCAGGCCTGCTCGATGACGTGCATATGAGCACCTCACAGTTCAATGCGACACTGACCATTTTCTACATCTCATACGCTATTTTCGAGCCTCTCGCCAACGTTCTCCTGAAGTGGTCCAAGCCGTCCATCTTCATCCCTGTCATTATGTAAGTCACCCCGGAGCTGTATTATGTGAGTACGACCAACTGACTCCCCAATTCCAGGGTACTATGGGGCGCTTCAATGCTGGGAATGGGCTTCGTCAAGAACTGGGAAGGCCTCATGGCTGCTCGGTGGTTCCTTGGTGTCACAGAGGCCGGACTCTTCCCCGGAATTAATTACTACCTGTCCTGCTGGTATAAGCGATCCGAGTTTGGTGCTCGTGCCGCCTGGTTCTTCTCGGCTGCTGCGCTTGCTGGCTCTTTCGGTGGTCTCCTGGCTGCAGCTATCCAGAAGATGGATGGTGTTTCTGGAATTCCTGGATGGGCCTGGATCTTTATCATTGAAGGTCTCCTTACTATCATGATTGGGTTTGCTTCATTCTGGATGGTCCACGATTTCCCGACTGAGGCCAAGTTTCTTGATGAGAAGGAACGAGCTCGCGTCATCCAACGACTCGCTGCCGATAAGCAGTCATCTGCTAAGGACGAGCAGTTCAAGATGAAGTACCTCTGGCAGTCCCTCACCGACTGGAAGACATACTGTGGAATGCTCATTTACATGGGTCCTCTGATGCCCTTGTACTCTTTCAGTGTCTTCTTGCCTACCATTATCCAGAACATGGCCTTTACAGACAAGAAGGCGATTGTCAAGAACCAGCTTCTTAGTGTACCACCCTACGCCTTGGCTGCTGTCGCGACGATATTTGTTGGCATATACTCGGACAGAATCAACAAACGAGGTATCTTCAACCTGTGTGCTGCCCCCATCGGAATGGCAGGCTTTGTCATGCTTGTTGCGTCGACCAACCCTGCCGTTCAGTACACGGGCTGCTTTCTGGGTGCTCTGGGCATCTACCCTGTGATTCCCATCACCATAAGCTGGGTCGCCAACAACGTTGAGGGTGTGTACAAGCGAGGCATCACCCTTGGCTTTGTGATTGGCTGGGGCAACCTCAACGGTGTGGTGAGCAGCAACGTCTTCTTCAACGGCCCTCGTTTCAACGAAGGGCACGGCACGATCCTTGCGTACATGTTTGGGGGCGTTTTCTGCGGTAGTCTTCTCATGTATGTGATGCTAGCGCGAGAGAACAAGAAGCGGTTGGCTGGTGAGCGTGACCAGGTTGTGGAGGGCAAGTCTGCCGAGGAGATTCATGAGATGGGCGATAAGCGGCCCGATTTCCTTTACACACTGTAAGATCATTTGCGACATATCATACCGAAAAGAGAAGGAGAAGGTGGGCCATTTGGTGGTACAGATATATGGTATTCATTATGCATGGTTATAAGATGGAATTCTTTTACGCAACTAGACTGTACAATGAGATGAGGGTTGAAGTAACGACGACTTGACTATTATCTGTTTTTTTACTTAATTCCATACATCTAGATATGAAGTGAAGGCAGTGTAAATAAGTACCCCACGTTAGTGATGCTTGTGAGTTGCCTGTGACAGACTGTAATGGGTGTTGGATAGGCTACTGTACAATGATTCTCGATTTTCTAAGAGACATACCTACACAGCCTGATTAGGGAGTCAGCCAGCCGTAAAAAGCAAATAGACAAACATAAAGATATAAAATGTAACACTGGATCTGCTGATAGAAACCTCTTTCATTTACCGCTATTTAAAATAGAAATAATAATCCTTGCACACACGTTGTATGTATGCACTTTGACCGCACTGAGCACAACAGACCATGGTTATCTAGGCGAGTTTACTACGTACGGATAGACTAACAGCTGGATTGGATAAATAACAATAAAAAGCCACTCTTTGTCGCAGCAGCCACCCGCCATGTTTCATACATAATCTTAGCAGATCGAGACTTGGGAGAAAAAGGGGTGCAATCTTTAGCCCTTGGCGGGCAATCGGACTCGAGTCTGCGCCGGGATCTATTGGTGGCGATGTCAGGCCTGGACTCAGCCCACGGGAGCGTACATATTTTAATTAAAGCCTTGTTTTCTCTCTCTGTGTGTGCGAATTCCTTCACCGTAGTTGAATACGGAATTAGAGTTTCTAGGTTTCCGGGGAGGATGCTCGCTCAGACGTTTGTGGCGTGGCATCGATGGGATCGAGATGGCGTGCAGTTATAGTTTTTATGATTACTTACTTATTTAATTGGGAATGAGATTGGCGATGCCAAGCTTGTCCGGAGTAATCGTCGAGTTGGATCGACTATCGAGACTTTTTGTCGTTTTGTTTGTTTGCTTGCTTTGCTTGTCTGTGTTTAAACAGATGAGTTACTGTGCGCTTTCAGCCCGTAACCAAGTATGGAACTACACCACATCATGCATGGCTTGACATTAGCCTTTTAATCCACACGTTTTGGGAATAGACTGACCGTTTGATCTGGTATGGTACTTGTGTTAGTCCAACGGGCAATGGGAGCAAAAACTGGAGATGAAGGATATGATAAGGTAAAAAGTTGTAAGTGTTTGCTGAGGTTAAATCATTGGTCTGTGCCTACCTAGGGAAATGTCTAAATGAAATGTCATTGATCGTTATCTAAGATGACACCGATGTTCGTGGCAGCTATTGTAGTGCAGATCAGGATACCTATGACATTGACACTGGCAACGCACTGGCACTGGCACTGCACGGTCAAGAGAGCTTAAATCGTTGGTGGGAGTTCAATAATAGAACAAGACACTGACTGTCCAGCTGAGGCCATCACCCACTGGGAGGGTGACAAGAAGATGATGTTGGCGCATAAGAGAAAGACGAGTTGCATTGGCCAAGAGTTGAGAGTTGGGAGTTAGGAGTTAGGAGGTTTGCTGGTTAAAGCGACCAACCTCTATGAAGTAGGCTACCTACCTACTTGCCTTAGCAAACTATTAATGATACTCTTTTGCATCCTCTATTCTGTCTTAGAATTATAAGAATACAAATGCCTCGTATCTTAGCATACCACTCACAAACAAAAAAGAAAGAGCAAAAGATCCCTCGTCTAACGGGTGCTTGCATCGCGTCGACGTGACACGACACTTCGACCTTGGACCTCTTTGGACGACTCTTCCCTCTCTCTCTCTCTCACTCACTTCCTCTTTTGAGACCGAGACTGGGTCTTTTGTGTTTCGCTCATTCATTTCTTTTCATTCTTTCTTTCTCTTTCTCGCTCGCTAACAATCCATCGCTTCTTTTGCTTCCCCTCTCCTCTCGCTGAGAGTTACGCAAAGAAAAAAGGCCAAAGCAGATTATTTCGTTTCTGGTTCATCCCATTCGCTTCACTCCTCTTTTACTCACCTACTACTTCATTCTTTATTCCTTTCTCCCTCCTTTTCTTCTTCTTTCTCTGTCCTTTTATCTTGTGGGCGATTCACGGCATACACTTCATCCGTGTCTACTCACCCTCGCACTCGCTCCCCCTCCCTAACTAGGGACTCGGGGAAACGAGAAGACAAAGCGCAACAAAAGAAACGAAATTGGCACACGATGACGCACAAGTTCATCGCTGGGAGAGGCGTGGATCTTCTGACGGAGAGTCAGAGGCATACCCTGGTGCTGTTTGAGCGCATAGGAGGCTCTATCAGCTTGGTCGCTGTCCTCATGATCTTCGTCGCCTATGCGCTTGTACCAAGGGTGCGCAATGTCCAGAACACCTTTATTGTTTTTGCAAGCGTTGCCAACATCGGAGCCTGCTGTGCGAGCATCATCGCCATGGACGGTCTGGAGCTGGGTGTTGCTTCGCCTCTTTGCCAGGCGCAGAGCTTCATGTTCCATATGCAAGTTACCACCCGACTTCTTTTATACTCTTCTCCCCTCGCTAACATACCTCCCCCAGGTTCATGCAATCTGACCCCTGGTGGTCGCTGGCCATGGCCTTCAACGTCTTCCTCGTCTTCTTCTTCCGCGCCAAGCCCGACTCGTTCCGCAGATGGTGGTGGGTGTACTGCCTCATCTGCTACGGTGGCCCTTTTGCTATTGCCATTGCGTTGCTTCTGGTTAGAAACCCGAACCGCGGGCTTGTTTTTGGTCAAGCCACCGTAAGTATTTCTTTTCTTCCCCAGATATCAAAGCCATTGTTGGCTGACTCGACGCGTAGATCTGGTGCTGGGTTAACCGGGACTGGGAAAACATTCGCATCTACACTTACTATATGCTCATCTGGGTTTGTATTGCTGGATCTATCCTCTTCTACTTCATGGTTGGCTGGCATGTTTTCCGTACTCGGAATCGACTCAAGAGTTTGACTGCTTCCAAGACCAGGGAGCCGGCCCCTATCGAGCAACCTCAATCTCAAAATGTAGGTAAAATGCCAGTACATGAAACCTCACAAACTGACTTGACAGTCACAGCAGCGACAAGTAGACTTCTTATCAGTCCCACAAGACTGCTTCTACGGAACCATTGTCACTGAAGTCCAGGTTGTTCACTCAACACCTTCAGCAAACCATCTACCTACCGAACCAAGGCCTGCTTACACAGCTCGTTCATCTTCACCTCAGATATCTTTCGATGAAGCACCTTCGGTCATGCAGGGATCCAACAGCCATTATTTCTCGACCTCTATATCCCCAGGTATAACTCGCCCCGAACAAAGCAGCGGCTCCCCTCTCCGCCGCATAACATCAGCGACCAGCCGAACCGTCAACAAATTCGTCATCGACGATCCCATCAAGCGGGCGTACTTACGCACGAGCTTCCTTTTCGCCCTTAGTGTGTTGGTGACTTGGATCCCGAGCAGTCTGAACCGCATCCACAGCTGGCTCATGGGCACTTCCCCCTTTGAGTATCACGCCGCCACCGCCGCTGTCCTCCCTCTGCAGGGACTCTGGAACGCGGTGATTTTCTTCGTGACAAGTGGAGGACCACTGAGAGAGTGGTTCAGGAACTTTGGACACCAGCCTACCCTCCAAGAGAGAGAGATTGCAGAGATTAGAGGAGACCACGACGAGCATGTTGGGAGGAGTGGCGACAGCTTCCTGGATGACACAGACTCCGGTAGTGACGTTGAGCTGCGAAGAATGGGAGAGGCGCCGGGGAAGAGATCAGTAAGTCTCTAGGAAACGGAGAGGAAAAGGGTATTTGCTATAGAAGAACTTTATGTTCTGTACGATAACTGGATTTATGGCTTGAGACGAGAGACGATGTTGAGGGCATTCTAGACTAGAACCCTAGACTTGACGATATCTCGGCAATCCGAGACGCGAAGAAGTTGCTGATAAGCAATGGCTTGGTTGCTTAGTTTAAAATTGCTGACGCTTATATGGCGTCCAAACCAAAGACTATAAATGGAAACTTGATAAGATACTCTCAGTTCTACTACATAGCAGCTCCGTGAATCACTAGGGTCTTGCCTGAGCCTCCAGTTTCTTGCACATTAGATTGCTCCACGGCGTTGAGAAGACTACTCGCCCTGACAAGCAATTCTGCAACCAGTTAGTAGGTATAATTGCCGCGTCGTGTGAGTTGAAGAACATACCTTCATATATCAGCTTGTAGTGAACTGGAAGGTCATCTCCCGGCCCCGAGATAAGAGGCATTGTCTCTGATGGCGCAGGGGCAACGCTGAATCGTAACCCGACATTATTGTGCTTTCCAACCCAGATGATGTTTTCTGAATTGGCATAAGATGGGCGTCGCTTACTGGCCATCTCAGCAAGCCATTTCCTAAAAACACGCACCACTCCGTCAACGATATTAACGTGGCTTATAAACAATCCACTTCTTCGGCCCTCTTTGACGAGATTGGTCACAGCACATAACTGAGAGAACAACTCTCCGTCGTCGAGATTTATGTCCTGGGTAGCAGTGTCATCCTCAACATTGTCAGAGGGTTGCGCTTCAGTACGACGTCTCCGACCCCTTCTGGCAGTTCGATTCTCTGGCGCGAAGACTGGTTTGAAAGAAGCATATAGGCGCCGCAGATCAGCCAGCTCAGGGGCGTCTTCATAGACAGGAGGACCATCCCGAGCCAGAGTATGCTGGTAGCGACATGCTAAGTAGGGAGTGTACAGCTGGTCACTTGGGTGATAACACTCCAGGATGAGTTTGTTATCGGGAAGAGGGGCAGCTTGGATGAGGCGTTGGTGGAGGAGACGAGTGGCTAGGTAGTAAATGCGGCGGTTAACAGAGGTGATAGAGAGCAATTCCTTGGTCAAGAGGAGGGATAAAATAGAGGTAAGAATCTAATCACAAAAAGGTCAATTTGGGAGTATAAATTTTGATTTGATAAACTCACTTCATTTGGCAAGCACTCGATGGAATTGTCGTGAGACATCATTATTGATATGGGCGATACTTCTTAGCTTGAGCTTGCGATAAGAGCTGAGCGACGAGAGGAGGATGAGACAGTAAATGATGTGCAGACGATATTGAATTAGATGATAGAAAGATTAATGGAATGACTGAAATAAATAGGCTTGAATAGGTAGAATTGATGGTAATCAATTGGGCTTTACTTCTTTTCTTGGCTGGACTATGTTGGAAGTAACTTTAAAGCTTCAAGTTGACAGCTTCATTGTGACGATCACACTAATAAAACGTGGGGGAGGGGCTGGTGATTTAGTCAGCATCCGCAACGCCGAATGACGAAATTGACTACTTGTGATGATTTGATACGACTCGTTACTCACTGTTCTCGAGTATAAATCTATTGTACTTAAATCCCTCCTTGTACTTTTTCAAGTGATTACTCCCAACCAACGGTGGTAATATGGTGAGACTGAATATGCATGTTCTCCAGATTCTTCACAGGTAGTTCCAGTCCACTATCAACCTGGCCGATAAGGTGATGTTACGGGCGATGAAAGGTTTACTGCGGTATGCTTATTCCAATTAACCCTTGTTGGGAAGTCTTATCCTTCTGTTTCCTGTGATAGCTCGAGGGGAAACCCTACACACCTCTCTGCTTCAGGAGGCTTGTTGAGATTTCAAGACAATAAAGTATGTCTAGATGCTTTGAACGCCATTTATCATCGTGGCAAATAATAACGAAAAATACAAACGAATGCACCAGCCAATAAATAACTCTGCCTCCAGCATGTGCTGATATATAGACGTCGTTGTTGTGACAAGGGGGATAACGCTCGGGTATAGGGTACGGCAAAGGGAGATATATCAGATCACGGCATGCAAGTTGACACTCAATTGACTTCCACATAAAACTCACACCTACCTACATACATAATCTACACGTCAATACTAATGGGCAGAAGAATTAGAGAATGGATAAATCATCGGCGCCGGCCAGCCCGAAAGCTTCTCTATTTTCTATTTTGAGCTCGTTCAGTCAACCCCTGTTATTGACCGACGTGTCATTGGCGTCTTTTACCAAACTCAATCTGTGACAACACTCACTATGGCTTCAGATTTGGGGAGAGAGCCTGGTGGTGAATTGACTGGACGAAAGACGAGTTTGTGAGTGTCAGAGCAACCTCATCTGAAAACTGCCCATTGGTGAGGGAGAAGATAGGCATAATCACGACTATAGGCTTGCTGGAAGAGAGGCTGGACCATATACAGAGAACTACGCATTTATGTCTATAAAAGTATTAGTCTATACCAAGGATACTTGTAATAGACCAAACTCCCCAGCATATGCCCTATCCAAACTGTTTCACCTACCGGAAGCAATGAGATTCAACATTTTGCTGGGCCTCGGCCTCTTTGCGGCTCAGTCTGCCGTTGCAAGTCCTTTCAAGAGAGGCAAAGGTAGGTTGTATTCCAAGAATAGTCAAGTTAATCAATGGCTACTAACAAGGATCCATAGGCATAACTCATGTAGTTACGGAGATTGTCACCGCCACGCCAAAGGCGCGGGCCGATGAGATAGAAGCATCTTCTGACCCGGAAACAACATCTACTGTAGTCATAACCGATACGCAGACGGTATTTCTCACCTCAATGTCGACTGCCTCTATCAGCTCGACAGTTCTTGTCACAGAGGCTGTCTTTGCTACCGAGACTGATACAGTATCTTCTACAAAGACTGCTACTAGAACTGCGACTGCGACTAAGACCGAGACTGCGCGTGTCACTCGGGTTTCAAATGTCAGAGCCACTTCAACCGTCAGGGTTACGAGACTAGTCTCTACTACTAAGACGGTTACTGTTGATACTACGGCTACTTTCAACACCACTTCGACTACGATGACGACTGATCTGGCGTTTCACATCACCACAGTCACTACCACCGATGTAGAATCTTCCACTACCACCGGCACTGTATTACTGCTTCAGGACTTGCAGACAACCAACACTACTTTCGTCACCATGACTACCACTGGGACTACGTCTACCACCGATCTCGTCACCGTCACTGATACTGCCATCGAAACCAACGTAGTGACGGCTACCAGTACCGTCACTGACACCGACACTATCTCTACCACACGTACAGGTGTAACTTCTACAACAGAGAATGTGGTTCTCGTCGATACAGTGACCAGCACAGTCACTGTATCTACCACCGAAACAGTCACTGTGGCCGCAACTGCAACTCCAGAAACGACAGGCTCTAGCACGGAGGCTGATGTGCAAAGAGCCAATGTCGCTGCCGAGGCTGAGGATGATGAAGAAAATAAGGAGGAGGATGAAGCAGTTGAGGAGGAGTACAAAAAGACCAGCGGTAAAACTTCTTACAAGCCAAATGCTAAGAAGGCTGACAAAAAGAAGGTCGTTGGTAATGCCAAACCGACAAGGATTTAATACCAGGCCCCTTCCCAGGTCCAGTTTGCGATAAGCGGCATATGCATTTGGTTTCTGTCTTCGACTTGTTCCGTTGATCTTGGAAGAGGTCATCAGGGGCTTGATTGGATAGAATTACAAGGATTTCTGATCTTAAACGCCCGCCTTGAAAGTGAGGAATCAAAACAAGTAGTCAATGCCATCGACCTCTCCAGCCCATGTAACAGCAACCCCTCTCCTCAAGATCGACGACCTTCAATGCTAGACATCTGCAGTGATAAGAATGCACGTTACATCCAAGTCAGGCGTGTCACCCAGCAGCAAGAGTCTCCTCGGGCAATGCATATCGTGTAACTCGGCGACGAGATATCCTCGACGGACAAGATGTGAGTTGAGCGGGCCAAGTTCCGATGCAGGAAGTCGATTGATTTTGCAAAGATCGTCACGGGGGTCCTGAGACATCTGAAAGAGTAGGTGATGGCGAGATCAGAGACATTGTGGTTATACAGCTTCATGTCAGGTGGACCCTGAAAGGCAGGAGGAAAAGCAGGGAAGTGTAACCTGTCATATAAATCTCCGATAGAGAATCTGGAGAAGTGAAGTTGTCCCCCAAGTACAAGGTATAGGTCTTGTTTTGGCCTATTTCATTATCGTTCATGGTGTATTGTAGAAGAGTCAGTTGAACATATCATGTCTTCCAGTCAATATAATAGATACCTGATCATTCTCATGAAACTATAGTATTGCGAAAACTAGACCGATATTATGTCGGAAATTGACTATGTACCGAGACAACGCCGGACGCATGTCTCGTGGTGAGTGATAGCAACGCCTCATTGTTACCACTCCGTCGGGGCTTTGCCAGATTTAGGAGTGACGAGAACAGACACCTAGACAACTTCCAAGATTCATCCTTAGACATTCGGGGATATACAAACTCTAAAGCAAGATCAGCGTGTTACAGTTTGGCCTGTTGTACGTTCCAACAGCCAACTGCGGACTGAATTCCGCACTGACATCTTGAATATCATTTCGTTTGATGGCCTATCATGACAACATAGCTCCGAGACTCTCCTGTATTAGCTATACTAAGCATAAGTATCCTTTTCGAGCGTGTTACCTTCCCTCATGGTCTATCATAGAGACTCTTTTGGCATGTCAATAGCTGAAACACCAGTCGAACTCCGTAGGCCATATATTACCTGACATGTCACTGACATATCCGGTGATACTACATCAAAAGCCTTCAAGACATGCATACCACCCACAAAGACATACATCCGTCTGCAGCCCTCTCGCAGATTCCTCAGGCCGTGACATCACAATGTAGCATCCCGTCAATGACATGAATATCAGTGCGTCCAAAGGAACCCATCAACTACAACTTACCCCGTGGGGGCAGCCCGTCAGCGTGGATATCATATCCTAGTTACCGCTTACGAGCAGAGATGATTTCTGATGTACTTAAGAGACTGTGTCGTTCTGTTCGAGTTGCACAGGCATACCGGGATCGGCGAGAATAACTATACCGCCTCGCGCGCAATCTCGTGTAACACTCTCCGACATAATTACAAAGATCCTCTGCGTGAGATGGAGTAAGAATTGAGGTCCTTGCATTATCTTCTCAAAAACCCGAGTTTTATTCTTGGAGTAGTAGCCACAAGTTGTGGTTGCGTGCATAGCTTGTGTGGTGTTGTATATCCCAGTCTACTGTCGTCATTGAACGATGTTTCTCGCCCGAAAGTGCATTAATGTTGAGCATGGGTATAACTGGCAGCACATTAATAAAGACCCTACAACGCCAGTTTGCTGGGACTATCGAAATAGAGCCTTGACACCATCTAGAGGCCTTGATGAAACACTACACATAGTAACGAAAAACACTAACCAAGTGATTTCTCAAACGCCATCTGGAGCATTTACACGAATTTATTAGGTCATCATAGATATTGAGTATGCTTAGAGTAATCACTCACTGAATAAATCTGCAAACAAGTTCGGAAGAACCTAAGACAAGACAAAGTAAAGGAAGAATATACGCACCGTTGACACCGACAACGCTTTTCTCTTCCTGATCCGGAGCCTTTCAGAAAATCGACAGGACCGACGACTGTTGGTAAAGTTCAAAGGTCTGTTCTCACAAATAGGTTCTAGGATGACACGAAATGCCCCGAGTGAATGCACGGGAAGCTTATCACCGTTTCGATACTATTTGGCAACAATGTTTCTCATAGTCGGCCTCACGCCACATCAGCTGATGTGCAGCGAGTTGCCTTCGCTGGATTGAACAAAGGCGCGAAAGCGCGACCCCGAGAGTTAAACTCCGGTGACATAATCTTTACTATGATCACCTAAACAGAAAAGAGTGACTCGGCTGATGATCAACGTGAAGGATGCCCCAATGGGGTATTTTGCGACGACTGGCCTTGTAGGGATAATCGTTAACAATGACAATTTCTGATCGGTTCGACCAGATATCTTCATTTAGAAGAGGTTGTACTGTCCATTGCTACCAAGATTCGTAACCTACCTATTTAGGTAAGCTGTGAAAGGGCCAAAGACCTCCATGTCAGCAACGGTGCGGGCTCATTCGCCCGTGCGTTGCTGACTGGATCGTAGGGCTGAGTAATATCGCCTCGAGCTAATCTTAGTGTCTAGACATTGTTCCTGGGGTTATAATGGTCCAGGGGAATCCATAAATCCGACTCGCTCTTCGTTGCGGGCTGTGCCAGACTAGATCTTATTCCGCCATGTGAGAGTGAGTCCGTACTGTTTGTCTATCGGAGGTTTCACACCACTCGGAAACTGTTCCACCAGCGGCCAAGAAAACCGCAGCATGGTGTCAGACCGGGCCGCTCCCGTATCAGCCTCATCCGTTGTGGTGCGGAGGGTATTTTGTCCGATGAACTATGCGTGAGGCCGACGCACTTATCCAGCAGCCCGGAATCTTGGCATGACTCGACGATAACGACTTGACGGAGAGGGCGGCTACTCTTTGGAAACAAGATCGAGATAGATGTTTGCTTGCCTGTTTGGTATATTTTTGTTGTTGTTTTGGTCTGCAACTGCATTGTTCTTCCTGTGTTGTAGATTGTCAGCTACCCTCCGTCCCGATATGCTGGCTAACGCAGGGGCGTCTCTTGTTATCCTACTTGTAGTGGTTCCCAGTACCTGAAATCATATCAATATGGCTGCCCGAGGTAATTCGGCATCAACCTCGCGGTATAGCTCGTTAGTGCGAGTTTGACGAACTTGGTGTTCTTATATTGGGCCGTATCCTGCAACCGCAAAAGGAGAAACAGCCCCCGACTCAGATTCAGCAATTCAAATCTGTCGATTACGCAATAATTTGATCGCTTGTCATTAAGACCCAAAGTATTCATCACCACGTGGAATGTTCGAGAAGTTCCCCTAGTTCTGGTCATCGCTGTCAAAGTGAGCCTCTTGGTAATTGTTGCAGCATAGCAACCTACTGAGGATGCTGGTTAGCATGCAAGCATATCTCAAGCGGATCCTTGTGTGTGTATATACGTACATAAATGAGGGGAAACTGAGGCGTGCTTTCAGTTTATCTTGGAAGTCTTTCGTTTTCATTTCTTCAATATGCCACCACGTAGCATTCGGTAAGACGGTTCGATCGATACGAGGCCAGCCAAATTTTCTAAATGCACTCTCAAGTCCTAAAGAATTCCTATATGAATTTTGTGAGAGAAATGTCCCAAACAAGGATTTGTACTCTGTACCACCGACGGAATCCTGGCCTTGACTGCATCGATTTCAGGAAAGCTTCGCCAGGAGTTGTTGCCGTGCTTGTCATAATAAATTGGAGCTGTAGTCAGACGATATTCTTGCGTTCTAAACTTTTCGGTAAGCATACTCTGGTAGTGCTCTCATGCGTGCTTATCGTTGCTCTTCAAACCTGCTCAGTGTTACATCTCCGACAGTGTACCCCGATGTATAGCTCTGTCATACTAAGCTGCCTGCAGTTCCGACTGGCTCAAGTCAAGATATGTTTCGGGATGATAGGCAGTATCCAGCCTTGTTGTTCTCCATTTGTTTCCTCAGTGGTTTGTTTCGTTCTTTTCTCTTTTGTCCGAACATAGCGAGGTTGAAGTTGTGACTATGGATGGATCAAAATAAGCTTTCTGATCTAAGACAACCCCTCATCAATGTAGCACAGACCAGGAAATGCCTGGATTCTGCATCACGATCGCTCGCCACGTTGGTGTTCTGAAGTTCTGGGGTTTGGGACAGCATTTTGTCTTCTTGCATGAGCTATTTGATGGCGTACTTGTTGACAACAAGGCAGCCGTCTTCACATGGCTCCCACGGCGAAGAACCCTAGGGTGCATCAAATGAAATGGACATTTTAAGATGCAATGCCAGCTTGTCAATAGATGCATAACCGTATTTGGTTAAGAGACATGCGCGTGAAACATCTGCCGGCAGTGCATCCTTCAGCTTTCTCCCCGCAGGAAGTATTGATAGGCACTGCCGAATGTTATAGGCTGTCATTTGCTTCGTGTATGCAAAACAAATCATCGCGATTGATTGAAGGATTGGCTGGTCCTCCAACAAAGGATCTTGAGGCTTGATAATAGAAATGTAAGGACAAAAGTGCCAAGCTCCAGAAAACCAGAATGTCTAGATGACGAAAGTTCATGTAAATTGTTCGCGACTCCAGGCAGGCTGACTACTTGCCTAACTAAAGAGAAACCCCAGGTGGCTACTTCCATACTTGGTAGGATATTTGAAGTTAGAAGGAATAACCGCGGATGACTACCTACCTACCGGCCTTAGCAATTTACGAACATCAAAGGCAGGTCCAATTACAGAACATTGATTCACACACCAGCGCACCTCACTGCATCAATTATATCGCCTTTTCTTCGAACCTTTCCCCCTTGAGGTATAGACTCCATTGCTTGAAATCACAATACCTAACTTGAGTCCCTTGCAAGACTCTGGTGCCAATTCTCTACAGAACATCCGTATGCGGCCGGCCGAGCGGCGTTTCCGAGTCCTAGGGGGTCCCTTAAGGACGTATGGATAGCTTGAACAAGGCAGAGATATATGTGGCTATTATATGACGAAATGTGCGACCCTGATCCCCTAGACTAATCTCACATGGATGTGTACCGATCTGGCTGCATGTATCGATGAAGCTGACGGTATCGTGGCCTTGATCACCAAGCCACCGTCCTGCCGTGGGGGAGACAAGACCTTCACAAGCTTTTTGGGAATGGCCTATCCTCAATACCTTTGCTGACCTCTTTCTAAGATAGATTCTCACGTAATGGCGTCCATTGTCGTACACGGATTCCTGTGCTCCTCAAGGCTCTGTTCCGCCCCTCCCAGGATTTGACCAGTGGCCGACTGCTTCTAGTCATTGACCCTCCTCCTATATACTTGGAACCTTCATTGAAGACTGCAGGAGCCCCAGAGATATTTGTTTCATACCATTTCTAAATCAGTAATCATGAGTGATATTTGGAACAACTCGGGAAAGGAGGTTTGTTATAAGATTCACGAACTTTGATCAACAACTACCAACTGACTGTAACGGTCAAACAGACGCAAATGTGGTCGACACACGACTTGGCTTGTGCGCACTGCCGAGCACGAAAGATACGATGTGGAAGAGAACGACCACAATGTGAAAGTTGTAAGCGAGACGGTGTCGAGTGTCGATACTCGTCTCCCGGCAAACGCGTCAACCACGTCAAGCTCTTGTGAGTGTGCAAACGCCATTTGTTCCCCCATTAACGCAGTACAAACGCTGACAAATATCTTCTTGTTTCAGATGCCAGAACTTCGAGACCCTCGAAGGCCAGCTGCACAGTATCCAAAACGACCTTTCAGACCTGACGTCACTCGTTAAGGGTAGTAATAGCGTGCGATCGCTATCCCTTCCAGCTGAGGACTGGGTCTCCGATAATTTCACAGGGTCAGAGTCAGAGACAGTCTCTCGCACAAACCGTCATATTGTACGAAGCACGTCACAATCACTTGATCGTTATCATGGACCATGCTCCCTCTATGCATTGTGCAAGGAGTTTCACGACGATCCAATATTTGCGTCCTCGGAGAATAATGGTTCCATACAAAGTGTGGTTTCGGAACAGATCATGTTACAGGAAATGTTAAATGAGGCATGCAATGAACCTCATTTGGATATGCCCTGTCATCCCGTTGATATATGCCTTCCACGTCGGCAGTTCCTTAACCTCTTTGTTGGTCCCTTTTTCAAGAATATCGATTACGCGACCGACGTGTTCGTGCGGTCAAATTTTCAGCCGCATATTGACCGAATCTATTCACACCCTGTTGGCCCTTCTGATGAAGGCTGGGCAGTTTGCTTTAATGTCATTGTTCTTCTTGGTATCAAAAATGGACCAACAAATCAGGGCAACAATCATTTTGGCCAATCACTTCTTCAAACCCTGAAAATGGCCGTCAATAATCCTAGAGTATTCCTGACACCGAGACTTGTGAACGTCCAAGCCCTCGCTCTTCTGGTAAAAAGATCTTGATTTCTGATCTATATCGTTACTGACTTCTGTGCCAGAGTTACGTTGCTGAGCAATATAGCACAACCTCACTTGCGGAGCTTGTCTTTGCCCAGGCCTGCTTGTTAGCTCGCACGATGGGTCTCCATCAAAGTCATGCATCTTTCAGCGACCTTCCGCCCGAGGACATATTGGAGAGACACAAAGTTTTCCGATCCTTGTATATCAGAGACAAGAATATCGCAATACTACGTGGGTCCACGGCTTGGCTACCAGGCCATGATTCCGGCATACCCCATTTGACGGACGAAATAGAAACAGGAGCACATGACTTAGTAGCCCGGCTAGAGCTAGCAAAGCTTCAGGATGAGGTTTATCAGACATTCCATGCCGCTAGTGCTCCCAGTTTACACATTTCCAAGCATGGACAAGTATTGTCACAGCTGCAACAGAAACTAGAGCAGTGGGCTTCCGCTCATAACGTCATACAGAAGACGTTAACTTCTCCCGGATCATTCTCGCTCATGTTGTCGTTTCTTGCGACTAGGATCTGCTTACTCAAATCCAATGATGACATCAAGTCAGCTCAACCCTCCAGGGATGCTAAAGCATGCTGCCTCGTTTTCTTGCTTGCCACGGCAAAAAAGCCAGACTCACGCCTTTCTGACGCTCTAAAAGAGACGTTGGGTCCTCAAAAACCACTGCCTCTACCCACCACCAAGAAAGCCAAAAGAAACTCTCGAAACCAAGCCGTCCTAAACGGTGATGATGAAAGCGCAAATTCAGCGCTGCCCCGGTTGGCTGTAACCTTTCCACTAGCGGCCGCTTTCATAGTCGCCAAGGACATCTTGTTACAGCCAATAGCAGAGGCGGATAGTACCCCCGGTCGACCAGAAGAGGAAATATACCTTTTGGAAGCTCTCCGTGATCAGTTCGCTTTGGCTACCGGTCAAGCACATGTTGATAATTTCGCGCTGCCTTTTAGTCGCATCCTGGATCTACTCGTTCGAATTGTGCGTCAAAAACGGTTACCAGAGACAACTCATACACCTTCAATAGCTTTCAATGAGCTACCAAGTCTCGATTCAACACGATGCTCTAGCTCTTTACAGGAGAGTGTCGTAAGCTCTTTTAGAGATACACCTCCGGGACCAGAAAAGTTCTCATCAGTCGGCTCTATCAGTGAAGCACGTCTGAATCCTTCTTTGGTTCTACCTTTCAGCCAGCCAGTCGAGTCTTCAGCTGGTGGCTCCCCGTGGTTCGGCAACACCAGTCAGACCGTTAGTATGAACAACACACCAATGCTTGTAGCATGGCCAGGCCAACATAAACGACAATCTGGAGAGGTAGAGCATTTGAACAAAAGACCACGAATATCCTGCCAGGAAGAATTCTTGGATATTCCTGCAGGGTATGCGGACCTTGTCTCCCGAACTGAAGATGACACAATATTCACATTTGACTTTCTCGGTACGGGAAACGACATATCCGTTTTCGACATGGAAGACTAGAGGACGGTTCATTTCTCTTTCTAACTCTACTAAGAACACTGGTGTCTTTGAGGCTTGTGCTACATGGCTCGGAATTCTGCTTTTTTTATTCTCAACTTCGACCAAATGATTGGGCATGTATATGGCTGGAACAAACATACAACAAAACTATCCACATATGATTGCGATCATAGAGCAGCAATAAACAGTCCCGATATATGATATATCGTTTCTATGAGTCTTCTCGTGAAATCTATTCCCAGCTGCTGAGACTATTCCGTGCCTGCTTGCTTGAAGAGCATAGCATAGCGCTATTCAAGTGTTATGCAGTACGTCGGCCTGACTGGTTTCTGGCATAGGAAATCACCCCCCTGGACCTACCCACAAATTCATCGACTGTTTCCCATTGCGAGCGAAATCGAATTGCATCAAACCCTTTCACCAAGTTTTTCATATACTAACAAGTCACCACACCATTCAATAATCGACCAGTATGGAATTCAGCAACCTTTCTCATCGTGCTAGCCATTGCAGAATTATCTCCTGTTGAGTTTGTCGCTGAGGCCATTCCTCTGATGCAACTAATCATACAACTTGTACCAACTGGATGACTGACCGGCACAGGGCACCACCACACTTTGTGAAACTTGCAGTTCATGATGCGACGAATCTCTAACGTAGGCGCCACTGATATCATGAGTCAAGCAAGTGTTGGCTTTCGTCGAATATTCATTTTTCCGCCAAGGAAGGCTACAAGAATATGAATTTCGTATCAGCTGTGTGACACCTGTCCAGTCCTTGATTTTCCTTTATGCACTGCACCAGGGCCACCAATGCTACCTACCCATGGAGAAGCCACTGGGCTATTCACCTACCGCATTGTGAAAGATGATGGCCTAGTTGGGGGCTATCATTGGGCAACATGCAGTATAAGGTGCAACGGTCGTGCGATAAACCTGCTGAGAGCCACATCATTCAACATGTGTGAATGCCAAGATTATTGGCAAGGCTCAGGACATCTCCATCATCCAATAGTGGGAGGGAATTGCCCGTGTACGTCTGACAAACTTCTCTCAACCCAACTTCATTTGGATCTGTATAATATCGAAAACGGGAACCAAACAAAGAGCATTTTTTCTTCGTTGGAGAGCTTTCTAATATGCAAGGAGGCCACCCACTCGAACGAAATTGCGACACCAGCAACGTTTATGACTGGGGCATGTCCGAAAGGCTTATTACTTAGTAGGCTACTCGTTCTGCCCAGTGAAGCCGCATGATATGGACAAAGTAAGGCTGCGGCCGTTTTGTGTAACGATAGCGATTCTTTCGTGGTGGGAAATATGCTGGAAGTCAATAATTCCTAATCATCCCTTCGCCTCGCCTCTTCCGAAAGAAGAGTGAATCAGCAAGCCATGGCAGCAAGACCTTATGTGCTGTAACACTGCATTTATAGCAACATTACTACTCTGGCATTCGTACTTTCCAAATATCATGGGATTTTATCTATCTAAGTGATAAGTACGTTCTATCCTTTTGTTATAGATTGCAACCGCTAACATCTACCCTTCCGAACTCTTTTCAAGCAGACACAACGGGCTCGTCGGCTCTTTTTCGCTGCAATAAGCAGTGTCGTCCCCATTTCCTCTTGAACTCATTGGGGATGAAAGGGAGGTCAGGGACCCATAGTATTCTCGCGAGCTGGTGCGTCTTGGCGGCATCAAGGAAGGGCTCGCACTTGATAACCTCCCAGCTCTTAGAATCCGCAATATAGTCAGGCTCGTTTGGTGGTAGAGGGTCGTTCCTCTCGGGGTATTGAGTATCAACTAGGAATGAGCATGCGGGAAGCTCGGTGTACTTGCCAAGATCCTCCTCGTTGTGGTCATTCATACCAGTTGTAGGGAGCCAAGTACCGCTCCAGAAACCAAAGCCAGTCTCAGCTTCAGCGAATTCACCGGGCAAGAGACCCCTGAACTCGGAGCGGATGAACTTTGCACGCATGTCTCGTGGCAGGAAGTAAGATGAGGGGAAGCGATACCACTCCTTGCCTAAGCATACGGTGTCTTCGTCACGACCGATGGGCGCCTTGCCATCTATGCCCTCCAACAAAGGCGAGTAGATCTTCATGGGCCCAGAATAAGCAGACCAGACACCATACAATCGAAGAACAGCAATGTCGACAGAGAGAAGCATGGTGATAGTGACAAGTAGAAGCTTCAGCTTTGCTGGAACCTTTCCAACCAATGTCTTTGGATCCGAGTTACCCAACGCGGTCAATACCATGTGGAGCGAAATGGATGCATTAAGCGCAAGGAACGGGTAGACTGGGTACATGAACCTCTCTTCCTTGTGAGGCTGCCAGCTGAAGATAGCAAGCCACATGTAGAATGGAGACAGGAAGACAACAGTTCTAAGACCGGTTTGGAATCCCTGGCCAGATGGTGAAATAAGCTTTTGAAGGATGAAAAGAGGCAGCGCGGCGAGAGCGAGGATGAACCAAAGGTTGAAGTTCAACGCCAGATTCTTGAAGTAGAAAGTCCAGGGCTCGGTTCCGTAGAGCTCCGGGCCGTGGTTTGACGAGAAGATGTTGTACTTGACAATGTTCCACGTCACAGAAACCTGTTTCTTGTAGAAGAAGAGGTTGACAAAGTAGTCGCCGGCCTAGAAGGGTTAGCAGGTGGTATAAAGAACAGACTATGAATTATACGTACAAGGAGTAGGAATGCCGACACCACGCCCCGACCAATACGGACAAATGCTTCCCATAGAGCAGTCTTGTCTCCAAAAGCAAGCAAGATAAGCTCCTCCAGCATGAAGGGCGCGCAAAGCGCAGCAGCAAATGGCCATCCGAGAATACCAGCGGCGGCGAACCAGAACATGCCTTGGGAAGTCTTGAGGCCACCCTTCCAGTTCATGAAAGCAGCAGCGCCCAGTGTCACCAAGTACATGGCGAAGCTGGACGGAAGGAAAGCTGTGCTCGCATGGAAGTTTCCGGGACTGGCGATGGTTCCGATTAGGAAGAAAAGGCCGATTCGACTGTTGAGCGTGGTGCTCGTAACCATAAAGAGGATCGTCTGTGTGAGGGCGCATACAAAAGCTAGTCCAAAGCGCACGAAGTAGAACTCGGCAACCTGGAAGATGCAGCGTTAATTAACATGTTCTTGTGTGCGTATTCATCTTGTTGTGCTCACCTTGTTTGAGTGAGGAAAAATTCGGCGCACATTGCCGACAATGGCGTGAAAGGCGATGTAAAGCCAACTGCGGATGGCATAGTCGGGCGAGTATTCCCACGTCTGTAGACCGTAGCCATGAGACAAGTAATGAGTCGGTTCCCAGTAATTAAACGTCTCGTCGCAATCTTGAATCGGCGCGAACCAGGCGGACACGAGAGCGGCGCCGAGGAACCAGTAGAAGGCTGAGATCGGTTGCATAGAATATGCGCTTGGGGCTCTACCAGGGACAAGGTGTTAGTGGGGAGCTCTCTGCAATGAATATGATAGCAATAGGTGTCAGGTTATTACTTTTTCTTTGCATGACTGGCAGTTGGATGCACAAATTGCCGCTGTTGCTGCTGTTGTTGCGGCGTGCTTGGAGCCATTGTGGTGGCCGTTGTCGCTTCGCTTTTCGTGGTCGACTCTAGCTGGTGATGGTTTTAAAAAGTAAGGAATGCTGTCGTCATGTCATGAGTGGGTGGAATTTGGAGAGCTTTCAACAGTTGGGGGGAGACCCTGCTGGACGCTAACCACTAACATCCATTTACCGAGGCGTGCTTCACCGAGGTGAAGGATACTTTTATGGGGGCATTGGGCTTAGTGCCGGGAGCTGGGCCCACCTTTAATTGTTCACCTTGATTTTTTCTTTCCTGCAGCGCTAGTCAGGGTCTTTTACAATCGAGGACGAGGCGCCCTCCAAAACTTTCTTGCTTTTCATTCAAACTTTGCGCATTGAAGATTCTTTTACTCGTCTCTGCTTACTGACTCCATTTCTCCCTCTTATTATAATCAACCATACAACAACGACCAAATTTCTATCACCAACGACATACATATACAAAGCAGCGCCCGCATTCCATCATGTCGGGCTTCCAGATCCCAGGCCTCGGCCAGGCCAAACCCAACGAGACACTACCACCTCTGCCCGCCGATGTTGTTGCAGCGGCTGCCAGTGTGCAAGATACCGAGATTACAGATGCAGCCCCCCATGATACAAGCAATCAGTCCGCCGAGCCTGTTACCACAGAGCCCAAGCCCTCTGAGGCTCAGCCAGCGCCCGCTGTAGATGCCGATGCTATGGTAGTCGACCAACCCGAAAGCCCTCCCTCTCTCACAGGCGCCCTGGAGGCTGCGCTTGGTGGACTAAATCCCACCACCGATGCGCAACCGGCTCCTACCGCGAACGTCGAACCCGCGCCGCTTCAGAACGACCAGGGCGACAACCCAGAGTGGGAGGTTGACTCTTCTCCATACGAATCCTCCTCAGAGTCAAGCAGCTCTGATTCTTCCGATGAGGACTCCGACAACGAGGGTTACGAACTCCTGGGCGTTGAGGAGACGGCGCGCCTACTTATGCAAGCCGAGGGAGGATCCGACGATGAGGGCGACCGAGGAGCAAAGGGTACCAATGCCGGTCAAGTCCGAACAAAGAACGAGATCGTTGAGGAGGTGGTTCCCAAGCCCGACGTTACAATCACACCCGAGATGAAGATCGAAGAGCTGGGAGCTATCGAGCATATTGTAGAGAACATTATGCTGATCAAGGCATTCACACCTGGAGAGTACCAAGTTCTTGATTCGGGTTCCGCGCTTTGCACAGCCGAGCGAGTCGTTATCGGTGCTATTGCAGAAACGATAGGCAAGGTTCTGCAGCCCATGTACACTGTTCGCTTCACATCGGAGCAAGACATCAAGGAGCTAGGTCTAGAGCTTGGCCAAACGGTGTTCTATCCTGTCGACCATGCCTCATATGTCTTTACCGAGCCATTGAAGAACCTGAAGGGTTCCGACGCCAGTAACCTGCACGATGAGGAAGTCGGCGACGAGGAGATGGAGTTCTCAGACGACGAGAAGGAGGCTGAATACAAGCGAGCAATTAAGCAGAAGAAGAAGGATAAGTGGAAGAAGGACCCCGCTAAGGGAGGCAAGGAGCCTCACCCTCTGCGACAAGAATCGCGACCGGACGGAGGCCTTAACTACGACGACGATGAAGATGGTCCGTATAAGCCTCTGGCGCGACCACCAGGATACGGCACTGGTCCTTCTACAACCGAGACATACGAACCTTCATCCGGCAGGAACTTCCAGCAAAGGGGAGGACGACGTGGCGACTCCAGAGGTCGTGGGGGCCGTGGACGAGGTTCCAGCCGTGGCGGACGGGGAGGCTTCAACCAGCCTAGGGACGGTTACTCAATGCCTCCTCAAGGGGCTCCTCAACCTGCTCAACAAGCAGCTCCTCCTACCCAGTGGGCCGGTGCCCAGCCTCCTGCTCAAGGCGCAGCACCAGCAATGCCTAACTTTGGCTTCCAATTCCCTGCCTGGCCTCAACAGCCCGCACAGGGCAATGTTGCTGCTGCTGCAGTTCCTCCCCCGCCTCCTGGGTGGCCAAACGCCCAAGGTCAACAGGCTGCAAATGGCGGATCATTTGTCAATCCTGCTTTCTTTGCTGCGTTGATGTCTACTATGCAGTCGCAGCAGGGTGGCCAGCCAGCTTGGGGCCAGCAGCAGCAGCCTCCCAATAATGGAAACGGTCAGGGCCAGTAGTGTAATCCGTAATCAAATTGAGTTAAAAAGGCATTGGTGGCGCTAGGGTTGCATTGTTGGGTATAGACAAAAGGATGAGTTATCCGATATCAGTTTCATGACATAATACAATTTCTATGTTTACGTGTGAAAAGGGTACACCTGATTTCAAGTAATCTACAGTCAGAAAACTATTCCTATTCAAAGTAACACGTGTGTATTCTCGTATGCAATCCGTCGCTCATGATGAATGGTCCCATACCCACAATCCAAAAGGGATGCAGATGCTCTTAAACAAATTTCATAACATCAAACTCTTTACAGGTCAGTCCACTGCTCCTCGGACTTCTCAGAGAAGTCGTGGTAACCCAGCTCGTAGACCAGGCCGAGGGTCATGCGGGCATGCTCTAGCATGTGGTCAAAAGACAGATACTTGATGTTGTCATCGGTGCTGTGAATGTGAGGGTCGGAGTACTCGAAAGCGGACTCGATAACAAAAGCCGACGGGTAACCGGCCTTGGAGGCAGAAGCATGGTCGGAGCAGGCATAGCCACACTTGGTCTCAACCCAAGGAATATTGCAGTACTGTAAATGGGGTTAGCATAAGTATATGGCAAGAAGATCAGGGTACACATACCTCCTCAACAACGGTCTTGATGAACTTAGTCAGACCGGAGTCGACGTAGTCAGTAATGACGCCGACACTCTCGGGTTGGCCAGCATCGAGAGTCTTTTGGACATAGCCAGTCATGTCCTGCTGAAGCATAGCCTTGACATCGCGACCATCCTCCTCGTACGACTTGAAGATGGCCTGGCTTCCAAGCAAGCCACCCTCCTCAGCCGAGTACCAGTGGAACTCGATGGTGTTAGTGGCCTTGCCCTTGACAACATCCTTGGAGTTCAGAAGAGCGCGGAAAACCTCCATGATGGTGACTGAGCCACTGCCATCGTCATCAGCGCCCGGGGCGGCGAGAATGGAAGGCAGGAAGAGGTTGATGGAATCCTGGTGGGCACCGATCACAACGGTGCTGTTGGACTGGCCGGGGATGGTCGCAATGACAGAGTGTTGCTGCCATGTGTGAGGGAAGCTCTCGGCGAACACGGTCTTCTCAGCACCAGCATCCTTGATCATCTGATTGACCTTCTCAAGAACCCAGTCGGAGGATTTGAGGCCGTAGTCAGACTTGTAGTATCGGGTGTGGAAGCTGGTCATCTTTTCCAGATTGACCTTCATGTTGTCCTTCTCGAGGTTCTTTGAGAGCTTGGTGACTTCCTTCTGCTGCACGCACTTCTTGGGGAACGTGACAGTAGTCTCAGCGTTGACATGCTTGGAGCCGAGGGTGGTGGTCTCGGTGATGTCCATGAAGTTCTGGCCATTCTATGATTAATGGTTGAGTTAGCAGACCGGTCGATGGATCAAGGTCAAAAGTGATGATAGGGGACTTACACGGCGCATCTCCCACTTATCCTCCTCGGTGACCCATTGTGTCTTGCCAGGAGCGGTTTCAACCAGGAATAGCTCCTCAGGTTGTAGAACAACATTGTTGACCTCGGCAGTCTCGATAAAGCGAGCAGACACGGCGGGGAGGCAAGCTGCCAGGAGAGAAGCCTGTGAGAACTTCATTGTGAATGTATAATAAATGGAATAGCAATGATGAACGAAAACAAGATGATGTTTGGAGGAGAAAGAGGTTGAGGTTGCGCAAATGACGCGCGGAACTGCCTGGAGAGATAAGATGCGAGGCAGGTACCATGACGATCACGTAAGGTAGATGCTTGCCGTTTTAGGTTCATAGCGGTCATGGCTTGGTCGTGTGATTGCGCCGGAAGCTATGATGTGGAGACCCGGTTGCCACGGAGGGAGACCGTACCTGCTTCTTATCAGTTAAGCTGCACTTAAAAGCCAGGATGAGGCACCTACCTGACGTTATAAGTTTCGGTAGTATTATGTCTAAGACGGTCTAGAAGTATTTAATATTGTATCCAGACGCTGCTAATTTCACCTAAAAATATCTCTCTATTTAGTTGTTTATTTAATCATAATTACTCTTTCTCTTCTACCCTTGTTATCTTATGAGCCAAAGTCATCCTAAGACAACTCACGTTGCCTGGGCTGATCGCCGCTAACGTTAGTCAACAACACTATTACCTATCATGAGACCTAACGTTCTGGGGTAGCTCCCGGCGACTCTCCGTCGACCAAAACGCCGTTGGAAAAAGGCATTGCCACTGATCAACGCTGAACTTTTTACTCTGGCAAATGTATCGATAAAATGGGCGTTTCGTAGATGACTACATATAGCATGTACAAGCTGTACAGTTATGCATCAGATCCATTGCCCATTACAAATAAGAATATACGGATATCAACAGGAGATATTCAAGCAGACGGCTTGCCTTTTAGCCATTACTGGCTCGAAGGAAAACTTATCACACCAGCATAGAAGGTCTGAGTCGAATAATATCATATAGCCATATCCTTCACTCCTCATATACAGAACACTCGACAGTGTTCATAACTTCAAAGACTTCGGTTTCTTAGAGAAGCCTTGCAAAACTACAATTGGCCCAATGTTATTATTTTAAGTAAACCTAGCTGGTTTGAGCTGTCTTTGTTGGCCTTGATATTTTTGTTAGTGGCGACAGGACCTTTCTCGTTAACGGCCTTTGTTGAATATGAGTTGTTCATCAGCGAAAATGGGTGTCTTTAACTGACTCACGGATCTTTATGTACAGTGGCTGCTTTGTCCTTGAAATCAGAAGGGTTCAGCAGAACGAGTGTTCTTTATCTATCTGAGAGAACAAGGCCGTCATTAAGCACTTTGCTATTGTTGGTATCACATCCAAGAAAGACGATGAAGAAACGATATAACGAAGGACATATCCTCTTCAATCCAAACATTCTCAAACCTCTCATCTGATTTTATCACATTTCCAATTGCGTCACAACGCATAGCAAAAACCTCATTTGTTATATCTTCATTCCCATTTCAGAAAGCTTCACAGCTGCCATCACAATGCCCCCCAACAAGCCCACTACATTCCGAGTAACCCGCAGCCGCTCTGCGCTCAACAATGCACCTCCTTTAATGCTCATGGGCTTTGGTAACTACCCAGACCAGGTACCTCTCCCCGCGGACCCTGAGGCCTTGACCGCCGAAGAGGTTATAATAAGGAACGGTGGAAACCCATTCCCACCCCTCAGGTCGCATCAAAATCAAGCCCCTGCTCCAGTTGCTCCAGTTGCTCCAGCCGCTCCAGTTGCTCCAGCCGCTCCAGTTGCTCCAGCCGCTCCAGCTTCTTCTTCCTCTTCCTCTTCCTCCTCCTCTTCTTCTTCTCCAGCTGCCTCTCCCCGAGCATCTCCCTCACCAGATGCTTCTCCCTCTCCAAATGCTTCTCCCTCTCCTCAACCATCTCCTCCTCCTGAGTTTCCTCCTCCTCCACCACCTCCCCCTCCTACTCCTATTCCGTCATCTCCGGCTCCGTCTCCCACTAATGCGTCGTCTCCAACTATTCCTTCCACTGCTGCAGTTTCTCCAGTTAGTTCTCCTCAAAGAGCCTCTCCAGGTCCAGGTTTACCCCCAGCAACCCCTGATGGCATTTTTGGAAATTCATCTCCAGACATGTATGCAAGATCCCCAGGCCTTGATAGCTTATCTATTTCACCCTATGCTTCAGCTTCTCCAGCTAGTCCTTTCGCACAAGGCACTCCAAGTTATCAGGGATCAACCCCTCCTCACACTCATGGACCATCCCTTCCAGACATGTTCATTTCATCACCTCCTCGTTCGATTCACGGCGGTAGCAGTGGTTATAATCCGTCAAGCGGAACATCTGCTTCATCGAGTTCATCTGGCTCCTCAGATGAGAATTTGCCCAGTCCGTCAGGTTCGAGAAGAAGTCACCATAGTAGCGATAACGATGATGGCGCGAACGGAGGATATTTCAATCCGGGCAATTCGCCTAGCTCTTCGGGCGATCAAGAGGATGGGTCGGACGAGCCTGAAGTGCGTTCACCTGAGCCTTCTAACAACGCTGGTTCCCCAGGAGATAACCCTTGTAATGACGACCCTAACTTGAGCAGTGACAACAACTTTCCTGAATCACCATCGAACGACAATGCTCAACCTGTGGGGGGTAGCAACCCGCGGCATGTCTCTCCTGAAACTCCGATATTGACTTCGTCTTCCGGCGATAGTCCGCGTTCTCAGTCTGATGATGTCGGCCCAGCCGCAGCCATGGTTGCTAATAATGCACCTTCAAATGCGCATAACATCCGACTGAACAACGGCCTCCCGTCGTTTTCTGTCGGCCAGGGCGCTCCGGGGATCGCACCTCTGATCTTTGACTCGAATGATAATGGTATCCCTGTTGGTAACAATGATTTTCGCATTGGCCCACCAGTAACCCTCTACCGTTCTACTATAGTAGACGGATTCTCAACCAGACCCAATAATCTAGGCAACCGCTCATTTCGTCCCGCAAATTTGATGCTTCCAGGTCCAGATCCGGGCCTGAATATAGAAATCACATCAGACGACCAAGCAGACGACCTCCCGGTTTATGATATCAAACTCTCGTTTAACATCAGTGAAGACAGTAAGGGTGAGGAAGATTCGGCCCAGGGTGCCCAGCATCCTAATCCTTTGTTCGACACTTCTTATAGCTGTTCAGGAAGCTCGTCCCGGAAGTATCGTCGTTCTACCGATACTGACGACGAAGGTTATGCCCATGACGCAAAGCGACGTAACTTGTCGGCATCGAGTAACGCGACGGTTCAGACTTCGACAATCACGCACAAATCTGCAGTAACGCCTCAGGGATCTCAGAATTCTTTTGCTTCATCTTCAAACCAAGGAAGTTCTTTACAGAAACATCGTCGTTCCGACAATGACGACTATGGCAATACTCGTGATACAAAGAAACGATGTTTTTCGATGCCAAGAGAGTCCCAGAATTCCCCAACTTCGGCTTCGAAGTCTCCCGTCCCTGATGTTGCTAGCCCCACTGATTGTATGGTATCTGGATCGGCAAACATGGCCATGGCCGACTCTGATGGCTCAGGCTCAAGTAATGCCAGTCCATTACTGTTACCACACTTCGATCAGTGAGTTATAATACCTAACCCTCCTCATGGCATCGACTAACAAGATGTTTAGTGAGATTCCAGATCTTTTTCACTCGGGCGTGAGGCCTCGTCCCCATTATGACTGGTATGAGCAGTATCACACTGTCGGGTTTGAGTGCGCCAAGGTCCATGGCTGTACTCACAACCCTGGGAGACACTGCCACAGGTGTCATGCAGCATGGCAAAGAGCCTGGTCTCAGTATTTCAAGGCAGATGAGCTTTTGAACGAAGCAGCGGCGAACCCGGAAAGGTATTTAGAAGAGATGGGTTTTGACATGCGTCAGGGTTATATGGGAGTGTTGATGCAGGGCTCTGGTTGGGAGGTGCTGGCACCTGAACTACAACCTCCTGCTGGCGGGAGTCTTCGACTTCATCCCACACGCATTGCCAAGCACAGGCTGGCCCTTGCTCAAATGGCTTTAGTGGAACAGTAAGTAACTGTTTTCGTTTTGTTTGTATTTGGCGTTTTCAAGGAGTTTAAAAGAATAGGTTCAACTTTTGAACAATTGTTAGACTTGAACTTGATAGACATGGTATAGAGTAATATCCGACTTACACGTCGTCTCTTCAAATATTGCGCCTCAAATGCTTCACTTCTTTTTCGTGAACTCGTAATTCTTTGCTCATAGCCAGGATGGGGGCTCATAGTCCCATATCTTCGTCACTCGGTTCATCCGACTCTTGTCCGCCACCTTCTTCCTCCTCTTCTCTCCGCGATGTTTCCGTGCTTGCGCCAAGTTTCCTCACGCCTTCAACAACGCCAACGACAAATCCCCTGCTCTCTGCAAGCTCCATAGCTCCTACTCCGCGCAAGCTCATGACACCGTCGACTCCACCCTCGAGTTGAGCAGTACTGGAGCGCATCTTTGCAGCTCTAACTTCTTGTAGATCTCGTAGTAGCGAACGAACTTCCGACGAGGACGCAATATCGTCCGAGGCATGCGCCAGGAGCATCTCGGCAACTTCGAACCAGTGGTATGGTAGGGAGCCTGACGGGGCATCTGATGTGCAAGAGGGAAGAAACGGCGGCGACAGAACCGTCTCGTCGCTCATGAACGGATTTAGCCTCCTAGCATTCCCCAGGCTGTCTGCTCGTACGGGTGGCGGAGGCGGTGGTGCCCAGCCTTTAGGGTCGACCTTTGTTTCGTGGTGGACGACATCACGCAACGAATCGGGATGCAGCCATGGAGGAGGAACAATGTTGGCACGGCGTTGCTTCTTAAGGAGAATGGCTAGCCATAATGGTATATTACTTCGATGCGGTGGTCGGAGGGTTGGTGTTGTGCCCTGTGTTGCAGTTGCAGGTCAGCGTCGAGGCTTGTGGGCGCGATCCTGAGACGCGCTCACCGTTAGAAGATCAATGCTTTCGAGACGTTGGCGAGGTACGACAGTGACGAGTTCCATTTCACACAAAAAAGAGACCTCTGAGGGGGTCAGCCCTGAGGGGAGCGGTAAAGCCATGTTGTACGGTACAGGTGTCGGCTGTATTAGTTGTAGGATATAAATTAGAGGTTTCCAAGGTTTCGTAAAATGCCCCTCATTGTAGGGAAGACCTGCGCCTGTGAGCATCAACCCCACCACTAGAGTTCTTCATGATTCAGCATATCCTTCAGCTACACTGCTATGGCCACTTTAATATGACGACAAAAAGGTCGATAATGCATTGAATATCTCTTGTTCCTATATAGTTTAGCAAATATCCATTATCTGTCGGCTGAAGTGAGCAACACTGCTTCCACTCCTATGAATGCCAGCTATCAGAACCAAAAATGAAGGCGAGAAAGGGAGGTATAAATGACAAATATTATTCGGCTAAGCAATAGAGATATCTATCTCTTATAGTCAGTTTACAACACATGATATGCTTTGCCTCACCCTATGCAATACAACCATCAATTGATTAATTTAGAGAAATTGCAGCTGTCAGGGAATACGTCGAAATCTAGTGTTCAAGCTTAACTACATCGTATCCCAAGCTTAGAAGGACCTGAAATAGAATGAGGTGATGACATCTACACTATAGCCTATGTCTTCACGCGACCACCTGATTATTACCAAATCTAACGAATCTCTTTAACCTTTTTGGTAACTTTGCATTATAAGACTCATCCGGTGTGTCCAGGGTAGTAATGATGGATCGAGCCCTGCTGATGCGGGGCCGTCCCCAAAGGGCGCGCCGCTGTGGGTGACCTGGACCATTATCTTGGCATTCATGAGGTATAAGTAAGATACCTCTATCTCAGTCAGAGTATTGTTACTTGTCACAAACTCAGAAGAGCTCACGGACACATGGATAAAACACTCATCTGAAAAACATCATCACGCTATCTCACAATGGCATCCCACGATAACCTCCCCTCGGTTTCCTCCCCATCTCTTATTCTTACACACCCCACTGACTCTGAACGAGAGCGAGTATGGAAGGGAACTCATCCTCACTGGGGCCCCGCTCTGACTATGGAAGATTACATTGCTCGCGAGTACAACAACTTGGAAGCTCCACTCGCTCGAGATGGTGGTGTGACGTGCTGGATCTTGACTGATGGTAATCTGAAGCCAGACGACAGACCCATTCTCTCATCTTGTGAGACGTACAAGAAGAGGGCTCTCGTTTCCAGCAAAGATGGCCATGTAAGGGATGGAACTGCTCATGGTGTAGCCAGCGTCTTCACGTTCCCTGAATGCCGTGGCAAGAGATATGCCAGTAAGATGATGTCTCTGTTGGCGAACGAGTTTCGAGGAAGACAGCAAAAGAACGAAGGAGATGCCGACTTCTCTGTCCTCTGGTCAGATGTAGGCCCCAAGTTCTACAACGCTGTTGGATGGAAGCCCTTCGAAAGCAACCATCTTGAGTTTCCTGTCGCCGAAGCCGTCTCCATCGTGGATGCGTCCGTAAAGCCTATCACTCTCGGTGATATCTCAGATCTCGCAGCTCGAGACGAGGAGCTCCTTCGGGCAAGAATCTCATCACCATCTTCTCAAACCAGAGCCGTTGTTGTTCCCGACGCAACCACTCTTCGCTGGCATATCCACCGAGAGAACTTCATGTGCAAGCACATCTTTTCTCGTACGCCTACAGTCCACGGTGCCGTATACACTCCACCAGACACCCCCAACTCGAGAATCTGGGCTGTCTGGACCGGTAGCTTCTATGGTATGCTTGACAAGCCCGAGAAGAACATCCTTCGTATTGTCCGTTTGGTGGTTGAAGATGAGAATGTCTCAGATGAGGCACTTGCAAAGGGTATCCAGGCTATCGCTAGCTCTGCTCAGAAAACAGCTAAGGAGTGGTCATGCTCTAAAGTTGAAATTTGGAACCCTGAGGATCGTGTAAGAAGGACCGCGGAAGGCATACAATCTTTGGGAACTAAGTTTGTTGTGAGAGAAAACGACAGTATTTCCAGCTTGCAATGGTTCGGAAAGGACTCTGACCAGGACGTCGAGTGGGTTGCTAGCGAGAAGTTTGCCTGGTGTTAAACACTCGTCACATGCTATAGTACTACCAAAAGGCGATGGATAGAGCCAGAGTCAGACCACGAGATTTTTATAAATATCATCTCTACGATCTATCTTCAATTCTATCTTCCAAAATCCGTGACCGACCCCTTCCCATTTTCATGATATAATAGCATTGACCTCAAGCCATAAACAATCCACTGGTGTATCATAAACATGCCAGTCCAACGCCTTCCCGCTCCCTGACTTAGAAAATCCATACAAATTCTTTAGTAGCTTCGTCCGAACATGGTCCACTTGTCGGCCTTGCCCTCGCACTCGGGGCTGAGGCACTTGGTCTCACCAGCGACAATACCCTCAGGCTGCTCGAAGGGAACGCACAGACTCTTCATGCCCATAGTGGCAAGCTTCTGGTTCTCAGGGACATCAGGCTGATCCTCACGAGTAGTGAGCTCCTTGATACGGTCCTCGCACTTAGGCGCACCACAGAAGGGGATGAGCACAACGTTCTTGTTGTCAAGAGCGGGAAGAACCTCCTCCCACTTGGTAATTTGGAGACGGTGCTCTCGGAAAGACTTCTCGGCCTTGCTGTACATGTCGCTCTGGATGGTCTCGAGAAGCTCGGGAATCTTGGTGGCGACCTCGGTCATGGAAACCTCTCCCTTCTCACCAGTATCACGTCGGGCAGTGCTGACAACACCCTTGGCAGCATCCTTGGGGCCAAACTCGATACGAAGAGGAACACCCTTGAGCTCCCAGTCGTTGAACTTCCAGGCAGGAGTGTAACCCTCGCGCCAGTCGGCAACAGCGCGAACGCCGGCCTTCTTCAGGCTGGTTCGGATTTCCTCCACCTGCTCCTCGTGCTTCTGCTTTTCCTCAGGGGTAGTCTTCTTGTTGATGCCAACGGGGACAATGACGACCTGAGTCTTGGCGACACGGGGAGGAAGAACCAGACCCTTATCATCACCATGAATCATGACCATGACACCAATGACACGGGTAGAAAGACCCCAAGAGTTCTGCCAGACATGAATGTGAGAGCCCTTGTTCTGGGGGTCCTCAACAGTGATGTCGAACATCTTACTGAAGTTCTGGCCTAAGGCGTGAGAAGTAGCTCCCTGGATACCACGGCCGTTGGAAGGAATATAACCCTCAACTGTGGTGGTGTAATAACCACCAGCAAACTTCTCGTTCTCAGTCTTGCGACCTCGAACCACAGGAACAGCAAGGAGCTTCTCGTAAACACCGGCGTAAAGCTCCAAGATCTCAAGCACCTCAGCACCAGCAAGCTCCTCAGTCAGATGAGCGGTGTGACCCTCCTGCCACAGGAACTCACGAGTTCGTAGGAAAGGAGTTGTTTGCTTGGCTTCCCAACGAACGACCGAGTTCCACTGGTTGAGACGGAGCGGAAGGTCTCGATGGCTGCGAATCCACTTGGAGTAGTAGGGGTACATGACGGCTTCGGAAGTAGGACGAACAGCGACGGGAACCTCGAGGTCCTTATCACCACTGAAATATGATCAGCTAGAGTCTTGAATAATGTCCATGGTATGCAGGGTTACTTACGCCTTGGTGACCCAAGCAAGCTCAGGAGCAAAGCCTTCGACGTGATCCTTCTCCTTCTCGAGTGACTTGGAGCTCAGGAACATGGGGAAGTTGGCCTCGTCGACACCCATCTCCTCAATATGGGCCTGGAACCACTTTCGGATCTCATTCCAGATGTGCATGGACAGAGGGCGGAGAACGAAGAAACCCGAGATCTCGGTGTAGTACTCGACCATCTCGGCCTTGAGGACGACCTCTTGGTACCATTGGGGAAAGTTGTCGGCCTTGGACACAGTGATGCCAATGATCTCGTCGGCCTTCTTTCCACCGACGACGGGGAGGTTGGTCTGCTTAGCAGCCTTGGCAGCCTTCTCAGCAGCGAAACGAGCCTGCTTCTCGGCCTTCTTCAAGGCGCTCTTGGACTGTTCGGCGGCACCCTCCATCTTGTTGTGGTACTCGGGCGTTGATCGGAAGGTATTGGTAGAAATGAAAATAGCAGGTCAGAAGCTTCGAGGCAACCGAACAGTGGCTTGCGCGCCTTTAAAGAATACGAGAAGCAGAAGAGCGACGTTATCTTTGAGGGGGAGAAGGAGAAGAAGAAAGGCTTCGGAGTATGAGTCGAAGTAAACGTCGGATGTGACTTGTGCCCCGCAGTCAAGGGAGGGAGTCAAGCGGGAAGGAGGGGCACGCACCTCCTGGCACCTCACGGCACTAGAAATCCAGTCCAAAATTCAGGCCCAATGCCCTATCAGCCAATTGTAACAGGGGCCGCTCACCTGCGGTAGGGGTCGCTGTTGGGGATGGCCTGTGCTGTCACCTCGGGTGGGGTTCCCGACCTACTGGACGCCCTGGGCTATCGCTGTCGTACAGCACAGCACAGCACACCTAACACAGCACCGCCCGCAGCAATTCAGTGCGATAGCGCACCGTACCTCCATATTTTAGTCGGCGCCGGAACAACACATCGCTCCGACAAAAAAGTCCAGTCGAGGGGCATAACGGAGCTTCACAGCTTCTGTCTGCGTACGGTAGCCTGCTGGTAGAATTTCCTGACTCCATCCCCACGTTGACGAAGCCGCCTTTCCTCGTCAACTACCAACAGCTGCAGCCATGACGTCCATGTTTGAGCAGCCTCGAAACGGCACCCTTTTCTTGGGTGGCCAGAAGATTTCTGGTTCCGATATTAGAGACCAGAATGGTATGTCTATATCTCTATATCTTGGTCTTGTCCCGCCTTTTGCTACATGTTAGGGGAAGTGGGGGGAGGCATGAGCATGTTTGATATTGGTATTTCACATACAGATTACACGTACTAACAAGTCCTCAGTCCTTGCTACACAAGCCATCGCAAATGTTGTTAAGAGTTCGTTCGGTCCTAGCGGCCTCGACAAGATGATGGTCGACGATATTGGTGTATGCAAACTAGCCCTCGTCCCGCGCTCCGACTATATCTCACACTTTATACTAGGATGTCACTGTTACCAACGACGGTGCCACGATTCTCAGCCTCCTCGACGTCGAGCATCCCGCCGGCAAGATCCTCGTTGACCTTGCGCAACAACAAGATAAGGAGGTCGGTGACGGCACTACCTCTGTTGTCCTCATCGCTGCTGAACTGCTACGTCGTGGAAACGAGCTTATGAAGAACCGGATACACCCTACTACCATTATTACTGGATACCGACTTGCCCTGCGAGAGGCTATCAAGTACCTCAACGAGAATGTTAGCATCAAGGTTGATGATCTTGGCCGTGAGTCTCTCATCAACATTGCCAAGACCTCCATGTCCAGCAAGATCATTGGATCCGACTCAGAATTCTTCTCCAACATGGTTGTCGATGCTATGCAGGCCGTTAAGTCTACCAACAACCGAAACGAGACCAAGTACCCCGTTAAGGCTGTCAACATCCTCAAGGCCCACGGTAAGAGTGTTCTCGAGTCTGTCCTTGTTAAGGGTTACGCCTTGAACTGCACTGTTGCCTCGCAAGCTATGCCTACACGAGTTCAGGATGCCAAGATTGCTGTTCTGGACATGAACTTGGCGAAGGAGCGCATGAAGCTTGGTGTTCAGATCACTGTTGACGACCCTCAACAGCTTGAGCAGATCCGAGCTCGTGAGTCAGGCATGGTTCTCGACCGAGTTGAGATGATCTTGAAGGCCGGTGCCAACGTTATTCTCACAACGAAGGGTATCGACGACTTGGTGCTCAAGACTTTTATTGAGAAGGGAGCTATGGGAGTGCGAAGATGTAAGAAGGAGGATCTCCGACGAATTGCACGCGCAACTGGTGCTACCATGCTCAGCACACTCTCTGATCTTAACGGCGATGAGAAGTTTGACCCCTCCTACCTGGGATATGCCGAGGAGGTTGTCCAGGAGCGTATCTCTGATGATGAGTGCATCCTGGTCAAGGGCACCAAGGCCTACTCTTCCGCATCCTGCATTCTCCGTGGTCCCAACGACTTCACCCTCGATGAGATGGAGCGATCCGTTCACGACTCATTGTGCGCTGTTAAGCGAACACTCGAGAGTGGCAGCATTGTTCCCGGTGGTGGTGCCGTCGAGACTGCTCTGCACATCTACCTCGAGGAGTTCGCTGGTACCGTCGGCTCCCGAGAGCAGCTCGCCATTGGCGAGTTTGCCCAGGCTCTCCTTGTTATTCCCAAGACCCTGGCTGTTAACGCTGCCAAGGACGCCGCAGAGCTCACTGCCCAGCTTCGATCAAGGCACGCACTGTCGCAGCGCATCCAGGAGGGAGATGGCAGCGAGGACGAGAAGACCATTGCACGAAAGAAGGGCTACAAGAACTACGGTCTGGATCTCGCCAAGGGCAAGGTCGTTGATGAGATTAAGATCGGTGTGTTGGAGCCTAGCATGAGCAAGGTTCGACAGCTCAAGAGTGCCGTCGAGGCCTGCATCAGCATCATGCGTATCGATACCCTGATCAAGTTGGATCCTGAGCAGAGGGAGGACGATGGACATGGCCATTAAGATAAAATGTAATGAGTTCGGACTGGGTCAGGTATAGAATCAAAAGCTTAGTGTCCGTTCATGACTGAACGTTTTCTTCTCATGATTATGTGTGGTGGTGGTTTGACACTGATAGAGTTGTACATCAAAAGATCACTTTGGTGAATTGAGGAAATGAAATGAGCGGGGATGGATCATGATATATTAAGTAGATATCGCAAAACTTGAACATTGAATTCCACCACATACTCTTGGTCTAGTTATTGCTTATGGGTTGTTCTCGATATCATGTGGTGAACTAGGTTAGTCAACCATGATTTCCCCGGATTTATAAGGGCTGTTCAATTACGAGTTACCAAGCAGTGTATAAATGTAACAAGCCTTATCGGATCGAAATCCTAGGATTCGCCATGGACATCCGATGTCGGTTCCCGTGGTTCACATATTGATATATCGTTAGAACATAAACGCAATGAAATTCAATTAGTACAACGCCTCGCACGCGAGCACGCATCTTGCACTTTCCCACTCTCTGTTGCCTCCTCAACCCCTCTCTTTGAGCCTGTCAACTGAAATTTTTCCTAGGACGTTTATTTTTATACAAATGGACAGAAAGGCCACGTCTAAGAAACAGCAAACTTCCGCCCACCCAGGTGCCTCGGTGTGGGCATGTGCGTAAGTGTGTGTTGTGTGGTCTTTAGTCCACCCTCCAGTCTAATTCGCTCCCTCCTTGCTCCGTTATCAAAGATATACTCTTACATCGTCCGCTTAACCGACGATCAGCTTGCCATCCTCGGGGAAATCGTACTCGGGGATCTCGAGGTTGAGAGGGGCGGGACCCTTCCTTATTCGGCCGGAGATATCGTAGTGAGAACCGTGGCAAGGGCAGAACCAACCGCCGTAGTCACCGGCCTCGCCAATGGGGACACAACCCAAGTGGGTGCAGACACCTGGGGAGTCGTTAGTGTATGGACAAAAATGCCATTCCGGAATTGTCGAGTTCACGTACCCAACATGACAAGCCACTCAGGGTTCTTGGCACGGGCGCTGTCCTCCTCGGGATCTCGGAGAGAAGAGATGTTGACCTTGTTTGCCTGGTCAATCTCGTCCTGGGTTCGGTGTCGGATGAAGACGGGCTTGCCTCGCCACTTGATAACGACCTAAAAAACCACTCAGCAATGTTGTCTCGATATGTTAGACCGTATTCCAACTCACGTTCTTGCCCTCGGGGATAGAGCTCAGATCAACCTCAACCTTGGCCATGGCCAGAACGTCGGCGGAAGCAGACATGTTGACCAGGAACTCTATCATTCCATCGTCAGCAATCATCAATTGACCATCCCGAATGCCCTGCTACAAAGCTACAATGCCAATTGCAACCCAATGGCAAGACACCGAGTGTTGTTGTAGATTTACCCACCCTGAACTGTGCTCTTGGCACCAGCGGCACTGACGGCACCGAGAGCGCCAACCATGAAGTAAGAGTACAGCTTGTTCTTGCTCTCAGAGCCGGTAGAGACATATTTTCCGAAGTCGGGGATCTTGGAGCCCTTGGTCTCTCCCTGGAACTTGAAGGGGCTGGAGTATCCGGAGGCGGACGCGCTGTCGGGGCGGACGGCGGTGGTGCTGAGGGCGCGCACAGCAGGGACGACGGGCTTTGCAGCCGTGCGCAGGCAGAGTCGAGAAGCGGTCGCGAGGGTCGCCATCGTGAGGGATCGGGGGGTGTGGCGTTGCGAAAGGTGAGGGCGTCGAAGGGGAGGTTTGAGGTCTTTTCCTTGGTGGTAATCGGCTGATGATGCTTTGCCGAAAGTTTTGGCTGCAAAATGTGGCCTCAGGCTTCCACATTGACTTGAGCTCGGAAATTGAAGGCTCACTATTGGTCCGGTCACTTTCGGGTGGGGAGTCCGATCTATTCCGGGCATCTGGGTTTCTTTTTCGCCTTACCAGCTTTCGCCTTGACAAGAACCGTAGACATAATATTCGATGATGATAATGAAATCACAATCTGAATTATATAGTAAAGATTATGATTATGTCGATCCAACACATAGGGTGTCGTTATTCACGTTCGAAGTTTTTCAATGGACTTCCTATAACATCTCTATGACTTCATCGCCTTTGACCAATCATCTTTGACCCATTCGTCCTTGACATCTATTGCTAACAAACCTCAATCGAAACCGCAATAAGCAAAGCAAGTAAAAAATTGCCTCTGCATGAAGTCTTAGTTCTAGTGCATCCTCCTCAACTCCTCAATCATGTTGCGCATATCCTCGACATTCGGACCCAGTCCCTCACAAATCAACTCTTGTTTCTCCTCATCCATATCCAAGAACCTCTCTACCATCTCTCCATCTACAAAACGATAAGGCCCTTCGCTCTCCCGATTGTCGTTGCGGAAGGAACGCCATAACTTGAACTCGATGTTTCCTGGAGCATCAAGGTAGCCCTCCATCTTTGACTGGAATGTCATCAAGAGGTCCTGGTACTGAGGCGCGATATCCCCATAAAGGTACAGTGAGCCCTCAGCCTGGTAGATGTCAGTTCAAGTGTCGTGATTTAAACATACAGGGGCACTTACTGAAGCGAGGAATGCCCGTGGATGAACGATGCTGTTCTCTGCTGCCGGGACATGAAGCTTTCGAATGCGGTTGATCTGTTCCCCGATGCTCATTTCACTAATGATTTCAAGCCGGCGACGGTCTTGCTCTGTAGGAGCATCCGCGTTCCGTTGAAGTACGACAAGATTGCCTTGAGAATCAGCCTCTAGCCACCTCTCACCCTCAATATGGCAGACTGCTGTGGTCCATAGAGGCTCAAAGTGACGCGCTCGCTCCTCTAGCTTCGCCTTGTTGCCATCTTGTGCCGGGATGAATTCGACAAGAGATAGGGACTGCATCAGGTCACCCACACCAATCATGTTCCCAGCTACATCGAGGTCTATGGGGATTGCTGAAGGACGGTAAGCAGCAAGCTTCTGAAGCGAGCCAGAACTGCTTGTATCCTGTGAAAAACTGTAAACAACAACGGTCTTGGACAGTCCGGCCACGATATTGTCGCCAATCATTCCTAAACAGCGGCAAGGCCCCTTCAAATTATGAGAAGCGATCTGGTAGACTTGACGGTTTGCATCAACTCCAAGGACCAAGATACGGCCGAGAGTACCACTTGTATTCTCCACTCCTCCGTCACTGATAAAACCAGTGCCGACAATGAATCGTTCAGTAGGGTTTCCGCCCACGTCAGGAAGCTCGGCTCGAATAACACATTCAACCATTTCCAGAGTGCTTGAGGCATTCAGTAGAAAAGGTGATCCGAGTTCCTTGAAGACTATCTCATCGACGAGCCTAAATGAACTTGTAACAACCTCCTCGTTACGGACTAAATCTTTCTTGATTGAGCCTAGACCAAACGCTTTGAGTCCTGGCGAGTATGCTACCCGTCTGACAGTCTCTTTGACTGGGAGAGCCTTCACATGGGTGAGGCGCTCCCGATCAACATGGCAAATCCGGATGTGCTGGTCTGTCGACAAGACCACAGAGTCTGGGAAGGCATGGGAGTTAAAGGGTGCAACAAATGTGGCGTCATCAGCGGTTGTGGCCGAAAATATGATACGCCCCTCAGAACTATAGATCAAACTGGCATGCTCAGTAGTCACGAAGACGGTTGACGTGCCGTCTTCTTGAGGGAGTATGTGCAGACGGGCTGGGTTGCTACCCAAAGTCACGCTTTTGCGGCCAGAAACCGCGAAGCCCCTGACGGACACGTTGAACGTGACCACGTTGCCATCTTCCATCGCGACCAGCAGTGTGGGTCCAGATATATCATGGGGATGAAGTTGTACAAGCGCAATATCTCGTGGGACCGAGGCACTATCCTCGGTTTGCCTCATCGACTCTCCGTGGAGCGGCTTCAATGAAGCCATGTCGATTAGTGATATCTGACCTGAGGACCACCAGCCGACTACTCCAAGATCTGGTGGATCTCGGGCAGCATGTATACATGATATCTGGTCAGGTTGTGAGCTGGTGTCGTTCTGAGTTTGTTGAGCGTTGACGGCCAAGTTCTGCAAGAGATTCAGTGAAACAAGTGTTGTTCCATCAATCGATAGTAACGCCCATTTGCTGTTTGCTGATGCCCTCGTTATTGTCTTGCCGTTTGGGACATCCCATTTGCTGATTGTCGTACCACCTTCAGGGTCAAGCAAAACCGCCGACTTAGGGGTAATCTGAAGAAGCTGTCCATTGCCAAGGTTCGATACCAACAAAGTCTCACTGTCCAACGCCATGCCCTGGAAGGAGTATATCTCTTCAATCCCGCCATCATTGTCGAAGCTGAAGACTCTCGTCTCGGCGATGGATGATACAACCAAGGTGTCTACTAGGTCAGAACCATACGAATGAAGAGTGAACAAACCCTTCGTTTCTGAAAGCTCATCAAGGACGCCTCTGTCCTCAAGACCAACACCACTTCGAATACTTCGGAGACTTCCATCACGGTATGCGCCACAGCCTGCTACAATTCTCGATTGGCCAGACGAGAAGGCATTGCCAGCCTGAGCATCTCCTTCGCGATTGCCCATATCCATAATGGAAAAGTCTAGGATTGGGGCATTATTCGAAAAAGACTGGACCAGTGTGGCTGTGGTAGCGTCCACATCAATTTGGTATAGCTGTGAGTCGCCGTGATGCGAGGCAACAAACAGGGTGCCATCGCCAAAATATACCAGACTAGAGGCTCTCGAAGTAATAGCAGGAGAATTATCCATCTTGAAAGGTTCGAGTGTCATACCCGTCACCACAACACCAGTGGATTCAAGGCTTGTCTCAATAGTCAAGAGATCTAGCCGACCATAGTCGTCGGCCAACAGGTAACGTGTGCCATCGTACTCGGCCCAAGCCACGAATATTTTCGGCTCTTTCAGCCCCGATGATACACTTCTATGTGTTAAGCCGTCGTAGTATGTGAGGAGAGTCTCTCCCATAACTAGAAGACCACCCAAATGTGCCTTGGCTCCTTCAGTATTGCGCACATGGTATCGCTTTTCCTCGTCTAATGGTACAGGAATGAGCATGGAAGCGTAAGGATCGGGAATGACAACATCGAGCTCTCTATCTTTATGAGGATCGAATTTTGATACAGTGTTGCCTTTGTCGTCATGGGTTAACCTATATATGGCCAGCCGGGCTTCCTCTTGTTCCATCTGTGTCTTGTATAGAAAGGCAATGGTCGGGTGGCCGGTCCGGCTATGAAGGAAAGTGCTTGCTTTCATGTATAGCTCCGTTAGTCGGACCTGATCAAGCACTTCGAGCTTGTTGGTAGAGCCTTTGCGCGTGGGAAGCTTAAAAACATTCAGCACTCCTTCCCAGAGGTGCATGGCTAAAAATCGTCCAGTTGGGTCCACTAGGCATTTGTTCTGACTTTGAGAATGCCGCATATATGGTTCTGATATATCCTCGATTACTCGCTCGATAGTTTCCAGTTGCTTGGTCAAAGGGTTCCAGACGAGGTTGAAGTAGTGAAGCCTATCAGTTCCGACGAACAAGAGGTCGGTCTCGGATCCTTTGGGTCGTAAACGTTGCAGCATCGATATTGTTCCGTGAATGAGCTTCGTCTGCAGGCATACCAGGCCCTCTTCCGTAAGACGCCATATCTCGAGTCGGTTCGCTTTGCTGTGAAGCCTCAATTAGCATATGCTCAAGGCGTCATCGAAGCATTGGAGCTCTTACGCTACAACCAAGTCGTCGATATCGGGAGAAAGCACATTCGCTCTGAGCGCATGGCGGATGCTTGTGGCACGATGAATTGGTGCGACATATGCCATTCTGTGCTATTCATGTAAGATGTGGCGAGCGTTTGAAAGAGAGAATAATAGATTTGTTGTTGTATGGCTCGCGATTAGAGCTATACCAAAAGCTCCATGTAACTTCAGCTGTGGTAAGTCGTCTCCAGGTTCAGGTGCGTCACTAGCCCCCGGAGTTAGGACAGATCCATTACGGCGGACGTAGTGGGGGTTTCTATCTGGAATCATGGATGGGATGCCGCTTTTAGTGGGGCATTTGCTGTGAGTAAACCACACTAAAGATGACATAGATGAGACTGGTCTAGGTACATACATATCACATTTATCCATGATGCATATTTCGATTTACATATTGAAAATGAAATCAGGTAACTCTTGTTGAGGCAAACAAAAAAATTGGTGCCGAAACCCCATCAGTGGATTACCTCGGTATCTTAGGTACCTAGGTAGTGTTGAACTCCTCATGGGCCAAAACGATTGCGGCCGAGGTTCTTTCCCTACCCTATCGTGCCTACCTCGACAACAATCCACCAACATCAACATGGAGGAAGAGCTTAAGGAAGGCGTAAAGGAGAATTCGCCGCAATATTTGATGGAGCTTCATACCTATCATTAAACTTTGAGCATGCATCCAACCATACGATATTTACCTGCATAGGTACTTTGTTCCGTGCTTTTGCCAGGCAATGGCAAGTGCTCTAGCTCTTCAGTATGAGTTCGACAACCTCGACGATCATAAGTCGTGATGTCATCAATTACGCTCTTGAACAGCAATGCTTTTACGATCATCGAGCATCACCGTACCGATTTTGTGACCAACTTCGGCAACTTAAAGCAACTGCAGAGCCAACAGTGGCTGATGGGTTAATTCGTCAACCAGGCCTTATAGCCAGACCTCTCCCTCGCCCAAAAGTTCCGACAGAGCCACTCGCCAATTACGAGAATTACGACATCACTACTGACCTAGACGTCCAATCTTATTCCATCTTCCCCTTTTTACAGCGAAGTAAACAACTACGGCTTCCTCTCGAAACGATGGATACAGGGTACGATGTGAAGAAGGAAATGAAACAATATCTGAATGATATACAACTCGCCAACACCTGCAACATCCTTACTCAATGGCTTCCTCTGAGCCATGTCAGTAACAGGAGCGATGAAGGCCTCGAATTCCCATCCACTATATCACGATGGCAATCACTAGCCCTTCGAGAGCTCGAAGCCGTCGAGACTGCAGGTTTTGAACCGGGCATAGCTATGATGCAGGAAGATAACATGCTTGAGAAGACTTGCAGACCTGAACAGGTTCGAGAGATATTCTTGCTGGGAAATGTGAGTCAAGACTAACTGGCTGGAAACTTGATCTGATGTCTTGGTAGCAGCCTCGTGCACACTTCGAACCAATGTCTTGTCCATTGTCTCCAGCCTCTGAACCAGACGAAGCTTTTGTGCCAAGCCCCGAGGTCGTGATCATTGATATAACCTCAGACCCAAGTAGTCCTATCAACACCACAGTCAGTGAATTAGAAAGAAACATTGAAAATGGTTTCGTGGAGTCCGAGCCTGTCGCCCCTTCGACTATGCCTAGCTCTCCTCCAACGGCCAAGGTTGTGTTTCTAGGCTCAGCATCTACCAGACCCTCAGATCTCAAGCTGGATGTACCACTATTGGCGTCCAGCCCTGGATATAATATGGTACCAAACTATCTGACAGCAAATTTGGCATCTGATTTCATAAATAGTGACCAAACATGTGAATCCCCAATTCAGCAGGGAGAATTTTTCGAAGAAGCATTCCAGGCCGTTCTGGAGGACAAACTATATCAGACAAATCGACAGCTAGAACAAGAGCGATTGAACCCATCAGAAGCTCTATTACGGTTGCCAATACCTGCCGCTGATTTTCATATACCCGATCCTGAATGGTACGGTTTAACGGACCCCAAGAAGCAGTTCACATGGCTGCAACAAGCAGACACCTCCATCTTCCATCTCCCATGTTTTGAAGGATTACATCGTCTGGAGGCATCACTGAAATGGACACCAATTCCACATGGAAGTGGTAGAGTCTCGTTGACTGAGACGGTGATTCAAATGGGGCCGATTAGTAGAGAATTACTCAGCTTGCAGCTCCCTCAACTATGCAGTCGAAACTATGTAAACATACGACGTGGGGTATCAGTGCTACAGGTTTTGGTAGATGAAGAAATCGAACCTGATATTACCTCTAATAAGATGGCTGAATTAGCAGCCCCGGAGAGAAACCTGGGTATCATCTCTTCAACAACAAACACTACTAACAAGTCTCTCGCTACACCGTTTCTGGATGACTTATTAGGCTCTCGACGCCAAAGCCTAAGACGCAAAGTCGACAATGAAGCAGAAACTCTATTGCTTGGGGCTGATGATCCGAGTGCTGCTGGCAGTTTATTGACAAGTTTTATACAGCTACGGCATCCAAAAAAGTTGAAAACGACAAGCAGCTCTTTTCAAGCTCGAGCAACACCCACAAGAATACCCCAGACGAACGATGCACATGCACCACCCAATGCAGAGGAAGGTATCTTGAAAAAGCTGCAGGAGGCTCCCGCGCCGATGGTTGATCTAACCGTGGAAGCCTGTCGTTACATTGTCTCCATGAGTTTGAGTCGTGAGATTCTCTCTTGCATAGAGAAATCGTGGCAACAAGTCGAGCTCATCGACCGAGACTTCTCTCAGTATAACACAATTGCTTGGTCTCCTGGCTCAGCGCAGAGAAAGGAATTAATTTCATCACTAGCCTTTGAGGCTGACATATCGCTATGCCCTGCAGCCGGCCTGATCGTGACTACAATACTGAAAGTGAAACAGAAACCTCTTCCTGGGTCAACTACTTTGACTCCGTTCCGTGAGCGAGTCAAAACTGTTAGTGGGAAATACGAAGTTCTTTTCATACTTGTGTCTGAAACAAATCCACTAGGGGAATATGTTGGATCACCAACTGCTTCAGATATAGCTGGCTACGCCGATTTCGTACGTTTTACGACGAGCCTCCAGGCAGGCATCTCCACCTTCTTGATATCTGGTTCAGAGATGACTGCTTCAAAATGGGCCTTATCTATCCTGTCTCGTTATTCTTCGCAGGCAAGACAGTTTGGGCAGTTTCTTGACTTTCGTGATGGGGCATGGGAATTGTTCCTCCGCCGAGCTGGTCTTAATATCAGCGCGGCACAAGTTATAGCAGGTTTACTTGTATCAGAATACAGGGAACTCGGACTGGCAAAGTTCATGGGTATGAATGCAGAACAAAGGGTTTCCAAGTACGGCCAAATCATGGGCGGAGGGAGGGTGCTCAACAATGTGTCGAGGGTCTTGGACCAAGAATGGGTGTGAGCCGCCGTCTACCGCAGGAAGACGATCGCGTTTTGTGCACAGCTCGAGCATATTCAAGCAGTATCACATCGCGGTACAACAGACTTTTGTCCACTGAGCTTAGTGAGATGGCTTCTATTGCCCTATGCCTATGTCCGTGCCCGTGCTTACCATCTACGCTTCTACGTCTAATTATGCTACTCAAAAACTAGGGGAACAGGCCTGGTGCCTTGTGTGAAATAACAAAATACCAGACTCATTTAACAAACTTCCCACATGGGGCGCGGTAGGTTTCGCGAGGGCAAGATACCCTGCGACGTCTTTAACCCAACGTAGACGACTCGGCGTGTTGGGTTGGATAGGTTGACGGAGCGGGATTGAATGCCGTAGTAATCGGAAATGGCGTGTGTAAGCCAACGCCTGGAGATTGTTAGTAGCGAACGTTGCCTCTGGCATGGTAAAACTCACTTGAAGGCGGCGCTCTCATCAGTGCCGAACGAGTCAAACACCATGCCTGAATCTACCGTCTCCTGCGAAACCTCGCGGTGCGCATGTTTCCATGTTGCCTTCTTCTCCTTCAGCTCCCTCATGGCGCCGTTCCTACCAACGAAAACGATCTCCTCATCATCGGAGTCCATCTGCTCAGCTGCGCTATCCGCATCCTCATCAGCAGCAACAGCTTGTGTTTCGGCAATAGCCTGCTGGCTAGCCAGAAATTGTCGCACGGGTTCTTCCAGAGATCGCACCCATGTGCGTACAACGGGGCTGCGCTTTGTTGCCTCGCGCAGGTCGCGAGGAACTTCACCAGCGCCAAGGCCAGTGGCGCTGCCTGTCTTAAGTTGTTGCTTCTTGCGCTCAGCCTGGAGACGAGCGGTCTTGTCCTCGGCGCGCTGGCGCACTCCATGTTCCCAGAACTGAGCGAGCTGGTAGGGGACTCGGTGGATGGGGTGCGTAGGATGAACTTCGTAATCGGAAGGCAGAGGAGGTTGAACGTTTGGTACGTGCATCAAGCGGTCTAATATAATGAACACAGTGATCAGTACAAGGGTGTGGAATACGAAGCAGATCCAGATAAGGATTGCTTCCTCGAGTTCAATCGTAGTGCCATACCATTCTCCCAGCGACGTCGCTGGCGACTCCCCTCTTTGCCCTTCAGAACCAGTTCGCGCCTTCGCTGACTGTCCCTTCTAGAAGGTGGACGTCTCAGGGTTGATGCTTGTTCCTCATGACCGTCAAAGTTGACATTGCGCTCTGAAGGCTTGGGTTGGGCCTTGACGACTTCATCAATAGGAATAGCCAGCGGGGCACCAATTCCACGAGCAACGGGGGAAACACTGAGAGATTGAAGAGCCGAGATAGTCCAAGCATCAATATCAATGACCGAGTTCTTGACTGGCGTCGGAGGCGACTGAACCTGAACAGCCGCCAATGGGAGATTTGTGGCGGTAGGAGGAGGAGTGGTTGTGGTCGGCTGCTGCTCGGGTGGCGGAACCGAGTTGTAGATAGCCATGATGATAAGACTTGCGAGGGGAGCGTATGATAAGGCAACAGGTAGAAATCGAGAGTCTCAGGAGAAGCTTCACAAGACAATGACAATCTAGGTAGTTAAGATAAAGGAAAGGAGATACAAGAGATGTCGGTCTGAGAGGATAAAGAAGGAGAAATGGCTCCGATGGTATGGTAATGGAGGGAATGGGAATGGAAATGGTGGTTTAATTGATCGTCGCCACTGGATTGGATGCCCTTGGCCCTGTAGTCCCAGGACCCTCCCCCTCCTGTCTCATGGGGAATCGAGACGGTTCATCAAGCGAACAAGCCATGATTCATCCAACATCATCATAACAAATTGACCAATCAGAGATCGACCGCATCCCACAGGGACTCCCGCATTTGCAGGCGATGCGAGTCACCCATCACCCGCGGGGCGGGGGGCTCCTCTAGCTTACTGGAGCCTAGGGCTAGGACAATCCCTAGGATTGAAACTGAAGCTGGTGATGCTGAGACGTACTTTGACTGAAATCGAGTGAGCGAGCGAGTGAGTGAGTGAGTGAGTGAGATGAGCTTATCTCGCTTCCGTCTGATGATATAGTCAACTTTTGTGCCATCTATCATCTCCCGTAGACAAGGAATGCTCATCCAAAAGGCTGACTTCGAGTCATCAAGGCCGCCCCCACACATACGTAGTGGCTTGATGTCTGCAATGAGTCAATCTCGGACGTCTCGGGTGAAGGTGATAATGATACCAGAAAATATGATTCTAATAAAATAAGATGCAATCCTAGATAACAGACTAATTAAACACCAATAAAAAATTCGAAGAACTCGTGGTATATGACATGCTTATGCGCGCTGTTAACTTTGCCCGTCTTGTTGTCTAAGCTACTGTGAAGGTATTTCATGAGTGTTCCGTGGTCACGTCCGGTGAGGGTTGCCAATACCGCCAGGCCTCAATAACGGTTGACTTTCACGTTGGATGGCACGCTCTTCGCGGTCTTGAATATCCTCAAGATCCTCTTCTGTCTCTGCATACCTTTCGGGGTGACCTGTGAAGGGACCTGGCAGACCACGCTCCCAGCCCTCCGAGTAGGTTCGGCTGCCTGGCGGGGGTCTTTGAGGAGCGCTTGAGTGTTGCACAGGTGAGTGAGGTGCGCTATCGATGTGACCATTACCATGTCCACTGCGCTGTCGCGCTGTGTACTCATAGTACACACCCATGAAAAGAACTGATCCTTGCATAGACGCAGTGATCAAGTAGATGAACCAGGTGCTCCAGCCTTCCCAACCCAAACGGGCAAACAAGCTTCCCGCGAATAAAAATCCACCAGGGGTCTGAATACACATCATGGGGATGCTCAGACTCCCGACATGCTTGAGATGGTAGGTCATCCAAATCTGAGGCACGTATTGAATACAGGCTAGGACGGTGGCCATGACACCCAGGAAATTGGCCCAAAAGACAAGGTGATCAGGAAGGGCAATGAAAAAGAAACCGGTTAGAATGATCACAATGAGACCATGAAGAACACAGAGTAGTCCGACCATGACCGCGGTCTGCCATCTTGGTGCATCGCCGCGAAGATCTTCCGGGGGGACATTGGCTTGCCTATATCGAAAGAAGATGAGAAAGAGAACAAGGCTAATGACAGACGTTAGTTGAGGAAACAAATTGACTCGAAAACGGGACGCCTAACATGAGACTGAAGCAGAGCCATTGTGCACCGAGCTGAGCAACACCGAGTAAGCCAGCTGCGCATTCAAATCTGCCAAGCTCCTTGCAACATCCTATGGCGGCACGGGATGGTGGAACAGTGAGGATGTTTGCGAAGCCGGCAGTAGCGGAGGTGACTCCCAGCAATACGAAGTACGGGGAGATGCCCTCAGAGGTGCCCCGGGAAATGATGCGGTAGTGTTGAGGGAGGTAGGACACGAGGATGCCGAGTAGAAGGACGCTACGATACCAGAGTCAGTAAAAAGAAACAGCAAGCTAAACTTAGAGGGAGTTTCGCAGTCGTACATGGACACAACGAGCTCAAGATACGAGGGCGTCTTAAGCCGATCGCATTGGTCGTCTGTGGGGGTAAAAACGTCCATAGTGGATATGGGTTGAAGTACGCAAGAGATCAATTCAGACCTGCGCAGCTTCGAGGTGATGAACGATGAGTCGGCTCAGCTCAGCAGTTGACGCGAAAGAAAGGCTTACGAGAAGCCCAGGAAGCACGAGAAATGACTGCCAGGAATCACGAGATCAGATAAATAAACGCCAGGGTCCTCAAAGAGTTTTGCCCGGGGATTGGGCTTGAGCACGGGCGGGTGCTTGTGCTAGGTGCCAGGTGCTTGGTTCTGGCTGCTGGTCCGTAGCTTGGCTTGGACTGGAGAGAAATGATAGAAGGTCGCGCGCCCTGCGTTGCTGGGGAGTGACGTATGTTGTTTTAGTCGGTGTCTTTCTGGGCGAGGCTGTTTCGCGGGGAGGGGCAGCGTAGTAAAGGCGTGCTATAGTGCGGTGCCCGCAGCACAACGGATTCAGGATGCCGTCGGATACGAGGTTATAGAATTGCCCTTCTTGGCGAGTTAGGCTAAGAGATCATGATTGGTGAAAGATGCGATTGTTGAGACAAGACGACAAGAAAGTATAAGAAACGGGATATCTTGGTATGTGGAAGTGGATATTATTGGGCGTACGAAAGAACAAGAAGGGGGAAGAAAAAAAGAAAAGAAAGGAAGAAAAAGAGAAGGAAATCGGAGAATAAATCCAATTGATATGATCAAATCAAATGACGGATGGAACAGACAATGTCTAGTCTCCGTACCTTCCTGACCTCACTTTACTTTACCGAGCTGAGCATAGGACTGTGGACTGAACTGTACCTTCCTTACCTAAAAAGCGGGTGGCTCGAAACGGCAATCTTCGAGCACCTGCCCTGGATTGTTATGTTTCCACTTCCTCGCAGGCTGCAGTGACAAATTAGCAGCAGAGGCCTATATTTCGGTAGAGTTTCACAGGTGGTCTCGTCTTCCTGTCCTCTAACAGTACCTGCTCAGTATCGTAAAGTTTCACTCGAGACGTGCCACATGACATTTTGAGAGTTATCAACCTTAACTTCGCTGGAAACGACAAAACTCCAACTGCCAAGTCGGAAACCGGCGATCGTGAGTTGCCCTTTTGGTGTCACCACCGACTGGACCCTGCAGCACAATGTTGGAGGCCGCTGAGGAGATCCTTTGTCTACGAGGCTTGGCGCCAACGCATATGACGTTGCTACGAAGAGGGGACATGAGACAACCGGCTCTCGGGGATTGACGATGGCCTCAATTATTTGATCTACAGGAAGAAGATCCTAATAAATTTGTTTCTGCATGGCAAATGCAACTTTGGAAAGACCCTTGGATGTTACGCGGTACGTGATGTGATATTGGAAACATGTAAGTGACAGGCTGAGCCAGGGTATCCACTCCAGCTCTCATTTTCTCGCCCATCACCAGCTCGCAACTTTCAACTCAACTTACACCATGGATGATCCTGAACATCCTGAGCCGGCAATTGAACCAGCTGTTTCACATATTGACTCGCAGCCGAGTGATCAACATGATCAGGTCCAAGATCAGCCGCAAGAACAGAAAGGCCCATCGCTGAGCCTCATCGCGGAAAATGCTTTTATTCGGTCTAGAAATGACATAACCAACGAACCATCTACCAAGCAAAATTATTACACATCCGCCCAATGGACAGCAGACGGAACGTCACTCATTGTATCATCCGCCCTCAACTCAATATACACCTTTGTCCTCCCTGAAGATCTACTTGACCCATCAGCCTCTCGCCCGCGACGCCTTGAGTCTCAATCTTCAATATCTCTCCCTGAGCCCTCTCAGACAGTCGTCGCGGCACCCTTCTACTCTCTTGCCGACCCGGCCACCCAGACCGTACTTGTCGGATGTCGCGACCACCCTGTTCAACTTTACCATCTCTTCCCTCCAGATGACAATGGCCATGCATCGCGCTCTGCCCCACTCGCTTCGTATAAACTAATACGTCGTGAAACGGAGGAATACATTACGCCTTCGTCTATCCTTTGGGAAGCATCAGGGTCGCATTTTCTTGTTGGCTCGACGAATCGCCTTGATTACTTTGACATGACACGGCCAAGTTCTGATGGGCCACTGCTTACCATACCCACTATCCCCTCCAAACGACATATTTCAAAGGGCAGTGGAGTTGGTATGAAAGGTACTGTCGCTGCTCTAGCATCATCGCCCGTGGATGCCAATGGTAGTTCTGTTATTGCAGCCGGGACATGGACGCGCTGGATGGGACTATACGATGTGCATCGCTCTGACAAGGTTGTCGCCAATTGGCCCCTTCCGCGCTCGGAGGACATTCCTGGAGATATTGGAGGACAGGGTGTCGTTCAAGTTCGATGGAGCCCATGTGGTCGCTACCTCATTCTCAATGAACGTCATGCCTCCGGTCTCATGGTATATGACATCCGCGGTACAGGTCAGCTTCTCTGCACTCTTCGAGGCAGAAGCGCACCTACTCAGCAAAAGATGACCATGGACATCTTCACTGGCGATCCTTATGCTGAGTTTCCGACCTTCGAGGTCTGGGCAGGGACCCATGATGGCGGTGTTGCGGTGTGGGAAGGTGTTGGCAGCCAGGCTGGCGTTGTAGATCCCTCATGGAGTTGGAAGCCCCATGATGCACCGGTAGGAAGCACTGCTCTCCATTCGAGTGGCTCCGTTGCAGCGACTTGTTCGGGAGGATGGGACTTTGATGATTCGTCAGGTACTCAGACAGTGTTTGAGGAGTCTAGTATCAAGATATGGTCAATAGGAGCCTGATTGATTCGATAATGGTAGGCTGAAGGATAAAGCATATCCAGAGGGTAAGCATATTGAAGAATACGTCATTTACACCATGTCGCAAAATGGTGCGTGGTTCCAAGCTGTGTAAGTATCATGCCTTCAATGGAGTTTAGCTGCTGTCGATAGATTCCAACCTGAGCGAAGCACCCACCACATAACTAGAGAAACAGACAAGAATTCGTGCCAATATCGCTTATTATTATCTTTTGTATCATAACTATCTACTGACGAACTCACTGCCTCATGACCGTGTGGCCATCATGTCTCATGATTAACCCAATCGGAAGCCCGTCTATGTAACTGACACTTGAACCGCTCATTAAGTAGTCCTTCTTTATGATAATGCAACCCCGGATATCAACTCCATATGCTGACCTGAAAACGCCCAAAAACACTCAAAACAGACCTTTACACTTGGTAATGGTAACCTGCCGCCAGTATATGTGCCATTTTCCATTTTTCTTCTTCGAATCATATACAATTAGAACCATCCAGGTCCACGATTCTGCTGCCACAACGGTCCTCCGCCTCCGCCCCGAGGGCCGGGATACACTTGACTTGATTGACCTGGCGTGCTGATAGCTGTTCCGGGCCTTGGTGCCTCTTCGCTGATACGTCCGAGTCCAGAATTATACTGGAAGTCTTCGTCTCGCGTCAAAGGCACCTCGTCATGCTCCATTTGCGCGCCTCCCCCGACCGCCGACGCCGAGTGGCCGTAGCCGTAGCTCGCTGAAGGATCCCAAGGCTCCGAATAAGGTCCGTCGTGGCCAACCGCCGGATCTAAAGTCCGCTGGTTGGTAACAGGAACCGGTGGGGGTGGGGGCACTTTATCAGTCTCGCGCATAGGGGGCACTGGAGCAAAATTGTGATTATTATCCAACGGCGGGCTAGAGAAGATTTTGTTAGTTGAGCTGCTAAAAGTCAAAACGAGGTCACCAATGTGGTCACTTACCCGATGTGCTGCACCTGGGGTTTCACGCCTGGCCCCTGGCGCGTATTTCCCTTCTTGCGCTTCCAGAGCCAAATTCCGAGAACAACGAGTGCTACGAGAGCTGCAACGCCGCTGATGGTTCCGCCGATAATAGCGCCCGTGTTCTGTTTATTATCATCGCCATTAGTGTCGGGCGCTGAGGCTGCAGATGAGGCAGAGCCATCGGAGTCAGTGGACGAGGGGTCTGCGGTGCCAGAAGTTGCGCTCGCTGTTTCGGTATCGGTTTCGGTCTCTGATGCCGTTGAGGTTTCTGACTCTGTTGATGAAGTTTCGGATTGCGTCGTTGATTCTGCTGTTGACTCTGTTGTTGAGTCTGTATTTGATTCTGTTGAAGACGTTTCCGTGGTCTTCGTTGTTGATGATTTTGTATTTGTGGAAGACTTCGTGTTTGTGGAAGAATCCGACGTTGTTTTTCTCCTTGTTCCCAATGTCGTCGGTTCAGCAAGTGAAGTCGCCGAAGCTGTAAGTGGCGCATTTATGCTGGAGAGTTGGATAGCACTTTTGCCCGAAGCCGTGGGCACCACCTTGGTAGCCAAACCAGACGTTGAACCACACCCATATTGGAAGAAACCCCCATCGAAGCTATTTTTGTAGCACGAGTTGCTTCCCTTACAGGTGAAGACGTATGGATTCACCTCTGTTTGCGGTCCGCTGTCGGCATCTACACAGTTTGTGAACACGCCCTGCGTGCAAGATCCTGCATTAGGACAACATCCCACAGCGCCATGGTCAGCGTCCACCACACAATGCGAGCCTGCGGAACAAGTTGCTGGTAGTCCGGGATCTCCTCCTATGTAACCACAGACAGTATTGAATTGTCGACGCTGCAGAAAAGAGTCGTCGGGCGCAGCCGTCGCAGCGAAAGGATACGACAGTGCATTGATTTCATGAAAGTCGACTGTCTTCGTCGGTTGTGGTAGTACATGGCCAGTAGCGAAATTGAGGAAGCCAGATAGGACGAAAAGTGGCGGTAGGCGCGCCATGAGATGGGCCGGGGTCATGATTTGCGATCTCGTTATATCCAATCTCAAATAAACATGGTCTAGTCGATCGATAAGTTGAAGCGAGAAGTAACTAAACGTTAGACGAGGTAAGATCGTTGGCGGGTTGATTTGGTGTAAGTTTGTCGATCCAAACTGGAGGTGAAGAAGTTATGGGGTAAAACCACAGAAGAATGACACGAGATGCGAAGAACTCTTTGACAGAGGAAAACGCAAAGCGCACGGGTAAATGTGCCAGTCACGGGATGAGTAACCAACAGATAAAAGCAATAGACTAACGATGGGATGGAACAAAGGGGGTTAAGAGTTGGGTTAGAAGAGATCAAAGGAGGAAGAAACCAAAAAGCCCTTGAACGAAGGGGGGCCTGCCTGCGACTGTGACACAAGTAACAGTTTACAAGGTGGAAGCTGGTGTCTGTGTCTGTGCCTCTTGGCTCGGTCCAAAAAGTCGTCTCAAAGTCCGTCTAAGTGGGCTGGTGTGTATCCGTGGTTGTGTCTCTTTGAAATTGGTTGCTGAGAGCAAGAAGGACGGTTTTGATGTGGCTGGACTTCTAATACTCTCTGTATTGGGAGTGCCACTGAATTTTACCCTGCCACTCTATTTCCTCACAAGCCACCAAGGAACGGCCAAGTCCAGATTCGCCTTCTCTGTCAGATAAGACTCCAGGATCTGAGGTTTATAGCCCGTCCATGAGCGAACCAGGAACAAGAACGACGACGTTTAAAGTGCTGGCAGCCGGGGGGTGCCTAGGGTGCGTATCCGCGCGCTGTAACGGTGTCTCCCGGGGCGACTCGCGGCCAATCAGAGAACAGGGAACTGGCCGTTTACCCAGCTAGAATAGAGAGGCTGGGGGGTGTTCCCGGGGTGGCTGGGGTGATCGTTGAAAAAAACCAAGGAAGATATTATTGGAATAATGCAAGATGACGGATTCGTGCTAGAAAATACGATGTGAAAGGTAAAGAGTTTGCAGGAAGAGGAAAAAAAGAAGACATGACATCTTTCTTTCCTTGACTAAGTAGCTAAGTAAATAGTCTAATAGTGAGTGACACAGCAACCGGAAACAATTGTTCGATGACTGGAATGCTTGAATGTGTTCTCCCAGCCAATCTCATCTTCAGGACCTAGAGCCTCCTACGACACTTTGTGCATACTCTCACACCTCTAGAGAAACCATCTCTGCCACGTTGGCATGTGTCTAGACTGTCTCAGATCTTATGCCCTCTTTGTTAAATCGATCTAATATATGCATTAGTGATCGCTAGTGGCTTTTTTCATTCATTTGCGTGCATACCTTTCATCCATATCCCATTACCAAGACTTTTTGTTTCCGTTTTCACGACCCGTATCGTCAATCATTAAACACCACCTATCTTCATAAAATACTGAAACACCTCAGGCTCTAATATCTCTGTAACGAAGCTTAGACTCATCTGCTACAGTTTGATCGAGCCGCCCGAGGTTCAGTGCATCAGCTGACACCAGCATCGTCTGGCAGTTGTGGCGGTGTTTCACCTTCTTTTCCTTCTGCTTCTAATTTGAGACTAGCATTTAGCACATCTTCACCGCGGATCTTATACGAAACCTGTACCACATTGATAGTCCCACCGTGCCACGATGCGTTGCTTGCAACGATCAAGTGAATAAAAAAGACAAGAAAAGTTTTATGACAATTAACCCTCCAGTCTATTGTTTGCCAAAACATACATACTCTATACGAAAAGCCAAACTCCATGCTATACCACTGCCCTGTCAATATCCAAGTCCGGTTTATAAGAGCCAACTGATCCCCTTTAAACCAAATACCTGAACACGCCTCGAGAACAACCAAAACCGACTAATATGCACAACACTTGCTCAGACATCTTTAGACCATTTCGCGGCTACCGATTGATCGTTCATCGACAGACAGGTTCTTGAGCTCCTGTGCACCGGCTTTGCGAGCCTTTTTTGTTTCCTTGGCCTGCTTCTTCTCCTGCTTCTTCTGCTGCTTGAGTGCCTTCTTCTCCTTGCGAGAGAGTTTGGGAAACTCGCTGTCGGGTCCACGGAGGACGAAACCGGGATGCATGACGTTGAGCAATACGAGGGCGATCAAGATTGGTGTAGCATCCAGACAGAGTGGGTACTCTTCGTGAATAAGCAGTTGGTTATGAGCGTTGACACCAGGACCGAATTCAACAAGACGGTATACGATTCGGACCTTGAACATGTCAGCTTGAACAGTCGAATGTGGGATGATAGAAAACATACCACAATCAGGATAAGGACCGCGAGCATGGTCCAGATGAGCCACTTCATACATCCAATACTTCGTCCCTCGATCTGTCGCAACTTGTGGTAGAAAAAGGCAGTGATGCCTGTAAAGACGAGGACGACCACAAGCTGAAGAGCAACACCAGCCATGTAGACCTTCATTCCGATGTCGATGATGTTTTGGTCACCGTCTGTGTTGGAGAGCATACTTCCACCAGCTCCCTGGACAAGGAAGAGAAAAATATCGAGGCAGACAAAGAGGAGTGTCATGCGGATGGCCTTGACACCAAGGAGCTCTCGACCGGGCATGCGGAAGTATACCATGCGTGCTACTGCCATGTATACAAATGCATTGATCCCTGGTCATGTTAGCAACAGCCTGAGGATGGTAATGTTCTGGTGTGACTCACAAAGGGGAGAAAGGAGGAACAAGAGTTGACCCCAAGTGAGGTACATGATGTTTTGCTGATGGTGACTTCCAAGCGTCTTGAAGGCGAAGGCGATGGTTTCCCAGGCTGCACCCATAATGACAACCCAGCAGAACCTCTGTGGCATATTAGAGACTGATGGTTCTTAGATGCTCTTGATGCACTTACCTTCTTGAACAGAATGGCCTGGACGAGATGAACGAGGGTGGTCATACCAAAAAGCACACAGAATGCAAGATTGGCTGCAAAACTAGGGTCGAAGAAATAGTTGGAGTTGCACGCATCAACAGGAACTCGACCATATTTGTCTGGCGTTGCTGTTGTGCAAGTTGCGGTCGCTGAAGACACCGCGGTGGTGGTTGAGATGTAAGTCGTGGTAGACATAGTGTAAGTCGTCTAAGTGGTATCTAGAGAAAGGGAATGTTGAGGTGGTTTGAGTTGTGAGGGTGGTTCTTGAGCCGATGAGCTTATCTGATGCATTCCATTTTGATCATTCTCATGTGTTTCTTTTGTATCTCACGAGGATTCATCCTTTGGCGTAAATTCTGCATTTGGCGAGCTTCATCAAATCGTTTGCGGCTCAGATCCATCTCCCGAATACTACAGGGGTTGTCTGATGGGGTACGCACGCGCTCGCCAAAGCTAACGCATGCTCAGCCAACGAGATGCAGCCATTTCCTGCTCAACAAGGCCGTAAGCTGTCAAACAGACTCAGCTACTCCGACTTTTGGAACCAGTGCCAGAGACTGGGAATTCTGATCTTTGACGAGCGGACCAGTCAGATGCGTTCAAGCAGACGATGAGTCCCACTCAAGCATTGATCTGTCGGCGTTGCAAGGGTGGCTTTGAACAGCCTCATCTCATTTACCGGTTCAGCTTACACCTGAGAAGGTCGTTCATTGGCTGGTTCGTCTATTGCGAACCTATTGTGGGGTATCTTTGAGTGATGGTATGCTTCGAGATGGTCCGTTGCTGACAGTCGAGTTCGTCCCCAGATATGCGACCTCTTTTAATTGCCATGTGGTTATTGGCCGAATCGTCAATTTCGTTTTCTAGAAGCGTCAACGCTCACGCATTTTCTGATACAAGTTGACGTGGTCTCCAGCTCAGCCTCATAAGACGGAGAAACGGCGTAATGAAATATCTATTAGGCGCAGTAGCATCCAGCTACGGATCAATGCGAGTATCGTGTATAATTTCTAAATGCCCTGCAGTATACCCTTGTATGAATATGTAATCTTGAGGCTTTCATCAACTTATGAAATCCTACATCTTGGGATTAGGCGCAGTGTCTTGTTCCACCTTCAAGCTGTTCAACTGAAGAGATAAGTTTGTGGCAAGAGTCTAGAAGGAGAATACCTATTTGGGTCAATACTGTATTCCCTCACTTACTATACTTGATGTCTATAATACGCACAAACATATTATCGAATGGAGTCAACATGCTCCGTAACTCTATCGCGATAATCTATTCACGAGTCTAGATCGTCCAATATCCACACTGCTAAAGACTGACAAGCAAGTTTTAGTGGTGCCAAGCAGCGCCCAGGAGACCCTTCATCCCCACCATGACAAGAACCCTTGGGAACTGCCCTGTCGCGACTGTCACCAGCCTCTCTGGTTGGCGCTCTTTTGCATCTATCGCCAGTCTAATGCCTAATTGGAGTAGAGGATCATCGGCGCGCGCTAAGCTCGGCGTAGCCTGAGCTGACACAAAAGATCCAGCAGCTCTTGTGCTCGTGCATCCCCTTTGGTGATGGCGTTATTTAGTCAATTTTCACCTTCTCCTGAAACCCCCAAGATGCTGCCTCTTTTCACCTCCCACTCGCTATCGTGATACCATCATTTCCTTGGAAGCCGGAAGCCGATCGACGGGCAGCTTCACTAGACTCGACTTGACTTGACGGTGCACAGGCCCGCAATTGGTTGGTTGACCGCTCTAGCGATTCCTTCCCTCCCCTCTTCCTCAGCTCAACTCCGCATTTCTCCTCCCTCACATCGTGATAAAGTCAAAATAAGGGAAGGAGACGGGAGAACCTCTCTGGTCGCCTAAAACACCAACTCTTACTCGTGGGAACGCTCTTGACAACTCCCTCTACATACAACATACAACCTACAACCTACAGTCCCCGCGGAGGATATGCTCCTTTGAGCTCATCACGCCTTGATAAACATCTAATCATCGTCAGTATTTCATTATGCCTATCAAGGTCAAATCCAAGAAGCTGCCTGCCCCCCGCGAGGGCAGTCCCATCTCCATCAGCCACCACGATTATGAACGCGACCTTCCCGACATTGCGACTGACGATTGCTTCCGCGACGTCGTCAAGAAGCTTTCACTGTGAGTATTTAATCCATTGGTATCGGATCGACCTTACTGAGATGTGTTTAGGTACTTTGTTGAAGCCATTGAGCTGCCAAGCACCTTTGAACAGCTGAGGACCACAGCTGCGGGGACTTCTCTGCGTATCTTGGTGGACCATCTCGCTGCGACGTGCACCAACCCTGGAATTGTCAATGCTCTACTGTACGTACCTCTTCGTCAACATCCTTGTGGTGACAATTTATATTCTTCCACTCTCCCTCTCGAATCTTGCATTGCTCTTTACATGTGTAGTGCTTGTGGCTGCATGTGAGATTTCGTCAGGGGAGCCAATCGTCACCTCGCGCATTCCGGACTAAATATGTTGTGCAACTCTGACTCGGGAACACACACATCCCGTGCTGATGTAGCTTTTTGCTGACCACCAATGTCTACAGAGCTCTTAAATGGCATTATGCATCTTCATCAGATCACCGCACTCTAGGGGAGTCGCGGGCAGATGCCTGTGAAATTGTCGCATGGCGCTTTTTAACTCGACTCTCTGAGCGTGAAGCAGTTAATTTCTGTCTTTACGAGATACCTGACTCTGACGAAGATGACGAAACCGAGCCTGCAGGTAATGGCCATACTGGAGACGTGGAAGCTGGCGAAACTGCACCTCTGCTCTCCCATTTTCGCAATGTCGACAATCGCCGTCGCGGACCAGGCCCTGCTGGAAGCAGCATGAAGCGCAATCAGTTGCTGAGTTCTCTCTCTCGCTTGACTATGACATCTGATGATGAGGATGACGAGGACGAAGGCGACCCAACTTCTTCATTCAGGAATCTCAATGCCCTGGAGATCGCAGCTATCGCCGATGCCAAACGCTTCCTGAGCCAGCATATCGTTCAGAAGATTATTACCGCTATTTGGAGTGGCGATATTGTCTTTTGGGATAGTCTTTCAGTGCATTCCGTCAAAAAGGTCAGGTTCTATAACCCTAGAACTGCGGACCCCTTTTCTCGCTTGCGCGTTCCCAAGTATCTCAAGATCTGGGAGGTATTCTTCTTCTGCATTTTTCTTGCTTTGTACTACGCCGTACTCATTGTACGAGATGAGACACGCATCACGATCCCTGAGGTGGTCCTTTTCTCATGGATAGCGGCCTTCTTCTATGACGAACTCAGCGAGTGGCTTGATGCGGGCTCTATCTTCTACGCTACAGATATCTGGAACTTGTTCGACATGATCATGATCACCATCGGGTTTGCCTTTGGTATCTTGCGTAAGAATTATAACTTCCTGCCATGACAATCCGCTAATCTAAACAGGTGTTATTGGTATTGTCCAAGACAAACCCGAGCTGAGTGAACTTGCATTCGATATTTTGGCACTCGAGGCACTGTTTATGATTCCCCGCATCTTCTCCATCCTCAGCCTGAGCCCTGCTTGGGGTACACTGATTCCATGTCTGAAGGAGATGGGTAAGGACTTCTTCAAGTACATGGTGCTCGTTGTTGTCGTGTATTGTGGATTCCTGACGACCTTTTCACTCGTGGGCCGTGATGTCTTTGCATTCAAATCAATGGCATGGATCTTGACAAAGATCTTTTATGGCTCAGCCCCCATCGGATTCGAGGTGATGAATCAGATCGATCCATTCTTTGGACCTCCCCTGATGATCATCTTCATTACACTATCCAGCTTCCTGTTGATGGGCTCCTTGACAGGTATGCTGTCCAACAGCTTCTCGCGGGTTATCACCCACGCTAAGGAGGAGTATCTGTACGTGTACAGCGTCTATGTCTTGGAAGCGTCGACTAGCAATCGGCTCACCCATTTCTTTCCTCCATTCAACCTGTTGGCTTTGGTGCTTATTAGGCCATGGCGCCTCTTCTTTACAGCCGATGAGAAGTTCCGTGCTGGACGAATTATGCTCCTCAAGGCGACTCATTGGCCGATTGTTAGCATCATCAGACTATATGAGCGATATCGCAGGCCAAACGCCGTTGGAGACGAATTTGCTGGATTCAAAGGTCCTTCGAAATCTTCTCTGCGCAACGGTAGGCAGGCGATTACCCAGAAGCGATCTACCTCTACTGTCGGCCGCCAAGCACTTTCGTCTCCAAGAGGAAGAGCGACCGGTCAAATCATTGAGCTGCGTGAGGATGATATAGACGCCCCTACAGCTGTGGAGGTTCAGCTCAACGAGCTGAATCGCAAGATCGATCAGCTTACTGCAACTATTCTAGCGATCCAAGAAAAGCAGGGAGGAGAGAACGGCAGTGCAAGCTCTAGTACGAGTGCCACTGCCGCCTAAACACGGTCTTTCCACCATGGGACCGGTCCGGTTGAAGCTCTAGAATATTGGAATATCAAGCCCGATCCTCTTTCTGCCCGGGTCTCATCGGTCGAGGTCAAGAGTGGGTACTTGCATAGAGGGGCCGACTAAGAAGTGTTCCGGAAGTTTTGGCGTAGTGTGGGGAGCAGAGCAGCAGCGGAGAGACGGAGAGCAACGGCTTTATATAAATTGTGTTTGTGGATCGACTCGTTTGGGGATGGGATTCACAGGTTGTCACAGTGATAGTGACCCTTGGATCTGGGTCTTGCACTCAAAGGGGCCTGTACTGGATATTGCTATCCTGGCATTGTTTATGAATGAAGTTGGTATGTTATACGTGGTTATAGTTCAGATTGCATGGTTTTAAGAATACTACTCTACAGCCATTCACCTCATTCCGAGCTACTTTTACGAAGAAGGCCGGCCATACTTTGGGTTTTTACTTTCTCATGTGCACAGTTAATTGCTTGTGAACATCCACCTACTCTTTTGGCTATCAGTCGTAAGAATGTGTTCAATGTTGACCCTAAAATTTTGTTCCAGCTTAAAGCCGTCATATGCCGTCTTGGATCTCAGCCAGAGAGGTACATTTCGGTGAACGGCAGACCCGCGCCTGCATAAAGGCTGGGTTGCATTACCAGGGTAAGCGTGAGCCTCAAAGCCATTGTCAAGTTAATATAAGAGAAAGTGATAGGCGACAAAGTGCCCGCTGAACGGCAAACGTCGGAGTGGGGAGATGGCGTGTAAGTCATATGTTCTAGAGGATGTGCTGCGGGGATAGCTAGTTCAACGTAGCGGTCAAATTAGTAGGGTTATAATAGTCGTGTCTATCCGTAAGCTAGGTTTCATTTCGTCTGCATACGCGTGATGGAGGAATTTCGGTGGTTTTGTCGAAGAGTCACTTGCGGTAGGGGTTCGGTGGATTACACGATAACAAAGTCAGTCCACCTAGAGAAATCGGATATACTCTACACTTTTCGCCATGAACAATATAGAGAGTATTATTGGAGCTTTATGTATTACCAATGCCTCCAAGCTAACTACACGTGACAAGCCGCCGACGTTTGAACTCGGCCACGGCCCCGAAATGCCCCGCCGATCTCGGCGTCCCGGACTTTTGTGGTCAGGAAAGCTTCAGCAGATAACTTACTGCACCTGTAACCGCAGCCGCAACCGACCAAAGGGGCCATTTATCTTACCGTTACCTATCCACTGAGAAGGGCTTGTTTCGGGGCTTATAACCGTTCCCTTCGTTTAACTCATCGTTAGTTAGCCTTAGCTACCTAGCCTTTTCTTTCCAGTTTTTTCCCTTTCACACCCCCAAGTTTACTTAGTGTCCGTGTCTTTTTATTTCCCCGGCCCGTCCTTCTTTTCCTCCGTTACACAGCTTCAGTTCAGTCATATTCATCTTTGTCTTTCATATTTTCATATTTTGTGTTTTAATATCAAAAAAAAGGCACTTCACAGGAGAGAGAGGAAGCAGGTATACGGATACGCAAACATATATACACACCCGCAACATCATGAAGGGTTCAGATACGACGCCGGCGCTGGCTTTGGCCGGGACAACTACGCCCGAGCAAATCACTACCAAAAACACTTGGAACACCAAGAACCTGACTTCGCGACTTGGCGCCGATTTCCTTTCCGCTGCGAGCGCTGCGTCAATGGTCGCGCCGCTCATTGCCATAATTGACCGGTATGATCATCCCCTATATTTTCTACAGCAACCTCCGTTTTGTTGCGCAAATTTGAGACATCTCCACGGCCGACATCGCCAAGATAACGGGAATGTACACAAAAAAAGCTGACATCATAACTTCATAGGTCCATCATGGAGAACGCTTCGGGCGCAAACACCCTCGTAAACTCTGTAAAATCCTCCCTCAAAACGCTTATTACCCGCCCGCATACCATCCTCTTCTCGAAGCCAACAGCGCTCATTTTCTGCCTTTACGGCGGAACATATCTCACCGCCAATGCCGTCGACACATCCTTCTCGACCGTCAACAACAAGCCCGCCTCGAGCGTCACGGCCGGAACCACGAAGTTCGCCGCCTCGAGCGCTGCAAACATCGGTGTTTGCATCTACAAGGACCAGGTCTTCGTGCGCATGTTTGGACCCCCTGGTGTAGTCCCCCGGGCTGTTCCTATGGCTTCGTACACTCTCTTTGCGCTGCGTGATTGCTTGACCATCTTTGCTTCGTTCAACGTGCCGCCTCTGCTAGGACCTTATCTGGACAAGCGCTTCTCTGAGGAGATGAAGAAGCGAGTATCTGGTCTTTACGCTGCGCAATTCATGGCGCCTGCCATGGTGCAGTTTATTTCCACGCCTATGCATCTGTTCGGTCTAGATCTATACAACCGCCAAGCCACAGGTCCCGGAGGCGCAGTTGTGTCTATGCGTGATAGATTGGATCTCGTGCGCCGCAATTGGTTCATCAGCTCCATTGCCAGAATATGTCGAATTGTGCCTGCGTTTGGAGTCGGCGGTGTTGTCAACATGAAAGTGCGCAAGAACCTCATGGGCAAGCTGGAGTAGAAGAGCTCGTTCCCAGCGATACATATTTCTCCACCAGGATATACTTCTTCCCGTGCAAGGATGAATTTCTGTTCAGATTCTTTGATTTCTGGCGTTTTTGGTTATGTGGTTACGCAGCAACGGTTGCATTTGTTTGTTAGGTCTTGAATGATCCACGGCACTGGGTGTTTACTGTTATATCTCATGGTTTTCTAAAGATGGTGGAATGCATATAGAGCATACGATGATGATGCGCAACTCACGATAGACTTCTAGAACACGATAGACTAGCTATGGTATGGGCAAGAATCAAAACTGATACAGCCGACTCAAAACATGCAACGAAATGCTTCAACTCTTATATCTTACCAGAGATCATATCAACCCTTGTTGTGCATAGCACGTAACGTCATAAGCATGTTCATCTTCTCGTGCACAAGGCAGAATAACACAATTGTCGCTTTCATTCGTCAAGCATATGCACGCTCGGCTTGCTTTCCACCTCCACCAATGTGCCCCCTATCTCGGCTACTCGCCCACTGCTCGTACTACATGCAACGCAGACCATCACAACCCTCATGGCATCAGCTGTTCTGACATATCGAGTTTTCTAACTATATCTCATCGGTGTCGTAATTCTCGCCTGCTCCTCCAACAACCGTTGTGCACTTGTTGAGTGCCGCAGCCAGATATCACATCTGTCAACTACCGACCCGTAACCTGTGCGCCCTCCTCAAGTCCGCCCATGCACCTTTGAAAGGGAATAAAAGCGCTGAGCTCAGTCATTTGATATCAAAAAGGCATCCCAATGTTCAGATATCTGTCCCGGGGCAGATATGTGGGGAAAGGTTTTCAAAAATAAAGAAAAGCAAAAAAGGGGGGGCATGAAACGCCCAACGAAAAGATAACGAACGTCTTGTACACTGGCCGTGAAACTTATGCATCGTCCAGCTAATAAAATGGTATCAAAGAAGCATCAAGTTCCTCGCCGACGTGTCGTCATAAATCCGCAAAGAGTAAAAGAAGAAAAGAAAAGAGGAAAAAAGAAAATGCTTGTGTGTCCGTTGGTGACTTGTAAGAAGTTGTAGATCCATCAAGGAAGAGAAGAGCCCATTGTGACAAAGACTAGAGCACAGTGCTGTATGGCCCAGGTCTCATTGGAAACGAGCATATACGACGTTGACCCTGATGCCATGCTTTCTGGTGGAGTCTTGACTTTAGTCTTAAGATTCACGCATATTGCAATGCAACCAAACTGAAACACCGTCGTCATCATCCCAATTCGGCAGCTCATACCGCCTCCACGTACAGGAGTAGCTTTTCGTTGCGTTGGAGAGCAAAGTCCAGGTCGTTGTCACTTATCATACTAGGCTTGTCTCCTGTGGGCTCGTCCTTATAGAAGAGTTGAATCTCGCCATCATCGGGAACCTTGAGTCGATCACAAATCTTGTCGTAAAGTGCTTGGAATGAAATATCGGTTGGTACTCGGATGGCAATGAGATCTCCGTTGAAATACATCTTGATCTTCATCGCTGACGCCGGCTGAGCCTGTTGTTGCATGCCCGCGCCGAGCGAGGATTGTGAAGGTTGTGACAGCGATGATGCTTGTCTCTGAACCTCGGGCGGTCCATGACTCATTTGGTGAGCGGGTGCTGCAGAAAGACCATAACCGCCATTCAGATTGTTTTGTGACGTCTCTCTTGATCCTCCGGCTGGAGATTCTGTGGATGAAAGTTGTGACGCTTGTGATAGTCGGTACTCGTCTTCGTTGTCGTTCGGATCGATTTCATAATCTCCCTCACGAGGTGCAAAGAACTGTCTCACCAAGTTACACCTCGAGATATACTGGGGCTGGTTGAGCATGTTCTTCACGTAGGCGTCCAAGTTATGGAGGCGCCCTTCGGTGATCGCATCTGTTACATAGTTGACTGGCCCAGGCATGTAGGGTAAAGTACGCTTCTGTGTCCCTGTGTTACCAGCCTCAGCTGGGAATTCAGTGAGGAGGGCGATTTGGAAATCGTAAAAGTCCTCGTAGTAGCGAGATAGCTCCCATTGTCGCCCATCTTCTAGCATCGCTTCAATGACGAACCAGTACTTGTCCTCGGCAAAGCAGTATCGTGGTATCCGTGCTTCTAATGGTGCGTGAAGGGGTGCAGCGGGTTTCTGTACGTGATTTTGCTGTGGTTGTTGCTGCTGAGACGTCCGAGGTTGACTTGCAAATCCAGGCTGCTGTGATGAGAGTCAGTTTCCCATTCTATAAATCTCTTCTCTCCATATATCCTTACCGCTCCATTCTGTGAAGGCTGCCGAGAATGCTGTTGGACGCTCATTCGTTCCATGCCTTGCTCAATACCCTGCCCAGGTTGCCCAGGGCCACCTTCGAATTTGCCCAGGGTGATGCTGCTGTTCTTGTATTCGGCGGCCATCTTCTTCCATTCCTCCACCTTGGGGACGCCGGCACGTTTGATGGCATCGCCTGGGTTCGTAATCGCCTTGTCGCTTGCCATATCTCGAATCTCAACAAAGGAGACAGGAATTAGTCCGGGGCCACCGAGCCGGCCGATTGGCTTAGCCACAAACCACTCAGGATTCGACTGTGCAATGACTATAATTGCCTCTCCAGCTTTGGCCTCCAGCTCGTCTGCCCTCTCCGCGGCGAAGTCGTACATGACAATTCCGTAGACCATAGCGCCGGTCTTGCCCACTGACTTCGAATTACGCTGGTGGCCTTGTGGCATTGCGGTAGGCGACATTGCGGTAGGTGACATAACAGCTGGCGCAGGTTGTATCGCAGGAGATTCACTATATCCGGAATCGTGGTCGGGGTTCTTGGTTGGGGCAGGGGGCTGGCCACCATCGGATTGCGCGCTATCTCTCTCGGTTCGACCCAGTGCTTGAAAAAAGGTAACGGGCACTAGGCCTCGGGCGTCAGGTAGAGCTGGGTTGCATGCCTCGTACCAATCTTGGTCGTTCTCGCGACCAATAACGTGGAAGAAATCGCCTCTCGAAAAGCTCAGTTCCTGGCTTGAACGTGCCTCGTAATCGTAAAGAGCTCGAATAACCTGTATAATAGGTTGGGCATCAGCATATGAGCGCATGGATTATTGTGAAGTTTTGTCGTGGAACCCTGGCGGCGCCCAACATGACAAGCGAATTTGGGTATGCATTATTAAGCCTTGGGAGTGAGAGGCCACCAACCTTTTTTGGAGGGACAATAGCGACAGCGGATTTGGGAGTGACGGGTCCTTTGTCCTTGTCACCTTTGATCGAACGTCGAAGAGCCTGTACGAAGCGCATTACTGTTAGCTTTTGACTCCAAGTGTCACTGAACCGCCAGCAAGGGCGGCGCAAATAACGAGCGAAGGCGAAGGCCAGGAGATCGCCTCAAGCGGGTTGAATGCGGGGGTTGATTCAGGCCCTGAGAAGATGGGAACAACGCCTTGTGAGGCACGAGAAGTTGGGTGCAAGGTACTGCATGGCCCGGGACAAGCAGAGCAGAGCAGGTATGGCATGATATTGTATGGCATTGCATTCCATTCGGTTCCGTATCGAGGTGCATGAGCGATCAGAAGGGGGGGATGACGAACCTTCATTTTTGTGTAACCGAATGCCTCCTGGGCAGTTGCAAGTTGGGAAGTTGTGAGTCGCTCAAAGGTGGAGGTTGTAAAAAAAGGACCAAGACGCAAGGCAAGGTAAAAAGAGTCGCAACTTGCAAAAGACGAGATAGAGACCGAGGGGCACACGCACACGCACACGGCGGGCGGACTAGGCTACCTTATTTCGTTCCAATCCGATGTTTGGTGTAAGGTACGGAGTACAGTTGCAGTACTAGAGAGGTAGGTACCTAACCGCCTAACCGCTAGGACTGGGCGGGCACAGACAGCGAGTCTAGGTAGTTCGGTGCAGCGGCGCCGTTGCAGCGTAGTTGCAGTGGATTGGAGGGGGACCCCCAAAGGTACCTTACAGCGAGAGAGCGCCTGGGGTTGCACAGAGCAGGCGCACACAGCTGTGGGCCTAAGCCTAAGTTGGGCGGGCTGTGAGCAAGTGAATACACGCCAGGGGGCGAAATAGCCTGTGGTGGGCTGGGGCTCAGGGTCAAGTGGAGCGAAAACGTTGTGAAAGGGATCGTGTAGGGATGGAAAGTGGCTTTTGGGGTGAAAGGTGAAGGGTGGAAAACAGAAGGGTGAGAGAAATGGGAAAGGAGGAAGTCGTTGAAAAAGTCGTTGGTGGTGGAAGAAAGAAAAGAACAAGCGGTTGGCCTTCTCGTTCGCACGTCTGCTTGCTTCTTTTGCTTCTCAATAAAAATGATGACTTGATTTATGCAGCCTTATAACTGTAACTGATTCAGACTCGGGATCCTTATCGTCCGTGATTCTGTGACTGTCGGGCACATATGATGTTGATCAAGAGATGGACAGTCGTTTTATTAAGCGCCTTGAAGAATTATAGTCGCGAAGACAGAGACTGACTTGGTCATCCACAAGGATCGAGCCGAGTTCTTGGTTGTAGAGCGCAAAAGCAAGGCCCCCAAATTACGCTCGAAGTGGGGTGATTGATGGAGGATGGAGGGGTCGCCTGTGACAACTTGGCGCCTTTGTAAGTGATACTGACGATGCAAGTCGGGGCTGAAAGCCAGTGCCTAGCCCAGTTCAGGAATGTCTGCGAAAAGAGGCCAGCAACTAAACGGTAAAAGAAAGCAAAAACCAAGGGAAAAGAGAAACTTGAGAGCGAAGGGGAGGGAAGAAAGAAAGAAAGAAAGAAAGGAAATGAAGCAATAGTCAGAAATCAAGAATGATACTGATGACTCTATGAATGAACCTGGTTGGTTATCAGTCATCAGAGGCTGTCTCTCTCTCCCAGTTTCCAATTAATTAATCAATTGATGGCTACTAAGTTACAAGCTTCAACGGCTGCAGCAGAGGCACTATTCAAAGCCATTAATTACCCTTCGTCTCTAGCGGCGCCTTCTGGAGGTCATTAGAACCTGCCAAGCTCGCCGTCTTGAAGTTCTTCACAACCAAATATCCCGGTCATTTCCATGCGATTGGTGTTGGTCCAATGGCCCAGGCTTCAATTTGCCAATTACACCATCCAGCGCTTAAAACACAAGCTTACGCTGAGCCATGAGGACACAAGATCTGCCACACAAATGCAGTAGCTGCATTACACGGCTGAGGAATTTCGCATCTACAGGCAGGCATCTATCCATCTGCTTTTGCGAGATAGTGACCTCCCGCTTACAGAACCAATCCCTATCGCATCCTACCCCTCATAAACGAAAGAGCCTGCAGCAGTACGGAGTACAGAGTACGGATACTCCGTAGCCAACTCAACCCTGTTGTCTGTTGTTGTTTAGTCCGTTAGCTTGTCTCGTCTCATTCCTGTTCGCTCATCCCCGGGTCAAGGGTATGGAAGCAGGGGTGGACGTGCAGCCAAATTAGCCAGGGATCATATGGTGGATTATCCCTCTCTCTACAGTCTGCACTACGGATACTCGCAGACGTTTGTCATGTCTTTTGTGCCGCTAAAATCAGACTCGACATATTCCCGGCCTGCCCTGGCACTGGGAGAAACGGGAAAGCCCTCGCGTGCAGGGATGATATACGGCTACGCAGGGGCGCCACGCATTGATCACGTTCATTGCGTCAAAAGGCTAGTCTCGGGAGTGTAATGAGGCATTCTAGAAATCGAGATGGTTGAAACTTGACAAGGCCAAGAAGAGCGATGTTATGCACGCCATACGGAGTAATAATTTCTATGTTATGACTTACACCAGCTATTGATGCCGAAATACAGTGGGTGCAAAAGCTTCAACATCATCTATTTTATACTGTAAATGATTCTTGAACTATCCTAAAATCATTAAAGTACTTGAGTACTATTACATATCCCACATCTCGTTGAAATTCTTATCAGAAACGCGGACGCGGCAAACTTAGTTATCTCGATAATACAACCTGCATTATGATACAACCTCAACCCAAAACGCCCACATAACACTTCGCATAAAACCGCTGCCACATGACGCCGGATGCTGCTGGCCCAGTTTCTCTTGTGTTTATGCAACCAGCAGCCGCGTGGAAGCATTCTTCAGAAGGGTGAAGCATGGCATGGCATAATGAAGCCAAGCTAACAAGTCCTCGTCCTCGTCCTCGTCAAAGCGTCTTGGTATTCCGCCATGGCACTAAGAGGGAAGAAATGAGCGGAATCATCTGTGCCATGTTTCATGGTCGAAGATCGTTTGTAACTTTGTATTGTCGAAAACAGCTTGACACCCACCACTAATGAGGTCATGGACCCCTATAACTCTAGGCCGGCGGGACAGGCAGGTACTTTACTAACCACGCAACTATCGTGAGTTTTACAGCTTGACCTCAATTTATATGCGACAACATCCCATAACCACGCTGCTCCCATGCCCAACTCCACGACCGCGTTCATCCCTACCTTGTCGGACTTTAATCCGCCGGAAGCGTCCCCCGCGAAAACCCATGATAGCGCCGTCTTGTCTGTGGATACCACTGCCCTGGGTCCAATCTCGTGTGTCAATCTCCCGTTCGCTTCAACTAATGGCCGTTGTTGACCTTGATGTCCATTCCATCGGTCTCAAGGCATTTCTTAACGCGATCGCTAGTACATTTGATCAGCCATAAACTCTATCCTATGCTAATAGCGGATTATTAAACTGAGATGACAATTCGCACAAGCACTGATCAAGATACAAAAGACTGAACGAGATGCCTGCCCTCCCGTGAGCCAAGACACTGCCAAATCCGCTGTCTATCCCGACGCTTTGGCACTCCCTGCTCCCAAGCTTGCAAGTCGAATTTTCTCTCCAGTCCACTGTCTCTTCCCTGCAGGGATTTGTTAATTAATGTTCCTTCGTTTCGGCGGAGAGTAGCCCGATCCAGCTGGCAGTTTCGGGATGCTAATCTCACTACCACAAGACGGTTGCCAATCGGCTTCACAAACACACTTTTCAATCTTTTATTATGAGACACCAACACACGAGACTTGGTCAGTAATGTCAGGAAAGTGAAAAGGAACTAAAACGGTTTTATAACTATGGCGACGACCGATAAATTATTTCCCGGCCATTGTTGATAAAATGTAAAAAGAATGGGTTGATAAAAAGTGAGAACCTTCCTCTTGTAGAAATGTCAATGGTGCGGAATCGACGCCTGAAGAACCACAAAGTACTTGAAAGGCACTACCGAGGCCTTCGCTTGGTTTATGCCGTAGCGGACGGCAATCTCAGCACAACACGATAATATCGTGAAGTGCTTAGGAAAGTGTCATATTGACAAGTTCCTGGAGTTTTGGGGGGACCTCGCGACTTTCGCGGAGTCCCGGGTTTATCAACAGTAGTTTCAACAGTAGTGTGCACCGGGGTACACGAAGTGGTAGTTATGCCTGAGGGTTCGAACACACGGTTTCCGCGATAGAGTTGGGACGGCACTATCCGACCGCCACTGTAAGTCTAACCACTGCACCAATGCACAAGAGAAATGTTCCCGAACTCTAAGTTGATGGAACTAGCTTATATAGGTATCCACAGTTTCACACGAGTCCACAACGTCAACCAGCACACAAACTAAGAGTATCAAGATAAAAGAACTTGGACATCTAATGGAAATGGAATCAATTGCTGTTTACTTGATACTATCAACCCAGAACTCCATGTGACTCCTAACTTTTAACATCGAGGCCGTCTTGGTTCCTGTTAGGACTAGCAGAAAACGACTACATGGACAAGCATCAACAAAGACTGCCAATGCTCAACGTCAAGCCTACTGCTCAGCCCCAACAGTACCAAGGACATGCCGACCGAGTTTGCATCTGAAATCATCCCGTGCAAACAAATCTGTTGCCTTTAGATCCCCCGTGGCCCATCCAATCTTTTGTGATTTGTTGTCTAACAAAACATGTCCCGCGTTGATGAGCGGAAGCTGGTATCAAGGCTATGGTTAATTGATCAAATTCCAAAGCAGAGTAGCATAGATAGAACTGTGCATGTGGCTCTGCCCGGCTGGCGTGAAGTAGAATGAAAGAAATTTCGATGCCAGCTAGGAAAAGGGTATAAAACGCCTGGTCGTGTTTACATGAATGACAACATCACAAGAGTGAAAGTACCATCATGTTTCGTCGTTCATCATTACGACGGGAAAGTCGCAGTCGGTAAGACGTCGGCGGGAGTCGCAGTGAAAAAAGAGAAAGAGAAGAAAACGAAAAAAGATGCAAGCAAGGTTTAGATCTGGCCCTTGATATCAACTTTTTGGAACGCCGAACTTCGCGCGCCTTCAAATAGAAGACCGGCTTTGCCAGTCAGAAATGCGATGTAGTCCGTTCGGTCTTCCAATAAGTGTTGACCATGCTGATCGATGATAAACTGGGCTGCATCAGCGTCAGACTCGAATCCGAGTTCTTCAGTGATGAAACGGAGTTTAACATCCGGCTTGTATCTGTAACATAGTTAGCAAAAGACTCTAACAGGGCTCAAGATAGACAGGAAAACTCACGCTTTGCAAATATTGCACAACGCAGCAAGCCGTTCACGAACAACAAACATATCCATAAGATAAGCACCCATGTTAGGGGTGTCAAGGTAAAGCTGGAAAAACTTATGATAGTTGCCCAACGCCAACGATGATCGCACATCCAACGCATGCTTGATCGGCTTCTCCTCCTTCTCTGCTGTGGTTAGATCTGCCAAAGTGTCGTTCAGGCCAGTTCGGTTGGCAGTGTGAATAAAATAAAGAATGCGATATGCCTTGAATTCAATGGGGTTGCCCTTCAGGCCCATGCCATACAACGATCGCAATTGGGTCTGGCACTGATTATACTCACCAATATCCCCCTTCTCCAAGGCAATCCGGGCATGGATTTCATAAACAGAAACAGTAAAGTCGTTTTTGAGATGTTGCACAGTCAAATCTTGTCTCATGGACTTGAACTGGTCACAGATATACGAGTAGTTGCTCTCCCGCTTCCACTTCTTCTTCAAGAGATCTAGGGTCTGACGCAAGATATGTTCAGGTCTGACCTTTGATGGAACTGGGGGTGCGGTAAGACGAAGATACTTCTTCTCCAGTACGTCGCATGTGCCGACTATGGGTCCAGATGAAGGTGGAGGCGGACTAGGCGATCTGAGCGACTTGTATTCGGTCTCGAATCGTCGCTTGCGTTTGTTTGCTTCCTTCTGGAACTTACTTGATTTTGGCAGGGGCTCGTCCATGGAAGCACGTTTTTCAGGGGAAGGATAGGTAATACGGTCTTCGAGTGAAGATCGCGTGTTAGTACGCCACGGTGGCTGGGAGTTGTCATTACTGGCGAAATCGGTGGATTTCCTCTTTTTGGGGTTCAAGGGAACATGGAAAGTCTGCTTATTATCCGCATCACGTTCGGCTTTGACTAGGGCCTGCGGGAGGGGCATGTTGTCCCAGTCGAGTGTGTATAACGTGCCGTTCTCCTTTGCGGTACCGATGGTGTTCTTAAGCTTAGCCTCGATTTCCGCACGAGGGACAGTGGGTTCGTCATTTTGGGGGAGAAAGGATCTTTGAACATAACTCCGAACAGATTCGGGCCATTCCACCTTGGACTTGGCTTGCTCAGGTGTCGCAGTTACACCATTCACGGGCGACGCGGAAGACATTTGGGGTTGCACCGGGGGCGGTGGAGGCACGTATCCGTTATAGGGAGCAGCTGGAGCTCCGTACTGACTGAATCCTTGACGAACGGTAACGGGAATGAAGGCCGGATCTGCGTTTGGTGTTAGGCTTGTCGGGCGAAGGAAATGGTTTGCGGGAAGTCCTGGCGATGACTTACTCGTTGGGTAGGCGTAGGAGGCGGGTACGGTTTGCTGAGCGACGCTCGGCGCTTGCTGCGCTGGCCAGGTTGGCATCATTGCGTCGGTATGCTAGCGGTGCGAGGGGTTAGTTTCACAGAATGAGTTGGGGAGAATAGTTGATGCCGGGTGTCGATGTGGTAGGAGGGTAAGATGAGCGTGTGGTTGCCAGTTGGAGTATGGAAAGGTTTCTAGGGATTTTCGTGGATAAGGCAGGAACGGTGGCGGTGTGGTCCCTACTTATTCACGGAAAAACTGTACTCCGGTGCTTCGTCACAGCAGCTGCAGTGGAAGCCAGCAATTATAGTGGGTCCACCAACCCTGGAGAAGCCGGTCAAGTCTCGCGTGCTTGAAAGACATGCCTTGACATCGACCATTGGTGTACTTCTATTTGTGAACTTTGGATCTCAGAGTTCGAAACAAAGACAAGATCAGGACTAACTAAACTCTGATCCGATTCGTTTTGTTGCTTTTGAAAAGTTGTCCGGTTTCTTTGCACCCTAGCTCTTGTTTGCTGCATGTCATCTGCCACCTGCATCATTGCTTATCCATCCATCACCAATAGCTACTCCTTTGCTCAACTCAACTTCCACCTCCATGACGAATGTTTCTGAAACATATCGATCTTACTACTGCGCTACGGCCCTCTTATCTTCCAGATGAGGTGCTCCTCTTTGTTCAGGATAACGTTGGCCTGTATGAGGGGTAAGTTGCCTCTAGCGGGGCAAGTTGAAGTCCAAACTAACATCATCACAGCAAATTCAAACTTCCCAACCAACAAAATGGTCAGGTCTATCTAACCTCTCATCGAGTGTGTTATGTTGATAAGCAGGAACCTCGCAAGCATTCTGTTGCGTTGGATCTGAAGGATGTGGAACGCTATGAGTTCTATGCCGGCTTTCTCAAGTCATCAGCTAAGGTGACCCTGATACCCAAGCCACCTAAACGATCATCATATCACAGTCGTGCTATTTCGAATGCGTCAAACTCGTATAGAAACACTTCTGGGTCTCCAGGGCATTCTGACTCTTCCTATCGAGCACCTCTAGAACCTACAGCTGCATCGAGCGCAACATGGGTTTGCACAATATGCAGTTTCTCAAATCCTGTTCCCTCGAATTTCGACCCGACTTCTGCCAACGCTCATACGCCTCTCCCTCCTTGTCTAGCTTGTGGTATCAAACCATCGCTGGCCCATGTTCTCAAAGCTGCAATTTCTGGTGCCAGCAACCGTTCAGCAGCGCCACCAACTCTTAATGCACCTCTTCCGTTGCGACCAGGCAATACTAGCACTCGACCACTTTCTGAGAATTTTGACCCAACACCAACAACGAGTTTACCTGATACTTCCAACGGTACCAGTGCATCAGCCTCATTCCAATGTCCTCGATGCACATTCTCAAATCACCCTTCATTGATGACTTGCGAGATTTGTGGCGCTCCTCTGATATCTGAGAATGTTCCGTCACTAATCCAGCAAAGTTCGGCATCCGACACGATCAGAACCGACTCTCCTGGCCCTGTCCTCGACCCAAGTAAGATCAACAAGAATGGAAGCGATGCCCCTGAAAGTGTCAAAATCTCGTTCCGAAGGGGCGGTGAGAAGATATTCTATGAGCGCCTCAAGGGGTCTATGACACAACGAAAATGGCTCCTCCGTGATGCTCCTCCTGCACCAAATAGTCGAGCTACAGACGAAGGACCAAATGATGCGACAGGGGGGACCTCAAGTGGACGAACAAAGGGGGTGGGTATTGCGGGCCTGGAGCAATTAGGATTGAATATGCGCAAGAACAATGAGTTGTTGATTGGAAGCGCTTTTGAAGACCTCGAAGCTCTCATGTCGTCCGCCAAGGAGGTCATTGCACTTGCAGAACGATTCGCGCGACAAACGAACAACGGACAAGGCAACGCATCAGCTGAGGAGAATGCCATTCTAGCGGAATCAGCAAGCCAACTTGGACTCGTCACGACGAAGGATATAGTGGGCGGCGGCAGCTCCGAATCGCTTTATTTGTCCGAATTGGCGAGAAACCTAGCTGAATTCCTCACCGATGACTCCAGGGGTGTGCTCAAGAAAGCAGGCGGCATCATCACTCTTGTTGATCTTTGGGCCATGTTCAACAGGGCCAGAGGCGGAGTCGAGCTTGTTAGTCCTGCAGACTTCGAGAAAGCGGCAAGACTTTGGAGCAAGCTTAACCTGCCTGTCCGCCTAAGGACCTTCCGCAGTGGAGTCATGGTTGTCCAGAGACGTGACCGCACTGACGGAACTACTGTCAGGGCCATACTTGCATGGCTACAAGATCTGCATGAGTTCCCGCCCGATCGTGATGTACCTTGGGACTGGCAACTGTTTGGCCGTGGCGTTACCGCTCAGGAAGCCGCTGAGCGTTTCGGCTGGAGTCTTGGTGTGGCAGAGGAGGAACTTCTCATGGCGGAAGAGCGAGGGGAGTTGTGTCGGGAGGAGGGACTGGAAGGCCTCAAGTTCTGGGTCAACTATATTGACCTAGGGCAACACAAGAGGTACAAGAGCCAGGCTCAGAAAGATAACGACGAGGTCATGAAGGCGTTGAAAGCAAGCGGGCTTTTATAAACGATGGACAGACCAGGTTGGATTATATAGCGTAGATTTATGTGAGCATTTCACTGCAAGTTCGAAGACAAGCATCAGGTCCTGCCAGATTCTTTTTGAATTGTATTAATTTCTTCTCCTTGACAATAGAGTTACTTTTCGACTCATGTTTTGGCCCAAACTCCTCGCTGTACATCTACCTGAACTCCGAAAGTCATGTCGTGAACCAGTGTTTACCCTTGAGTCGGATACTCCTAAGTGCCTCCAGCATCCTATCAATCATACAACAACGTGTGTGGACAGGTGCTCAACAGCTTCCTTGATAGACCGTAGCATACGTTGATTGACACAAAAAGGACATCGCAAGGGCCGATCATCGCGAGTCACAGGTGTCTCTGAAGTTATTGGTGTGAGGGTGAGATCCGCGCCCATATCATGCGCCGGCGTGGCCGTGTAGCGCTGGACAGAAGTGGCACGCGCGGTTGGAGTAGCCAGCATGCTGCTAGGTACAATGTTGACCCTCTCGGCGCGTTCGCGCTCTTCGCGCTCTTCGCGTACAGCCGCTGCTTGCTCTTCGGCAGCTTGTTCCTCTTGCTGAAGTTGGCGCAAGGCATTCTGCAGGACGACTTCAGGATCGTCATCAGCGTACATGGGTTGGTCCTGTTGTGGCGGAGGGATTGAAGGATGATCGTGTGTCATCATGGGAGGCGGTGGTGGAGGAGGCGGCGGCGGCTGGGGGCCTGTCATTCTACGAACCACTTCATCACGTACTAATGCGCATGTGTTGAGGTTGGGCTCGATACCAACGACACGAAGGACTTCTTCTTTGATTGCACCTGGACTTGTGTCTGAAGCAACGCTCATGAACCGGGGAATACAGTCGGCCAGATATGATATATCTTCGGCAGGATTCATTCCACCGTCGCCATGGCGACGTTGTCTTCTTATTAAAAGCCCATAGCGTTTCTTGAATCGATGAATCCAGCCAGGTGAGAATTCAGGAGGGTTTTCATCCTTGTATCGTGGTAGCTGGTTGAAAATGGACTTTGCCTTGTCACCTAATTCTTCATTCGTGGGTTGGCGACCTGATGCTTGAACCCCCTGGTACCATATGAGGACAAGCTTCTCTACGTCGGGCCAATTTCCATAGCGCAGACGAGACCCAGACAATTGAGGATTGTCACTATCTAGACGCGAGTATTTGGGTGACAGCGAATGTGACACAGTGGATTGGCTTATTTGCTGGCCATACCGTGAGAAGAACCATTCAATGCATGCTTTGTGCGAAGGGCGAATAGGTTGACTATTGGCCCAACGGCGTAGAGCTCTTCGCTGGTCGAGAGTGAGAGAATGTCTCTCCTTTGGTGATGCGCCGATATGATCGCCGACGTGGTCAACAGGTGAGACGTCGTGGACAGCGTCAACTGGAGAGAGATCCGGGGCGGGAGCGGCAACAAGGGCCGGGTCGGTGGTAGCAGCCGACATGCCCAGGACGGCAAACTCCTTGAGGTGTGGGTTCTCGATTTTGTTTTTGGGGATATTGGCGATGGAGAGGCTATCGTTGTATCCGAAGGACGTGCGCTTGCGGGTGGTGGGATGTTTCGATTAAAGGAGGTGAATGATGGCTGTTGGCGAAAAGAACGTCGATGGCGGGGGCGGAGTAAGCTTCACGTAGGTATCACGTGATGTCTCAGGTGTGAATAAGAAAGGTAGGTGCGCCAAACGGGTGGGTTATATAAGCGCATATTCTATGGGAGCAAGAGTATTAAAGTGAGTTTATTGGCAAGGGTATCAATTCGACATATTAGGTTCTGTCTACCATAATTGTGTTGTTTCTATTAACGAAACTCCAATGTCACTCCTTCTAACCGTGCCTTGGAAAGAGCGACATTTACGGAACAGAACCTCGATATAGAGCCCCCTCGATAATGTACTAGACTGAATCGCTAGTCTGGACGTTTTGAGCAACTTTGATAGAAGCATGGGTTGCCAACAAGGATCACGGCCATAAGCATGCCGAAATATATGACATGGGTATTCCTTTGTTCGGCGAAAATTCCATGTTACCCTAACTGTACGAGGAAGAAGAAAAAGATGCATATCATGAATATTCTTGCAGCCAAGCCTGGTGACAGAACATGCCCACACGGTGACAGTTCGCCAAGAAACACCTTACTCATAGAAACTCCTTTAAGGTATTAATTGGATTTGAAGTTTACAATAACTCAGGAGCTCTCATGACTTTACTTAACCGCTGAAGTGGATAGAGATGGGATGGAAGATGAGCTCCGGTTTCGCCCTGTGACCTGACTAGCAAAAAAACGCTCGTGCGTTCGCGTTGAAGAAAGAAAGCAAGAAGCAACAGGTCATGGAGAGACAACTACTCTCATAATTCCCCGTTTTAACGACTCCTTTACCAGCATTAACGGTTTAACCCTCATACCTCGGCGGGTATGCTCGCTGGCTCGCTATAAGCTATCCCCAGAAGACTCGTCAGACTCTGATAGAAGCAAAACTAGAGATTTTGATTACATGACTAGCGGGTTTTGGACTTTAGACATGCCCGTCAACTTCCTCTTCAGGTATACCCGGCTCTGGCTTGAACCCTGTCGCCACTTGGCTAAAGTTCGAGAACATTGCACTAGTTCGTCTTTGCACCTGCAGCTGCACGGCCATGGCGATCTGCCGACAGCTAACACCCTTATACCAGCTAATAACCATGTACTTTACTGGCCTGGCCTGACCCTGACGGACCTTGGCTTTTATATGATAGTGATATTTCTTTCCTTCCACTCCTTAACCAACTGTTGACGCTGTTTTCACTTCTTAATATGCGATATTTTGGTTAAAATAACGACTCGTATGCAGTCGTGAACACCTCCTTGACCACTAATACCATACCACCACACATCTCGCATCACGCATCCAACCTTGTCGTCGACTTGATCGGGACAGCCCAATAACCCATCAACCAATCAATAATTATGATCAGCGCCATGGACCACCGCGAAGGTACCATGCCGAACTATAGAGTTCCAGGAACCGCCAGATCCTCAACGGCTGCATCGACAACATCCAGCTCTACCAGAATGGCCCTCTTCAACTCCCTCACACCGTCCAGCACAGCCCTAGTGAGCGAGTGCGTGGACACGCCCTACCGTCAAATTCCACGTTCTTTAAAGATATCGTGGCAATGGAACAAACTACGAACATTCTTCCTCGGCAACGATGCCACCTCAAAAATGTTCGCCGTATCAGAACACTCAGGGCTTTTTGGCCGCACTGCAGGTTCGCCCTGCTTGCTCCTCCATAACGGACCCACTGTGAAGGACGACATATTAGCAGCAGCAGGCGAAACATTGCGAGACGGCTTATCCGACCCTGGCGTTGTCGAGAGTATCCTCAATGTGTCTGCGGCACCTGGAGCAGACAACGATATTAGGGTCGCCACAGAAATCGTACAGGCAGTGTACGATGATGAGGAACAGTGTGTTGTTTTCCGATGGGCGATAGAAACGAAGCAGGATGAGACCCTTCAGGACTGCAATTTCATACGAGAAGAATTCGAATGGTCCATGACTCCATTGGAAGCCGCAGCAGATGCCAAGTACTGCCACGAGTTCAAGCTTTACCGTGTCGGGGATATCAAGGCGCCCAACGAGTATCTCGCCATGGCTTCATGGAAAGAGGCAGCATGGAAGACGTGTAAGATTGACTTCTCAGATAATGGACTTCAGCAAAATTACGGCAACAGATGGTCTCTTATGGTTATCATGTCGGCGTTGAGGATGTGGCAGCTAGGTCGAACAGGACAAGCATCATTGGAGTATGTCTCATGATGTGATTTATTTTTCCCTTTGTCAAGTAGCGTTGCATTAGTGTATATAGGATTCAGTCGCATATAAATGTAATAGAGTTAATAGAGCATCATAAAGATAGGAATTGCAGAGTTTGGTTGGAGAAACAGCTCTTCGTCACGATTGTGCGCACTTGGTTTGTGTATATCGTGTCGAGTGATAGAGCCTTACGCATGAGTAATAAGTCTAGGTCTTCTTACGAAGACGAGGGAGTTTATTTACTTATACTACTGGGGTCGATTCGCTCAATTATTTACCCGCAATGACCAATAACGATGTACCAATGTTTAATGTAATGATTCAGGAGCTGGTATGATCGTATGTATATATAGCCTTGCCACTTGGCAATGGGCATTACAACTACCCAGGTAGTGACAACATCCTATTTATCCATAGTTGATACAAACATGAGATCTTTCGATATGCATATGCCAAAGCCTGACAGTATTTCGATTCATACATTTCTAGCAATACTTTACTTGTACAATTCACTCGACGTCCCGACATTCAGAGTCGGCAAAGTTACGGTATGCGATAATCCAAGCCGTAAGGCTTAGCGCATCGATACATAACGGCGAATAGTGATGACTTGCTGTGAACAATCGTGTTTTGCATCTTCAAAGTCGAGAATCAAGATGAAGAGGTCGAGTTTGTCAAGAACTGTCAAGCATCGGAATAATGGCGTTGCTTGGCTCGAGACTTCGGCAGCGGGTAGCTTTCCATCTTGTCTTTGCTTGTTAATACTTTGTTCAATAAAGAGAAGGTGGTGGGTGATATAAAGGTCAATTCGTAAGACGTAGGCAACTTGACATCGGCATTTCAACAGTTCCATATCAATAGTCTCAAACTCGGACTGGGCATGTACACGCTCGAAGGCTTCACAGCAAGGGTGATCGATTTTTCAACATCGTCATGCCACGATTGGCGAAATCGGCTTTTGTTGGTATTTGAACTCGGCTGTCCGGCTCGATGGACAGCTCATGTCTCCATGACTTATAAACGTACACCGCATCCACACAACCATTCGACCACTTGTCCTCGATCCAGCCGTCTATTTCTTCTTGTCCTCTTGAGCAAGGAAGTCCCTGTCGTCGTGTTAGTCCACAGCGGTTCAACAGCTTCGGGGTTTGAATTCGCGCACTTGATGAAGTCGGCCTCGTCGGAGCTGGAGGCGTTGATGGGAGGAGTAGCAGTAGCGGTGGGCTTGGCGGAGCTGCCAGACATGGCGTACGTGACTCCGCCGAACATGGTGGCCAACCAGCCGATAGCCAGCTATATGAAGTATTCAGGTCAGTTCTTAGTCAATGCAGAGAGTGCTGCGGCGGGCGCAATTGGGGGACAACGAACGTATTGGCCGGCAACCTGCTTGCCGGCAATAGTGTAGTAAGCGCTGCCAGCCATTATGAATTATATGACGAGATTGGGATGAACGAATTCGGGTGATGGATGTTCGAAGTGTCGCAGTTGAGATAGTTTGCTGAGCTCTCAAATTCAACTGGAGCTTGTGCCTGGAATTACAGGCCTAAATGGCACTCTGACAGCGCTGACGGTTATTCTCCGGATTATCTCATCACCCATGATCGGGATCAATCGGATCTGCGGAAGCAACGTCACTGAGCCAGGGTCGATGAGCTTAGGTTGCCTGCAGCAGCCAACGGTGGATAATGATAGGGTACCTTAGGAGGGTAGCGGCGGGCCATCAAAATGGAAGGTTCTACGTTGAAAGCTGTCGCATTTCTCACTGCACAACTCGAACCCTTCAAATATCTCACTTGAACTACTCGTCAGTACTCGAAGATGTCTTGGTGGGGAAAATCAAAAGACCCCAAGCCGGAGGAGAAGAAGAACGAGGCAACTCAGATCAAGGATGCTATCGTCGAAAAGCTCCCTTCGAAGGAAGAGCTCCGCGAGAAATCTCAGCAAACCGTCCAGACCGGCAAGAACGGAAATGTCTTTGACGACATAGCAGAGGGCTAGTATGTGCTTCTCCAGACGAAGTTGTCGACGTTAGCTAACCAAGCACAGCGGTCCCGATTCTACAGATTCCAATGTTCGATATGCGGCGTATGCCACGCGAATCCGAACGATTCTCCTCTCAGCGCACCGATATGTGGCATACACATCTGATATAGGTGAATCATTCAGGCCCGTAGCTCACCCGAATCTCGTCCGCGGCGCCTACGGTGTATCCTGGCTGTACCTCATCGGTGATGTCTCGTACGAAGGTTACAAGTCGTACTGGCACAACCAGCGTGTCTTGAACCCAAGTGTGCAGCTCACTCCTCGACAAGAGAAGGTTACAGGCCTGCCCGCCACCGAGATACGCGCGCTCCAGCCGGGAACCGTGGCACCGCTCGACGACTACCGCACCGTCATGGTGCAGCGTGCCATCTTCCAGAGTTTGGCCAGTATGGGACTACCCGCTTTCACAATCCACAGTGTCGTGAGGTATTCCGGCCGAGCTATGAAGGACATGAAGAACAAGGCCATCAGAACATGGGCTCCCATTGGTCTTGGTCTCGCTATTGTGCCCTTCCTGCCAGCAATGTTCGATGAGCCTGTTGAGAACGCGGTTGAATGGGCGTTCCACAAAGGCTTCGAGACCTTTGGCGGAAAAAGTGCTGTGGGCAATGCGCCTACGATGGGTCGTGAGGATTTGTTGACCAAGAAGCCTAAGGAGAAGGAGCTGTAATACGAGTCTTTGTACAACAGAACTGGCGTTCAGGGGATGGAAGGCGCTCAACTCATGTTTATTCAATATTCAGCCATAACAAATGGTCCCTAGACGATGCATAGTCGAGTCATATGTAGACTAATAAGTGCTGTCTGACTTACAAAGTTGCCCCTGTTTTGTAGTGTCAGAACTCCAAATGGTGGGGAGAAGACCCCGCGATTGACAGACAGCTGGTCCCTGGAGGTGGCTGTGCGCCAAGCCGAATATCAAACGCCTCAAGTACCTGAATGTTCGATCGCAAACTCAAAGTTCTTGATAATTCGGAGCGCCAAACACTTGTATTGTGCTTTTGTACCTGCGCGCACTCTCTCTACTCACTCTGTTCTATTTTAAACGTGTCAAAGCTTTGGTTACACAACTCGTAATCTGCCAAGCTTGGTCATACACGGACCCTTCCAGACGCTTCCTCGCCGCCGCCTTTTGGTATCTGTCATCTCATCTGCCCACAAGCACTTGCGACAACGCATCTGCCTACCGCACGCGCAATCATTTCGACCCTTTTAAACGCGACGATTCTTCATCATGGCGTCATCAAGAACCCCAGAAACTCAGGATACCAGCTACGTCGAGATGGACGACAAGAACGAAGCCACGCTGATCGGCAAGCACTGTGAATACGACTACTGTAACCAGCTCGACTTTCTCCCCTTTTTCTGCCAATCGTGCAAAAAGACTTTCTGCCTCGACCACCGAAGCGAAGGAGCTCATGAGTGCTCAAATCCCGGTGCGTGGGCAGAGCGGAAGCGACTCAGACAGCTCGCGCAACCATCTATCGGAGAAGGAAAGGTTCTTAGGGACAAGGTGTCCCAGAAGCCCTGCTCATCGCCTGAATGCAAGACCACGATTGGCACATCTCTAATACCCGGCGTACACTGCCAGACGTGCAACCGAGATTACTGTCTGAAACATCGTCTAAAGGAGGATCATAACTGCAGCAACTTGGTGCCCATTGGAGCTCGCCCAGCGCAATTCGATGTTGGCCAAAAGACAAGATCAGCGCTCGACAAGCTTCGCGCATGGGGTACAGCAAAGAAAGAGCAAGCTGGCCGAGCACTCCCCAAGCCAAAACCAAGCTCTGCCTCAGCGCGCATTGTCGCAGTGAACAGCCTAAAGAAGACAGCCAAGGGCGACGACAAAACACCCGTTGAGAAGAGAGTATATATATACGTGGAGGCCGAGGCAGAGACAGCAAAGGCCAAATTTCCCAAAGGAGAGTTCTTCTATAACAAGGACTGGGTTGTAGGCCGAGTGCTCGACGCCGCGGCGAGGAGCCTGCAGGTGCAGAACATCAACAACCAAAGTTCCGACGAGAAGGATAAGCTACGAGTATTCCACGTGGAGGGAGGTAGAATTTTGGAGTACAATGAGAAGGTTGGGACTGCGCTGCAGAGCGGAAATACTGTGGTTTTGTTGCGTGGCGTTGGACCGGCTACCCCAGACCTTATTGAAGCATGAGCGTTGGGATTTCTCTGGCTAGCGATAGAGATGTATGCATGGCCTGGCGTTGGGCAAAATTTTGTTACCAAGATGGGCTTATTAGAATAATCTTTCGGTACTCCGTAGTTGAGTGTATGTAGGAATGGCCTGGTTTTATTCCATGACGCCGTTCTCTGATCTGCGCGTACTCGCATAACGTCTAATGTGAAAATCATCATGACAAATAGTCAACCTCGGCGTCGATAATATGGAAGCAAAAGAAATCGCAATGATCGTAAGTGCAATCTAAAGGGGGTTGGAGTTGTCATTCGTTCTCAAAATTAGATCGAGTAAGACGCAATTCATACATCACGAGAAGTGACTGCAGATTCTGACCCTTGGCTAGACCAAATCGTATTAAAATCGGGCTAAGTTACAAAGAAGTATGCTATTTAACAGGGGACTGTAGGGCTGGCATTTATACTCATTCCGCTTATCTCTGGCCATCCAAGGTTCCAAAGCCCCGATCTTCAGATACGGAATGATTACTGCTGTCTATTGTTTTGGTTGTCAAAGGGCTGGAAAGGTCGATATTGGTAATGCATACCAGCGTGAAAAGCAGCCCAATCTAGAGGATTCATAGCCAAAAGCTGCTGTTGTTCTGGTGGTAGCTGTTGCATTTGCTGTAGCTGTTGCATTTGCTGTAGCTGTTGCATTTGCTGTGGTTGTGGCATTTGCTGTGGTTGTGGCATTTGCTGTGGTTGTGGCATTTGCTGTGGTTGTGGCATCCACTGCATATCTTGATAATTGCCGGGAAATGGTGCTGCAGGGGGTGCTGGAATCGCCCCTCCATCATTGACATGATGATGAGCAGCCGCATGCTTAAGGTGACGTCTCAATCGTACATCCGGCATATCCTGCTGCGGCTGCGGTTGTGGTTGTGGTTGCTGTTGTGGCTGTTGCTGTTGTGGTGGAACCATCAGGTCCTGTGGTTGGTTTTCTTGTTGCATCCCTTGCATCAAATCAAGGATAGCCCTTCCTTCTGGCCGCATACCAAAAAGCCCACGATCTCGAATCCGTTGTTCTCGATGCTTCCTTCGATTGTCGTCCTTCTTTACTTTCTTAGAGATGCGGAAGTCGAGGAAATCAGGGGCAAGGTCAGGATTTTCCTCCAACACCTTCTTTCTGGCTGCCTTTTCGGCTTCTTTTATATCGTTCTCGTGACGCTCCTCGACGCTATCAAACAAGGGACAGTTGCCCTTTGTACCGCCTCGGGACTCATCATTGAAATGCCTATAATCACAAGACTTGGAACAGACGTAGCACTGCACGTTCCTACAACCTTGGCGTGTGCAAGTCATCTTGTTACAGCCAGCCTCTTTGATGAAAGGAGTTTGACCTGAAAGAAGTTAGCAACGGGGATTCTATGTCATTGGCGATATATGAACTTGCACTTATTGCAATTGCGAATAAGAGCTTCAGACATGGCTTCCTCTACTTCTCGTCTCACATCTACACCCCTCTCGAGAGTCGCCTCATCACAGGTCTTGGGAATGTGTGTCTTGAAGTTGCAAAGGCGGCAACTTGTGATCATGCAATCGGCATTTCGGCACCGAAATTCTTTGTTGATATCAGCTGGAGGGTATTCTTCCGCATACTGGCAAAATGGGCATTGAGCCAAATTTGGTAGCATGGCCTCACGAATATTGGCCGTCTGCTCAATCCGATCGAGCGCAGATGTCAGGTTCTTATCCAGGAACTTCTTTCGCTCACTGTATGAGAAGCCGGCTTCGCAACCATCTGTGGATAGGCACTCCAGTCCATATTTCTCGAGGCCGATTTGTGTTTCAGCATTTCGACGACAGCAATCAAGGCAGAAAGACTGTATACATGGTTAGTTGTAAGTAAGGAAGAAGTTGTTCGAAGCATATCGCAATTGTAGTGCGATGGATAGAAGATACTCACATGAATAACATCTCCGTTGCAATAGACAAGTCTATTTGGTGCAACGTCAGCGAAACAACACCCACACTCGACAAGTTCACCTCTAGCTTCTGCTGCTTCGAAGTTGCGTCGCTCGGTCTCTTCGGCCAAAGTTTTCACTCGATCTTTCTCGGCGGCGTCAGATCGGACCAGTCTTGCAGCCTGCAGCTCCTTCATCAACTCTTTCTCCCAGTCGATAGAATAGGACTCGATTGATGCATCGATATTTTCGGCTTTGTATTTGCCTGGTTGAACTGAAGGCGTCTTTTTGTATTTCCACGAAAGTGAGGCTCTATCTACCCTGGTTGTAGCGTTGTCGACGGCAGTGAACGTTGGGAAGAGATGATAGTTGTTTTCCGCAAGTAGTTGTTGGATGGTTCTTATAGGTACCAGTGGGAAATCTCCTGCAATCATCTGTTTCCTGCCTTCAAGTTAGCATGAAGATATTTCCTCAGGGGTAAGCGTGATCCAGCTTCACAGTTCAACAGATCATCCACGGGTATAAGGCTTTCGATAGATATGCCTATGTGCCTGTTTTGATAAAAAGGGAGTAGACTCACATGACGTTCGTTTGGGGGCTGTTCTTGGGCAGAGCTGGCCGGTGAGGGTCGATGTACCTGCGCTTCGCCTCTAGCACTTTGTTCTTCTGTTCATCATTTTGGTCATCCGCTTCTCGCTTCCTCTTTTTGCTGGTCTGCTTCGGCCGTTTCGTATATGTTTGACCCGAATCCTCGAGGTCGAGGATATGGTTGATGACATCTTGAGCAATAAAATCCAGTTCCTTCGCGATCGGCTGGAGGTAGTTAAGGCAAATGTCGGGGAATACAGCAGTGACTTCCTCGAAGCAGGCATCTTGGGGTGGCTGAAATGTTTCTTTGCAGTCATCCGGTTCCTCCATGCCGGTGGTCAGCAAAGGCCTACTCAGCCTATGATCAAATCCCCAGATACACCCAGGTCAGGAGCCAGAACTTGTGATTCAAAAAGTTGGTGTTTTGTGAAGATTTTCGTTACTGAAAGGAAAGGCCTATTGTTGGCAGCTGTTAGATGGAAGGCAGAAGCGTATATAAATGTAGTTGGGAGGAGGGAAGATATGGGCTCCATAACGGCCACTGTGAATGATGCTTTTGGGTACCTAGGCACTGCGAGGAAGGAATAACACCGCTCGGGCAAAACAGACATGGCAGTCACGCAGAAGTGAAGGATGATGAACAGGAAGAAACGGATGCGAACATTCCCATAGCGTAGCCACAGTGAAAACGACCGAAAAGAAGTAAAATGAGAAATGAACAGTCACTTGCAGAATACAGGCAGGGGCCAGCACTTGCACGAAATGATACGTAGTCTTGGTGAAGAGGCAGGCTTTTGAATATCTTCAAGAGCAATACCACTTTCAAGGAAAGTTTCAAGGAAAGACAAAATGGGTGAACTTTATAATAAGGAGCGGGAACTCATGATAGGTAAGTTATAGTGATGACGACGACATGGCTAAAACAAACTATCGGTGAATCTTAACTCGAGGGAAAAGTCCGCGGCTTCGCGGTACTATTCAAACTATGTCCTTGACTTGCTGATGTATGCAGCATATGGTACGCCCAAGTGGGTAGGTATATCGATAAGCATTGAATAACTTGCCAGCTGTAATGAGGTTTCACCTGCGTCCGTGTATGTCACAGTAACGGACCACTTGGGCAGGCGAAGACAAGAGGCTGATTGATATACGGTATTGATTTGAAAACGGCTGGACGGAGTGGATGATCGAATGATGGAGAACCTGGGATCTGAAATCGACGGCTAAATGATGATGTTGAGACCAGTTAAAGGTTGGACCTTGAAGCCAAGCTATCAATGGGAATAAGGCAGCTGAGTCGCTCTTTTATACTCGACGAGGTAGGAAAGAAAGCGAATGACCAATCCCTTCTATCCCAGCTCTCAGCCTTAAGCAAAACTCCAGCGCATGTCGGATGAAAAGCGATAGTATGATAAATGCACCGTTGTGAGCCAGAAGCTGCCTCGTTTCAAACCCCCGCTTCAACAGGATAATCAAGATTCACCTTGAAGCGTCGCCTGTAAATGGAATGTAAGATAACGGTATAAACAGAATGCGGAGAAGAAGAAGATTGTGTCTCGGAATAATATGTCGTGTAGGGTACGTTAAAGAATATGTTGTGAGACTGAAGAGAAAACATTGAAATAGCTTCAGGAGAAAAAGCAGATGACCAGAAAGCTCACGAGACAAGATGCGGAGTCGAAGTGGGAGGCGAACAGAACCGACAAGGCCAAAAGGTTGGTTGGTTATAAGTGGCATGGGATGTTTTGAGTTTACAACAGATTATAAGTTTTGACCCCAACTCAACTTGGGGCGTTTAATATTCAGGACGCATAAAATCAAAAAAAGATCTCTCCGGAAGAAACCTTTTATTCTGGTGAGTTGGGATTTAGGCTTTTGTCGTACTCAAGATGATACGATGCAACATGCAATTTCGAGCATGCTTTTGTTGGTTTGCCCGCTTGTGGCTTGAGGTTGCCATGGATTGACGGAGCAAGATCCATGAATCAATGAATGGACGGCTGCATGGGAGGGGCCAGGCTGTTGGTTCGCTTGGTCATTTTATCACTTTCAGCTGGATACGAGGTGAGAGAACTAGCATAAGGTATATATAAAACAGGGTTTGCCTTTCCTTGACACGCTTAGTTGCAGTCCTCCCGACAAGCAGTGCATCGATCCGCGGCTTGTTGGCCCGTTAATTAACCAGTTTGTAGGCCCAACGGCTTGTATTGAACACTGGGCCAATATTTTCAATAACCATCAACCGACAGACACTATCATTATTTAGCTTGTCACATTAATACTATACACTAGGGCAAGCCAACTCGTCCAGGGGTCGGTCCTATTCATCGTCCTCAGATTCAGCGTATGAATCCCCTATCTCATCATCTTCCACAATATCCTCTTCATATGAGACGACCTTTCGTCCACTCCGTGTTGATCGTCGAGTTGCACGCCCAGAAGAAGACTGTCCCTTCTTGACCTGCTTTACTGGGGCTTGTCGTCTTGACCTTGCACTTGTTCGTGGTGGTTCAAATTCCACCTCAGAGTGTGGCTCTGATTCCAGTTCGGGTTCAGGTTCAGGCTCTTGCTTTGGTTCTGCATCAAGCTCTGAGTCTTGTTCTGGCCGAGACCCTGGTGCCGGTTCTGGTGTAGGCTCGAGCCCTTCTTCGTCCTGCGATTTCAGGGCTGGTTCCTGTTCACCATCGCCATCGACCTCCATCTCGTCTATAGGTCTTGGCTGATTTGCTTCGTCATGCTCCATCAGCAGTCCATCGTCACCATCATCGTCCTCATCAATAGCAGGAAAGAAGCTTGAAGTGTGATGAGCAGGCGCCTCTACCTCTCCCTCCTCTTCTTCGTAGCCATCTGGAAGAAACCCGCCGGCCATCTCTTCATCCTCAGCCGGTGTTTGCTTTTTCGTATGGGTTAAGTCTCTAGCGTGCCCGAATACCGAAATTTGATCAGTGATCTCTCCGTACTCCTGTCGGATTCTTTCTGCAATACGCATACCCATGAGAAAGCGGCGCCACTGAGCTAGTGCTTTCTTTCGTCGCTTCTCATCTTCCTTTCGTGCACGTTCCGCTTCATCTTTTTCAAGCTCGACCATAACCATGTCGTGGTTCTCTTCCGCAATGACCACACCCTGAATCACAGGTACAGCCATGCGATTTCCGAATTCAAAGTCCACCACAGCTTCAGCATAGTCAATCTGAAGCTTTTTGCAGACACGCATGGCTCCACGGAATGGTACATGTACTGCACCTTTGGGACACATATGTTCAGCGAACAGATCAATATTCCTGCGATACGGTTAGTAGGCTTAGGGTCAAATCGAGAGATAATTCCATACCCGTATTCGTTCTTAGGAATGACTCCATCCTCGATTGGTGGTGGAATGATCCAGTCGGTTTGCTCCCAGCTGTATAGACCCTGCAAGACCTTTTCTCCAGTAGCGGCTTCTGCTTCCATAATTTCTCTCCGGCGGTTCAACGTAGCTGCACGGTAGGGAACCCTTTTCAATGGCCGCTCTCCGGCGATTGGTGCTCTTCCCTGCTTATGCCAGGTCTCAGCACTCTTGACGTTCAGGGCATCGCTGCGGAGAAACACGTCCTCTCCCTCCACTGTGCCACCCTTGCCCTTGCTTTTGAAGACTTTTGCAGGCTTCGCACCGGGTCTTAGAGCCTCCTCGCGCTTCAAGTGACGCTCAAGAACGAATTCCTTGGACTGCTTGTAATACTGTAATGTCTCCTGGCCATCCTTGACTTCCTTCTTTTCTGGCTTGGCAGGTGTTAAATCTGTGGAGTCTTCGGCTTCGTCGATCTCTGTTATGGGATGCTTCTTGCTGCCTCTTCGGTATCCGGACATTGCTGTCTTGAACCAGTCGAATTGGTCATACCGTTTCACTTTTCCGTGCCGGTTGTAGACTGGCACCTTTTCAGGTGTCATTCTTACTCCCTTTGTACGTCCAGGAAGCATATTCCGCTTCAGATATCTAACCGTAACATCCTTGGCAGTTCCGTCTTGTGAATATCCGACAAGGTATGCCATAATTTGGCGGGCTTTGTCGGCTTTCGCTCCACGGGGCTCCAAGGACTCAATCAGATCTCGGTTCGTCCCAACCACATTTTTGACATTAGCATCGACAGGTAGATATTTGTTGGTGACAGGTGACAAAACTTCTGTCCAATAGTGCGGGAAATCCATATCGGCATCGTATTTCTTGGTTGATGTTTTTCGTGGTGTGACTTCCATTTCAACAACCGATTCATCGTCAGTATCCTTATATTCTAGCTCCAGATCGTCGGTATCGCTTATCATTTCGGCCTTGGGTTTTGTCTTTCGAGTTCGCGTAGAACCTTTCGTGGCTTCCTTGGTCTTTTTGGCTGACTGCTTTTTTGTTGAAGCCGCAGCTTTCGTAGTTGTCTTTTTATCTGGCGTTGGTTTCGTCTGATTTGTACTATCACCCTTTTCAAGTTCGGCGTCTTCGAGTTTATTCCATCCGAAACCTAGGCAAGGTAGGTTTGCAACCATTCGAGCCTCCAAGCCTAATCCACGAAGCAGAGCGGTAAATAATTGGGCGCCTACATCTCGACTTCCTTCGCAATTTCGGGCGTGATATCTAAACTCTTCCAGACCTGGTATCTTCTCACCAAACTGTTCTGCATCATGGGGCTCTGCCTTTTGAGCTTTTGTGAGTCTGTCTAGTCGTTCAAGAGACATGTAACCCCACTTCCTCAATCCTGGCGCTGTAACACGAAATCGTTGTTTCCACCAAGCTGACAATGTTTGCATCAGTCGAAATAGGGGATCGCCGTGACTCATGTTAACAGCCCCTTCCTCCAACCTTTCGGCCTCTGCGCCCCAATCACGCGAACGTCGGTCCGGGATCTTTTTGCCTTTGCATTTTGGCTTGTTGGTATCTTTTGTTGATTTTTTGGGTGACGGCTTCTTCTCCAATCCACTATTACGCCTCCATCGATCCACCTCGTCCCAAAGTCTTGGAGGAAGGTGGGAGATCATAGTAGCCTGCACTTCAGGGTCACAAAGCCACGAATTGCGAGTAGCATTGTGCCAAAGGAGTAGCATGACATGAACGCAGTGTGTTGCATGTCGGACCTTTCTTTCACGCTTTGAAGGCCCCTTCCTATCAAAGGCATTTGTGAGTGAAATTCGAGTATCTCTGGTGAGTGTCAATTCCAAGTGTCCAGATGTGATTGGGGCGTCCGGCAAAGGCGCAACTGGGGCCTCAACATCCTCAAATTCGATATCGTCATCGTCTCCAGATTCCTCGTCGTTGCCGGCTGATTTCTTTGGTGGCACAACATCCTCAAATTCTTCATCAGATAAAGATGACAAAGAGCTCCCATCGTTGTCGTCGTCAAACCCATGAAGAACGGAATTTGAAGTAGGTGTCGCGGATGCGTCTAGATCATCGTATAGCGTCGTCTTGCGCCGTGATGCTTCGGGCTTCTCTTTCACTGCCTTTGATGCTCTGACTTCTCCAGGCGGTGGCGACTCACGCAAGCGCTTGCGCGGTACAAGAGGAGGCATCCTGATGGCGTAAATAAGATTGTCGCATTGTTCGAAGTTGGACGAGTTCTCTCTTTGTGAACTATCAAGAGTGGATACCGACTTCGTCATAGAAGTAGACACGAACACGTGTTCACGTGATTCAATTAAAAGGCGGCAGGTTAGCCAAGTGAAGGACTAAGTGCTAACGTTAGGTACAAAATAACGAGAATGGTGACTTAGATACGAGCAATTCAAGTTCTCATTTGTAGTAGACATTTCCTATTTCAGAAAATATGTCTGCACATAAGCACGAATGGTCATTTAGGAGTGTTGGGTTTCATCCTGATCCTCAGAACACCGCCAGCTGCTACTTCCAGGAAAGGAACAGCCTAAATCATGTATCCTGATAATTTATGGGTGAAGACTTCGCTTGTGCACCCCATTTTCCCAGTTGTTTCAGTAATTATCATAGTGATTCATTAATGTGACATCCATTATCTATTTCTTCCAAACTTTTCATGCCACTTCCCTTTACCTGCCACGGCTTTAGGAGCATCAGCTGGTTTATCAGGCACAGTTTCTAACTCCACAGTCTCTTTGATCGTGGATATGATAGAGATGCCCTGCTCAACCGGCCCATCTGAAGACAAAGGTGGAGGGGTAGGCGAGAGGAGCATCATTGCATTTGACGTGTTCTTTTGACGAAGTGCATACGTCTTTGTGGGTGTTTTGATAACCGCAGAGGTATCAGAGGATTCGAGGCGAAGGCTGAGTAAGATCAACGTGGTGCTCGCATGAAGTGACATAATATTCAGCATGACTTACACGGGAGCGTCGTCAGATTCCAGAAGGGTTAATAGGTCCGGGGGTAGCTCGATGAGACGGAAATTGGCAGAAGAAGGATTGTGCCGTACAGGTATACCTCGTGATTGGCTCGACATGGTGATGACTTTCTCTTGAGAGGGAAATGTGTGATGATGTTTAGTAGCGAATCTTAAATGGGGATGGTGTTTGCGGAAGGATTCCCATGTGTAACTTCAAGCTTCATATCGCGCTAAATGTCCGCGTATTTAGGTGGGTCCCGTCCATGTATCTTAGTAGGTATGGAGAATTGTTGAAACTTCAAAACAAAACATCTTGAGGCTGAAATATGAGCAAACAATATCAATGGGCGTGGAACTTGTGTACCCAATTTGAATATATGAAAAATATGAATCCGGGTAACATGGATTCAGTCATAATTGAGCATATGTGATACAACTGAGAGTTCAATTATCCATGGCTATGTTACTCATCAGGTACAAGAATCTCACATCCGCTGTTCCGGTATGGCACTCAATACAACATGGAGAAATCTCACTATTGATCTACAGTGAAACAACCCTGGATAGGTAGTTTGGGTGACTACGTAGGTACCACCATATTGGCTTACGTCGTGTCAGATTATAGCCTCTGGAAGGATTTCTGCCCCTATGTGTATGCCAATATAAACCTCTAGAGCTCCCGTCCTACTCGCCAGTCACATACTTGTTTCGTCACTTTTAAAATGACCATCTCCAACTCACACAAGCCTAAGACAGTTGACGTCGTGGTCGTCGGTGCAGGCCTCTCTGGTCTTCGCGCGGCAGTCGACATTCATGAAGCCGCCATTCAGTTGTCGTTCTTGAAGCCGGTGATCGGGTTGGCGGCAAGACTCTGAGCGTCACTGCCTCCCACTTGGGTGGGAAAGTCGATCTTGGTGCTGCTTGGCTTAATGACACAAATCAAAGCGAGATTTACAAGCTTGCTCAAGAATTCGGATTTGACTTGATCAAGCAGAGGGCCACCGGGTTGAATCTGCACCAGCAGGTGGACGGCAAAGTTGTCAAGTTGAAACATGGGAGCGGAATGCCACTTCCTTCGGGCGCAGACGAACTGGTCCAGGAAGTCCTTAAGCAATTGAGCAAATGGGCAGATGAGATCGACTTGGAGAATCCCTCTAAGCATCCCGAGGCCAAGATGCTTGACTCCATGACATTTGGTGAGCTGTGCGTCAAGTATTTGGGACCTGAACTTGGTCCCCCAGTTGGCGATTCAGCTACCAGTCCTCTTTTAGGCGTGGGACCAGACGAAGTCAGTGCCTTGTTCATGGTTGACTATATTCGCAGCGGAACTGGCATAGAGAACCTTGCCTCCGATGGAAAGGATGGAGGGCAGTATCTGCGCAACAGGCAAGGTTTGTTACCCCCTAAATCTCCCCGGGCAGAACTATGAGTTAACATAAGAGCAGGCAATCAGACTTTCTCAATCCGGTTGGCAGCCAAGCTTCCGGAGACAGCCGTGAAACTTCGCAGTCCTGTGAAGACAATCAAGCAAGGCTCGGACGGGATCTTTATCGAAACAGCCAATCCAGGACAAACCTTCATAGCCAAGAGAGTTGTTGTTTCAGTACCTACTTGTCTCTATCCTTCCATTGCGTTCGAGCCGCCTCTGCCAGACAGCAAACAGACGCTGGGTGAGAGCACTGCCCTGGGCTGCTATTCCAAGGCCATTTTTGTCTTTGAGAAGCCGTGGTGGCGCGAAGCTGGCTTCAGTGGTATCATAGAGTGCGAGACAGGGCCAATTTATTTTTCGAGGGATACATGCTCGGTAGAGGACGGACAATACAGCATTACTTGCTTCGTCGTCGGCGATAGAGGCAGAGAATGGTCCAAGTGGTCACTCACAGAGCGACGGAGGATCGTGTCAGAGCAGTTCAAAGGAGTGTTTAGTGCCGTGGGCGTCAAATCTCCCGAACCAGTCAACATCATCATCCAGGAATGGATAAAGCAGCCCTGGATATGGGGTGCGCCATCACCAGTGATGATGCCAGGGACGATGACGAATGACAGCGGGAAAGCACTGCGAGAGGCGGTAGGGAATATTCATTTCGTGGGAACTGAAACTTCCTTGCTGTGGAAGGGTTACATGGAGGGTGCGGTGCGTTCTGGAAAAAGAGGCGCTGATGAGATTATCAAGGTTTTTAAGGTTGAAAGCCAGTCCCGTGGGCGTTGAAGCTTAGAGTCTGTGCAGCGTTTAAACACACCCGTTATTCCTTGGCAATTGTCGTTTATCAATTTCTTACGAGTCAACAACATCAGTGTGTAGATGCTGTGTAGTGTAGCCGAAGTAGCAATGGAGCTTAGGATCGCAAATAGGATACTAACGTTAGCTGAGATTACAACATGATCTCGCAATAATTACTCAGGAAATAGAACACTGTTATTTCGGACTAAGTTTTAACTTTTGACCGCGTCAATCTTGAGTTTGACGGGTTGACCTAGGTGCGGATCAAAGATCTCCAGGGTAATGAAGTTTATGTTGGCGGGGCACCTGTGGAACTGTATGTTCAGCGGTCAATGCCTTAAATCTAGGGAGTTACCGCTAGTCCCCGCCCAATCGCGATGGACAAAAGCAGGGTAGGGCATGGCATTGAATTTATGCCTGTTTGACCGCTGTTGTTTCTTGTTTCTTGGACAACCAAGCTTATTTATGGGTTTATTTTTAGATAAGGATGTACTGTATAAGGAAGTAGGTGAAATTATTGTGTAATTACTCAGCTTGAGAGGTAGAGTACTGGGGAATTGTGAATCTGGGTGAAACATCAAATCGTCTGTTGTTCATTGTCTCATGTTTTTTCTTTCTGTTGATCAGTGTTGAATGCAACACCAATCTGTGCACGATCTTACTGTAGGGGCCTTACTCTGTACCTAGCGTGTGGATTAACGCCTGGGCAAGGTGGTGTAGGTACAGGTGTGTTTCCTTGGGCCCCACATTCGCTTGGGTTCCCGCTCCCGACCTCTGTTGCTTGTTGCTTGTTGCTTGTTGCTTGTTGCTTGTTGCTTGTTGATATCTCCGACTGCTGTACGGTCCCAGCTCCAACAAAACGTCACTTCCTCACCCCCCCACGAAACCAAAACCGAGTCGACTGCCCGCATGCGCGAATCTGAGTGTCCGTGACGAGGGAGGAGGCGACTCGTTCAAAACCAAAAAAGAGTCTCGTCTCTCGGGCCAACAAACCGTACCGTAGAGGACTTGGGCGCCCGCTAAGCTCCCATCGCCTCTCGTCGAATCGCTCTCCGGCTGCGGCCCAACTTGGAGACCGCCGTCAACAACGGGAACGGCAGCAGCAGCAACGTCAACGCACCTCTCGTTCTTGATCTGCGCCCCCTTCATACGACGCCATGGCTCGCGTTACAGATGAGTTGGTGCTGTCGGCTGACAGCGTCGCTCTATACCACGCCACCGATCCTCTACTCGGCCATCTTCCTCTGCTGCTTTTCCATGGACCCTCGACCACCGCAAACTACACCCTGAACAGCTCTCGAGTCCAAGTCCACGTCTTCACTCCCGCTGGCTTTCAGAGCTTCCCTCGAATCACAATCTCGCCCAACTCTCCATTCTACAGCGTCGTCCACCACCTACCCCGCGAGTTTCAGGGAGACGAGGTCTACCGCGCTCTAGCCTTTGGCCTATTCAAGTACTTCACAGAACTGCCCGATTGTGTGAAACTACACCTCAAGAACCTATATCCCACACGTGGACGACGTCCTGGTAGCGCACCTACCTTGTTCAGTGAGCAACATGCTGCTGAGATTGTCAAGGACATGGTCCAGAGCGACCATACCGCTGATATCATCGAAACCCTAAAAGACGCTCTACAAACACAACACATCAGTCATGTCGATGTTGACTTTGTTCTACCCCCAGGTGCTATTGTCCCGTTACAACTGGAGGACCTCGAAGACGTGCCCGACGACGAAGATGATATTCTGGATCCGACCTTGCGCCAGTACGGAGGATACACACCTTTAATAAAACTTTTTGGAGAGCCAGTATTCTTGCCTACTAGCCGTTTGCGAAGAGCACCCTCCAAACCAACCGCATTGAATCGGAGCAAGTCATTCTTGAATCATCAGAAAGCGGAGTTGCGCATGAAGTTGACGGAATTGGTGGAGACCGAAGAGCGTTATGTGGGCAAGGTGAGAGAGCTGGTGAACCACGTTGCTGCCGACTTCCGGGAGAGTGCTCAGGCACGAGCCCCCGGCAGTCTAAGTCCTTCCGAGGAAGAGCTAGAGAAACTCTTCCCCAGTTCGGCAGACGGCATCCTGCAAGTCAATTCTGCCTTTATGGAGGAGATGCGGAGGATCATGGACGATTCTGAAGAAGAGGCGCTGCGGGACATGGAGACGCCCTCAATGGGGTTTACAGGTTCCAAGATCGGCAGAACAAAAGACCCAAGTGGTGCATTGGCTATCGCTAGGTTATTCCTAGAATGGTTTCCCAAGTTCACTGAGTGTTATCAGGATTACATCAAAGCCAGCCAGCACTTTCCAACACTACTCAACTCTTTTCTAGATCAACAATCAAGTTTCAGGCAAAGAGTGGCTCAGACCGGCGAGCAGGCGATTCGCTCCATTCTTATTGAGCCTGTTCAAAGACTTCCTCGCTACAGCTTACTTATAGACCAGATCGTGGGTTGCATTCCTATGACACATCCCGCTTTACAACCCATGTTAAAAGCCCGAGACATCATTACGAACATCTGCTCAATGGACGATCCCCTACCCAATAAGCCTCATGTCGCCAATCGACTTCGAAATATGGTTGAAGCTTGGCCCCTGAACCTTGAACCGCAAGGACGTCTTATTGCAGCAGCAGATTTCACAGAATTGGCACCACCCTTTCAGCCACTGCTCAACCAGTCGGATAGGTCCGGCATGTTCCTCCTGTTCTCAGACTGTGTGGTTATCATCAAGAGGATGAGTGGGAACATGACCGGGCGAGATCTACTACGCGAAATCGAGAAGCCTTCGGCAGCCGGCTTGCTCATCTCGATGACCCATGCAGCAGGTGGTCCAGCAGCATACGAATTTGTTTTCACAGGTTGGCATGATATGGCCGATATTCGATTCACAGAATCAAGAGACGGCACGCTCTTCTGGATGACATCCACAGCAGAGATGAGAGGGGCTCATCCTGGCGAGCATAGGATTAGTAAAGCGGTCACCTCCCGATGCTTTCTTTTGCAAGAGATGTACGAATCCAGAGCAGCCAAGTGGGGAGAGGATGTGGTAAAGGCAAGAATCGAGGCTCGATTCTCAGAAAAGGAGCGAGAGGACCCCTCCTGGACTCTACGAACAGCGCGCATGCCAGATAGTAGTCTGGGACTTCACGCAGCTATCTTCCAGGAGGGCGCCGACCAATTGATTGAGGGTCGCAAGGAGCCTGCCCCAATTCGAGTGGTTGTTGACCATGACAGGGGCACTAAAGGAGCACCTGTAGGCCATTACGGTGTTGAAATTGTCGTGAACGTTACGACCAATGATATGAAACGGGTGTCGATGCTCACAGTTGGGCTAAACGGGAAGCAGTTCCAGGATGATGTTGCCCTGGAAGACTTCCTTCCTACAATGTCTCGACGAGGTAAGCATTACAAACAAGTTCGTGAACTCTGAGACTGACTAGGCGTAGTGATACAACTTTTGAGCTACCAGCACTGCATTTCCAACTTATTATTGACGGCACCTCTTGTTTCTTACTACTCCAAGACGTTGCATGGTCTTCTACTAAACACACGAGCAGAGAAGACCAAGTCGTTCTTGGGTTCATCCCCCGTGAAGCTGCTTTCCAGTTTCTGGGGTGGCAGCTCCGTTCATATTTCAGATACAGCGAGCATAGGCTCAAAACATAAACAGGTACCTTCCATCCATCGAAACAACAGTCAAGCATCTGTTGTTAGCTCAATAAAGGGAGGCAAAGATAGCGTTTCTCAAGAGGAAACCCGTACCGACAACCCTTTGGTGCGTTTGGAGCAGACATTTGCGAGTTATGTCGCTGCTCTTCAGTCTCGCAAGGGTCTTATCATTGGCCGTACATTGCTTCAACGATCTGTCGTCGATGAACTGTCGGTCAACGAACTTTACAACAGGCTCATTGAAAGCCCGTTTGACTTTGATGCAACTTCTGATCTGGGCACGGAAGTCATTTTCGTGGCCTTTGAAAAGTTCTTGCGAATCGCTTGGACGGACCAAATAAGTCCAGTTATGTCAATGCACTCTCTTGATACTCTTCAGGCTCGCGTCAACAAGAGAGTGCCTGGCGACTTTGCGGATTTTGTTAACTTCTTATTTGGTGACATGGCACCACAGAATCGCCGTGCTTTCACTGCGCTCATCAAACTACTCGCAGAGCTTTTGGATGGGTGCGGCAACGATGGTGATAGAGGAGCGCTGACACTTGCTTTTGCGGAACTACTCGTCTATGACGGAACAGCACCGAATTATATTAACCTACTCGATCGTCTTGTAGAAGACTGCGAACGGATTTTTGAAGAGCCCAGCTTGAACCACAGCTTCGGCCTAGACAACTCAACTTATGATACGATTAACTCGGCAATCCGTGGCAAGGGATACGCGCCTTCAGTCGCCTCTAATACGTCCTCGCTGCGCCGCAAGTTTGGTTTCGACACCTTGCTGCGGCAAAATAGCAAGGACGAGCGCGCATCAGTATGGCGACAGCTCGGTAGGCATCGCAATCCCGCTACCGGCGAAGCAAATAGCTTATCCAAGGCATCACTAGGTCGATCAAGGTCCATCGACGACAACACGTTACCCCGAAAGCTAGCACGGCGCCCAGGCTCCAAGGATCGTCCGCCCATAGCAGGGGCGTTCGATGAAGTGCAGAGGCCTGGCAGCTCCCACAGATTACTGGAAACGATCGGAGAGCCGGAAACGGAGCGACAACCAGTCCCACGATCGCCCAGAAGAAGGAAACGCCGCAGTTCGTTATCAGACCTCAAGGGTCTCATGGAAGCGACCACACTCGATGACGACGACTCACCACAGCCACTTCAAGATGCAAAGCAAACTTCGGAAAAGGTAAATGCGAGCCCCACGGCGACAACCCCGTCTAGAATACCTATTAGTCCCGGCGTGGCCCAGACGATGCGAATATCAAGGCAGAAAGAAAATGTCTTAGATTCACTACTGCCAAGTCCTCTAGAGCCATCCGATGAACCGCCCCGGCGCCCTTCGCCCATGAAAGGTCACAGACATTCTAAGACCCTATCATCTACCAACATTCCAACATTGCGCCCGTACCGTTCAGCACCTCAAGGCTCTGAGTCACCCCCTCGCCCGAGCTCAAGTCCAGCCCGACGTGCAACCCAGAAGCTCCGTCTACAATCACCACAAAAGCTTCGAGAACGACTCAACACGGAGAAGCAGGCTGTCGACGAGGTGGATATATCTCTCAAGTCCGAATTGTCCAAGATTGGCGAAGAAATGGCGCGCCTCAATAGTGTACGGCCTCCAGGCTCGCAGTCCGTCGACATGCGGCGAATGAGTGCTGCTGTTCGGCAGCTAGAAGACCGCATCCCTATTGCTATTCAGGAGATACAAGAAAAGCACGACGAGATCCAGAACGACATGGAAACCACGGTGAAGGCAGCCGAGGCCAAGGTGCGAGCGATTGATCAACTATACAAGGAGGCCGTGGCAGAGAATGAGCTGCTATACGAGAAGTTCAACGGAGAGCTGGGCAAGATCGTCAAGGCTCTCAAGGGCAAAGGCAAAGACGAAAAGGAAGAACTCATGGCACGGTTGCGGGATCAAAGCGACGAAACAGCGCGGGTGAAGAAGGAAAACGCGCGATTGAAACGTGAGATGGTGAGTCTGCGCGCGGCGTTGAAGGGGACGACGGAGTAGGCGATGCTGTCCTCTGGGAGGCTGGCTGGAAGGCTGTTTGGGCGTTTGAAAACATTTTTGATGGTAATGAGTCGAGGGATATATCATGTTTTGACGGCCGGGCTGTACATCACGCGGCGGACTCTAGGCTTTGTCGGAGTAGGGAGTAGGAGGGTTTGGCACGGACTGGCCCGGGGCTGGGAACAAGGTCCAGGTCAATGGATTGATGTCATATTAGACAAGATGAATTGAAGGTTATGAAGTGTCATGATGACGATAATCTATCTATCTTTGCAAATCAGGTATCATGTGTATGAATGCTTTGTGAGGTCGTTATGAGTCGCCTTGCTCGATCCAGCATTCAAAGAACAAAGGTCCAGCTTGGACAGAGCGAATTGGGGTTGTGTTTTGGCCGCCAAGAGACGAACCTTGATTTAAAGAGGTATCAGTGGGTGGTTGAAGATTGGGTGGCGAAGGGATCCAATGTTGCGGATGCTAAAATCAGTCAGCATATCATGAAGGCTCTTGTGATGAATTATAGACTTACACCTATGGGCGCTGATGCTTCATCGCGAAGCTCAACACCAAGCGTAAAAGTGCTCCCTTCAGGCAAAGCAGGCATCATCTCAGCCGCATGCGCAACACGACGCAGCGCCCCCCTAAACGCCTCATTGACATCCGTCCAATTGACACCGTCCTCCTCCTCGGCACCCTCCACCACAGCGGGATTATACGTTGCCTCTTCTCTATCGCCCCACCCAGCAGGGAAAGTCTCAACGTCAAAGACCCAGCGCTCCAGCACATTGAACGTCTTTGCAGCATGCATCACAACCGCTATACGGCGCACGGCACCTTTACGAAGCTGAGCCGCCACAGCGGAGACAGCATCGTTAATCCACGTGCAGAGGCCGGGATGGCGGGACTGGTGGACGGGGAGGTTCAGGGCGCGTGCGGTGAGGAAGGTCGTTGGCGGGTAAAGACCACGGTGGTAGAGAAGGGTGTGGAATGTGAGTGTGAGGAATGTTGTGAAGGAGGAGAGGAGGTGGGATGCTTGGGATGCGGGGACTGAGGGGCCTGCATCCATGGTGAAGTGAGGTGAGGGTCGGAAAGGAGTGGCGATGTTGAAAGATTGGTGGTTTAGGAGACGTGGTGTGACGCGTTGAGTGGAACGCGATATCACGTGAGGGTAGTCATGAGATTGAAATTATGCAGCTGCCTAAGGTACTAATGTAATGGTGAGAGATACCTAATATGAGGATGGATGCCTATTATACTGTCATCATGATACCCAACAGACGCCTTATCTACCAAGCTTGGTCGCACAGGAGTAAGACGTGCATGCGTGTATTCTGCAATAGTCGTTCACTGCCTGCTTACAGCCCACATCGCATTGCATCACTCTATACCAAGACCAGTTGGTCGTTTCGGTTGCTCTCATTATAATTATCCTTCCTACGGGTGAAAGTATATTTTTGGCTTATGAATTACATCATACCAGTAAAAAAAACCCTTGTTGGGCTCTGACAGGTCATCTTCAGGCCCGTTTGACTTACAAGGCCCCTGCCTGGTACCTAAGCAGACCCAAGCTTCACTGCCCCACGATACCTAAAGGATCCACATATAGGGCTGAGAGGCAACTACTTCATGACGCAACTTCCAAACCTCAACTCTAACTAGGTACTTGTAACCTTCATCTTCTCCACTACCTCTTTACCTGGACTATCGATCGACTAACCATATATCCACTCACTCGTCAACTTCATCATAAACTCGCCATCAAAATCATCACAGCTCACAATGTATGAGCCTCTCAGTGTCGCCGCCATTCTTGGCGGCATGGCAGATGCACTGCCTACGCATTCCCCCAGCGACGACTCCTCTGACCTCGCATCCTCGTACGAAGTCATCGCTCTTCTCATCCACTCATATCTTTCCGCCATCGGATTCAAGCTCCAGGGCTTTGACGAGGACAAGAAAATACGTAAGCTTCCCTTCCACCACGATACTTATGATGTATCTCACACCAAAGTAATAGCCGAATGTGAATCTCTGGCCCCTCGTCTGCCATCACAATGGAACTCAGGTTTCGGCTCTTACAGTTTTGTCTACTCACACAAGCAATCCGCCATGAGCTTCAGCATCCGCGTTGATCGCATGGGTAAGAAGGTCGAAGTCCGAGGACTGGCTGTTGGAGATGACAATATTCGTCGCTTTGAACGTTCTATTAGCGAAGTTGTGGATTCTAAGAAGCTCCCTATTCGCATCACAATCAAGGATGATCAGGAAGACCGATCCGATCTTGTCGACAAGCTCCGCGGTGTATTTACCTCTGAGCAAGCCATCGCTGGTACGTCTTTTTTATCTCGAAAATTGTCTTTGTCTCAGTATCATAAGCTAACCAAGCATCCCAGATATACTTCATGACCTTAAAGTCAACATTGTTCAGAAACTGATTCCCAAGCTTCAAAGCGACGGTTATATTGAGACAGCTGAAGCAGAAGCTAACGCACGTTCCGAGCGCCGCGATCAAGAAGCACAGAACCCTCATCGACCCTTTCGCGGCGATCCCGTGCCGAACCCTAATATGCCTTTATCCCCAGCAAACCCACTCCCAGAGATGGCTCGTCCTCGGCCTCATCCAGTAGGTGACTTCCCTCCTCCAGGCTTTGAAGATGAATACGAAATGAACCGTCCCCCACGAGACCTTCGAATGCCTGGCAGGTCGCCTTACAGCATCGGCCATGATGACCTGCATCCACCTGGTCTGGGCCCGCACGATCCTCTCCGCGGCTCGTTCATCGGTGGGGGGTTACCTCGGCCAGGTGGTGGTTCAGGTATGCATCCCACGTTCGATGATCCCTTGTTTGGAGGTCAAGGAGGCAATGGACAACCTGGTTTCGATCCGCAAGCACCACCTGGAGCACGATGGGATCCCACTGGCCCTGGCGGCAACCCCAGATTCCCTGGCCCTGGCAGTGGAAGGGGAAATAACCCTTTTGGTGGGGGCTTCAGTGGAGGTTTTGGAGGTTATGGCGGAGACATCATCTAATCAAGTCTGATGGACTCCCATTGGGCGTGGCTATGTAGCAGTCAGTTGTACAATCAGACACCAGTAATATACACACGCTATCATGAACACAATGGCAGGTTCATCTCTTATCACCAAATTCGCTCCGTAATTGACTCTCATTGTGACCTATCTCACGGTCCCTAAAGCGCGGCTATAGAAACAGGCCATCCGCATACTCTTCTAATTCTATCAACATTTCATTTCCTATCATCATAAAGCAGGCTTATCTGCCGCCCGTCATTCCAGTCTTGTCCCAAAGGATTCTATCTACCATTGTGCACATAGCGGGCCCTGTCCTCCATTTTTACCTTGCTAGACATCGATTGTGCTTTTGCGACCCCCTTACCGACCCGAACCAGGCTTAACAAGACATATAATCATATTTCCCTTTCATATCTACTGTCCCGCCGCAACCTCGTTGAGCTTCGTCTTCTCTTCTTCTGTCAACATGTTATACCACTCCTGGAAGTTGGCAATGTTCTCCCGGCCACAGCGGAAGAAGAAGTCTGTCAGGTAAGCTTGGGTCTCGTCGTCTCGCTGGCGCTGGCCGCCTTCCATGAAGGACATCAGGTCAGACTTGGTGGTTCCTAGGCTCAGGTCAAGAGTATCATCATCATCCTCCCAGCCCTCCTCGTCGTTCTCGTCATCGAAGCTAGCAGAGGCCACAGCAGCTGCTGCCGCATTTGCAGCAGCCCTTTGGCCAGACGCAGACAGGAGCTCTTCAATAAGAACCTTGATGATCTTAAGAGAAGCGGGAATAACGGTATACTGGTCGGGGTCTGATGTGAGGTTGGGTTGATTAGTGTCTTGAGCTGCGATATATTGGGCGTGGAAGGTGTTAAGAATGGAGTCGGTGGTTGAAGAGTCGTGAATGGCTGGATACATACTCTGCTTCGCTCGTGAGCGTGTCTTGATCAGGCCATCGTCGTTGCTGACAATTAAGTCACCCTTGACTTGTGTTTGAGCGAGGCGGGGATCGTTGAGTGAGTACAGCTTCGAAAGAGCAATCACACTGGACATGTCAGTAAATACCACGACAATGAACCATATTGACATACTTCTGGCGGATCTCGTCATATCCAGCAAAGTTGACCGAGTTCTCCAGCCACTTGGCGAGGACAACCTGTAAACCACTCTCGCCGTTGATCTGAATCTGGCTCAGGAACTCAACAACGTCCTGAGCACCAGAGAGTGTGAGACGGGCAAAGACAAGAATAAGGGATTGGATAAAGGCCGCGGCTTGGGCGGAAGCGAGTCGGTTAGCGACAGCTTGGAGAAGCTGGGGTAGGAAAGGACCAAGACGCTCCTGGCCAGCCTTCTCAACGAGCTCAGCAGCCAAGCCACCAACCTCAGAGGCCGAGTTGTCCTCAATAGAAGGACCCAGAAGTCGGTCGATGATGTGGAGACAGACTTCCAGACCGGAACGGCCACTGGCATCTTGCCAGGCGAGAACCTGCTGGTGGTCGTGCTGGAGCATCCACTTGACAACCTCGGATCCTGGTCGTAGAACCTCACCCTCAGTAGATTCCATCAGGAGGCGGTTCAATTTGGGCAAAGCAGCTGCAACAAAGCCTGCGGGCAGTGGCTCAGGACCGTTCTCGGCCAAGACAGCCAGCAGCTCAGTGGCAACCTGAGGGGCTTTAGCTTAGCTCTAACAAGTTTTCACAAAGTAACTTACAGTGACCAGAGGGTTATCCTCAGTGAGATTTGCGACGTCAAAAGCACCAGTAAGAGTGGGCAGAAGTTTTCCGCAGAGAGCAGTGTAAGACTCGGTGTCTGAAAGAGCAGCAACAATCTCCTCGAAGGCTTCGGAAATCAACATTGTGACTTGGAAGTTGCTTGCACCAAGCTTGGCCAGCAAGAACAGCAGATCAACGGACTGGACATCATTGGAGAGAGCGATACGCGTGTCTATTGTGATGGCGGCGCGAAGAGATTCAGCAAGCGTGACGAGAAGTTCGTCTGCATCTTCCATATCACTCGGGTCTTTGCCGTTCATGTAGCTTTGAATGGCGTTGATGATGGCAACCTGCCTATCCTGCGATACGCAGCCAGCATTAATCAAGCCCTCGATAGCCTTAATACAGGCAACCTGGACCACCTCAGACTCTTCTTGAGTGATGGATGTGATGATACGGTCCAGCAACTCAACAGGGGTCTGGAAAGAGCGGCAAAGGACGCCAGCCACCAGGTAGCCTCTGGCGCGGAGTAAAGGTTCATCAGGTCGGTTGATAGCGTAATCGACCAGCGCAAGATAAGCATGGGCGACAGCGTCGGGAATGGGCTTAGACATGTCCTGAAAGTCGCTAACCAACATGACAAAGAGGTAAAGTGCGGCTTCCTGGTTGCGCCAGTTGGAACCCTTGCTACCGAAGAGAGGTTGCGTTTGACCAAATAGGCCATCAATCGTCTTTTGGTCGAACCATTCACCCATCTTGATCAACAGGTCGCCAGCAGCAGTTCGTGCAGTGTAGTTGGCGGTCACGGAAGTCTCCTCGGCAAGATACAGGGAACAATCAATATCCCACAGTTCTTCCTCTTCCCGAGTGACCCGCGAGTAGCCAATGAGCATGTTCATGATCTCTTTCATCCAAGGCACGTCTTGAGCAGATGGGGAAGCATTGAGGTGACCGTCCAGCTCAGCCTGGACGGGTGGCGCCCTAAAACACTGGTTCAGGAAGTCTAACTCCTCAAGGATAAGGAAGTCCAAGGTGTATGGGAGATTGTCCGAATCCTCAAGACGTCCTTGGGTGTCCTGCTTGATATAAAGCTGCTCGTGGGAACCTTGCAAAGTGGAAAGCTCCTCCCAGACTGCACTGAAGAAGATGGTACTTTGAGGGAGCAGCAGGTTGGGGAAGCTGCGTCTGATTCTAAGGAGCGTCTTGACGACCTGAAGCTTGAGTGCGATAATGTTGCTCCAGGATTCGGGCTGAGTACCACTCTCTAGGTTGGCCTCGGGGAGTGAGCTCTTCAGCACGGTAATGAAGAAAGGGTTCCATTGTTGCAGAAGGCCATCCGCAAAGGCGCGAACCTCCTTAGCGTGGTCCTCCTTGATCATGTTCAAGAGGTCGAAGCATCCCCGGAAAATAGAAATAGCAAGTGCTCGGTGCATCGGTTTTCGATTCTCGTTGAGGGCGACTTCGGCCAGGGCCTTGGTGATATCTTGAACCATGGAGAAGAACTGATCCTCGCTCAAGCTCTCTTCGATTATATCGCTAAGCAGCCTCAAGGCGCCATGAAGCTGGGCATCGGTTCCAGCTGGGACGACGGAAAGGATCGTAGGAAGCAGGGTTGGCCATTGGTCGGGGAAGTCGTGGACAGCGATTTTTCCAACAGCATAACTGGCAGAGATCTTGACTTTACGGTCACTATCCTGGCTCAAAACAAGGTCGAGCAGGACCTGCTTGAGCTGGCCCCTGGCCTCGTCGGAGATAGGGATCTGAGGCTCATCGTCAACCTCGTCGTTACTCCAGTTGTTTTCGATGAAAAGTCGCAGGTTGGTAAGGGCAGCCTGACGAATGTTTGTCTCAATCGAGGTGTGTGCGGCGATGTTGGCGAGAGACAGGGGAAAGGCGGGATTCGTTCGTGCGCGCTTGAGCTCGATTTCGGCCTGCTGCCTAGGGCCTTGGTCTGGCAGCTGCGTGTTGGACAAGAGCTGCACCAACTGGTCCTCCATGATTACAGATCAAGGACTTGGTAAATAAGGGGTTCGATTAGATGAAAAAAGCTGAGGTTGGCGGGGAGGAAAGAAGCGGAATTGGTGATGATGGTGGGGTACAAACAAAAAGCGGGCCTTCAACTTAAGCAAGGATGAAGACGTCCTTGGATCCAATACTGCCTACTAAGGTAAGTATTCAGACGCATTTAGAAGACATGATCTATCAACTGAACGCGTATGGGTTGTGTTTATCGACAATATGTGTTCCTTCGAGCGTACTAGTCTAAGCAAGCATTTTTCTCTCTCTTTCTCATCAACTCTGATATATTCTCGGACCGCGGGGCAACAGCTCTATTCACGTGCTGTCCACTTGTTTTCTTTGGACCCTGCTTTCCTACACTCAACTGCCGCCTTGGCTATCAAACCATGGGATTAGCAGAGTCTCGGAATTTTAGCAAGCGGTGGTTTGAAGGCCTGTTTATGAACGATATACATTCCATCGGATGATATATCTAAAAATGGCCCATTCTTTTTAGCGCCTTTGTAACGACGTTGATTTGCAGTGACCTCATAGTTGTATGATGTAGGGTAAATGGGTAGCCAACAGGATACACTTTGGCTTCATAGCAAGATAATTTTCTCAATCTATCTTTCTCGACTTCACAGGGTATACTACTATGTAGCATGGTCCGTTCTACGTATCTATCTGCCCATTAACTATTGCTACTACCTTTCTAAAAGCTATAACGGTATCCCGTAAAAGCCTACTGGTATGCTCGATGTGCCGAATATTATTGCTTACCCTAAAGTGAAGTTAAATATTTGTGGCTTAATTAATTTCATTGTGATTCAAACTTGATGTGTTGCACGACATAACAAGAAGACATCCATATCCTGGGTCACGTCAAACAAAATACAATTAAATATGCTGAACTGCAGGATTGAGATCATAATTATCTAAGCATAAGAATGGTAAGGCTGAAAATGGTAGTTGATGCCTTGACCACGGGAGCATTTAATTGTCATCAGAAATACAAGACGGACACATACTATTATGTCCCGAACTCGGAATCCAGATTGTATATTGCCAACAAAAAAAAAAAACCAGAATCGTACGAGGTAAGCGGGCCGATATAACTCGACATAGGACCAATGCCATTTCTGCTAATACTGGGACGATGTGAGTGTAGCTGGAGCTCGGTAATAAAATTGTCGATTTATCAAGTAATACATAACAATCTTGCACTCATCATAAGGGACTTGTACTTGATATGTAGAGGCCAATCAATGAGATGTTCAATCACACTATGAATGGACCATAGGCTTCTTCGAAATGGTCTTGATGCCACGATGTCTCGGTCTTACTCGGGATTTCAAGCTGCATCGGTATGACTTCTGCATTCGCTTAAAGTCATGTCGGTCGAGAATAGGGATATTGTGACACATTATTGAATTACATTAGAGTATGAGCCTGTGTTTTGAAGGCGGTTCGTGCGTTTGCGGCAAAGTCGTTGGAGAAACAACGGTAGATACGGCAAACCTTACATGAGGCTAACAGCGCGTTATCACGAGCTGATGAAACGTGTCAGGAATTGGAATGCCGATAATCAATGTGTAAAATCTAGATTGAATGGGACTCATAAGTGATCAGGCGATAGAGTTTCGGGTGAAGCCCGAAACAACCTAAGCTGTTGACAACAAGATGGCATTTTAGTGACTACCAAGAGTGAGGTTGATGATAGCCCTGATAGGGCAGATAGCTGCAGGTTTGAAAAAATTGGTTATAAGAAGAGAAGGGTGACTCGATGAGATCGAGTAATAAGTTTATCCTGCAGATCAAGGCTAAGCTCAGTTTGGGCGGGTGCGCCAGTACCGATATCTAAGTTGCATCGTCGTAGTGACAAGGAAGACATTGTTGACCAATGGCCAAGCTTCGTTTATACCCGCCCCGGGGTAATGGCCCCACCATAGCATGGCTCTTGCTCTGATAGTGAGTGGCTTGAGGCATCTGCAGAGCATCTCCGGGACTAAGCGTCCAGAAACGAACCACCTCAGTTGGAGCAGGCACGCAGGTTGATCTGCAATGCACCTTCTGCGCGTCCATTACAGAAAAAAAGGGCAGTAGGATCCGTTCTTTTTGGGTGTTTCTTTCCCAAACGTAAGCGATATCGGGGGATCAATCTTACGTCTACGTCAACGCGAGCCAAATCCTCTTGAGTAGCTACTCATGCTAAGCTTTGCTCCATGGATTTACGCATTCGAGGTCTCAAATGTGGGGGCAGCACCCACTGAGAGACGACTTGGACCTTGGCTTTTCGGGCCCTTGTCCCTCGAATCATCACTCCGCATCGCCCTATCCGACGCTGAAGTGCATATGGTACGTACGTACCTTGTACTTTGTGCAGATACCTGGGTACTGCATTGGCTGACGCTTCATCTTTACAATTGCTGACTGGCTTCCCTGGGAAGATCGAGATGTTCCTCGAATGGCCATGATCCAACAAGACAGCAACTCTTTTGCTCGTGTGCTCAAACAAACAACAATACAACTACCGGAACCGCAAGCCGCTCCTCTTAAACTCGACCAACCACGGTTGGTGTGGCCGGCGGCGAGGGTCCTGACATGGGTACTCCGTACTACCACCATGGGATGGCGCATGGTTCTTACCGGCTAGCTATCTACAACGGCTGGGTCTGGGGATGGCGATCATACTGATAGTGGCTGCTGATAACCTTGGAGCAAAGATGGGGTCCTTGTCTTGGTCTTGGTCCATTGCGCTCAACCCACCAAATCCTCAAACCATAAATACCGACCGTCGCCCTCTACAACCAGACCTTCTAAGACAAGGACTTGATGGAGAAGATCTAGCCGGTTCCCTCTCATCGACAGGCAAAACTATCAGCCATCATATCATATCTTTTTTCATCTTTCGTGTCATTACATTTACCAGCCTTACTTGGTGTCACATCTGCATTGCACGTCATACCCTTTCGTCAATAAGACCTATCACAATATTCCAAGCATACCTTGCTTTGAGTTTCTCTTAGATCTTGTGTCGAACTTTCTTCACATTTGTTCTGTTGCTTTCGCCCTCCTCCGACTCTGTAACATACCGAAATCATGGAGACCAGATCCCGATTCAAAGTTTGGGCCGATAAAACCGCCGTTGAAAGTGAACCTGGCTTGACAAGCACTCAGCTTATGGTACGAGAGCCTTGCAACTCTATCGGTTCCCCGCCGACCCGCACAATGCAGTGCGATCAACGAAACCTAGTTTTACTGAGACCTTTCACAGCTTACGAACCATGATCTTAAACCCGTCGAGAAGGAGCGCCGACAATGGGGCGCATGGAACTTTGTTGGCTTCTGGATCGCTGATTCATTCAACATCAACACTTGGATGATTTCGTCGTCTATGATTGTCAACGGTCTTTCATGGTGGCAAGCCTGGATTTGTGTTTGGATCGGCTACAGCATCACAGGTATCTTTGTTGCGATCAATGCGCGCTTTGGTGCCATGTACCACATTGGTTTCCCCGTTGCCAACAGAACCTCCTTTGGTATCTGGGGTAGTTTGTGGCCAGTCCTGAATCGTGCTGCTATGGGTATGTTCTGGGCCTTTCATACCTGACGCAATGCATTGCTAACACTCTCGGCAGCCTGTGTCTGGTACGGTGTTCAAGCTTACATTGGCGGAACTTGCGTCTATCTCATGATCCGAACTATCTGGAAATCATGGTCCGACATCCCAAACTCGTTCAGCGAGGACTCTGGAACGGATACCGCGCATTTCGTTTCGTTCTTCATCTTTTGGCTGTGCTCACTCCCAGCCCTCTGGTTCCCAGTCCACAAGGTCCGACATTTGTTCACTGTCAAGGCGTACGTTGTTCCTGTAGCTGGAATTACTTTCCTTGCTTGGACTATCTCGCGTGCTGGTGGAATTGGTCCCATTGTTAAGTCAGGCAACAAGATTCATGGCAGCGATCTGGCATGGGAAATTGTCAAAGGCATCATGTCGTCAATTTCCAACTTTGCGACGCTCATTGTCAACGCCAGTGACTTTTCGCGATTTGCCGCAAAGCCTAGAGATGCACTTTGGTCACAGGTGATTACGATTCCATTCGGTTTCGCCATCACTTCATTCATCGGCATCATGGTCTCATCCGCGTCAACGGTGCTATACGATGAAGCTATCTGGAGCCCCCTTGACTTGCTCGACAAGTTCATCGATGATGGAAGCTCTGCTGAGCGCTTTGGTGTCTTCTTCATTGCTTCTGCTTTCGCCCTTGCCCAGCTCGGCACCAATATCGCCGCCAACAGTGTGAGCGCGGGTACCGATTTGACAGCTCTTCTCCCTCGCTGGATCAATATTCGACGAGGAAGTTACATGTGTGCCGTTGTCGGTCTTGCTATTTGCCCCTGGCAACTTCTGAAGGACAGCAACCAGTTCACAACTTACCTCTCAGCCTACAGCGTCTTCCTCAGCTCTATCGCTGGTGTCATGGTGTCCGACTACTACTTCGTCCGCAAGGGATATATCGATACCAAAGAACTTTACGACGCTCGCAAAGAGGGCCCATACTATTTTACCGGCGGTTTTAACTGGCGTGGATATGCTGCTTACATTGCTGGAATTGTCATCAACGTGGTTGGCTTCGCTGACGCCGTTGGCGCAAAGAACGTCCCTCAGGGTGCCGTTTATGTTTACCAACTCAACTACTTCTGTGGTTTCATCGTTTCATCGCTTATGTACTGGACTCTGTGCAAGATCTCGCCTGTCCCTGCTACTAGCGATCGTTGGATGGAAGTTGGCGAAGAGATTGATGACATCCGACTGGCTTACAATTCGCGAACACCATCTTACGACGAAGAGCATGCAGCAGGCGGGGCACCCAAGGCGGTCGACGAGACAAAACATTTCTGATTCCAAGCGAGTAAAAATAATATTTATTATTTGGTAGATTTTTGGTCGTGATGAATATTCTCGAGCTTGGAGAGACCCAGTTGTTTCCTGGGTAATGAATAAATGAACGCATTGTTTTCTGGATCCACTATCCTCAATTTCTTGCTGTAACGTTTTCCCTCGAGATGAAGTGACCCATGAAAAGTGTCTTGGCAGTTTGTGTTGAACAGTCTTTCATGCCAATTTTCAATACTGCTCTCCGCTGTCAATTACGATCTAGGCGGCAGTTTTGGGTATGACTCTTTCTATATTAACTCTGCGTACTTATATAGGTACCTAACTTGCCTGCTTCGAAAGTTTAGACAAAATAACGGAATAAGTTGCACATCTAATGGAAAGAAATATCCCCAGCCCTGTTGGAGCGGTAAAGCGTATTTCAGGGTCATAATCTATCCGGCATATACAAAATCAACAGCGTTAATAAGAATAATGAGGAACTTGGAATGATGGAAACCATATCATGAAGCACCGAGTGAGGTTTGGCAGCTCTTGAAACAACGATAGGCACCTCCAACCCATCCCAAGAAGCCATGGGGCTGCTTTATCTTGGTGCTGATAGGTAATACACGGTCCTGTCACCCAAGGCTTCGAATGAGTGACTCGATCTTTGCTATTAGGTAGTGTTTGATATGAATCGATGGGAATTTAAGGACTTCTGAGTCTAATGGACCTCTTTGGATGCTGGTGTTAGTGGGACTCGGCTCCGTGGTGGCCATGCCAGTTCCAGTCCAGATGCCTTTATATCAACAGTCATCGTTATGTCAACAGATGAAATGATCAAAAAGTCTCTGGTCTCGTAGAGTGTGAGGAGACGACCAGAACGTATATCCCGACAACGCAGGAACTCGCCAAGGATTCCTCCGCAGGAAAGTGCAGGGTCTCAGGGACATTCCAAATTGCAGCTCCCAGTAGATACAAAATTGGCTGAAGTAAGTCAGAGAGTCTGCCATGGCAAGATCCAAATAAATACTACGCTTGCAATGTTTTCCGCTAGCAAGGAAATGTGCTTCAAACATTTCACACTGAAAATTATGATTGCTGCAAATCCACACAATCGCTGCCCCTATCATAAGCATTGAAAACTTCTGTCAAAGATGTGGCTGAAGGCTGAAAACTGGCGACATAGTTGACCAGCTGTAGGGATTGATATATTTAGATCAGGCTATGAAGCTGAGTGAAGCGTTATCTCTGTACTAGTCATCAAGTCCCAGATCGTTTTGAAATCATCCTGATATCCTTCATTACACTGAATTTGGCATTCACATGTCCTGAAAAATGGAATCATCAGCCGAGCAGCCGGCTTCTCACATCGAGAACGCTCCTAGGCGAGACAAGAGGGCGACCTTTGCCACGGATGAGATTATGCTTCTATCCCCTGACGAAGCTAACAGTACACAGCCCAAGTCTTTGTAGAAATACAAAAAATACTAGGAAACCAGGCAGACACTTCCCTGGTCTTGCTTCGATCAGAGGACTAACAACCTTATGGCTTATAGAAGTGAGCCTTAAAATGGATTGGCTATGCAACTGTCGATGATCTCTCGGTCCTGCAACCCACTGTACCCGGCTCCAAGAACTGGTATAAGGCTTATACCCCCGTCATCGTCAGATGCGAACACTACGAAGTCAATTATACAGTTCGGTTCAACTATATGAGAGGTGCTCATTCGTTTCACATCAAGCGGCGCGATTACCTGAGAGTAACTACGTACTTCCGACCAACATCAGGGAATGTTGCCGAGTAGCTGCTTATCATTCGATCGTTTCTGTACTAAGGCGATACTTGAGTGGAACTATAATGCCAAATAGCGTTGCCAACACAGACATTAAATACACAAGTTTGATCAACCGCGTGAACTACCTCCCGATCAAGGACTTTCGCAAAGGTGTTCAAAGAGCCTATGAGGATATGATCATATCCATGTTCGCAGAGCCAAATTTGAGTGCTGTCTCATGGGCTGCCGATGGAAAACCATGCGGCAGTACCAAGGGTTGTCCTTCAACGGCCTATCCATGCCAGCGCCAAATGATAACAACTTTGTTTTACTAAACGTGGCCCAATTCTCAGCGTATGTGCGGCAAGCATATTCTTAGTAGTTATAGGAATACTAGTTGGGCTACAGGCTTATCGCGAGGAGGCTGCGATGCGTAACATGAAGCCATCTCCTATTATAGAAGCTTCAAGAGCATCGAACCTTCATGCACTGGGGGTTCAGAAACGGAATGTTAAAACTTGGTATGGGTTTGTGCAGCAACGGTCCGGTGCAAGCTTAGTAATCGATGAGAGCATGGAGCAACAACATCAAAGGAGAGTCATATAGCACATGATGAGTATATTGTAAGCTATGAGAGTTGAATACAGCTGTTACTAAGGAATTAGGTCAGAGGGTTGGCTGCCCAGGAACCTTAAGCTTCCACTCTGTTAACCGATGTGATCTAGCTTATTAGCCAGGGCACAAGGTACTGTTATGAACCATAATATGGACGGAAACGCTAAAGAAGGGTAACTCGACTGACAGTCGAGGATGCAATAAGCTGTCAGACAACCGTCGCGGCACGCAGGGTATATAGTCTTTTCTAAGGGATTCGTATCTCAAGCCCCGTTGGCTCAGTGGTAAAGCGTATCACTAGTAACTCATGTCGAAATGATAAGATCACTGGTTCGATTCCAGTACGGGGCATCATCAGTACATACAGCATCTGCGATTCTTTTTACACGTGTTGAGCGTGATGACTTTTGGTAACTGAGGTTGATCTGTGGTTATTTTTATCGTTGTGTGACTTGAAAGCGGGACGGGACGAGTGCTTAATCAATTTTAGGTTTGCCGGGTGTGACGTCGCTACTCTGTCACGCTCTAACTGCAGGTACCAATGAACAGGCATAGATCACCTCCACGGGCGACGGAATTAAAAGTACTGACGGGCACTCATAGTTCCGTGTGAAGTAAGCCTGAACGTATTTAGTGGCTATCTCTCTCTATATATATATAGGTCTGATACGGTTTCTGAATTCCCATTCACACAGGTGTATGCTCATATGAGAATGGCATTTGTGCAGTGAGATGCCCAGAGTTGTAAGAGTTGACAGCTGTCACATTGTATCAACTGTGCGATAAATGGAGGCACCGCATGCATTACAACAAGTTTGTCTTTAATTGGTACCTAGGCACCAAGAAACAAGGTTGACAGTAAAGAACAGGACAACGATAAAAGTTTACGCGTCGGCGAGGTGAGTGCGGTCATCTATATGCTAGATGTTTAAACAGCCACCATACAGGCATTTATTGAGCAGAGCGGGCGCTCCGGCATTGCCACGTGCAAGTAACCAATGTAACTTTCATCAAAAGAATATTGGCGAACTTGGTCATGTTGGCAAAAGATTAAAATTTATGAATCACTTGCCCCGTACTGGAATCGAACCAGTGATCTTATCATTGCGATGTGTGTTACTAGTGATACGCTTTACCACTGAGCCAACGGGGCTTGTGAGGTGATTCCTCGCTTGTTGAGATGGGAAGCGTGTTTTTGAAATATAGAGTTTGCAAATCATACATAACTTGTCCTGCATCGAAGACTTCCAGAAGTCTCATTGGTATCATAGGGTTGACACATTCAGGATCGCATATGCTTTCATATTGGCCATCAGCTTCGTCGACAATTGTTATCTGGTAGTTGATAATTCAGCAGCATTCGAAAATGAATCATAGCATTGTCAAAGCGCTCTGTCTAAGTCTCAGTTCAGGTCTCGTGTTCTGCAGTAGCTGGTGCAGTCTTCCGCGAGTTCCGATTTCATGTGGGTTCTTTATACACCGCACCCTCCAACAACCTTGGATGAAATTTGATTTGCAAACACGAGTCAACACCACGTCGTGTCAGAGTCGATCACTTGACAAGAGAAGTTTGAAGTGCGGTATTTTAAACCTTGTCAAGATTTGGCAAGCAGTTCGTCACCTATCGTTAGACTGGTGCATGGATGTTGAAAATTATCCTAGAGTACCTCACTTACACATTGACTTGTTGCTGTTCTGGATACTAGATACACTGACAATCGCATCTTCTGTCAGCATTGATATCAGCCACAACACTATTTCAGACAGATTTGGCTATTAGATATTCATAACACGCAACGTTCAATAATTGGATACCAGTTTTATCATGATTTCAAATCCCGATTCTGAGTTTAATGAATGCTTTATTAGACGTTGAGGTCCACTAAAGCAAGGCACATTTTAAGGACCCCACCACTGCGGATCATCCACCGGCCCGCCTTAACCAATACCCCGCCAAAGTTATTGTGGTCGCGAAAAAAATGACCGATATCGTCGTGACTATTAGAGAAAATTTTTCCCGTAGGTTTCACAAACATCAAAATTCAAATACGTGACTGACTGTAACAAGTCTTTTTCCCTCTCTATTCTCTACGCGAACGCGAAGTAACGTATCATTCACAATGTGTGGTGTTTCGGGCATCTTGGTGAGTCTTCTCTCTCTACTGCCCCTCCCCCGCGCTCAGCGACCCTTGCCCGTGCTCGGACTTGAGACGGAAGTGCTACCAAAAGAGCAAAAGGAACGAAATACATATCACATAACATGTGCTGACGGTTATATTAGCTAGGCGATTCGGAAGCCACCTCCGCTGCCATCGACTTACACGAATCTTTGTATTACCTTCAACATGTTAGTCACCGCGATCGTCGATAATTTCATCCGGAACCCCGAATATCGAAGACTGAAGGATCGAATGAATGCTGATACTAGTAACAGCGTGGACAAGATGCTGCAGGTATCGCTGTTTGCCAGGGCGGAAGAGTCGCCCAGTGTAAAGGTCTAGGCATGGCCAGCAAGGTCTTTGCTGATGGCAAGCGACTTGAGCATCTTCCCGGCTACATGGGTATGGCAACGCGACACATAGATTACACGGAGACTGACTCTCCATAGGCCTGGGCCATGTTCGCTACCCTACCATGGGAACCGCTTCTGCGTATGTGTTATCTGAAGTGTAACTTTGTGCGCCGCTGACCAAGGTTACAATTCCAGATCTGAAGCTCAGCCATTCTACGTTAATGCGCCATTCGGTATCTCAATGAGCGTCAACGGTAACCTCGTCAACACCGAATACCTTCGCAAGTTCCTCGACGAAGAAGCCCACCGACACGTCAACTCTGATTCCGACTCAGAGCTCCTGTGCGTACCCGAAACTCGCACTTATTCGAATCAGGATGACTGATATGTACCAATAGCCTCAATATCTTCGCACACGGACTTCAGCAGCTCGGCAAGACTCGTGCCAACTCGGAGGATATCTTCACTGCCCTGAGCGATGTGTACGCCAAGTGCCAGGGAGCTTTCGCTTCCACTGCCATGATTGCAGGATTCGGTATCCTGGCTTTCCGGTGAGTCGCACGAACAATACAGCAACCGACTTAGAAACCTAACAGAAAGTTAGTGATGCCAACGGCATTCGACCCCTTGCCATGGGTTCCCGACCCTCCGCTACCCTTGACGGCGCCAAGGACTACATGTTTGCTTCTGAGTCCGTTGTCCTCAAGCAGCTCGGTTTCGAAGATATTATCGACATTCTGCCTGGACAGGCCTGCTTTTTGCAGAAGGGCTGTGCCCCCAAGTTCCGCCAGATCATTAACAACCAACCTTACACGCCCGATTGCTTCGAATTTGTTTATGTTGCTCGCCCCGACTCGACCATGGATGGTATCTCCGTCTACCGCAGCCGACAAAACATGGGAGAGAAGCTGGCCAAGAAGATCCGAAAGGTCCTTGGAGAGAAGGGAGTTGCGGAGATCGACGCTGGTATGTCATATTCGTATATGCACCTCTTTTGAACCATGCTAACAGAATGTTTAGTTATTCCAGTGCCTGAGGTAGGCTAACCAAGCACTAAAAGTTTTTATGTTGTATAGAAACTAACACCTTGCCCGCAGACAAGTAATATCGCAGCAGCTACTCTTGCTGAGAAGCTCGGCAAGCCATACGTTACAGCTCTTATCAAGAACCGATATGTTCAACGAACCTTCATTCTCCCAAACCAAGCTCTTCGAATGAAGAGTGTCCGTCGCAAGCTTTCACCCATCGATTCAGAGTTTAGGGGAAAGAACTTAATTCTTGTGGACGACAGTGTTGTTCGAGGCAGTGAGTAAATTCCCCCAATCGAAACAAGTTACCGCTAACCCGAAAATCAGCAACATCACGACAAATTGTATGTCAACTTTCTGCGAACTTGCCTACCTAAGGCAATACTGATTCTTTATGATAGGTTCAAATGGCCAGAGACGCTGGAGCTCTTCGTGTCATCTTCGTCTCAGCCTCCCCTGAGTGCATACACCCACATATTGTAAGTTTGGCTGCCATAACTCGTGGTTGGAATATATGCTAACAATTCTGAAGTATGGCATTGATCTTGCGGATCCTATTGGTAAGAAGTTTTCCACACTCTATACTGAGTTACTGTGTCACTAACCATTGTGAAGACCTGGTTGCTCATGGCCGAACAACGCAACAGATTGCCGACTATATTGGTGCTGACGAGGTCATTTTCCAAGACCTCGATGGCCCTGATGGACTCAAGGCCGCGTGTATGGAGGCTGCTGAGACCACAAGTAAGGTCGTAGACTTCGAGGTTGGTGTGTTCTGTGGCAAGTACGTCACAGAGGTTCCAGAAGGCTATTTCGAGCATCTGAGTGATCTCCGTAACGGAAAGCGAAAGGCCAAGGCTGCTTTGATGGAGATCAAGGCTGGTGGCGATGAGGGTGGAAACGTGGTCGTCAGCTCTGGGCCTACAAACGGACCCCCCGAGTCTGACGAGCGAGAAGATATCAGGTGAGCTCTTATTAGTGTTTGGTTGTTTCTGGAAGCTAACATAATGGCCAGTATGCACAATGTCGCCAGTGAGCAGATCACAACATCATAATTGCCGAGGACAAAGCTCGCGTGGATTTGAATAATGAGCTCGCGGGGACACAAATATCCTTGGAGAATAGAGCAGTTGTTGGGTCATGTTGATGAGTCTGAATTACAGGCTGAGGAAGTTGGAAACAAAACCGGCAATGACGGACCAGAGACAGTCCGGAATGCCATGAAAAAATAATGTAACCACCAGAGCCGCCAGTTAGCTTATAAAAGGTATCCGGTCATAGAAGAATGGTGTTGACTGGCGGTTCTGCGAGGCATGGGGATACTAGAGATGCCGCAAGGCCGGGATAAAAACGAGATTATGAAAAGCCAAAATTTATGAGCGTTGCTTAAACTATTGCTGCTATTTTGTCGTCCCTATTCAGCCAGTTGTAGTGTGTATGTGGTTGCGGCACTCTATTACGCTGAGTGGATTGAAATGGATATCTACGGCATAAACCGATCTATCTTGGTTACGCATCGTATGTTGTGTGATTTCCTGTTCGAGGGTTTACGCTCCACCGTAGAAACGTCCGTCACCAGATTTCTCTAACTGGGGCCCATTGGAAAAGCCCACGGAGCGGAAATGAACATGGTGAGCAAAGTGAAGAAACTAAAGTATCGTGAAGTGCCGTTCGTGCAAATTTTTGGTGGAGTTGACGAACAAGTGGGAGGAGCCTCCACTGATGGAGAGAAGTCCCGATCAAAATAAGTCCGGGCCGGTTTAGATGATTCCACTGCCAGACCCTGTTTGCGCCCAGGATCGTCCTTGGCCTGATGAGGGGCGCATGCTCGGTCAGTTTTAGCCAAGTTAAGTTGGAGACGGTTGGAGAGGATTTGAGTCTAGGGTCAAGCCGGAAATGTCAATCTGACTGGGCTGTGATCTTAGTGGAGGGGTCCTGAAGTATTGAAGTTTAGCCAAAAAGCCATAAGCTATAGCAGAGAGTCAGGTTAATACCAATTCGCTGTCATGTAGGAGTTAGTGATGCAGCAGAGCAAACGTGCCAATATAAAAGCAGCAAGCATTGTGCGGATCAATAGTGCCACAACGGTTCATAAGCTCCGGACCGGATTTTTATATCACGATCTCCAACTCATGGAGCAAACCGCCTAGATTTCCCTTCACGATGAAGGGAGGGAAAAGAAACGAGGAGAAGGAGAAGAAAAAAAGAGAAAAGAGGGAAAGGAAAAAGAACAAAACATGGAGGAACCAAACATTACCCAATCGGGCCATCGTGTCACCTCTGGCTGGACGTTCTCCTTCTCCAACGACAATGACAAGCTTTCTGAGGACTCTGGTGGAAGGTCCATGATGCAGGTCCCGGAGGTTCGGCTGCACGATATGTCTTTCCTTTACCTCTTTGGGGAGCACGGACGTTGGCCATTGGCAAGCGTGGGGCTTTGTCAGAGGAGAGAGAGTCAAGAGAAGGAAAGACGAGGCGAGCATTTGAATTCATTGGGGGAGTGCTAGAGTGGGTAGTCTAGGATGCAAGCTGATAGTGTTAGTGACCGACCTTATATAATTACATACTATTCAGAGATGATTCATGTTATTGTCAGCTCTGATTGGAGCCGAGTCATGGGATCTACTTCTTAGTATGGGGTGTAGGTAGGCTGTTGGTATTGTACTTTCACACACCCTAGATCTTCTCTTTGGTACATGACCTGGGCTTCACATTAGTCTGTAAAAAAAAAGGCCCATTTGGCCTGTCATTCTCCAATTTCTATACCTGACATACCCTGATACCTTTCTCCCTCGCCTTATCTTATTCAATACTAGGTAGGTCTGACGTGCCTACCTCTTACCTCACACCTCACACCTCGGTCAACCCCGTGCCTTCTTCCATTTACCCCTCCATACTCCTCGTCCCGCCTTCCCATATCCATCTGTCTATACCTTAGCTTTAAGGTACTTCTACATTCCATATCTCCATCATTCTTCTTTTTTTCCGTCACAACCATTTTATCATCGTCGTCATTGCATCCCATCCCCGCTTACACCTGCACAGTCCAGCTGGACACGATACAACCTCTTGTCTCAAAGTCCACCATGAACCTTCTGTAACGATTCGCCTCGTTGTATCCAAACCGCTGCCTCGCCCGTTGTAGAGAGCTCGAGCACGACCTGGACCTAGTGAAATCCTAGGACACAACACCAGCAAAGGACTGTCAAGCTGCTCAGTCAGCACTCGGCGCATGCCGCCAAGCAACACCAAACCGTGTCACAACTGCCGTCGTCGACGCCTGCGCTGCGACCGTTCATGGCCGACATGCCACAAATGTGCGGTTTCGGGGCAGGAATGCCTCGGGTATGGCAAGGTCTTCGTCTGGACTCAAGGCATCGACTCCCAAGGGAACGTCAATCCGCCTCCCGGACGGAGACTGGCCGACGATTCTGACAGTTCCGCGACCGCCTCTGCTTCACCTCCGGGTAGTTATCCAGGCCAAAGTAATGGTGACCGTCCGAGACCTCAACCCCAACCTGACTATAGCGATCAGCATCCTCTGGCGCGTTTAGTTCAGCAGGCCCAGCAAGCTGCTCAAGAGGCTGAAGACTTGAATCAGAGTCAACAACAGCGGTCTGCGCAGAATGACGACTTGCCAACATCCAGCGACACCATGGACTGGTCCCCTCCCACTGGTACACTTACAGATCCTTTGTTCCAGGACCTTGACCATGCCTCACGATCCTACCTTGCTCATTGTGAGTCTTGGCCCCAACCCCTGTCACTTCCAAGGGAATACTAACGCATGTTCTAGTCTCTGAAAGGGTCTGCAAAGATCTTGTGGTCCGAGACACGCCTGAGAGTAACCCCTTCCGCGAGTTGATACCCTTGACGCGGAAACACCCGCTTCTATTGCAGGTTATCATTGCGACTTCAGCTATCCATTGGTCCAATATCGTCCGCCGTTTTGAAATCCCTCCGGGCATGACTGATTCTACCGGGATTGTTACTATGCTACGCTCAAGAGACCTTGTGACACAAAAGGCTCTCATCGATGCCTTGACGGCAAAGCAAAAGGCTATGAGCCACATGAGAGAAGTTCTCGACACCCTTGACCCGGCTGGTAGTGAAGTGGCACTGGCTGCCATGCATTTCTTCATCAAATTTGACTTGATTGATTTGAACAAGCCGGACAATCAGAGCTGGAGGGCCCACCTTGAAGGCGCCACGAGTATCATGGCACTGCTTAACCCGGATAGTAACCCTAACGCATCTAGTAGAATATTGCGGGACCGTGTCATTACTGACAGCTTCATGTAAGTCCCAGTCATTGGTATGCCAGGGCAAATATTGACATCTCTTAGTTATAACATTTTGGGCTCGACATTGACCTCAGGAGGACTTGCAGCTCGCGTTGCACGACAGGCTTTTCAATTCTTGCCCGTTATGAAACGAGTAGAGCTGACAAGCCACTTGTCTTGCCCTCCCGAGATCCTCAATATCATCCTCTCTGCATCAGAGCTGTCTCACGAAGTACCATGGACGGATCAGTCTTTGGGGGCGGCAGACAAAGCAATAGCTCTGATAGACGAGGCCCTTGCTGTCGATATTGTCGCTTGGGCAGATTACTTGCGGCAACACAACCTGATTCAAGACCTTGACAGCCGAGTGCATCTAGCTGCAGCCCACAGGTCAGCGGCATGTCTATACATCCTTCAAGCGTTACCGCTAGTTCGGTCAGTGCGGTCTGTCGACACCGATTTTCTGTTGGACGACGTTTTGAACAATTTAACCGCTATCGATGACAACGACCCATACTTTAAGGCCTCATCGTGGCCAACCTTCGTTGCAGGGGCCGAGACACGAGACCCTGAAAGACGCATGTGGGCCCTGAGAAGATTGTTGTCCATTTGGCAGATTTGTCCGTGGGGGTATCTCTTCACGGCAATTGAAATGCTTAAAGCAACTTGGGCTATGCAGGATACACGCGGTTCGGACAATGTCAACTGGCTACATGATCTACGGGGAATGGGGTTTGAAAATCTGATTGTCTGATATGGTATGATATGATTTTGGGTACGGGGTGTTTGAGTCTAGCGTTTTGGCGAAAAGTTGAGTCGTGTTTTGTTCTAGGGCTCAGTGTAGTACGGTTGCAAGCTCGGAGTACCAAAGTGTTAGCTAATAGCTTAGAGGAGCGCCGCGTGTTTTAGCAAGCTGTTCATAGTTTAGTGGTGAAGAATAGAGGTGTTTGGGCGTTGTAATGGTTTTGTCGCCGTTCCGGTTCTAGACTGGTCGAAACTCGCGATGGCTTCACCGGTTCCGACAAGTTCCCTTTTCAGATAGGGGATTTATCAGCAGACCCACCACGTATGCGACATGACGGCAGTGTTGGAGTTTGTCACTAGACTTGCATTGTTTGTTCCTCTCCAACTCATCGCAACTTGCGAGTCTGGATCACAGAAGCGAGTCCACGGCGTTAACCGTATCTGCAGCTCTGATTTGTCCAGCCGGGTTCTGACGTCCCAGAGCCCAGGGTCCTAGACATTTTCTATCCGTACTGTACTTTCTCAGTTCTCCACTGCTTTAGAAGAACTAGAAGCATGCAGCTTGTCCAAAGCGGGATGAGCTCGAAATCTCGGCCGAGACACCTGACCACCCTAGCCGCCTGCAAGAGTGACCTATTCGAGCGTGGTTCTTCTCAGCGAGAGATAGCAATGAGCAGAGTGAATGGACTTGTTTTTGCACACGTGTAAAAGAAACTGGCTCGCGATCTTCGAATGGAGGGGTTACACTGCATGACAAAAGAAAAAGCCAAGATGTCTCTTTTCCCCTTTCTCCTCAGTGTCTTGCGGTTCTTTGTGTTACCCCCTCATCTTAATGTCGAGATCTGACGGTGTTGGTGGTGGTGGTGGTGTAAGAGGTACGTACTGTCTTGTCGTTGTTGACGGGAACTCGCATAACAAAGGGCAGCGATAACGGAGACTGGGGAGGATGACAGGGATGGTGGGAAAAGAATAGTGACGTGGAGAAATGACAATTCTTACAACGGCATTATTTCATCATTGGCTGTTTTTACAGCGGAACTACTATTAGCTATCAAACTATCAAACTATCGGTAGAAATATGTTTGTCCTGGATGGAGTTGCACTCCCGCTGACGGAATAGAATAGGTAATCTTATCCGTTATACCTAATTAAAGCGAAGCCGTATGGTTATTATCTCGGTTCTATTTCAGTATAGTCTTTTTACACAGCAGACTAAACAAAGCGGCTATTGATCGCATTGTGAAACATCCTCTTGTGGCTTTCAATCACGTTGCCAATTGCTATCAGACGACACAGCTAGATGAGGGCTCGTAGAATGCCCTCAATATTCATACACACGTACTGTTATATATTCCCATAAAAGGGCTAAGATTGAGCGAGAAAGGGCGTTGGCTGCAGCTCCTTTCATACTCCAAAACATATATCCTATCGCCGTACCTGTGCAGCTACACAACTTAACATCAATTATCTCATGCGTCGAAGTTAGTCGCTGACATACAGACAAGCTCACATGCCTTGATTTAGAAGTCATGCTTGCAATGACAACCCATCTACATACGAATGGGCTGCTGGTGCGACCTCTGTCCTCGTGAAGAGCACAACCTGTGGCAGGAGAAATTTGCCCACTGACTAATAGCAATACGTTCGTTGCTACACTTGGGCTACAATTCCCAGACCCTCAGGCTAGCTGGATCACGCACTCTTGACCTGTTATGCGCCGGTACAAAACTCGGCCAGCATGTAAAGTACATGTGCTACGAAAGCCATGCAGAAAACTCATGCACGTGCCTTACCGACGAGACGGTAGTCTTTGTTACAAAATTACCTCTAGCTCGAAGAGGAGAGGTAAAGACATTCACTTGAGTATAACGGAATGCGATATAGGGAGGTGCAAAGGAATGGCCAGGCACATAGTGTTGGTCGATGGCGCACCAACAAGCCATGATATCAATCATGGGCAATGACTTAAAAGGTCAAAGAAAAGCCACTTCGAAATGGATGTGGTGAAAAATAATAAGATTAAGAACGATCCACGCATACCTCGTGAATGATATACGCCAGCCATGCACCTTGGTCATGATCGTTAATGTAATAACCCAAAGCCTAAGCGCCATTTTAAGAAGAGAATTGAGCCATAGCCGGGATGAAAAGAATTGAACGAAAGGGAAAGGGGGCAGTGCCTGGCCTAGATACAGGGAATGCTGCAACGCAAGAGTGGCGGTATAAAGTTGGGGAACGAAACAAAGAAACCATCAAGTACCGGTTAGGTTAGGAAGTATAATATGAAGGATGCAGGCTGTCGCGGCTGTAGCCTACCATCGTCGGCTATACTGGTGTTAGCTATGCATGTCTCAACCCATGATCGTGGCTTACCTGTAAGCTGAATCGAGCTTCGTCTGACGACGCTTTGGCTTCAGTCCTGACATGGACGGCTTGCGCTTTGGAGACTCATCAGGAGTTTTGGCCTTAGTATCTCGGCCAAGCAACTCAGCTTCCAAGGAGTCCAATCCTGATGATGTGACAGAGATGGAAGAGCTTCGTGAGTCCGGAGTCCGACTACGGCTGCGGTCGCGGTTGCGGCCACGACTGCGGTCTCTGTCCCGGCCTCGATGGTGCCGCTCTAGAGATCGACGACGATCATCCACGTTTCGGAATCCTTTTGCTTCGTGTTCGGAGCTATCTCGACGTGATCTACGCCTCTTACGTTCCCTCGGCTCGTACGTGTCTCGGGAATCCACGTTGCTGTCGTATGATTCTCTTCGATTGGCGCTGTGAGGGCTTTGTGATCGTTGTCTTTTCAAAGGCCGCTCAACAGGTTTGTCGTCATCTGAGTGGCCTCGTTTGGACTGTTGTTCAAGGACCTCGCCACTCTCGGAGCGTTCACTCCGAAGAGTTTCGTCAGGTTTCGATAGGAACTCAGATACAGCGTCTCCGCTAGGAAGTTTGCCGTCGCGGACAAACGCGGGGTCGCGTTCGATTTCTGGCCAATACGGTTTTTCATGTATTGGCTTGACATATTCCTCGATATTGTCAGCTTGGACATAGTCCGATTCAATGGATTTGGCATCCCATTTTCTAGGAAGAAGCACCTCGTCATTATATTCAGCTGGCAGTGGCTTGCCAACTTCATCCGGCGCATGATGGGGTTCTGGCTCTTTGAAGATGGCCTTGTTCTCCCATTCCCATTCATCTTCGGTAGCCTTCTCGGGCACTGTGTCTGGTCTCTGTGACGAATCAGGTTTCGGAGTTTCAACTTGAACCTTTTGAGTTTCAGGTGTTCCTGGTGTACTTGGCTTTAATTTGACAGGAGTTGTCGAAGCCTTCTTCTCTTCTGGTTTTGGAGATAATATTGGCTTAGGAAGGCTATGTATCTTGGGATCAGAACGTCGGTTGCTGTTGTCTTGTGGCTTCTGATCTTGCCGAGGATGAGGTTGATTCTTTTTCTGTCGGCTGTCATGGTTACGATTATGACGGTCATTCTTGCGCTTATTCCGATTATCACGGGGGTGATCAGGAAAATCCCGACGACCTCTATTAGGCTGCCCATGCTGGTTGGGCTGTGGGGGCTTCGGGGGTAGAGGAGGTTTTGGGGGTAGCGAAGCAGGCAAAGGTAATGTTGAGGCAGAAGTTGAACGTGGTACGGGAGGTGATCCTGATGGTCTATTTGGACGTGGTATAGGGGGTGCTGGAGACGGGACAGGAGGCCTAGGGGGTGGAGGATGCCCGTATGTAGGTGGTGCGCTGTGTGAAGCATAAGGGGGCGGATATGATGGTGGCGGAGCATGATACCCATAAGACGTCGAGGCAGGTGGAGGATAGTGTGGATAGTGAGGTGACGGAGCGTAAGGTACGTGGTCTTGACGAGGCGGAGGAGGTCCATACGGACGTGAATATGATGATTGTGGCACCGGGGGTTGAGGAGGAGGCGGAGGAGGGGAAGCATATGTACCGGGAGGTCTAGGATGTGGTGGAAGACCCGGAGGAGGAGCACCGTATGAAGGTGGAGGATACGGTTGAGAGTAGCCCGGAGGCGAGTAGCCAGGGGCATAACCAGACGTCGGAGTGCCATAAGGAGGGTAATGAGGAGGATAGGAAGGAGGTGGTCCTGCTTGATAAGGTACAGGCGGAGGGCCATAACCTGAAGGTGGGCCATATCGAGCTACACCCGGTCCTGGCACTGGTGGTGGTGCATGCGCAGGTGCAGGTGCGTATTTGGTGATGATGGGTCCTTTGGACTTCTTGGGTCCTCCATGATGATCTCTGTTGCCTCCATGCGTAGAAGTATTGGCGTTTCTCCAAGCTGCAAGACCGCTATCCACGAGTTAATACTTGAAAGATCCATAGTCCAGGCCAGACTGCCGGGACATGAACACTTACGCTGGAGTTTCCCTAGTGGGTTCCGGGCATGCTATAGTCCAGTGACCAGAACCACCGCAGTTGTAACATCGAGCCTCTTCCGGCCGAGGTTGGCCAGGAGCCGTGTTAGGCATGACTGGAGAAGGAAGCAGAAGTGTGTATGAAGAGAGGCCCCGACAAGCACAGGACACTTCCTGGTATCAGGCAATTTCAGGATGGTATAGTTGAACCAACGCTGTAGCGTATATAACGCTTGTGGGATGTTAAATAGAAGCGATAGCGACTTGGTCAGCCGGATGTGATGCGATGAGATTCGACGGTCCGCGGGCACGACTCAATAGAACAAGTTTGAACAAGCGGTCTGAGGCTGACTTGAGTAACACTGTGATACGTCTCACAACAGAAAGCTCAGCGCGACTCAGAGGCGAAGCGAGGCGATGATATTGCTGTGTCAGGTAGCGATGGCCAAGCTTGTCAGTATCACTATCAGTGCCAGCGCGTGGTCGCGATGTGCGAAAGCCCCCTCCCTGAACCTGCTCCGGGCTTTATCAGAGAGGCTTCATTCAGGGATCCTTGAGGGAAGGGGCCTGATGAAATGGGCAAGCTTCGAGTTAAGGTGATGACAGTCTCTTAAAAATTGACGATGAGGCTCAATTATCTGATGCAATAATTGATGGCGATGATAGTCATTGGTGGACGGCGATGCTGGAGGTTGTCGCGTGCGCACGGGCCACATCTGAGGTCAAGTAACGTTTGGAATGGAAGTTGAAACTGAAATAAACTTTGGCCATTTCCTAGGAAATCAAAATCAGGGCTCTTCTTTCTTGGCGTGCATGAATCTATATAAAGGAAAGCTCCGTCAGCAGAGAGTTATAAACCAGATATTAAAGCCCTGTTTTTTGGTTCCTTCCTCTACATACCTTAGTAATTTGTCAACTCTGCAAGATATCTGGACACAATATAATGATATAATGCATCCTATGAAACACAACTCAAACAAAACTATTCTCTATGGACCCTGCGGCAAGTAGTTTTACTTTTGACATCTACTATCTGATTGGGAACGATGCTATATTTACCACTTTCCGTCCTTAACTCTAAATGCCACAAATCAAGATATTACATAGTCTCAGTCAGAATATATCTTTTTTTAAACATCACAAACAGAACAGTCTCTATAATTTGGACCGGTTTCTGACACCCCAACATCTCCTCCGCCTTAAATATAGTCCAAATGTGGGGAGTGAAGCTGGCCGGGCCTTTTCCCCGCCGAGTCAGTGACGACTAAGCAAGCAACCCACCACCACCAGCTAAAACATCCCACCGCCAAAAACACCAACATTACCACCGCCATGCTGTATATGTAATCACGACTACTATACCCGCGGACATAGCCTTTTGTCTTTTTTGCTGCATTGCGAACCCTCGAAATCCGTTCACCTCCGCTGCGCTCGTTCTACATTCGACCATCTTCGCTCCCTGCGTCCATGTGAAGTGAACTGCCTTGGTCCCGATCATGTTGGTACAACCACCGAGCTCACCAGACATCATCCTTGCCAGGAGCCGAATTCGACGCCGTCGCTCTTAATGATACCTACGCCACAACATACGGTCCTCACCCTGTTAGCATAACTTACTTATCAACCTTACTGCTCACCCTACCCTGCCGGCATTTATAACGACTACTATATTCATTTCACCATGCCTGGGCTACCTTGTAAGCGACGCACCCGATCGGAAGGGTTCCCAGGCTCACATTTCTGACCCCAGCGTCCGTCGATCTCGACGAGTGTATCTCGCGCTTGTACAACAAGGAGTTGCTCGCCGAGTCCGTCATCGAAGCCATCTGCGCCAAGACAAAGGAGCTCCTTATGCGCGAATCCAACGTCGTCCACGTCCGCGCGCCCATCACTGTCGTAGGAGATATCCACGGCCAATTCTTCGACCTTATTGAGATTTTCCGCATCGGCGGCTACTGTCCTGACACGAACTATTTGTTCCTCGGTAACCGCCCACGAGCTTGAGAAATGGACAAGGTGGACTTTTGCTGACCAAGTCTGGGGCGAAACAGGAGACTATGTTGATCGTGGCATGTTCAGTGTCGAAACAATATCGCTACTCGTGTGCTTAAAACTCCGATATCCTAATCGCGTGCATCTGATCCGTGGAAATCACGAATCGCGCGGCGTCACGCAGTCATACGGCTTCTACACAGAATGCTCACGCAAGTATGGTAATGCCAACGTGTGGCATTACTTTACAGATATGTTTGACTTTTTGACCTTGAGCGTTGTAATCAACGACCAAATATTTTGCGTTCATGGAGGTGGGTACACAATATCTTGGGGAAAAGGGCTTGACTGACATATGACCCAGGTCTTTCCCCCTCCATCCATTCTATTGATCAAATTAAGATCATAGATCGTTTCCGCGAGATCCCCCACGAAGGCCCCATGGCTGATCTTGTCTGGTCTGATCCTGACCCTGAACGCGACGAGTTCTCCCTTTCACCCCGCGGCGCGGGGTATACTTTTGGCGCGCAAGTCGTCAAGAAGTTCCTGGCTGTCAACAACATGTCGCATATCCTGCGCGCTCACCAGCTCTGTCAGGAAGGTTTTCAGGTGCTCTACGACGACCGCCTCAGCACTGTATGGAGCGCGCCCAACTACTGTTACCGTTGTGGCAACATGGCCAGCGTGCTTGAAGTTAGCGACACCGGTGAACGTTTCTTCAACGTCTTTGCGGCCGCTCCCGAGAATGATGTTCATAAAGACCTTCAACCTGGAAACGAAAAGTCTGCCGACGGAAATGCCTTGCCAGACTACTTCTTATAGACGAAAACCACTCACACATACATACACCACCCTAGAGCTACAGGCTCGGGCTTAACGATCTTCACATCAATATGATACCATGTCTTGAACGCAGGCATTCGCGGATTTGAACCGACAGATAGAGTTGCATAGCATAGAGTTTGATGTATATAGGCATTTTTATTCTCCTAAAGTATGAGGCTCTTAATCGAGCTTCAAGTACTGTCTCGTCAGCGACGAGTACATGATACGAAACAGAGCAACCACCGTTCTCCGACCTAAATGAGGTTTTCTTCTAACTTTATGTAAGGTTTTGTGTGCATGTGTGTGTTTGTGTGTGTTCCTCTCCGATGTTCAGGTATCTCATTATCTCATGATTTGTGTGATATGTGTTTTCGAGTTATGTTGTCGGTGCGCGCATTCCAGGCCCAGGTGTTTACCAGTCCTTGGCAATGTCGAAACTCCACTCAAACTCGAGATGCTTCTTCTTATCGTCGTCAACGAAGCTAGAGATGGCGTTGTAGTGGCCTCGAGCGAGCATGCCGCTGGGAGCCTCCTCCTCCTGGACTAAAGGTGTGTTAGTTATTAAGTTCATGCATTTCGAATCCAAAACCTACACTTCTTGACGTAAGTAGGCTGCTTGTCGGTGCTGGGGGCGTAGCTGCCAATCATCTCAGAGTCCTTGGAAACTCGGATACCCTTTCGCTTGACGACCTGGACGTAGTGGAGACCGCTAAGAATCTCGTGCTGAACCTTGAACTTTGCGCTCATGGTGAACTTGGCACCCTCCTTGATGTTGAAGGGCTTGTCCTTGAGGGTGGTCTCGCTGCCAGGGGTAGAAAGGTCGATGGTGACAGGAGGGCGTCCAGGAGAGTCCATTGTCAAGGAGAGAATGATACAGACTCGGGGGTCGTTAGGGTCGGAGATGTCGGTACCGCCGCCGAGACCAAGGGACTCCTTGTATCGCTGGAGAGACTCATCGCCGGCATCTGGAGGATAGAAATGTTAGTTTGGTTGGAACTGAGGCAATTGGTCTGATAAAGCGGTAAGTGGGATGGCAGCCGATCTAGGGGCAGCTAAATCTATGGGTGCTCTCTAATATAGCAAATATTGTTGTTTTATATCTCGCTCTGAAGCTGGAGTAGTAGCTATAGCTATAGCTGCAGACAGAGCACATAGTAGAGGATGAAAGTAGCATAACGCGCATCATGTCATGTCGGTGCCATATTACGAAGCGACAGACCACATACTCAAAGGCCATGCGTTGCGCATGCCACCGAGCATCAAACCAATACGCCCAAGGGAAAAGAAAGCACCTACCCATCTGCTGGTACTCGGCCAGACTCTGCTTGGGCTGAGAGAGCTTGTAGCCCTGAGTCTCCTCGGGCATAGTATCATCGTCGTGAGAGGCCATGGTGGGCAACAAAGTCAAAAAGGCGGGGTGATGAAGAAACGGAAAGATGATATGCTACAGCACAAGTCGAGCGAAGCTACCTAAGCAAAAGTTAGGCAAGTAGAAATGGAGATCGAGAGTTGAGTAAAGAAAGGAGAAGAAGAGGAGAGGAAGGGGAGAAAAGAAGGAAGCTTACTCGTTGGATCGAGACAAGGTAGAGGTGAGCTTGGAGGGGCTTTCCATTGCACAGGCGGTGACGATAGAGGGGCTAGAGGGGCTTCCCGTTCCCGCAGGGCGGTGTTTCCAGCTGCTACTGCTGCTGGAGGCGGTCGCTGCGGATGCTACAGTGGGGCTTGAAGATGGAACAAACAATTCCAATTGGTGTGTGATTATTCGCAGTCAGAAATGCTAACGGCGACACCAATGGTTGCTATCGATTGTTATGGAGAACGTATCGTCTTCAGGGGTTCAATGTGAGACTGGTTGAGGCTTATTTTGGGCAGTTTATCATGGCGGCTGTAGGTCGATTGTGGTTCGAGTTGCGAGCAGTTATTGGATTGAAAATGACCTGGGACACCATACTGTTGCGTATACATCTTGTTGACCGCCATAAGCAACCAACAAATATTGCCAGCTTTTGTTTGTTGATATTACACTGTGAGATCGATGTTGATTTAACAATTTTGGGGTGCATACCGCCCCGGAGGACGAAACCACCACATGAATATTTGCGGTCGTGCGACTACAGGGTATGGAATCGGTTTTTGCTCCGTCCTCACCACCTAACCTTTCGGCTTTCATTACGACCAGATAGCTTGTGAGTATCCGTACAGTGACTCTTATTCAGATAAACAACTTTTGGTAGTGAATTGGCGCCCTCCAAATCGGCGATTCTGTGAACACGTGGGCCGGTATATATGGATCATGCTTAAGCCTTCAGGTTGTTGTTTGGCTGGTAAATGCACGTCGAAAGCTTCAACTTGAGTAGCATAATAACATAGAGCACATATAATGAGTATTGCAGGGCAGTCCATGCAACAACCGTCTGTCAGTCACAATAAACCAAACCAGGGTTCAATGATATGATTGCAGATGCGCCAACGGCCAGGGAGAGTTATAGTCTGGAGCTTCGATCATGGATAATTTCGATCTCATCATGGATCCTCGATCAAACTTCCTTGAACGCTCAGTTCTCTGTAATGTAGGTCAGATATTGGATGATCAGCTGACTAGGCACGCTGGCATGCAGCACCGCTTGACGCGCGATAAGTGACATGGTGCGTCGTCATTCGTCAATGTCGTAGTATGTAGCTGGTATCATCCCCTCCATGACCGAACACAGAAGACAGAAGGGGGAGTGAGAGTGAGAGTGAGACTGAATTGGTCGCACTCAACCATTGTCTCTCTTCTGTGACCTCATATATCAGGTTAGGCTCGTCAATCGTCAAGGCCCATGCATGCCATGTCTCTTGACTGTTTCGCTTCGCAGTTCAAGCTCGTCTCACGGCGCCGCAGCCAAACGAGTCAATCTGAACCCATGCCAATTTCCCCGCGTTCTGAGCCAGCCCAGCAGTTCGCCGGGCTGTTCGCGCGCCGGGCACAGCGAAGCCCAGGGGACCCCAGAGAGTCAAGTCATTTTTGGGGGTGTGGTTCACCCTGAAGATCGACGTTGGTTGGCGCTGGACTTTGTTGGGCTTGGCCTAGGCCTGGTTGCTAGGGGCGGCAGAAGAGTTGCTGGCAGACTCTAGAACAGAGTTTCCCCACGTGTACTCCTGGCTAATAGAAAATCGAAGACGACATCGATGGCTGTACGTAGTAGAAGAGAGGGCACGAGATTAGTATACTAGCCTACAAAAACATGACAAGACCTCTCTATCCAACCTGAGACGCGGTCTCTTCACTCAACAAATTGAGAATAAATCAAATTAGACGGACAGACCAGCTAGATCTGCCGGGTAAAAAAAAGGGATCTGTAGAAAGGAGATACGTACTCCCTGACCAGGGGAACTCTTCGGGTAATAGCGCTAAGTCAGGTGCGCGGTAAAATGGGGCTAATTTGACACAAAGATTAACAGAGAACCTCAGATTCACAGTATCACGCACCCAAAACTCCAGTACCAATCTATCTCGCAGCTATCCACTCTCCTCCTGCGTGCTAACCCCCTTTAAGCCCGAGAACCCGCCCAACAGGGCCACTGCTAAACCCTCCACGCTATCAAGCATCTAATTTGCGCGACTCTCATCTCAGCTCTCTTCCCTCAAGACTTGTCGCGAATCCTTCCTTTTCCCACTCTTCATATCATCTTTTTCTCTCCCTCTATTTACGGCATCGGCACTGCTAAGGCTGCCTGCTTTCTTATCAATTTTATTGCCTGGAGCGCGATTGACGTTTTTCAAAGCTTCCTTTTTCTACTGGATGAAATAAGCCTTGCCTTGACACGGTACGTCTAAAGCCAATCCTGTCGCGGCCCGTTATCCACGATTTCGAGCCTGCTGCGGAAATCAACCACCTTGCACCGCGATCAATACAGCTGACACGACCTTCTCGACCTTGCATAGGCTTCATCCATTTTTATAATCACTCGCGCGCCGAGATACGAAGACAGAAATCATCACCATCGCGATTACGCTTCGATTCGGTGGTCGTGAGGTAATCCACAGTCGCGCCGCGCCCCGTTTTCATCACAGCAAATCAGCATAGCATCATACAAGATGGCTCCCCAATATGAGCGCGTTTTGCCCGCCAAGAACAACCCTCTCATGACTGAGAGCGTTCCCGATCGTAAATCCCCCCACCATTCTGGCGTCGCGAGTTCGCATGCTCATCCTTACTTTTAGATGCCGATTTGGTCGCGCGTAGACGCCTTGGTCAGACCAAGCTGACACCTAAGATGGTTGGCACTGGTGACGCTGAGCACGCAGCTCTTGGCGTTTTCGACTACGCGCATCTTCGAGCTCCCCTGCCAAAGGGAATCGTCTCGGGCATTTTCAAGTCCAGCCCTAACAGCTATTTCCTCATGCGACGCAGCTTTGATGGTTACATCTCAGCGACCGGCATGTTCAAGGCCAGCTTCCCTTACGCCGAGGCATCCGACGAGGAGGCGGAACGCAAATACGTCAAGTCTCTTCCTTCTACGAGCCACGAGGAGACTGCCGGCAACATCTGGATCCCTCCGGAGCACGCTCTCATTCTTGCCGAGGAATACAAGATTGCGCCTTGGATCCGCGCCCTCCTTGATCCCTCCAAGATTAACGTGACAACTCCCCCGGATTCTCCGGCCAAGAGCATCGTGCCACCTCCCAAGTTTGATCCTATCAAGGCGTCTCAGCCTGTGTTGGCTCCCCCCACTCCATCAACCATTTCTCGAAGCACTCGTTCGCGTCGTTCAGCTAGCCCCACCAAGAGCACAAGACGCGCTCCTGCCTCGCCCCGAAAGCGAAGCACACGCGCCAAGGCAGAGGTCGTCGAGACCATTGTTGAGAAGACCGATCTAGTCAACGGCGCGAGTGAGACTGATTCCAAAATCGAGGAGACGAGACAAGGCGACATTGTCTTGCAATCGACCGAGTTTGAGCCTGCCATCGTGCTGGAGCCCAGAGAGGAGGACCCCAAGGTCAGGGTTCACATTGAGGAAGGTATCACAACGGACGATGCTGGCGTCGAAACAAAGCGCACAATCACCGAAGTCGAACTCCCTCTACCAACTGCTGGCGAGCCTCCTACCGCCGAGGAAATTGCTCATATGATGGAAGCAGCCAAGGAGATGGTCCAGAAGAGCAAGGCCGATATCCATGCTGAGGATGGAGACGAGCAACAAGATGCCCCAGGTTCTGCTAAGAAAAGCAAGCGAAAGGCTGGTGATATCTCATTGGGTGACAAGGACGAGGAGGCGACAGAGACCACCCCAGAGCTGCAGCCCAGGTCAAAGAAGGTCAAGACCGAGATGCAGTTACGGAAAGAGAAGGTCAAGAATCGCGCACTACTTGGACTAGGTGCCACTGTTGCAGTTGGGTAAGTACAGATGTATTCCATGAGTGTTTGATACGATTGCTAACTGGTTGGCAGTGCCCTTGTTCCTTGGCTCATGAACTTTATCTAAGCTACGAATTATCATGCCATGTCTTCGGTAATTAAGCCTTTAGTAGGGACCTAAATAGTCCCACAATGACCATGGCTGTGATATATGGATGGGACAGGCGGATTGGATCGGCGCGGCTCTTGTTTTTTTTGGTTGTTTATATCGTTTTCTGTCGTTGTGTTGCACTTAACGGAATTCACTACCCAATACTCACTCACCTTATTGTTGGAGCAAGATGTCTAGAGTAGCCTCTCGGGGAGATGGCTACTTTCTATACCACATCGCTATACATAAAACTTTCTCCCCCCTTTTCTTAACAACCTTTTATTACCGAAAATTCCCACTCCCTCTTATTGCACATACCCCCTTTAGCTTGGTAGTCGCCAACACGAGATATGTTGGTGAAGTCCGGGCTTTGCTTGCTTGATTGGTTCACACCTTGCTCGAATGCATGGATGTTTGGGAGACGACAGACAGAGATGGAGGTGGGCATGATGAAGACGGGGAGTTCATATGAGAGGCTCCTCAGCGAGGTAGACTGTGTCGACTCCCATCTGACTATGTATAAAGACCTTCAGAAAATTGAAACAAAAACTAATACGATATCTCCTGTACGTGGCGCATATGCTATTACTTGGTACTTGGTGTAGAAGAACATAGTTGGTAGTCGAAAAGTTGAGGTGAAATAACTGGACCCAAACTAAACCTCCCAACTGCTAAACTTATAGTGAGCGCTGCCCTGTGTCTTAGCGCTTGTGGTCCATGATCCCCTCAGCTTCCCCGCAAAATCCCTAGGTTCCCCATTAACGGCGGGCAATCCCCCAACTCATTCATCATGCCATTCCTATACGTTAAGGGATCTAGCCAGTAAATCAACTCCCGTCGGCAACCCCCCGGGCATCCAGCCCTGGTTAAGTACGGCAATGGCCGGCTGTCTTTCGGGTAACCATCCCCCACGGCCTATCCGGTCTCACTGAGATACCCAAGATCTCACCTGTTTTATTGTAAAGAACTATATTTCTTGTAAACTATACCACTTGCTTGACTTCATATCCCCCTACTACTCGGTGAAACGTTGTTGTACGTCCTGGTGTAATATACCTATAAGTTATTGTTACTACCACAAACTCAACCAATATGAGACCTCCAATGCGCCTCGGGAGCTTTGTGCTTCGTCGAGGCTTTGCCAGTTCGGCACGACGACTTGATAACTATGGATTCATTGGTCTGGGACAGATGGTATGTGGCCTTACTGTGGCATTGGCGAGGAGTATTGCATAATAACGCAGTCGCAATAGGGATATCAAATGGCAAAGAACCTACAGTCAAAGTTGAAGCCCTCAGATAAGGTCTCCATCTTCGACATCAACACTGAGTCAATGAAGAACCTGGAGAAAGAAATGAAGGCAGCTTCGTCAGGAGCTCAAATCGAGCTAGTAGCCAGCGCGTTCGACGCCTCAAAAGACGCTGTAAGTCTCATCACTTACCATGGCTGAGTTTGGTCCACTGACACCGATAGGATACTATCATCACCGTGCTTCCAGAACCTCAGCACGTCAAGGGCGTCTATGAGTCCATCGTCACTTCATCTCTCCCCAAAAAGGATCGCATCTTTATCGATTGTTCAACCATTGACCCCTCTACATCCCGCCAGGTCGCCAAGACGGTATCTTCTGCTGGCCAGGGGACATTTGTCGATGCGCCGATGTCCGGAGGTGTCGTTGGCGCAACTGCTGGAACACTCACATTCATGCTCGGCGCACCACCCTCTCTGGTTCCCCGTCTCGAGCCCGTTCTCCTCCTCATGGGAAAGAAAGTCCTGCACTGCGGCGAACAAGGCGCGGGTCTGTCTGCCAAACTAGCCAACAACTACCTCCTGGCTCTCAACAACATTGCTACAGCAGAGGCCATGAACCTGGGAATGAAGTGGGGTCTGGATCCCAAGAAACTCGCAGGCGTAATCAACGTGAGCACAGGAAAATGCTGGCCAAGCGAGATCAATAACCCCGTGGCGGGTGTTATCGAGACAGCACCGGCCAACAGAGACTACAAGGGCGGGTTCGGCATCTCGCTCATGAAGAAGGATCTCAGACTGGCCATGGTGGCTGCGGAGGAGGCCGGTGCGAGGATGGAGCTGGCCAAGACTGCTTTTGGGGTGTATGAGGCTGCCGAGAAGGAGGAGAGGTGTCAAGGAAGGGACTTTTCGGTGGTGTATCGGTACTTGGGTGGTAAGGAGGAGCAGAGCTAGAGGTAGTTAGAAGTTAGAGGGGATGGTTTATATAAAATAGGGAGCGTCTAGAGGTGAGCGCCGTAGCATTTACAGGCTCATACTTGCATATTCATGATTGGAAAACGGTAGTAACCATTGAACGATGAAGTAGTATCGCCGTTAGATTGTACATGAATGTTTCAGCCAGCCAACACATCATGATGCATATAAAAAAGAACATGTGAAACATAATCAACACCAGATCGGCAATCTATAATGCTCCGAAATCCTTTTCACCAATGCAGCAGCGACATCAGACGGACCAGATATGGCCCGACGCTACTCTGTACGGGCAGTCTCTTTTCCCCATCACCAGGGTTCGGCCGCCAAATGAACAACCAAAAAGCGTCAGAATCTGGCAAACAACCGAAGGAACGCGAGTAACGCGAGAAAAGCGAGAAGTGCGAGAAAAGCGAGCAATAAGCATTTCGGACGTTGTCAAACTTGTCAAGATAAGCGGATCTACGTCCGGGAGTCAAAGCAGCCGGGGCTTGGCTAGCTCGCTTTGTTCTTTTTGCCCAATTTAACCTGCAGAATCAACCAGTAGCGACTGATTATTATTCTTTTTTCTCTTTGCACATTCAGTGTAACTCGTGTAGCGATAGGTAGACACTGTAGGTCCCGAATTCCGGTTCTAGGTCCCGTAAAAGCCGGAGGAATCGAGTCAGCAAATAGCTACCTTAATGCTTACCGGGACGATAGATCATGGATGGCCAAGGTAGCATTGGTATGATATCGGTGTTGGTCTTGATATAACAGAAGCTCGACGCCCTTTTGTAAATATCCTTTCCCTTTTCTTTCTTTCTGTCTCCCAACTTCTCCCGTTATTCCTCCAATATCAAGTTCCTATTAGCGTCTTGTGTCAAACACGGAGGTCATTTAACTCCCCAAGCGGGTCTTTCGAAACAAGTCCTTAAATCGTCATACATAGACAAAAGAGGCGAAGTCCCGACGCCTATTAATATTTACCAATTTATTTATTTACTTTCTCTGTTTGTTTATTCTACACACATTAGATTGAGTCTCAAACATCCATTATGAACGAATTATTCGCCCGTCGTCCGGCGAGTTTCGACGACTGCACCGACATCACCGCCCTCTGCCCCGTCGAAGCCACAGTCCTGGGCTACGTTCCTAACAAAGGATCCAGCATCTTCTTCACGATTTGCTTTGCGCTGTTGTTCTTCTCTGCTGTGGGATTGGGCGTTTGGAAGCGAACATGGACGTATGCGGCGACTCTTGGAGCGGGTTTGCTCCTTGAGGCTATTGGTATGTCTTGCCGTTCACTTACAGCACCGCATAACTTGTCAAAAAGATGAGAAAGGAGCCTCCAAACTAACACATCTCAGGTTATATCGGACGTATCCAAATGGACCCAAACCCATGGAAATCATCAGCTTTCCAGACTCAAATATGCTGCATCATCATCGCCCCGACCTTCATATGCGCCGCTATTTACCTCACCCTCAAGCACGTCGCTCTCGCACTCAGCCCGTCCCTCTCACGGGTCCATCCTCGCTGGTATCCTCGCATCTTCCTCCCTGCCGACCTGTCATGCCTCATCATTCAGGCTATCGGCGGTGGTGTCGCAGCAGCAGCCAAACGCAACCAACCTGACCTCGCCAAGAACGGTAACAGGACCATCGTCGCCGGTGTCGTTCTCCAGGTTATTGTCCTTCTCGCCTTTGGCACCATGGGCACCGACTACTTCCTCCGAGTGAAGAAGTACATGCACAGTCCCGAGGTAGCCCCTGAGTCGCTTCGCGTATGGCAGGACAAGAAGTTTCGACTCTTTACTTACGCCGTGTCTGGCGCTTACCTGGCCATTCTCACTCGTTGTATCTACCGGTTAGTACATGCATGGCCTTTCATCCATCTTACATCAGCTGACACTAGCAATACAGAATTGCCGAAATGGCTGGCGGTTGGGGCAACCACATCATGCAGGACGAGCCCAGCTTCCTCGTACTCGATAGCTCCCTTGTTCTGGTTACCGGATTTCTCTTGACTGCCTTCCACCCGGGCCTGTTCTTCCCCCAGATGGCCGTTGACATGCGACGAAAGAAGAAGACAACTGAGGCTGAGACTCCCGCTGAATCTTCCAGTGAGGAGAGAAAGATTGAAAATTCATCCTCTTAAAAGACATAATTGGGATAGATTTAGGGTGGCTATTTAGGCATAACCTTTTAGGCTTGCTCTTATGAACTGGGCGTAAGGCGTTTAATGCTTGAAACGATACTAGAACGACTTTGTAGACTCAGATGAGTCCAAATCGGGCGTCTCTTATATATGCTTTCTATCAATATTAGGATTTGACCAGTCTATCAGCTTCCCCATCATCGTCACTGTCTGATTCCTCCTCCTCATCGTCGTCATCGTCGTTTTCATCATCATCATCCTCTTCCTCGTCGTCTTCATCCTCTGATGATTCCTCTGATGATTCTTCCTCTGTCTCGTCACTTTCTTTCTCCTCTTCTCCAAGCCAATCATCCAACGTCTTGACACCTACTCCTTCGCCTGTGCCGTTTGCATTTGCCTTGATAGGCATGGCTGTCTTTGCCGCCTCGTCGAGTCTGTCACTAGCAGGCAGTGTACTTCTCTCCACATCGTACCTGGAACTCTGACTACCTTCCGGTTCTCGCAGTCGGCGGTCAGGTTGCTTTCCTTCCTCGACCCAGCCAGGCAGGGGTTCATATCCCCGAAGACCATGGATGCCACCGCCACCAGCGAGTACCAATGTGGAGGAGCCCAGCAGGAATCCCTTCCGAGATTCAGATGGACTTGGGGCCTGGGGCGCGGGCTTCTCAGCAAGCAACATTAATGTCGCCAGTTGAGGGACCGCAAGAAGAGCTCGATACATTCTAGCACGATCTCGAAGGTCGAATGATGTGTCATATCTGACAAGAAGAAGAGCATACTCCCATAGTCTCACGATAGGATGCGTGTCCGCCTCCATTGGTGAGTCCTCCTCTGCATCCCGCTCCTTTTCCGCTTCACTCCTGCGGTTGAGGTGATGAAGGTAGACCTTGGCTGCCAAGAGCAGAATCTGTTGCTTCGCAACTGGGGATTCGTTGGTAAACTCCTTGAGTAAGATGCGAAGAACATCTGGCGCAATATTGTCCTCTCCATTCAGACCAGAGAATTCACCAACCAGCCACACGATCGTAGCACGCGCTTGAGGATCTGTGGCCGAGTCGAGGTTCTTCGCTAGCCGGACAACTGTTCCAACATGACCCTGAACATCCTGCTGTATCAAGTGGCGAATAACAGTCAACGACTCTGCAGCCAGAGTACCGTCCAAACTGGTGATCTGACCCAGGAGCAGCTTCAAACATCGAGGAGCCGTAGTTGTATCGGTTTGGGCGCAGCGACCAATAGCGCGCACCGCCTCACGAACCAATGCTTTGTTTGTTCCCTGCGAGAAGTGTTCGAGCTCCTTTAGAATAAGACTTTTGACGTGAGGCGGGCTGTGGGGGAATATAATTGTCAAAATTTCCAGTTTCAATTCCCAGACAGGAGCAGGATCGGTGGCTCGAACCAGGAAGTGACTAGCATATTTAACAAAGTCTGCGGGTCGAATAAGACAAACAGCAACAATGTTGAAAAGAGCAGTCTCTTGTATATCCTGAGCTCCACGAAGCAGTGCGATTAAGGGGCCAATGGCTTGCTTGACATATTCCGGCGTTCCAATATCGACGTAGCATCTGGTAACGGCGACAACAACACCGGCGTTTCGGCTCTGTAGAAGAGGTATAATGCCACTCAACAGCAGTGCTAGGTCTGGGTCCAAAACCGACGATCCCTGACCTCGATTGCCTTGTCGTGATTCGCCGTAGAAGTCGTCCACTTTCTGCTCCTGAGAATGTTCGGTCGCTTCATCTGGGGACTGTAGCTTTCGAGGGAAACACTTGCGCGCATAATACATCATCAGTCGCAGTGTAGCCAGCTGGCTCCATTCGTCCATATCTACCACTTGCTTGATGAGGGCGCGATAATGCTTATGTATAAGATCTATCCGGTCAGGACAAATCTCTAAGAAAGCCGACACGGCAGCTCCAGCGACAAAGTATTGCTTGTCACCCAGCAAAGTCGTCAGATATTCGATCAGCTGCGGCGCTTGACTCGGGTCCAATCGATGACACTTCGGAATCGCAAGGGCGGCGGCTTTCCTCACGTAGGGGCTCATGTCGGCGGCACCTTTCTTGATAGCGAGAGACACGATTTGACTGATGACAGGGACTCGGATTCCAGACATGGTCTTGAGGGCGAGAGCTCGGACTTGGGGGTTCTGGTCGGATAGTGATTTCTGAATAGTGTTGATCGATAGTAGGGCGAGGTCGGGCTCCTGTTCGGCATGGTGAATAAGGTAAATGTACACAAGCTTCTTGATCTCGATATTCGGCGATGCGACATTCTTGACAACAGATGAGAAGAATGGTAAGGTCTTGTGGTTTCGGTACATCATCTGCCTCATCGTTATTAGCGCCAGCTACACAGCAAAGAGACCAGCAGCACGCACCGCGATAACACGCCGTAACCCCTCAAGAACCTCGCGATCGTTCCGACTATCCAACAGCTTCCGCATCTGGTTCCGGTCTAGAGGTCTGGAGCTTGTGCGCGCACCGCGCGTCGCCTGGGCTGCATCGAGGGTGAGCTCCCTCGCTAGGGAATCAGTCAGTTCAGTTGAGCAACAGACAGGAGCGGTCAGCAAAAGGACATACCAGTCTCCATGAGACTCGAGATCCTTGCTATTGACTCCATTGCACGAGTGAGCTTAGGAGCTTACGTCGCGTTTCGAGGAGAGAAAGCTTTCTGAGGGAGAAGTTGGGTGTAGGTGTTTGGGATGACGTTGAGAGATGGCTACCACGAATTGTGGAGGTGGAGGGGCGTTACTGCCGGTGGGGGACAAGGGACGAATTTGGCAACCTCATGGCAACTTATACCAAAAACAAAAGATCCATAATTCTACCGATGAAGATTGAATAATTGCCATGATCTTTTGTAAGGAACAGTCTATTGGACTGTAAAGGCGAAACGGAAGGCCGAAACTCATAACGTTAATATCTTCATCTCATTACCGGTTACCCTGTGTCCTTAACACAACAACCATGGCATCTCAACCCATCGTCCTCTCCCCAGCAACTCCGTCGGAACTTCTATCATATATCATATCTAACCATAGATATCCTACGACATTGATAATTGGGTCTTCCAAGTCAGAGTTTCAGGCATCACTCATCGAGGACATTGCCCATCATCTCACCATCAATGATCGACGGAGTCAAGAGGATGGCCCCGGAGATTCCATTACAACGCCCGCTTCTCATGGTCTTCTAAAAGCACCACTATATCAAATAGCCATATCTCGCCATATTCGAATCCTATTCGCACCAACCGTTACACATCTACGCGCATATCTCTCTGTCTTCACACCTAACAACTCCCCTATCTCAGCACCACCGAACCATAAACCGAGTTCCTGTGCACCCCTCCTCCTGATCTATGGCCTGCTGGCTCTGCATCGCGATGCTAGCGAGTGGTCTGCTCAAGGTATCGGCAACTCAGCAGCGCTCTTTGTAGATGCTGCGTCTCGAAATGCTTCCAGAGCAGCTATCATTGAACCAAAAGGTGCAGGCGGACATGAAGACCTGGACTATATTGGAGGAGAACTGGTGCCTTTGTTAAACGGAACAACAAGAAAAGACGATGGATCATGGAGTGGACGGACAGTCAGCATAAAACAAGTATTGAACCGATGGTTCGAATTTCAGACTCAAGACTAGGAACGTTGATATACACAGATACTTTTGTTATACTAAGTCATCCCAGAGGGATAGGTCATCAAATGTATTATGTATCCATATGTAAAACATTGCATCGTTATTATCATGCTCTCAAAACAGACGTGATATCGGCGTTAACATTAACATATATCATCATTGCTCTTGAACGCCATCCCATGGTATCAATCCCAAACCGCCGCCAACCATAACGTAAAGCAGGAGAAAAACACAAAACATAACGTGGGAGGAACTAAGCAATTGCCTGCTCCATCTCAGCAATGTACAGCTTGATATGTGCCTCCATCTTGCGGTACTCTTCATGAGCACTGTGAACCTCGTTCTCAATGTTCTCCTTCAAGTCAAGCATCTATGCACGCATTAGCAACTAGACTTAACAAAAAACATCATGGCATGACTTACCTTCTTTTCAGTTTGTTCAATCCTGACACGTCGGACCTCCATCTCCTTGCCCTTCTCCGTGTGCTCCTCAGTGAGATGTTTGTGAACTGCTCGAAGCTCATGCATCTTCTCCTTGGCCTCATGAGCCTTGTGGTTGCTTTGCTCGCGGAGCTTTTCAGTTCTCTCCATCCACTTGGACAATTGGCGCTTCAGCATAGTCTCGGTACGCTCAACTTCACGCGCGTTGTTACCGCGCTCTGAGAGAGCATCACGTTGCTTAGCATTGCGTGCCAGTTCCTCCTCCTCTTTGGCAAGTTCTGAAGCAATCTCATCAAGGATCTTGATGCATGACGCAACGTCGGTTGAGACGACGGAGAAAGAATCCGTCGAAGTTTGAAGTGCTCGGGCTCTTCGATCCAAAGCGTCGATATGCGATTTGTCATTGTTGAGGATTTCACGCAGCTCAGCCAGGTTCTCCTGAAGATCCGATGCGCTCTGGAGCACATAAGGTCGCAGCTTGGTGCTTTCTTGTTTCAGAGTGACTTTTTCGTGGGTCTTTTGCTCCAATACAGCAGTGAGCTCGCCCTTCTTTTGCTTGGCCTCCTCGAGGCGTGCAGCGACTCTTTCCTGGTTTCGTCGAAGCTCAAGCAGCCTTTTCTTGAGTTCTTCGTTCCTCATTGCCTTTTCTCGGACTTGTGCCTCCATTGCTTTGCGGTTGTGTTTCATATCTTCAAGTCGGCCCTCGTTCTCCTGGTTCTCTGCATACAGTGTCTCGATGCGGGTTTTTGTTGATTCAGCCTTATTGTAATGCTGGTCGATAACAGCGGTTTGGGACTCGCGAAACCGAACAAAGTTGATCAAATAGCTGAATATCTTGACGAGGCGGTCATATGTAGGTTTGTACAAGTCGTTAAAACTGAAATCGGTAATGCCACACTCAAATAACAGCCTGCGGAGCGACACGTAGAAGCCCATCAGGTTGCGAGTGTCCGGAGGGATGACATCCGAGTACTCTCCCACAATATCTTCGGCAGCAGCACGCATGGCCGGCTCGACAGTCTCGCGCGTCGCATTAAGAAGAAGCTCGGCGAACCATTCGAAAATTGCCTGAACATGGGCTGCATTTGGCTTCTGAAGATCTGCAACGGTAAAGTTGATTCCGATGTCTGTAATGCAGCCTACGATTTCGCGGTCAGGGAGGCGCATGAAAGCATCAGCCTCCTCCTCCTTCTTCCGCGTGCGCGACTGCTGCTGCGAGGTCGGAATAATGCTCATTCGCGGATTGTATGCCATGATTGCTGATATCGTCGGTTTTGTTTTAGGTCGGATTCACTTCTCTGGTTGCGCTTCGGGTTAGTTTATCGCGATTGCTGAAAATGATAAACAGCAAGGGACTGTTGCCGTGGAGACCAACGGAAAGTGCATCACGTGACGCGACTTATCGAAGCCCAACGAAGGTGTGTCAGTACTGTTTCAAACAATAGAAGATTCCGTGCAGATCTTAAACAGGTGGCTTCAGACATGCTACGATTAGGGAATGTCTTTCCTCAATTATGTCATTGCTTCGGGTTGATATCCCACTTGTGGGTTGCTGCATTGCAGGCAATATTTCGTGTTGAAACACAGCAACTATGCAGCTTACACGGTTAGGAGTCGTTCCGGCCTGACTACTCTCCTTGAATTACGGATTGCGAATCTGTTGATGCTCAGACTATGGGGGAATTTAAAGAAGATTGAGCGTCTTTCTTCAGTGTTTATAATATTGATGAATCTGACTATGATTGAAAGAAGCATGGGCTTGACATATTCAGAGCGTCAATTGTGGACGAATTGGAAACACGCTCATCCACCGGAGCCGTGTATTACTAAAGATAGAAACGCTGATCGTCCAACAGGTCATTGGCGAGAATCGATTGGTAATTCTCAACTATCATGCACCTCGTCGTCTCACTTGCAGCCGTCAACTCGTCCTGTGCATTTACGACCTATGAATTAATCACTCAACTCGTGCGGCGGTGGTAATGCAGCAGAAGCAAGCACAGAGAAGCAAGTTGCCGTGACATGTACTCTCTGCGGCATGCAGTGAATGACCAGTCACTCATCACCCAAGTGAGCCCATTCACTCACAGCGGACTTTACCTTCTGTTGCTTTGCTTGTTAGAGCTCGGAATCAAGCGTGCTTACTATGTAGTTCCTCGCCACTCTTTGTCCCACGCAATTAGTTGTACCTAGCCGTACTCCGTGCTCAACAAAGACTCACAGCTGCTACGTATCTCATCCACGTGGCGGTCCGCCAACACGCCTTGAACATTGAGCATTGAACCAGCTCGGACCGTTTCATTGCTTCTCAAGCGGTACCCCTGAAACGATCCGCTGTCGTCTTGCTCCGAGCCTGGCCAGGGGAAGCCAGATCTGAAGTTTCGGCCCCAAAAGCAAAGACTCGATAACCCGGTGCGCTATTGAAACGTTGAAGATCGATTGGCTGTGGACCTGGTCCCTACAGCCCGATGCATCCCAATGAAACGAAGCCTCAGGGGCATCGAAACGTTCGCGGCTTTGACCCGATTGACTCTAACAAAGGAGTAAACCCTATTCTCTTTTCTCGCTTCCGCCGAAAAGGTTCAAACCAGTTTGCAGATTCGAGAGACTCATTGACCCCGTGGCTTAAGAATAACTGTCTGTCATAGATGGAACTTGGCTCGGAAGTTGACAAGAAACTTATTGGAAAAGGCAACGGGAAGCGACATACATCGAGTGGTGGAACGCAAACTAATGACGGGTACTGACTGTGAGTAAAAAAGGTCAGCCAGCCTTTGAGAAGTCCTTCTCTTCTCCTGCATGACTTGACATGCATTGTCCCTTGCGGGAAAATCTTCTTGGACAGGGAACCCCCGTGTTAAGTATTTGCTAAGGTTTTGGAGGGATGGGCCGCCCGCCCTTTGTTTCCGTGGCCGTGGCGGGCGCCGGGAGTGTTCAAACTTCGAGATGCACCACCAATTCATGGACAAGGATCCCATTGCTTGCTGCATGATAGAATGGCTGTCGTTGGTATTGCTAGATCATAGAAGGATTCAGGCGTTGAGGATTGTGCTGGGGCATGTTGAGATGTCACAGCCTACTATGTACAGAGGTCGAGATGATCAACGCCACGCGATTCAGGATCGCTAGGCCGGGTGAAGTCAAAAGCAAACCGCTGGTCCCTGATTCGCAACGTCAAGGTCCGAGCTCCACGTTCCAACGGTCGCGCTGCGGGAGTGCTAGAGTAAGGCAGGTTCCGTGATAGATTGGACAAGTCACAAATCAAACCAAACCAGGCCAAACCAGCCAACCCAAGTCGACCAGTCACGGTCATGTATGACAAGTCGATTGTGTGACGTTCAAGATGCACTGTTGACTCTCCGTCCGACCCTGGAGTCCAAGCTGAACTGGCCTGGCCTTGCCTTGCGACTCAGGGAAATCCTGAATTGAAATTGAACAACCAAGAGCTTGAAGGTTCTTGGTATGTAGATCTTTGGACCAGAACTCACTCTCTGCACAGCTATGACGCTCATTTCCATGTTAAGGTGGGATCGACGTTGAGGGCAGACGAAAACTTGATTCGGAGATAGCCATAATTACCCATGCATGTCATGTTCCTGATGGAAGCCCAGGCAGGATTGCACTCGAGGATTCTTTCAGCACTGAAGAGGCAGTAGTTTGGCCTGTTTCTCTCTGCCAGGGATTACAATACGGGTAGCTGCATCTCAATCAGGAATATCTCTAGATTAACCTGATGTCCCATGGATCATCTTGTTGGGTGATAGACAGACATGCAACGATCGTCAGGTCCCAACGACACGGACAATACTCAACGACGTGATGCCAATGCCCAGTCAGCAGTTTATAATCATCCCACCCGGCGACGGATACGAAGATCTAGATGGCGACAAGAACCTAAGATCGGGTTCTAGACAGAGAGACTTCGTACTTGGGAAGATAATACGAAGAAACACGCAGGGACGGCGTAAACGGACCCAAACAGCGTGGGTCTTGCGAGGTACAAAGGTACCGGTACCTGGAAAACGGACGAGGGAGGCTTGGCAAGATTATTCAGGTACTCCGTACTCTGTACAGGATACTTTGACGTCGTCTGCCAATCCGAACTCTGCAACGTGCTCTGCACAGCAACTCAATTCGCAAGCCACTTTAATTATTAGTTTAGCAAGAATTGCTTTGCCGAGAGGATAGAGGGAGGAAATAGAAGGAATAAGCAACCTTTGACTCTGTATGCGCCGGATGGTTGTGAGACAAAAAACGCCGAACAGCTCTTTACCTACATAACAGCAAGGGGCGGGTTTTTGGCGTGACAGCCTCGATCGCCTGGCGACGAACGAGATGCTCAGACATGGCGAAACAACGTCCCCTGTGTAAAACTAGCGTCGAGCGCAGCGCAAAGTCTGGCGATGTGATGGTTCGGATGCTTAATCGTGTGGCGGGTACAAAGGCCACGAGACCGATTAATATTATGGATAATTTACAAGGCTTGAGCAGAAGAAGCGAGAGAGCAGTAATTGAGGAACTTAGTTTCTGACATGTGCCTGTAGCATTTACATGCATGTTGATACAACACGAAACAAACTTGACTCAGAAACGACTGGCCAGATGATAGAGACGGAAAAGGCGTTTACCTCGATCTTGTCACATAAGAGTTGTGGCTGCAGAATGTGGCGAGCTATTACAGAAGATCACACACTGAATGAGGAGTTCAACACCGAGCATAGTTGTTCCCGTGGCATAGAATTTCAAGAGTTGGAGGTCGCAGTCAACTTGAGCCTTTCACACCCTCTCGATTAAGAAATTGGCCAATCTCAGACGGTGGGACACTGCAGACGCGAACGAACTCGACCTGATGCATTGGCTGAGATGAGGTGAGGGTTAAGATGAGACGTGAGCCACGAGGATTGGCTTGCAATCGCAGCCAAACCAATACCATTGCCGATATCGACGCGAGGAGTCAGAGCTATACTGACGATCATCGATGGGCCTCTTTTGTGGAGGGACGATCCCGAGGGAGTCCAAATCTCTCTAGCTCTGATTAATGCCAAGTATCAGTGCTCAATTACCAATCTATTTTCCTGTCGGGTATCTCCAGGATGAAATCGAAGGATGCGAATCAATATATTTGAGCGCGTGACACGAAAAAAGACACTTCTGAACGGATACGTGCTGATTGTTTTCATGCTATTTCCTCGAAGAGATCGCCAAAATAGCATCCGCTACTCCATACAGAGTTAATCCACGGAGTAGCGGCTGCTGATACCAATGTTAGACTCGATGCCAAGACTGTTCAGCTTCTGCTTGGATTAGAGACGCAATGACCGACAGGGGCAGACAGTCTATGAGGAATGAAAGGGCCCAAAGCAATGCCTAGATCTATTCTTTTGCTGCTATATCTGGATGTTAACCGGTTCTCGAGACATGCTGTGTTGTTAGTGTAGACTAGCATAGCAGACACAGAGAATTTGAAGTCTGGAGGCGACATATTTTGACATTGGCTGCCTCCTGTCATGAATCGTACCTTGGCAATTTCTCCCCCGCCTTTCCATCATTTCCATGCCATTGGGCATTTCACTGGCGATATGCATGTATGTCAACTTTCACACGAAAACAAACAAACCTCCAATCTAAGTTAGAGAATCACTAACAATGCCGAAGCTTTCCTAATGACCTTCTAAGTTACCCCTCAGAATAGACAAATCAGCTTGGTCTCTCCTCTGACCAAATCGATGACCACCACCTGCTTGAAGGTTTTACTTTAATGCGATTCATTCATCCGGGCCATCCCATCCAGTAGATCAGATCAGATCTGATCACGAGCGCTTGAATAATTACGGCCCTATTTACTCCGTATTGCTGTGAAAATGCCTATCTCTCTGGCTTTACCGTAATTCCTTCTCGCTTGCTGTACGAAGCTCCCCTGCTCGAATACAAGGCTCACCGAGTCTTGCGGTGTTGGTGACCTTCGTGTCGGGTGTTTTCTGTCTTGTTGTCTTGTCGCTAAAGCTGGGCTATCAGTTCCGTTACGAGGCTGCCCCGCCGCCTAATTAACTTCCAGCACCTTACCAGCGCCAGCGGCGTCAACCCAGCGGCCCCTCTCGCCTCCAGTCTTAGCCTAGGGCTTCCAACACCCGGCTTCAGCGGGTTGGACGCCACCTCATCAGGAGCCTGAGTGTGTGCCCGAGCTGCCCCTCGTTGCTTGACGCCCTGGAAGTCCCCGCCAGCAAGTAACGGTTACCGGGCTTCGCCTGTTGAGTGCTTACACATACAAGCGGCCCTCGTACCGCTACCTCATGAGACGTCTTTCTGTGATCCACTGCCTCTAAAAAGGCCCCGTTGAAAGGGCTCCAGATTGCTCGACAGGACCCTTGCCACGTCGACCAGGGGGGCTTGTAGGTATCTGAGAGGGACTGGGGGCTTTTCTTGATGTCCTTTTGGTGCGTGAAGCCTGAAGGTCTAAAAAAAAAAGGGAGTACGTACCTTTGGATGGGTGCCCTCAACTCCCGTTTTTCTCAAGTTAGCACTTTGCAAGGGACCAAGGGAAAAGCACAATTCAACAATAGTGGACCCCTCCCGCCCTCTCCCTGTCCACGTCCTGTCTGTGCCCGTGTGTCTCTGCTAGCTCTGCTTTGCCCGCCCAAGCCTGACCCTGACGTCGACTTTTTCCTTTCCATTCAACCTGCAGCATCTCGTTGGTCCCGGTCATTGGCCCTGACCCCATTCCTTCCCTTCTTTCCCTTCCCTGCCGGTCCCCGGTGCCCTGAAAAATCGTCTTGATCCCGCCCCCCGGACCACCACACCCAAGCAAGCACAAGCAAGCACCAGCAGTTACGTTACTGTTACTGTACCGTCCCTTGCACTTACCTTAATTACCTAGCACCTGCTGCTTGCTCGACACTCTCACCACACACGTTTCGCCACGCACCAAATACCTACGACCTACGACCTCGCTCGCGTACTTGCATTCTTTACCTATACACAATCACCACTTATTTTCGATTGTGACTGCAGCGGCTGTACTTGTATTCCTATCAGCACCCATCAACGACACCTGTCTTCGACCCCCTGCTCTGCTCTATCTGTTGCGGCCGTTCGACACGACCCTGCAGCTCACACTCGCTTCTCCTGATGACCAGCTTGGTTCGACTGTTTTGACGACTCCACGATGCCCTCGCACACCCGATATAATCTAGACGACTTCGACTGTACATCGGCGACGATATTGGCTGCCCACAACTAGCTCTAGTTCCTGGCGAAGAACTTGGAATCATGGCCCTTTGGCCATTCCGGCGACGGAGTAGCCGTAAGCGCTCCCGCAGCGGCGCTGCTTTCTCGGATGCAGAAGGCGCGTCGCTGCCTCATAACGAAGGGGCCAAAGCTGGATTAAAGAAACGACGTACCGAACCACCCAAGCTTCCACAAGCGACCCGGACCTACAGTTTCTCCCCGGGACGCCAGGATGACATTCGCAACGAACGAGACCGGCCTGGCTCACCAGCCCGTGAACGAACCGGCCGATCGAGAACTACTGGTAACCCTGAAGAACGTCCTGGACTTTGGGACCGAACACCCACGCTTCGCCCTACACACCAACCATCAAGAAAACAGACGATAAAGAGGAGGAAAGAGAGAGAAGCCGAGATCAAGGCAATGAGCAACTTCATGCCAGTTCGACCGGCTACCGAGCAATGGAATTCAGGCAGGCCCATGAAGAAGGATTCCAAGAGATCAAGGACTGGCGGATTCGGAAGGCATCGAGCTGGACGCGACTCCGACGTTTCCCTTCCTGCGCCCGGCTCCATACATTCTAGCCTGTCTTCCGATTCCGAGTTTGGCTCATACAGAGTTTCTGCTCTTGCAGCTCTCGCACCACGACCGACACTTCGCTATACACCAAACGCACGATGGACCACCCCTCATTTACCTCAACCTCATAGAGCTGGATCTTTGAGGAAAAAGCTCCTCGAGCAAGACTCCATCCCGGAAGAAACCATGAGGTCACATAAGCGAATTGATTCTCTTGCTGATGACCTCGACGCCCGCGATCTCAGGGAACTCATGGAGATTGATAACCGACGACGAGAGCTAAAGAGACAAAAGGAGAGACAAAGGATGGAGCGACGAATTACACAACGAGCACAACAACAGCGAGCAGAGGAGATACAGGCGAAGAAAGCAGGTACTCCCCCACCAGAAAACCTTGAGAGAGGAGTTATGGGTCGCGAACTGGTAGGCTTGGGGATTGAGCCTGCTTCGGCTGTTGTTATTGACACAAAGCCTGAAGAGCCAGAGCCCATGGATATTACCGATGACGAGAAAGTAATTGAGTCTCCTAAGAAGGTCGAGGAGGCCTTCCACCGTACAGATACAGCCGCCTCTGAACAGCCAGCACCCATGGAAGAAGTTCTTACAAAGGATACCTCATCCATGCGACAGCCTTCTGAGGATATGGGGAGCGGTTCGCCCGGAACCCGCTTTTCAGATCTTCTGCGATCAGCTAAATCCCGATCCAGGTCGACTATAAGATCTGATCGAGACAGGATGGTATCACCCCCTCCTGAGACAATTGACGAGGAGGATGTCCATGTACCAAGACAACATTCTCATAGTTCTGATGGCAGCAAGAACGGCTTTGCTTCTATTAAAGCGTTCCTGAGAATTGGAAGCAAACGACAACGACATGAAGGACCGTCGTCCTTCTCTAATACCTCCCGGGAGGAGATGTCAGCTGCTGCTGCCCAATCAAGAGCACAGGCGCAAGCATACGCCCTCGCTAAGCTCGAGGGTGAAGACTTGACCAACTCTTCGAATGTCAACTACCTATCTCGCAAGCCTTCTACTGGCGCCCCCAAGAGGACGAGGTCTCGCTTCCGGGAAGACCTGCCTGAACTACCTCTCTCGCCGCCACCTTCACGCGTGCAGTCACCTGAGGCAGAACCTCCAATGCCTGTTCTCACCGAACAAAAGATTCGTGAAATAGAACAGCTACGATCGATGGGCGTGCGCTATGACACGCCAACATCGGGGCATCGTTCCGTCGAAGCCATGCGCCACACTCCTTCTACAATGGAACGAACCCACGTTTCTCCATCTCCCGAGGCCGGCATGTCCATGTCACTTGCTTCGATTGACTCCGAGGGCTCTTGGCTTTCTGGTAACACCAGTGGTCGAAGAGCCGCCATACGAGATAGCATTCGACGTGCAAACCAGCGCGAGCAAACCGACGCCAATGCTACTTCCCCAACAAGCAGCACGGACGAGGACCTTGAGATTGTGGAAGATGAATATCTGACCAAGCTCACCCCCCGAAGTAATCCGAATCCTGAAGCCATGGGTCGTCGCTCCGGTGAAGGACGTCCCAGCAGCGATGAGGAAGAGATTGTCAACGATGGAGAGATGAAGTGGGGTGCCGTTGGTTCTCAGCCACAAGTCATACACAGGTGGACTATGAAGAGCCACGAGGGTCTCCTTGAGATTGAATCTGAAGAAGAAGAGAGCCCAACATCACCAGTTTCCCCATCACAAGAACTTGCCAACGTCCGGAGCGCTAGAAGCGTTAACCTTGGCAAGGGCCATGTACGCAACTTTAGTGCTGGAAGTGCTAAGCTGCTCGACATCACTCCTCGGGCCTCTGTAGATGCCACAGGGAGTTTGGAGAGACGGCGAAGCCACGTCCTACCAGCCATGTGAAAGCAAAACTAATTTTTGATCGTTCCAAAGAAGAGTCTCCCGCAACATTACCGTCCGCCAGAGGACACCTTACACTCATTTTATTTCCTTATTCATGTCAACTGACCTCAGTCACTCCTTACACTTTTCCTTATTAACTTCACTAAAACAAAACAAAATAAAGACTTAAAAACACTCGGAAAACATGGAAAATCACGGAGACTCTTCTTTCGACGACAAAAATCTTACAATAGCGTATCACATGGACTGGTTTGGGCAAAAGACTTGCTCTTGATGTATTACACGACCTTGATGACAACGGCGCATTCCAAGTTCACAGCTAGGATTTCTTTTCTCGACTACATATACCGCATTTTTTGATACCCCGCGTCGACCGCCAGTTACATAGAGCTGGAAGACTCGACGCGTTTGTTTTACCACTTATTGGTGAGGGAGCTAGACTTCCTCGGCCGGACCCTATCCGTGTCTATAGGCACTGTCACTCGTTGGGAAACCGTCATTATTTTCCTTGTCTGCGAGATGAGGGGAATATTTTGCTTTCTACTAGCCTGGGTTTATGGGAGCCGGGAAAAAGGATTTGATTTGAGCCACTGGGATTTGCTTCTTGCATACAGGCATCCAGACAGATGATCTGGTAGCCTGATAGCGAGCTTGGCGCAAGTGGCTGGTTGCATGGAACAATAGATACCTTGCGATATCGCAATGAACATCAGTGGGAACTGGAGTGGGCAAGGTCGAAGAGCGATATGTGCTTGCTGCTCCGGAGGAGGAATATGTAAATGTCTGTAAGCTGATAGGTTAATTGACCAGATCGAACAATACCTTTAAAATTAGAAGCTGCTTCACTATGCATCAAGTGACATGTTAAGATTATGCCATGCCCACATCCCTTCGTGCACGACGGACGTCTGGTAGCTGATGAAGAGCATGATTCGATCGATGTCGATCTCGGGAGCTAGTTTAGCTGCTGGGTATGTGGAAATTGCCATGCCTTGTCAGCTTGTCTTGCATGCATTCTCTAAATCTGGGCCCTGGATGTACGTAGTATATCCACTAGGGCACGGTCATATAGAGACTTTGGTCTCTTGAAGTCGCAATTGGTTGATGTGAGGTGGGCTAAGAATGGCATGCGGCGGCGGTGGAGAGGTCATCTAGGAACCCGCGGAGAGTTGTAGGATGGCAGTACTATGTACATGGATATTGCAGGGCTAGTAGGAGGATGTGTGATGTTATTTCGGGATACATTACAGGGAAACAAGTATTCATAAGGATACTTTACCGCGTTATCCAAAGTTCTGAGTGGTTGTAGTCGAGTGGACAAGCACGTACATATTAGTTGTATGGTTCTTGTAAATTAATAGGTACCTTAGGCAAGACTGTGATTTAAGTCACTGTAGACTAGAAGGCCATATGTCAATGAAAACACAAGCGCTATATCTCCAGTGTCACTTCTGTAAACTAGGCATAAAGCTCATGTATCGAAAAATATCATCATGAAACTCCCCATCAAGTATCATGAAACGCCCAAGATCAGTCATGAACTTTTTTGTCGTCATAATTGATTGGACAATCAAATCACCAGGCTCCACCCAAACAAGAAGCGTCAGAGCTAACAATTAGAAATCCAGATTTCTCATACACATCGAACATTTATGAAGATTCCTTTTATAAATCAACTCATCTTATAAAACTTATAAAATGGCTTCTCCTTTCCGTCTCATGCGTCCCATCGCCCAGGCCGCCCGCTCTGGTGCTGTTTCTGTTGCTGCTCGCCCTTTCCACAGCTCGGCCGCGAGATTGGCTGTGCAGGATATTAAGACGTGAGCTCGCAAGCAAGATAACGATAAATGATACTCAGCCAAACTAACGTGTTGGGATAGAACCAAGGAGTTCAAGGATCTTGTTTCTACAACAGACAAGGCTGTCCTCGTCGACTGCTTCGCTACCTGGTGCGGTCCCTGCAAGGCCATCTCTCCCATCCTCAACAAGTAAGCGACCTGAGGACTAGTCACTATAAGTGCCGATCTAACATAATGATTCCAGACTCTCTGAGCAGGACGCTCTTTCAGAGAGCATCCATTTTGTCAAGTTTGACGTGGATGAGCTGCCAGACCTGACCGCCGACCTTGGAGTTCGTGCCATGCCGACTTTCTTTGTGTTTAAGAACGGCGACAAGGTTGACCAGCTTGTCGGTGCTGACCCTCAGGCACTTCAGACTATGCTGGCAAAGCATGCTGCATGAGTTTTCTACGATATTGATATCACTGGTTCACTGTGAGGGGATAGCTCATAGGGACTTGTTTAACCTGTATATGCTGTGTAACAAAATAAAGGCATTATGGAGGACAGCTGTGTATAATGGCATAGGTAGTTAGACTTGAAAAAGGGTTATTGTGTTTATGAACTGACTGGCTACAGAATACTGTCTCCAGACCCATGATCCTATATTGATTGTCATTCATGGTGTAAATCTGTACGCCCGGCTAGAAGTGGCTCATATGTGATAGGCCAAGCACAACTGTCTGCTCTCACGCGGCCTTCTATTTCCAGTATGGCTGCAGCGGAGGTGGAAGGCCGTCTCGCGCATACATATGACCACTCGGCGAGTGTCACTTGCGCCCAAGAGGTATTGACATGTACGAAAACGACCGTTACACTCAGATCAATTGGTCACTAATAAACTAGGGAAAACATGTCATTGACACACTTATCTTGTCGTTGTGCTCTGTGTTATCTTGACAGTGGAATCGGACCAGCCCCACCCTGAATACGCCAATCAGAAGAGTCAATTCAGTTGGTTCCAAGATCGGGACTTCAATTGAGGACCGATCAGACGGTGCTATAAGTTGATGTGACAGCCTCAGCGGTATAGTTTGGTCTTTAGCTCATTCAAGCACTATTTTGTTTAAACCAAACTCTTTTACAGTGACCAGATAGCATACGTATCTGGCAATAATCTTTAAAATGACCAACACTATCGTTGTCGTTGGGTGAGTCTTCAAGTTCGAGGTATTTGCTGAGACAAACGACTAATATCACCAAAGTGCTGGTGTTTCTGGCTTGACATCTGCCTACCTTCTCTCCAAGACCAAAGGCAACAAGATCACAGTCGTAGGCAAGCATATGCCTGGTGACTATGACATTGAATATGCCTCGCCCTTTGCCGGCGCCAACATCTGCCCGTGGGTCTACCTACATCTTGTGATTGATTGATAGATAGACCAAATACTGACTGGCACTCCCTAGAATGGCTACACAAGAAAACAGCAGGTGGGAACGACGAACGTGGATAGAATTCAAGAAATTATGCGAGCAAGTCCCCGAGGCGGGCATTCACTTCCAGAGTACGTCCCCGTATTTCGTATATGTCTTACAAGTGAGGCGAATCGCTAATATCACAAAGAATGCCATATTCAAAGACGCAAGAAAGATGCCGAGGCCGCAGAGCACACCACTTTCCCTGACGCCCTCTTCATGGAAGAACCATGGTATAAGGAAATCTTTGAGGACTTCCGAGAGCATAACCCCGATGAAGTCACCCCCGGTTACGACTCAGGCTGCGAATTCACCTCCGTCTGCATCAACACCGCTATTTACCTCCCCTGGCTGGTGGGCCAATGCCTCAAGAACGGCGTCGTCTTCAAACGAGCTGTCCTGGCCGATATCAACGAGGCCAAAAAGCTGAGCCACACGGGCAGCGTCCCCAACATCATCGTCAACGCCACAGGTCTAGGCTCCCTCAAGCTCGGCGGTGTCAAGGATGAGACCATGGCGCCTGCGCGCGGACAGATCGTCGTGGTGCGCAACGAGAGCAGTCCCATGCTGATCACCTCTGGGGTCGAGGACGGCGGCAGCGATGTCATGTACCTGATGATGCGCGCAGCCGGCGGCGGTACAATTCTGGGTGGAACCTACGATATTGGCAACTGGGAGTCGCAGCCAGATCCCAACATTGCGCAGCGCATCATGCAGCGCATTGTTACAACACGCCCTGAGATTGCGGACGGCAAGGGCGTCAAGGGATTGAGCGTTATTCGTCACGCTGTTGGACTGCGACCTTGGAGGAAGGATGGTCTTCGTCTTGAGGAGGAGAAATTGGATGACGAGACGTGGATTGTGCACAACTACGGTCATTCAGGATGGGGATATCAAGGATCTTATGGTTGTGCTGAGGGCGTGGTTGAATTGGTTGACAAAGTCGGCAAGGGCGCTAAATCGAAGCTGTAGATTGTTTAAGTAAAACTCACGATCAATGTTGGGATGAATTGAAACCGTTGATTACCATTGTTCTGGCTCTATTGTCTTATCTATAATACATTCAACCTTTATGGGAAAAGTTGGACAATGGACAGATTATGCATATCGCGGGGCCCCGCATTTTGTTACAGCTGTTCATTCGAGCTCATGAGCCCCTGGCCGAAGTCATGAAGCTTTTATCTCCCTCTTCCACAGGCCATTCGACACCCACAACCGGCAAAATGGCAGATTCTACGCCTGGTGCCCTTACACAAGGAACTCGCTTCGTCCAAAATCTCATCACAGGCCGCCATGCGCTGTCCATATTCATTCCCGTCGCGCTTTGGCTCGTCGACGCGATTGGAACTTGTCTGATCATCTGGAAGGTCCCATGTGCGTTGTGCCCGATGCTGTTGATTCCCAAGAAAAAGGCTAATGCAGAATTGATAGATACTGAGATTGATTGGGTGGCGTACATGCAGCAGATCTCGCAATTTCTTGCTGGTGAGCGAGACTATACCAACATCAAGGGCGATACTGGTCCCCTTGTGTATCCAGCTGCGCACGTCTACACTTTTACTGGGCTATACTACGCCACGGACGAGGGCAAGGACATCTTCCTGGCGCAGCAGATCTTTGGCGTTCTGTACATGGCTACGCTGGCAGTGGTGATGAGTTGCTACTGGAAGGCCAAGGTAAGCCTCAACCAGGAGTTGTTTCTGACCAAATTGACTGACTAAGTTTAGGTCCCTCCTTACATGTTCGTTTTCCTGGTCGCTTCGAAAAGACTTCACAGTCTTTTTGTGTTGCGATGCTTCAACGACTGCTTCGCTGTTTTCTTCCTATGGCTCACAATCTTCTTCTTCCAACGCCGCAACTGGACTTTCGGGTGTCTCGCCTATACCTGGGGCCTAGGAATTAAAATGACGCTGCTACTGGTCCTCCCTGCTGTTGGCACTATCCTTTTCCTCGGCCGAGGCTTTTGGCCCAGTATACAACTCGCATGGCTCATGGCACAGGTTCAGTTCCTCATTGGAATTCCATTCATCGTGAAGAACCCTCGTGGATATGCGGCTCGAGCCTTTGAGTTATCTCGCGAGTTCAAGTTTCATTGGACGGTCAACTGGCGCATGTTGGGCGAGGAAGTATTCCTCAGCAAGTCTTTTGCTCTAACGCTTCTTGCTTGCCACGTTGCAGCACTTCTTATCTTCATCTCTAAGAGATGGCTTCAGGCGACTGGACGACCGCTCTCCGCCATAATCCCCTCCTTCTTGCGGCTCAAGTCCCCGTTTACTGAGCAGGAACACCTTCGAATCTCCCACTACGTCACCCCTGAGTATGTCATGACGACAATGCTCACTGCCAACCTCATCGGCCTGCTGTTTGCGAGGTCGTTGCACTACCAATTCTATGCCTATCTGGCGTGGGCCTCGCCATATCTTCTTTGGCAAGCCACGGGAGATGTCTTCATTGTGTCGGTTATCTGGGCGGCGCAGGAGTGGGCATGGAACACCTTCCCGAGCACCGACTTGAGCTCCGGTGTCACTGTGAATGCGATGCTCGCCACAGTCGTGCTGGTGTATCTGGGGACAGCCAGACTTGCCATTCCTGCATTTCAGGCTAGGAAAAATGGAGTGCCTACACAGGCTAGGAACATCGAAGCGAAGAACAAATAGATGTGGATCTAGACGTGCAATTTCACTCATCTTCGGAGTCACTGGGTGGCATTTTTCCAACGTTGGATTCTTCCTCGGAGTCGCTCAGGTCGTATGTGTTCTTCTTGACAAATTCCTTGGGCCTACAATAGACTTGATTAGCCTAGTTCATCAGATATCACATGCCATAAGCTCTCACCAGTAAGACTGTTTGCGCCAAGCCTTCTCATCTCGAACGACATTGACAATCTCTCCTTCTGCCCGGGTATCCTCCTTGCTGTCTTCGTATCGCTCAGCGAGGACGAACCCGCCGCGCTTGATCCAGATAGTATTTCGGAACCGCTGGCCTAGTTCTAGGACAAGGGTCTTTGTGTTTGGAAGCTCGCAGGTGTAGAGATTGTTGCCCTCGGGTTTGACGACGCGAACCAGGGACTGGTTGGGCTCGAGAACATCAGGAGGTGTCAGAGCAGCTTCTGCGGCTGCGAGAACGTTTCGCTTAGGACGTCCCATTGTGATTTATTCTGAGTTGGTACTTTTCGACAAAAATGTCTTGATTACTTTTTTCATGACAGATATAGAGGGGTTGTTTGGAGGGGCAGGCATCGCTACAGCGATATACCTTGATGAATCGAACAGCCTCAACTATCGTATTATCCGAGTTCTATGCACTTAGGTCGACAAACCCGGGATTACCCTATGCGGTCCCTCCGACTATGAGCAGTCCTTCGCCGCTTTCTCATGACATTGGATTGCGAACCACATCTCGTCTACTTTCTTCTATTGTGTACTTATTAAGTAATGCTTGACTCGGGTATGACACTCCGGATATGGTCAGTTTTCACCGACTGCTGGTACAGTAACCCAAAGTGGTAAAACAACCAACTTGAACATCATGTGCAGGTAAAGGTGAGCACGACAGTCAAAGATGGTGACCATTTTGTCAGCAATTTATGTGAAATTCCGAGTGATCATCCAATCGGGTCTTTTACAGGTATCACTAACGTTCATGTGTAACCAACCGCAAAGGACGAGAGAACCGACCCCGGTATTAGTGCATGGGTATTGACAGTGTATCAGACCTGGGTAAATTATTCGGTAGCGACCTCTAGTGGTCTAGAATTCATATTTGCACCTCAGATGGCCTTGTCAATGTGGACTCGGCTTGATTACCCTTTACTTGAGGCTCATTCTGGCATTTCCAGGTACTAGGCTCTGCCGAATGGAGGCATTCCACCTGAAGAATATCATGCGAAAGAGTAAAGACCTGGACGACTGCGTGACTCAACTGAGATTTCGATGCAGATCTTTTCGTTGTGGCGTCTCGGTCTTTGCATCAATATACATATATGAATATGTATATTAATGGGATCATGGACTAGTTCAAATACTATTGATGGTGTTGGCACTTTTGACTGCTCACACTCCGTGCCTCATTGGCTTCTTTAAGCCTGCCTACTGCTTTAGTTTAGTATACCATGGATGCCTCAATGCTGTCGGGTCTTGTTGTAGTGCAATCTGCTGCCGCCGAATCTCCAACCGAAGAGCTATACCGTCCCTTGACAGCTCCTCCTAAAACGCTCCCGAGATCACACATCAGCGGTCCTCAGAGAGAATCATTCGATCTGCATAACATCCCAGTCCGCGATGGCAACAAGTCGGATGCTGTGCTCCCCAATGCCGCAAACGACTTAGAGATGAGTCGGCCCAACAGCCCCGACTCTAATGTTGAAGCCGTTGAGGTTGTGCCAACCATCTGGAACCCCTTTATGAATCGCTTCAGAATTCTTTTTGGTTGCCTGGCCCAGTTGGGTAATGCACTTAGCGATAGTGCTGCTGGCGCTTTGATTCCCTACATGGAGAAGTATGTATACACCGTTCGTTGTTTGATGGCAGTAGCTAACACGCTCTAGGTACTACGATATTGGCTATGCCACTGTGTCTCTTATCTTCGTTGGTCAAGCCATTGGCTTCATTGCAGCCGCCGTATTCCTAGACGTCCTACGAGAAAAACTCGGTCGAGCCAAGCTTCTCGGGTTGGCCCAGGCCCTTGTCACTCTGGCCTATATCCCCATTATCTGCGGAGCACCCTTCGTCGTTGTTGTTTTCTCGTTCTTCTTCATCGGCTTTAGCATCTCCGTCAACGTCGCTATTGGCAACCTCTTCTTTGGTGGGCTCCGAAACGGAACATGTATGCTCGGTATGCTTCATGGCACTTACGGGATAGGAGGAACTATTGGTCCGCTCATTGCTACTGCACTTGTCACGGTTGCTAATGCAGTATGGACTCGATACTACATCATAACATGCGCACTCGGTGCCTTGACTTTCGTCCTGGGAACCTGGTCGTTCTGGAGATATGAGAAGGAGCTGAGTCCCATGGCGCGCCAGAGAGAGACATCACAGGTGGGAGAGTTCATGATGAACAGCATGTTTGTCGCCATGAAGCTGCGCGTTGTCTTTTTGGGTTCGCTGTTTATCTTTGCCTACCAAGGGGCTGAGGTTTCCATTTCAGGCTGGGTGATCTCTTTCCTTATCAATGAACGTGATGGCGATCCTTCTTCAGTCGGTTACGTTACAGCAGGCTTCTGGGCTGGCATCACCATCGGCCGGTTCGTCCTTTCTGCGCCCGCGCAACGAATTGGCGAGAAGAAACTTGTGTATGGCCTCACAATCGGCGCACTGGCCTTTGAGCTTCTAGTCTGGTTTGTGCCTAACATCGTGGGCAACGCTATCGCGGTCTCTATCGTTGGTCTTCTCCTTGGACCTATCTACCCATGCGCTGCAGCCGTCTTCCTGCGCAGTATGAATCGGCGCGAGGCTTTGAGCGGCATCGGCACGATTAGTGCTTGCGGAAGTGCCGGGGGAGCTGTTGCGCCCTTTATCACTGGCCTTCTTGCACAGGCAGTGGGAACATTTGTGCTTCATCCGATCGTGATTTTCCTATTCCTTGTCATGTTGCTGTGTTGGTACTTTCTTCCTGCTGATGACAAGAGAACAGAGTAAGAGATTGGTATTGTCTGAAGTATGGCGGAATGAGGTACATCTAAGCTATTTGCAAAAGGGGGTGATGTGGCAGGTAGGACATGCGATATGATAGGAGAACAGGCCGGATCTAGATAGATTGAATCTATTCAAAAATCTATAATGCGTCTATAATATGATCTGCGTAGATGGCTTACATCTACTTTACTCTATGTGCCTCTAAGTGAGTATAGATACGGATTCCCTTTCTTCTCTTGATGTCGTAATTGTTGATAGGTTAGATGCGGCCGCGAGCGGCATCCTGGACAGTTATGGTACCAGCCACAATATCCTTGACAGTCTGGGAGATGCTGGACCAGTCACGGAAGGTAACGAAGGGGACCTTCTCGTTCTCGCACCAGGTGACAAGGTCTATAAATTAATTAGCATTGCGCGTAAGTGTAGGAGATTATGGTATTATACGCACCCATATCGGCCTTGGCAAACAGCAAGTCAGTCTCCTTGGCAGCAGAGAGATCGGAAACACCGTCACCGGCGTAGAACATGGTAGGTCGGTTGGGCAGCGAGGAGTACTTGCGGATCTCGATTGACTTGTCATGACCGTGGATACTGAGGGAGTCAGCGTCAGCGCGTAGTTTCATAAGCAGAGAGATCCGAGAGTATCTTTACCTGTCGTCATGGAACTCAATTCGCCATCCACCCTCATCTTCGAGAGTTTTACCCTCGCGCGCCTTAACATCATTGCTCACGATCTGAATATCCCAGCCAGGGCCAAGAAGAGTGTCTAGTAGAGCTCGAATGACGGGCTCCATGCCACCACTAAGGATGACGATGGGAACGTTGTTCTGCTGAGCCCAGTCGTAGAAATCCTTGAAGCCAGGGTCGAGCTTGATGTTCTTGAGAAGAAGCTGGACGCACTCGTCGAAGGGGGTCTTGATGCTATCAAGCATCTCCACGAAGCTGTCGCGGAAATGCATCTTTCCGAAAAGCACGTCCTTATTCAGCTGGCGACGGCGCTCAACACCAAAGCCAAGGTTGTCGGTCATGTAGTCATTAGAGTCGGCGGTGGTGACGGTTCCGTCAAAGTCGGTAAAGAAGATGAACTTGGGGTTGTTCTTGAGAGCTGGGGTATCGGAAGCCATGATGACGGTCTGTGTATTATTTGTGTAATTTCTGGAATTTGGGTTACGTCGCAAGTGTGTTCTACACCAATTGGCCTGTAGAGAGTGAGTGAACTATATGTCTTGAAACCACAGTTTAAAAGACGGACGATTGTTGAAGTTGGAAGATATGACAGAGCGCAATAAAATGGCGGGGGAGGGGCACAAGTTTTCATGAGAGACAGCGCAACTAAAGATCGACAGGAATTAAGAAAAACACCTGCTATAAACTGACCGAGTTGATTGGAGGCTGCCACTGAAGGATCTGCCTAGGCTACATACTGTAATTACATAACACAAAACACCGCATATCTTTGGTTATCAAGCCTTGGTCTTGGCCATGGCCATGGTCTCTACCGTTGGTCTGGTTGGGCAAACGATAGAGGTGTCGTCATTCTCATGACTCTGACAGACATGAACAGTGCCCCTCCACACTTCCTCTGCCTGTAATTGCCCTGAAGCATAGCTCTTGGGGCCCCGAGTCAAGAGTGATTACCCCACTACAGGGCACTTGCGCGGTAAAGGTAAAGGCGGTGGCTGTATTCGGCATTGCCCCCCGGCGGCAGAAAAAGCCCCGGCACGGAGCCGGCTGTTAGCTTTATCGGCTCGGCCCATGCGTTCATCCCATCTTCTCAACATTTCATAGCAGAGCTCGAGTCAACTCGCCTATCCGCGACGTCGCTGCCGCATTACACGCCTCTCCCGGTAGCCATGCAGCCGTTTGCTCGTCCTGTGGCTCGGCTTGTCTGGAGCAATGCGCGATTAGGACTCGATCGGACCACGAGGCCCGGCAGGTCTTGTTGGGGGGCTTCCATACTTCAGAACCCAACGATATGTATGCGCTGCAAGATACCCGCCATTGGCCCCCAAGCAAGACTCTATTCGACGGAGCGACCACCGAAGGATTCAGACACGAGCTCTAGGACGAATAAGGATGTCGAGGCTGAACTTGAATCGATCCTCAAACCTCGGCCCAATATTCTAAAAGAGCTTCAACCGCCTGCCGAGAGGCCGAAACTACAAGATATCAAGTCCACTGATACCACATCCCAAAGCGCCACCCTTCAAGACACGAAACCCCAGGCACCCAAACTCGAGGATGTCAAAGCCGAAACCTCAAAACACGACGATGCCGCTCAATCAGATGAAGCTCGCTCAGCCGCCCAGAACCTCCATAAGCTCCGAAACCGCACGCTAGATAGTGTGAACGAGTTGAAGGAGAAGTTTAGTCAGGCTATGGATAGACTTCAATCAAGGGCTATGAACGCTTCACAAACCCTCAACGACATTACTGGATACACTAGCATCGAAATCATCAAGCGTCAGAATGCCAAGTTGGAAACTGATCTTGCGGAGGCTCATGAGCTAGTACGCAATGCTCGACATGAATACAAGACATCAAACGCCAGCCGTGCGGCAACACAACGCGAGGTCACAACATTACTGGCGCGGAAAGATAGCTGGTCTCCTGTCGATCTTGAACGCTTTACCGAGCTGTACCGTGCGGACCATACCCTGGAGGGCAAGGTAGCAACATCGCAGGAAACTCTTACGGAAGCCGAGATTGAGGAGCAACGTCTCAGCCAACAACTCAATGCAGGTATCCTAAAACGTTATCACGAGGAACAAATCTGGAGCGATCGCATCCGAAGGGCAAGCACTTGGGGTACCTGGGGCCTGATGGGCATGAACTTTATACTTTTTGTGATACTCCAGTTTATCGCAGAGCCCTGGAAGAGAAGGAGACTGGTTAGGGGCGTTGTGGCCGAAGAGATGGCTGTGCTTCAGGAGGTTCGTGGCGAGCTTGAGCAAGTCAAGCTGGCCATTGAAAGCCAAAACCAGCCCGCTGCTTCTGCCGCTTTTGCTTCAGCTGTCGAGGCAACTCGAGAATTGGAGGCTGAGCCAATCGCGGAGGCTGCGGTGTCGGAGGAGATATTGCCTGCTGAGGGTCTCCTATCGGTGGAGGAAGCCGAGCCCAGCAAGGTACCTTTTGCTTCGACCGCTGAACAAGTGGCTGAAGCGCCTCTTCTTTATACTCTGCCTATTTTGCCCACGAGAACATGGGAAGAAGTCCTGAGAGATCCCGAGTGGTGGAGAGCCATGAAAGATCCCGAGTGGTGGAGAGCCAAGGCAGAAGACCTCTGCAGCGAGCGATGGATAGACATGCGTATGCGAGACGCTTCGTTATTGGTGTTGGAGGGAGCATTGGCCGGAGCCGTGTGCGCGGGAAGCATCGTGCTACTCATGGTGCGGAGATCATGACACTCCCATATGTATCATAGACATAGAATTTACCGTCCTGTATATTACTTTAATAAAGCTGTACCATTACTCGCCAGCGAGAAGGTCAATTCACGATGCCTCAGAGCCAGCTGGCCAATCGGATGAATGTCTATTGCATGACCGGTAGGGCTGGTAGCCAGAAAACGCCAGCCTCAAGCATGACACTAAACGTTTTGCAGGTAAACCGAGACAAGGAGTTCTGTACACATGATGCGAGATATGCACATGGAAATTCCGAGTGGCATTTAAGTGCCGATGAAGCATTACGTAAGGCCAAGAGACCCTCTATTGTTGAAAAACCTAGGTACCTTACCTTAGTTAAGTAGTTCATCATGGGCAGTCGCAAGCATCGACCCCTTGTCATTCCACGCTCAAGGGTAACCCGGACGATTAATTTAACGAAAAAGAGCATATCGCCAATCCGATTTGCCAGTTACTGAGATTAACGGCAACTACATGTTAAGGGTCGTGTGGTTCACAGATATTGACCGCTCCCCGAACGTGCGGTTTTAAATCGGAGCTGAAGGTTTTTAGTGACCCGTGGCGGGGCTTTTAGCTGGCAACATTTAGGACTTTTCACGAGGGTTTGTAGGACTTTGCTATAAGTTTCAACGGCTACACGGTGGGAATAAGAACACGCACATTCTCGGTTTGTCGGGCCCTGGTTTCACTGAGATATTTTGATACTTTTGCGGTATTACTTATCTACCTATGATATGAAAGAGATTCATGAGTTTGTCGTTTCATCTATAGGTTTCACAAGCAATAATCCAAGGTTTAGGCGTTCATGCAAAACTATCTGGTGATGTATCCTGAAACGCAATTCGAGTAGGACATAGTTGGTCTGGATGTATGCTTTGCGAATGCTGTAAACAAAAGTGCCTACAAGAACATACATTCCAAGCAAGTTACTGGGTTCGCTACAGAGGGTTGCCTGTAACGACAAGATACTTCTTCTTTGATTCTGTCTCATTACAGCTACGCCTCTTTGTTCCCGTTATCATCTGTGTCAGTCCTACCAAGTTGTGGCTGCCGTAGTACCTTAGTATTCTATAAGCGACTAACCTCTTGGATATCCTAATCAATTAGCATCTCGATCCTTTTACGGAGTGCCTTTTGTCTCAATACCTTCCCCGTTGGACTTACGTAGTAAACTTGCACTTGATAGACCCTTGCTACAGTGCATTGTCCATTGTCACCCACCTCTTTAACTGGAGAGCTACGCCGCTGCAAACCTGAAAGCTCCCCGCCCGCCAACAGAACAGAACGGAACCTACAGACCTAACCTGGAACCCCCCACCAAGAGCGGCGCGCCGGGGTCTGAGCTCCTTTGCACCTCGAGCCTCCTTAGGCATTAAGTTAGGACTTTAGTACCTGACCTGACCTGGCATGACCTGAGCGTTGAGAGCATTGGGCTTCTTTGACCCTCTCTTTTTTGCTTATCAAACTCTCCTGGAGTGATCCCCTTCTTTGCGTGTTTTCAGATATTTGCTTCAACTGGTGGTAAATACCGTCTTTCTTTGACTTTGACTAACTGCAGTCTCCGTTAGCTTACCGCTAATCGAGGTACTACAGTGAGGGCTGTTTGCTTGCCGGGCATAAAATACCATACCCAGGACAAAGACAAAAACCCCGCCAAAAGACGTCGTTTCCCATTTACCCCCCTCTCTCCCAGTCATCCGTCCTCGATTCCTCAGGTTAATAAGGCACTGGACCTAGGTTGCCTTACTGTACATGACTGATACTGTCTGTACTGTACTGTATTGTACGATCGGCTGTGCTGCACTGCGCCGGTAGTGTCACTGACGACATCTTCCACCTTCCACCTGCCACTCCCACTCCCACTACCACTCCCACGGCCATCTACTGCCACCACCTGCATCTGGCAACGGCTGGGCTTAATAACCTAAACCCTCTCTTCCTCTCAACCTCCTCATCTCCACACGCCAGCTTCGGCCTCATCCACCTGAAGCTCGTCGGCGAACCAAAATCACCTTTACGCACACGCAGACACAACCGGGATTTGGCCTCCTCTTGTTGTGCGCCTGTGACTGTGCTTCTGCTTGTGCTTGCTTGGGGCTTGGTACCCAATATAACGACATAGGGCCGCCGTTATCTCGTCGTCTATTTTACGACCACTCACTCGCCCGCCATCCCATCGTAGAGGCGTCGCCGAGTGCCCTCACCACCACTTGATATCGGCCCTCCTCTGAGCTTGTCTCCCCCTCAACCTCTTGTCGTCCCGCGCGAACGCATCGCGCAGCCTCTTCCGCAATGAATGACGATGACGCGATCCACAACATCCACAAGAAGATTGAGCGAGAGAAGGCCCTCATCAACGCCGCCAATTCCATGAGGGCACAGACGAACAATGAAGCTGTCAGGTCTCGTCTCGACTCCCAAATGCGCGATGGCCGCCGCAATCTTCAGTTCTTCGAGGAAAAGCTTCGCGATATCCAGCTGCGCCGCGTCAACCAAGGTGTTGGAGATATGTCCCTCGGAGGATCTGCTGATGATGTCGGTGGTCCCCCAGCACCACCTCCCAAAGATTCCTCAAGCAATTTCGCAGGTGATCGAGAGTCATATGGCTCAGCCTCAGGACAATACAGCCAAAGTGGCGGTGGTTCTGACCTTACGCCTCCCCGCCATCCTTATGCCCCAGGACCTGGAGGCTCGGGTATTCCGAAGCCACGTCCCAACTTCACCAAGCTCGGTTCGTCGTTACCCCGCCATTGCTCATGGCATTCTCCGTCTTGTCCATGTTTTGCTAACCAAGCTACAAGATTTGATCAAATATGACACGCCGCACTTGGGACCCCGGATCCAGCTCATGTTATCGCAGATTCAGTTCAAGCTCAACGTCGAGGAGCAATACTTGAAGGGCATCGAGAAGATGGTTCAACTTTATAGTATGGAGGGCGACCGAAAGAGCAAGGCCGATGCAGCTGCCCGAAAGGTTGAGAGCAAGCAGAAGATCTTGCTGTTGAAGCAGGCTCTCAAGAGATATGAAGAGTTGCATATCGATGCAGACGTTGCAGACGCTCAAGATGGTAAGTTTATTTTCATTTATGCCAAATCTGAGAGGCTGACAAATTATTAGACGATTCAATCAACGCCCCCAACCTCAGGAAGCCTCTCAGTGGACAGCTATCGATTCGAATGTTGGCTATTAAAGATGTGGACCATGCCGCCACTGGACGATTCACGAGAGGACCCGAAACATTCATTGCCGTTAAGGTCGAGGATACCGTAATGGCTCGTACAAAGGCGTCCAGGAACGATCGCTGGGAAGCCGAGTTTCACACTATTGAGGTTGACAAGGCCAACGAGATCGAGTTGACTGTCTACGACAAACCCGGCGAACACCCCATGCCCATTGCCATGCTCTGGGTTCGAATCTCTGACATCGTTGAGGAAATTCGTCGTAAAAGGATTGAGGCTGAGATGAACAGCTCTGGTTGGGTTTCTGCTGATCGAATGGGTAACACCAGCGCCGCCCCTACGCAGTTCCCTATGAGCCCATCTCAAGGTTCCTTTGGTCCTGGTTCTCCCACAGGTGGTGGTGAGCATGGTGGGGATACAGGTGCATTCGGAACTGCTGGTCCTCAGCCCCAGGTGCAAACCGGGCCCATTGAGGAATGGTTTAACCTGGAACCAACCGGACAGATCCAGCTCCAGTTGACATTCAACAAGTCTAACAACAACAACCGTCCAGTCGACCTTGGTCTGGGCAGAAAGGGTGCTGTGCGTCAACGCAAAGAGGAAGTTCACGAGATGTACGGCCACAAGTTCGTGCAGCACCAGTTCTACAACATCATGCGTTGTGCGCTTTGCGGAGATTTTCTCAAATACTCGGCTGGCATGCAGTGTGAGGATTGCAAGTACACCTGTCATACGAAGTGTTATTCCAGTGTGGTTACAAAATGTATCAGCAAGAGTAACGCTGAGACTGATCCGGACGAGGAAAAGATCAACCATCGCATCCCGCACAGGTTCAACCCTTATTCAAACATGACGGCAAACTGGTGTTGCCACTGTGGTTACATATTGCCATTTGGAAAGAAGAACTGCAGGAAGTGCTCAGGTATGTTTTGTCCGAACCTATTCCTCTATCGTGAAACTAACTGCATGCAGAATGTGGTCTCACTGCTCACGCCCAGTGTGTGCATCTTGTTCCTGACTTCTGTGGCATGTCCATGGCTGTGGCCAACCAGATCTTGGATGGCATCAGAACCCAGAAGCAGAGACAGGCCAAGGTATCTTCACTGACAGAAAAGACGCTCCGGCCTGGGAAGACTAGCCCGACTAGCATTCATTCACCGGCACCTTCGTACTCTGGCTCGACTGCCCCTTCATACCAGACAGGACCAGCCTCGCCAGAAGCGACTGAGGCTGCTAAGATTATGTACTCGAATCAGACAACCCCAAGACCTCATCCCGATCGAACTTCATCAAGCTCGACAGCAGCAGCCGCTGCGTCCGCAGCCATGTCGGCAGGACCTGGTGCAGCCCAGCGTCAACACTCTGACTACGGACGTTATAGCGGCGGCTATGACCAGCAGCAAGAAGATCCGTATGCCCAAGGAGGTCAATACGGCGCCGCCGCCCAGCAGCGGAAGTACAACCCCGCTGACTACGCAAACGTCAACCCTGGCTATGGAGGACAGCCTCCTGCTGCCCAGGCACAACGACCAGCCCAGCAACAACCAGCTGCCCAATCGCCTCCACCTCAGCAACCGCTACCACCAGTGCCGCAACATCAACAGCCACAACAGCCTGCTTATCAACAGCCAGCAGTCCCAGCACACAAGCCCCCCCAATCGCCGGAAGCCATGTCCCCCAAACAGTCTTCTGCACCTGGTAATAATAAGTCACTACCGTTGGCTACTGACCCGGGAACTGGCCAGCGTATTGGCCTCGATCATTTCAACTTCCTTGCTGTGCTCGGTAAGGGTAACTTCGGTAAGGTCATGCTTGCTGAAACAAAGCGATCTCGAAAGCTCTACGCTATCAAGGTGCTCAAGAAGGAGTTCATTATCGAGAACGACGAAGTCGAGAGTATACGCTCTGAGAAGCGTGTATTCCTGGTTGCCAACCGAGGCAGACACCCATTCTTGACCAACTTGCATGCATGCTTCCAGACTGAGACACGTGTGTACTTTGTGATGGAGTACGTTAGCGGCGGTGATCTGATGTTGCACATCCAGAGAGGTCAATTCGGTACCAAGCGCGCCCAATTCTATGCTGCCGAGGTCTGCTTAGCACTCAAATACTTCCACGAGAACGGTGTCATCTACCGTGATCTGAAGCTTGACAATATCCTTCTGGCACCCGACGGACATGTCAAGATAGGTGATTACGGTCTGTGCAAGGAGGATATGTGGTATGGTTCGACAACAAGCACTTTCTGTGGTACTCCCGAGTTCATGGCCCCCGAGGTATGTACCCATAATCCAGATTTCACATGTGCCCCTTACTAACATGAATTAGATTCTTCTCGACAAAAAGTATGGTCGTGCTGTCGATTGGTGGGCCTTTGGTGTGTTGATCTACCAGATGCTTTTGCAGCAATCTCCTTTCCGTGGAGAGGATGAAGATGAGATCTATGATGCAATTCTCGCCGATGAGCCTCTATACCCTATCCACATGCCCCGAGACTCTGTCTCCATTCTCCAGAAGCTGCTCACTCGTGAGCCTGACCAGCGACTCGGAAGCGGCCCAACTGATGCCCAGGAGGTGATGAGCCAGCCATTCTTCCGCAATATTAACTGGGATGATATCTACCACAAGAGAGTGGCACCACCCTTTATGCCTCAAATCAAGACCGCAACTGATACCAGTAACTTCGACTCCGAGTTTACCAGCGTCACTCCCGTTTTGACCCCCGTTCAGTCCGGTAAGTCCTGTTTTCTTCAGTATTTCCGGTTGCTCTATGCTAACACGTTGACTAGTTTTGTCACAAGCCATGCAAGAGGAGTTCCGAGGATTCTCCTACACAGCTGATTTTGAGTAAACGCCTGCATATGAGATTGACGATTTTGCAATGTTTTATTGAGACGATGGAGCCGCGGTGGGGTTATTGTCTTGTCTATCGGATACCCTGGAGCGATAGGAAAATAGATGGCCGGACGCCGCGAGCAGATGATGTCGGCGCAGCGAACCCAGCGCGGGCGTCTGGATAAGACGGCCCCCTTTTCATGTTCGCTCGTTTACAGTGTTTGGCATTCTGGATACAGGTAGCGGATGAGTAAAACGTATGATAGTATGGACAGAGCCATATTGGTATGGTGAAGCGAGCGTGTTGAACGGTAGATGGATGAATGCCATGGGCATACAGCATATGAATGGATGCCTGGTTAATAGAAGCGAGAAGATATCAAAATGAGAAGCACGCAATGGTCTTTGCAATAATTTTGCCTGGTGGATATTGTAAGTGATTTCTTTTGGGAAGTTGGAACGTGTCATTTCACTGCACTTTATTTCGCAGTCTTACTCTCACATCACAGCACGCGTGAACCTAGATGGGGTTACTGACTTGCTTTTAGACATTTTTTTGCCTTGTTCTGTTTATTCTATTTAAATATCCCATCTCTTTTTATTTTCTATTCCTTCTACGTAGTGTACTCCTTCTGGAGAAGCTTGGCAATAGTGTTGAGTCTATCATACGTGTTAGCATAATTTTCACACCTCAAATTTGAACAGGAGCAAGACTTACTGGATGTTGCTGGTACCCTCATAGATGGCGCCGATCTTGCTGTCACGGAAATACTTCTCAGCGAGACCCTCACGGACAAAGCCCATGCCTCCCATCCACTCAATGGCTTGTCCACTGACACGTCCAGCAACCTGGGAAGCATAGAGCTTGGCCATGGCGGCATCTTTGACGAAGTCCTCGCCGGCCTCCTTCTTGCGAGCGGCGGTGTAGACAAGAGCGCGGGCAGCGGTGATCTCAGTCCAGGCCTGGGCAAGCTGGTGCTGCATACCCTGGAACTCACCGACCAGAGAACCGAATTGCTTGCGGTCGTTCCAGACGTAGCGGGCGGCGTTGTCAAAAGCACCAAGAGCAAGTCCGGTCATCTGAGCGGCGATACCAATTCGGCCCTCGTTGAGAATGCTGATGGCGTACTTGTAACCCTGACCGCGCTCGCCGAGGAGGTTCTCCTTGGGGATCTCAACGTCGTCAAAGTTGATGACGCATGTGCTTGAGGCTCGAATACCGAGCTTCTTCTCCTTCTTAGCGATAGAGAAACCCTTGGTACCCTTCTCGACGAGGAAAGCTGTGATACCCTTGTAGCCCTTGCTGGGGTCAAGATTAGCGAAGACGATGAAAAGATCAGCCTCCTTGGAGTTTGTGATCCACATCTTGCTACCCGAGATCTTGAAGCCGTCGGCGGTCTCTGTGGCCTTTGTAGCCATGGCAAAGGCATCTGAACCAGAGACAGGCTCGGAGAGACAGAAGGAGGCGACAGTGTTGGTTGCGAGGCGAGGCAGCCACTTCTTCTTGATAGCGGTAGAACCGTGCTTAATGATAGCTGTGTTGCAGAGGGTGTTGTGCACATCGACGAGGACTGAAACAGAGGGGTCGGCGCGGGCAAGCTCCTCAATGCCGATAATGGCTGAGGTGAAGTTCATGCCAGCACCACCGTACTCCTCGGGAATCTCAATGCCCATAAGACCCTGCTCAAACAGCTGCTCAACAACAGCGGGGTCCATCTCCTCAGCCTCGTCCATGTCACGCGCGCGAGGAAGGATCACATCTGTGGCGAACTTGGAGACAGTCTCAACCATGGCGTTCTCGAGCTCGGAGAGGTGAGTGATGGGCGTAGGAGGAATCTCCGAGATATCGATGTGTTCATTGCGACGAGAGGACGTTGTGGAGAGAGGACGGGCAGTGTTACTGAGCTGCAGTGTTAGCGATTTGTTTAGTGGTATATGATTTGGTTGTGGTGCACTTACGGGCTTATTCTCGTCATGGGACGGGGAGCGGCGACTCGTGTGGCAACGCGCTGTGTAAGGCCTCGTCCTCCCCTCAGCGCAGGGCGCACGACTCGAGTAAATGACGATGACATGGTGAGAATTGTGTTGTTTGCTGGAGAGGGAAGAAGCGGTGACTGTCAAAGTTGGAGGAGGAGAAGAAGAAGACAGTAGGTGGCTAGGTTAGAGCGAGATGTGAGGGCGGGTTATGTTAGTGACGATCACAAGCCAGACACAGTAACCAACAAGACAACTTCTTTGTATGACAGTATGAAGAAGTAGTAAAAGAAGAAGAACAAAGTCTGGAGAAGAGACAAGAAATTCAGAATTTTAATTATATGACCTCGGTATATACAGATCTCCCATTGCCTCCCAGATCCGCAGCCACACTCTATCTTTATACGGCTGAAGCGGTTGAAGAACCCTTGCGCAGCCGAGGATAACCACCGAGGTCGAGGATGTCTTCGGTATTACAGCGGTAACTACTCCGTAAACTTGACGGTTTTTGGGGTAGGCTGTGCGGGATGCGGGGAGGTTTAGAGATACCCCGGCGATTAACCGCTGACGTCAAGAACATGCGGGTCATTAAAGAATGGAAGCCGGGGTCCAATGCAGGTGTGTAAGGCCGGACATGTGATCTGACGCGGGTCCGGAGAATCTGGCCTCCGAGTATCTCGAGTCGATGTTCCACGTGACTCAGCTTTGAGGCTGAGATTTTGATATTGATGGTTGAGCTCGAGGTTTAGGATAGCGAGAGGCCGAATACGGGATCAATTCGATCACTCCGCACGACAAACCACCTCAATCCAACCATCCACGTCTCGCCCAAAATGGTCGGCTCTATCCTCCGCCAGTTCTTCTCCCCGGCGACCCGTCGTCCCCTCGCAGCGGCCCTCACAACACAACCACCGAGCCGACTCCTACAGCCATCCCTCCGAACATTCACAACCTCAGCGCCCCGTGCTTTCGCCCCGACGACCGCTCGCCCCGCGACGCTGAACCAGGTACTCCGTGGTATCCGAAAGGGCAAGCGCGCTCGCCACGCTGTCTCCCCTGCTCTGTCCAACACCAATTGCCCAGCTCTCAAGGGCGTGTGTCTCCGAGTCGGTGTCGTTCGTCCCAAGAAGCCCAACTCTGGTGAGCGAAAGACTGCTCGTGTCAAGCTCTCTACCGGAGCTGTTATTACAGCTTATATCCCCGGTGAGGGACACAATATCCAGCAGCACAGTGTCGTCTTAGTGAGAGGTGGTCGTGCGCAAGATTGTCCTGGTGTGAGATACCATCTTATTCGAGGAGCTCTTGATTTGGTATGTTACTGCTCTTTGCTGGTTCCTCACGCTGAAGGACTGATATGTTCTCAATGGAAGTATGCTAACAATTTCAGGGTGGTGTTGCAAGCCGAACAACAAGTCGAAGCAAGTACGGTACCAAGAAGCCCAAGAAGGCCACTGTTGGTTAAGCTAGCTAGACGATTTCGACTGAACGAGTTAAAGCGATGGTATTAATCCGTGTCAAGATTACATAGACCTGGGTATGGCCATGTATTGATATTGTACACTATTTCGAGCATATAAAGAAAGCATGTAAACGATCAGAAAAGCATTCTTGTTTCATACACTCTACATGACCAAAGCTGTCCAAAGTATTTCAAACCCAGACGCCTGATGTTGGTTCCCGCAAGACTATCTCCCAACGTATACCCATTGTGCGCAACCCAAAACATGGAGACAATCTACCGAGCATTACAACCTGTATGATAACGTACAACCCTATGCATCCACCACATAATCATATCTCGTCTACTGTTGCTTCTCGTAACCCTTGGGCTTCTCCATGCCGTTGAGCTCGAAGAATCGGGAAGTGCCTGGATTTCGGTCAGATTGCTTTTCTCAGAATGGGTTGGAAACACTTACAGGAGTAGCCCTTCCAGTCAAAGTTGTTATCGGGGTTGCAGTGGCAACGGAGATCCAGACGTCGCTGCTCATCAGTTGGGCAGTGGGTGAAGGGGACGTGGTAGTAAGCAATATCCTCGAAGAAGTGGAGCTGCTCCTTCTTAAGGAGAAGACCAGCAGCAATAGAGTGCACAGGAGCATCACCCCATCGCTCATAGAAGAAACCACCGTCCTTGTCCAGAGACTCAAAGAAGTCGAGATAAGGCTTGCTGCGGAGCCAAGACAGACTACCAACTTCAAAGTTGGACCACTAAACACAGTTAGTAATGAGTTGATCCCGTCTTGATTTTCAACTTACGAAATGGCACTTGTTGTAGTTCTCACCACCATCGTCGCTGAGGAAGCGCATAGAGTTGTCCGCGGCAATGTGCTCAGGGTGGTTCTGCATGAACTTCTTGGTGCTGGCCCAAAGGGTAGGAATGGTGTCGATGTACTCGTAAAGAGAGAGAACGAAACTGTACTTCTTGTTGTTCTCGTGCATGACGCGGAAGGGATCGTAGTGAATATCGCAGAAGAGCTTGACAGAGGGCTCAACACGCCAGTAGTACTCATAGTTCATCATGAGTTCCTGTCGGAAGAAGAAACCAGACTCGAATCGGCACATGTGACGGTAGCTGACGGAGTCACCGTAAATGATCTTGCGCTCATGCATGTCCTCACGAACCTTGCGGGCCTTGTCCTGGTCAATCCATTCAGGGAAAGACCAGTGCTCCTCGGGAATCAAACCGTAGTGAGTCTTGCCAGAGCAAAGAGAAGATGTGACCTTCTTGAACTGGTCGTCGAAAGGCTTGTCGTTGAGGAAGACCCAGTCATAGTTGTAGCGGCGGTTGAAACGATCCTCGACCTGTCGAATGGACTCGGCGATCTCCCAGACGTCCTGGTTTCGGGCGAGGGTGACGAATGTAGCGTTCATACGGGGACCGGGAGCAGTTCCCTGAAGGTTGTTCCAGCCGGGATCGTTGGGGGACATGGGCATAGGGGCCTCAGCAAGATCGCCCTGTGCAGGAGCTTCGGCGGGAACCTTGGGAGCATCAGCAGCAGCATCAGCATCTTCGCCGGCGGGCTTCTGGGCGGGAACATCGTCCTTGGTAAGGGCAGTATCTCCCTCTTCAGCAGGTGCCTCCTGGCCGGGAAAGTTGACGTTGTTACCAGCAGGGGACTTGGGGACGGTGCCGGGAGCTTGCTGGCTGCTGGGGCTTCCAGGACCGCCTGGGAAGCTACCAACACTGCTGCCAGGAACGGGGATGTGCTCGATTCTGGAATTGGAAAAGAAGTAGAACATAGTGAGGGTCTAAAGGAGACGGGTTAGCAAGTGGCAACGTCAGCTGTCATGAGCTTCAAGAACAATGTGACGTACGAAGAGCGCGAGCGCAATGTAGCGCACATAGCGCGTATGACCTGCCGCCATGATGAAAAAGTATTGACGATACAAAATCGTCAGTTACAAGAAGGGTTCAAAGGAAGTGGAAGGTTGAAACAGAAGAAAAAGAAGATGGATGATCGAAAGTCGATACTGTGTCGCGGCACGGGGAAAAAGCAGGGGAGCCAGGGAGCGACGGACTCCAGTAAAGAAAGGCAACTCCTAGTGTGAACTAAAAAAAGATGGTCCTCCACGACTAGGTACTCAACGTTAGTTACTGCGAAGAAATAGAGATAACAAGGAGAGGAGAGAAAAATCCATACGGCAAAGAGTCTTTCGTAATAAGGAGCTTAACAATGACAATTACTGAAAGAGATGCCTTAATTGATGCAGAATAAATGGCACGGAAACAGGAACCAGTTGCTAAAGTGTTGGAATGGGATGAACAGCGTGTTCTAGGAAGCGGGCCATTGATCGTCACCTCCAGCTAAAATCAGGTACGCGGACACTGGAGCGGGAGGCACAACAAGGCTTCAGGGCCCATATAAGAGTTTGAAGCCAGGTATTTTCGCTAGGGACTAGACTGTGAAAGACCTGATCCCAATCGACAAGCTACGCTAAAGGCTAAGTACCCCTCGTAAGGCGTATACTTGTCAGATGTGTCTTGGAACTTGGCGTTCAGGGGGTACGTCTGCTCGCGGATCACTGGTAGTGGAGGGAATGGCCTCCAGCTCTAGGTCAAACCGCTGCCGAGTCCAGACGCTCTGGAGTGAGTCTAGGAGGTTTGGTGGCAGGGTTTTTTAATGTTGGCTTCTTACAGGTTCCCCTCGAGAAATTGGGCTTGCAGGTTGGTGTACCACCACAATGCTGCCCATTCTCAGGAAACGTCCCCTTAGTTACACAATTCCTACCTTATTCGAGATGCGCCATGTGCCTCATCAGATTGTTTGGAATGAAAAGTCCACCGATTTCCAAGCCTCAAGCCCCAAATCCAAGAAGCTTTTGTCTTGAGCAAATCTGACCCTGGATCCGGAAAAGTGTCCCATGTCGAATGCATCACAGTTTTTCTCGTATCCCTTGATGAGAAGGATGTGCCCCTTTTACGTTTCTTGGGGCTCGTTTTAGGTTGACAGGAGGAACGCTGCAACCAGCCTGCAGCAGTTGCGGCAGTCTCCCTCACTGCACGTGGTCTCTAACACTTCCAGCCGCTTTATCCGTTTTACAGTGAACATGTAAAGTCATGTTTCTACATGTCTAGATGTGACTCTCTATTGAGTTCCTGTTCTAGACGCAGATTAATCCTCAGAACGGAGCAACGCTGCTTGCAATTCGATGACTTGTCAAAGATAGAAAGTGTTGTGTTACTGATACTCCAGATGCCATTCTAATATTGATGTCTCAAGCCACATGTTTGTAAGTTGCTGGTTTGCTAGGTACCTTTGTGCTCTTCGTTACAGATCTGGCAATCAGTGTAATGTCATCAACAGGACACCATAGACAAAGGGTTGTGATAAGTAGCAGCGAATTAATAGGGTCTGCTACTACCTACCTCTAGGTAGTAGTCAATGGATCAACACAATCATCAAGTACCTACTTTTTGTCATTGAGGCCACCCGTGCCAGAGCATCTATACAGGTTGCACGTGACGCCTCACGTGAGTCTACCCACCTCCTCCCTTAGGTGGGGGAAGCGGGCTTGGAGAACAGCGTTGGTATTTCGTCGCATCATCGTTGGCATCAGAGCTTCGCCGCGCATCAATATCGCCGTGAGCTCCCCTCTAGCCGGCCGTCTTACTTCTACGACCACAAGGCTCGCTGAAAGAGCTTCCAACATCTTCCGACACCGTTCTCATTGCCAGCATAGCATTCTCCTTGCATGCTTGGCCACGATACAAACATTTGAACGAATTTACTGGAAGACATCATGATAGATTTGTGCGCGCTGAACGATCCTGAACATATCTCCTTCTCTTAGTGGTGAGTGACTCTATCTCACCTGTCGCTTTCCGGCCCTGCTCGCTCCACCTGGGCGCTCTATGATATATGTGCCTGGGGCACCTCTCGACGTTATTTCGATCTGCCGACGAAAGTTGCATATTGGTAAAGCTTCTGTTGTAGCAAGCTCCCTACGGGCATGCCCAGGGACGAGAAAATAATCTACTCTCCCATGCTGTACATGTTACGTATGAAAGAGGTGGCAATTCAGTGGCAATTCAGACCGAACAGCTTCGCAACCTTGAGAACAATAAGTTCTGTATACAGTGGTCCAACATGCAGAATACTACGAAAAACGACACGAAACATTATAGCAATTGCAAAATACCATCGAACTCATTCGCGATTATGGTGCCAGGAAGATTGAGATATAGCTCAGCAAGTCTACGGGGCGTTTCTTGAGGACACACCGAGCGGGGCACGGAGCTCATAGTGACTACAATTGACTGGCGTTGGTACTAATTTCTTTCATAGTACACTCAACGTCCACGCCTAAATTCATTCAAAATGTCCTTTTTCGGTCTCGAAAACGCGCGCCACAACACGGCAGCGCCTGGCTTCTCCCAAGCTCACGACCCATTTGCTGGCTTGTCGGGCAACGATGGAGACGCCGATGACGCTCTCGACTTCGAGGAGACGTATGATGGTCTTGGAGATCAACTCGAAGAGACCGGAGACTCCTTCAACGACGATACCTTTGGAGACAGTGGCCCAACGGTTACTCGCAGTGCTGGAAAAGACTTCGACTTCTTTGGCCAGACTGCCAAGGTTGCCGATGCGATAGAAGAGGAACACCTTCGCTACCATCGCCAGGGGCCAGCGGCTAAAACCGTTACCGCTGCCGCTGCCGCAGCCCAGGCCCCTGCTCATCAATATACCCAGGCCGACTACCAGTCCTACTACTCTGGCCAGCCTTACCAACAGCAGCAGCAGCAGCAAGTCTATCGACAACAGCCTGTGCGGTCTGGATATGAGAAATATCGCGACCCTGAGCCGCTTCCCGATCTACATGTCGATCGAAGTATTTGGGGTATTGGACCATCTAAGCCTGCCCAGCAAGCATCACCGGCACCTGTTCCTGCAGCTCAGCCTATCCAGCATGCGGCCAGTCGTAAGGTCATGAGCTTAGAGGAGGTTGAGGCCGCTATGCGATCCCAACCCAAGCAGCATACACCTCAGCCTCACGTTGCAGATCTTGCCTACCAGCAACCCCCTCCAGGATTCACCGGTCACCAGCTTCAGCCTCCTCAGTCTCATGGGCACGGCCATCCGGTGACGATTCTGCAGAGGCCTCAAAGCACTCAGTCAAAGTCCATGTCACCAGCCCCAGGGCTTCAAGCAACTCCCGTCCAGCATCAGCAGCAACTCCATGCTAACCCAACTCAAATCCTCCAGAACCCCACCCGTGCGGGCTCGGATGCGCATGCGCCACTCCAACATGGCCATCAAGCCAAGCAGTCTCAGGGTCTTGTTCCTAACGCCGCACAGCTGCAGGCCCATCCCCAGATGCAGCAGATGTCGGAAGAGGAGAAGGCAGCCTACTTGGATCAAGAGACTAAGAGGGCCAAGCGCAACCACAAGATCTGGCTCCTCTCGAAAGACAACGGTTTGATGACTCCCCAGGACAAAAACTTCATTACCCGTATTCAGCTCCAACAGCTGGTCTCCGCTACCGGTAACCTTGTTGACGGATCTGATGCGACAATTGCCGAGGACTTCTATTACCAAGTCTACAGTCATATCCGAGCCGGTCAACGTCAGAACCCTAGCCAGCCTCTAAGCAACTTTGCGCAAACCTATTTGTACCAGACCGGTAGCCGTCAGGGTGGCATGCGACGACACGGCCGACCTGCCGAGAACCACTTCCAGCGAATGGAACAACAGGTCCAGCGAGCTGTTGAAGCTGCCAAGAACAAGCCCAAAAACCCCCAGCTGGTTATTGCAGGTAGTCTTGGTAAGATTTCCTTCAGCAACGCCAAGACACCTAAGCCCCTACTCAGCATCAAGCGCACCGAAAGTGAGCATACAAGGCCAAACAATGGCAAGAAGGGTTCCAGCCTCGACCGAAAGACTATTTTGCGAAACGTAGAGAAGGTCTACCAGACTCTGATGCAGATCGAGGATCATGTCCGACTTATTCCACCTCCCATGACCAGCCCCGATGAGGAGCTCGAGAACAAGCACAAGGAGTGGGCTGCCATCTTGGAAACATACAACGCTAAGCTCTGGCAAGAGCTCAAGGTCCACGAACAAATCGGAGTCGTTGTTCCCCATCCGTTCATCGCTTTCTTGTCCTGCGCCAAGGGTGAGAGAGCTATCCCGCGTCTCTTCCCTCACCTTTCTTTTGAACAACGGACCACTATCTTGACCATGATCATCTACCACCTCGACCAATTGGATGTTGTCCAGGGCGCTGCTATCACGCCAGGCGAGGTGACCACGATCAACGCACGAATGCGAGAGAAGATTGAACTTTTTATCTCTACTGTCATGCCATCACTGATGCAATACTTCAACGATACTGGCCTGGATATTGTTGATGGTGTCTTGAATCTGATCGCCACAAAGTTGAATGTCGATCTTATTGTTAGATCCAGAATTGGTGTGTCCATGCTGACACTTATCCTCAGCCGTGCCGTGCTTCTCAAGCAGACAGGAGCCGGCACTCCTGAGCAGTGGGATAACTGGTATGTAGCATTTCATCCGTTTTACTTGCTGTCGCTAATCTTTCAACAGGGATCGAACTTTTGAAATTTTGTTTACCAGACTTGAACCTTCGCTGCCTTACATTTTCCCTGGCAGCGTCAATACCGGAGAAGACGTCTACGTATGGCAGCTTCTCGCAGCTATGGGTGTCAGCGCTACCCATGACCAGCAAACTCGCTTGGTTCTTGCTGTCAAGGATCGCGTGCTCGATACTGTCACTGTTTCAAAGACACTCCCCCCTGTTATGGGTGCGGAGAGACTGAACAGTGTCAACCTGTTCATGCGATCTATCGGCTTGGACGTTGAACTTCTCCAGTAAACGGATGTTCCATCAGCAAACGTACTTTTGTCCGGTGATTCTTGGGCTTTTTCTTGGGCTGACATATAGGAGCACTCGAGAAAATCGGGATAAGCAGGATGCGGCACAACAGGATTTATTTGCTGGCGAAACAATATTGGGAGTGATGTGGTATAAAGGCATTCCGGGTGTACAAAATTCTTAAGCAGCGGCATGGCGAGTGCTTCACACATCCATGTAAACCGGCATCTATGTCGGGTGGTTATTACTCATGGGGAGAGTTTGGGAGGACTCTTGTCCATTGGGGTATTAGGTTATATCGTATTTGAAAATTTACGCGTTTTTGCAAAGCATTCTTAATCTTTTAGACTGTGCCAGTACTTGAGCGTATTCCTTTCCATGAACTAATACTACAGATCCTTTGCGCCGTTCCATGCAACCTATCTAACACTCTTATTAGACCTCGGTCAATGTTCATTCATCAATGTTGACTGTCTTTGAAGTCGCAGCCCGAGGCTTGCCTCCTCGACGAGCGACACCTCCCACTGCACCCCCTCGTGGCCGAAGCTTGGGTTTCCGTGCCTCTTCTGATTCTGGTGCAGGCTGCTCTGGCTGCTTGGCGGGAGCGACCTGCTTGGGCTCGGTCTTCTTAACAGGCTCGGGAGCTGGTGCTGGTACTGGCTTCTTGATACCACTCACGGCTTCCAGAAGCTCATCGTCATCCCACCGACGAGCAAACTTGGGCACGGATTCCTCGAGCACTGGTTCGACCTCCTCAGCATCGTCGGCCTTCTTATCTCCTTCAGCACCCTCTTCTTCTGCAGGACGTAGGAAAAGACTTTCGTTATAAACTTCCCATGCGGCCTCCTCGTTCTCATCTGTGTAGTGCATGGTGCGCCAATGCTCTGTTTGTACAGACCGTAGACGGTCGGCCATGGTCTCGGTAGTGACGGTCTCGCCATCGCCGGTGGCCTTGACGGTCATGTGGATAGCACGCGCCGTGCCGCCGGCTGTGCTGGGAGCTGAGTCCTTGGTGGCTGCGGCCTGGCGTTCTTGTTGGACTGTTGCATCGATGTGGTGGAGTTGAGGGCGTAGATGGACGAGTGACGATACAGGCGTGAGATGTAGGTCCTCTAGAGGAAAGGTTAGAAAGTGCGTAGCCTGTGCGGATTGATGTCACTTACTGCCTTGAAAGACACCAACCATGTGCTGAACCTCCTTATACTCAGGATACTGTCCACCGAGCGTTTGTGTTCGAAGTACTTTATCCTGTCTAACAGCTTCTGTCCAGTCCAAGCTCTCATCCTCATCCGCCTCGGTCTTCTTCCGCCCACCCCGAGCCTGAACAGTACCAAAGCCAAAACCACCAGCCAGACCGTGACTGCCGCCATTCTTGGTAGCCATAGAAGTATGCAGTGTCTTTCCCCACTTGAGACCCTTCTCACGATCATAGGCGACAGTGTTGTCGAGAGGCACATCTACTTCGACCATGCCAGCCTGAGCCTTCACGCGCAGCTCGGTGGGTGGAGGGCGGGGAGCATCATCGGTACGGTTGGGGTGTTGGAGGACAAGCAGACGGCGGCCAAGAGGAAGTGCGGGGTTGATGAAGATGTTGTAAGTCGCAGTGACGGGGTCATCGTCGTCGTCGTCTATCGTGGTGGGATTGGCCGTGGTTGTGGATGGCTTGACGCTGGAATCGATGTCCATAGCTTCGACGTCCATTGAAGCCGTAGGAACCGGCGTATCCGATGCGGTAGACATTGTATAGATTCTAACCAAGGCAGATAAATTGTCGAGAAGATTAAATTAACTGGCAACAGCTAGACAGAAACTCGTTGGTGTCGATCAGTCGAGGTATGTCTAAGCGATGAGTCGTCTTTCAACTTTGCTTTGCGACAGACACTATGCGCAGCTATAAGGAACAGCTTCTGTGCTCGAATATCGATATAAAAGATCCGTGCAAGCTTTCGACTTATACCTGGGGTTTCAAGGTATATGCGACAGCAATTATATGCGTAATAAGTCAAGGCTGAGTGTATGTTTTTGCCAAATCATTAGAAGATGAGAGGGGCGATCGTGGAGAAATTTCCATGTTCGTCCCCCGCCAAAATTTAGACCTTTATCTTATCAATGCTTCAAGGTCAAGGTTCTCCAAATAAAAGATGAAAGTCACTGAATCATTCCGACCACATTACCCATACCAATGATAAATAGAGAAAGGACACAAATGAAGATTGAAGCATTTTCTTGATATAACTTTTAAAAACTAGAAGCAAATCCCATAACAGGTTGTTTCCGCATAAGCCAACCTAAATCTTTTGGTTCTTGAACTCCACTGATGCCATTGAATAGCAACGATTTGATGTTGACTATAATCATTTCGTTTTCGACCGAACCTCGTATCTCTGAAACAAAATCTATTAAGACCATACCCTCTATCGGTTCTTTCCACGGTCGCGTCGTCCACCTTCCAGCACCTTGACTCTCTTGTTGAATCTGTCTCCAATACCACCTGCAATGCCACTCCCACGAGGTCCATCCGTTGTGTCGATTCCACGCTTTCGGCTCTTGTCCAGAAGAGCACGAACATTGCCTCCAGACTTCTTGCTCTTGGTAAGACGATCGATGCGATCGACACCCGCTCCCAGGCTGTGCCAATCCTCTCCACCGAATTGCATACGGCGACTGCCCTGCTTCGCCTTCTGAGCGCGATCTTTCTTGCTCTCCTTGGGAAGACGGGTGAAGTTCATCTCTTCGTAGTCTCGGCGCTCCGCCTCCTCCTTTCGCTCGGAGTCGGTCTTCATCTTGCGGCCACCCTGGACAATGGTTGTACCAATGCTGGGCTCGGCCAAGGGTGCGCTGGATAGCTCTGAAGCCACAAACTCGTCCATTGTGTGAGATTTGCCGGGGCGGCGCTCAAACTTGTCGCGCCGTTGGGGCGCATCCATAGTTTGGCGATCTCTCTTGGGTGGGCGGTAGACACCTGCCGCTCCTCCATCACGCTCTGCGCGGCGAGCAGTAACATCCTCGGCCATGGAGCCAAAGTTGCCAGGTTTGTGGGATAGCGCTTCGGCGTCCGCTTCCTCCTCTGAATCTTCCTCCTCCTCCTCAGAATCCTCTCCAGCCGCGGCCCTGGCCTCCTTGGCCTGTCTCTCACGCTCTGCATCGTCTGCTGTTCGGAGGAATCGATCAATGGAGAAACGAAGTTTCTCTTCCAATGGCCGTGCTCCCCTCTCAAGGTAAAGTCGTAGCTCCACCAGCTTCGCTCTCACAGATTCGTCGAGTTCGGAGTCGTCTGCTGCCGCATTGTCCGAGTTCGATTTTGAGTTGCGCAATTTGAGAAGAATCAAGAAAACAAGGTTTTGAAGGTAAGAGAGAAGGAGCTCGTTCTTCACGTCGAGAAGTGAAATGCCATCCTTCTGGTACTCAATAGAAGAGAGCTTAGGTGTGACATCGAGCGCCGAGGATAGAGACTGTGTCAGCGACGTCAGAAGCGCCGGTAATGTTGTTGGGGCCGCCATGTTGGGTATGCTGCCTGAGATGGTAAATATCTAGACAGTCGAAACCCGAAAGTGATGGCTCGTCAAAAAGTTTGGAGCGTTCAACTTTTTAGCGGGGCTTCTCAGGTTTGGCCCCATAAATCCCAGACATTCCTGTGGAGCGCCACAAACCCCTGTGCAGCCAGTGGCTTCCTCCCCTGACTAAGCCACTGTCTCGCCTGGAACTTGGCCAGATATTACTGCAAGTGCAAGTGCCTCGAAGCTCCCTGTTCGACGACTTACTCTCGCAGCCCTTCCGCCGACTTAATCACCACACGATCTTTTATATCACCGACAAGAAGAAAAGAGAAGTGCCATTGAGCATATTTCTCAGTGATCTTCTGTTGTTCAATTTCCCTCCCTCGCCGTTTCGAAATTACGGGTCGCGCAAGTCGTCGTCAGCTTGGAGCTTGATACGACAGCTTCACGTCTTGGCTTTCGCAACACTCCTCTGTCAACCACCATCAGTCTACGGATGACCTAATTCTTCGACATGCATTTCCGCGACTTTGCGCCTTCGAAGGCGCTTATCACGTCGTTGTTGGCTATACCTCACCTAGCTTCTGCCTTTTACCTACCTGGCGTTGCCCCAACTACCTACAAAGAGGGAGATAAGGTTCCTCTTTACGTCAACAGTATCAAGCCCGTCGACCGTTCCCAGGATCCGCGACTACACGCAGTTGTCTCATATGACTACTACCACCCTGCGTTCCAATTCTGCCAACCCGAAGGTGGCCCTCAATATGTTTCGGAAAGTCTGGGAAGTATTCTCTTCGGAGATCGTATCATGACTTCTCCTTTCGAGCTTATCATGGGCAAGAACGAGACTTGCAAACCCCTCTGCGAAGTCAAATATCCGGAGAAATCGATCAATTTCGTCAAGAGCCGCATCGAACAGGGCTACAGTCTGGAATGGCTGGTGGATGGTTTGCCAGCTGGCCAGGAAGTGCTTGACCAACTGACTGGTACCACCTTCTACAACCCCCGTTTCTTGTTAGGCCAGGACGACAAGGACGACAACATCCTGTTGAACAACCACTACGAAATTCTGGTCGAGTACCATGAGGTTAACAAGGATCCCAACCAGCGCCGTGTGGTTGGTGTAGTTGTGCAGCCCAGCTCTAAGGAGTATGGCGGCAAAGCAGACTGCGCCAACCATCCGCCCATCGTACTGTCTGGAAAGGAACAGCATGTTGCCTACAGCTACAGTGTATTCTGGCGCAAGTCGGAAACTGCCTGGGCTACTCGATGGGATAAGTACCTGCATGTTTTTGATCCTAAGATCCACTGGTTCTGGCTCATCGACACTGCTATCATTGTCGTTATTCTCGTTCTTACTGTGATGTCCATTCTCGTTCGCGCTCTCAAGAAGGATATTGCTCGTTACAACAGACTCGACCAGATTGATCTCGATGACTTTGGTGGTACTTCGGTCGTTGAGGATGGTGTGCAGGAGGACTCTGGTTGGAAGTTGGTTCACGGCGACGTCTTCCGAACCCCTTCACGACCTCTCTTGCTCTCAGTCCTGGCAGGCAATGGTGTTCAACTGTTCTGCATGACGGGCTGTACCATTCTCTTTGCCCTTCTTGGCTTCTTGTCTCCTTCCAACCGTGGATCCCTTGGAACAATCATGATTCTCATGTATACTGTTCTTGGCTTCGTTGGTGGCTATGTTTCCGCCCGGACTTACAAGGCCTGGCAAGGCGAGAACTGGAAGGTCAACATTGTTTTGACCCCTGTTTTGGTTCCTGGCATTGTTTTCTCCGGCTTTTTCCTTCTGAACCTCTTCCTTTGGGCTAAGCAGTCATCGGGCGCGGTTCCTTTCACAACCATGCTTGTGATTGTGGCTATCTGGTTCATCATCTCGATTCCTCTATCCTTCGGTGGTTCTTGGCTTGGATTCCGCTCTCCTCAGTTCCAGCCTCCTGTTCGTACCAACCAGATTCCTCGACAGATTCCTCCTGTGAGCACCTACCTCAAGCCTATCCCCAGTGTGCTTATTGTCGGTCTGCTTCCCTTCGGTGCAATCTTTGTCGAGCTCTTCTTCATCATGAACTCGATCTGGTTCAGCAGGATCTACTACATGTTTGGCTTCCTCTTCCTCTGCTACGGTCTTATGATCGTTGTCTGTGCTGCCGTTACCATTCTTATGGTGTACTTCCTGCTCTGCTCTGAGAACTACAACTGGCAGTGGAGGTCTTTCCTTGCTGCTGGTATGAGCGGTGGCTATATCTTTTTGAACTGTCTTTTATACCTCGTTACTAAGGTCAGGGCAAGCGGCTTGGCAGGTATCGTGCTATACATGGGTTACAGTGCCATTATCTCGTTCCTCTTCTTCATTCTTACTGGTAAGTTTCTTCCTATTATCCAAGCTATGTGATTCTAACTCTTCCAGGCTCAATCGGCTACTTCGCCAGTTGGTGGTTCGTTCGCAAGATCTACTCGTCTATCAAGATTGATTAGAGGCCCCCTTGCGCCAATGATATGACAGAATGGAACTTCAACGACGATTGACTTATGAAAGAGACGGAATGCGGTGTTTGTAACAATACGTGTACGACCAGCGTCTGGAACTTGTGTTTACCATAATCATGCCTCAGGACACAATTCGGGGGCAAAACAGCCAGACCATGGTGAAAGGGGTCCGTGGTGTTGCATCAGTGCGCTGCGAGTACGGAGTAGATTTACTTCCATTTAGACGGATATCAAAATCAGGCCATGGCCGACAGAGCTGAGCCGTGTTGGCTATTGATGAAGAGTTATGTTTCCTATGCATTATTTTAGGCTTATTATAGATATCAAAATCGCCTGGTTCATCTTCTCTCGCTCAGTCATCGTCATCATCGTCGTCCAAATCATCCAAGTTGGTGAACTGGAACTGGGCCTTTTGGGGCGGAGGTCCCGTAGGACTCCTTTGCTCGCCAGGGACAGCTGAAGGGCCACCAACCAGACTTGCGCGTCTCCAAGCTTCTTGGTCCTTCTCTCTCTGGCGTTCCCTCTCGATGCGCTGGCGCTCGCGTTCCTCGCGGATCTTCTTCTCGCGTTCTTCCTGGGCAATACGGTCCTCCTCTTCCTTCTGCTTCCTCTCTTCTTCCTCACGACGCTTGCGCTCTTCTTCCTCTGCGGGATCGTAGCCCTTGGGGTTGATGCCCTGCTCCAGGAGGACTTGGTTTGAGGCCAATGCGCCAGCGCCAATTTGAAGATCGTTTGGCCACGGAAGGAAGACCTGATCGGTCAGGGGGTTTAGGAACTGTGTCCACTCATTGGGGAGGATGGTGTTGGCGGATAGAGCTGACTGTTGGGTTGCAGGTTCCTGTGAGACTTGTGGTGTACCACCATTCATAACTGCTGGGCTCTGAACCTGAGAAGATGGAGGCGCGGAGGGTGTCATGACAGACGCTGTTTGCGAATCGGGTCCTGGTGTCTGAACTCCTGGCGTTTGACCGTCTGGGCCATCTGGCGTGGGTGGCACAGCCTTGATGGTACCCGCAGGAGGCATGGTCGTTTTACTGATACGTCGTGCATATTTGAGCAATTCTTCGTAGGCGATCGCATAACTAGGTCCAGCAGGAAAGGTAGTGGTGTGTGTGGTCACGATATCCTTGCGGGTGGTTGCGAGATTGGAGATGATTTCGCGGATCTGGGCATCGAGAGCCGCTGAAGATTCGCGCAGTTGCTGAATACGAAGATAATTGTTCTGATGAGTTTGCACTGAGAGAACGGTGAGTCGCAAGATCGCGCAGATCACTAGAGAAGGGAAATATTACCTTCTTCCAAGCCTTTACTCAACTCTTTGTCCGCCGCGTTCAGCTCATCACCCTGTGTTGTGGAAGGATGGTACTTCGACACCGAGTCAATCAAGTTCGCGAGAGCCTTTTCAAGCCGCTCAAAGCGACCATCAATGTATGTATCCATCACAAGCTTGTGATTTTTAGTCACCAGCTACTGAAATACAAAAAGTGAGTAGGTAAGTAAATAAAGGAATAGAAAAAGTACAAGGACAAGGCTACAACACACCGAAGCTCGAATGTTAGGTGGGGCGATTATTCGCACCATCATTGGTCGGCTAAGGTATAGCTTCTTTTACGCCTGAGGCCAAACAAACCCGATCTTTCCCGGGCAAACTCGCGCAACCAAGGCCATACTTTTACGACGACGATATCGACGAGCAATTGAACGACGAAACAGGCTTCCACCGCCCTACGACTCAAGATGGTCTCCTACGTACGTCCGAAAATTCCACCACAGCTACCGATACTGGGCTATTCATAATTCACAATGCCTCTCGGTGGCTTCAACACAACGTGCAATCGACTGACCTGGTTATTTAACAGACTCCCATCCGCATGGCGGAATTCAAGAGCGCCTATGGTCCTAAGTACGTCTTTTTACTCTATACGGCCGCCGGAATATCGACTGCGAAGCAAATCGTGACACGAGCGAACTGCGGCTTTCGAGATTCCCAGCAACGGTCGATCTGGAATAGTGACGTTGGCTAATTCCCCGAAACAGGTACCACGCTCAGCCCAACGTTGCTGGCTTCACCGCACAGTCTGCCTTCAGAATGTGAGTACACACCTTCACAGCGAAATACGATCGAGAACCGATAGCATGCGAGCGAGTCGAACCGGCAATTCCACTTCCGTTTCTCCGAAATCCTTGGATGAACCACCCGTCGAGAAGGACCCTGCGAACGGGGAGACTTGGAAGTGGAATCGATTGACGACCATGCTCGGCGCCCGATTAAATGCTATGAACGAGTACTAACTGGGTATCTAGCGGCTCCCGTCTGGCTATGTACGGTGCCCCTGCCGCTGTTGGTGTCCTCCTCTTCGCCAACGGTATCCCCCGTGTGCAGCGTGACGTCCTCCAGGTACGAAAGAGATTTCCGAAAAACATATGTTGATCACGATATTAACTCTCCTTACAGAAGATCCCCTTCCTCGGCAACTACTTCCGAAAGGACGTCCACCCCGCCGACAACGTAAGTGTCATTCAAATGCTTGGAATTCGTTAAGCCAGTTACTAACTGCATATCTAGCCCTTCTAAATTATCTGGTGTATTGCGGAAGATAGACGTTGTTCAGCGCCCATGCCGGCTCTCCTTGTATAAGATATTCCAAATAGACCTGTTCTGAGCCTTGAATTTGCTGTGAAATGTAAGGCATGTGATTGGACGACAATTAAAGGGTCATCTGGCAAGTCATGATTCTTGCCCCAGAATCGGTCATATGTAGCAATTAGTGAAGGGATTGGAGATAAAATATGTTCTTTCCGATGATTGTTAATTATGTCGTTGGATATGGAAACTGTCTCTATTTTAATTGATTGGGTGCAATGTTCAGTCTTCTAAGGGTATTCAAAGCTAATCTGCAAGGTACAATACAGTGCACATAACTCCACGCGAAGCACTGTTTTCTCCCCTACATGCACAACCCACCCGTCTTATACCAATTCCATGCTGATAGCCGTCACTCATTTTATACAAACCTTTTTTTAGGCTCACTCTGTACCACCGACAACGATTTCCTTCTCCGTGCTATGAGAGGGTTTTACTCTATTTAATCCTAAACCCTGCGCAAATCAGGCGACAGCTCTGGTGGACACTTGTCAAGATGCCATCGTCGCTGTTCTGGTTGGCATCAGGAGCCATTGCTGCGCTACCTCTTTTCTTCTGGCCTTCAAAACAGCCTCAAGGTCAAAACTGGAGATTATTTGCTTTCTTCTCTTATTCGCTTCCTTTTGCGTCTATCTTTTGGCTGTACTTGGTCTCGGCGCAAGTCCCTGAACCATACCTGGTAGGTCACATCTCATGTCTTGAATAGTTGACCGCACTAACACGACTTAAGGATGAAGTTTTTCATATCCCCCAGGCGCAGAAGTACTGCCAGGGGAAATTTCAAGAGTGGGATGACAAGATCACAACACCCCCAGGCCTGTGAGTCTCAACACGCAACGGCCTACCCTACTCAAGTGCTGAACAAAACGCAGTTACCTTCTATCCCTCCTGATCCCTGGAGTTGTTCGTCCAGATTCTTCTTTAGGGGGCTATCTCTGCCATGTGAAAGATCTTCGGGCTGCCAATGTTGTTGCATTGGCAATTCTAGCCTACGTGGCCCTACAGTGTCGGCGTGAGATTGAGGCACGTCTCTATGAAGCTCACTCCTCTATCAAACTGCGCAACACGTCGCAGTATGCACTTCATACTGCATTCAACATCGCTCTATTCCCACTTCTATTCTTTTTCTCTGGGCTATACTACACCGATGTTGCATCTACCGCAGCCGTTCTGGTCGCGTACTTGAACCACTTGAAGCGTACTGGACGAGATCAAAGTTCGGTCTTGAGTGATCTTACGACGATATGCCTCGGAATCTTCACCCTTATTTTTCGACAAACAAATGTTTTTTGGGTGGTCGTGTATATGGGTGGTTTAGAAGCAGTCCATGCCATCAAGACTTTACGCCCAGAACGAATTGACCAGCCAGTTATCTTGACTCTTTTTGAACAGATCAAGTACTACACTTGGAGATATTCTCTTGGTGATATCCATGATCCTCCGCTACATATGCTATGGCCAGATGGTAAGTTCGGATTTCCTTGGCCGATTTTCGATATGTCACTAACCAGAAATCAGATATGATCCTCTGTGTGCTGAGTCTCGGTATTGCAGCACTTTGCAACCCTATCCGTGTTCTTCGACAGATATGGCCCTACATCACCGTTATTGTCTCTTTTGGGGTCTTTGTTGCTTGGAACGGCGGTGTTGTGCTTGGTATGCTCTCTATCATCGTCACTCTAACGGTCACTAATAAGGAGTAGGTGACAAATCCAACCATGTTGCTACTATCCATCTTCCACAGATGCTCTATATCTGGCCTTTCTTTGCTTTCTTCTCCTTGCCACTTCTTATCCCATATGCCTTTCCTTTTATTAACACAGTATTGGTAATCCTCCCATCTCTCGGATCGTCCACGACAGCTGGAAAGCGAGCCCCTGAGACAGATACTGGATCGATGCCTTTGTTTTCTATGTCCAGCAAGTCCCGCAAATCAGGCAAACAGGTCCGCGGAGGCAGTTCTGCAAAGGGATCAACAGTCGGTGCTCCGGAAAGCAAGTATCCGCCGCAGTCGAAGGTACTGCAGGTCGTCGACTTCATATTCGGTATCAAAGTCATCATCTGGTTCCTCTATCTCCTCGGGACCATATTGCTATCGGTTGCCGTCGTTCGCTACAACACCATCATACATCCATTCACCCTAGCCGACAATCGTCATTACATGTTTTATGTCTTCAGATATACAATCCGACGAGCTTCTTGGATTCGATATGCTTTGGTTATTCCATACACCTTGGCCCGTTGGATGACTTGGGGCACCATTGCTGGCTGCTCACAATGGTTTTCAGTTGTACATGGGTCTGCTTGCTCTGCGTATGAAAGGGGTCTAGAAAACCCTCCCTTCCTGAGCCATCCCACCTTTACTAATCGCGGATTCTCACCGCGGCAAACTACTGCTGCCTTTCCAACTGAAGTCAAGGATAATTCTCAAGATGCTGCCAAGCAGCATGAATTGAGCGAGGCTCTGAAAAAGGATCCCCTACTTGCCTCCGTTGAGCCAGCTTCAACCTCGACTGGTCTCATCTTCTTGCTCGCAACCACTTTGTCACTCATGACCGCCCCACTAGTAGAGCCGCGATACTTTATCATCCCGTGGGTAATGTGGAGGCTACTTGTACCTGCATGGAGACTCCATGATCATGGCGGCTGCAATAGTACTTCCTCTTACCTGGAGAATTACTCAAAGACTAAATCCATGTTCGCGTTCTTCCAGCGCTATGATCTTCGTCTTATCCTTGAGACGTTCTGGTTCATCGCTATCAACGCGGCCACTGGCTACATTTTCCTCACCAAGCCGTACGTGTGGAAAGCGGAGGATGGAGCGGTGCTTGACGAGGGTCGACTTCAGCGCTTTATGTGGTAGATGCGCCATAAAGGAAATTTTGCTAGGCAGAGTGCAAAATATACTCTTTTTGTATTTTCGTCTTTGCGGGCATTTGTCTGGATTTATCTTATGCCACATGTGAAATACACCCAAAAACGGAACGCCGTTCCCGTGGCCCAAAACCCAGACCGGTCCCTTATCCTTATCCATAATCATATCCATTTCCATACTCAGTTTCATATCGAGCGTCCAAAATCCTTCAGTAAAGTGACCCTAATGCTATATGTACCATAAAGGGCTTCTCATGCAATGAGCGATACATGTCAGTATCTTGCCTATCCAATAGTCGTGAAGAAAATGTCAAATGTCATAATATCGCACATCTTATAAGCTCAGACGATCCAAACTCAAGCCATCGTTACTTCTCACACGACGGATAACACCAAGTTTGAAGAATTTCTCTTCACCGCCAGGAGTGCGCCCGCCGATATACCACTTTTCAGCGCCTATAACATCGCGAAAACCTTCGCTACTGCTATCGCTCCCACGCCTTCCAGAGGATCCGGGGATAGGAATAGCAGCGCCATTGCTGGGTGATGTTGACGTCGACGGTGATGAAGAAGAGACGGTGTTACGAGGAGGGCGGATGGCGACGCTAGAGGTTGTTGGTTGTTGTGAAGGTTGTTGATGGTGGTGATGGTGTGTTGATGAGTTGGATGGTGAGGTCGAGGGGGTTGAAGATGCGGCGGCGGCGGCGGCTGCTGTTGCTGTGGCGGACGCTGTTGTATCTCGGGCGTGCTTGTTTGGTTGGTGTTGGTGTTGATGTTGATGTTGTGCGGTTGTTGATATGGAGGGGCCTTGGGGACGGAAGGCGGCGAGGAAAGAGGAGAGGAAATATGGGCGTTGTGAAGGCATCATGAATCGGTTTAAGTGATGTGATGTGATGTGAGTGTTATGTTGTGTTGTAGATAGGACTCGACGAGTAGCCGAGCGACGGTCCGAGTCGGGTCAAGTCGCTTGTTTTCGGGGTCGAAATTGGAGATCAAGTCGAGATTGATAGTGATTGCTCAGCAGTCGAATAGGGATCCAGTCCCTAGTATTTCTTTGATTGTGTGTGATGATGTTTAGATGACTGACGTAGGAAGCGATTGCGACTCTTCGCGGGGTACGGTAACGGTAACGGTATATCAAGATAGAGAGGATGTGGAGTGGAGTCTTGAGTTTCTGAAGGAGAAATGACAGTGACAGACTAAGTTCGGTCTGGGGGGAGATCGATCGCTGACGTCGAAGGTTTTCTTTGCGGAGGAGGGGCCGTAGTTGGGTTCTCTCTCGGTAGAACCCGGACTCGTTAATTCCCAATGCCAGGGATATAATAGGTCGAAAGCCAAAGGCTGGTCGCTGGCCGCTGGGCTGCTTCAAGGTGTGCACGTGTTATAACAGAGAAGAGGGCGCTATAGCCCATGTAAAGTAAAGTTTCTTGCTTTCTGCAACCGTTGGGAAAAGGCTCGGCTGGGCTTGCACTAGTTGGAAGACTTGTAGGTGGAATTGCGGAGAGGTTGTGGGTGAAATTTGGTGTGATTGGTGAAGGGGATCGAGGATGGTTCTGATGGATGGGGATAGAAAGGTGTTGGCGGTTAGTTTGTTAGGAAATGGTTAAGCGAAGACGATGGCTTTACTTGGTGAAGGTGTATGCCAAGAGCTTTGGATCGATTTAAAGTATGGAATATGTCAAGTATTCAATGTCTTGATGGCTGTTTATATCGAAATACATCCATTCATCCGTCTCACCTCTCGTAGAATATCGCATGTCCCCGCGAAGGTCACTTTACAAAAAAGCAAAGAATGGTCATATTACGCGAGCCTCCTTCAAGCACGTTGGAATCCTCCGTGCACATTTCCCCATGCAGGACCAGGTCCAGAATGGAACTCGATGGGTGGTCACTCAGCTCTTGAAGATCACTTCCAGATTCAAGTCTAGGCAAACCAAACACTGTATGACCTGATGATATTTGTTGTAAGCTTCCATTCAGTTGTTTTAGTCAGTGCTAACTGATAGAACGGAATAGTGAGTATATGACATGAGGGTAACAGCGAAAGCTATAGACGTAGTACAATGCGTCTATCATCTCAAAGCAACATTTGGACTCTATTGTTTCCGAAATGCCGGGTCAAAAGAGACCTTGTGACAGGTGGAGAATAAGCTGGATGCGGCTTTGAAATGCGAACATGATCTGATAATTCCTGTGCTGTAAACGTCCAATGCAGAGTCAAGATGAGTGATGATCCATCCATCTTGCAGGAAGGCTTTGGGATTGGCGAATGGGCAACGTATCCTTACGTATAGTTGATCTGGTTATATACATAAGCTAGGTCTGATGAATTAATGCAACCATATTCTTAAATTGATATTTACTGATTGTTAATGAGAGTGTATATCGGAGTAGTTGCTACTCGACTGGAACTAAGTTGGCTACCCTGTACTCTCTCACCAAGACCGCGAATGGCACTCTGGTCGCTTACAAGTGCTGCTTGCAGTTCCAAATAACCCCGGTTAAAATCTGTTTTATTCACTCAAAGTCCTTGTCTTCATGCTTGGCAACACCGTGTCACTCTCGTGCCGTGCTGCATCCGTTGAGATCGTATTAATTACCAGCCTCTCACCTCTCAACAAGCCATAGCGGTGTAGCCCAAGCCCAGGCCTAAACCCCTCCCCTCCCACGTAGACTCGTCTCCATAATCCCCTCTCCACGACTGGCCACACGTAGAACAGAACAATTAACAGAATACATCCATTCCATTCATACTGCGCATTTGTACGGAGAGGTTCAAGAGAAGGGACCATCAAATCGTCTGTGCAGCCTCTGCATGATTCCCGCTTGAATTAAATGTTTACGCCGTTCTAAAAATATACATCTTTATATTTATATACTCCCCAAACCCACGTTATAGCCATGCCCACCTTCAAAGCCCGGATCATCAGCTGGCTCATCTGGTTCTGGTTCAAGAGTACATGGTCATCCGCCGAGGGCATCAACAACCGCATCGCCAAGGAGCGCCTTCGCCCCGAGAAACCGCCCCCGAAACATCTCTACAAGGAGTTCGCCGTGGAAGAATACAAGAGAAAAGGCTACATCGCCAATTACACCGTCTACATCGTCTCTCCAAAAACAGAGACTCCCACCCGAGGCCGTATTCTCTATCTCCACGGCGGCGGCTTTGTCTTTGACATCACCCCGCAGCATTGGGAGCTCGTGGCGCAACTTGCACGACGACTTAATGCTGCCATCTATGTGCCCATTTACCCTCTGGGGCCGGAGACGCCCCTGATGAGGATGTACGAGTTCGTTCAGCCCCTCTACGACGAGCTGGCGGGGGCTCCAGACCGGTCACCTTTCTGGGTTATGGGCGATTCGGCTGGAGGGACCATGTCTCTTGTCCTCACGCAGAATGCAAAACTGGCTGGCCGTCAGATTGCGCAGCGCATCGTGGCCATCACGCCTTGCACGGACTCCAGCCTCGCAAACCCCGACCTGCACGCTGCAGCGCCCAAGGACCCGTGGCTCGACGTCCCCGGCATAGCTGAAATCACACGGCTCATCTGCCCCGAGATGGACACCAAGCATCCCGACGTGAGCCCCATCTACGGCGACTTGAGGCTGCCCCCGATGCTTGTCTTCGCAGCAGGGCTGGATCTCCTGACGCCGGACACCAGGAAGATGGTTGACATAGCCAGGAAAGAAGGCACAAGGGTCGAGCTGGTGTACGGAGAGGGCATGGTTCACGTGTGGCCGCTTCTCCCCATGTGGGAGGGAAGGCAGGCTGTCGATAAGATGGTTGAATGGTTGGGAATCGATTAATGACTTGTTTTGGGTGCCTTATATTAGGCTATGGCGTTGGGATGGGTTGGGCTGGGGTTTGTGAGTGAAGGAGGATGATACCCCTAGTGAGATGTGATGATAATGACTATATATGAGATTTCAATGTTCTATATGACTGGATGGGCAACTTGCAAATATGACCATGACAAACAGCATTAACAAGAAATAGAGAAATTACGGACCTCAGTACCCATTGTCAGAGCAGGCAGCTTGTAATACACCGGTGTCATCCAGTCACATAGCTTCCTGTATGGGTTCATCATTGGCGCGACGATTCTGAAAAGAACAGTTACTACACTTCAAACAAACTGCCTGCTCAAATTGAAGCTCATAAGGTGTAAGGAGGAAAGACCGAAAATGGGAGGACTCTGGAGTTTATATATTCATGGAAATTAAGGTTTCAAGGGACTGATTGCCGGAGGTGCTGGAGGAGTCATATATCCTTTTCTAATGAAGGTATGTTTTAAACTCAAAGATATAGCAAATGAAAAGGACAGATCAGATAGCTTTAAGTTCGATCTAGGGTAATCAGGCTTACGATCTGGATGTGAATATCTTCACGGTTTGTCTTAATCATTGGAACTAGATATATACAGCACATATTATGCCTATTTAGGGTTTTAAGTAATCATAAGAAGGAATTTAAGGTCTTAATACAAGATGGAATCTGAGTATTCAGCATCCTATGAGCCTCAACCCCATTCATGCCCCACTGACAATACGCCTCAGTGTGTGAGATCTTAAAGCTTCTAGATTGAGTCAAACAAACTTTTTAGATTCACCAAAGGATCCAAGAGTCTAGGCTTCCCCTCTTAGAGCACAAGAGAGGATTATAAGAAAATAATCTGGTAATGATAGTGGTTTCTCTGCATGTATGCGGTTGTATTAACAAATAGTAGTTACAAGCAGATACCTATATCGCCAGAAGGAACAGAAGAAAAGAGAAAAAGAAATCAGTATGAGTAATAACAAAAACATGGTATTCTATACACCTCAGTTCCCAATATAGCAGACAACTTTCAAGAGCACCCTGCTTGGGCGATTCTATCCTGCGAGTTGAATAGCTTCATTTTCATGGGTTCATCACAGGCGCGATTATACTTGTTGCGAAGAGATGGACAAAATTCCTACTGAGTTTGACCAATAGAGAAAAGTTCCTCAGTTCCCAATATGACAAAGAGTCTTACAGAGTTCCCTGTCTGGGCGACTCTATCCCTGCGGGTTGGGATAGCTTCATTGCCATGGGTTCATCATAGGCGCGACTGTGGATGTAGACAAAGGACTTGGACAGACTTCCCGCTTAGTCTGACCGTAAGAGGATAGAACCAAAAAAAAAGCTCTGGACCGAGTCCAAGAACAAAAAAAAAGTTCTTTGTAAACCTCAGTTCCCAGTAGTTGTTGGGTACTTCATTGGCGTTCACTTGCGCAACGGGAACGATGCTGAATAGAGCCACTGATCTAGCTTCTATTGTAGTATGAAGGATAAGAAGAGCAGATTTCAAATGGGGCAGGACAGATTTAAATAATAGAGGAATTAGACTTTGTTCAGTATCGAAAGCTTGTTTGAAGGCTGAACGCACTTATGCAATACAGTAAAGCTGTCAACATGCGATGAGTGAGGAAGTCAATTCATTCTACCCAAAGGCCAGATAAAGTCGAGTTGAATTTTATATTAACGATAGGTAGGTTACGAATAGCCAGTGCTGGTAGTAAAAAGCAGTGTATTTAGGACATGTTGATGCCTGGTTACGAATACATGTTCGTATACACGAGAGTAAGGAATTGATTTATTCGGCCTTGCAACATCGAGCTCATGAGCCATTGTAATGGCAAGATCTATTACGACAATACAGTCGTGCCATCCCTCATGTGAAATATGCAACCCTCGTTCCATGCTATCTGTGCCTAGCCACAGCCTTGCGACTTACACCTTAGTACACCGACTAACAATTCCAACGCATGGGTGCTTCAAACGTCACAATTCTGAAGCAGCACGATCGCAAACAAAATGGAACAAATCTGAAAAGTCGGTAAGAAGCCATCTTCCATGTGTAGACAAGATGAAGAAGCAAGTGGCCCGCCTTGTGGCACGTCAAAGACTGGCATTGTAGTACGAACTGCAAGGCTGTGTAGATGCACTTATAAGTCCAACTTGACATTGTTAGTCGTTAGAAGATGGCCAGGGCCTTGAGCATCATCGCTTCATACCAGCGCATGGATATTTGATCTCGCTTGTAGAGTTACAGCGTCTGATGCATCTCGGTAATCTGCAATGTCCGATTGATTGACTCGGCAACTTTCTCAAAGACCCAAAATGTCATGCATATCAAAACTTTTGACAATGAGGCTGAATACATAAGTTATAGCCGGCGAACCGCATCATCCCTAAAAGGGCATTCGTCCAGTGCCGTTCCGGGAAAATGACATGCTTCTTTCAATCCTGATAAGACAATTCCACAACATCGGACTCGAAAGTCGGATCCTTCGGGGGGTGCCATTGCATATTCGCAGCAGTGGTGACAGCGACCAGCCTGATTGCAATATAGCAATATAGCCACACATATCGACCTTCAACATGCCATGCCTTCAACGGACCCCAAGGTAACCCCTTGGCAGCCCCCTTATCCTCACTTTCCTGGGACGCTGTGCCACATGTAAATAAAGTCTCCGCAGATTCTTGATCTTGATTCCTCCGTTGGGAGTTGATGCAGCATGCCCGCCAGCCTTGCAGCAGTAAATGCCACCCGTCAGGTGGTTTGGCACTGCCATGACAGTTGGCGGGTGGCGGCCCCCAAAATCGACAAGATATCTCTGGCGTCACCCTGCTGCCCAGGACTTTTTGCAGAATCGTCATCTTTCTTCTTTCTTCTTTCCTTTGGAAGTTCGATTTTGTCTGATTTTGATTGAACGTTTTGCCTCATATCTTGGTTGCTTCTTCCCGGCTGCTCGACGACTCGCTCGAGAGTGCAGCGATGGATACCTCGTGCTTTTTTCCGCTGGCGATACCGCCGGTTTTGCCCTTGATGCCTTCTCTTTTCATGGGGTCGCTCGTCTTGGCTATGATCGTGATGACGTTTGCCGTCTTTGACGTCTTTGTATATCCCTTCTATGTGTCTCCTCTCCGGCATCTTCCTGGACCTACCGTATGAACCACTCCTGATCGCCCATCTCTGTTTTGAATAGTGTTGCTGATGGTAGTCAGGATAATGTTTTCTTTCTTGGCCAGGCCGCAAAGTTTCTTCAGGTCCCTTGGTTTCCTGAACTATTTTGCAAGTGGTCCCGCGAGTTTCCCGAAGCGCCCTTGATTCGATATCTCAATTTTGGGAACAGTGAGACTCTCTTCGTAAACTGCATCGAGGCATACAAACAGGTGCTCCAGACGAAGAATGCCTATTTTGTTAAGCCTACTTTTGCAAGACAATTTGCTCATGAGATCATTGGTGACGGACTGCCCTTCGTTGAGGGTAAGCTGCATAAGTTGCGTCGAGCGGCTATCAGTCGTAAGCTTTCTCTACGTGAAATGCTGAGAAACAAAGCTAATGTCCAAAGAACCGTTCTCGGCACCACGGTTGAAATCATTCTTTCCTACTGTTCAAGCAAAGGCTGAACAGTTGATCGATGTCCTCACAGAACAATGCAGTCAGAACAGCAATGTTGAAGGTTAGTACTTCCCCTTTAATTTCATGACAGAACTGATAAGGCTGGTAGTTGAGACCAATATTTGGAAAGCAGTCCTCGACGTGATTGGACTCGAAACGTTTGGACTTGACCTCAACCATCTTGGATCCGACGAGTCTCCTCTCTTTGAAACATTCACCAAAATGATGCAGCCATCGGTAGTTGGCCATATTGTCAACTATTTGAACTCGCTTACCCCGATTCGACAATTCGTTCCTATCAGAGAATGCATAGAATTTTCGCAAAGCTGTACTCGAGTTCGAGAGTTCATCATTGGTCTAGTGACGATCCGACGTGATCATTGCGAACAAGGTTATGTCAAAGAAAATGACAACCGGGATGCTCTTCAGTGTCTGTTGGAGTATTCTGACCCTTCTTGGAACGACAAGAGTATCGTTGAATATGTAAGTCATTCGAAATTGTGGATGTTGTTTCTGAGCTGACATTTCGGTGACAGATTTTGAACCTTCTGATTCTTGGTAAGAAACGCGTACCACCATGTAAGATACCAATGCTGACTGATCTTCGTGTGGTAGGACACGACACAACGGCTTGTTCCATCACTTGGGCTGTTCATGAACTCTCACGACGACCCTACTGCCAGCAGCGTCTGAGGGATGAGATCAAGGCTATGGACAGCATTTGCGCCATGCCTGGCTTTAGCGATATAGACAAGCTCCCATACCTGCACAACTTTGTGCGCGAAGTCTTGCGACTATACTGTGCCGGTAAGCAGTGTGACCCCTGGGATTGGGGAAAATCGCTAACGCAACACAGTGGCCATGGCACCACGACAAGCTACCCAGGATGTCGAAATCGCAGGTGTCATGATCCCCAAAGGAACCGTGATCCAACTCTCCCCAGCAGTCATGAACACACACCCCTCAGTCTGGGGCCCTACAGCGCAGGACTTCAATCCTGACCGCTGGAACGACCTAACAGGCGAAGCAACAAGCGCATATGCCTTCGAGACGTTTCACAACGGCCCGCGTATGTGCATCGGCAAGCAGTTGTCCATGATGGAGATGAAGGTGATGCTTGTGGAGATGGTGCGAAAGTTCAAGATCCAGAAGCCTCACGGAAGCGAGGATAAGCCAGTGGAAGTTGCTGGACCTACCTTTACGCTGCGGCCAAAGGAGAAGTTGGTCGTGCGGCTGGTGGAGGTGTAAGAGACAAGTTTGGAGTGGGCGAGACAACTACGTAATATACAGTATACCTGGGAGGACGACACGACATCTTAGTTAGACCTTGACACATTAGACACATTTGGTAGATGATTTGATGGAAGAGTCACGAGATGTATTAAACTGTAAACTTTGCTACCCTACAGTAATAAATACAAATCTGGTTGATGTCTCTTGATCAAATACTGGTATCATGACAATCAACTCATGATGAGCTGCCCCCCCCCCGCCTGTAAATGGATAGCTCTCACCCCGCAATCGTCGCCCGTTTCTCGAACTTTCCAGGGCATCCGCGCTTAGAAATCCAATCACAAGCTCCATATCCATTCCCAAAGTCAGGGTCCACCTCTAACGTTGGAACATCCGTTGGTGTCATAATGGATGGCTTTAACAACTTCCGAGCACCTATAACCTCTATCTCTACCTACGTTACCTTTCTTTACCACAATCATTCATTCGATATTTCGCCTATTTCTTGCACCTCCGCGTCCTTGGCACGTTCCCTGCAGAGCGGCAGCATCCTTTAGCTGGAGTCACTTCCTACAATTCTTGTTTGGCCCTTTCTTTGATCTAGAACAGTACTTATCTGCCTTCCAAACACCCAAGTTGCCGTCAGCTTTCGTACCGACTCCTTTACATACTTAGCGACATCTCATCTTACCACACCTTACCGCATTCTTTTACACCAACACGTCATCATGTCAAACTCACTTCATCTGAAGGAGCAGGGGAACAAATATTTCTCCTCCGGCAACTATGCGGGCGCCGATAGTCTCTACTCCCAAGCGTGAGTGAGCGTAAATCCTATATATGCATACAACACACATATAGGAGTAGATCCAAAGAAAGGGCCTATTCTGACAATACACTCCCGCAATAGTATCATCGCCGACCCGAAGAACCCGGCTCTATACACCAACCGCGCCATGGCCCGACTTAAGCTTGACCAGTGGGACTCGGTTATCACCGACTGCGAGGCCTGTCTGCAGCTGACGCCCGAGAACATGAAAGCTCGTTATATACTGGCGCAAGCGCAGCTCGCTCTTGGCGACTACGATGCTTCGGTCGCGAATGCTCTTCACGCGCATAAGCTATGCGTCACCACAAACGACCGCTCGCTCGCTGCGCTAACAGCTCTGGTACTGAAATGCAAGAAAGAGCGCTGGGACCACCTCGAGAAGAAGCGAGTCCGCGAAGCCAAGGACTTGGAGAGGGAGGTGCTGCAGCTTTTGGGCAATGAGAAAGACAATGCGCTGGCGGGGACGGATGATGCCATGGAGAGGCAGGAGATTGAAGAGGAGACAGATGCCAAAATCGCAAGGATGAAGGATATCTTCGAGAAGGCAAGGGCCGACTCTGAAAAGCAGCGAGAAGTTCCTGACTGGGCAATTGATGATATCAGCTTCGGTTTCATGGTCGAACCCGTCATGGTAAGTTTCACACCAAGGTCAACCAAGACATGGCCACTAACAAATTCATTCAGACCAAGACTGGAAAGTCATACGAGCGATCATCCATCCTGGCACACCTTCGAATACACCCAACCGATCCCCTGACCCGCGAGCCCCTCATTCCCTCCGAATTACGGCCAAACCTAGCACTGAAGCAGGCGTGCGAGGAGTTCCTCGAGCACAACGGTTGGGCTGCTGACTGGTAGAATCTAGTGCCAGACGATTTCAAAGTTGAGATTAAACGGAGCGGCAAAGTTGTCCTATTGTTATTAACCGACCAGCTTGGAGTTTAGGGAGTTAATATGCACCTTTTAGGATGAGTTTACATGGTTTAGCGTTTACACATTTTACGAAAGTAATGCAATGTTATAGAATTTTCAGAATACTACTTGCATGCTGACTGTATCATGAATCTCATAGTTCTCATCTCACAAGAAGCGAGGTTTTCTACTCCGAACAGCTTCTGTTTTCGAACTCCATACCAAAGCATAAGGTACATTTACAATCATTATAGCTAACGTAGTACAACTGATCTTTATTCATCATGTCGTGTTCCTATCCTCCACCAACCCGGCCTTCACGTCCCACAGCAGTTTTGTATATACAGGTAGTCATCAAGCTCGCGCTCTGTCACAGACATTTCTATACCCTACCCAACCCTACCCAGGGAGTGACGACATTATACAAGCGCTATGCAACCGATTGACCCAAGCGAAACCAGTAACACAAAAAGCAGAACCCCAATAACGCCGTGCGTATGCATATCTTTTTTCCCCAGTCAAAACACGACTCCGAGTGCTGCCGATATCACCCAGCGGATTGGCCTCTAGCGAAAAGCCGGGCCGGGCTGACTATCGTCCTTGACGAGCCCGGCACGCTCTTCCTCCGTTGGGTCCTCGACATGCGACGTTGATCTAGACGATGAGTGAGGCCGCCGGAAAACGTTGTGGAATGAAAACTGACGTCGTGTAATATCCGGAGGCTGTCCGTGAAGCTGTCCGTGAGGTGGGGGCGTCGGGGGAGCCAAGCTGTCACCACTGCGGAACGACGCCCCTCGATACTCTGTATCCTGACCACCGAATGTATGTTCGCGAGTTTGGCCAAAGTAGGCGGCGTGTTCTTCGTCGGCCTTATCCCGGGGGACGGCTATCTCGGTAAGAGGTACGGGAGGCATCGGGCTTCGAGGGCGAGGCTTGTCATCATCATGATCATCCGCAACATGACGGCCTGAAAAGTTGGTAAAGCCTCGAGCTCGGCCGCGAATGGTACCTGCAATACTCGAGAAGAGGGTGTTCGTTTCGTGGCGGTTGTTATCGTTCTCGTCATCGCGGTCATCGTCTTCGTCTTCGACCGGTGGGAATTGTGACATGCCTAGCGGTGGGTGCGGTCTTGGACTGCTCGGTGGTACGGCGAAACGAGGAGAGATGGGCGGCACCGGTGGTGATGTTACAGATCCGGCCCTCGAGCTGCTAATTGTTCCGGTTCTGAAAGTCATTGTTCTTCTTCGTCTCAAACCATCCCATTCCCACTCTGGCTGCTGTCCATCCTCACGAATAGGATCCATGGTCTCCATCATCATCTTTTCCTCATGCAGTCGCTTGAGCTCTTCGGCTTCCATCCTAAGTCGTCGCTGAGAGATCTGTCGCACGATGGCAGCAGCTCCACGAATGGCATCGGCTTTTGGTTCTGTCTCTGGCTGTTCCTGCTCGGCGATAGTCTGAATCTGATCAAGGTCACCACTGAAGACGGCTGCATCAGGTACGTCTTTGGCTGATTTTGAAAGCTGTAGTAAGACTACTCCCGAACAGATTGTTAGGAAACCTAAAACAACAGTGACGATAGACTGGGTGGTGCCCTTGAAACCTTGGAACAGAATTGCGGATGTTATAATGGTTGTACTGGTAAAGTAGACGTAATATGTGGGGGTAACGAGGGCCGCGTTATAGAGATTGAGTGCTTTCTAGAAGGGGTCAGCAAGTGAGACAGAGTGAGACTTGGGTTTCGTACGTTGAGGTAGATGATCTCTGTCAACAATGTGCAAATGACAAAGACAAACAGTACCCATAGAAACCACTCTTTGTATTGAGGTTTACCATCAATCCAAGCAATAATAGCAGCACCCAGACCTTGAGTCGCCACGACACTAAGTCCACCGACCCAACTGCAGATGGAGATGTAAACCAGCATATTCTTGTTACCATACTTCGGTGCAACCCATATCGCAGTAACGGCAGAGCCAACTATGATGAGGCCAGCATAGGTGAGGAAGCCTGGTGTTATAAAGTATTTCTGCATCTCCTGAATATCGCTAACGGACGAGGTGTGGGGAGCGTTCATCACAATAACAACCGAGCCGACAATGCAAAGGAAACAGGCGACCTTTCCGACCATGCTCAGACGTTCTTTGAGGAAGATGGCAGAAAGAATAGCTGTAATGACGACGGACAAAGCGCCCAGAGGTGTGACGAGGATGGCATCAGTGAAGGCGTATGCGACAAAGTTGAGGATCTCGCCAATGATCATGAGCGTCATGCCAGCCCACCAGTAAAAGTTCTTGAGGTATCCGTATCCTTCTCCAGCAACTTCATTGTATTTTTCGTTGGCGCGCAAGAGGCCGACCTTTTTGAGGACGAAGGATATGCCGATGAAGACACCAGAGCCCACGGCCAAACCAATACCGACAGGTTTATAGAAGCCAGGCCGATTACTGGTGTCGCCGCCAATTCCGCCGCTTCGCGCGAAGATATCGGCGTCCATGGCGATCTAGAGGATCTGGGGGATTCGAGAAGAGGAGGGGAGAGTCGAGGTAGTCGAGGCAGAAATCTAGACCTAGTTTAAGAACCACATGTGCGATGGTGACGATATTGGTTGCGGCAGCGACGACGGGAAGCAGTTTGTTTTTATAGGGGGTTCGATAACAATATAGTTCATAAATAGAAGTATAATTGAAAAGGTAAAACCTGCGCAAAAGAGAAGAGACAACAGGAAGGTTAAGAGCATATACAGAAGAAGGAAAAGGTTGTGTTGGAAGAAACCAAAAAGTATAGACTATGGTAGTTCTAGTAAAGAAACCTTGGAAACGGCGTCGCACACACCAAGACTAACGACAATAACAGGTCGGAGCTTGTGATGAACGAGATCCAATTAGTGGGCTTCTGAGACAACAGCAGCTAGAGACAATGTATCGGTACTTGACGTGCTTGGCCTATTCAGGCGCTGTCCCCGCTGCAACCTGCCAACTTTCAGCGACCCTCGCAGCCAACCTACCAACCTAACCAACCACTATCGCCCAAATCAAAACAAGCTTACAGCTGGGGGGATAAGATCTTGTCTTTTTACTGGGCTCATTGGATGAAGATCTTACAATGGCTAGAATGGCGTTTCATTAACGACACAGTAGTACCCAGCGTGAGAGAAAATACTTCAATATGTTGAGCATATCAGTGACGCAAAGAACCCCGGGACGAGAAAAATAAAGTCTTTAATAAATTAGTTAATTAACCATGACAGCTTTCTTGGCTGTCATGAGCACTTTAGCTGGGGTCTCCCATGCTTCTGGCCGAGACATCCAGGGCCATCACCCGCGCAACGGGCTCTGGGACCAACGGGCGCTAATTGCAACAACGTCAGTAATCCATGATGAATTCAAAACCTATGACACCAGAGAATCGTGCATTTCTAAGGTCTTTCATTGTTGGGCCTACTGACGACCTGGAGATATTTGATAAGAGTCCTAACATTATTATCAGTCTCTAAGTTAACTGACCTGCCCGTCTCGGCAAGACCCTGGCGTCTCTCTCTTTTGCCGCAGCATCTGGCTCTCTAGTCTCTATGTACCGATACTTCCAACTTTCTCCGCCCCCAAGAAAGCCACTTACATACGTACGTCGAGTGGCCAGCGATGACGACGAAGCATTGTCCATTGTCTGGTCCAAACCATTGTTGTCCATCCGTAGGAACCGGACTTCAATACAACTGTCAGTTGGAGGTTACCTTGCACCATTGAAGATGACAGACCGCCTTGACTCTGATGTCCCCATGAAGTGATTACTGACCGCTGAACAGCAAGCATCTGCAACTGAGCCGATGGTGGCTACAGACTGTATGGAGCAGACCAAGACGCACTCTACACAAGTGCATCCGCCAACGCGGGGTGGTTGATCTATGTAGAGTTCTAGACCTGGGCTCTGGAGCTCTTTTCAGCTTCCAATGTGCAGAGCATGTCTAACTTATCTCAGTCCATCGCAACGAATCTCAACACTCCGTGTCCGTAGGATTCTGGGTCTTTGGAAACGAGCAGGCGAGATCAACATTAATCCACAAAGCATCCCTGAAGACTCAAATGCACTCACTCAGCCTTCACGCTGTGCATGCATTAGACGTCGGATCTTCAGTCTCCAACAGCCAGACAGCCAGCCAGCAAAAAAGAGCGCATAAGCTATTTCTGTCTCTGGACAAAGCCTAATTATCTGCATGCGTGCGACTCAGCCCCAGCGTCGTTTCGCCTCCACACCCACTACACGTGTGATGTTTCAGAGAATGTCTCCAGGTCTCTTTCTCTTATCCCACTGATCGACAGCGGATTAACCAGTGTTTAACTTAAAGGTCTGAAATGCCTTGATTCGCAGGGTGGGTCGATAACCAACCGTTCCCGCTCGGCTGGACTCTTCAATCCGTCCATGATCTGGGTTCCAATAATGTTGGGGGAGAGAACTTAAAAAAGTCGAATGTTAAGGGTCCTTGGCTTTGATACGAACACGAATTCTTAGGGCAGTTAGATAGATGGAGTTGTTGGTGTTGTAGAAGTACACAATAGTTGAAGATGGTTCATCTACAGTTGACCGCTCTTATGATGGGCAGATTCTGAAGACTTCGGGCGATGATAGTACCATTTAGTCATGAGTCTCGTCACCAGACTGCAAGTCATAGCGGATCGCGTAGCTTGACGGGCCGTTTATACTGCGTCTCTCTCTGTGGCGCCTGAAAGAATCGAACAATCTCGTGTGGCTTATGCAAACACACACAAAAACTAACATTGCCTTTCGTTTCCTATCGTGCCAAGGGGGTATCTCGATCTTATATTCATAAATGCGTGATGCAGCCAACCCAATCCAATTCAAACTTCCCGTCTCTTACTGCACCAATCCTTCATGTTATTTCCTCTGAACCGGGACAATCTCACTCAACCACTTGCTTACTTTCTCATCAAGGGGAAGTTTCGTCGCCTCGCCAATTTGCTTGACGAACCTCTCCTTGAGATTCTGAAAAGTCTTTTTCTTGGCCTCTTCTTCCGCTTGGCGTGCCCTTGATATAGCCAAGAACTCCGCCTTTCTTTTCTCGCACCTCTCTCGACGGTCCTTTATCCGCTCTGGCGGAATATCTCTGCCTGTCACGCTCTGAACCTTTTCCCAGAATAGGATATGTTGAGCCTCTTCGTCGTGGCAGGCGTTGTACATGACAGCCTGCAGAGGACTGCTGAGCATGTGTTTCAGAACGATGCTGTATTCGTTCTTCCTGGCCGTCTTTGAGAATCTGATGCCCATATCGATGGCGGCCTTTCCCATATCGTTGGCACCAGGCGTCTGATAGTCCAGGGCGAGGAGGAATGCTTGTGCCTCCTGGTGAAGTTCGCTTATAGGAGTGCCTTGGAGAAGGGTGCGAAGCGGCGCGGGAAGTTGTGAGTTTCGTAAATTGGGTTGAGGAGCTGACAACCATTCTGAAGGGACGGATGAGGGCATGTCCATCTCCTTGGTTTCTGTGTCCTGGGCCCTGACTACTCTTGAGGCTATTGAGGGCTCCATCCTCTGCCGTTTCGCAGCTGGGGCTTGTGGCGGAGGACATGAAGCTTCATCGTGAGTTGAACTTCGTTTCCGGGTGAGAGATTTAGATTCCTCGTTCTCAGTTGGCATGCCGTTGACCAACAAAAACAAGGAGGCCCATTCATTGGTGTCATACTCAGATTCCTCTTCGGACTCGGATTCTTCTTCCTCTTCATCTTCCTCATCATCGTCGTAGTCCTCTTCAAACTCCTGCTCATAATCTTGCTCATTTTGGTCATAGTCTGCTTCTTCGTATTCTTCCTCTTCCTCATCATAATATTCATACTGGCAAGAAAAGGGTCAGTTTCCATAATTATCTCGCACTCAAAAAGAGGTCGGATACGAGTTTCTGGTACATACACTGGATGAGGCATCATCCTCCTGCTGTGCCACAAGCATAACTTTGGTCAAGATCGCCGCGACCTGCTCACTTCGGCGGATTTCGTGCTTGATAATGTCCCCCATGACAATATCCTCGATTAGCTTGGAGTCGATCCCTGATCCTGGAGGATAAAAGTCCTTCGGCAGCCACGACATTATTTTCCGGGGGCACTGGTGAGTCTTGTGCAGACTTTTCGGCTGTGAGAACAGTGTTGATGTCAACGTCAACTGCCAAAAGGGTAAGATTTCTGTTGCCGTTATCACTCTGCGGTTGATTTTGGTTCCGTGGTGTCCGATAAGGCAGCACAGAGCCCACAGAGCCCGACCAGCGGGGCAAATATGGTAAATATTTGAGTTTGACCAATCATGACTCTTTTGGCTGATCCGCGGGACCAGTCTAGACTCGGCTCTTGGCTTGTGATGATTTGGCAGTAAATATTCCGTAATGGGATAATAATAGGTAGGTACCTTAGGGCGTCCCTCGAGTCGAGGCTCGCCTATCAACAAATACTTCATTCCTTGCAGCCTTGTAGGATTTGACCAAAGCTTTCACATGGCAGACCATGACATGGCATGACATGCATAGAACTTTCACAGCCTTACAAATACCTATTTAATTAGAACCTCTTAAGCATTCCTTCCAGCCCATGCCGGAGGTATCCATCTTTTAGGCTATAGACCCTGGATCACCCTAGGCTCAAGTCGTGATGCTGAAATTACAAGGTTGCGTTCTTCCTGGGAAAAGAATCCTTCGACCCATTTCTCCATCATAGCGCAGCCTGTGCTGACCGGAACAGAGGCGAACGATACCGTACGCTGCCCTATCGCCATTAGTGAAACCCTAGTCTTGTAGCTCTGTCCCCAGCATTAGCGGTGCTGCTGCGGTTTGAACTTTTGAAGACGATACAACGTATCGCATTGACTGCGGCGGATTGGCAGCCAATTGCCCAGGAGTGGTAAGATGGGGAACAGGGGAATTAAAGGACCATTTTCATTCAAATGGAACCCTTCATCGCTTTGTCTCCTCTGTCTTGGTTCAGGTTCATTCGAGTCAATGCTTCGCTAGCTTCTTCCTTCGGGGCTGCTCTTCATCCTTTGCCATTCAAGTTCGCGACGGCGCAATTCTCTATCCACTTGCAGCGCATCCTTTGAACTTGTATATCATTCGAATATCGTTACTTCTTTTTAACAATGGCCAACTCCAACGCCAAGGCTCTCTATGAGGCTGTTCCTGAGTGCATTGCGCCTTGCTTCGACACCAGTATTGCCGACACTGGTTGTCCTGATAAGGACTACGACTGCTGGTGCTACAAGACCAACCACCAGACTATCGTTGACTCTTTGGAAATATGTCTTAAAGGCGTGGAAGTAAAAACGGGAAAGACATGTACTAAAAACGACCATTACGGTATGATGTTAACTGGCTCATCGTGATGACCATGCACTAACACGAGGTCAGACTTCGAGCAAAGTTATTGGGGGATCTGTAAAGAATACTGGGAACCTACCGGAACCGCCACCGACCCAAAGTCATATCCAACATCACCGGCCACATCTTCAGACATCTCATCGAAGACAACCCTCAAGGTCTCGACAACACAAGCCGCCACAACCTCATCAGCCGCCGAAGAGTCGACTACCTCCGCCTCGATATCCTCATGGACTTCCAGCGCCGATGCAACTGAGACCGGTAGTTCAGAATTGACCGAAGCATCTGGCGCAGCAGATTCAACATCCTCTAATCAAGGTGGCCTGTCCGCAGGAGGCAAGGCCGGCGTCGGTGTTGGTGTTGCCCTGGGCTTTATTCTTATCGGCGCTGCCATCTTCCTCTGGCTGCGAGAGAGGCGCAAGCGACGCAGCATCGAAGAGAGACTCAGGATTATCGAGGAGGAAAAGGCAGATGCGCCATACGGAGGCGGCTACTACAACAATATGATGTACGAGATGGAGGGAGATCGACCCCATGCTGAGGAACTGCGCGGAAGTATGAGGACGCCAGAAATGGGCGCGAACGAGACTGTGAATTCGAGCAGTATGACACAGTTCGACCCTGTGAGCCCCTCGGACAATGACAAGGACTCAACTTTCTCGAGCCGTAGCCAAGACTGGCCCATTTCACCCGATAGTCCAAGTCGCCAGGAGCCGAGGGGCCTGGGAGCGATGCCAAGCAATAACGAGAGCAGGCCGGCTGCTCCTTGATGATGTTCGAATTTCGGCCTTTGCCATGTTATCTTCTTGAATATATACCAATTTACATAATTATCTCTCTCTCATTATCTTCAAACGAATCAAACTTGAGCGTTTACAGTCTCTTAGTTGTGAATATAATCGAGTCAAACGCGGGGCCCCCACCCCGCTACTCAAGTAAACCCGTTCGTTGTACTGATAATAGGAACGAACATGTCTCTGCGTTTGTATGGCCTGTCTATATATTGCCGACTTGATGATGTTTTCTACTGAACTTGAACTTGAGATTGTTAACATCTTTGTCGACACCTACATCGACATCAACCTAAACCTATAATTTTGATCGACAACCTACCAATCTGCGCCAACTACACGATGTCTGCCGAGAAGAAAGCCAGAATCATCAACGAGGTTGTCAAGCGCCTCTGGGATGAGAAGCCCAACGCCGCCATCAGCTTGAAGGTAAGTCTCCCGACCCTACAACCTCCTGGACTGCGTGGCATTACTAACAGTCATCCTCTTGATAGCGCTACATGGCCGAGACCGACCACATCAAGGACATCATGCAGGCTGTTGTTAAGGACATTGGCCATGCCATGGTCGAGCTCGATCTCCGTGATGAGAAGGCCGTTGCCCTGAACCGCTGCAAGTACGATCTTGCTCGCGCCGTTGTAAGTCTGCAGCCGTCCTCTTCTCAGATTACCTATACTAAGACAAGGTTAGGACGAGCACAAAGAGCTCACCAAGGATGGCTACGACCGCACCTTCCGCCCTCGCTTCAACTGCACCGTCAAGACTCTCAAGCTCGTCGGTGTCGGCGGTTCCGGTAACGAAGCCCCTGGCGTCAAGGACAGCGAGCCTCAGATGGAGGTAGTTCTTCGTTTCCCGGCCCGGGAGTACAACGAGTCTCCTCACTCTCTGGTCCCCGGCAAAGCTGAGGTCTTCCTCATGATGAAGGAGATTTAGACGTGAGGTGGTGCTTTTCTTGGCCTTGGGTAAAGAAAGGCTTGGGGGCGTGAACAACGGGATGATGGGTACAGCAAAGATCAATTAGATGGGGTTTCTGCTCTATAGTAAGAAATGAATTGGCCTTTATCTATATGGTGGTTTTAGCAGTGTGAAGCCTGTGTGTTGTTTGTGATGTTGGTAAGTTTGCTTTTTCGTGGCGGGTTTGTAGCATGCTGATTTATATCGATGACGAGCCGTAACAACAAGGAACAGTATGTGTATAACAGCTTTAACAACCCTATAAGTTACATCTTGGACAAATATCACTAACTTCTATTAAACTTACTTAATCTTATTAAATCCTATTCTAGACATTCACTCAAGTTTTCTAGTTATTTTCGACTTTACACCACATACAGTACAAGCCGTCGTTGGCTCCTCTCCACTATTTATCTAGTCCCCTTCTAGGCTCCAGCTCCTTATCGTTTCTCTCTTTCATGATCACTCACTCATGCGCCATTCCCTTATTTTCTTGAGAATTGATGAAAAATGAATAGAAATGAAAATCCTGAAAAGGGCGCAGATGACATTAATGAAACTGAGGCGACCTCCACAGCTCCTTTCAATTGTCATCAGTGTCGGAAGAGCAAATTGAAATGTGATCGTACAAGACCTTGCTGCAGTCGATGTGCAAACCAAGGCTATGAATGCGTCTATTCAAACTCAAGGCAGCCTTACAAGAGCAGAAACCGAGGACAGGCGAAGGAGATGGAAGCCAAATTAGGTGAGTTGTCGCATTGCCTCATTCACGATCAAGCTTAGAATCATAGCTAAATCAAGTGATGATAGGCCGCCTAGAGCGATTGTTACAAAACTCCCAAACAACGAAGGCTTCATACACTCACAAAGAGCAACACAAATCAGAACCTCTTTCTGTAGCTAGCATCACGCCACCAAAAGATCAAGATGATGAGGTTGTCAGATTGGGTCTGTTCGAAGAGACACCACCTCGCGAATTCATTGAGACACTGCAAGTGACACCCCAACAACTAACCCATACTGTCCATACTAATGCAGCAACAGAATGGACATATACTTCAATGATATCCACCAAGCAGCACCTATGCTACATCGACAACGATTTATGGCGTGTCTGTTTCTGCCTGGCCATATGAAGCCCCCAATGTGCCTGCAATACATCATAATGGCATTTGCTGCGGAAACCAGCGATTTATATCGTCATATGGGAATGGCCTTGTACAAACGTGCTAGATCATATCTTCAGGCACACGATATGGATGTATGTTGCTGTTAGGATGTGTCCTTTAATGCGTTGGCTAACAAAGCTTGTATAGGACATTACTCAAACCTCAATATCGCTAGGCCACGCACAAGCTTGGGCACTTACATCATGCTTTGAGGCTGAACATACCATGTTTGCCAAAGCTTCCATAACCCTTTGTTCTGCTATTCGAGTTGCACAGATGCTAAATTTACATCAAGTTGATACCGTGCAACACGGTGAAAACCACACAGTTGACAGCATAGAGATGGAGGAGCGACGACGGACATGGTGGACGATATTCTGCTTTGATCGATTTGTCTGCGCCACAACTGGATGGCCGGCTCTCATACATGATCAAAATGTGAGTTATATAATCACAGGTTTTCCAACAGTCACTGACCAAGAAAAGATCAAAACTCGCCTTCCGGCGTCAGACGAAGCATATGCGTACGGTCGAGACGAGCATGCACGCTTCCTAGGAGATCAGCTCACCGATGCCGAACCACACTCATCATTCGCGGGAAGAGTCCTTACAGCGCATATCTTCCATCGCACCATTGAACATAATTCAGATAACAGCCAAGGGCAAGAAACCCAATACTTTAGTAACGATGCTTACTGGAAAAGACACAGCGCTATTGACAACGACCTCAAATTCATGCTACTGATGTTGCCAAAGAGTCTTTGTCTTCCTGCCAACTACAAGAACCACAACGCTGTGTTTGTCAATGCCATGCTACACACTGCTACGATCTGCCTTCACAGGGCAGCTTTGTGGAAGATGAAGTCCAATCTCCAGGGACTGCCTAGTTACATGATTCGATTGTCTCAAGATCGTCTTATTCCAGCAGCCGAAGAGATCCTCAACATCTTCAGAATGATACCAAATCTCAATGCAACCTTTGCTAATCCGCTTATTTGCTTTTCTGCATATATGGCTGCCCTCGTCTTTCTGTCCTCGACTACCCCTACCCAGTGCGATAGCCAGAGCGAGGAAAATCTCGATTTTATACTCAAGATTATGGTTGCCTTTGGTGATAACAATCTTGTCGCCAACGCTGTGGCGAATGAAATCGTTAAAGAGATGACGCAGTGTGGTATTGTGTCTGCCACAATGGACAAGGTAAGTGATTGATCTTTTGTGCCTTTGCTAAACACGTACTTACATCTTATGCAGTTGAACCTGCAGAGCACGCCGATAGATATTCCACTATTGGCAACGCAGCGTCTGTATTCGTCTTTCTAACGATTCCGCTTTGAGAAACGCTGGAATATTCCCTTACCTACAAGATGCTTCATTTTTGAGCCGCATTCGCAAGATTGGTACATGTGACATATATCGGTGCTATTATTACTGGAGTGGTAGCTTACAACTAATTCTATGAACCAAAGGAAATACCTAAAAAAATCCGAGTCACTCTACCACCAACAATCTCCGTTTACTTGCGAGCAAAGTCGCTCTCCGTTTCGAGCCAAGATCCGAAAGTCTTGAGTCCAGGGTATTCTTTTCTTAACGCCTTCAAGTCCGCACCAAAACCAACATCGTTGAACCACTTGAACATATACCCCAACTCCTTGACCATTGCCATCATGGGGTAAACAATGAGACTGTATGTAGACGGAAGATCACGACCAGTTTTATCCTTGAATACTGTTTCAACTTCCTTGAGCGTCAGCTCGTCGCCTGCGAGTGACACAGCACGACCTGCGTATTCTTCCGGTCGAAGGAAAGCCTGGGCACCAGCAACGCCTACATCGCTCACGGTCACAAGCTGGACGGGCTTTATCTTGACAGCCAACTTCCATGCCGTGACAAAGGATCGTCCCAATAAATCGTTGGTCAGGTTCTCCATGAACGCCACTGGCCGCAGAATGAACCACCGCATATCTGTCCCAGCGCTGCGCGCAATCAGATGCTTCTCAATCTCGTGTTTGGCGATGAAATGCGGAACAGGCGTAGGGTTGTCCTTGGAGTCTTCGCCATGACGATCGACTGAGGTGTACACAAAGAACTTGACGCCAGCATCGAGCGCGGCATCGACAAGGGCTTTGCCTTGGCCGACTTCACCACCGCCTGACCCACCAAAGGGCATAGGGACCTATACATAAAATCAGTGCTTGCTTTACAATTCCGAAGAATATTCTTTCTTACCTGAACACTGAAAACTCCCCAGATAGGTTGTTGTGTAAGACCTAGTGCAGTTTTGAAAATCGCAGCAGGGTCAGCTAGGTCTCCTTGGACAAGCTTGATGTTAGATGATTTCTGGAGGAGTCTCTGAGCTGAAGGGGAAGTGGCATTTCTGGTGACGGCGAGGATGTTGAAGTTGGCTTTTTGCTTAATGAGATTATTCAGCACAGCACCGCCCTGCTTTCCAGTCGCACCACAAATCAGGACTGTTCGAGACATTATTGGTAGTGTTTAGGTTGTAAGGGACTATGAGATTTGAAAAAAACTGAAAGATGTATCCAATTCAATGATGGGGGATGAATTGCGAGAGTTGTTGTTAATGAATATCTATTGAGTGCGACACATCAAGCGTCTTATAGCATATTCCTAGACAGGCGATCAACGAATGTGATCGGCATTCCCATAGTGATGACATCTAAGACATCGAATTTGTTATAAATCACACAAGTGGCTGGTGTCCGAATTGACCGAAGTTATGATGTCCATAGCGCCGCGTCTTTACAAAAGACGGCTTGTTCGTACATGTCCCGGCAGGACAAAGGCCGATATTGTGGAGACGGATTAATTTCGTCCTCCGAATTGTGCGGACCCGTGCCGATGGACCTCCGATCGGATTAATTATTCGGGCATGAGATGTTAGTTATCAAGCGTTATCAACAGCCGATCCAAGATGTGCGGTCCTTGGTAATGCTGATACAATTAATTCCTGATGTTCGCCTGGTACTTATGATAGTGGTTTGTTCACGGCTTGTTCTGCAGTCCAATGAAGGATATGCACAAGGTACTTAGTACTGAGGCAACTAAACTTGTGATAATAGAGGACGAGGTAGATTATTGTGGAAAAGAAGAAGAATAATTTTCCTAAGTGTGAAGTTCTCATACGATTGTCGCTCCATTATAATCAAATTAGCCAAAATTAGAATATTATCGCCTCATTTATACAACGATTAATTGTGCTGTGATAAGACGGCGGATCTCTTCTAGAACAAAACATGATATAGGTCAGGTCGACTGTACTGATTTGAACAATATCTTTTACTAAGTAGTCTGAGCAAAAAACCATTGAAAAGAGAACGCATGATTGTTTGTTCTAAATAAGTACTAGGTAGGTACCTAGTTATAGATATGCTCCAAGCCATCGAGCCATACATACCTACCGTGCCTCACACTGTATTCAACTGTGCTATGCCATCCACGGTCGGTAATTTGTGGATGCATTTTCAAGCTTCAACTCCCGAAACAACTACTCTCGCGACCTGTGAATCCATTGGGAGCTGGCCCGGCCCAGCATCACTTCCCAGCCATGTCTACCACTCTCTTCCGCTCACGAGCCGCCTTCTCAGGCCCACGAATCGCTTCTTCCGCTCGCCCTGCCTTTCCCAAGTCGAACCTCGTCCAGCGCCGCAACGCATCGTCCTCATCGTCGGCCGGTGACGGAGCTACTCTCAAGGCTGCTCTCTACGGTACTGCTGGTGCTGCAGTCATCTACGGCGCTTACCTCTACGGTACCGATACTCGAGCTTTCTTCCACAGATGGATTGTTCCTCCGGTTCTGCGGTGGGCTTACCCCGATGCCGAGGACGCTCACCATGCTGGTACATCTGCGCTGAAGTTTCTCTACGAGTTCAACCTGAACCCTCGCGAGCGCGATACCACTCTCAACTCTCCTGAACTTGTCGTCAACGTCTTTGGAACTGAAGTGCAGAACCCAATTGGTATTTCCGCTGGTCTTGACAAGGATGCCCAAATCCCAGATGCGTTGTTTGACCTCGGAGCTGGTATCGTCGAGGTCGGAGGCTGCACACCCCTTCCTCAGGAGGGCAACCCCAAGCCTCGAGTGTTCCGTGTTCGCGGCCTCGACGGCATGGTCAACCGATATGGTCTGAACTCTCGCGGAGCTGACGATATGGCCATCCGACTCAGGGACCGACTTCGACGGTTCGCCCGATCCCTGGGTGTGACTGAACGCGATGTACTTGACGGAAAGGCTAGTGTCCCCCCCGGAAGTCTGCGAGATGGCCGACTTTTGGCTGTTCAGATTGCCAAGAACAAGGAGACGGATGAGCGGGATGAGAAGGCTATTGCCGAGGACTATGTCTACTGTGTGCGAAGACTAGCACGATATGCCGATGTTCTAGTCGTCAACGTTAGCAGCCCTAACACTCCTGGTCTTCGCGATCTCCAGGCTACCGAGCCTCTCACACGGCTCCTCAGCGCTGTCGTCGAGGAGGCTGCCAAGACTGACCGTAAGCAAAGGCCCAAGGTCATGGTCAAGGTCTCCCCCGACGAGGATGAGAACACCCAAATGGAGGGCATCGTCGAGGCTGTTCACAGGAGCGGTGTTGACGGAGTTATCGTGGGCAACACCACAAAGCGACGAGATGGTGTCATCCCCCCAGGTGTCAAGCTCACTTCTCAAGAGCGACAGAACCTGATGGAGACTGGCGGTTACTCAGGCCCAGCCATGTACAGCCGCACACTAGACCTTGTTGGCCGATACCGCAAGATGTTGGACTCCCGCTCTTTCGCGGCCAACTCTGGCCATACCCAGAAGGTTATCTTCGCAACAGGAGGCATTACCAACGGCGAGCAGGCACGACAGATCCTAAACGCTGGTGCAAGTGTAGCGATGGTCTACACAGGATTGACATACGGTGGCTCCGGCACTATCACCAGGATTAAGCAGGAGTTAAAAGACGGTGTAAAGAATTAGACATGCTATAGCACATTTCACGTTTTATTTGTTCATCACGAGGCACAATATGGGACTAGTTAAAAGAAGTGAATTTTTAAGTTTTTTTGTGTTTTTTTATTTAATTTCCCTATCTGCTGTCTTAGTACTCAAGAACTGTTAGTAGGACGGGGGGCTTACCTATTGATGGACTGGTCCAGCCAAGTCGACCATTCAAAGATGTAGATGTTCTATATCAAATAAGCTAAATGTTAGTAACCCAATCCAAAACGCAAAACCCAAACTCCAAGACCCAAACTCCAAAACTCTAGATCACAGAGGCCCCGAGGATGGCACCTACTTGAGGTGCTCCTTAACCTCAGCGGCAAGCTGCTTCGCTCGAGACTTGAGCCCATTGACAGTTACCCGAAGCTTCTTGAGTTCATTGTGAACCTCATTCGTAGCATGGGTGGAAACGCCGGACTCCCACACGACGCGGCGGCAGCGATCAATGTCGATGCCGTTGGCGAGGTCGTTCTCAAGGTCCTTGAAAGCCTTGCGGACCGCGAGCAGCATACTACGGGAGCTGATGGTATCATGCTGCGCGTTGTAGCAAGCCTGTCGGTCCGCGTGCGCCAACTGGCGAACCATCTTCATCTCCAGCGCGAGGTCCTCATACTCGCGACGGTACCTCTCCAGAGACCAAGACTCGGTCGAGTCCTGGTCAGAGGTAGACGACTTCTCACGCTTCTGGCGAGAAAAGACGGAGCGAAGCGAGGACGGCATGATGGTGAGATTTGTGGTAAAAATGAGTTGAGCTGTGAAAGAGTTTGAGAAAATGATGAAGTGTTGATACGAAGATAGTAAATATCCTTAAAAAAACACTGTTGACTTGGTTGACTTGGTTGGATTGGGATGAGAGAAGAGAGTATTTGGAGGTGGGTGGGAAGCCAGAAATTTATACACCATATTCCAGAGTGTTCAAAGCTGTATATGCTGTTCGGGAGATACGATGGTTCTATACGATGACAGGAGAACAGTACGATTGTTTGGAATGTAAGTCAACTTCAGAAGCTATCCTGTTCAAAGGTCAGAGATTCATAAACAAGTTCCAGAATCTGTTCTTGAGGACAGCGTATACTGTGACACGAATACCTTGAACAGTGACTGCCTCTGGGTCGTAATAATACCTTGCGTTCGCTGTTTTTTTTATCATAGCTCACTGTAATGGTGATATGGTGGAAGGACAAGAGAACAAGGGTAGTATTCGCAGAGCACGAGTGATGATCATAGTATCAGAGTGGTGTTCGAAGGAGAGACTCTGTTCTCGTGGATGCTGAAGATGGATCTCAACTGACTGGCATGGCTCAAGGGGTAAGTGATAGCCAAAGTAGTTCTGACGGAGTAGACCTAGCTTGATAATGAAGAGGTAACTTCATCGGTGTTGTGTGTCTACCTTCACTCTATGACTATGGTCATACGCTTCTTACCATTCGGCAAAGGATACTGCACTAAGTTAATGGCATAAATAGAGTACGGTTATATCCACCTCCCTTATGAAGGAGATATCTTGATTTCAAAGTACATTGCTGAGTGATATTGGCAATGCTCCACACCCGTTATCTTTGTCATCCTTTCCATACACTTAATGCCCACTCGACTGTCATATGTTTGGTATGTCCCACTCTATTATCCCTTCTTCACAGTAAAAACCCTTTCGTAGTAAACCCTACTCCGCCCAATGTCATATTAGACAGTACTCCAGAAGCATGATCTATGCATCGGGTTGCTGAGCCTGTTGTGGCTGTGACTGTGCCATGTTTCGAACATCCATGTAGATGTTGCGGTTCTTGATGGCCCAGTTGAGTTCCATGCTGCATTGTTGTATGAGGAAGCCCATGTTCTGTCGATTCTGATGCTGTTGTTCAGGCATGTGATCCCTGACTTCGTGTAGTCTGGACAGGCGAACTAGCAGGTCGTCCACATGTACTGAGAACACTGTAATGAAGCTTTCGAGAAGTGGGATGTGGGCTTGGGTGATGGTAATGGCGGCAGACATCTTTGCTGAGAATCTGCGTCTTGGGTTTCTGACTCTGGTTCTGGCTTGAGTGGATGAAAGTAAGATGACAGAGTAGATAATGGTTGAAGATTAACATCTTATCTTCCTGCTTTGTATATACTGACATGGGAACGGTGAATGGTCAATTCACACCAACTCGCCATCTGAGCTGTGTTACTTGAAGGCCAAACTATGCTTTGAGATTTTCTTTGAGGCGGGCCTATACTGCCAAGCACCCGCGCATTTTGAGTCTTTCGGTAACTTTTAAAAGCCCTGTATTTGCTAATATGACGTTAGAGACAGCGGGCTTCGACATATCTATTACCAGATACATCTGTGTATGAGACGGCAAGCCAGGCAACAAACATATCATTTATGCTCCAGGCCGTAATGGTGCAACTCAACTGCATCTCAGGTGAAAGGAGCTTATTCCTGTCCCATCTGCTTGCAATACATACATTCATCATTTCTCCGTCCATCATGTAACCATTCACATACTGGAACACTTACTCGTAGAAGTCATGCTTACATGAAATACTTGTATGTTAAGTTCAGTGTTTGCCCTTAGTTGTGAAACCCCCATGTTAGTAACTACATTTCTTACATGATTACTATTATAGCCCTAGTTGTGTGGCTACAAATAACGAAACCCTTTCCCACTATACTATTAGATACATCGCTCAAGTAACACAAAGCTAAAGTCAAGAACTAAAGATAGCTCCCCAGGGCAACTCAGCTAACCATACCCAGCAAGATATAATAGGTATTAGGGCCAGCACAATCCACCAAACTTCAATAGTGAGTTTCACTTGCATCCAGCGCGGTAGCGTTTTACTCAGTAGTGAGCGATGCGAGCATGTTCTTGTTCCGTAGACAAGACATCCCAGGCCTGGTCGAGATTCGCATTCGACATGTTCTCGTCTTCGCCGCATGAGTAAGCTACGGCAGTTAGTTACCGCTTATACTAGCCAAACAAGAAAAGATTTACTCACGGCACACTTCCACGGCAGAAACGAAGATCACTCCCCAGATCGCATCGCCGGTCGTTTGGACATTCGAGGTGGAGACTCCTTCGTTCTACTAGCCACTCAACCTTGAGATTGATGCCCGTGTCGACAAGACTGTAGAAATGGGCGTTGGTGTGTTTTAGAGAGAGCGCATCCGGATAAATAAGAAATTTGGAGACTGCGAGATGTATCTCTGTTGGTAGAGACATGAACGTTCTCTGAGGTAACGAAGTAATAGCGTCCCCGGCATCTTTATCGGCTTCGGGCCCGAATGTGGGGCGACGGCTTCGGAGGATGTTAGACATTGCGGGACAGAGCGGTGATTGAGTGCCGAAAGGAGTGAATAGAGCCTAATTCGATGAAGTTGAACCTCCGAGCCTTTCTGGGAATGTGCGAAAGCTTTGTATCTGGCTGCTGCCTTGTATGAAACCCAGGACTTGGAAGCCTAGAGACTGATATTGTTTCTAGGACAAGCCAGGGGTAGTCGCAGGCAGCCAAGATAGGGCAGTGCAAAGACCCAAGGTGATTTAGTGGGCTTAAGGTGGCTCAGCTGGCGAACGAGGCAGAATGTAGGACTTTTTAGATCAAATTTTAAGGTGAAGTTGAACTCTAGAGCATAAAGTTAATTTATTCTCAGGTAAGGCAGTCAAATATTCGTTTATTTTATATCGTTGAAAGAATTACAGGCTGAATGCGGACAGATCTGTTTGCAACGGAGACATAGTTTCAGAGACAATGTCCCACAGAAATACCATTGGATAACAGTGATTGTCTTGAATCTTCAGCTTTCTTCACTAATTCAGTAGCAACTGAGTAAACACAATCAATCATCGTCACGTTTCATCTCTAGGCAGCTGCCACTGGTTATTAACCCCACGTGACCTCGTGTACTTCCTCGCGCTTCAGGAGGCAAAGACGCCAAAACTCACCTTCGTCATTCCAACGCCTGACTAAATTTAGCTGCAATCACTAAAAGTGACTTACTTCCCCACCGCATTCCCTCGGGGCAAAACAATGATTCATCGCCTCCATGACGATGACATTAGATAGCGATAACGAGTTTGGCTACGATTTTTCCGCCGAAGAGGAAGAGTTGCTGTTCCAGCTGGCGTCTAAAAAAGACGGACTTGTCGCTCCTCCAGGTAATGAGAGGTTATCAGCTATAGACGCCGTTCCTGGAAGAACCGACAGTTTGCTTGGCCAAGATGTCGCAGCAGAGATTAGGAGCACGGCAGCTCCTGACATGGAACACCTCCAGTCAGCACAGACGAGTAATCTATACAGAGGCCAGGCATTTCACCTGCGCGAGGCGTCCTCTGGTTTACCAACACCGCCAACTGGCTCCTCAGTCGAGGACGTATGCTACCCGGACTGTACGTGGCGATCTCTTGGTGTGGTTTCGCAACACTAACTGACCCAAGAGATTAGTGAGCAAAGCCTTGACCAACTTGAAGCCAAAATCACCTGTCAAGTCGGAATCGACTGTTACCCCAGGACCGCAATCTGAGGCAAACGAAGATGAGGATGGGCGATCGCCTTTGCAGCGATTCAGATCTTATCCTAAGAGGCCTCTGACTGTGACCGATCTTACTTCTGGTGCGTGGTGCGAGCTGCAGTACTGGTACACTCTCACTCGATTGCCTGGAGGACGAAGGACTAGAACAGCAGCTATGAAGCAAGGCTCCAAGATCCATCAAAAGCTCGAAGATGAGGTCCACACCACGGTGCAGATCGACATCATGTCCAAGGAAGATGCATTTGGTCTCAAGCTATGGAATTTGGTGCAGGGGCTAAGAACTTTACGAGAAACAGGGCTGACTCGTGAGCTGGAAGTATGGGGCATGATCGATGAGAACCTTGTCAATGGAATCATTGACAGCGTGAGCCACGAGAACCCTAACCCGGAGTTTGAAGCAGAGCTCTCTAGTCAAGAGTCTGAGTCAAATCAGCGACAATCATCGTTGACTGACTACTTTCCGCCGAAAAGCACAGACCATACCAATCGCTCACAGCCCAAGGTCTACCTTGCGGATGTAAAGACACGCGGATCATTCTCTCCTGTATCAAACGCCCAGATACGACCCGCAAAGATCCAGCTACTTCTTTATCACCAGTTCTTATCTGACATGGCTGCTGGAAAGCTGGACTTCCTTAAAGTCTTTAGACGATATGGACTCGATCCGGATGACAACTTCTCTGACACCTTTATCGCACAAGTCGGTAGTTTGCATGATGAGATTTTCGTGGACGCATCAGAAACCGAAACAGGTTTCACTCAAGAGAATCCTTCTTCTAGCTTCCAGAGTTCCTCTTCAGCCGGTCCCGATCTGCTACAGTATCGAACCCTGCGTGAGCTTGTTCCTCTTGTCTGGCGTGAGTTGGAACTCACCTTCCCTGAAGGCGAGCACTCACTTGGACACATGCTCCGAGTCCAATACGTCCATCGCAGTGACGGTCGCGAGATTGATCTTCACGATTTCCCTGTCTCGCGACAGGCTTTGGAGACCTATCTTGCTAACTACATGGAGTGGTGGAAAGGCAAACGTAATGCAAAGGGTGTCGATATTGAAGAGGCGTTCAAGTGTAGAACATGTGAATTTGTTTCCGACTGTTCGTGGCGACAGGGCATGGACGACGAGCGGTTGCAGAGAGCTAGAACAAAACAGAAGATGCGGGTAACGCGCCGGGCGAGCAGTAATGCTGCATGAGAAACGAGAAATTTGGTTTATCATGAGTTACGACGAATTGGAACCTTTATGAGCATATACGAACTATCCAGGTCTATGAAATGCATTGTTGATTGGTGGTATTGGTTTAGAGTGAGTGAGACTTTATCAAACGGCTTTTCTCATTGTCAAATATTTCTATTCATCCTATATACCATGACCTCTATAACAATATGAAGGCTAAAAGACTATTGAGCAAGCACATAAGCACATCTGCACTTAGTGCTTTCTTGGCCGGTGAGTGCGGGTGATGCCAAAGCTCCATCCATCTAGCAACCGTTAGCATAAGCTTCCCAGCATCCAAGACCAAAGACTTACATTGAGCGGCAACATGAATGTCAATATCCAGCTCATCAGCCCAGTGCCAGACCAGATTAGGATCCTTGAGGAATCCACGAGCAACCATCACGGCGTCTACAGAGCCATCGTCCAAATAGCCCTGCGCTTGCTTCCCAGAAGAAATCATCCCCACTGAAGTCACAGCAACACCAGTACCTTTAACAGCCTTCTTCACAGCAGCAGCATAAGGAACCTGGTATCCAGGGGCAGATGTGATCTTCTGGCGACTGTCCAATCCGCCCCCTGAGACATCAATCAAGTCTACGCCATTGGCTGCGAGGATCTTGCTGAGCTCTGCTGCCTGCTCGACATGCCACTGTGGTAGAGAGGGATCGTGTTCGAGATAATCGGTTCCAGGGATGCGGGCAAGAACGGGGTAGTCTTGAGGGACGATGTCGCGGGTTAGTTTGACGATTTCAATGAGGAGACGAATGCGGTTCTCGAATGTGCCTCCGTAATCGTCTGTTCGGTGGTTGGAGGCTGGTGAGAGGAATGAGTTGAGGAGATATCCATGTGCGGAATGGACTTCAATGGCCTGTGGGTGTTAGTATTATTGGGCTGAGGATCGCTTCATTGAACAACTTACATCAAAGCCAGCGCTGAGAGCTCTTTTAACAGCCTCAACCCAATCTTTCTTGAATTTGGCAATGTCATCTTGGGTCATTTCCTTGGGGACAAGAGACTCTGGGCTGTAGGGAATGACACTTGGTGAAAGCACGTCGTCAGGCCAGCCATTTGCCTATTTATCGTCAGTTACTCCATACTCAGAAATACCAGGTGTTATCTTACCTCTTTGACGGCAGTGTTCTTACGGTCCAACCATGGCGCGACTGTACTCGCCTTCCTCCCCGCATGACCCATCTGGATAGCAATCTTGGCACCCTGACTATGAACAAAGTCCACGATCTCTTTTAGCGGCACAAGCTGTCCATCTTCCCAGATGCCCACATCCTCAGGACTGATTCGTCCCTCTGGTGAGACAGCCTGGACTTCTGTTATGATGAGACCTGGACCACGCGCTGCGAAACTCCCAAGGTGTTGTTTATGCCAGGGGGTCATGTAGCCGTTCTGGGCGGAATATTGACACATTGGCGATACAATGATGCGGTTATGTAGAGTGAGGCTTCTGAGCTTGAGAGGGGAGAAGAGGCTACCTTCGGGTTGGACATCGTAGGGTGTTCCGGCGATGGGATCTTGGAGTGGGGTGAAGAAGGGGACGTTTTTTGCTCCGACGTTGATGATGACCTTGGAATGGCCGTTTACTTCTGTGGAAGGCATTGTGTTTTATTTTTCAGGGAAGATGATGGGACGAATGGGTATTGAGTGATTGTTCAGTCTTGTCTAGTTGAGCTGTGTGTTGAATTGATGGGTGAACATCGAGGCGGACAGACCAGAATACTTATACTCCATTTCAAAACCCTTACACTGCAGAAACATGAACTGGGCTACTGCATAGAATCCCAACATTGTCTTCAATGCAACAACCGGATGCTGTGCAGCACCTTCTCAACCAACACCAACCACTGATGTCACTCAGTGTGTGTTCGTGGACATACAGTTACAAGTCCCCAGACGCGAAACCCAACTCCGAAGAGCGAGACAACTCAGAGTACATTATTCCAGGATTTTATTCCCGCAGTGACAGGAGCACAAACACGCGGCTATGACATATTCTTTCTATATCGGCCTCGCCGAATGGACTTCTTATTTGTCGGTGTTTCGGAGTCGTGCAGATTTGTCGGCTTATTAAAAACTGTGGCTTGCCTTACCAAGAATGTACGTGCATGGAACGTTCCAATACGACGGGATATGTTGGGTTTTATTCAGCCAAGTCACTTAAAGGGTTATGAGGTCGGCCGACGAAATGCTGAGTTCTATTGGGTATCAGATATAATATTAATAGTTCATATGATATCGGCAGTTGAAGGCTTAGAAATTGTACATCCGGCTTATCCCCGATATGGGTCTTGATACTGTGTTCGTGTAAACGAACAAGCATTATGGCCGGTGTCATGTGCTGTGTTCAGATATATGAATTATAGTAAAGTTCAGACAAATATTGAATTAAAGGTTTTGGTTCATCTTATCGTGTAACAGTCAATAAGCCCGGATATGTTGAAATTGTTGTGATAGATGAATAAACCTTAGGTACAAAATTATTTTAGGTTACCAACCTCTAGGCAGCCTCCAACTCCAGAACAAACTTGCCCTCTTCAACACTTACACCAAATCCTCAACTCGTAACATCCCCACCATGCGTCGCCATAGAAAAGACCCTTCTAACGAGAGTGACAGCGAGGAAGATATACCGCTTCATCACAAACGTGCTTTCGGTTCAGGACTGAAGCGCACGCGGGTCGAGTTTGTCCCTGCCCGTAACCCTGATGCGGGTATCATAGCGAAGACAACTCCAGCAAAGTCAACAGACACTTCTATTGGCGATCTATATGCGAGCATCGTTTTAAAACCTGAGCTCGAGAAACAAGCCGACGGAAATTCAACAGAAGAGCCCGCAGAGGCAAAGCAAATATGTCCAGACTGCAAACTACCTATCACATCCACCTCACAGCCACATGAAGCATCTTTGGCCCACCAGGTATCACTGAAACACTCACATCCCCCATCAGCACTCGACCGCTCCCGAATGGGCTTACGCGCTCTTCAATCACAGGGCTGGGACCCGGATGCGCATCAAGGCCTGGGTAAGGAGGGCGAGGGCATGAGATATCCCATCAAAGTGAAGGCTAAAGAAGACAAACTCGGAGTCGGGGCAACTATACCAAAAGGGAAACAGGAGGAAAAGAAGAAAAAAAGGCCTAGGCAGCTATTTCGACATGAGCTGAAGCAGGTGAAAGTCAACGAACGACAACAGCATGAACGACTCCAGGGTCAGATCTTTGGAAGGGTTGACGTGGAGAGTTATCTAAAAGGGAATGGTAACGACGGTTAATGATCCATGGACGACAGGAAAGATGAACAAAGGCAGATTGGAGGTTTGGTCACACCATATCACACCCTCAATATTAAAGACCTGGTGATTCAAGGTCTTTGAAGACACCTACTCAGGACTCGCATTTGGGATTCACCACACGACGAAAGAACCATTCTCCGGAGACGAATTTTATTAGCCACCTGAATTATCTACAAGAACAGCTATCCAGAGGTTTCTGGTGCACCGCATCACCATACCATGCACAGACATTGTTGCTGGACAAAGCTTAAGCACTGAAGCATATTGAAAGTCTCAGGCTTGACCAAATGTTTCACGTTTCTCAGTGTAACGGGGGAATACAACCTACACAATTAGATATTGAATGATAATAAACTGGATTTAATGTTTCGTGATATTGCTCCAAAGTGAGGTCGAAATAGACTTAGAATCCAAATCTGTGATGACCTCATCCACGTTGCGGCTCATTCACCGCTCTTGGGCCAATGAATTCAGTACCTAGGACAGGCCATGTCACTGCTGTAGCAAGTGAACCTCAGCCTGTAAACCTCTCTCAATGGAGACCCGGATCCAAGCCTGCCATGAAACATATATTTCCACTATCCGTTCGCGCTATACTCCGCTGACCTCAGATTTTAACAGCCTAGCCACTCGATATTTCTTTTATTGGAAGTAATTTTGAGCAAGGATTTCGCTTGGCGTGGCTCTGAGCGATGGTTCAAGCTTCAACATACGCGCAATTGCTTCGGCCATCCTCGTAATTTCCTCCTCTGTGAACTCTGCCTGTTTATCATTCCAAAAGTAAGTCTCTTCTAGCCATTTTTGAAGTGTAAAGCCCCCATCGTTTTGAGGCGTATTTTCTTGCATGCCACCTCGACGGTAGCTCGTCAGAGGTGAGCTCCATCATTTGACCAACAAGAACGGAGGGAGTCAACATAACGACGTCGAACGGAGGTTGCCCAGTTATAAGTTCAAAGATCTACGTCCATTAGCTTGACCACTTGACGATTCAATGGGTGTTTACCAAACAGCCGGCACTCCATATATCCACTCGATGATCCAGTCGGTCTCCAAAAACGATCTCTGGTGCTCTTACAGACAATGGGGTATGCAGCGTGCCTGGCGCATTATTGCTAAAGAAGGCTTCTCCGAAGTCAATGATTTTGATTGATGGACAAGACCGCATAAGGTCTCTTCTCCGGAATAATGCAGGTCGAATAATCTGAGTTGGTATCTTGTCCGTCAAAGGTCCACCATCAAATCTGGTTACTGCGCCTATCTCGGGCTCCCCCAGTCTGGCAATGAAGTCTTGTTCATTTAGAGAATCAAGACCGGACACGACTAGAGCAAGATTTCGAGTGTGCAGATCTATAAGCAAAGTGAGTATGATATGGAAGTGCCTAAGTTATACAGACAAGCCTTACCCCCATGCCCAATATTGTTAGCCGTGAGGAAATCGAGTCCTTGCAGTGCTTGCTTAGCGAATACGTTCGCAAGCTTGGAAGGAAGTCTGTCATCTTTGCAGTATGATTCAACAACATCTGCAACATTAGTTCCTACCAGCTCCAGCACCAGACAATCGTGGGAGCCATTAGGCCCGACAAGAGTGAAATGGTCTAACAGTTGGGTCATATGAGATGATCCGGGATGATGTATGGGTAGAGTAGATAGTGCTCGTAAGATCTTGAGCTCGCCGCTCTCTTTAACTTCGGATACCGTGATCTTGACTGCGACATAGCGGTCATCCCTTGCACAAATTAGAACACAGCGTCCCCTGATATCTGTTGCAGATAGAAATAGGCATACTTCTGGTCCTTTGCGGCCCATGTGGTAGAATAGCCACCCCACCCTAGCTTATGGAGGATTTTATACCTTCCATTCTTCAGGGCATCACCTAATGCAATGGGATGGTAGCCACCTGGTCGATACCGGTGTAGTGGTTCGGCATCAGTATAGCAATTGTACTTTTGTGCTGGCATCTGAGAGTGATAAGAACGAGCCGAGTTGAGTCGTTGCAGGCAGAGAGAAGTAAGTGAGTAGATCTTGGTTGAGGTGACAGGCGTCCGTAGAGAAATCAGGTACGCCATGGTTGCCGTAAGTTGTGGTGTTTTGAGGGATCGGTGTAACATTGGGAGGTTATACTGTAGAATCTTGTGCAAAAGCAGCTAAAGTCAACACATATGCTGAGCACGTATCGCGCTTTTCTCTTTTACACGTTGCTCAGATTTGATAGAGATTTCATCATGACCTTCTTAAGTCCAAAATGATTCAGCTTCGGAGTTTTGCGCTTCCGCCTTGTCACGGATACCTTCCTCTCTTGATAAAAGTTTCGAGATGCCTGCCTCGAAAGCAATTAAAGGAGTGTATTTCTTTAACCTATGGCACCTCACCTCAGTTATTAACCACGAGCTGGAGTAGGGGGCCACCCTGTAGTTATGAGCCAAATCTGCAAACTTCCCTTAATGCCTGTCACAGGGGATCTAACTACGTAGTACAGCGGCCATCACCAACCAACCAGGTTCTCGGTGAGCGCTAAATAAAGCCCAGCAGAGCCGAGCACCTGCAAGACCCGGGGACCCACCCTTCTTCATGCCTTGCGATGATGAAACCCCGCCAAACGGGAAACTCAACTCCTGACTTTGGCCCAAACTTAGAAACCCTCGATACTTCAACCTTCTTACCTACCTACGCTACGTACTTACTTTGCTACTTGAACTTTTGCAGCATTCTTCCTTTTTTTACTCTTGATACCCTCTGCGTGCTTCGCTACTATATCGCTTCAGCTCAAGCTTCAACTCTCGCAGCCGCTCGCTTCAACTATCTCTGGGCTTCTTCCTCTCTCTCCACCAACCTCCAGACCCAACGACGTGACGGGGCAGCCCGCCTTTAGTACACACCATGGGGCTGTCCGTCATTCAAGAACAGCATGATGGTATGCTCTATATCGATTGAGAAACACCGCACAAGATCGTCTCACTAATGCGCCAACTTCAGCTATCCTGGGGCAGATCAAGAAGATCACCAAAGGCGATGTAAGCTGCATTCTGCTCTCCTACACAGCCAAGCTTCCAGATCTCGACAGCCGACTGACTTGTTTGATACAATAGTGGAAATGTCTGATTGTCGACGAGAGCTCCAAAAAGATCATTGACAATGTCGTCAAGGAGGATGACATCCTCAATAACAATATCGCCAGTTGGTCCACCTGATGTTCCTACAGCCAGCTACCTGTCTGGTGCTAACCAGGCTCCTATCCAGCTATCGAGCGAATTGAGAACCGTCGCGAACCGAACCCCGAGATGGACGCAATCTACATTCTTTCCCCAGAATCCTTCGCTGTTGAGTGCCTGCTTGCCGACTTTGAGATGAAACGCTATCGCAGCTACTACCTCGTTTGGACTGGCCTCCTCGACCCCTCATTGCGACGCAAGATTGATGACTTTCCTGGAGCTCGCCAGCTCCGCGCCGGCTTCCAGACTATGTTTGTAGACTTTCTGCCTCGAGAGTCGCATCTTGTTACCCTTCGCGATCCCTGGAGCTTCCCTATGCTCTACCACCCAGCTTGCAATGCTGTTGTTCCCACACACATGAAAGGTCTAGCGCAAAAGGTACGGCAACGGTGTGCACCTTAACCGGACGATATATGCTGATAAGAAGTTAGATCGCCGGTCTTTGTATCACACTCGGCGAATATCCCAAGGTTCGGTATTACAAACCGCAAGGCGCAATCCACGATGCAGCCGTTCTTTGTTCGCATTTGGCGCGATTTATACAGGAAGAGCTCGATGCATACGCGCAATGGGATACCAGCTTCCCTCCGCCTTCGCAACGACCGCAAGCTACGCTCATTATCACAGATCGATCAATGGACTTGATGGCACCTCTTGTACACGAGTTCTCCTACCAAGCAATGGCACATGACCTCCTTCCAATCAAGGACGGCGACAAAGTCACTTATCGAACAGTTATCAACGAAGGAACCGCTGAAGCAGAAGAGAAGGATATGGAATTGACAGACAAGGACAAGATCTGGGTGGATAATCGACACAGGCACATGAAGGATACGATTGACAAACTTATGGGTGATTTCCAAAAGTTCCTCCAACAAAACCCCCACTTCACCAACGAGAATGCCGACACGACCAATTTGAACACAATTAGGGACATGTTGGCAGGCTTGCCGCAGTTTCAAGAGATGAAGGAGGCATATTCGCTACATCTGACCATGGCGCAGGAGTGCATGAATATTTTCCAGAAGCACAAGTTGATGGATATTTCTTCTATTGAGCAAACCCTCGCGTCTGGACTGGATGAGGATTTTAAGAGGCCGAAGAACATACTCGAACTAATTGTACCATTGCTGGACGATGTTTCAGTATCGCTGCCTGACAGACTGCGGCTCATTATTCTTTTCATCATATACAGAGATGGTGTAATCAGCGAAGATATCAAGCGGCTACTTGCACACGCAGGCCTGCCTCAGTCAGATGCTGAAGTTATACAGAACTTTGAGCAGCTTGGCGCACGCATGACACACGGTCTTAAAGATGTGCGCCAGCTGCCTGCGCCCCTTTTTCCAATCGACCCAAAATCAACACAGTTGAACGAGGAATACGGTTTAGCACGGTTCGAACCAGCAGTGAAACACATGGTGGATCATTTGGCAAGGGGTCTCCTCGATCAAGTCCACTTTCCTTTCGTGAAGCCACCGTCGGACCCTAACGAGGAGCTCAACCTCGCACAGGCGGCTTCTCTTCGTGCTGGTCGGCCAAACTGGGCAGCAGCTGGTCGCCGCCCGCCAGAGAACAGACAGCGGTTGATTGTTTTCATGGCTGGAGGCGCCACCTACAGCGAGAGCCGGGCATGCTACGAAGTCGGCGAGGCCCGTAGCCGAGATATCATTCTAGTGACTTCCCATATGCTAACCCCTCAGCTGTTTGTCCGTCAAGTGGGTGATCTCAGCCGCGATAGGCGTCAACTTGATCTGCCTTTGGAACGAGCTAAACGACACGCACCTCGACATCTCTTTGAGCGTCCAGCTCCTCCTCGACCAGCACCATCACAAGTGCCATCGCAGCAACACATGGCCCCTGGCCCTATGAATCGACCAGGAGGTCTCCCTTCAAGACCTAACGCTGGCCCTGGTGTGGCCCCTCCAACGGCAGCCATGTCCAACATGTCGATAAACAACCAAGGCAACGCGTCGCCACGTCCGACTTCGCATCACAGTGTTCAGCAACAACACGAAGAGCCAGCCAAGCTCCACAAGGAGAAGAAGAGGCGCAACTTCCTCGGAATCAAGAAGTAGGGTTCTTGGAACGGGAGGCTCTCTTCGGTTTCTCCACCGAAACCACGAGCCATTCGGCGATCACAGACTACCGAGACGAGCACCTCATCGGAGGAGATGCATCAGGGCGTTATGCGGAAGGGAGAACGAAGTGCTTCTGGAAAGTGGGAGTCGGTTAGATAGCCCTGTCACTTAGACTCGCTCACGTAGATGCACTTTTTGAGTTCGCATTCCCTCGACGGAGCTTGGCGTTGTTCTATTGCGTCTTTTGCGTATTTTTCGTACTGGTTACCTGTCGTGGGACTTGCTTGCCTAGGTAGCAGACGGAGATCTGGGGGTTTTGATCTGTACATAAACTTCAGTTGCAGTATATAAAGCTTTCGACTTGTCCATTCCAACATTTGAAATTTTGAGGCACGCCGATAGTCATTCTTCATTCACTACAGAGAAGATCGAGCACATCGCCAATCATGAAGTAAGTAGTACACGCACGTAGTGGGACGAGATATATCTTTAATAAAAAAAGTCGCCCATCAACCAAAATTCTTTGAATTCACTACCTAACATTCACCGAGTGTACCTTCATGCCTATATCCCGTTGATCCCCCATCGCCGTGCTTCCCAAAAATGACATGTAAAACAAGTTACTAGCTACAGGGCGTACCCTGCCTTCCAAGCATAAGCTAAAAGATGCGGTGTGTTGGTTTCGGTAGATATTCGTACAGTAGTGAGAAAAATGACCTTGCTATGAAGGGATTTCGCTTGCAAAGATTTGGGTGAACAAGTTGATGGATCTCAGACATTGGCGATACAGACATTATCGTCGAGAGGTGTTTGTGTGCTAAAGCACAGTTTCCGCGAAGAACAAAATTAAGGTCTTCCATAAGCGGCGCCACGTCCGGGGTTGCCACCAGGAGGCATACCGCGACCTTCAAAAAGGCCAGGAAAGTCAGGTCCGGGGGGTCCGTTGAAGCCGGCAAGACCAGGAGGAATGAAGCCATGAGGGGGTCCACCAAAGAAACCGGGAGGAGGAGGAGGCATGTTACGAGGAGGTGGGCCACCAAGAGCTTCAGGGGGAGGAGGCATCACGCCAGGTGGGAAGTTAGGAGGGAACATGTGAGGCATAGGCATGTTACGGTTGGGTCCAGGGCCACCTGGGCCGAGGGGACCACCTGGAAGTCCTGGAGGAGGAATCATGGGGCCTCGTGCCTGAGGAGGAGGCATTTGGCCACCAGGCATCCAGCTGGGCGGCATCTGGTGGTCCAGACCTGGAGGAGGGGGTGGACGCTGGAGGATTTGTGTAGGCTGGTTGGGACGTGAGTCGACGTCAGGGGGGTTATGAAATCGGTCCTCCATAGGAAAGCCGGGTGGTGGCTGAGGACGCATTTGACGCTGAGGGCCACGGTCGTCTCTAGGAAAGTCGGGCTCCTGAGGCATCTGTCCTTGCTTGGGGAGCTGCGGGCCCAAGCGCATCAACAGTTCATTGCGCTGGGCATCTGGGGGTGCTCTCATGAGGTTCATCAAGAATTCAGTGTTGCTATTGTTGCGAGCAGTATCAGGACGACCGGAGCCTTGACTGGGGGCACGCTGGCGCTGGCCCACAAGATCTTGAAGAAGTTGCTCAGGACGAGCTTGTTGCTGGGGTCGAGGAGCATGAATCTCTTGTATATGATGAGGCGGAGGTCGACCGAGAGGGCCTTCCATTCGTCGATCAGGTCCATACTGCTGGAAAGGTGAATCGGGAGAAGTAATCATGTTGGGTCTGCCGACGTTGGGTGGTGTGCCTTGTGGGGCAGCAAAAGGCGAGGGACCTGGTGGTGTAGCACTCATAGTCTGCTTCTGCAACTTCGCAAGCAGCTGCTGGAAAGCTTGCCGCTCATCGTCAGGGCCACCAGAGGGAGCCGGGCCACCGAAGAAAGAAGGTAGAGGCAAAGGTACGCCGCTATTGATGGGGGGTCCAGTCATAGGAGTAGGAGGTTCCGTTTTTCCTCGAGGTTCCTCTTGAGGCTGCGAGAAGAAAGATGTGAACCTTGACGACTTGCCAGTCGCCTTGGGCTTCACAACGGGCTCCTTGGCTTCTTCAGCACGTGGAGTATCGATACCTCCGAATGCCGCGAAGAACTTGTCTGGTCCAACTTGAACAGCTGGAGCAGATTGAACCGGGGGCTTATCGGCCTCGATTGCTGCCTCGATAGCCTCATTGTTTGCAGGCTTACCAGAGGCAGGAGGGATTCCAGCCTTCGCCTTCTTCATTTCTTCCATCCACTTTTGGAAATCCTGTTGTGTGTGAGCTTCAGAATGTTCTTCAAGAGGCTCATCTAGCCATTCCGGTTCGCGCTCGACTCGCTGATCACGGTCTCGTCCCCAGCGTCTATCTTGTGTGCGGTTATTGTTGTTGTTATGGCGATCATCATGAGCATCGGCAGCAGCATCGCGCTCTCTCCAGCTCTTCGCGCGATCAATGCGTTCACGCTTGTCGGGGGTCATGGTAGATTCGGCTGCCGGGGTGCTTGTCGTGGTAGGTTCATTCTTATACCACGGCTCAGTTTGTTTCCTGTTCGTCCCGTTTCGAGATCGTCCATCGTTGTCATCGACATCCCTGTCTCTGGCGAGAGCATCCAAGTTTCGTGCAGGGCGATCTCGTGGAGCCTCGCGTTCGTCACGTTCTCTAGGTTGTCGTTTGTCGTCTCGGAAGTTGCCTCCCATGCGTCCGTGGAAGCGCTCAGCACCTTCGTGTCCGAAACTCTTGCGTGGTTTCACAGTACTCCAACCGTCTGCCTCGCCCTCGCCATCACGACGACGGAGACCATTGCTATTGCGACCGTCGCGGAATCGCTCTGCTTCAACATCCCCATTGCGACTTCGGAAGTTGCCGAAACGTCCTGTGTCGGATTCTTTGACGACTTTGTCGGTTTCGAGTCCTCCTTTACCTCGCGCAGAAGCAAAGGCCGTTCGGGGAGGTGCAAAGACGAGATCTTCAGGGTCTGAGTGATTGCGCGTTGATTAGTACATGGGCGCCTTTGAAAGTTAAGCACAGGAGAGACAAACTGGCACTGTTTCTCGAAACGTGTCTTTCAACACCAGGGCGGCGGTTGGTCTGATCCAGCAGAGGGGTGTCGTTGGGTCGGGGTCGGTCACCAGTGACCTTGCTCTGAGGACGAGTCGGTTCAGGTGGGGGTCTAAGCTAGGTCAGGAGATTGAGTCTGGCAGTAGGGGGATGTGATTACTCACCCCATCCATTCTTCCGCTGGAGGAAGGTTTGGTGGTTTGATACATAATGGTGAGTCTCGCAAGAAGATCAGAAAATCAGCTTCATATCTGATGGCCATGATAAGAAAGTTTAACGCTACGAGCGCATTCGAGAGAGGTTTGGTGTAGGAAGAGGGAAATTTGTCGGGTCAGAATCTTGGATGCAAAGAAGCTATTCGTAGAAAACAGATCTCCTTTGAAGGAAAACCAGCCTTTTGTTACTTTGGCGTGCAATTCTGAGTTTTGGTGGTCGAGTTCGAAAAGCAAGTGTGACAACGTGGCGAGGTAAGGTTGCGGTAACGGAGGAAATGGGGTGTTGGGTGAGGAAAAGTCGATCAATTCGTCAAACCGATGAGTCGAATGAGAGTACGCGAGTATGAATATCGTGATATAAGTTCAGGCGACAGCGGTGGAAGAAGAGGCAAGTCAACAAGGGCGTCGAGAGAGATGAAGTCGAGTTGGCGGAGAAAGTGTGACGTCCGATGTGCTAGGGTAGTGCACTTGTGGTGGTGGACAAGGCGAAGCAGCAGAGGGTGGAGCCAAGGCCAAAGCTGGACTTTATCGAGCCAGAAAGCCCCAATCAAGGCCTGGAAGCTGGTGCAGCGCAGCCGAGGGAGAGAGGATTGTGGTGCAATTATTGATTCGCTGGGCGGGTAAAATATTGATATTGAATGCAAGATCTCTTTAGTGGAATTATATTGGTGCAGAGCGAAGGCGGGCAGTGGTTCAACGTTGACGGCGCAAGTGTGTAACCAAGGGTGTGGTTTTTTTTAGTTGGTGGATGTATCGAGAGTTGTTTTCGTTGGCTTGACGTGGTTTGCGAAGAGGAGACGACCGAAAGCGGGCGGTCGAGGCAGAGTAGAGCAGAGTAGCGAGGAGACGAGTTTGGTGGGAGATGAGAGGAGAGAGTAGAGAGTATGGAGAGGAAGAGAGGGAGAGCTGAGGGGAGGTATCCAGTGGCAGACCCAGGAGCTACCTACAACCTAGCGCTTTTAGCGTCGTGACAGTTGGCAGAGGACAAGTCAGAGGTGATAGAAGTGAATATTGCGATGTATTCAGTAGGACAGATTGTGGATTTTTGATAAAGGTCGAGCAAGACCAAGACCTGAGTGTTGGGATGTTTCAGTTTCAATGGGCTTTTGAAAGAAATTTGTTAGGGATGCTTCCATGTGTTTGTGTGCTTGTGTTCGCGGAGGAAATGGTGCATGAAATGGGATGGATGGACTGATGAACGGGACCTGAACCAACCTACTGCTGTGCACTGTCTGATACCACTGCACGCACTGAGAAAGGGCCTCCACTCCTTAGAACTCACCCCACTGTCGCTGGGACCTCCACTAAAATAACCAGTACTGTGTGCCTACAGTCAGAGATTGGGCCTCACCTCAGTTTCATCCATAACACTCCGTACACCTCGAGCAAAAGCTTGACTCACAATTGCATAAAGAATAAGCACATATTTTCTTTTCAGCAGTTTCATATTTGGTATTTCTGTAGTTTATTCCAGCTAGATAATCCATTCTCAATTCTTCTGCGCAGCCGCAACCTCTTCCTCAAGCGGCAGGATATGCGGCAGCGGTCCAACAGGTGTGATCGAGGGAGGGTTGATCTGCGTATGGCTCCTGGTGTAGTGCCACTTGATGTGCTCGAACTGTGTCGTCTCCTTGAACGCCGGCTCGTTCCAGTACAAGTTGCGCATCCAGCGGTGCAGAGCAGGGTATCCTGAACGAATGTCGCGGATGTTGCACTTAAAGTGCTGCACGTAGACGGGATCGAACCGGATGATTGTCACGAAACTAGGTATATGTCAGCAAGGTAAACGCAATTGGACTTGTAACTTACAGTCTAATGTCGACCTCGGTCAACTTGTTGCCGAACCAGAAAGGGCCGTCCTTCTGCTCAGACAGATGCTTCTCAGCGCGGTCGAGAGCTTCGAATAGAGTGATAACGTTGCGCTCGTAGGCCTCGCTGGTGGTTGCGAAGCCAGACTTGTACACACCGTTGTTGATCTCGTTGTATTGCCACTCATGAGCTTCGTCAATTTGCTTCTGAAGATCCTCAGGGTACAGCTGGACAGACTTGTACTTCTCATCCAAAAGATCATCAAACTGGTGCAAGTCAGTGTTTATGATCCAAAACATATGTAGAATAACTTACCTCAGTGCCCAGCATGCGGAGAATCTCGCTGCTCTCGTTGCTCACAATTCGGTTCGTCTTCTTGTCAAACAGCACCGGCACAGTGTATCGGCCATCATAGTTCTTCTCACTCTCGAAGTAGATATCCTTCAGGTGCGTGAAGCTCTCGTGGCCCTTGATGGGATCAGGCACGACATTCTCGCCAGGAACATCTTCGTCCTTGGTCACGAATCGCCAGCCGCCCTGACCAAGATGCCAGTGAACAACCGAGAACGAGATGAAGTCCTCAAGACCCTTGAGCTTACGCGCGATGAGGGTGCGACATGCCCATGGGCATGCATAGCTTACGTAGAGGTGATAGCGGCCCTTCTCGGCAGGATACTTGGCGTTGGGATCGCGAGAGATGGAGTCTCGGAATGAACTGACTTGGCGCTTGAACTCGCCTGAAGTGTCGCCGGGCTTGACCCAGTCAGTGACTTTGCTGCCGCTGCTTGCCTGAAGCTGTGTTAGCAAATCGAGAAGAGCAGTAAGGGTATCTGTGCTGTTTACCATTCTGATTTGTTGATATGGGAGTTGAATATGAAAGGGTGGTGCTTTGAAAGATGTGAACGATCTGACGAATTGATGTTGCTGTGGTCTAAACAGTAAACTCTTGATAATTACTCGAGATGCACGATTTCTGACTTGTTGCATTGGCATATCTCATAGACAAAACAAACTCTTCAATGACGGCGACAATCTACACCTTTATACCTATCTAGTTTCCTAACTTAGCTGAGAAAAATACCCAGAAAAGTGGTCGCGTCGCATCACCACTCAAGACCCGATCCTTGCTCACCCAAGCCTTGCTCAGCAGCCCCTCACAAGTACGGTCACAAGCTAACGCAGTTTTACCAACCAGACAGAAACCAGCTTCAAGCCAGGCCTTCTTCTGTCTGGTGGGTTCCTTCGGCAGCTTCCATTCCTTGTGCATGTCGAGCTATCCCGTCCTAGAAGCTATGAATGTCACGCTTGGAAGCATTTCATAATCGTGGCGTAATAATGTACCCCGCTTTACTGCGAGCTGCTTAGTTAACATGGCTCATTGTCTTGATAAGCTTCTCTCCATCATGACAATTGGCTTGGTCAAGGGTGGATGATCAATTCATCGGCATCATGCACATTTTGCTACCGAGTCGGGAGTATCTCAACAAAAGACTATCATATCACGACGCTTGAATTCGTCAACACCAAATCAATGCAGCAGGAACTTTGCGTAAAACCTCGTCATACAGAAGTAGGATCATCTAGATATCTTTATAGTCTCATCCTCAGTTCATTCGTGTGCTCATCTGCACTCGGGTCGTTTCTAACACTTAATACAAATATCTCAAAGACTGATAATCACGCCTGCGACTACTTTATGCAACCTTGACTTTGATGTATGGCACTTCAACATCCTCCTCTGCCAGATCTTCAGCTACAATCTCGAAGATGACCTCCTTCTGGTGTGATGGGATAGGCTTCTTAGAAATCGTCTCGACCAGCTTGCTTAGCTTCATGGCGTATCTCTCCTTGAGCTTGGAAGGTGGGAAGAACGAGGCATAGAGAAGACTGACGCCAGAGCTCAGCATACTGATACTGAGACCCTTGGCCTTGAAAGTGTCCAGAAGCTCCTGGAGGGTAATATCTTCAATCTCAAAACGGTCCCAGATCTTGTCCAAGGTAACCTTGCCCTCTGGTCCTTGGTATTCGACCTTGGGACTGGCGATAGGTTCGCTGAAACCAAAGAAGGGCAGTGCCAGGTTGATGAACCCGTTCTTGTACTGCTCCAAGTCATCCTTGCCGTCGATGATCTTGAACAGTTCAAGCACCACCAGTCCGGTAACCAATGCGGTAGTAGTGGCAATAGCTGGGATGATCTTACCAGCGATGAACTTGGTCTTGTGTCGATCAGCAGGCTCGATCTTGTAGTTCTCTGCTCTCAGGTTGCTACAAGCGGTAATGAAATCGATGTGATGGTTGGAGTCATCATCCTTCTCGAAATCGACAGGGACCAGCTGGAATCCAGACAAAGAGCTGGGCGATGGAAGACTAGAAGTCAGCTTCTCAATCTCATCGTTGTCGTCAAAGCTGCCTGACTCCGGCTCCTAGGTTTAGTCAGTATGTGTTTACAGGTCTGGTTGTCAAAAATAAAACACTTACAACAGGCTCCTTATCGTCGGCCTGAATCTTCACGTTAGAATCGGGTGTGAAGTCAGGGACAATGACGTTCTCCAATTCTCGCAGGTAGATGGACCTATCAGTTCCAGGAGATTTGATGTTGTAGTTGAAAGCGTGGAGGTTGGCTGCGGCCACGATGAAGCCAAAGTGAGAAGGGTTGTTGGGGTCAAACTTAAGCGCATCAGGGGCTCGCTTGGGACCCGACCAGAAAGGAGTACCAGATGATGTCTCAGAATCCTTAGGGAAGTTATAGAGAAGCTGCTGGATCTTGTTGGAGAACTCAGACTCGAACAACTGGCGAGCCCAAGCAATACAGTCCTCGAAAGAGCGTGGTCTCTCAGTTGTAAGGTAGTTACGGATCGTCTCGAGAGTCTCCTTCTGGTTGCCACCCTGCTTCAGCGCATTTTCAATGAACTGAGGCTGAGTCAAGTACAGGTTGACGGTCTGGGGAGCCTTGACAAAGAGCTTCTCGAACATGTACTCCTTAGACCAAGCAATTGTGTGATCGATCTTGTTTGGGAAACTTCGGATAGTGCACATAGGGAACTCCTTCTCAGGGGGGTCCTGGGAGGACGAATAAGACTCGGTGAGGTGGGGTAGGACAACTTGCGTGTTGCCCTTCGTTCCAAGAGTACCACTCTCGAGCAGAGGCTTCTGGAAGAAGACACATCGGCGATCGACGTAAGTTCGTGCCTCAACATTGTCAAGAGCATTGGTGACACCGTCCAAGTTTTGCCAAAAGTCCTCGTTGAAAACGTTCTCGGTCTCGGCACTAACACGTTCCTTCATCGTAATCATGTGGCCTTCAAGGTCGGGATTCATTCGCTGGACAGCAAGAGCGGCGCGGTCACTCTTCATTTGGCCGACATCATCGGCACGGAAGAGAAACTGTCGGTTCAGGTTACTTCTCTCAATCGAGTCCATGTCAGTCACCCAGATCTTGCCTTCAGGACCAGTTCCCAGACCGATCATGGCCCAGTTCTTGAGCATTTCACAACCAATGGCGCCGGCACCAACAAGGAACTGCTTCACATTGGCAATCTTGTTTTGATATTCGGTACCGAAGACGGCGATCTGTCCATCATATCGGCTGCCGGTGGGCTTGCAAAGCTCAGCAGATCGCTTGGTGAATGTAGGCAGGGATTCAAGAGAATCAAAATACATCCACTGGTTAATAGGCTGGAACTTGCCAGAAACAGCCTTGAGGACCTCCTGTGCCACAAGTCCGCCAAAATAGGCAGCCATAGGGTTGAGATCACCCTGGGCTTGGTAACTCAGTTCCTTCAGAAGCTTCTCGTCAAACTCGATCTCAAGACCCTCCTGCTCGGCGAACTTCTTGGCAGCACCTAGTACTACAATAGCATCATCGTCATCCATGGGGTTCGGGAGTCGCTTGTTCGTAAGTTGGAAAGCGTGGAGCGCCTGGAAACCGAGATGGAGCTGCTGCGGTCGATCAAACTTGGCAAAATCCGAGATAAGGAACTCGGGCTCCTTGAGCGCTGTGGTGAAATCCTTGAAGTTGATGATCTTGGGCATCTTGACCTGCGTATACATACCACCTCGCTTGTACTGGCCGAGTCCAGACACATCGCCAATCGAGAAGGTGTAGGGTCCCTTTACTTCGATCTTTCGGGGTTCCGCTCCGTTAAGAGCGTCCATTCCTTCGACTTCAGAGAATGTCACATAGTCGCCGTCTTCCAAGCCGTGTCGGGTTTCGTCAAGGGCGGACACCAAGCCCTCCTCGTCGATGCCTGCCACGATGCCAGTAAGTGGAGTCTCGCCAGTAGGATCAATAACAGTAAACTTCTCGCCGAAGTCACAGAAGACAGAGCCGAAAAGACCAAATGTGTCAGCCATAACAACAAAGATACCCTTGCTATGGCAGTAGTCGCCGATAGCCTTTTGTTGGTGGATGGGTGCGTTGGTCAAAACCACAACTTGGTACTTGTCGAATTGCGAGAGCTCACCGTCAAGACCAGGGGACTGGTGCAGCTTAACGGGAGTGTAGGCATTCAGCTCAGCGACACGAGGGACAGTAACCTCATCTCTAGGCTTTCCGACATCTTTGGGGGTAAGGAAGAACTGGGACGAGAGGTCGCCGATCTGGACTGGTGCCGGGTCGTAGAGTGTCAGGCTCTTGACACCAGCTAGGGCAATATTCTTGGCGATTTCTACACCGAGGCCCTTGAGGCCAACGATGAGGACGTTGGAGGCACCCATGCGCTTCATGGCCTCGTGGCCGAGGACATAGAGTTGTCGGCTGTAGAGTGACTCGTCGATCTCGCCATGCCCGATAACGGATTCGTCGACCTGCATTCGGGTCGCGAGGTCGACCTCTGATTGCTTTTGTTCCTACCGCACCAGCAGTGTTAGCTCCTCTGGATCCGGTGTGCATATTTGCCGAAAGATAATCTCAAAATGATGGCTATCTTTTCACATACTCCAACGGTTCAGGCGACGAGCGACGGGCCGAGAAAACAAATGTTGATCATTTTTTTACTTACAGTCATTATTCGTTTATGGGTAGGTGACTCCCCGACGGATAGCTTTCGCTTCCCCAGTTTGTCTGCGTTGGGAGAGTGTGTAATGTTGGAGACGTCAGGTCGTTACGAGGCGATCCAGCACCAGGCAGAGCTCAACCCCGCCAAACAGTGGAAGTGGACGGTGAGGGATAAGAAGGGCGAAAGATTTATCTGCAAGGGATAGGGATGGTCCTCGCAAATCGCAGATGTAGTAGAAAATGGAGTTTTGAGTATGTTCAAATGTTGGTTTGTAAGAGTAGGCAGAATGTTCTGACTGAGTTGGAGTGGAACAAGAGACCGCGACAGGCGTTGATGAGGTAATGGCCTGGGCTGGACAGTTTAGCATGAGGCAAGAGCTATTTTGCCCCACTGTCAGCGGTCTGAGCTTTACATAAGCAAGCCGCCGGAAGAATCAATCAGCAGCTATTGACTGTAGTATTGTGTTACAGACGAGATAAATATGTAGATCCTGCTTAGATATGTAAGTGTCTTCCATATAAGGAGCAATGCTTCTTTTTCGTGTCTTATATCATTATAGTTATCAACGGCCAGCCTCTCATCAGTTCGTAAGTATATGTGGAGAGCTTCGTGGCACAGCAGCCCCGCAACCGGTTGCTAACTTGGGAGCTTTGACTTCCATTAGTACACCCTTATAGAACATGGGGCTGATTCCAAGCTTCTGTTGGATTCCATAAGTTGGCTATGGTTAGTGAATAGTGTATGATAGATGTTTGACACGTGCTAATCCAGATGCCAACAATAACAGGCCAACATCAAAGGTGTCGGGTAATGCAGGTCCATGATGAAACTCAATGGCGGGGTCAGTCTGCGCGGGGCTTACTGGACGCATGATACTTCAGCTGCGAAAGCTCCTCAGCTTTGGCTTGAGGAGCCTGATGGTTTCTACTCACGGTGAAACGCCATGCAGGAATCATGCAATTGTTTAGATTTGAGACACGGCGTAGGTTTGGCGCGATGCTCACAAACAGCGCGGGCGCAATAGACATGTCTTAATCATCACAATCACAGGATTACAAGAGGATTTTGTATGCTTTGTATTTCCGTCACCCTAAGCCGACTATCGCAATGTTCAATCATTTTGGCCATGATACGCTATGCCACATGAATGTATGAGCATACGGAGCAATGGGTTGATCTTCTACTCCGTTGAGCTTCTGCGACTCGCAGCAGGCTCGTCAAAACCGTATGGCTTTGAAATCAGTCGGAATAGGGCATCAGAGTTAGTGCATTTATTTGATGTTCTTGAGCTGGACATCACTATCGAGATAGTTAGAAAGCTGGTCAAAACCCGTGGTGACGTTTGTTACTTACAAGATGAGGGCAGAGTTAGGGGGGATGGCACCAGGGAAGCCGCTGCAGTATGTGTTAGCTTTGCACGCCTGAGGATATTGGCTCTTGTAGGATCGTGTCCAACTTGGCCATGATCGTAAGCTTACCGAGCGCCGTAACCGTAGTCACTATCAATGGAATATTAGCAAGATGCGCATCGATGACTAGAAACATGGAGATAACATACGGGGTGATGTCGAGTGTAGCCTTCTCGTTAAGCTTCATCTGGGTAACACCCTCATCCCAGCCTGAGTTGTTCGGTCAGTCTCGATTCCTATTTAGCGCGATAGCTCGGAATGTGGTCAGGAGAACGCACCCTTGATGACCTGGCCAACACCGATCTTGACAACGAAGTCGCCGCGGCCGACAGAGGAGTCGAACCTTGAAGGAGAGAATGTTAGGTGTGATCGATAAGAGGGTGTGGTGGGGAGAACATACTGCTTGCCCTTGTTCTCGGGCTGAGAGGTGTCCTTGAGCCAGCCGGTGTACTCCATGGTGACGGTCTGGCCATTCGTAGGGCTGGGGCCGTCGCCCTCAGTGATGATGGTCTTTTCGACACCCATTGTTGCTTGAGTGAAGGAGAAGTTGCGAGGTTGAGTAAAGAAAGGGTTGATTCGAGTGGTGATGCGAGTAGCGCGAGGGATGGATGCAAGAGAGAAAGGGCGCATCTTGGGAAGAGGAGAAGAGCGTGGAGCTTTATACGGTAACGGCGAGGTAAAGAGGCAAGTACAATGCAGTGCTGCTCCTGCGGTGCCAGAACAATGGAAATTCTTCCAACTGTTGAGCTCCCCTTGCCCGTATGACAATGGCTTCAGAGCTCGAATAAGCTCTTTCGATTGGATCTCAGGGTCGAAATGGCGGGGCAATTTAGATCGACGGCGGGGCAATGGCAAACAATAATGACGATTGATACCAATCAGCATGTCACAGGGCCCCACTTGGGATGACGACTGGGAGAAGCCCCATCATTGGCAAAAGAATGGCAACATTAATACATTCATCAGCCTGTGTCAATAGACTGTAAGACCTACATGCTTTACAATAACAGCACGTGTATACTATATCTGGGTTGTATTATTTGCCCAAATTGAAAGTGCTGTAATAGATGTCATGACTGCTTATCCATAGCAACTTTGACTTTGAGTCAACACATGTACCTTACACTAGGAGTACATGTATTGCGGCCACATTTGCACCATAAGCCGAGTATTCGGCTGCGGAGATACATCGGGGCACTGATATGGTTCAACATTCATCGAAGGTACGTACACAGCTATCCGCCTCAGGCGACAGAAGTCATTTTGAGTAGCAGTAGAAGGGCCCAATTAAGTCTTAATCATTATTTAAATGATTATTTGACTTAGAAGTAAGTTTTTCTATTGGATCATGAAATCCAAAGGAATGTTTGAGGATTCGTGAAAAAACATATTTTCAAACCATTCAAGCTGTGTCACAAGCAACGTGAACAACATGCTACCTCACGCCTCATAGACGTATATATGGGCGGTGTAATGCAGATATTAGATCGATTTTAGGGCATATATCACACCAATATATGTCATGCTGCTTCTAGAATGACGACATATCACTAAAAGTTAATAGTTTAATAGAACGGCGACATGGATGAATGGTATAGGGTAACTGGACTAAGTTAATATATTGCTCCTTGATCACCGCATTGACTATCGCCTCCACAATGATGCTTGGCTATAGATTATAATATTCGATTCCGTAAATAATTCGAATGTATAGAAGTGAAGAAATAGTCGGTAGAATAAATGGGATTGGGATCTATGTTGAGCACTAAAGCTATGAGTTAGAGGCGCTTAGTAAAAGAGATCACTCGTTGTGTTACCGGCTTGAGGATATGTTGATGTCGGCTTATAACGAAGTAGAACTCTTGGGTTTGTAATAACGTATCCCGTAGTTGAAAAGCTGGTTTTATGTTTAGAAGTTATGTAAGAGTCTCAACTATACCTTTGTGAGGCTGAAGCTATATGTGAAGGAATACTACTTCAACTTATAACTACGTACATAATTGATAGAGGAGTTTACAACTCTGCTAATGGCATATAGTGATGTTATGATATATAGATCTGGAGTGAGTAAAATATTTTCTTTTGTATTAACGTCTTGTAAAGCATATATGGTCAGCGACCAGATCTACTCAGTTACTGATATAGAGCTGCATGCCTTTTGTGGTCCCAGTTATGCTAGCAGAGTAGCTTTTCCTACCTCATCGATGTATTGCATACTAGAATGAAAGCCTGCATTTCTGTTACTGCTTACCGACATCCACAGGGACATAATTCGCGAAAGTTTTATACTAGAGTCGAGAGCTAACTTGAACCTACAGCTGGAACTCTGACGTATTCATGGGAGTTGTGTTGTTAGTCAATCAGCCTTTTGCAAAAAGCAACAGTCGTAGTAGCCCTAAGACCATGCTTTATTGTGTAGTTTTAAGCTACAGCCTGGAGTATCATGTAGGACCGGTCACACAGTCAACATGTGGATTGCACTTAAGTTGACGTTAATCAACCTCCAAGCAATCGTTTCAGACAACATTAATTTAAAAACAACGTTAAAGAAGCAATCTAATAATTCAGAGAACCTTAAAGCTAGAATAACTTCCGGTAATAATTGTAGATACGATAGTGTCGTTGTTATTCGCTGTTCCGTAAAGCAGAAGTTCTTGCTTAAATGCTCGGCTCGTTACGCGAACAAACTAATAAACAGCCTGATACCGTTATTGGACCAGGCTATCTCCCTCGTATAACTGAACTATAGATTGGACATGGGCCGCATGCTTAAAATGTGGCGCAGGCTGCCTCTTATATGGTAAATGGCCCAAGGCTATGGCAATATCTGAATTAAGTGTATTGCGAGTTTTCTAATATTTTGCTTGAATATTGGACATGACTCAGCACAAACAGGAAGTTGACAATGACCTCACACAAAAGAATATGAAACCTGGGACTCGTAGTATTAGATGTCGATCATAACATAATCGAAAATTCGAAATCGCAGTTTACGACGCTGATCTCACCTTCAAATGGGTTTCTGACAAGGCGTTGCCGCGTTCCGGAACCATCGTAAAATATTGTTCTAGCCTCTCGGCTGTGCCCAGTAACGAAATGATCAGGGTCCCCTAAACAACCCGCTTTGGGTGGTAGAGTGGGTGCACACAAGGCGTTTCACGCCTGGGCGGCACTCATAGCCGCTATGGCCCAGCCAGCCCAGCCCTTGGCATGTCAAATGCCGCCGTATCCGTGGGATCCCACATGCATTTCCCTGGCCGAAATGCCATTGTGCCAGTGTGTGACGTCAGGAAACAGGAAGAATAAAGGATATTTTAATGAGTTGGTCCTTGAAAGCTTGCGACGCTCATGTTGCCAAGAGCTGAGTCTTCTGATCTGTGGATTAGACCAAGACCGCGCTTTACATGCCATGCGTTGTAACGAGATTAGAATTTTGCCTAGCAAAATGGACTTGGGTTGGCTATCGACCATGGCGCTGAAATATAAGCCACCTTCCACCGTAGATTGGTCTGTTTATAGCTCTTACTTTTACTGTCAGTAAGGTACTTTAGGTCCATCCGTAATTGTCTAGACCGAACGGCTGCGACGGCCGCTTATCACACCATGAGGACCCTTGAGAACCAGCCTCTTTAACCGTTGTTTAATAACCTCAGCTCTCCCCCCTTCATAGTCGTCGCAAAGCACATTTTTGGGTACGCGGATGATAGGACCATCTCTCCTTGGAGTAAAGAAGCGTCTTCAGTTGCTGCAACAAGCACGACATCACCTGGCGCAAACGGATCCGAGCGCAAGCTTCATTTTTCGCATTTCTGAGCAAGAACCAGGGTCCAGATAATGGCCGCTCCAATCAGCAACACTCACGGCGATCGCCAAGCGAACGGCCATGATGAGACAGCGACAGCAACATCGAATGGCAACGGGGTATCACCAAATCATGCGAATGGCGCGGAGAAAGTACAAAATGGACAAGAAAACGGCCATGACCATCACCTCAAGCGCCCTACCAAGATCGGAACTGGCCTAAAAGACCGTGTTCACCAAATTACCAAAGGTCCGCCTGGCGGCTTTGACCCGACCCCTCTTCCAGATGCGCCGCAAGGTTATACCATCCGCTTCATCTTCCACGGCGCCTCAAATCTGGCCCCTGGCGACTTCGTGACGGCCTCTTCAGATCCCTTTCTCCATGCGACGTTGAAAGGTACCCAGCCGAAGCGGCACAAGGAGGACCCTGATCTTGTCCACCGGACCAAAACCATAAGGAGGACAACCGAGCCACAGTGGGAAGATGAATGGATTGTCGCCAATGTTCCGCCGACGGGCTTTACCCTCAAGTGCCGAATGTATGATGAAGATTTTCCGGACCATGACGATAGACTGGGCAACGTTACAGTCAAAGTGCCCCGTATTACCCCAGACTGGCGTGGTATTCCGGCTCCTGGCCAAGTCTATGAAGGAAAGAAGAGAATGATGAGCAAGCGAGCATATTTGGCCAAAGCCATTACCAGTGTCGCTAGCCATAGTGCTCATATGACCCCTCTGCTCCGTCTTAGTATGGAGCTCCTAGGGCCTTCAGATCCGCCGTATGCACAAATGTATACAGTTGGGCCAACAACATGGGTCAAGCATTTTAGTCCCTTGATCGGACGAATTGCTGGTGTCAAGGTCAACGCCAATGCTGAGGATGACGCTCGAGTTGATCGAGATGAGCAAGTCGATCAAAACGGGAAGAAGAAGAGTAGGACCCAAAAATATGAGTAGGTCATCGTTCGAGCCTTGGAATGGAGTTATGCTAACATGTGATCAGTTTCCAAGCAAACGAAATGCAGCTTCAGGGACCTGTGCCTCCCAAGCTGTACCATCGCTTTGTTGAATTCAGACCTATTATTGCATCGATTTACTCCTCAGCAGGCCTGCGCGGCACAATCTTGAACAAAGCGTTGCACGGCCAGCACCGCCGTGTCTACAACTTCAACGCATCGACCGAATACGGTAACTATGATGCATGCACTCCCGAGGCTTCAGATCAGTTCCTGAAGCTTGTGCACTACGATGAAGGAGGCCGCACTTTTACCTATGTCCTGACTTTGGATGGCATGTTCAGGTTCACGGAGACTGGCAAGGAATTTGGTATTGACATGTTGAGCAAACACACCATGCACTCTGACGTGGAGACGTATATCGCTTGTTCTGGTGAATTCTTCATTCGACGGCTCAAGCGTCCTCTCTCCTCAGACAGTGTGCATCCTCACACAAAAACACATCCACAAGAGCCAATCCCCGGCGGCCCGCCTCATGAGCACCCTCCGCATGATCCTGCATACTACCAACTAATCATCGACAACGACTCCGGCACATACCGACCAGACAAGTCTACCCTGCCATACCTGAAGCAATTTCTCGAGACGAACTTCCCAGGTCTGGGTATTGTGACAATGCACTGGGAAGAGAAAGAGCTGCAGGATATGAAGGAGAACCAACGCAACATCAAGAAGCGCGAGGGCATGATGGTCAATATGGTCATGAACAGAAGCCAGAGCAGTATCAGCTCAGCCGAGAGCGAGTTGGATGACCGTGAGGAGTCTTGGCAGCAAGGACACAAGAGTAAGCGTGAGACAGCCTACGAAGCTTTGGAAGACCCGCACAAGGTTAAGGATGCTGTCAAGTCGTTCGTTCCAGGAATGAAGTCGGAGAGGGGGGTGAGCTCTAAATGATTGGGTTATGACTAACGGCCTGCGAAAAGATTGGGTGTCTTGAGGGGATGGATCAGTCACTTCCTTTTGGCGAAAAGATACCTGTATGGATTTCATACACCACTTTTGTTTTAGTACTCTTGCATTCGTTGATACCTCTATTCTTATGTCTGAGTAGTTATATATAGTCTTGTTCTAATTCATGTCTTGCCCACGATAATGGCACACATCAAACTTTAACTGTGCATCACAAACTTGGCTTAAGTGCTACCCACTTGCTTGTGCATGTTGCCAACACTTCTCCTTTCTCGTTCTTCATCTCACCTCTGACCTTTGTCTTTCGACCATCGATCTCTTCCGCAACGGCTGTAATGCGAAGGACACTGTCTGTAGACACAGGCTTCAGATATTTGACTTCGATACCACCTGTCACACTGGACGTCTTAAACGCTCTCGCATCCTTGCCCAAGGACCCATTCAGATCAAAGATTGTACCCATAGTCTCATCTAGGAGAGTTGCAATAACACCGCCATGAACAAGCCCGGGATACCCGCTCACGCCTTCACCCACTGTCACAAGGACAACAATCTCAGTGATATTATGTGATGGGTCCTGCGCAATTTCATAACTTGGCGCACGGAAGAAGCTGATAAAATGGGTCAAGCCCCGAGCATTGTTCAGCGTGTTTCCAAATAATTGGTCGTGGCTCGGAGAACGTGGATTGCGGCATGAAGGAAGAAAGGGAATCGTATCTGGTGCACTGAGCAGAGTAGCTGTCCAAGGATGAGTAGCAAAGAAGGAGAGCTCCGAGGCAAAAAGATCCGGTGGTGAATTCTTTGGCACGAGGCCAAGTGCAGGGCATATGATTGAATTAATAAAGGGCGGGAATGTCATGCTGGCTGACGAGAAGGCGTTGTTGTGTGAGAGTGAGAGGCTGGTGTTGACGGGAGGTCCGTTGCGATCTCGGAGACGGTATAGCGGGGCCGGTCGGGAGATCGAGAAGCTCGGTAATATAGTGGATGTTCGGAGTCTGGGGTTTAAGAATTTAGAAATCTTCATGGTGTAGAATCGTGGGCTTGGCTTTTCAACTAAAAAGATTTAGACTGTGAAGTAAGTGAGAGAAATCCGAACTTCTCCTCTCTTGGATTAGAGGTAGATCGGCATAGATCAAATCAAGGAAGTGACATTCGATCAGAGTTTCATGCCTCGGCACTTCAGGTACAAGGCCTGTCCGATTGGGGCAGGGAAAGTTAAAAAAGGTAGCTCCTATTGGACGACACCTACTTTAATTTATCTTCAACATATGAAAGCTCTGACTTGGCTACCTCTGATGCAGAAATGAGAGATACATGTAGGTTTTGGGTTCTCTTGTATTGCGAGGCTTATTTTCTGTATAAACTTCCATGTTACTACTACAAGGTCATGATCCATGGTCAGCTTGACATTCTCTGTACATAGGTACCTATGTCCCCTTCCTTCCTGGATACATGTACATGATCAATGTGTTATCAGCTTCCACAGATATCCTCAGTCAAGTCGTTCCATAAACATCGATTAGTGTTATGCTCAGCGTGTTTGTGTGGCCTATTAATGACTTGCATATGTTCGACAAACACTTGCGCGCCATACAGAGCACATGTTTTGTGTGCGAATAACAGAATCATAAAGAGCAAACAATACCTAGCATATGAATTAAATCACATTAGTACCTATGTATGCATTCTATAATTCGTGTCTTCTCCCGGTTCATGCCAAATACAAATGATTTAGTGAGGGAAGGAAGGAGGCACCAAGCCACCACATGCAGCAGCCTGCCACTGATGGCACCTGCCAACTCAATCGCATATACCGAACGCCTTCCGTATCAATAAAGTTAATCTGCATCGAGGTTCGCACCTTCTTACCTACCTATTCTTATTCTTCCCCTCTTTCCTCTTCTTTCTCATCTTTAGTTTCTCCGTGTTCACTCGCGCAGCGTGCACATTTGTGCACTTTCAACCTCCAAAGACCATGGCTGCAACTATCGTCACTATGCACGAACACCATCATGGGCCAAGCTTCTCGCCCGAGCACATCGAGGTACTAATCACCATTGAACGAGTCGGTGCAGGATGTTCCATGGTGGCTATCGTTCTCGTGTTACTCTCATTCGGCCTCTTCAAGAAACTTCGAACGACCCCTAACCTCTTTCTGATCTTCGCCTCGATTGCGAATGCCGGAGCAAGTGTGGCATCTATGATCGGGTACGATGGACTCGAGAAGGGCGAGGGCTCGCATCTATGCCAGGCTCAGGCCTTTATCTTCGAATGGTATGCTCCTTTGCTCTAATGCAGTTGTGGCACTAATATGGATCTCCCTAGGTTCATGCAATCTGACCCTTGGTGGTCGCTTGCAATGGCAATCAACGTGTTTCTAGTATTTTTCTGCAACTCTGACCCCCGAATGTTTCGAAAGTATGCATGGCTTTACTGTGTCATTTGCTTTGGTGGCCCATTAATTCCAGCGATTGTTCTGATCTCAATTCGCGACGCCCCCGAAGGTCTTATTTTCGGGGACGCTACTGTAAGTGGTCTTTGAACATGCTTTGATATCAATACTGACATGTTCCAGTTATGGTGCTGGATTGGAACCGACTGGAGCCTCGTTCGCCTCTATGCATACTATATTCCAATCTGGACCTTCTCTTTTCTGTCAATAATGATCTACATCGCAGTCGGATATCATGTCTTCCACCATAGAAATCAGCTCAGGCATATGGTGATGGAAGGGATGGGAAACACAGAGAAAAATGGCAGTATACCTTACTCGAGCAGTGAGCCCAGGGGCTCTTCCGAAGCGGTAGCCTTCCCACTTAACACCAGCGAGGGAGGTAACACTGACCCTTATTACCAGAATCTTACGGGTCGTCAGGATTTCTACGGTACTGCTGTCACAGAAGTCCAAATCATACGGGAAGAGCCAAGACATACAGCCAACCTTGGCCTTACCACACCTACTGCGACCCATTCGGCGATCAGCCCTCCGCGTATTCAATCTTGGGCTGTTCCCAGTTCCTTCGAGCAGCTCGAGCAAACAACCTCTAGCAGAGGACAGCGCTTTGAAACAGTATGCACGTCCACCAGTACTCCTCAGCCGCCTTCGACGATGATGACCCGCCTACGCGCTGCCAGGTCCAATGCATCCTTGAAACTTAAAAGATTCGACCCTGTCAAAATGGCGTATTTACGTACCAGCTTCATCTTCGGTTTCGCCGTATTGATCACTTGGATCCCAAGTTCCATTAACCGACTATATAGTCTGACACATTCCGACAGAATCAGTTTTAGTCTCAGTGTTGCCAGCGGTTGCGTTCTTCCGCTCCAGGGAGTTTGGAACGCTCTGATCTATTTCACTACCAGCTGGAAGACATTTCGTGAAGAAGTACATGCAGCGAGAGCGAAGTGGCTTGGAAGACCTGAAGAGTCTGCACATGGGATCCGCCTCAACAGTCGAAATGACACTCATAAGGGCGAATATCGCAGCACACTCGAACGAACCCGACAAGTACGAGCGGGTTCGGCCGAAGATGTTTGAAAATTCACTACAATGTGATTTATATGAGTTAGGAGAATGAAGTAAGTAAGGAAGGGTGGGTCAAAATGTTTGTTCACTTGTTTGAGGAAGGTACATGTAGTATACCCATCATATCTGTACAACTCGCCAATGCAAGGACATTGAGGTCAGGTATCAGAACATTCGGGAGCAAAAGTTACATTGATAACAGTATATCAATTCGAGTTTTATTATCCTTTATCTCGTTAAAATTCATAATATTGAAGCAATTTTCAACTGTGAACGCTGCCTTTTAGGCACTGTAGATGGCCTCACCCTCGGCAGCATCTACACCTTCCCGCACAACTCTATCGACTGCAGCAGGAATCTCCTCATCACCGTCTAGAAGATCGTACCACCCATTCTTGACACCATCGGCAGCAAGAAGATGAGAGGCAACCTCAGCGACAGCCTCTCGGCTTATTCCGCCGGACGAAGAGATGTGCTTGGTCTTGCCAAACTCAACCTTTGTGGCTGGCTCATCAGTCAAGGTTCCGGGCCGAAGATCGATACCAGCAAGAGTGGAGCTCTGCTTGGAGACCTTGTATAGAACCTCATCTGCCTCGACCTTGGCCTTGTAGTAGTTTGCCAATGAGCCATTGTTAACCTTCTCAACATACTCATCCCACTCGCCGGCGGGCCACCATGAGGCGCCAGAGCGACGAGAGCCAAGGAATGAGATGAGAAGGAACTTGGTGATACTGGGTACAGAGGCGGCGGCGTTGATAAAGTGGACCGCAGCATCGCGATCTACCTTGAATGTCTAAGGTGAGTCAGTAAGTGAGCTGATCTGAAGAGGGGGATTGAGAAGATGGATTGACGTACACGCTCAGCACCACCCTTACCACCGGCACCTGTATCCCATTAGCATGGATCTCGCTAAGAGGAAGGATTGTTTTGTTGCTAACATACCGGCACTCCAAGCAACATAATCAGGCTTCACCTCATTTATAATTCCAAGAGCCTTATCCTGGGATGTGACGTCCTCAATGCTACGCACAAGAACATTGAGTTTACCGGGGAGGCCGGCGCCAAGCTTCTCAATGGTAGGGGTCTGCTCTGAAGTTCGGATGACGCTGGTGACAGTCCACGAGCGCTTGAGGAGGAGAGGAGTAAGAAGCTGAGCGATCTTGCCGTGGCCGCCAAGGAGAAGGACGTGGTGAGAAGCCATGGTGTACAAGTGGTGTATGTGAATGAGGTTGTGAAGCTGATTGCTTGGTGAGGAGGGGAAATCGGGTAATTGGTCAAGAGTTGTAAGACGTAAGATGAAACTGTTTGATTATTTACTAGCTTTATATTCCAGAAGTAGGTCAACTTGGGTATTTATGTTTACTTCAAGTTCAAATCACCACTTTGACTGATTCGTAAGGTTATGACGACATTCGCAACAAAGCGGGGCCGGCAGCCATTACTAATTCTAAGAGGATAACGGCATTTGATACTTGGGATAATCTCAGAGTTTTGACGACTTTTAAGAAGGTTTGCTCGCCATCAAGGTGATGTTGATCTGACGTTTTTCGTTTAGTAAATAACGTCGCGAGAGCAGGGTTGAGGGTGGTAGTTAGTGGTAGTTGGATTACGATCTAAGATAAAAGTGACCACCCACTTTACTATCAAGATTATCGGCTTTGTTTGACTGCCGTGTCAGCTTGTCTACTATAGGTTCAGGCAATCCGAACTACCTATTCAACAGTGTAGGATGTTCCCCCATTCTGGTTTATCTTAGGACAAATCCATAGGAAACCGACTTCAGTTATGTTGTTCCAGCACCAATGGCGTTTGCTCAATTTACGTTAACACTAAAGTTTGAGAGAGCACCACCCAAACTTAGTCTTTGACTACTCACAATGTCATCTTCTTGGCAAACAGTGATTGAATGACAGAGTGTTATTATTGACCTACAGCGATCAACAAATTGCTTGTGAAGGACAAACCCGCAATCTGATGTGTTTGCTCGAGCACAAGTGCTTAGGTAAGCTTCGTGCATGTGCATCTTCAAAGATCGCGGGAGTTGCGGAGCTGCCATGAACTAAACCGTTTGCAGGCGTGCACAACCATTGGATGTCTTTTGCTCACTGTTTGTTGTACAACAAACCAAGACTCTTGCTGAGCTGCTGACGGTCAGACTTTAGGAGTTGGTGATCTTTGCTGGTGAGTATAAAGACTTTCTGGTCTGCTCGACTTGGTGCTCACCAAAGTCGACTCGTCTTTCCTCATCCCTCCAGCTGCAAATCGCTCAACACAGTTCTGAGTGAGCTTTACAGGGGTCGGAATACTAGCTAAACTCTTGTATGAGTCTCTCCAAGTACCTATCGGGCGTAAGAAAAATGACTAAGACAGTTTGCATTGTTGGTGAGTTACGCCGTTCTCAATTGCAACATCTCGCTAAGTATCGTAGGCGCTGGTCCTTCAGGACTCGTTGCAGCCAAAACCTTGTTGCACAACACTGCTCCAGGCGAGTTCAGAGTCACTATATTTGAGTCTCAGAAAGACATCGGTGGGCTCTGGCCCTCGTCAAAGACAGACAATGGTCGTCAAGTCCACCCGTTCATGTGGGCGAACCAAAGCAGACACACGATGCAGTTCAGTGAGCTTGCCTGGGAAGATAGCAACCCTCAATTCCCACAGGGCTGGATGGTCGGGAAGTATCTCCACAGATACCTTGACCGGTTCTTGACAAACAATGCGGACTTTGAACTCAAGCTCGGCACACGGGTCGAGGGGGCAGAGCGGCCGCAGGGTTCATCAAATGGCTGGACTGTCAGTGTGAGATCAGAGTCTGGAACTGAGACTAAGAACTTTGATTACCTTCTGGTGGCTTCTGGTTTCTTTGGGAAGCCCATTATGCCAGAGGGTCTTAAGAATGAGACGAGTGTTCCTGTTGTCCACAGTAGTTACTACAGGGATATCGAAAGTCTTCTTGGTAAAGGTCGATCTGGTGGTGGCAAGATCCTCATTGTAGGAGGACAGATGTCTGGTATTGAGATTGCAGGAACCATTGGCGCGCATCTCTCTTCCGAGGCCAACTCACCCGATCCCTCAGAGATTGCCGACATTGATAAGTACACTGTCCATCATGTCATTCAACGTCCTATATGGGTGTTCCCCCTTTATACCAGTCCCAAGGTAGGCAGTCAAAGCTACCTATATACGTATTTACTAACGATAGTGAAGCAAGCAAACTCGGCGGCTCCGTTTTTGCCTCTCGACTTTTCGAGCTATAACCTCAACAATCGACCTCAACCCCTAGACAATACACAAGGACATATCGCTCAGGAGAGGGCCAAGATAGTCCACGGCGTATTCAATGGTATTCTTGGCTCTAATCAGTCTGAATACTCTCCCCTTCTTGAGATTAATGACACAAATGACAGCAGGCAGCCTTATCTAGCTGTCAGTGAATGGTACACCGAGTTCGTTCGGTCAGGATTGATCACCCTATCAAATGGCAAAGTAGAAGGCCTCAAAGGCTCTACGGCAACATTGTCGGATGGCACTAAGATTGAGGATATCGCAGCGGTGGTGGTAGCAACAGGGTTTGATCCTTCACCTTGCATAAGCTTCCTTCCAGAGGAAGTCCTCGAGTCACTCAACTTTTCGCCAAAGCATATCGATCAGCCTGTTGCTCTGGCTTTCCATGGAACTCATCATCCAGAAGTACCCGATTTGGGATTTGTTGGTTTCTACAGATCTCCGTATTGGGGCGTCATGCAGATGCAGGCTCGCTTCGTTGCAGCGCTATGGTCTGACAATGTCTCCCCAGGCCGCAATTCACAGATCTTCAAGGACAAGCTCCAAGATGACGTCTCTATCCAGCGCACCCTCGACCTGCGAGACGACCCACGCGTATCACAGTTCCCAATGGGAGACTACCTTTACCTCGTGAACGAGATTGCAGAGGCGCTTGAGTTGAAGATTCACGAGCCCCTTTCGCCTCCAGTTCCCAGCCTACCGCACAATAACCTACCATTGGATATGCTCACGCCAGCGCGGTACTCAAACCCCAACGATGATCAGCAGTCGAAGGACGCGGCAACTACATCGCTTGAGCAAACACGCAAGGATGCGACTGACGGCCTTACATCGTCAAGATTCGTGGCTCACGCTGTGTTCCGAAGCCTTCTTGGCACATGGAAGCTCGAGCGTGATCTAGTAAGCACCCTGCCTTCCCACCCGAGTGGCCACTTCAGCGGCACTGCTCAATTCCTACTCCGCGAAAAGGCGACCGATGGCTTGCGATGTGCCAGCAACCCCAGCGAAGAATCTCCAGATGACGAGTCTCTGGGTATGGAGTATCTCTATATCGAAGAGGGAGATTTCAAAACTGATCAAGGCTTCGGCTTCAGAGCTTCGCGTCGTTACGTGTGGCGTTATGACGAGCTCAGTGATAAACTGAGTGTGTGGTTCGCCAAGCCTGAGGACCTCAAGCGTGCAGACTATCTCTTCCACGAGATTGAGTTTACAGAACCTACGGAGAAGGGGTGGGCTGCTAAGGCGGGGCATCTATGTATTGACGATTACTATGATGTCAAGTACAACTTTGCGTTCCAGGCGGTGAATCTGAAGCAGTGGGGGATTGAGTATACGGTCAAGGGTCCGAAGAAGGATTATACTATCAGCGGGACTTATAAGCGATAAACAAGTTGCTGAATGGGAAGTCAAGTTAACCAATAACATGAAAATGGGGATGGTAGCTGTCAACAGAGGATTGTGACGATGCATCCCCAACAGACGGGCAGGGATACATGCCGGGCCGATGTCTCGGGGAGCCACCCCCACAAATCTGGCAATAGGATGTATGGGCATGGTTAGAGTAAGATGCGATCGCTGCGGGTATTGAGATGTGTCTGGGGAGTGTGGAGAGGTGGGACTTGATACCGGGTCTTGCATGAGGGGGCTCGACATCATCAGATCATGCATAACTAGTTTGTAGCTGCCAAACAGAACTTACGCTCCGATGCTAGATGCTAGTACTCTTGTCATGCTTATTGATGTATTGTGGGAAAATGTTAAGGGGAAGAAAATACAAGACTGGTTAATTATAAACGTAGGAGGGCGAACCTGGTGAAAACTTTCATGCTGCACTCGTTGTGTGTGATGAATTTTTCACCAGCTTATTATATATCGAAAGGCCGGTGTGATAGATAAAGATGCATATGCCTATCAAGAATAAGTTGTACAGATAACTTGTTGTCTTGGATTAACTAATGCTTGAGAAAAGCTCACATCATACCATCGAATGCCTCGTATTTAAGCAAGCTCCGGCCCCTTGAGTTTCAGGCTCAGAATACTTTCTTTGACTTGTGACTTCAAATCATATACATGAGAAATACCATACGAACAAGCGGCCTCACACTACTAGTAAGATTTGCAACGTCCTTGATAGGACTAAGATGACTCTAACATAGACCAAGATTACCCTTGTCTATTTCTATGCATGGCAGAAATGAGCCGAAGCCGCGGACCCAACAAAAAGTTTGGTTGGCTTGAAAGTTGTCCCCAAGAATCAGAACATCTGATTTTAGTATCAGGCCATGAAGAAAGGACGATTGGGGCTCTGCGTTCCTTGCATATCGACCGACGGGCGGTGCCAGCCACTCGGGGCCGGGGATCATGGACCCCCGACCCCCGAACACGGACACTAGACGATTCCGGAGAGAATCTCTGGGAGGGCAATTCTGGAGAGTCAAGGAACCTCGGCTGATTTTGGCGAGCGCGGGGTGCATATGGGAGTCTATGCGGTTTATGAAGTGAGGTTTAGATAAGATTGTATAAGATTATACAAAATAGAAAGAGTTTAGTATTATGTATGACTTGTATAAATCTAAAAGACTTGTGTATGATTTGTGTAAGTAAAATATAAAAGCAAGGAAATTGCTGGAACTCTTGCACTCCCTCTAAAGCAAAGGAATGTTCGTCCCTGGAAACAATTAGACACGATATTCAGAAAAAGGGCGATTCCTCGATGCATGGATGACCTGTTGAAACCCGACTCAATAGTCAGCCTCTAAATTTGGGCTCTTCTCCTTTCAGGCGCACACACATGCTTGGCGTCCAAGCTATGGATATTGCATGGCCTGATTTCTCGAGGCACATGCTGACGACACCTCTGCTATTGGAAGTAGTGAATGGTTTATTGGTGAATAATCAGAAGCTTGATACTTGATCTTAGGGCCTCCTTTATTGTCTCGGTATATAGGGCCTGTGCTTGTGAAAATGGGTTGATGTTATATGAGGCAGCTCAATTGAACCTGAATTGAATTAAAATACCCATATAAATTAACGTTGTTTTTATACTTCAAGTCGAACCTTCCCGCTGTGGAGAACGCCCAGATAGCTCTACTGCACCTTCCAGGTTCCAAGTCTCAGCATTCCAAGTCAAGACCCCGCGCAATTTGATTCGGGAAAGAGCTCAACTCTTCAAAACGTCACACAAAATCATACAAAATATCAACTCTTACTCTTTTTCACCTTCAAATCTACATCTCTCCGATCATATCCCTCTCTCATCTTCCCGCAATCCCTATCATACTTAGCCAGCATGAAGCTCGCCGTATTCAGCACAAAACCCTACGACAAGAAGTACTTGACGACTGTCCTCAGCGCCAAGCACGCCTCGTCAGGCATCGAACTCGTCTTTCACGAGTTTGCCCTGAACGAGGATACCGTCTCTCTTGTTGAGGGAGCCGATGCCATCTGCGTCTTTGTCAACGATATTGTCAACGACAACGTCATCTCAGCCCTGTCAGAGTTTGGCATAAAGGCTATTTTGCTGCGATGCGCAGGCTTCAACAATGTTGATCTCGATGCGGCCCAGCGACTCCGCATAATGGTTGCCAACGTTCCGTCCTATTCACCCGAGGCTGTCGCAGAGTTCGCCGTTGCTCTTATTCAGACCCTCAACCGCAAGACACATCGCGCTTATAATCGCGTTCGTGAAGGGAACTTTGCCCTCGATGGTCTCCTCGGAAAGACACTCTATGGCAAGACTGTCGGCATCGTCGGCGTCGGAAAGATTGGACTTGCTACTGCGCGCATCATGAAGGGATTTGGTTGCAAATTGCTCGCATATGACCCTTTCCCTTCACCAGCTTTCGAGGAGTTTGGCGAGTACAAAGATCTCGAAGACCTTTTGCCTGAATGCGATATCGTCAGTCTTCATTGCCCACTCATGGAGCAGACACGGCACATAATCAACAAAGAGTCGATATCCCTCATGAAGGAGGGTGCTATGCTAGTCAACACTTCGCGAGGCGGCCTGATTGACACCGAGTCTGTCATCAATGCACTCAAGACAAACCATATCGGCGGCCTTGCGCTTGATGTGTATGAAGCAGAGGGTGAACTCTTCTACAACGACCATTCGTCATCAATCATTCAGGACGACAAGCTTATGCGTCTCATGACATTCCCCAATGTGGTCGTTTGCGGCCACCAAGCCTTCTTCACCGAGGAAGCTCTCACCGAGATCGCCGAGTGCACCCTCAGCAACCTTGAAGAGTGGATACAAACCAAGACGAGCAAGAACTCGCTCACCAAGGATCTCAAGCTTCGACGCCGGGAATCACTCCCTGTACGAGCCATCTAGGTTGGCTATTCCTTCCGCTTTTCGTATCTTTCGTTTTGGTGGAGTTTAGGGGAAGGTTAAAGCTCCATAGGAGATAACAAGAGGAATACTTCTCAGAAGAAGGCACGCGATAGAGGCAATGGTATTGAAGTCTTCAATAAATTATCCTAAAATCAAGGGTATTATGCTAAATATCCAAGTGCACTATAATTATCTCATGCACAACGTTATGCATATCCGTTTGTACATGCAAGTCCTGTCCAAGTATTACTTCTCAACCTCCTTTTTGAACCACCGCCCAAATCTAAGTCTAATCTAATTTTGTTATAAGAGTGTCCATAAAGGACAAGAGTATCTAAGCCAGGTCGAATTAGACGGCTTAAGGGTTGCTGACGTAGCTTCGAGCACGGCGCAAGTCTTCGTCATTCTCAGAGTCTTCGCCGCGAGGACGAGAGCTCTTGGCCTTCTCGATATCATCAACGTCGCTCTCCTCGCCAGCGTAAGCGTACTTGCTACGGCTACGGATCTTGGCTCCGTACTTCCAGAACAGGAAGGGGATGGCACAGCAAGCAAGACTGATAAAGGCCAGGAGTGTCGAGGCCCACTGATCGTTGAGACGCTCGTACATCTGCTCAGTGAAGAGAACCACAGCGGCACCCCAGAAACTTCGGATACAGGTCTTTGCAGCGAGGGCAGAAGCGGCTTGGTGCTGGTATGAGTCGACAAGGTAGTTGTTGGCAGAGTTGTAGAGGAAGATGAAGCCAAAGCCGACAGGGAAACCACCCATGGCAGGGCCAGCCCAAGAAAGATCCTCGTATGAAGTCCAGGCGAAGATGAAGAGACCGATGGGGATGCACCAGCATGAGATCATCATGGGAATAAGACGGACTTCAGCGGGAGGATTGCCGTTGTGCTTCTTGACAAGCTTGATGTAGTGATTGTTGACAAAGGGCGAACAAGCAGCAGAGCAGAGAACACCAACGGCAACGGGAATGAACATGAGACCAGTCTTTCCAGCAGAATAGCCCTTGCCCTTCTGGTAGATGATAGGGAAGGCAACGAAGAACATGTACAGGAGACCGTAGAGGACACTCATGTACAGAGAGATGAGGAAGACGATAAGCTCGCCGAAGAGAAGCTGGAATGGTCGAATGAGGAAGATTCTAAGTCGCTCAGACATTGGTCGCAGATCGAGCTCCTGCTCTGTAACGTGGTCGGTCTCGCCAGTTGAAGCTCGGAGCTTGCGGGCGCGGCGGGCGAGGAGAGTAGGGGCGTAGGTCTCGGGGACGGTGAAGGTGATGAGGACCCAGACAACGAAGGCGAGGATAAGCTGGATCCAGTAGAGCCAGCGCCAACCAGCGGCGTCGGAGAGGAAGCCACCGACGAGAGGACCGACTATTGCAAGTGTCAGTATATATACACGATATAAGATGCAACCATTCAGAGTGAGACTTACTGGCAGGGCCGATAAAGGGGGCAGCAGAGAAAGCAGCCATGGGTACACCACGCTCTTCATTCTTCCACATATCGGCGAGGGTACCTCCGACAAGAGTCATGGGCGCAGAGAAAGCAATACCGCCGAGGGCTCGGCATACGAGAAGAGTCTCGATATTCTGTGCCACGGCGCAAGGAATGACGAAGATGACGGCCACGAGGAGGGTAGATCCGCTGGGATTTCGTTAGTGACAATCTTTCATGTAATCTTTAGAGAGAGAAACTTACTAGATAATGCGTCGTCCGTAAATCTCAGAAAGAGGCGCAAACACCATAGGCCCAACACCGAATCCCACCACAAACACACTGATGCTCACAAGCGCCAGCTCGTTACTCACGTTGAGATCCCTCACCACGCCCGCGATATCAGCAGTGATGACACTTGAGCAGAAGGCAACAACAAAGCACGTCAACGCCACACACATGGTGCACCACCACTTGTACGCCTTGCTCCAATTCTTGGGATTCTCTGGATCCCCTGGCGTGAAAGTAACGAGCTTGTAGCGGCGCTCTTGGCCGGGCTCATGGTTCGTCGACTTGCGCGCGATCGCCTCGGGCTGCACGGGGCCGGGGATGGCGCCCCCGGGGACTTCCACACGGTACTCGTCGAGATTGGCGTTGGCACTGAGAGTCCGGTAGGGCAGGTCGATGTCGAGGTCTGGATCGCGGGTTTCCTTCTGTGAGCCGTCGTGGGAGTGGGTGTGCGTGTGAGAGAGGGAGCGGCGCACGCGGCTCATTGTGCTTTGGTGGGTGTTTAGAGGAGCAAAGGTTGTGTCCTCGAGGGTCGTCGAAGACCGATTTGGATTTTGTTCTTCCATTTTGAATAATTAATGATATAAATAAATGTGGTGTTGTTCAAGTGCAGATGGTAAAAGTGATCAAGGATATTAGAGTATTTAAAGAGTCAAGTATGAGTATCAAGCTAATGTCTCATGCTATGGTCAATCCACACATTTCCAAAACCTCAGCTTCAAGGAGGGCAAAGCTCACCTCTATATACCTACTCTCCCATCCCCATTAAGATCCCTAACACAAGTGGAAAGAGAAAAAAACAGCTATCGCCGCACCCGAATACCGGCTCTAGGCCGTAGAGTGGGTCTTGCCACCCGGACCTCGAGTATCCACAATTGCGGATGCGGCTGCGGCTCCATCCGAGGGAGTGACAGGCACAGGGGGTTTTAATGTTTTTGAACCTGTTTCTGGTGCGAATGGGACACGGTTGGCTGGTGTCAGAAGCTCGTGACTGGGGATACTTCGGTATTGCAGTCGCAATATCGATTCATCTCTGCTGCTATGATCATGCGGCGTAACTTTAGATCCTTGAACCCTTGCTTGTACATGAGCCTTATTCTCAGCCTCATGTTTCTTTTTTCCATCTCGATTCCTTTTCTTCGTCCTCTCTTTGATCCAGCTGCGATCCTTTCTGTTAAAATTGCTACGATATGTACTAACACTTGTCTTCGCTAGTCCATAGTCCAAGACAGTTCGAGAGGGAGATTTACGGGCGTTGAATATCTCCACTCCGGAGCCGAAGTGGACCTGTTCTTTACCACGTTATCGTGCCGTTCTCGGCTCTTCACTAGGCTGAACGAGACTAAAGACACAAGCTTCACGCCAACGTCATTAATACCACACTAATCCCTGTCTGTTAATCGGTAATAACCCCGGTAATTACTGCTTAGAGTATCATATTGTTTATTGATGCTATCAACCGATAACGCAATTTCTACTCTTTTCTCCCCGGAACATCGCCGAACGCACCTCTGACAAACTCTGTCAGTCTTCAATCAAGTTCCACACTCACCCTCGCAATTCCATTCATCGCATCTGCCAACTCTAAGCTGATGATACGCTTGCTGCCCTGGGCATCCTATTAGAGAATCCGTAGTATTGTTCGACCACCGGCGACATCTCAGCAGTTGAACCCGCATTTCTCTCTTGGGCCATTTCTAAACTTGACAAAGGTTCAAGAGTGACTTCCAACTCTGAAATTGTTTGCCCCACCTCAGTCATGATGTAGTCGCCCTTAGAATCAACCTTTCTTAAACTCCCGTCTGCCTGCACAACTGTACGATGAGGTGCGTCCTCACATCCGGTACGTAAAGCCCATGCTCGAGCCCACCCCTGCGCACTGAACGCCCAAAAGACCATGTCGGGTCCCGAATTTATAGCAAGCTCCACCAGGTTGCGACAGATCGCAACGGGCTGTCCTCGAATTTGAAGTGGATATTCTGTCTCCTCCACAAAGGGATGATCTGGAAACTCAATGTTGTTGCAACTTCCCTTGGGCCGTCCGCACATACTGTCCAATTGGTTCTCCTCTTTCTTATCTTGGGTTGCAATCATATAACGTTGACGACATCGATCTTGTGATATGACGGCCAGCAGATCTTGCGGGATTGTGTAGAGAACAACCATCTGCTTGTCCGTGTCTGAAGTTCTGGGTGGATCGACGTCCAAAGAGCTGGCGAGGACATCCTCTCCTAGGCTATCGTCTCCACCGATAGCCGAAAATGTTGCCATGACACAGACCCCTTTTCTCGGGTCTGATCCAGCTGTGTATAAAACGGGCAACGAAGATTTATTAGTTGGGGGAACAAATCGGGCCTTGCAAATTAAGCGACCCCTTGACCCTGCTGATGCTTCAACGCCCAAGGAAAGGGTCCCCGTTCTCGGATCCGTGTACAGAATGTGATGTCCGTCACTCAGTGGAACAGCTCTGTAATGATCCGTGATGCTACTGGTGGATATGCATTGGCCACTGCTCCTAGCACGATCCTGTCTTTGTTGATCACGAACATGGCGTGCATCCATAAAGAAACGTTGGTGTGGTAGATCGTGTGTAATGACGTCTCCACGCTTCCGGATCATCGCTGCAATGCTGTATCTTTCCAATTCCCCAGGTTGCAGCGGAGCCGTTAAGGACAGTGCCGACTAGGTCGAGTCGATTACCGAGTGCCGCCGTAAAGTAAAGAGTCGCAGTTCTTCACTTATATGCACACGACTTGATTATATTCTTAACGAGAATGAACATCGATCGCACACCCAGGAGGTGTGCGGCTGCAGTAAGATCCAATAGTGACCTGGTTTCGTTAAAATAACGCGTGTATATAGGTAGGTATGAAGCGAGTGGGCTCGATCAACGAATGCGCAGATTAGATGATGCGAATGGAGGATAATTGATGTCTGGCAAAGACAAGATGCAGTGGTCACGGACTTTGATTAGTCTCCAAAAACAAAGTGGAAGGACCACATCACAGCACCTCCTGCTTCATAGTTGGATGTCATCAAATTGGCAATCGGTCCGTCATCTTGATACAATAACTGATCTATTTGCGCGTAATGTTTACCAAGCAACTGACGTATGCTGTTGAGACGAGCGAAAAGCGACAAAATTATACGTATACTTGTTCAATTATACCACACCCAAACAAGCGCCGTATCCATACACCCCCATTCACCAAATAACCTCATTAGACATTACTTCCTCCATTGTCTCGCCAGACATTATCTTCCCCTATACCAAGTGAGCTGTCAACGCCCTGTAAAACAGGTCGTTCACCTTCCTCGGTCGTCTGGGTATCATCTGTGGGGATTGGCGGAGGTGGCTCGTCGTAGATCCACGGCTGTGGAAGCCTGCAAAATGGTCAGCCAATTAAATAAGTATATAGCAATCCGGATATAACTTACGGGACAATAAGGCTAGGGTTAACAAATTGTAACCCTTTTTCCTTGTACTCATCAAGTGTACTCCCCCTACGAAGAATGGTTTGGGAAGGCCTTTGTACTTCCTCGTCTTGGAAAGCATCATCCAATGCAGCTGCATCATCCGGATCCTGGTCTACTCTGACGGCGCGGAGAGCAATGTATTTGGTCAAAGGTTCGAAACGTCGCTTGATATAATAGGTGTACCAAATGGTGAATGGAATCAGCGGCAGAACGCAAACCGACTGGATGAATGCCTTCCATGCGGCGATTCGGCCCACCATGACAACCTGAAACACAATCAACCCGACGATAACGCGATAGCATATTATCCTCCACGCACCCCCGGTAGCATGTTGAGGTTGGTCCATAGCATACAACAACATGTACTTAAAGGCAAAGTGGCCTAGGCAAAAGTAAATTATTCCCATGATAAGAATGATGAAGCCGGAGTGCAGAACGCTGTAGATGATGCATAGGTTGAAAACGAGCAGAGAAGTAGGGAGATAGAAGCCGTACTGAAAAACCGGTGGCTTTTTGAGCTCAAGATAGTCGCGTGGTGTTTTGGCTAGCCACCTATAAATCGGGTTGAGGAAGACGCTTCCTGCCTCAAGAATTCGGAAGGGCATAAGGCCAATGCCCTGCAACATGATGAAGCAAATGTAGAAGAGTGATAGCTTCTCCACATCGTCCGCGATGGCTTGAGGAATCTTGCTTGTGTCCTTAACTAGACCCTGCAACTCTGTGAAGAATTTAAAACCGGTCAAGGAGACTGCGAAGACAAAGAAGGTATTGAAAAAGGTGAAGAAGTAGTTCTTGGAGATGACAGAGAGCTCCACATCGCCCTGCGAAATCATTCCTTGGTGATTGGAGAGGAAGTCGTACAGATAAGGAACAGCAACGTTGAGAAGCGAGACAACTAGGGCAGGCAACCCGTTTTGAACCAGAGAAAAGATGATTGTGTGTTCTTTCAGCCACGCACCGAACTGAGGGGCCGCCTTTTCGATTGTGCAGATACTTAACAAACTGGCCAGGAAAGCAGTAGGAGAGATGAAAACGAGAGTGAGGACGACAATGAACAGCGTCACGACCCAGGATTTGAGACGACGAATACCACGAGGCGCGTACGTGTTCCTCCAAACAAGGTCCGACGGGGCTGGAGTCAACTTGGTCAACAGTCGGCCTGGTCTGGGGTCGATGCGCGCCTGAATGGCCATCTGACACGCGGCAACCGAGTCCATGGTGACGATTGCCATATCTGTGGGTTTGTACGGTTTTTTGCGAGCCTCAGTAACCTTAGAGTCCAACACTCGAAGTCTTTCCTCATAGTAGTCGATAGCGTCCACATTGCGAGATCGTAAGCCGAGAGCACCGTAACGTATGTTGACTTTAGGCCTCCCTTCGTCTCCCGAGTCCCAAGGCTCTTGTTCCGAGTCCAGAAGGCGTCCATTTTCTCCAGATTGCTCATCATCTTCTTGGTCTTGATGCCTGCCTCGAGATAGCACGTTGTTACGTCTTCTTTGGTTTCCATTGTCCTTCCTCTTCTGGCGTTGGTGATTAAGGAAGGTAGCCCAAGCACCCTCAAGTCCTCTCAAAGTAGCGTCTCGTGCCGCCATTAGATCATCAAGTTGCTTCCATTCCCGACAGAGCACAACCTTGTCGACATTCCCAATCTCAAGTTTCTCGATGAGGTTCTTGATTGCTTCTTCCGATCTCATGTCTTCGGGAATGCCTGTAAGCCGGAACGTCCTGTCTGTGACGGTTGACTGTGAGCCGAGATAATCCTGGCGAAATTTGATGACGCGGAATGTCTCTAAGTTAAGGTAGTAGATTGTCAACCCGGTAAAGAAGTAAGTGAAGGTAACATATGCCCACAGCCAATGTAGTTTCCAGCTCTTGTCTTCTGTGTCCTCCTTATCTTTGAGCGTGCTGAGAAAGTTGGAATCTGGGAATGAGCCCGGGCCTGGTTCGTAGAACAAACTGGAGTTGGTGTTGTTGCGGTCGCCTCCAAGCACCGTGTGCTCAATATCATAGACAGTATTGATCGGCAACAATATAACCGTCGCGAAAAACACCATGACAGTAAGGAGACGTATCGCCATCTTGAAGAAGCTCAGGAACTATGGCTAGTCAGTACTCGCACAGTCGAAGAGTTATTTTGGACTGTACCACAAAGGCATCGAGACCAGCAGAAGCCAAGATTTGCTCCTCGGTGATGTTATAGACCTTGGGGATCCATCCAAATGTAGAGTCCGGCAGAGATGGTAGACCGAGCTGATGATCGAGGCGACGTTTTCGGGCGGCATAAAGGGACGGCCATCTTGGGCGAAGGAACTGAAGATATGTTAACTTTGTACCATGCAACGCAACTCAATGGACAAAGACGTTGAGGAAGACTTGTGCGATGATGTAAAGGACAAACGTACACAAAAGAGGAAGAAGGCCGAAATACCAATCACCAAGGACAGCACGAGCTGGACCTCGAGGTTCTTGCTGGTGTTGGGGCTGATGTTGCTTTCGCCATCTTGCGAGCAGTTGCTCGGCTTCATCATCTTTGTGACTGACAGTGATGATAACTCGCAGCAACAGATGGTAGTGGAGTTGATGCGCTGATGCAAGGCTGAGGCCGTTCAGGTTGCTTGGATGTGGCGCCTGACGAGTAAGAACCGATGACGTACGGATACGGAGACGGTGAAGCAAGACCCACACAAGCTCTCGCTTTCGCTTAGCGCTGAAACGCTGACTGATGCAGCTTTATGAAGATTACCCTGTATCCGTACGATGCATACCAATTAATATCCATTTCTATTCTCCCTTGCTTCAGCCCTTGACTTCAGAAATTCAGCAATGGCTCGTCCAGGTCTCATGCGGGGAGGCGTATCGATTTGAGGGTGAGTCGGCCCTGGTGCTGCTGCCTCTGTGGTTGTTGCTGCTGCTGGTAATCGGGCTGCTGCTGAGGAGGTACATAATTGTCTGTTTTGATCCAAATGCTGATGCTCCCCCTTCAACTGGGTTTGTGAAGCATTTGCCTTTGCGATGGACCATGGAACGAATTCGCGATATTGAGGATGAACTCTGGCATGGTTGAAAAATGGCCATGCACGATACCTGTACACCTCCGCATTATTAATGGGAATAGTATAATATGACCCATGGTAGGATATGATTTCTTGGAACAAACCAGGAGTGTCCTCTTCGCCTATCCTCCGTATAGCAAAATTGCGGGAGAGTCCCTTGTGAACTTCATCACAACAGCCTGGACGTGCGATATTGCTTGCAAAAGCCTTGATACATTCGCTCAGTCCAAGATAGTCCAGACGTGCCTCTGTGGCGATGATGAGCCTTGTGATAAGGTCAAAGCCAAAGTTCGGGAACCTCGTCATGATACACAGCCAATCCCCCATTTGCCGATCATCTTCATTTGTCCATGCTCGAGCAAGGTGCACCATCTGGAAGGGCACTTCGGACCTGGTTGGCAGTGGATCATGAGGCAAGACGGCATCTGGGAGCTTATCTTCAGGCCACTGGACAAAGAAAGCACGGTAAAGGGATGAACTGTATACTCGAACGCAAAAGAGGGCCTCAGTCTCCCATGTGTTGAGCAACTTGCCTCTGCGTCGTTCAAGCTCAAGCGGTGGTATATAAAACCGGTCCACTACCGATTTATAGAGTCGTATCTTGCTCGTCAACTCATACCGCAAAAAAGCCCAGAAAAGGCGCCTTTTCCCGGAGTGGCCCAACGTCCCGAGGTCAAAGTCCTTTTCAAGTCCTTGGCTGTTGGTGGAATTTTCGCCCGGGGCAAAATTAGGAAGGCTAGAGTATGCTGGTAGGACAGAACGCGATGTCGCCTTATTGATGTAGTCCTGAGCATACATAAGCATGCGCTGATGAAGCTCATAAATGCTGTAGATGAGGCATTGACTACCCTGCTCCGCTTTGAGGACTGGATCATGAATTGTCTTCCTGGCCCAGTTATTCATCAAAATGGGCACTTCGTACTTCCACTGTTCCATGTCGTCCAGACCTGAAAAGCCAATTTCAGGAAACTGTACGATAGCCAAGGCGTCTTGCCTCATCTCGCCATCAAAATCGGCTATGATGATATATCGGGCGTCCATTCGGCCGTAGAGTTGGCCTCCGACTTCGCCATAGCCGTTAGTATCGGCGTTGTTACTGCTTCTGTTGCCGTGGGACATGGTAGAACTGAATCCAGAATTGCCTTGTTGGTAATTATGGTTGGGGCCCGTTTCTCCATCCGTTGTTGGCTGAACACCAGATTCATCCTCAGAAATAGACCTGCCTGGATAAATGGAGAATTTGCCAGAGGTACCAGTTGATGAAAGCTTTGTCATTGTGTCTTTTTGACATGTAGACTTGTGTAAAGTAGGATCCGACAAGAGAGATATCAGCTAGGTACATTCCTGAAATAGAGAATCTCTCAACAAGAAGGGAGACATTTTAGCTAGTTATATACCTGAAATAAGAAAATCACTCAAAGAAGGAGGCAGATTTGGTTGTGGTAATGAAAGTTTGATGGAGAGTTTGAGGTTATATACCCCGGATAACTCGCCGGTAACTCGACGGAGTGCAAACCATGGTTGTATATTTTCGGCAAATGAAGAGTTTAACTTCTCCTTCTAAAGAATTTCGTAAAACCTAGTACGGACCAACGGAGTACCAGAAGTTGCTTATGTCGAATCGTTTGACTATGATGCTCTACCCCTTTTCAGCACCATGTCCCAACAGTACAAATCGCACATCCACTGTATCTTGCGCAAAGAGGCAGAAATTGAACCACATAAGATGATATATTTAACCTTTGACTTCGATACACTGTGATGATGAAAGTGACCACGAGCAAACTCAAGATGTTCGCGAGGGCAGCTTTCACACGCAGAAAAGTATCACGTCTGATGCTTCAAATAAAGGTTTGATCCCCATAACTGAGGATTTCTACTGTATCAGCCCAAGAAAATTGGCCGCTTCTTATTGGAACCCATCAAGCTCTAGCTTATACCATCACTGGAGCGTTTGTAAATGCCCTCAACCTAACGGTGGCAAATACATTTGCGAGTTCGCCCACCACACTCAGAATGTTGCCTGAGTAACACCTGAACTATACTCTACGATATCTAGGAGGAATATTTTGCCGGGAGGCTTGATTGCGTTGACATACTTTGTGTGATTCTATTCGGGTACCAAATTGATTGAGGAGGCTTGGGAACTAATGATGCAACACAGCACGCTGTGCCTTTGGAGCAGGACCAGACTCGGAAGATATGAGGAGGCAGATATAGTGGGAAAGTTTGACAGAACGGCTTTAGACCTTCTCAGCCCAGACAAGTAAAGTTGAGATAATTTGGGGGCTCTATAGTGCCATTCTTATACCCAAGCAATAATCCTTGGAATGGTCTCGTGTGAAGACTGATCTACACCAGGTGTCATGATGATGGAATATCATCATGTTTCCCCTAACCGCCTTACAGAGCTCCCCCTCTACGTTAAAATTGCCGTTAATGAACCCATCCCACTAGCACTATCTACAGACGTGAGAAACTAAGTTGTAAATGTTGACATCGCTGAGCTCCGAAGGTTGGATAACTTTTTATTATTAATCAAAGATAATCAGAACATCTGGAAAGGCGAACCTACAATCGATGCTGCCGCTTAAATTCAAACTGTCTTGGTGTCCCCTTTCCTCCATGTCAGCTCAAACAATATATCACCGTACACCCATCGAGAGTTCCATTCAGAGCAAGGATATATATACGAAAGGAAAGGGCATGGGCCGAGCTGCAACTACCTTGACAGAAACTCCTGTGTTTCACATCCTTCCATGTGGATTCTCGATTCTGCACAGGGAAAGAGAGCCTCCTCTCACCAACGCAGCCCGACCTTTTGCATTCTCGGTGGCCCCGAGTTCTCCCTCTCATCACTTCCATCAGTTCCATGTCATTTCCCCGACAAAGCTTTGGTGTTAAGCTTCTCAATTGCATACCTAACCTGGGTTTACTAAATCAAGTTGGGTAGAAGTTATGAACGTCGACAGGAAAATGCAGAGCACAAGACGCAAAAACCATGACCAAGAAGTGATACACACAAAGGATGCGAGACACCAACATTCAAGACCCTTGTTTCAGAAGATCTTATCTAATCTTGATGATCACCCGTCGGTGGCCAAACACAGCACCACTAGCAGACTACACCCTTGGCAGCCGCCAGGGCTGAAGTGTCTCTGACGCGACTAGAGTTTGGGAGTTTGCCAAGTTTTACTTTGTCGAATTTGATGTTGTTGGCATGATCCTCACTATTGTAGGCTTCTCCCTGATCCTGACTCCGCTAAACATAGCTACTCGTGCTCCCAATGGCCGGAAGACTGATTACATCATTGTCATGATTGTTGTTGGTGTCGTCTACTTAGCTGGAATTGCCGCTTGGGAGAAGTGGTATGCCAAGGTTCCTTATGTATCATACCATCTTGTGTGGTAGCCTTCTCAGCGTCTTCCTCAGCATGTCTATTTTCGTCTGGGATACCTATTACAATTCATACCTCCAGGTTGTCCACTGTCTCAGTATTGCGACTGCTGGATACATTCTTAACGCTTCTCTGTGACCTCGACTATTTTGGCGCCCTTCATCGGACTGTGAGTTTCCTAATTATGATATATGATTCTGAGCGCTTTTTAACCTGTTGTTTGGTTTCCTCCGCTGGTACGGCCGATACCACTGGCCTACCGTCTTTTGCATCCCCTGGTGTGTGCTTGGCACTGCTCTTCTCTTCCACTTCCGATAGCCTGGCAATGATATCGGCTATCTCGTCATGTGCCAGGTTTTCCATGGTATTTGCGGAGGCATCTGGGCCATGACTGGGCCTCTAACCATCATGACGCAGGTCACTCACCGGAGATCGCTGTTGTTATTGCCCTCTATTCAATATTCGGCTCCATCGGTCAAGCCATCGGCTTCGGGATCTCTGGTGCTCTCTGGACCAACGACCTACCGACAGAGATGTTCAAAGCTCTTCCCCAGGACGCCAAGAGTCAAACTGCATCTCTTTACGGTGACATGAAGCTCCAAATGGCGGACCCCATTGGTATGACCATCCGAGATGCGGTTATCCACGCCTATGGAGTTGTTCAGCGAGAGGGTTAGGTTGTGCTTTCTTGCCCCTGATCTGCATCTGTGTTCTTATCTGGCGCAATAAGCTCATCGATAGGCAACAGACCAAGGGAAAAGTCTTCTAAACGGTGGCATATCATCATTCGAGACTTATCAGGAAACATTGACGACTTGACGGTCACCACTTACTAACCAAAAGGTACTTTATTAAAATGCCATCTCTTGATTATTTTAGACTTTGGTATTCACCGTTGGCCACTTCGGACAGTTTCCTTGTTGAGTGAGGACTATGAGAATCGAGTGTGAGAGAGTCAGTCATGTCACGCTCAATCATTCCTTTGTCCCTCCCAACAAATCAATCGCTTTCCAAGGTATTGTTTCAATAGCCTTGCTTTAAATGCAAACTAAACCGTGCATCTGTATTAAGCCGCACAAATCGGGAGCGCATGATCGCGGCACATCTCGAGCCGGTCTATTGGTATTCATACCAAAGCAATGCATAGTGAGTGATTCACGGCAACACGCATGTGAAAACGGATACTCACATCATACGCTTATCTCGTGAGCTTGCTGTGGTATTTGCTGCCATCTTATAGGCTCGTATGTTGCTGGTGTAACACTCAGATTCCTAGCCCAGCTGAATAATCTGGCCATAATGCTGTTTTACTACTATACAAACATGGTGTTTGAATGCTTGATGTCCCTCGATCGACCTGCAGGCTTGATTTAACCTGGAAGCATCCGCACATACACAAGATAAATGAATCCTTCGCTTCGTGAAAGCTTTCGTGCACAATGACAAATCTGCTTGAGCTTGTGGCGTTGTCGGCTGTGAATGGCACATGGTGTATTAGAAATCGGATTTGAGTCGGTAGCATGCATTGAGACGACGGAAAGCCGCATATCGATATACCACGGGATCTCGAGTCTGAGCAGGCTTGGCAGGTAAGCTGGCAAATATTACGTCTTTGATATTTTGTTGTTTCTGAGTGTGTTTTTGAAGTGGGCAAAGAGAAGTTGTTAGCAGGACATACTGCTACCATGGAAATAACAGTAGGCGACCGGTTGCAGGTCGATAGTGGCAAGCTCCAGGACCTGACAGTGTAGTCAAGTGATATATATGAACAATACCTAGATGCAGTCACCAGGTAAATATCTTCTTCACATGATATATGGCCACCTATTCACCTCCAGTAGATACCTAGCGCAGTGCCATCTTTTGATCTAACATCAAACACTTGACAAGAGAAGCAAATGTGTGTGAATGGGAAGATATCATGTTGACCGCAACTGGATGTGCTTGCAGTAGTGTGTAGACACTAGCTTGTCCCTTAAGTATGATTGCTGGATGATTCACTGACGATATAACTCCAACCCTGATCCTAGAGGTGTAACCAGTGACTATACTTTGCGGTCTGGCAAAGAGCCAACAAACAAAGTATTGAGTTGTCTGCTTCACTACTGGATCTATGGTGTGGTTATACTTGGCTAGTCTGTGAATCATAGAATAATCGCAGTAGCTGCAGAGATAGACCAGCCAAACCATCTCACGCTGTTGAGCTATAAATTGTAGACTCCCTCTTCTTTCTGAGATAGCTTCTCATCTCAACCACAGACATTGATCCATCCGGATAGTACCAACACTACTTCTCGCTCACACATCTTTCTAAATAACTACTTCGTCATCGAGAGTTCATTGCTACTACAGAGCATCTACACCATGCCTGGTCGGAAGTCTAGCTCTGGGTCTGAAGGGAAGCCTCCTGGCTCCAAGCCTGACCCAAAGGCTTCCAGCTCCAAGCCCGATCCGAAGTCTGGCTCTCAACCCAAGGGCTCACCGGACAAGAAGGGGAAGGGTCCAATGCCAAAGTCGGCACAGGATGAACCGTCCAAGGAGAATCGGCCATCGCGGGCTGGGGAGCCAAGCACCCATACGCAGCCACCAGCAAGTGAGAGAAACACCACTCAAGCAATGCCAGGTCAATCGTCCGGTAAGGAGCGATATGGTGAAGAGCATTCCCGAGCTGGCCCTTGGAATAGCCAAGGTGTAACATATGGCGAAAGCCGTAAGGAAGTGGCCCCTGGGGAAAGCACCTCAGATTACCCGCAACACCTGGACGATGCAGACACTGCGGATGATCAAGTAGAAGAAAAAGAAGAACCAGACGAACCAGACGAACTTGAGAAGTCCTAAGCAGGGGAGGATAGAGAGGATCTACATATCGATCATAGACCGGGCGAGGTGTCATGTTGAAGCCATTGTCGGAATCCAGGATCAAGTGGATTTTCAGGTAGTGATATTTAGGGTCTCATGGCGTGATATTCTTTCCCAAGTCTAGAATTGGAGAAGGACAGATTTGTTCAGGAGATGTATCAAATGTTGAGGATATCAGATCGCAGATCAAGACCTAGATCAGGAGATAGATATTAAACTGAGACATCTACTTTGCTTTGCCCACCACCTTTTGAGAATCGCCCGTTCGCCAAGGAACACTTGTTCATGACTTTGATGTTTTACTTGTAGAGTGAACGTCTGGGAATGGCCAGGTGTAGCGGTCAAGGCAAGTATACAGCATTTTCAGAAACAGTGGTATGTGATGAAATGAGGTTGTGAATATGTTGTAGACGTTAAGGCTTGGAAAGGCTTGATGTGTAAGCCAGCTGCCGTCGATGTTACTGTAGTCTGTTCCGTACGGTGCAGCGAATTAGCTATTATAGGTAGCCAAAGAAAAAAAGGTTCACGGTATAACCGGGAGTTACGTAGTGCCTAATTCCGGCAGTAGTATCATGGATATTATCCTGGGTGGTCTAAGTTACCTAGTCTTTCTCCAAGTTGATCCGTGTGTTGTACTAAATTATTATGGTAGAAGTTGTCGTCATGGCTGTCAATAGCACTTGCATTAACCGCCAAGCATCAAAGCAACAAGAACTGAGGGAGGAATTTCCTCGTATTTGGGGATTTAAGGTTGTATTACTGCGTCGCCTCATGATACAGTAAGCAATACCAAATATCCAAATACAGCTGAGATGTGATCTCTTGGCAGGGGATGGATTTGCCGTAGATAGTAGAGCCGATTGACCTGCCGTTCCTGATAAAGGGTTCTATTTATTCATCAACATTTTCTTTGTTGAACTTCAAGCATGACGAGAACAGTAATAAAAGGCCCATGTCGGAAATTGCAATGACGGAGAATCCCGATTTCCAACCAATAGAAACCTTTCTAAAAGTGGGGAGAGACTATTTCAGGCACGCAACTCCGCTGAGTGGCCTGGTCTGGGCACCGGCTATTTTCTCTCTCTCTTCCCCAGGGCTTCTACCGCTGTAAACAGCCGCTGGCGTGACTTGACTTGCACTTGGGGCAGCAGTTCATGATCGGACCAGCGAGTTCCCATGTATCCTTGTGTATAGATATGGGTTAAAGAACTGCAAGACGGTAATTGTAATGTCTTTGTGCGAGGTTACACAACAAACAGGGTAACTAATCTCTACTTTAACGGAGAAAGTTACGTGATGAAAGGTGAGTGATTAATTACAGTGATACAGGACCCTTCCACCCTATGAGGGTCAGACTGTTATGCTGAAACTGAGACGTTCTCAGACAAGGGACGAAGGTAATCAAAACAAAAGAAGAAACAGACAAAAAAAAATACATAAAAAGGGGCCATAGTTCACTTATTATGCATGATGATCTTTTCTGCAGGTAATCGTGATAAACAAGTTGACAATGCTTGAAATGTTCCAAGAGGCCAAGAAACTCTAGTCTAGCCCACGCGCCAAGTCCAGGCCATCTTTTGAGTCTTGACCGCGTGACACCAATCGACACGAGATGGCTACAAGGGTTTCAAGTACCGATAGTGCCTGAAGCCCCAGTCCGGTCTCTCCGTAAATACTTGCATCGCATGTCCCTCTCCCGCTCTCGTACCAGCAGACCGGGCTGGGCGGCTGCTCAGTGCTCACTGGCGAGTTAATCATCCAGTGAAGATGCCAGGGCCGATTGGAACTGACGCGGCAAAGTGTTGTTTTTGTACTTTGGTGGTTCCCTCTTTTTAGTGAAGGTTGTCAGTCAATAAACATCATCATATCCCAGCAACGGACCTTCATTTCTTGTGCATTCCCCCCGCTGCAGTCATGTCAATTTCCCTACAATTCCTGTCTTTGCCTTCTAAAAACTGCATCTAAATTCGGTCAACACTCGCCAAGATCCGCGGACCAACCCCTGCTTTCGCTTGGCCCCGACCCTTGCCTTGATGCTTGACCTGCCCAAAAAAGTGACCTAACGTCGCCGACTCTGCCGCTTACAGTGACTGTAATACAGTGACTGAGTGACCCAATTTTCCCCCGGCTGCAGTATCACTCGTTCTCACTCTTTCTTTGTCCACCCACTCTTTTTTTTCCTCTCTCTTTATCCGTACCAGCCCAGCCATTCCAAACATTTGATTTATCTCACCGTTGCATATCGACTTTTGGGATCTTTCATCACCAAAAAAACGAACAGTCGCTAACGGGGTCATCTGATCTCGCTGCTCTTTTCCTCTCTTCTCCCAAGAACACAACAAAAGAGAGGTTGGTTGGGCTTGGCTGTTTACTTGCCTCTACCTAGAGTGGCTTGGGTGACGACACGACTCTCCAATAGCGCATTGCACAAACGCAAGCCAGCCTTGGCCTTTTTCTGCTCTACAAGATACAAGATACAAGACACAAGAAGTTTTTGTCCTTAGGCTGTCTGTCTTTGTCTCGCCTCCCTCCCTACAAGTACAGTACATACATTAGTACCTAGTACCGTTACTGTTACCTCTCTCTCAACTTTAATTCTCCATCCCGTCCATACCTATACAAAGGACGCTGCGGCCCCCCTGGTTTCGTTCTACCGTTCCACCGACACAACCTTAACGTCGTCCGTCTCTCGTTATTGTCTCCCATCTTCTGGCCCTCACGATCCGACCTCGTCGCTCGTTTTAATCCTTCGAATCCTCCCGACTCTTCGACTTGTTCACACCTGGTCTCACTAATAATACTTCATCGTCAAAATGGGTGCGTCATCCTTCGCGAAGGCCTTATCCAGCCTGATCTTACATCCCTACCGAATCCCCTCATACTAACGTACTCCATATTCAGTCGCCCAAGGAGAAGCTCAGGCCGATGCGCCCGTCACCACCATCGTCCCCTTCAACAACCAGAAGGTTCTTCCCTCTTGCGCCGCCGCCTGCGGTCCCCTCTACGATGCCAACGGTGCTTGTGTCCCGCCCCAAGTAGCCGCTGACGCCGGCCCGACCGCCTATACCCAATGTTTCTGTCTCGACCAGCGAGTCGCCGCTTTCTCAACCGCCACCACGGGTGTATGCGACGATGCCTGTACCAACGACCCAAAGGGCCTTTCTTCAATCGCTGGCTGGTTCCGCAGCATGTGTAGCGTCACGAACGGTGGAAACCAAGGAACGACGAGAAAAACTGGTCAGCAAGGCTCATCGACGACGACAGGCGACGGTTCAGCATCAACAGGCGGCAGCACTGCTGGGGCTAACAACGGAGGTGGTGGTGATTGGTATGTTGACAGCTAATCATCAAAAGTACCATGAACCATTCTAACATGAACTAGGATTTCCAACCACTGGCAGTGGGTTATTATGATTGTTGTTCTCGTTGTCGGTATCGCCGCCATCTGGATTGGAGCCTGTATCTGGCGCCGCCGCTACCTCCGCAAGAAGGACCGCCAGACTTCCCTTGGTCAAAGGCACTCCGGATCCGCCAAGCGACCATCCTGGGGTCCCGGCATGGAGGCTTCTGAGGGTGGTATTCCCTATGACACCTACGACGAGTCAAACCGAGGCTCAAACGGAATCATGCTACCGGGCGCCGCCGCTGCTGGTGCTCCCGTTGAGGAGAAGCCCAAGGAGAAGAAGCGATGGATCGTCCGCGACCGAACATGATACCTTGTTCGATCCACTTAACGCCACATCTCGATATTATAACGATTCTCCTTGCCATGTCCGAATTCCGAAAAGAAATCCGACCTTCTGTCCGCTTCACGATATAAACCGCGCATTTACCATCTACACGGCCTTGCTCAGTTCGATAACATCGACCTATGATTTTTAGTTGAGGGGATCATACCCAGCACTTGACAAGAGGAGGATAACAAACGCGCCAGGTGCCAATCAAGGATACACGCATATGCTTGGGTTCTCACAACATGGGTGAAAAACACCATTTTGCGATATCCCTATTGGTGTCTGCCACGCGTTTATTGGCTTTCTTGTTGTGCTGTTTCCTCCGATGGCGTTTTTGTCTTTATTTTCCCGGGTATAATCTGGCGTTGGGATGAAGAGGGTGGGCGCATCCTCCTGGATCTGTTTATGTTTCTGCTTTGGGTTGCCTGTCACTGCAGGGCGAACGTTGCGTGCATTCCGTACATGAGTGGAATGCAACGTTGAGCACCACAGCGATGGGGAGAAAACGAAACATCTATTTGTTTTATTTACACCAGAACACAAATACTCTCTGGTTATCGATTTGGGTTTTTTATTATTGCAACCTCCAGGGCAAACAAAGGAGGAACGGAGTCTATTCTCGATACAAACATAAGAAATCCACCATATGCGAAATGTTCAACTCGCAATTACTTCAATCTCTAAAACCACAAGCTGTGATTCCTTCTATGTGACTATTTGACAAATCACAATTACATATACTGTAGCAAACTGGGTCACTCAAGTTTCAGTCTTCAACGTGTAGTCTTCAACGTGTAGTCTTCAACGTGTAGTCTTCAACGTGTAGTCACAACGCTTAAAGATGCTCAATATTAATCTAATCAGGAGAAAGCTTATAGTAGTTCATGAGTGGTGTCGTACGTGATACAGGCCCATGCCCAAGTCCCAGGTCCCATCATCCTATCCTTCTCTTTTCCACATCTACGCTCCATTCTGTTCCTCCATGGCGTCCATGTACAAGTCGATAAGACATCCGGCCGACCAAGCTTGTGTGGGACTCTGTAATATCGTTAGCGTGCAATTCAGTCTTTCATATAATGGACAGTTACTTACCGAATCAGCGCAGTATTCGCCGTTCTTTTGTGTCAGCTCTTGCAGACCAGCCCATGGGCTCTGCTGTATCATGTTCTTGCATCCGCTAAGTCTTCGAGTAACCTGCTGGAAAGCCTCGGTGCGACCCTCAGCTGTTGTTCGCCTCTTCAGGTCGAACTTGAGCAGGGCTCGGAGGAAGAAGCCAGTAGGCCATATCCACTCAGGTCCCTGATGGTAGTTGCGTCCCTTACTTGTTGAGAAGTCATCACTATCTTCGCTGTTGACGTAGTAGGGGCGGTAGTTCAAATCCGCAGGGTCCAGAGTAGCCATGCCCTGGGGTCCTCGAAGAGCCTTATCGGCAACACACAGCGCATGCATCGCATGATCCGGATCAAACAGACCCGGTGCGGTAGTCATGGCGATGGCAAAGTTGGGGCGCAGCTGGTAGTCCTCGTACTCCTTTCCAGACTTGTACAGATCCTTGTAGATGCCTCGACGGTTGATGATCGGGGTGTTGACGTCGTACTTGGAATCGTCCTCTGGCGAGACAGGGACGTAGTAACAGCGCTCGAAGTTGGCCTTGAGCAGGCTGGCCCAGTCAGCCAGCGAGATAGAGCCACCATCAGATTTGTCCACGCCGGCATAGGCGTATTTGCCCTTTTGGTTGAGTCCAGCAAGCCAATCCAGAGTACTGTACAGCATACCAGTAATCTCGATAGCAGCACCATCACGAGGAGTTCCAGGGACACCCTTGGAGCCTGCCCGCTCACTCTCGCCCATCTTGTCCATCCATGTGCCACAGTTGAACTGGTTGCCGCCAAAGATGATACCGTTGTTCCAGTCAACCTTGATCTCCTGGTTGAAGCCTTCATCCTTCATCTGGGAATCGATTTGGGGGCCGGCATTTGCTTCCCTGTACTTCATCCCCGAAGCATGTCTTTGGAGGGCTTCTTGGATCACCTCCTCAATTGTGCTCTCCTTTGAGTAAGCTCTCTCATCATCAGTGGGGAACCATGTGTCATCATAAGGTAGGAAACGACGCTTGACCTTGGCCTTCAGGATGTCAAGACCTTCAGGGGCGAATCGGGTATAGTCTTGAATACACTGGAGGAAGAACCAGATAGAGTCTCGAGAATTGTATCTGGGCGCATCACCACTGCTGAGAAGGTTGGGGATCATGCCATGCTTCAACACGCTGGCAAATGCAAGGATATGCTCCTTGGCATCACCGAAACGGCCAGTGCCAATGAGAAGTCCTCGAAGGGCGATGAATACATCTCGGCCCCAGCATCTCGCCCACTCTACAGCAAAGTGAGGAAGGCCGGCAGCCAGAGAAGGAACTAGCTTGTTTGGCCACAGAGATGCTGACTTCACATAGCCAACCTGTTGGACGCTGACCATGGCTAAGCTTTGCAAGAACCATTGACCGTCTCGCACATTGGTGTTCATGAGCTCAAGTGACTTTTCCCAACTCGCCATGTAAGCAGTACGTAGTACGAGGCCGAAATACCGGGGGAGGAGGAAACTGGGGATCTTTCGAATAGCATCAAATCGCTCTTCTAGCCATCTCAAAGGTTGCGCAAGCGCTTCATTTCCTGGGGTGGCGCTGATTCTTTCAAGTCTGGCCAAGATGAAGTCAAGGGCCCATTCTCCATCTCGAAGGTTCTGGCACAATGGGTGAGCCAAGTTGTTGTCCTTGATGATGTACTTGAAGAGGCTCCACCATCCCTGGAGGCCAGCATAAACAAGCTTGCCATGGCCAGGAATATCGTATACACCATCTCGACCATCGCTCTCGGCTCGTTCTTCGGCTTCACATCTGTACATCAAGAAGTTGAGGTCAGACAAACTGAGTTCGCTCCATGCTTCCTTGGCTCCCGATGTAACATAGTTGTCCAGGCCAGACGAGTGCTCGGCCGCGGGGATCCAGGTCTCAAAGAGAGCGATGCTTCCTGGGGGGAATTTATCACGTACGGTGATTGTAGTGTCGTCACCGTTGATTTCCATTCGGATGCCAGGTACATCCTTAACCCGGCTAGGCAATCCACGTAGGTGCTTCTTGTCACCGAGGACTTGTTGTGTCGCCTCCTCGCTAGCATCGACTTCGAGCATCCAGCTGCCGAGGTGTCGGGCCTTGGTACCAGACAGTTGAACAGGGCTGAAGTCACCGTTTCCGTTGCCGTAACCTGGGAAGGCAGTGTGTGCAATGAGGAAGTAACCCTTGCGAGATTCGGGGTGCACTCTGTGGACGGTGATATACTGATCTTCATGATGAATATGAGTCTCATCGTATCCATCTTTGCCCATTAAGGTGTGGATCTGGTTGAGCAGCTTCTTGACGCCACCAATTCCGTCCTCGCCGCCTCCTATCTTAATCGGCTTTGATCCGGAAGAGGCAGATGTGTAGAGTCTAGTCTCGTTCACAAGGTCCACAAGCTTGGGGTAGATTTCATCGTAACCCATAACACTTCCAGTAGCGCTTGAGCACATGCAGACAAGAGCAGCGTTAGGTAGAGTGTCGCGAGCGTCACGCTTTTGTGCAGGTGTCTCGTTATCGTGGGTGCAATCCATGAACAAGGCATGTACAGGGCTTGGCTTAATCGTTCGAATGATTTCTCTTGAACGAGAACCAGTTCCGTTCGTGTCGTCGCTCTTGGCTGTGGTTGGGCTACCCGATGGAGTACGGGTGTCCGACTTGGAAACCTCATCAACCTCAAAGCTTCCAATAGGTCGTCCACCATGCTTATGAACCAGCCGACTGAGCTCGCCCGTGCTCCATGCCTGCATGGCTTCACGGATTAGAGAGCTGAGGCCAAGTCTCTTCACAAACACGTAGTCCATCTCTTCTGAGCCTGTGAACAATTCAGCTACCACATACAGGTCAGGTCGCACCCGGCGCGCCTCATCGAGGATGTGTTCGGCAACATGAATTGGGGTAGAGTGACAGTTGTCGATACGAAGACCAGCAAAGTACTTGGCCAGAGTACGAGCATACTTAGTCATGTGCTCCCACAACCAAGGGTTATCCTCAGGGCCTGAACCGTATCGTAGTTTGACACAATCGCCCCAGACAATGACCTCTCGACGAAGGTAGACCCTTGAATCAGGACCTGCATTGTCAACTAGTGCATTGCCACCCCAAACCCATCCGTTGTTGGCCAAGGCCATCTCTTCGGGCTTGAGCTTGGACGTTGTGTCGTTACTGGGAAGTCGAGTGAAGTAAGACTCGATCAAGGGGTTTTCTGCGTTGATCTCGCCAAGCTTGGGACCATGTTCATCGATTCGGACATACTTTATTCTGTTGAAGATTTGCTGGAGTATGTCATCCACTTCAGCATCGTACTCTTTGTAGCAGTCCACGTTGAGGATGTTCAAAATCTCAGTGATCTTAGTCTTCGCCGCGTTCTCATCAGAAGACCCGACAGTCGATGCCAGAAAGCTTGCAGCGACATCAGGCTTAACTCGCTTGCGAAATCGTTCGCCCATTCTATCGGTTCCTGACAGACCAAACTCCCTGAAAAAGGCAACTTGGCCCTCAACAGGCGCAGCTTTGGCGCTTTCCAACTTTTTCTCGAACTCCGAAGAGTCTTCAGAGTTGTATTTGCTTCCTTTCGAGAAGGCCTTGACAGCCTCTTCGGCATCCCGTTCGACATCGAGCGCATAGTATTCCCAAAGCCTGATCTTGGCAAGAACCTCGGTCTTGATGGCGTCCATGATGAGTAACAAATCATCGTCAGACTTGACGTCGGTAGGTAGGCCAAGCTTCGCCAAGTTTTCACTCAACTCTAGGAGTTTTGTATCGAGTTGGTAAGCGGATTCGAGCCATGGGGCAGTGACCAAGTTGTAACCAGCTTCGGGGTGCTCCTCAAGCCATTTGGTGTTATTCGCCGTGTGGTTTAGGACGATGTCGGTCAAGCTCAAAAGGGAATGATTTTTTTCGAGACTTTCCACCATCTTCTGCACATCATTCTCGCCTTCTGGGAAGCAAGATGAGTCCCAGCCGAGTTGATCATACAAACTGTACGGAGAGTTGGAAATTCCGCGCACTTGAAGAGGGGTGAAATGGATCATATTATAGCCACGATCGCTAATACCATGAAGGTGGCGCTCCCAATCATTGGGGTACTTGCCCATAAACTTGCTAATCACAGAGAAAATCGACAAAGCAGGTAACGGCAAGGGCCGACCATCAAGCTTGAGCCTAGGCGCAACATCGATGTAGTAAAGAGGGGTCTTCTTGAGGTTCTCCTTCTGTTCGGAGCTATCCCTTAACTCCTTCTTGAGCTCAGGGAGCTCGGCGTAGGTAGTGTAGAAAGTATAGGCACCCGGTTGATAGATGGGAATGGAGATTTCGAGGGTACGGTTGAAATCGGGTGTAAGCCTACGGCGCGCCTGTGTTAGTTACTTCAACTTGCGTCTTCTTGTCGCACAGTTTGAAACAGCCCATGCTGCCTCAAGAAGTGGTCAATTGGGTCAAAGAGAGGGCAAAAGGGCTTACTTGAACTCGCGGAAATTGTCACGACGGAAGTCGTCCCCTTGATCAGGAATGTTGACCCAGAGGCTGCCATGGCGGCAGATTGACGAGGTGCCCTCAATGGCAAAACGAACCGTTATAGGGTCGTCAGACCTGGGCGCGAGATAGATGTATTCACCCTGCACCTGAGGCGAGCCATCATCGTTCAGCGGTAACAAATAAACCTCGTTGGATGTCATGGTGTGCGGCGGGCTCATGATGAGAGAAGGAAAGAACGGGAGCTGCGTGCCCCGCGAAACGACAAGACAACAGCTCGGCCAGGCACTGAGACGGTAACCAAGGAAGCGCTCTACAATACGCAATGTGCCTGTCGCAGTGGAGCTCTGATCGATGGCTAACGGCTCGCGTCCACAGTAAGTAAGTTAACTTAGTGGGGTGTTCCGTGGTCAGGGAGCTTGGGGGACGCTGCTTGGGTCGTTTTAGTGGGCTTGTCGTCTCGGTCCAGGGATCTTGGATCTGGGATATCGAGCGGGATCGACAACCTGAGCGAGCGACAGGCGAGAATATTTCCCAGAGATAAGGATAAGGTGATGGTGGGAGGACGAGGGGTGAGGGACCTGAATCAGTCGTCGGAGTAGGCCAGAAGAGGATTAAAAGGAAAAGAAAAAGCAGTCTAGGAATGAATAAAGCTAAAGGTGACAGGATGTTTTTGGAAAGAAGCTGAGGGATGGAGTCTGGGTTGACGAGGTGAAGAATACACACGAGTCGAGGGACAAGAAGAGCAGGAACAGAGGAAGAGGAGCTTGAGTCTCGTCCTTCAATTCAAAAAAAGAGAAAGAAGAAGAAAAAAAAGAAGCAAAAGCAACCCAACACTTTAATCAAGCCATTTCTATGTAACCGAATTTGGACAGCTCAACAGAGTGTCTTGTTTAGTACATACACAGCTTCAGCTTTGGCACAAATCAGCGCCGGTCAGCTTCCCATATCAATCCTGTCTTATCAAAACCACCTAAAATCAACTTCGTACGACCTTGGAGGTTGTCTCTGGCGGTCAAGACGGGGAACCAGGTTGGTTGTCCGGGACGGCCGGGTTGTTTAATTCCAAGATATTTGTTGCTAGCAGCTTCACGAGGGCTGCACTATGCGCACCAAGGCCTGAGGTTTGGCGAATGGCAGCCAACAACAAATCACGCATCGCCAACACAAGAGCAGGAGCAGAGCAATTGGCTTTTGTTAGTCGCGGCAGAGTCGAAGCAAACAAGGTACCAGCCATGATGTTCCTGGCTTAGCCCCAACAAGCTCTTGATGCTCATACAATAGGATACGAGTGTCGTAAGCGGAGAGTTGCTGTGCCTTGAACGGAGTTGGCCTAGCTAAAGCTTTAACCCTTTTCCGAGTCGAAGCACCCAAGCGTCGCAGGGGGGAAGCTTCGCAAAGCATGAAGAGGGAGGGTGAGGGGAAGCTCCCAAGTGCGGCTCTTTTCTTCAGTCTTGAAGAGGAGATTGATTGGCATTCGGATGGATACTTCTAAATGAACGACTGTTGTTTATCTCAGCCACAGAGAGTCTTGTCCTGCAAAGAGCACTCAGCTCTACCGAGTCGAAGCATCGAGACTCGAGAGGACATTCACATGCTTTAAGCTTGGTTCTATACTGTAAAAGCGCATACGTCATTGAAGTGCAATCTAATTTTCCCCATCCCCCAAATCTCCATTCTGCGTGGTATTAGCGCCCCATGTCACCTCAACACTTGGGCGGGGCATCCTTGGAGTCGCTTCCTCTAGGGCAGAGCACGGAGCTCCTACGCCTTGATCGACAGAGGCTGAAAGGTTTTTTATTTTTATTTCTATTTTTTCTGCAATTCTTTCTCTGGAGACGATTCGATCATCGATAGCATTGACCAGCTAGCCCGGTTAGCTAGCCACTTGAACCCAATGGCTCAATGCAAGTGTCGAGTTATGTAGTCGCAGATGCCAATGTCAAGCAATGATCTGATTTATGATAGAGGTTGACTGTAATGCGAGCATCATGATTTATGCCTCCACTGAGTCCATTCGTTTGATGGAACCTTGGAGTTGGAGACCTGGGGTCTAGAACGGCCTGCCTTGTTGATCTTTCCCCATAGTACGGAGGCAGCGCCCAAAAGTTCTTACCTGCCAAGACAGACCCTTACAACAATCCCTATAAGCCCTAGTAAGGTTAGGCTACCCAATTTATATATAGATTTTCCATAAGCGATTTTTTCCCTATTTATTATCACTTCGTCAGTTTAATATACTAATAGATATCGCAACCCAGGCCTTAATAGTGTCATTAAAAGCGCCCGCCAGGGCAGGAAAAATAAGTCTTCAAATTAAAGCTATCACGGGAATCTCTTTATATACAATAAATACTATATACACACAAGCAATAAAGCAAGGCTTCAAGCCTAACGAGATGCCATTACGTCTAACCAATAAATAGCTAAAAAATACACTACACTCAGGAAGACCTACTAAATATACCAAAAAAAATCAGGCCCTAATTATCTTAAAGGTCAGTATAGATTAATATAAAAAGGAAAAGACCATAACTAATATCACTTTTAAGATTAGCAGTTAAGGGACCGCAATATCTACCTTAACGGTTAAAAAAATCCTTAAGGCAATAAACTATAGAAAAACAAAGCTAATAAAAAAGCCTAAACTAATAATAAAGATATATAAAGAATACCTTACTTAATATATTACCTACTATAATTAAATCCTTAAAGATTAAAAAGTAATTATCTAATTAAATAAAACCTCTATTATCTTTCTTTATTAATATAGTAGCTACTATATTTAACGGTAAGTAAATAAATAAGTCCTTTATAGCTATATTTAAAAGAGATAGAAAGGCTTTAATAAGTTTATATTCTAGGCCGCCTTTTCCTATAATAAAAAGGGTCCTTATTATTATTAGTCTTTAAAGACCGTAAAGGAAAAGGTAGCTACTAAAGAAGCCCTTAATAACCTTAATAAAGAACTTAAGCCAGTTATAAAGGCATAATAAGAATTAAAAATTAATATATAAAGACTAAGGCTTTATAACCTACTAGGTAAGAAACTAAAATAAAGTTAAAAAAAGGAGACTAATAAGCTAATAAGGGAGGGAAAAGGAGGTATTAACTAATAGCAATATTAATAAAAGATTTTTCTTTTAAAGTTACTTCCTTTTATAAAAAAATATATAAAGGAAAAAGTAAATACCATTATATAAAAAGATAGAGCTCCTACTTATAAACACTACATATAGCAATAAGTATATAACTTCTACTAAATTTAGTAACTTCTTTAGTATTTAAATTCGCCGGATTTAAATATAATTAAGCCTATATAGCCATAAATAAAAAGGAACATAACGAAAAAAGGCATACTAAAGAATAGAAGTAAAGCTATTTATAAGTAAGAGGTAACTTAAAAGGAACTGCTATAAAAAAAAATATAGACATAGATAGAAAGAATTCCGGCGTATATCTATAAAATTATTAATATTAAAGAAGGGAATAAATATATTAAAGGTAAGGATTATCCCCTATAAAATTAATCCTTTTAGATCTAGCGGCACTATTTCCTTACTTTTATAATTTTAGTATAGGTAAGAACTTTTAGGCACTGCCTCCATAGAAAATTCTTAACGTCCTACTTACCCTGAAGTCACGCAAGCACCATTCAGCCATCATCATATGCTCATGATACTCTGAGATTTGGGAATTTCATGGAAGAAAATAAAATGACATGCCCAAAGCCTTCCTATGGTGGTATTATTCGGTGGTTTTTGCTAATGGGGTTCCGGTCCACCTAGCTGGCAATTCAGAATCAATATTTGTGAAATGTTGTTAAAAACAATGTTGACTTCCGCGAGCCAGCACCAACGATCACTATACTCGCTAAGTTAAGCCAGGCGGATGTCAAGCAACTCCTGTTTTCTTTGGCATATCTAGTTGTACGGATAGTAGGCACAGAATTGATGTATTTACTACAACCTGCTGTCAAAAGCTCAACACTCATTGAAGCCAAGACCCTTCATGAGTTTTAAAGTGATTGGGGAGCAATTATCATGACTTCAGCTCGGAGATAGTAACTTGAATGGTATCAAACTCCATGAACTCGATTCAAGCAAGGCAATTCGAAGTTACAAACAAATATCATTTGAGATCCAAACTACGGAGGTTTCTTGAGATTGATCATGTACTTAACCTTTGCGCATGTGATGCGACTCACCGCCTGCCAAATCCACTCACAAAGACATCGTGAGCGGCAGAATTTCTTGAAATTTAGCTCGAGCTTGACCCAACTCTACAACCACGCAAATTCTTCCCCGACAACATATTTACATGCTACGCAGCGCCTGGAGATCAAGGTCGAAACTTGGTGCTGGTGCGTTTTTGGATCTGACGAATCGACTGTCGAGAACTACGATACTCCGCCCAATTCGCGACCAACGAGTCCCTTGCGACAAAGCGATTGCGCATCGCCAAATTTCGACCCCCACCAAAATGGCGGCAGAGCAAGCCAAGATGAATACCGTGACCATTGACGGCAAGGAGTTTGGGACGGTCACGGAGGGAAAGGCGACCATCTTGGTGCCCCAGGGTGCCAAGATTGGCGAAGATCGCGGGGAAGTTCAGCAGGTCTTCTACAACCCTATTCAACAGTATAACCGCGATCTATCGGTTCTCGCTATTAAGACCTATGGCGAGATGTCATTGGAAAAGAGAAAGGAACAGTACGAATCAAGAATGAAGAAGCAGGGCAAGAAGCGAAAGCGCGGCGATGATGTCCAGAAGCCTACCGAGGATACCGCAAACCCACCACAGGAGGAGGCGCAAGCAACCGAGGAAGTTGCTAAGACCGACGAAGCTGATGCTTCTCAGCCCAAGAAGGAATACAAGTCTTCATTCCGCATCCTAGATGCGCTGTCTGCGTCGGGATTACGAGCTCTCCGCTATGCCCATGAGCTACCTTTTGTGACGTCCGTCAAGGCGAACGATTTATCCGATACTGCTGCCGAATCAATCAGGATGAACGCTAAGCATAATGGACTTGAGGATAAAATTACCGTCACCCAAGGCGATGCACTTGCGCTCATGTACCATGGAATCGCAGACGATTTGTCCAACAGGGACAAGACCGGAAGCCCAGGTAGGGCTAACAAATACGATGTCATCGATCTTGATCCGTATGGAACAGCCGCGCCGTTCTTTGATGCCGCAGTGCAGTCCGTGAGGGATGATGGTGGTCTTCTGTGCATCACTTGCACGGATAGCGCAGTCTGGGCAGGACACAGCTATTGCGAGAAGACATTTGCCCTTTATGGTGGAATTCCAATCAAGGGAATGCACTCTCACGAGGCTGGCCTGCGACTCGTTCTGAACGCAGTAGCCACCTCGGCAGCCAGATACGGCCTGGCGATTGAGCCTCTTCTCTCGCTTTCAATCGACTTCTACACCAAGTTCTTCATCAAGGTGACCAAATCTCCTCAATCGGTCAAATTCCTTGCTTCCAAGACCATGTTGGTCTACAGCTGTGATGCGGGCTGTGGCGCTTGGGAAACACAGCCTATGTTGAGAAGTAAGCCCTCGCCGAACAAGAAGGGCAGCGGTGCCTTTTTCAAGCACACCATGGCTCAAGGACCATCGGCCGACCGCCATTGTGAACACTGCGGGATCAAGATGCATATCAACGGCCCTATGTATGGCGGCCATATTCACTCTACAGAGTTTATTGAGAGACTTCTTGAACAGATTCCCAAAGCTGACCGCTCCATTTATGGCACAATGCCCAGACTTGAGGGTATGCTGCGAACAGCCCTTGAGGAGCATCTGCCGGGCCCTGAGATCAAAGAGCCCGTGGATCCTAAAGATGCTCAGCTTGCCACTGTTGACCATTATCCCTTTTTCATCATCCCCAGTCGTTTGGCCAACGTGGTAAGCTGCGTGACTCCCAGTGAGGATATGTTCCGAGGAGCCTTGATTCATCTGGGCTACCGTACCGCCCGAAGCCACTGCCGACCAGGAAGTATCAAGACAGATGCTCCTTGGTCTACAATTTGGTGGGTAGTTACAGAATGGATTCGACAGAAGTCGCCGGTCAAGGAGTCCAGCATCAAGCGAAATACGGCAGCCTGGAAAATCCTGAGTGATGCCGGAATCGTCGGACAAGAGAAGTCTGAGACTGCAGAGGAGACAACTAAAGACGACTCAGCAATGGAGGGCGTGGAGCAGCAGGCTTCTTCTGAGGCGCCTGTCGACGCTAGTACTGCGAACGCGCCGAACGAAGATGTTAACGCCGTTCCTACCGAGCTGGAGCTGCGCAAGACGCTTGTCTTTGACGAGAATCTCGCGCGCCTTGCACGTAGAAAGGGAGAGCAGAAGTATGTGCGATACCAGATGAACCCGCGAGAAAACTGGGGACCTTTGGCCAAGGCGAGTCGCCGATGATAACGTATAATCTGATTGCATACATCCTCAGTATCTGCTATAGTCTCGCCGGCTAAAGCAGGCGATCCTGTAGGATTTTGAAATGATTGCGCAAGGTCGTTTGGCTTGTCTTCTTCTTCGTCAGCAGCAGCCCCACAAAGACCGAGAGGAGATTCGTTGAGGGTTTTTGAACTTGACTTGTTCATCATCGCCCAGGTCTTTTCAATCACAGAAAGGCATATCTCACCATTTTGCCTTTGAGCAGGTATTGTTTATTATTACCAACCTGTTTTATTCCTGGACATTCTGTATACATCCGCGAGCCCGACGTATTTACGATTAGCCAATTAGCGCCAGACAAACAATAAAGATACCACATCCTCTTCTATTTTCTCTCTGCTTCTATCTTTGACCTGTCACCATCTGTAACGATGTCTTCTTTCTTGACAACCCCTCGCTCGGCTGAAGCCATAGGCGTCGAAAATATCTCATTCTCTGAGGATAATCTGACCTGGATTCGCGTCGGGACTTCCGAGAGCGCTTCTCGCCATGAGCTGGTCCTTATTCGAGAGATAGTTTCATCGGACGCAGAGTCGCCATCGCACTATCTCCTGTTTATTCTCGAGGAGGACTCGGAAAACAAAGATGCGCCGTTTCACCTCTCGACATTGAAAGCAGACAAAATACCCTCTGAACTTCACAGTATCGCAATCACCAGCCTGCCGCCTCATCTACAGCATGGGTCTACCACCGAACATGGTATCACGAAACAAGTGGACGTTATCGTCTCTTTGAAATCAGGCGTAGGACTGGCTCCAAGATTCTGGGAAGATGTACTGTGTCCCCTTTGGAAGTCTTTCACAGACGGCGGCTCTGGAGAGTCGCAGTATCGCCTCATCCAAACAGAAAGTCCAGAAACTATCCAAGATTATGCACAGCACTTGTGGACTTCGGATGAGCGGGGAAAGGCAAGGACAATCGTTCTTCTCAGCGGCGATGGCGGCATTGTAGACCTTTTAAATGGCTCTGATGGAAACGAACTGTCTGAAATTCCACCCACGATCGCGCTGGTTCCCCTTGGGACTGGAAATGCTCTCTTCCACTCTACCCACAAGCCTCTCTACACCGAACCAGGCCCAACACCGCTCGTTCTCGCACTCCGAACATTGTTGCATGGTGCCAGTGCTGATCTTCCTGTTTTCCGAGCATCCTTTTCCCCAGGATCCCACATCGTCAAATTCACAGACAAGTCCAAAGAAACATCTTCGACCAACGACCCGGATCAGCTGCGAAAGGAGGAGACTTCTATCACGCATCTCCAGGGCGCCATCGTCGCCAGCTACGGCTTCCACGCGAGTATCGTGTACGAGAGCGACACCCCTGAGTACCGCGTCCACGGCGACAAACGGTTCCGCATGGTCGCTGAAGGGCTTCTAAAAGAGTCTCACCCGTACGCTGCAAAGGTGTCTATCCGCCGCCGCGGTTCCACCGCATTTGAGGACATTCCTCGTGAAACCCACGCCTATGTCCTCACGTCTCTGGTCTCAAACCTGGAGCGAAAGTTCACTATTTCGCCTGTGACGCGGCCGCTGCAGTCGCAGCTCCGGCTTGTGCATTTTGGGCCTATTGGTGGTGAGCGGACGATGAGTGTTATGATGAAGGCGTACGATGAGGGTAGCCATGTTGGAATGAACTGGCCTGATGGTGAGCAAGTTGGCTATGATGAAGTTGACGAGGTTGGGATTTCGGTTTTGGAGAAGGATGAGAGGTGGAGGAAGGTGTGTATCGATGGGACGACTGTTGAGATTCCCAAAGGTGGGAGCATGAGTATTAAGATGCTGGGCCATAGCCTCTTTAAGATTCTGGCCAGTCCTCGTGTCTTGGAAGGTCGCAGCTAAACTCTAAAGCTTAAAGTTATCAGACTGAACGTCGAACCATAGACCAATTTGTCGCAGAATCTACTGCAGTATTCTGGATTATCACCTAGCCCTGAAGCAGCTTCTTCACCCTCTTCTCCATGAGCTGCTCAAACTCATCTACACCATTCTGAAGTGTACTCATCTTCCCTCCCTTGAGCCTATAAACCTTCCGTCTCCTCACGCTCTCCTCCTCCTCATCACCATCAGTATCCTCATCATCCTCCGTCGCACCTTCAATCACACCACGCATAAACCATCGGTCGTGACTCACAAGAATCACAGCACCCTCCCAATCCCTCAATGCCTCCCGTAAAGCCGTCACGGTCTCGTAGTCAAGATGGGTGGTGACTTCATCGAGCACAAGACAATGCGGCCTTCGCCAGAACAAACGAGCTAGCTCGCAGCGCACGACCTGTCCTCCAGAGAGTTTGCACAGCGGTACGTCGGAGGCGATTCGACCTGGGAGACCGAGTTGGCCTAAAAGTCCGCGAAGGTCGCCTTCTGTAAGTTCGCCCTCGACTTCGCGGGTAAGGAGCGCGAGGGCTGTAAGTGTGGGCTCTGAACGGCCGAGGGACTGTAGAGCTTCCACGGCATGTTGGGAGTAGTAACCCAGTTTTAATCGCGGGTGCGTCGTGAGAGTCCCGGATGTTGATCGAGTCTCTTCAACAAGAAGTTTGATAAGCGTCGACTTTCCCGCACCATTGAGACCAAGAATCCCGATACGATCTCCCATACCGACGGAAAGGGTGATGTCCTGAACAACAAGCGGCGTCTTGGAAGAGTATCTAAACGCAACATTCTCAAGAGATGTAAGAGCGCCTGGGAAACGCAATTCCGGAGGTTCAGGAAGATTCACAACAACAGGGCGATCCTCAGGCGGGCTGTCGATGTCTTCGCGCGCTGTCAAGTGATAACCAACCAAGTCTCTATTGAGCTTGAAACGGCCGCCCTTGGCGCTGACCTGCAATCCCCAGCGATTATCCAGCTTCTTCTGACGAGATTTAGCCTGACGGAGTTTATTGGTATCATCGTTGGCCTTTCCGGCTTTCATATTGGCTGCGATGGACTTTTCGATGTGAGCCTTTTGTTTATCCTGTGCTTCCTTCATCGAAGTAAGCCATTGCTTACGCTCACTTTGCGATTCTTCATATGTGGGCAGGTCGCCGTGGAAGTAAGTGAGCTGTTTGTCTTTGAGGATGAGAAGATCATTGCATAGAGAGATAAAGTCGCGATCGTGCGATACGAGGATAAGAGTTGGCGAGTTATCAGTCTCCTCAAGATTCTGTAAATAGCGCTGGAGCCATATAATCCCAAGAAGATCGAGAAAATTGGTGGGTTCGTCGAGGATGAGTATATCTGTCTCCTGGACCAAAGCCGTGGCGAGAGAAGCGCGCATGTGCCAGCCGCCAGACAAGCTCGAAATGGGTTTCTGGATGAGAGTTTCGGAAAAGCCTAGACCGATCAAGATCTTTTTGGCTTTGGATTCTATCTCTGATACACGAGTTGGGTCGACTTGGATCTGGAGATCAGCGAGCATGTCGACTGCTTCTTGGGTCTCAGCTTGAAGAGTATCCGGTGAGATATCTTCGTTTGACTGCTCTAGCCTGTGGTATGTTGTTAGAAATGACAATGAAATAAGGGAGGTAGTGATATACAGTTCAGTTGAATCTGCCACGACTTTCTCATAGGCAGTAAGTGCTTTGCGAGCAGCCATTCCACGGGCGCCGCTGCGAAGTCGAGCATCTTTGTCTAGCCGGAAAAGTCGCTCTTGGTGTTTTTGATGTTTGTGATGCCGTAGAGCCTTGACGGGAGCGAATGGATCGGAGGCGTTTATTCCCTCTTTGAGGTCTGCATACGAGTGTTAGAATGATTAATAGGTAGAAGAGTCGATGAAATACCTTTGATGTCCTGCTCAATTGCATGTTTGGCCGTGGCCTTTTCAATGACCTGTTCCAGAACAGATGACTCGCCGCTATTGGCGGGTTCTGGTTTATCTCCAGATCCTTCATCTGTGAGTTTCGTTTGTTGGAGAATTGCAATCCTCGTGTCTTCTGGGATACCAGGGATAAGCTTTTCAGCAATAGCCTTGAGAAGCGCTAGATGCATCACCGTCAGAACCTCAACTATCTCTTCAGTTCAAGTAACCTTACTTGACTTCCCAGTTCCATTGCGCCCTACAAGAGCATATCGTTGACCCTCCTTCAGTCGAAGTTTGGCGCCAGCAAGAATCTCAACACCATCGCTTTTCGCCTTTGCTTTTCCCTTGCCGACTGGTTTGTCGCCGGAAGTGACGGTGATGTTGACTCCGTCAATATCGAGCTGTTGGTGGTCAGTAATAAACTGCGGATGAATTGGTGATTGCGTAAGGTACTTCGCGATTATTGGTGATTTGGAAGCGCGTTTGCTTGGAGTTGCAGAGAATGGTTGCCACGGATTCAGATGCTGCAGACGTCATGATGGAGTATTGTCTAGAAGAGTGACGAGAAGAGGAGAGGATAGTATACACGGATAGGGAAGTATAGAAGATGGGATACGTGAGGGATGTAACTGCTGTAATGACTTGGTGCTTCCCTAAAGACAGTCTTGGAGATATGCATTTATATTTATTTATCAATACTCGATCAATAGAGATCTACAGATACACAGTGTCGTAAAATTATACATTTTCTCTTCAAGTTGCCTCACCCAAAGTAGTTTACTAAATTAATAGTGCTGTATCCCTATGTCACCGGCTCTTGGCTTCTCGTCTCCATCTAGTGCAATTGAATGCCCACCTTGTGGTGTCACTAATTGAACGGAGTGACTCACACCGAATGACTTGCAAACAATACAATTACGCACACACCTTCCACACGAGGTAAAGAATAAGCGATAAATAACAAAAGCCAAGAGAGAAATGAGGCTTTGAGTGGTTTTATATGAATTGTGGTGCTTGAAGAGTCATACACTAAATCGTTACATACATTCATGCTACGCACCTATTTAGATGTAACTGCGGATATAATTTTCTCACATATTCTTATTGATAGATAGGTACTATCCGTTAGAGGTAGGCTGTATCATAAATCATCCCCGGCTTATTGCTCTATCTAGGTAACTAGTAGTTGTTGTGCCTAAATTACCTTCCTAATTCTGTCTCTCTCATCTTATCAATTATGCCAGGATACAGCTCCCAAATAATCAATAAATAGCAACCCCTTCACTTCCCCTCACGCTCTCCCAACTTCTTTCTCTTTGCAACTACCACTCGCCAAAATAAACATGAATTCTTCAGAGATTCTCTGCATTTCCTCTACCGACACCTCCTTCGGCCCCTTTGTTGGTCCTGAATGCCGTGACGGCTTCGACTTTACTCTTGTCTTTGAACAGTCCATTTTCGTGCTTCTCCCAGCCGCTCTTCTTCTCGTTTTAGCTCCTATTCGTCTCTTCCGCCTGCGAAATGTCCCTGTTAAAGTCGCAGGCCGTCGTCTTCGGACTGTCAAATTGGCGCTCATCGCTCTTTTGACGGCGCTGCACCTCGTTCTTGTCGTGCTTTGGGCTACTCGTCCTTCAGACACGCGCCTAGATCGCGTCTCTATCGCTGCTGCATGTGTATCCTTTGCCTCTAGCCTGATGTCATGTGTGCTCTCGTGTGTCGAACATGCCAAATCTCCACGTCCATCGTCGCTCTTGAATGTCTATCTTGCCCTGTCGCTGCTCCTCGATGTTGCGCTCCTTCGCACCCTCTGGCTTGTTCCTATGAGCACAGCTATTCCAGCTGTTTTCACGGCAGCTTTTGCCCTGAAGGCGATACTCGTCGTTCTTGAAGGGTGGAGTAAAGCTCCGTATCTCCTCGCCGGCTCCGGGACCCACTCCCCCGAGGTCACGGCCGGACTCTACGGCCGGGCCGTCTTTGCGTGGGTGACGCCGTTGTTGATGACGGGATTTCGGAAATTACTGCGGCCGATGGATCTGTTTGAGTTGGACGAGGATATGGGCTCGGCAGGGCTGATTGGCAGGTTTTGGAGGCATTGGCACAACCAGAAAGGTTTGTCTACATTTCCTTTCCCCCTCTCTAGATAGCTTCGTTTAGTATAAATTCCAAAAACTCTCTGTGATGTACATGTACTAAATGCTGGCCTAGTTCCGGCGAGCAAGCAACGTCTTATCGTTTGCTGCATCACCACCCTGCGATGGCCTCTCATGGCTGTTGTCATCCCCCGTCTAGCGCTGCTTGCATTCACTATATGCCAGCCACTCATCCTCAATAGTCTCCTCGTCTTTCTCGACGATGCCTCCCAGTCTATCCAGATTGGCTATGGCCTTATTGCAGCTTATGGTCTGGTTTACTCAGGCATTGCTCTTTCTCAAGCACTCTACTGGCATCGCAATGCTCGCTCTGTCACATTGTTAAGAGGCGTTCTGGTGTCTGCTGTCTTCTCAAAGGCCACTGAGTTGAGGACCACAGCTACGGATGACTCTGCCGCTGTAACACTCATGTCTTCTGACGCAAGTTATAAGTATCTCAATCTTGATGCATCGGACTAACAGTTCCGTATAGGTCGATGTTATCGTGAGGGCTGTGAGGGAAGTCCATGAGTTTTGGGCAAATATCATACAGCTCTCCATAGCTACCTGGATCTTGAGCACTCATATCGGCTATGCTGCCTCTGGCCCCATCATCGTCTCGCTGTTCGCCCTGATTGCTACTGTTCTTGTCTCGCCTCTAGCACGCAAGTATCAAATTGCTTGGCTGGGGAAGACACAGAAACGTGTTGGTCAGTACAGATTACCTAGTTCTTTAATCCATCACACGGCGTTAACATACTGCTAGGTATTACTTCTGCCATGATAGGCCACATCAAGAGCATCAAGTGCTCTGGCCTAACTCAGTATCTATCAGACACCATTATCGGTCTACGAGCAGATGAGATCAAAGCTTCACGACCTTTCAGAATTGTCAGCAGCGTTACATCTGCTATTGCACAGGTGCCTCTCCTGATGTCTCCTGTTGCTGCCTTTGCACTGTTCCAGGGTGTGGCCACCAATTCCTCTGAAACTCTTGACGCCACTAGACTGTTTTCCGCTTTGTCACTTATCGTTCTCATGGCGCAGCCGCTCTTCTTTATGTTCGAGGCAATTCTCGGCATTAGTGCTGCTTTGGGTGCGTTTGAGAGGATTCAGACGTTCTTGACCCAAGAATCACGTCTTGATCCTTGTGAGATGCTCTCAGACTCAGACAAGAGAGTACATTCACAATTAAGGACAGACTCTATTGAGCTTCAAAGTCTAAGAGATAACGTATCGTTCCCCTCGGCAAGTCACGATATGAACGGCTTGGCCATTGAGGCTACTAACGCCAGCATCTCGTGGTCAGAAAAACACCCCCTTCTGCGGGACTTGACCTTTACTGTTGACAGAGGCCAGCTTGTCCTCCTCCTCGGACCAGTGGCATCTGGCAAAACCACTTTGCTAAAGGCACTTCTTGGTGAGGTTCGCCATATCACAGGAACAATCAAGCTTCATACAAAAAGCCTCGCCTGGTGCGAGCAAAGCCCTTGGCTTTTGGTATGCTCACCCAGTATCATCACTTGTCTGCTTGTCTAACCAGCCAGAACCAAACTATCCGCGATAACATCATCGGCCACTCCAACTTCGATCGTGTCTTGTACATAGAAGTTGTCAAAGCTTGCGATCTTGAGAAGGACTTCGACCAACTTGCCCAGGGAGATAGTACCGTTATTGGTAGCAAAGGTCTCGCTCTCAGCGGTGGTCAAAAGCAACGAGTTGTAAGTCACGGCCTTGCGAATATTCCGTCACATTTTGACATAATAGGCCTTGGCGAGAGCTGTATACTCAAAGCCTCGGATTGCTCTCTTCGACGATGTTTTCAGTGGACTTGACGGCCAGACTGCTCAAACTGTGTTTGAGAACCTCTTTAGCAAACGAGGTTTGTTCAGACGATGGAACACGACAGTCATCCTTGCAACTCAATCAGGTGGGCAAGCTCATATACTCTCATTTTCTCCCTCTAACTTTTCTATAGCTTCATTTCTCTCCTCTGCTGATCTTGTTGTCTGTCTGAACAAGGAAGGACGAATTTCTGAGCAGGGCACATTCCACGACCTCGAGAATGCCAGCGGATATGTCCACTCATTACTGAAAAATAAACCCCAGGACTCTAGTATCGAAACTCCAGAGCTAACACCCGAGCATGGCAACATCAAACAGGTCCCCAAGTCGATACAAGGAAGTCCTAAGCAGCTGGATGAGGAAAACGACGCTCGACGGCAACGTGGAGACTCAACTGTATATCGATACTACGTTAGTAGCACTGGTACTCGCTTCATGATCGTGCTGCTTGTACTGGAGATCATCTGGGCCTTCCTCGAGAGTTTTCCAAGTATGTTATGCTTACCTTCTAGGCGTGTTGTAGATAAATGCTGATAAGTTTAGCAATATGGCTCAAATTCTGGTCTGATGATAACGTCAAAGGGAATGACCGAGCAGGTTACTACCTTGGCGTCTATGCCGCCTTGCAAGTTACGGGGGTCGTGTGGTTCGCTGTGCTAATATGGTACTTGATGAAGCTCCTCGTTTTGGTCACCAAATATTAACTCTTGAACAGGTTTGTCATCGTCATGGTAGCGGCCAAGTCTGGGATCGCTCTTCACAAGAGGCTATTGTCGACCGTCATAAAGTACGTCAATGACTCTTCAGGAAATCAAAGCGTTGACTGACTTTCCAGGGCACCTTTGTCACTATTCACCACAACAGATCTTGGATCTATTACAACAAGGCAAGATCACGTTACGAGACCCAAGTTCGAACACTAACACATGAAAAGATTCTCACAGGACATAGGAATGGTTGACAATCACCTCCCTCTTGGCCTCGTTGTAACTCTCGCCAGTAAGTCTATACCCCCCAAGTCGCCACTCCAAGTTATCTAACCATAAAACAGGCTTCTTTGGTACCATCGCCAAGGCCGGCCTACTCGCTGCTTCAACTCCATACATAGCAGCAACATTCCCCCTTCTAGCAGCTGTCTACTTTTATCTCCAGCGCGGCTACCTGCGCACCTCTCGCCAGCTCCGTCTTCTTGACCTTGAAGAAAAGGCTCCCTTGTATACACAGTTTCTGGAAACACTGTCCGGCCTCGCTACCATACGGGCGTTTGGATGGGGAGACGCCGTCATTCAAGCCAACCACGCTCTCGTGGACCGTTCACAGCGGCCGTTTTACTTGCTCATGATAGTACAGCGCTGGCTTGTACTGGTCCTCGATCTGACCACAGCGGCTCTGGCTCTGCTTCTTGTTGGTCTCGCTGTTCGTCTTCGAGGGGAGGTAGATGTCGGGTTAACAGGGGTATCGCTTGTGCAGCTGATCTCGTTAAGCGAGACAGTCAATATGCTCATTCAGTTCTGGACTTCGATCGAGACATCTATCAGCGCTGTAGCTCGGGTCAAGCAATTCGCTGAAGAGACTGGAGAAGAGAGTCTTACCGGCGAGACCCAGGAACCTCCACCTCGGTGGCCGGAAAAGGGCGCTATTCAGATCAGCAACTTATCGGCATCATATGGGGATGGTAAGGGAGATGTCATCAAGGCCCTCGATGCTGTGAACTTGGAGATAAAAGCAGGAGAGAAAGTAGGCGTCTGCGGTCGTACAGGAAGGTCAGTTTCCTCACCCCAATACTTCTACAGAGCTAACGTATCACTTGTATTCAGCGGCAAATCATCTCTGTTCCTCGCTCTTCTTCGACTCCTCGATTCTTCATCTGGTAGCATAACTATTGATGGCTTATCTTTAGCTTCACTCCAGCGAGAAACTATCCGCAGTCGTCTTATTACTCTTACCCAGGACCAGTTCGTCCTCCCGGGCACCATCCGACACAACGTAGATCCGCTCGACGCCTACCCTGATGCCGATATCAAATCAGCGCTTCATCTTGTCGGATTATCCGAAGCTATCGAGCAGCTTGGAGGCTTAGACGTATCCTTTGATGAAGACGCGTTGAGCCATGGGCAGAAGCAGCTGTTCTTCCTAGCAAGGGCAGTGCTCAGGAAGTACGACGGGAAGGTCGTCCTCCTTGACGAGGCGACGAGCAGGTAAGTCGAGTAAAAAGGTATGAACGGATAAGGAAGCTAACATTTAATAGCGTGGACCAAAAGACAGAAGAGACTATCAAGGCCGTTATCGAAACCGAGTTCAAGGACCACACTGTCGTTTCCATCACCCACCGTCTGGAAAACATCATTGGCTTTGACCGCGTGATCATGCTGGAGAAGGGTTGCGTAGTGGAAATCGGTGAACCAAAAAGCCTTTTGGCTTCCAACAGCAGGTTCAAGGCTCTATGGACAGCCAGGTCTCGCCCAAGCGCTTAATCTGTCTGGGAATCTTTGGCGGTGATTGGGAAACTTGTATATGTCTTTCTATGTGCATTTGCTTTCTAAATGTCGTCTATGCTGTCGCGCTCTACAACAATAAATCTTCCTTTGCCCGCTCTCATCATCCTAATGTGTCTTTCGACATTCTTCGCCGTCCGAACAGCTTCGACATGGCTCGCTTTCTCAGACGGAAGCGCTTCGGGTCCGGGAGACCACCCTGTGAAGAGCCGAAGCTCGGTTATCTTGCCCCAGTGATCGGCCCAGTTGACAAAGTCATGGCCAGTTTCTGCCATCAACGCATGAAACCAAGGGCTACAACCCGTGACGTCAAGAAACTCGAGCGCGTAGAGATTCTTACTCAGCATGCGCAAGACAAGCAAGGCCTCACTCCAGTCGTGATCAAGCGAGTGTGAGTAGAGGTTCGTCCCGCCGTAAGGAAAACGATGCCCCTGTGGAGAAGAAACAGTAGCGAGCCGAGACCGTGGTGTCAAGCACGGCTCGGGCCAGTATGCTAAGCTCAGATGTGTGAGCGTGCTAAGTTTGGAAGACAGGGAAAGAAGCTGTTTCCAAGATGCCGACGAGGAGTGGCTTGGATGCAAGGCGAGTGAGAGGTGGGTGAGGTTGGGCAGCAAAGTTCGGGGAGGGCTAGGAATACTCTCGGAGGCATCCCATGATTCCTGTAGTTCTGTCGTTGGTTCCTCATCCCTGGCGGAGAAAAGCATGTCACTGATGTCTTTTAGCTTGATCGACCGGCACGCGGAGCCCGAAAGATCAAGGTAGTTGACCTCAAGATTTGAAGTCGTTAAGCTACTGAGCTCATCATCTTCAAAAGTATCTGGCGGTGGCAGTAGAATAACTTTGAGATCATTCAACGACAGCCCATCCTCACTAGCGATTCCAACATAGCGGATCAAAGCTGCCTTCAAATGGTTGGGCACAAAGTACAGATGGTACTGATTATACACTCGGTGGAAAGCCCAGTCATATGCGAGTTTCTGCAGCACGATGTCTATCAGACTTCCACGCGCCGGGAGATACGTTCCCGGTAGACTAGTATCTTCCAATCCTCTTTGATTCAAGCGCGACTGGCTCAAGGAGGAGGCCTCACCAGCGCCATCCGTAGAGCTGCGGGAGAGCCAACTCCTGGGTGGAGGAGGGCCAGCGGGGAGTCTCCTACCATTGCCATCGAATCTGTGACGGACAACACGACGAGGAGCGGGGGCCGGTGTGTCTGGGATCTGGAGGATTTCCCTGATGGCCGGGGGTACACTTGGAGCGTTCGTAGGCAGGGCTGACTGAGAGGCAGCGGAGGGGCTAATCGAGGTACGACGCAAGTTTGCTAGCAATTCATTGACGCTTCGGGAGGGCTTGTCTGCTGCATACCACTTGTGAGACTCTGGCTACCACGCGGTCTGAAGATATGGGGGAGGGGTTCGAAAGGAAACGAGCCGAGTGGCCGGAGCCCGGGCGATAAGAGGAGGGGCGTGTGCTTGTGTCGTTCAAGTTGCGATGTGATGCAATGCGATGCGATGCGATGCGCTGGGCTGCACTTACCAGCGTTATTCGTCGACGTTGACGCAGCCGGAGAGGCCGTTAAATTTGGCTTGAAAGACTTGATATGGTTCCTTTTCTTCGGCATGCCCGGGACAAGCTTGCCTTTGCGGTGAAGCTGAGGGAGTGAGAGAAGAGAGAGAGGGGGGAGGTAGAATCGAGGTGCGACGTGGGGGATGAAGTTATTTGTCTGTTTGTCTAGGATCGTGTATCAGTCTCGATGAGTCAAGCTGAAGCCCATGACCTGACAATTTCGGCGCAGTAGTGGCAGTGGTAGATTAGGATCCAGTTCTGACTGAGAAATGATGGATGTTGGAGGATCGAAAGAGTCATCAATGGAGCTTTCGTGAGTCCTCAGGTAACCAATAATTACGTCTTTTTTGGCTGATGACGGTAGGTCTAGGCTGCGCTAGTGAGTACCTTAGTGACTCTGCCCTGTGCCCCACAGCCGCCAAGCCACTGCCGATAGCGCCAACGAGACCCTTGATAGTGGATTACCACACTGGACTTCCAGGCAGATGGAGACTCATTGCTAGAAGGAATAATCTGAAAGTAGGATGTCCAGTATGAGTCTCCTAAGCATAATATAGTCTTGAATTGATTGAGTATAGAGATGTCCCTTGAAAATAGATCCCTACATTTTGATATACCACCTCAATGTACAATATTGACCTGATATTAATACGTCATGTGGTCTAAGTGCTTGCCTACTCCAGATCTAGCTAACCTATAGCGACATGATAGGTACTATCTATAGCTCAATCGATGTTCTGATATAAGACAATGGAAGTAAATTACGAGAATTAGTTAGGTCTGCTCATGTGAATCATCAAACCATGACAATACAGAAATGGCCCGCAAGCCTGTTCCCCTATTTCCCCCAGGACCAATGCAGTGCTCGCGCATTTGCATTTACTTGCTGCAGCGTGGCTTTGCCTTGATCAAACCCCCCCGGCGATGATGTGCATAATGTCATGTTGACTTACACCGGTGCATTGAACCAGGATTCATGGTCTGCCAATCGCGACCTTAATCCATCTTCATGCCTTGGAATCCAGTCTATTATTATCTCAACGTCAATATACATGATGCCCTGTCCAGCTGGCTCTTAGGCTTTCTTGCAGAGGTCGAACACCAAGTCGCATGCATGTCAGTCAATGCATGGCTCGTAAAGAATTTGATACGATGGCCTCCAAGGGTCCTGGATGCGCACAGGGCACGCCAAGGATCTTCGATAGACTGTCCAGCTACCTGCATGCCACAGAAGTTGAGCTTTATGATGAGAACTAAAACTGCACGGTCACTTCATCCTGCAATCTTTATTCGGCAGCTGATCATAGAAACAGTCATCTGGCGCCAACAAGCTCCTCACCGAGTTTGCTCATTTCTGTATATTGATGCTTTGTACGATAATTGACAATAAGGCAGCCTTTCGTTGCGACGTTCCATCGACAGTCGGGTCAACATTCCCCCAAGTCTAGATGCGGGCGGTATGGTTCCTGATGCTTGTTCGATCGTTCATCGGCAAGGTGCCGTGAACTATGGGCAGCTGCGTGTCTAGTTTCATCCATGAAGCTGGCGGGTAACACAGCGTTTCCGCCACCCATGGCGAATGACTGCCAATCTTGGATCACGGGCTGTCATGCCTCATTTTACGTCGTCATCACGATGGTTGAGAGGGGAAAGGATTGCTGTTGACATTCATCATCAAGCTGCGGCAGTTCTTCTTGGCAGTAACCAACAAGTGGTGGGTTGTGAACGCAATATCGTAGCTAGCAAATTGTCCATTTCAGTATCGTATCGGAGCCCAGCTTTGACACTCCCAATTATCGATTCCCGATTTTCTATTACATGATGCTATAAAGACACAATATCCCCTTATCTAGTGTGCAATGCTTAGGTCTTGCTCGCTACGCCCAATTATTGTGGTTTCCCCTGGTTCGTGATCCATTGGTTACCAAATGAACTATCATTTGTACTCCCAAACTCTACCATGTCTCACAGCAAGGTCTTTTGAGAGAGAGGCCTTGGCTGGCGGCCGATGCCCCAATTGCATTGCGGAAGCATTAATCCCAAGACCCCATCGCGCATACAAGTAAGCATCCGTGAGAGAGGAGCACCGCAGAAGACGCAATCCTTGGCAGAAGCCTCCTTTTTGCATCAATTTGATACCTTTCAAGTTAGCTCACGCCTTTAGGATTGACAAGATGCTCAATCAGGAAAAGAGAAGCGAACGAATCTGGCTAATCAGTCTCGCTCAAGCCGGATTTGAAAGAAGTGAGACGTCTGAGCAACCAAAAGGATAGCCAACCAGTATTCTCCGGCATTTGCGAATATCAGGAAGACTGGTTGGACGTATAGCTGAGATCGTCGAGAAGCGCCCACGAGATGCGTTGCAGTACTGGTTGTGAGATCCATATACAACAGCTTGGATTCCAGGTATTTCAACACGCTTCTCTTTGAGCACACAGGGGTCCCTTTCTCTGTGGCCATAGCAAGACCAACGCTTCCGTTTACTTGTGCTTTAAATCATCCCTAAAGCAGCCCTTGTACAGAAATAAGCACACTCCTGGGCAGCTTGTTCATCACCGGGAAGTAATCATGGTATTCTGGAGGAACTTATACTACTCAAACTGTACCCTACATCACCTTTGGGTCGTGAGTATTGAGTGTTCGTGCGGGTATAGGGTGGCTCCCCGTCCTAAACTACGACTTCCTTCAAGAATTAGCTAACCTAATTCGGAGTAGAATAATTTGACGTAGGTGGGATTTGAGGTGGAAACTTATGTCGAGTTTCTCAACCTTGAATTTGTCTTGCGTGTGCATCCCCAAGTGTGGTGCAACGTTGAAAACGATATCGTGCTTTCTGACTCACAGGCAGGCCAATTTGCTACTGTGTATCGCAAGCCGCTGGCGTCGAAGGGCTTCCTGGGTAGTGCCCATGATAGAATCTGCTGTGAGGTCTATTTCAGTTCACAGAAATATCTGTTACGTGATGAAAGGGGCGTTTAACCATATTCTCTACCAATCTCGTTGTGTGGATAACAAAGGAAGTCAGCTAAAGGTAACCTCCGGTCGTAATCTTTGAGGCAACAAACTCTAAACGCATAACCGTTGCAGTAACTCCGCTGATGCAGGAGGATTGTAGTTTATAGTGAAACACAAAAAGAAAGACGTTGAAAGTCTGGACAGAGCCATGCAATTCTGCCAAGTTTACCAGTATACATACCTACCAATGAGTTTCACAGCCTTTTGCTTGCGAGTGTTTACTCCCAACAGCATCTGAGATCGTGATCAAGAACCGTCTTACAGTTGGTTGCAGAGAAGTAAACGTATTCCATCCGGGGCACACGGATGAGGGTCCTGACATGAGGCGTTGAGGTACAGCTAAGGTTAACTTACAGTGGAAGGTGCAATGGATGAGATGGCGGATGGGTCAAGCGGGGAGTGGAGCCCATCGTTGACCTCTTACAAGCGACAAGCGAAAGGCGACAAACTGGGGGTCGCGCTGAATGGCGGGGCATTGAGTAGTGAGTACCGCACTGTGTCTTCCAATTTCCACGGTATGTCCACATCATCCAATGGCATTACAGGATCTGGATCGCTAGGCAGTTCAGATAGGGCAGGAGCCATGTGGGAGACGTGGAGGTGGGAGCCAAGAGGCAGGAGGAGGCTAGGGAGGCTCGACCGGTCAAGAGTATGAGGTGCGTGACAACTTCGCTTGTCACCGCCTTCAAATCCTCACTCAACCTTTACTGGGAGGTCTAACTCCGGCGTCTCTCCACTCCCATCCATTGCCATGCGCTCGCATCTTCCACCCAGACAGGACAGTCATGGCGCGCCCATTACGCAACTCTATCCATTCGGAGTACGGTCTACTCGCTTCGCGGCCTTCCACCATCTGACATCCGAGCTCTGACTTAGCGGTAGCGAGCGTTCCATCCGCCATGGCCATTGCAGCTTTAATCAAGGTCAAGAGTACTCCGTACGCACCACCGACACCCTAAGATCTGGTTGCCCAGAGAGCTGGGTCTAAGCTGGGCCAGATGCACGCAAAACCTGTCAGCCCTTGCTGATGTGTTCCAGCCTTCAGCCTGCATCTCACAAAATTTCAGGGATCGTTGTTAGGCATCTTTGTCAACCTAACTGTTCAATTGCACGTCCGTGAAGGCCCGTGCCATTGCTGAACGGGCAGTTCCAGCCTCAAACTCCCTGTCATCTTGGTTGTTGGTGCAACACCTTCCTGCCTGGGTACACCACTGGTCCTGTGTCTTCGCCTACGTTGTATCGATTCGCTGCCAAAATCGCCACTGATGCTGCTGCCGCTGCCACGCTGCCACGCTGCCACGCTGAAGCACTTACAGTATTTGTATCACTTCTTCATTGCAGCATCATCGAGCCATATTCAGCCTCATCCAGCAAGACGGGCAGCAAAAAGGAAAGTTGATCGTCTTGAGGGTCTGAAAACAGTCGTATGTCACATTGCACAAAGATCTGGCTGGAATCGCGCCGAACGGTCCAAACTTTCCAGTTCAATTGTTGCAAATACACGCGCTTGATTCTTGTAGCAGCATTTTCAACGGCTTTAGTTTCACCACTCCTTCTGGCTACATCAATCACACCGCGGGCCACAGCCGTTGGCCTGAAAGATACTCTCAGTGGACGGCCCGATCCGATTCAAGGTCGGCCCTCACTCCCATTCGCCGTGTCTTCGTTTACTCGCACTTTCGGTTTGCTTTTCTCAACCAACCACGTTTCAAGAGACAAGCAATAACAAGTTACCCTTTGTATCGGCCCCTCAATACCACAGACATTAGGCACGTTCTCGGACGCCCCATTGCAGACAAGAAGCGCGACGATACCGCCATTGTTGTCGGTGAGTAGCTTGTACTGGCCAGCTCAAGCTTGGGTAGACGGGAACCGACACCAACATCAGATGGCCCCAGCGACCTTTTGCCCGAGAACACGAGAGCTTGCAGCCTGCGAGCCGCGAGCTCTGCCGCGTCCTGTTCCGGGCAAGCCCATCAGTCTTTGGACTTTGATATGGATTTGCGCCGCCCCCCCTCTCCTCACTTCGGGTAGGGAGAGATTCTATTGGTTCTGCGATATCCTACGCAATCATCAACGCCCCTTCGGAACTTATGATCGTGAAATCGATGGCCCTTTAATTCGACCAGCTCCACACGAGCCATCGGCATTGCCCTGGTCGTAGCATTCAGCCCCCCACCAATGAATTGTTGGCCGTAGGCTCCATAGATTTCGGTCTCCTGCTGTCCCAGACGTGTTATGCCGCATCCGCCGTGCGTGGGGATGAAACCTCTCTTCGGCCTCACGTGTCGTTGTGTAAGGACGAGCAGGCCCGTCAGGGCCTGAAACATAGCCTGGGCATCTGACAGGGGGTCGTCGATCTTTCTTCGCCTTACTCAGACAAGTATGTCATGGCGTCGGGGTTGAAAGCCACCCGGCCATCGAAGGGGGTGGATGGGGCTAATACAACATAAAGCTTGAACGGTTGAGGGTGGCATGCCAATCATGACCAGTTGGTGCCTTGACCACTCAGCGACCATGTCTTCATCCTTAACCACACTTGGATGAATGTGAAAATCCCCGAACAAACATGGCCTAGTTGTCGATCATTGGTGCCGAATCTATCGGCATCAAACACTGCGGCTCTCGCCGCTACCTTTCTTATGCTCACTACAAGGTGGGGGAGGGGGGTTTTGGTGCATCTCGATTTCGTATCAGAGACAAGACTGCCCAGAAATCAAGCACTTCGACCGAGTGGCTGGCTTCTGTCCCTCCACCGCACAAACTTGGTCTGGTCTGCAGTGATCCGTCTCTGGCGTCTTTATCTCGTCAAAGCAGGACCTTTCCCAATCAAAGCCCGTGTTTGTGGCGTATCGTAGAAGCATTGACGGCCGGATAGCTGCATACTCATGCACTCGTACTGGCGCGCGGAGTGAATTATAATGGCCCCTAGGCTCAGGGCAGCGTCCAAGGCTGTCCCATATTCGAAGCTCAAAGACTACAAATGCCGCTTTGTTATGCCCTGAGGCTGATCTCTGCGTCCAACTTACAGGACAGATCAGCCCAGTTGCGAGATTTACAGTGAATTGGAAGATGTTGTTGGGGACTAGACTCGGCGCATGTACCATGTTTACCGACCAGTATTTGCTGTCCGTCTCGCGGCCCGTGAGCTCAATCGGGAATGTGTATGGGGAGAAATCTCAAGAGCTTTGCTTGGTCCATATGGCGAGAATCGTGGAGGATTTGCAGAATGTCCCTGCACTTGCACGCGGCTTCCTGCTTCAATTATCGTGGGCTCCGTCAACATCGCGGCTCTCCACCGCTGCCAGTCATTAATTGAAGTTGGGCCATGCGATACACCGCTCACAAGGTTGTGGAAACAATTTGACTATCCATGGGATACTCAGAAGTTTATCTTTTCAATAGGACCGGGGCCTCTGAGCTCCCCCATAATTTGCATGCCTTCTTCCCGTTGTCTCAGACTCTGCACAACCTCAAGTCCTTCCCCATTCAAAGTCCCTGCCCCCAGCCGGTGACTCCGAGTCTGCTATCATTTCTTCGAGACTTTCGGCAGACTTCCTGGTTGGGAATTAGCTCCTTCATCTTTTACTTCATACTCAGTTCTGTGCTACATGTTCTCAAAATCACCCCCTGGAGCTTTTGATTCTTACTTCTCAAGTCTATTCCTGTACGATCCAAGGTCAGCCACCGCCGCCTGAAATCGCTGCGTGGGTATATAGACAGCCAGATCCTGCACTCGCGCGGTTGTGTCTTGTCTGGAACTGCTATCTCTGGCAGCTTGCACCTTCCAACACTGCACTTGCTGTTCTGTGACACCATTTTATTCGAGAAATACCGCTACCCGACTCGATACCGAAGAAAGCTACTTATCTGGACCAACATACTTGTTGAAAGAGAAGCGCAAACACAACAACATTCGCTCAAACTCATGAGTAAGGCAAGGGTGAGACACGACTATTGTTTTCGAGTTCGATATTCGTTACCAGCACATGTCATGATTGTCAGTTCCGTCCCAGACCTCGATTGAGAAGCACCATACTTCAGAGCGCTCGAAACTCTCGAATCATCCTTTCTGGGATAGAAGCTGGACACCCCCAATTCATCCTTTGATGCTTGTCGATAACATTCTGCTCTCGGGGTAGGAAATGATCCATAAGTCATATAGGTTGCGTCCATGAGGAGACAAGGGCATCCGGTAGCCATGAGGAATACCCACGATATACGGGAAATGGCACCCTGGGTTGCTAATGTTGGGGACAAGGCTGCCATTGATTGGGTGCAGCTTCGACTTCTTGCGAGTTGAGAGCCGCGCTATTCTGAAGACTGTTCTTAGCATCCCCATCAATTGATCTACCTGAAGTACAATCTGGAAGGCAACTTGAAGCTGATACAATCGAAGATTTAGGACCGAGAAAATAGCAAGGGGGCTACCGTGCTTCCACGAGTGAGGCGAGCAGAAAATCAAGCAGGGCCTACTTTCAGAGTCGAAGGTATGTCGTTTGACAGTTCATGAAGCTTCGACACAGATCCTAGTTAAGCAGTTATTGTCTGGCAGATCGCTAACTTCAAAGCCCGTACAGTGCATGAACCTTCTAGCAAACTCACTTGAAGTTTTATCCATTTGATGATAAACGCCGCTCAGTTGCTTGAAAAGGGCGTATGAATTCTCAACTTCCCAAGGTAGGATACTTTCATCTCGGTACAGGAATAGCCAACAGGCTCTTCAGCCTCAGATCAATCATCAGCCCTTGGATATCTTGACTGGGTTCACAAAGCTCTGTACTTTGATGTGCTGCTTTTCTATGGTACGTGTTGAAGATTTCCTCGGTCCTTGTGTTATCCCCTCTCTTACATCTCCTCGCCGGCATAAACGGAGTTACTGCACCTACTGCCCTCGTCATACACAACAACGCACTATGAATTGGGCTGCCGCGGTCCCCCACCAACGCTTTTCATAACAGGGCACTCGCAGCTATGGATGAGATGGCTGTAGACAATCGATTTGTTCGAACAGCCAATCCTGCACTGCAATTGCTTGTTAAGGAACCTAAACAAGTGTTTTAGCTCGGCAAGGAATGAGCGGTGTCGATCGGGATGCAAAATCATGCCCTGTTGTGCTCTTCATTTTTGCTTGTGTTTCTTACACCAAGACAAGCAAGCCGAAGATCTTGTTCATAGCCAGGTTTGCCTCTGAGTTCCCGAGTTCCACCAGACATGATTGCCAGGTGTGGGAGCAGGATGAGCCAGTGCTTATATTGAACATGACAAACCAAGCAAATAATTTGTATGAATCTGGAGAAACGCATGGGGACCCATTCGGTCATTACCTTCATCATTGACTAACACAAAATCAGGATTGTGCGGTCTATCATTATGTTGCTACTGCCATGACCACGTTATGGCCAACCCGGAGACGCAAACAAGTTCCATAGCTTCCCTTGGATATGAACAAAGTTTGTCACGACTACCCGATTCAAGTGCTAACACGAAGTCTCTTAAGCAGGATTACGAATCTTCGACGCCCACCATGGGCTACATGGATATGGCGACGCACACTGGAGAAATGAGGTCAGTCTTATTCTTATTGTTACTCTTCTGGTCTCGTTCTACCTTGAATACTTCTTTTTATGCTCGACTACGTTGATTGCTTCAACGTCTCTACACTTTATTGGCAAAATTCCCCATCTCCTACGTATCCATGATCCAATTCATATGGCCTTCCTGCTGTGCCAGCCTCGGTGAGCACTCAGTCCGACTGCACTTCTCAATTTCCCATGGCCTTTCCAATTTGATGGTGAGTGGCTTAATCTTGTTCGTGAGTTGTGAGCTAGGCACTGGGGCGCTTTTAAAGCGACCAACCAAGCTTGAGTATACCCATGTCGCTGGCGGCAAGGGCTGAATTCCAGCTCTCTGATAACTCAGTACGAACTTTTGAAACACCACTTTACTTTCCCTACCTGTCTGCTCATGCCCATCATTATTTTCTTTGCGCTTTCTCAGCTGCTGCTGTGGCAGGCCTCAACCTTGGTGGCGCGCGCTGTTGAGTCAGGCTCTGAAAAGATTGATAGTTGTTAGCATTTCACTATCTATTACGACCCTTGACAATCGCTTCAGCACCACCCCTGTCACCTTTCTTTGCTTTTTACATTGTCTTAGTTCGTTAGATTCTGCCTGTCGTCACCTTTGTCTTTGCTTTGTGACCTATTCCCTAGTATCCCCACCAGATTTGTGAAACCACCAAATGGAGGGCCCTTCTTACTCACGATCTTCCCACACGTCACCCTGGTCTATCCACTTACTGCTTTGACCTGCACTTATCTGCACGGAAACAGGGCCTGTCTACATTACAACGTAGCTTGTCGGGGTAATTGGCAGCAAGCGCAGCCTTGTCAGCTATTCTGTCGAGCATTCCAATCCCCATTCTTTCATTATTACGCAAGACCTCCTACTCCTAATCCCAGCCTCCCCTCCCTGAGCTCCTCGCTTGTGTTTTCCCCTTTGTTGTCTACGGACCGATCGAGCCCTTGCCTCACCCATTCGTCTATCGAACATTCCCAGGCTAGCCAGTGAGTGCATACATTTCACGCGCTCTCGGTGCTGGCAGCCCGTCAAATCAAATCCCTCTTGGTGGTTTGATCATAACGCAATGGATCGTTAGCTGTCTTCGTTTTAACATTGACCCCTGGGGTGTGGTACTTGCTGCCTTGCGCGGAAACTAGTCCTAGTATCCTTCCAACCCTATTCTACCCGCTCACTGGCTGCTTTGTTACTATATTCGAGTTTCCGCTTACTGTTGCTCCCTACCTGCTTCTTGTACTTTCGCACGCCCACTGCACTGCACTGCAACTATTACTTGCCTAACCCGCTCCTCTCCCCTACTTATTGACTGCACGCCGCCCCGTCTCAGCGCCCAGCACCAGCGCCCAGCACCAGCGCCAGTGCCGGTGTCATTGTTAGTACCAGTGCCAGTGCCGTGAGTTGCTGCATTGGCTGTCCTTGTAGCCTCTCGAAACTGCTCGGCTGAGCTTTGTGGCACACCAACGGCCGACGGTATTACCTGACGTACACCTCAAGCTGTGATACGGGGGACACTGTATTTCCAGGGAATGGCAATACAGCGTCTTTGTGACCACATACTCTGCCGTTGTTACTGCCACTGCCGCGCCGTTGCTGTTTCCTACCTATCTACCTAACCTTATCGCTACTCATTTCTGCTGCTACTTTTCTCCGGTCAACCTGAGGCCGTTTTGCTGATGAGGCGCCAGATACCCACAAGAGGCCAGTACTTCTTTGACGATAGAGCCCACCCAGCCTTCGTCACTCTTAAACTTGTTCCATCCGCCGGTTCTCAGCTCCACTGCGCAGTACCCCCAGGACGGAGGTGCCTTTTTCCAGTCTCAACAGACTGGCCATCATCATCTCTATCCGGGTATTGACATCCGCTCTCGTCTGGGCTCCAAGTACGTCCTTCCTCTTCTCATCTGTTCCTGCAGTATCCTAGCAACTTTCCATATTCCTCAGACCTCACCACGTCAAGTTGAAGATCATGTCTTGATGGCGCCTTTGGAATCCTGCATCTCTCCCATCTTTCCTCTCACTCATTATCTAAAGCTCTGATCACCATGTCTCTTGTATTCAAGCAAAACATGAATATATGTGTGCATTGAGCTCGATATCTACTAGACAAAAGAGAAGCTCTATTGAGCAGTGCAGAGTAGAAACTGACCACTGCTGGCAGCACCGCATCAACAACGGGGATGGCACATCCCTTTCCCCCTTCACATCGTACCCCAGGTCTCCCACATCCTGGTCCTCAGCTCAGTACTCGAGAACAGTACACCTCCGCCACGCCGGGGTTTAGGAGGCCTTCCGAGCATTCTGTACGATCGCCTTCCTTTGCCGCACAGCCTAGAGGAAGGCATCCATTGTCGCCAACTACAAGCCCCAATACAGTTTTCTCGGCCCCAAGCATGGGTTCTAGCGGGTATGGAAGCCGGCCGGCTGTAAACAATATTCCTCCCCTACAGCCAGTTCAAATGTTGGGAAGTCTTCAGTACAACGACGGCGCAGGGACGCCTTGCAAGGTGGACATACAGGGTGTCATCGACAAAGGGTTTTTCTTGTCGGAGAACGAATGGACATGTTACCGCAGGAACTACTTTTCCTGCATTTGCTCCTTTTCATTGAGCCCTCATATCCCTAGCGTCTCCATTCAGTTTACTGCGTCTGGCTCAACGCAACCTTCCCAAGTCTATGGATTTGCTATGTCTATCTCGGCAGTTGTCTCCGATAACGAACAGCACAATATCGAGCTGGTACAGCACACACCAAAGAGAGACAAGGGTCCCATTATGAAGCCTGAAAGGGTTCGACTCAACAACAAGCCTCCCCAATCAAGTCATCACCACCACATAGGCATGTTCACAGACTCAGTCGTACCCAGTCGCCCTGTATACCCCGATAACTTTAACGGCCAGCCCGGTGGTCAGCAGCTGCCAACAGAGCACACGTTCGAGCGCATCCAGTTCAAGCAAGCCACACAGAACAACGGAAAACGCAGAGCTGCTCAACAATACTACCAGCTGGTTGTCGAGCTATGGGCTGATGTCGGTCCTCAGACTGGCGGTGATCAGTTCGTTAGGATAGCGACACGGAAGTCTGCAAAGATGATCGTCCGGGGACGCTCCCCAGGACACTATCAGAACGACAGACGTGGAAGTCAAAGCAGTGGACCGGGAGGCTCTTCAGGTAATGTCGGCGGTTACCCTGTCGGCGGCATGGCCGATTTCAATACCTCGATGATGGGAGGGCCAGGCTATGCCCCTGGCGGTTTCGATGCTCGTGGAAGCCTCTACGGTGTACGCCATCATGACATCCCACCCGAATCGATGATCCCACAAGAAGACTCGAAGGCTATTGGAACGACTCGGGAGTACCAATACTACCCAGGACCTCTGTATGAAAGCCAAAGCGACCGAATTGACCTGTTCAACCCGCGTACGGACCGCGATAACGTTGTGCCACACATGGCCACAGGAATGGACGTGAATGGTAAGATCAAGCCAGACTACGACGGCGCCGCTCTACCCAGCATTTTCCATCCCTCAGGCCAACTAAATGACCGCCCACCAGGACCTTTCGAAGGCAAATCGACATCGAGCGGCTACTATCCAATCCCCTCATCGGGAATCAACATGACCATAACATGATTTATGTCATGGGACATTGTTCTAGAAACCGCAGTATGGGGTACAGGTTCTGGCATGAGTTATAGCTGGACCAAATAATACTCCAAATTGGCGACATCGCAGATCATAACATGGAGTTGGGACATCAATCTTTTTCTAGATCAAAGCGTCTAAAACAAAAACGGGAGTAAATAGCGACAAAACCACGGCATAATCATCGGCATAGTTGTGTATGGAGGCATGATCACGGCGTGGGTATAAATCTGGGACTTGGACTATGGCCGACTCGAATTCTTCCTTCGTTTGATAATCCTGGGGCACTTCGTGATAGAAGTAGTCTCAAGTACGGCAAATTGTGCAGAGAAATCAAGGGATGGATGCAAAGCATAACGACGTGTACGACAAGAAGCAAGGAAACGAAGTGGACAGGCAAAAGAAAAGAGCATGGTGAGAATGTACGAGAGCAGCACAACATCAACAAAAACGAGGCGAAAGGCGAGCAGAGGTGAGACGGATGGGTCTTTTTCTGATTTTGGCGAAACGGACACGGTCGGGAGAGGATGGATACCCCGGGTGCATTTCTTCGATTCGTACGGCACATTGTTTTATCACTTTGATGTTCTCACTGAATGTAATTATTGTCATTTTCCTTTCTTTCTTTTCTCTCCTTGTTATTTCCTTGGACACAGTCACACCTGTAACCATGGGCATTTATGTTTGTTGTTATTTCTAATGGCATTTCTAATGGCATTTCAAATTCGCTGGGGAAGTTGTTGAAAAGCTAGGAGGAAGCAGAATGGTGAAGCTCTAAAGAAGGCTCAAGACACGAAGCATTTGGGAAGGTACCAGGCGTTGAGGGGCTCAGAAACAGAGATGAAGGCCAAGACCAAGAGAGAGAGACAGTGACATACAAAATGACTCAAGAATATGAGGCTGACAGGGTTGTGCATTGCCAGTTGAACAATTGGCTCCTCGAACAGTACCTTTCCAACGGATACCCGGTTCCCCCGTGCAGCTTACCGTGTAGCGGGCCTTTTTGAGCCGTGAATGCAGGGTCCTATAGCAAAAAGAGAGACATTGACTCTGATATTGCATGGACTAAATCAGCCATGCCTAAACACCAGCTCAGGCTTGAGCGATTGTCATGGCCTGGGAAATGGGAATAGCATGGGGGTGTGCCAGTTGTGATGATGATTCGCAAGCATGGCCACTTCTAGCAGCGCTTGAACAAAGCCTCAGCAGGGCCAGATCAAGGGTTCGAGGTGGAAATCTGCAGGATCTTACTCCAGAGACAATGATTCCAAGTGGTAGTCCAGGGGGTGTAGCTACGCGAGGCGCAGGTATTTTCCAACTGGGTTGATATGACGGCAGGGCAGACAAGCCATCCTTGTTATATCAGCGTCTGATATGTGACTCAACAAAGTGCAGCCTACTTAGACTACGGATATCGCTTCAAGATGGAGGTTAGGCATGGAGTGGAGTGGGTTAGAATAAGGTTGTCCTAGGCACGCTAAATACGTTTCCCCCACCGGAAAGGGCCGGACCGCTAGCTAACGTCGTCGCCTGTAAAATAGGGCGCCTTGGGCCCTTGACGCTGTAAATTTAGTTCAATTAATTAGCTTTCTCCGGGTATGAGGTGGAGGTAAAGTTGAACAAAACTCCAGTGATTGGAGGCTGAACCGTGTTGACTTGGTGTGTATGTACGGAGTACGGTGACGCAAGAGGCACATGGCCACTGATCGCAATCTATGTCCATGTCCTGACGATGGTTCACTTTACGACTTTTTTTCTTCTTCAATGCAGAAGGTTACTGCAAGATGATGGAATGGGAGCTGTTATGTGGAAATGATGATCGAGAGGGCTGCTGGTGCTGGGCTTTCAGGTACATGTAGGTACTTGAAAGAAGGTTTTGGGTGGATCGACGCTAGGTAGGTATCGTGAGGTTTGGATCTCAATAGTGGAGCAGGTCGGAGATCTAATTGCAGGTGCCAATAAAGCAATTGAATTTGATACTGCATATACTCGTGTGTTAAGTAGATGGATTGGTCTTGGTAGTAGAGGTAAAGAGGCCTAATTTGGTACCGTGTTCAGCGACTGTTGGCTCTAATTTAACAGACGAAAATCAAACTCAAATGTCGTTAATACTCAGTTGGTCCACGTGCATTGAACAAGGGGGGAGGAATAGCAAGCGATCAGATAGATTACCCAGTATTTTTTACAGGCTAGGCCCCTACTCGACCCTGGGCTTAGACTCTAGGGATGTTACTTGCGCTGCAAGTGATTCTCGCATTTGACATGAAGTGCAGGGAGGGGACGGACGGGTCAGGCGACTTTGGTTACGCGGTAAGTGCCAAGAGCCTTCTACTGACAGAGCATTGATGTATACATACAGCTAACTGTGTGTACAAAATAGAGAGAGCAATTACAGGATGGATTAATGTACCTGCTGTTACGTCACTTGACAGGTGATAGATGTGACAGTGGAGGATCAATAGCCTTTTTGATATGGTAGAAGGGGAGTGGAATATGCAGCTTGGCTGAGGCAGATAGATAGGTTATTGCAGAGTCTAGAGAGCAGAGGTACTTCCTTAAGCATGTAATATCACTCACACCTCCATGTCACCGAGTACCCGGTTTAGCACATCTCCTCCTGACAACGGCAACCCTCAGACATTATTTTACAGGCCCTGCTCAAACTCCACCGAGGCGGGTAATTCTGCAAGCCTCCATCTCCCCGTGTTACACAGGCATAAGCACGGCAGCGGTAAGCGCGGCAGCCAACAGAGGCCGAAAAGGCGAAAGCGCGAACCCTCTCCCCTTCCTAATAAGAGTCTGAGACGTGAGAGACTACTAACGGATACGGAGTGATACCTTGGGAAAAGTACATAGTACATTCCTCAGGACATCTTCGGCTTTGGCTTCGGCCTCGCTTTTTGAACATTTTCAAACCCCCCTCTTTTTTATACGAAACTCACCTCTGCCACGGCTTTAGTTTTCAGCCATATGATCGACTATGTTATATACTCAGAACATTCTTTCCGTCTACAGCGATAACGTAGTCTTGGCAATGCCGAGATACGATGCATCCACCGATCGACATCAGCAAGATTTGAAAAAGAAAAGAAAAAAGAAAACGGGACTGATCACAGCTCAAGTGAGACACAGAAATCCCACACGCCAGGTAATTATAACTCTCTATAACAAAAAACGCCACGAAATCGTCGCCCGAACTCTAGGGTGCTTTTTTTTGAGGCTCATGCAAGGTCTTCACCGGTCAGCGGGCTGGCGTATCCCTGGCCCCCCCTTGCAAGGGGGGGAAACAAAAGACGAGGCTCCACTCGTGAGGTCTTCTTCGGACGCCGGTTTCAAGAACAAAAGACAAGACAAAACAAAAAGGCGGAGAAATGTCGTGCCAGGGCGTGTTGGTGCAAGAGTGAAAACTGAAGAGGGTGGTGTGACGCGGAAAGGCGATTCTGATATCTGACAGAAATACCAGCGTGAGAGAGGGGAATGGGTGAGAAAGATATGGCATGATGTGATTGTCTATGGACGATGTTTGATATGGTAGAGAAAGTCTAACAAATGGTGCTTTTAGGTTTCTCATCGGCCTATGCTATGATATTTTCCAACCTGTCTAGTCCCTCGTCTGTATCATCTGCATATATGCAATAGGCTGGACATGATGCATTAACTATATCCTCCATATGGCATCCGCCATCTTAGCCACCAAACCCATCTCGGCCGTGTCGTGAACCCTCACCACATCCGCTCCGCCCTGAACCGCCGCCGCTACCGTCGCCGCCGTGCCCCATGTCCGCTGCGCCGGCTCCGTGACCCCCGTGATCCGCCCGACAAACGCCTTCCGGCTCGACCCCACCAGCCACGGCAGACCCTCCAGCCCCGGCCAGTACCGCAGCTCCTCCAGCCGCCGCAGGATCTCAAGGTTCTGCTCCCCCGTCTTGGCGAAGCCGATGCCTGGGTCCAGGATGATGCGCCACCGCCGGATACCCGCTGCCTCGGCCGCTGCTACACGCTCAAGAAGCTCCGATGCCACTGTGGAGATCAGCCCGTCTGGGTATGACGTTAATTTTGTCATAGTCTGTGGCGTACCACGCATGTGCATCAGGCAAATCGTTTTCTCGAGACGGGCGACGGTAGAGAGCATGTCTGGGTCGAGGAGACCGGCTGAGACGTCATTGATTATGTCTGCTCCGCTAGCGATGGCCTGCTCGGCAACTGATGCTCGATACGTGTCGATGCTGATGGCCACGTCGCGGGCTTCTGGAAGCGAGCGGATGAACTGAACCGCGGGCACAACACGAGATGCTTCTTCCTCGGCTGAAACTTCTGGTCGACCAGGAGCAGTCGACTGGCCGCCAATATCGATGATGGAAGTACCGTTTTGGACCATACTCATAATGGTCTGGGTAAGGTTCTCCCGATCGTGATGGCCTCCATCCGAAAACGAGTCCGGTGTCAAGTTGAGGATCCCCATAACGTGTGTCTTTCTCTTGCCAGCCAAAGGCGTCAAAGAGCCTGCTGTCGAAGAAAGGGGCGTCATGGAGGAGAGAGGTTCGCCGAGCGGCAACTCATTTAGATTATCCTGGATGAGCTTCCACGGCTTCACGGGGTCCAATGATTTGGCTGGGATAAGTCTGCAACTCTCCGTTAGAATACCTTGACTGCTTTGATTTGTGATACATACTCAGCCAGGGGTCTCAGGACGAATTCCCGCTCCAGAATACCAATATGGGGGATCTTGAGCCGCTCGTGGTCGACCTTTTCGTCACCATAGAGAAGGATATCGAGGTCAATGTTACGCGGGCCCTTATCGATGACCTTCTTGCGTCCCATGTCGTTCTCGATGGCTTGAAGTTGATCCAGCAGAGCTATAGGGTCAAGATCTGTCTCGACCTAGTGATTGGTTAGCAAGACGCATCACGGATGCTTTTTGATATACATGCCTCGCAAGCGCCATTAACAAAGCGGTCCTGGTCGGTAACATACATAGGCTCAGTCTCCCAGAGGCTGCTCGTCCTCTTGACTTTGATTCCCCTTCGATCCATCTCATTGCACGCACGCTCAATCTCAGCAACGCGGTCACCCATGTTGCTTCCCAGGGCAATATACGCCATCCTTTTTCTCGGCTCATTACTCCCACAGCCACCTCCATTCGCTCGCGCACATCCACAAGCCGTGTGTTGAAGCCCAGGAGTCGTGCATCGTGCAAGAGAGCGCGGGCGCGCAGCGAGGACAAAAGGTCGCTGATGAGGCCGTGTTGACGTCAACGAGCACCGCGGCACAGTGGCAAAAGCCCGCAAAGACCGATGAGAAGCATTATGGCCGGTGCTTCTGAGGCTTTGAATGAGCGGGCGGGACGAAAAAAGAGGTTGTCTCATGGCGAGTTCTGCTGCTGCTACATCACGGCCTCGGATATGGTGTTGAGTGAGGTCGGACGCATTGTATGGCCGCAAAAATTTGCGTTAACAGAACACTGGGTGTGGGCCTAGTGGCCTCAACAGTGCAATTAAAGTGCTGTGAGCGTTAACACCGAAACTACATCATCGCGACTTTTGATTGTAAGTAAACGAAGAAATAAGCTGACCCTTTATTAACCTGATTAGTAGCTTCTGGTCTTACTGGGCGGGCTTCAATTAATTACCATGTGGTCGTCATGATTCCATGTCACGGGTTTCATATTGCTGACTGATGACTTGACAGTGAGCACATGTGAAAGAGTGTGCCTTTGGGGCTAACGTTGAACGGTTACAGGGCTGATGATCGCTGGCTTATACAGAAGCCACAGAGGTCAAGTGCACTAACAATTCCTATGCCTACAGTGGCCGAGTCGGCGCTGTTAATGACTTGATCTTGCTTGTCCCGAGGCATCTTTACCTTCCCCAGACTCGACCTGCCACTATCCCTAATCCGGACGCACCTCCACTCTCTCCCGCCTTCCGTCTCATACTCCAGACTCCAGACCTCGGCACGTCCTATCGCGAGACCATCTTTTTTGGCTTTCGGTCTCTTGTTCCCCTCTCAATTCTCAGCTGATCAGCCGAAACTCCTTGCACGCCCTTTTTATACCCCGGATTCTCTCCTGATACGCGATTTTCTTTGTTCTTTATCTATCCATCAATCTACCTACCTCCTCCACGACGTAAAAGAAGCCAGTTCTCTTCAGTCGCGACACGATAGCATCTTTTAAACAGATACACACACGCAGACAGACATCATGGCCTCACCACGTACGTCATCATCATAACCCCCTTCGCTCACTCTCGTCAATCGCTAACGTTCAGCTCAATGCAGAGAAGCTCCGAACTCCCATCACGGATCTGTTCAAGATCCAACACCCCGTCATCCTCGCGGGCATGAACGTTGCCGCCGGCCCCAAGCTCGCCGCTGCTGTCTCCAACGCTGGCGGTCTCGGAGTTATTGGCGGTCTCGGATACACTCCTGACATGCTGCGCGAGCAGATCGCAGAGCTCAAGAGCTACCTCACCGACAAGAACGCCCCCTTTGGCGTCGACTTGCTGCTTCCCCAGGTTGGTGGCAATGCTCGCAAGACCAAGTATGTTGCTTCTCCCCATATTACGGGCCCTCGGTCCGTGGGATCTTGCAATCACATGCAGATCTTACTAGTCACAACTCACAAGCAAGACGCTAACCTAACGCTTTAATAGCTACGATTACACAAAGGGCAAGCTCAACGAGCTCGTCGACATTATCATTGAGGAGGGCACCAAACTCTTCGTCTCTGCCGTCGGTGTGCCCCCCAAGGCCGTCGTCGACAAGCTCCACGCCAATGGCATCGTCTACATGAACATGGTCGGCCACGTTAAGCACGTCCAGAAGTGCATTGACCTCGGCGTCGACATCATCTGCGCCCAGGGTGGTGAGGGTGGTGGCCACACTGGCGATATTCCCACGACTGTCCTCATCCCCGCTGTCGTCGACATTTGCAAGAAGCACAAGTCTCCTCTTACCGGCGGCCCCGTCCAGGTTGTCGCTGCCGGTGGTATTCACAACGGCCAGCTCCTCGCTGCCTCGCTTATGATGGGCGCCAGTGCCGTCTGGGTCGGAACCCGCTTCATCCTCACCGACGAGGCCGGTGCACCAAAGGCCCACAAGGACGCTGTGCGCACATCTGGCCACGATGATAACATCCGCACTCTCATCTGGTCTGGCCGTCCCATGCGCGTGCGCAACAACGACTACATCAACGATTGGGAGACCAACCGCCAGGCCGAGATCAAGGAGCTCGTTGCCAAGGGTGTCATCCCTTACGAGGCCGATCTCGACAAGCTTGCTGAGAGCTCCAACGATAACGACAACGACAACGACAACGATGAGGATGAGGATTTCCTCGACAAGTACCGACCTTACCTCATGGGCAAGTGCGCAGCTGTTGTGAACGAGGAGAAGCCCGCAAAGGCTGTTGTGGACGAGTTCGTAGACGACGCTGTTGCGTGGTTGCAAAGAGGCAACAAGATGATTGCCAAGCTGTAGCGAAACCATGAGATACCATGTCATTTATCTTTTGTTTATATAGTATATCTGTAGACCAGACCAGAAGCATTGTTTGCTTGCATGTTCCGCCAACGGCATGAATTGGATTACCATTTCTCCTTACCCTTGTTATCATCAGTTCGTTCCACAGCATAAATGCATTAATACCGCTCATTTCATTCACACCAGCAAACAACCCTAGCGAAACAAAACAAATCTTTCATTTCATAAACTAGGAAAACATCAAATCTATTTCATACTAGAGTAACCAAAACAGTCAACTTTGACATTGCATGTACGCCAGCTCCAAAAAAGCACTCCGACCCCAGATACATGCCAAGCGCAGCGTCTGAATGCGCCTCGCCATGTTTCGCTCGACTATGAAAATCGAACCGGCGCATGCATCTTCTGGTTCATTCCAACTGTTGCTTTTTCTCCCGACAAGACGCTTGTCAACTCAAGCATCAGTCGTGCATACTCCCTCTCTCTCTATCTCATTAACAAACTCCGATCAGTTTCCAAGGTATGATCGGATAGCTCCCTGGAGTCGGCCAGACACCTCACCAGCCATTTGCGTCAGGTTCTCAAGATCGTCGCCAGCTGTGATGCCAAACTTGCGCACGAAGTCCTTAGCAGCTGACTCAAGGTCGCCGTAATCCTCCTCGGGCTCGTCCTCTGGTCGTCCGAAGTAGGCGTTTGAAGAGATGGCGCTGGCGCCCTCGAAACCTTGGAGTCGGGTCTTGGCCTCGGCCTGAGAGTTGGGGTCGAAAGCGCCCTTGCCGAAAAACTCGTCGGATGAGATACCCTTCTGCATGCCAAACTTGTTACGGGCATATCGCTCAGAATCGTCTAATTTCTCGTTAGTGTCACATCTCAATGGCCGCGCTGTTGTAAAACATACCAACATCAGCAGCTCTGACAGGTCCAACGGAGCCAAAGCCTCCGGCGTTTCTCTTGGGTGCGGCAGCGGCAGCAGCCTTGGGGCCACCAATCTGTCCGAAACCCAGTCGGCCCATACCCATACCCAATCGTTCAACTTCGGCATCTGACTTCTGGCGCGTATGCGACGAGGAGTTACCACGGCTGGGGCTCACGGGGGTAGGAGAGATAATGGAGGCAGCTGAGCCAGAAGCGTTCTTGGTCGCGGGATCCTCCTCGGCATCGGGGTCGTAGCCAAGCTTGGCAATTCGGTCAGCCTCCTCCTTTGCCTTCCTTTCCGCCTCGTCAAAGTCAATCACATCGCTGGTGACCTTCTTCGCGCCCAGCTTGGTGGTTTTCTTGGCACCGAGGACATTGGCCTTGCGGGGGCCGGTGGAAGTGGTCGACTTGCGTAGGTTGGCGGATGAAGTAATTCGGCTTGTGGCAGGCTTGTTCTCGCCAGTAGAGCTTCGTGAAAGGGGTGACGCTGTGCGAGCGATGTCCTTGCCGTTACCCGAGTTCAAGAAGGGAGAGGGCGTGCGGCCGACAACAGGAGGAGTTCCAGTGCGAGAAACGGGAGGTGTAGGCCTCTTGATAGCAGGCTTGTCCCAGGAAGAGAAGAAGTCGTCGTCGGGCTCGCCAGCAGGGGTAGCAGAGGCGTCGTCAGCACCGTCGGTAATCACAACCTCGCCAGGGTAACTGGACACATGTCAGCGATGGTCAAGGGGGGTATTTGCGGCGCGGAAATATACTCTTGGGCATCTCGTGCAGCGCGACGCTTGAGTTCATCTTTATACTTTGTGGCAGCGTTGGATTGGTACTTTGTCTTGGGGTCCTTGCTGTTGAGCGCGGCAGTACCGCCGTTTTGCTGGAAGAACTTGGTGGCAGACTCATTACCACCAACCTTCATCACTCGTAGCTGATCCCATTGCCACTCTAATCCAACTCGTCAGTTCTGAAGGGCGATTTGGGACAAAGTCAACACATTGGGAGGCTACGTACGGTCGAGGTTTGTCGATCGCACGAACGAGATGTGCACACCAAGGTTTCGGTGGTTGGAGGAGCAGTCAAGGCAGAGGTAGATGCCAAAGGGGACCGATGTCCATGTAGGGTTCTTTTGACCGCAGTCGAAACAGATCTGATAGAGGGCGCGCAAGAGTCAGCTTATCTGCCCATCGTCTGCGCAATCGGAGTGGCTAGGATCATACCTTGTTGGCAGGCTTAGACTTGGTCTTCTCGAAGAATTTCAGCGACTGCTGCTTTGTCGCAAGAGAGGAGGTGCTCATCTTGACTATTGGGCCGTGATCGGGTGGGACTGGGACGTAAAGATGACACAAGGAGGTCTCGATGCCGCGACAAGTTGTATGTGCGAGCGGTCTATTTGCGATGTGTCAAAGAGAACGGGAGGACAGAATTGGTATTGGTCAGGCTCGAAAAGGGAATAAGACAAGTCGACGTTAAGTGTCTGGGCCCTCAGAATTAAGGAGAACCCGTAGTCAAGGGCAGTTGTCGATAAGGTGGCATATCGATGGACGCTAAACTCTTTTCAGTCACCCCACCTCGAATTCTGCCCCGGGCGGTGGAGCCGCAACTACGCTGGAGTGGGAGCTTCTGATGATGGGTTTCTCGATAGCTTGACCTAACCATTTAAACAAGATATAAAATCGCAATCGCAATCGCAATCGCAATCTTCAGGACGCTGCGTCCTAGTACAATGGCTGCTGTCCAATCGCAAACGCCAGGATGAAACCGACGAAAAATCTCATCGCGACCCGATCAACCGCCTTCCGAGGCATTCCATCGACGCTACGACCCTTTCTTGTCTCTCGCTTCTATGCGACTCAGCAAGGCCTAGGAGCAACGCCGCAGGGCCCTAAGCGACGAGCAGTGACGCCATTTAATGACAATGGACATGTACCGTGGACAAAGCTTTCGGTAGGAGAGAAGGCAGCTCGAGCGACACAACAGAGCTTCAACTTTGGCATGATCCTCGTTGGTCTTGTTCTGACTGTAAGTCGCTGCATAGCAGGACATATACTGTTGCAAGACGATGTCTAACAATCTGCTAGAGTGGTGTGGGATACTTTCTGTGGACCGATGTCTTCTCCCCCGATAGCAAGATCTCCAACTTCAATCGCGCAGTCGACAAGATCAGAAGCGACCAACGTATACTCGAAATCATGGGTGATGCCAAGAAGATCACAGCGCATGGAGAAGAGACACTCAATAAGTGGAGGCGGGCACGCCCTGTTGCGTATGTTCGATTACTATGTCGGGACTTGTACAAGTGCTGACCGTTACAGTTCCTCGGAAACAACAGATGCTCGTGGAGACCAGCATATCATGATGCACTTCCATGTACGTTCGCTAGTATCCCGAAACCTAGTCCTAGCTAACAAGTCTAGGTTGACGGACCCAAGAATAGCGGCATTGCCCGGCTACACATGGTTAAATACCGAGGACGCAGTGACTACGTATACAAGTATCTTTTTGTAGATATCCCGGGTCACGAGAGAATCTATCTTGAGCATGAAGATTCGTCCTCGTCCAAAGACGGCAAAAAGTTCAGTCTATTCGGGGTGAAATGGAGCTGAATAATGCAACCTGGGAGTCCTCGAAGAATTCTCGAGCTCTGAACCCCTTCCTATCTCGGTCAATTCGGCCATTGAGTTGATAAAACGAGTAGAGGGGTTTTCTTGTATCATATCCTGGCCGTCGGAGCTCAGTCAACGACCACCTGTAACTGTACCGATATTCTTTGTTCTAAGTGCTGTTGTCATCATACAGCGCGGTGATCTTGATGGGCAAGCCGTGTATTTCATATTCGTGTGTTTGGCGTAACTTGTCTTCATAGCAAGCCTACATGTACTATGAACTGATGAAGGAATTAAATGAAAAGTTATGTTTGAACTTATGCCACTGGCCTCGTCTTCTTGGTCAACCCTGTTTTCTCGTCTGGAGTGACTGAAACATCTGCAGAACTCCCATTTGCTTATGATGTTAAGCTAGTGATGCTTCGATTACTCTCTTGTATGACTCTTCAGAGTTTCCTTTGATTTCATGTTGGAGCCTCACTAGTACAGCCCTGCTGTCCAGAAAGGTTGATTGTTGGTTAAGTCTAGCCGACCAGTCCGATATACTTCACAGAACTATTATACGCGGTATTCGTACATATTCTGTCCGGCCTGTCGTAGCCAAGTGACTTGTATCGTTTCCAAAGCTAACAGCTAACAGAAGCTCCAGGACGCAACAATCATGCACTGGTTGTGCAGTTGCGATGTCTTTTGCGTCCAGCGAAGTATTTATGAGAAATTTCGGTAACTCTGGTCTCGACAGAGATTCTCTGATTGACATTTACGGAGGATTTCTCATTACATTTGCCAGCCAAATCGGATATGGTGTCATCCAACTCAAACATGCCTACCAAACCGCTCACTATCGCCTCTCATCATTCTCATGGCGACGAGGCAATAGCATACCCATACCTGATCTACATACACGTAACGGGAGCTAAGAACATACTCAATGGTTGTTAACTATGCTGTAACATAATCTCCTGTGTAATAAGGGCATCGCTCAGTCCTTGCAGGTGGATTGAGTACAGTGATAGGATCAAGTTCAGGAGTCTTTCAGACACATGTGCTCTTGTGTAGTCCCTACTGCAGAGTTTGTTCAAGAGTAATAACACCACTTCAAATGGTGCTTAGCGTAATACTGACAATCATGTCAGACAAGTGTTGTACAATATGAGTCCTGGTTACCAAATACATCCGCGATATGAAATCTGAATGTAATTTGTACATTACCATGAAGTTGCCCTGTAGTATAGGTGAATATCTGACATCGGGCAGAGCACAACAGCATCTTTGATCGTAATAATAAGGTACGGGCTTTCGACTCTTCAGTATGAGTTGGCATTACTTCGCCTGCTCATGATATATGGATATCGATCCTCCTGACCAAGAGAGGTTCTCAACTCTCTATGTTTCAGGTTCCAACAAGCTTCGAGATATCCTGCAAGTCCTGCATCAGTACGTGCAGAGGAACTCTACTGTATCGTCGCCGTAAGTTGCCGTTGCTTTGCAGACTAACTGGAACCTCCCCAACAAGCGTGAGCATGTGACGATGCATGTGATCGTCCTTCTCCGAGTCAACCGAGCTACAATCGCAAGGACTTGAGCCGCATTCGATTCAACACTGGAAACCTGATCAGTAGACTTCGGCTTCCATCATAGCAACTTCATATCACATAGCAGATCCTGATGGATCAATGACACACACAATTCCAGGTATAGTCACTCCCGCCGGGCCCTCAACCAAAGTTGACTTCTCAACCCAGCTCGAAACGACCTAGTCAACGGAACTTCCTTTTGGAGCAAAGCTCTGTTTGAGTGTGAGTGGTTCTCTTGGTGAAGCCATCGTCATGGCCATCCCAGGGACCCAACGGCCCATTACATCCACACCGTAGCGCATTGATCAGCAGTTTCTGGGGTGCGACCTTGCAGGGCGTGTGTTGAAATCTGGGGAAATAAAAGTGAAAGTTCATACAGAGTATTGATTATCAGTCACCGAGATCGGATCTGCAAAGCTGGTGCCTTGTTCGCTTCACCTTGGAATGCTGTCATAATGTCGTTCAACATGTCGACTTACACCCCCAGAGTAAAGTCATGCCGGTAGTTGCTATCCTCGGTCCAGCGGCTCTGGCGCTCGAAACTCCATCCACGCCCCCTTTGGAACAAAACTGGCATTTTTGTAGGCGCGGTAAAAAGAAGCTCTTGATTAACAGGTGGAGTCTCACCCTCTCTCACTAGTCCGCTTTAAAGGCTTGGTTCCAACACGATTCCTTCCGAGGTCTCTGCTCGGTAAATCCGTCTTGCTCCGAGGAAAGACTTTTCTTAGATTAGAACCCTGGAAGTTGAGCTCTGTCACAAGACCCCGGTTAAAAACGTGCGTCTTCTTAACTGTTGAATCACGAGTCGTAGACTATGAGGGCTTAGCATAGCTTGGACCCTGGGACGAGGAAAAGACTTCTAATGACTGTAAGCTCGGCTCAACAAGCTGTGTTTTGCACGCCCAGGAGCCTATCCAAGATGGACAAGTCTGTGGGTTAACACGTCGAGTTGAGTCCGTAGATATCAGATAGGCTTTCAGAGTTTCCGTCTGTCCGAATACCAAAGTGCGCCTGAGCGCCCGCTTGATGCACCAGAATATCAAGTACCAGCAACAGATGAAGTAGATCCTGGTATGAGGCTCTCCGAAACAGCCGGGTTTAACATGGTTGGTTATGTCGGTCATAGCCGAATATTTCCATCATTAAGTTTTGGGCTGCAGTGTACTTAAGCCTGATGGTGCGCAAGCAGGCATGGGATATGTTGCAAGTACCGTTCGCTATGCTTCAGATCGGTCTACCACTTGTCAGTCCCAAGTGTCAGGAACATTTGAAACCATCCAGATGTAATCAGAGGTCAGATAACCATTGTAATCACATGCCAAGGGATCAACCATGGCCTCATATTCCAACAGCGTATACCGATTCCCAGAGGCTTGGAGTAATCATTCAATGGTGTTTTCTCACACGTGTTCATCTCGGATCTCCAAACGACATTACCACCGTAGTTTTTCTCAAGCTGGCTACCTTCGACAGGCTGGCCAGAGGCCCGGCTTCGAACCACAACAGACGGCTCCTGTAGAAGCTCGTGAGTTACTAAATTGTTCGCCGATTTGCGTTGTTTTCTTGCTGAGCATATCAGTCATCTTACATCTTGCTTGCTCCCACGATCTCCACATCTGTCAAGGGTTCAGAGGCGTGCTGGCCTTGTCTAGCCCAAGCCAGGCCTCGAACTGCTGATAAGCTTGACCCATGCCAGATCCATCAGCCTGGGACTGCACTTGAACAATCACAACTTCGAGTAGTTGGTCCACACAATAGTGGGTTGCGAATAGAAGTCATGGGTCTTATCACGTTCTTCCAGTCGAAATATTCTGCCACTCATATTCACTCCAGGTTTGCTTCGAACCACCGGTTATCAGACTGTCCATTCTGGGGTGTCTGGTTGCACCACGGCGTTGGGTGTCAAATAGTGTCGTCGATAGGCACTTGTTTGTTATCAGAGCTGTTGCCGCTTGAAGATTGGATGTGATGAACCTCGGAGGTAAACTCGAACAAGAATCCTCTCAAATTGAATCCCTCGAATAACGAATAGTAGACTCCCGACCAGGCTTCTGGTTAACATTGAGGGTCGAAGAACCACCGTAAATAATTGCATGGTAGATGATCTAGTCTGTCTATCAGCCCTACACACTTGTGAGGTCGGCAAAGACAGGCCAGGTCGCATTGTTCGTTCAGCAGTCTGGTCGCGATGCAATATTCTTGATCAAGGAAACGTACGTTTGGGGGTTCGAAACGCTCGACGATCAATGGAATGTTTGGAGTGATCAAATATCTCGATGGAGGCCTATAGTCAAGTTGGAACGATCATTTGTCTTCAAGTTCATCAGCATAAAGGTCGTTTGACTTTATGCGAGCAACTGCCTGTACATTCGGGCCATATCGCTGCATTCACCCAGCCTACAGGCATTTGATATAGGCTGTGAAAAGTGCCTTGGCCTAGAAACCGCAGCGACGTAACGTAGTAATGAACCCGGCAGGTACCTGTTAGTGTTTTCAGGTTACAACAAGGGCTGGAAGACCCCCGTGTAATTGTTCACACCCCTCTCAGGGCACAGCGAGGTGGCGCGGCCTTGACCAGGGTTTTGCAAGGAGCTCTTCCCCATGCTAACTAACCCCTGCTCCTCTGACATATCGCGGGGCGTGGGCATGGGGGAATATGGGAAACATCCTCTTTTGGAACTTGGCTCTGGGCTGAAGCTGGAGCAGCGACAGTAACAACGACGCTTGTTCATAAAAACTCAACTCTTTTTTTTTTCTCACGAGGGCGAGGATCCCGTCGTCACTTTCAGGGTCCGATTTGTAATCTTTTATCCCTGGTTGCGAAATGTGCCTGTTGATGATCTCGTCAGGGCAGCCTCAAAAGGCCTCATTTCTCTGCCGTGCCATGTCTCAGAGCTCTAATGATATGCCGTCTGTATCCGTTGCAGATTAAAAATCTCATGTAGATGTATCCGTAAACACCGACGGGGCATCTGCACAAGTGCTCAGGTATCGCTTTGATGCTTTTGCTCGCGCCAACAAAAGGCTTATCATTCTGGCCGCTCCCGTTGCTGCCAAAAGTGCCCTGATCGGTTACATTTACCACGGCAGACCTCAGGTACCGTGCTCCCTAAATTGGGAGGTGGTTTGTCGCTGTTTTGCTTTTCTGGGAGCGTTCCTGAACTGGGATTGTTGCAGAGTAAGTTCTCTATCTCGGGGTGTTGGTCGATCATCTGGGGTTGGCGTAAATAGATCCACTGACGTAGTGTTTGAATACCTACATATGTACTCCGTACTCCGTACTGTACATCGAGAGTTCAGGGATTCGTTCTTCAGATCGACTCGATCATCGCCAGATGGATAGTTAGGAAGAATGCGAGTCAGAGCTTGACTAAAGAATGAAGATTAAATTATAGGATCGAGTATTGTCTGCGGGTATGCCATCGCAACAGGTGGATAGCTTAATTGACGACGTCAGCTCTTGCCATTTCAACCAACTATCAACTATTAAGCTTTATGATAAGTGGGCGTATGATGTGATGCAGGAAGGTAACAACAATAGACATGTTCTCCTTCCTGTCGAAGCGTATCAACCGAAATCACCTTCCACGTGTAGGTCTGTTAGGAGAGGTAGGTATGATTGAACTCATTATCACTTCTCTCCATCGTGTATTCGTCTTCTGGTTCTTTGCACTCCTTGGCCATTGCTCATCTCGCCGCAGATGTAGGACGGTCAAATTAAACATACATGACACATGATGATTGCGCTACGGGAGTGAACATGACAATTGATTTGTGATCATCTACGTCTTTCCTGTGTGCGCAGATCCTGAGCGACAACACACAAAATACAAGGAACGGGGGCGATCCTAATGGCATTTAGACAAAACTCCCCCTACAGAATCGGTATATTGGTGTCTGATCAGACTATGAATCGATGCAAACCCGATCAAACGATTCCATCACGAGCGGTGACCTGAGTTCCAAGCCCGAGTTTCGGGACCACAGCACTATACGACGTAGGACTCAAATAGCCTACTATTGTTCAGGAAAAAGAGGTTCATGACCTACTGATCAGAGAATTCCTCGCAAAGTCCGGCCCAGGATAATATTGATTTCAATGATCCGGCGACCAAGACTTGAGGATCATGTTGTCAACCCACCACGCCGGTCTTTATTACAACTATCCACATGCATAGCCCAGGTGATGATGCTAGCAGTCGTGGCAGTGAGGCAGTCCACGGGTGAGCTTGACTGCCGCTGCCATGCTAGAGTGTCGAGACAACCCAAACAAAAGTTCTGTTTTGTTCAACTAAGCATTTCGCGTTTCGATATGACACGCAGAGTTGGAGTCTTTACTCAGGGGCCGCTGATCTCATTCTGACACAAACACTGACACTGACTTCTGCCCTTACCTTAATTTAGGTATGCTTCCCCGTCTTCCGTCTCCCCGGGGCCCCAGAAAGTCAAAATGCAAAAGATAAGACATCATAGTCGCTTGATAACGGCCCGCAATCGCGATCGTCAAAACAGGCAAGCGTCCGGTGCGATAACAGAGGAGAGAGAATGTTATGCTGGATTGAAGAAATGATCGCCAACACTTGACGTCGTCAGCTGAGGCTGCTAGGGGCCTATCGACCAGCCAGACGCACCCGTTTCAACCCCAGCTTTTACTTGGTTGCCGGACCCCACGAATCCCACCCCAAGCAAATCAAAACAGAACAGAGACACAAGCCAATACCTAAAGTTGGCACACACACACACATGCATTCATTAGAAGTTTGGGGGAGCTCACACACCACTCGCCCCCGGATTTCAACTGGCAATCCTTTGAGTCTATAACCCCAGATATGGAAATCATGTCCAAATTGGCATTTCTTCTTGGTTCCCAGACCTTCCTCTACACACCACCTCACGCTCGCATCCGATTTCTGGCACGTCTCCTATTCGTCCATTGTTTTGGCGGTGAACTTGCCATACTATGTACGCTTCTACACCGGACCTGTGTTGCCGTGAGTCGACTGCTTTAATCAAATTGACTGTTACCTTCAGCTCGTGCTTATCGTGGCCAGGGGCCGTTGAACCACTCAGCCCACGAAAGATGGTCGCGATGAGAAAACCCCCCCACCAAAGACAATTAAAATTTCTGCGTTTGTCTCTGCAGGTGTGGTACATGGCGCGTATCGTCCGGTACCAAACCCCTTCACCGACCATCCCGGCCCGAGACATCAGAGCCTTCATAGAGCTCCGTTTGAACTTCACATGTTGAATTCATCTCCCCAACAGTAAAACGGAGTTTGCCGTGAACAGGGGCTCAGCTCAAGTCATCTTAGGCTTGATCAAAGACAGTTTCGCTTCACCCTGTTTATCCGCGGGTATCGGCCACTGCTTTTGTATGCGTGCAGAGAATATTGTGCATCCAATAATACCTTCCCCTTGCTATACCGAGACCAAAACAGCTGACTGAACCCCTGAACTTGGCTGGGCTGAGCGAGGACAGAGTCTTGGTATTCGCAGAACGCGTGTTCTTAGCCCACTATCCTACCTGTCAGAGACAGTCTCAGAGCCAGTAAACTAATCAGAGAAGGACACTGTCCTCGTATCTATCAGGGGAAACAGGTACCTAGCTAGGCCAGCCAGGCCAGCAAAACCTGGAAGCCCGAGGGGCTGACGTGATGTGATGGATGCAAACTTTGAGGCGTGCCACTCAGAGTGCGACCAGCTCTGGAGTTCATTACTTGCGTGGAAAGTGAACCATATTGCGAATCGTGGTTCATTCTCAGGTCTTCTCAGTTGTCTCTCATTGCTTTTTTGTGTCACCACAAACACACACCCCACGGGGGAGGGTCAAAGCCCCGTCCAATCTGGGGGTATGGTCTATGATACGCCGCCTTATCAACGACAGGTGTTTTTGAGGGCTTGCATTGCAATCTCTAATTTGTGGCTTCGATCTTTCCGATAGACTCGCTGCCCAGCGGCCCTGCGCCCCGAAACTGAAAGTCAGGGAAAAAGTACATGCCAAACGGGGCGTACCCTTTGCGGCCGCCTAGACCGGAAAGCTGATGTCCTGAGCCTGAGAGATACCGGAATTATTTGGTGGGTGGATGGATAAAACGTTTGTGAATAAGCGCAGTGCATGGGTTGATAACGAGAAGCGAAAAGAGACAACAGAGTGTGTGTGTGTGCCACTAATCGCTACCAGTATCACCTGCAACTTTTGCTTCTTTCCCATGTGATGACCACCACCATCTGAGCATTTCACCATCGATGCGCTGACACACAGGGGTTGGATAAGATGGTGTGTGATGTACAAAGTACTGCCTACTGTCTACTGTGCTGCGCTGTAGGCTACTGAGTTTGTGTGGTGCATTGCAGATAGTGGGGGAGAGCGGCAGATCAGATTGTGGCCGCCGTCCCGTCAGCCATTTTGATCGGATGTGCATGATAAGATGTTGAGAGGCTAGGTAGGAAAGACAATGGCACGGCTCATACTACGCATCTCTGCTCTGACATGCCTATAAGATCATATCGAATCGATCATCCGGAGCAAATCCAGCAAAACAGCCTTCGCCGGCATCTGCACATCTCACATTTCCATCAGCATCAGCAGCTGTTGTCAAACTCCCCGTCATATGACGGCATCCTAAGATCTGTCTGATCTGGGCTTATCTCAAAAAGGGGGTACTAACCCGGGGGATGGCCTGGGCTTGGCCCCAAAGGCAAGTCAAAGCTCTAAAAGTCACGACTAAAAAAAATCAAAATCTTGGCCAACAAAAATGCAACCATCATTTATTTCGCTCACAGAAGCCTCTTTCTTCTCTTCCAAGCTTAAGCACAGTTTCTGCTAGGGGATGCCTGCTTTTGTGTCTAGAACCTCCCCAATCTAGGTTGTCCTTCTCTAACGGAGATAGCGTCATCCAAGGCTGGCTCAACGTATTCAATTTTTGGATTCCCCGTGGTCCCCTCCACACTTTCATTGTTAATGTTACACGCGTTGATCCTGACGTCGGTCATCGGGCCAACAGGTTTGCGACATAATGGATGAAGTGTTGTCATTCCAGATCATGCGAATCACATTGTTCAGAGCAATGTGGGGAAACAGTAAAGTGTAAATATTGGAGAATGCAATGCTTTCCTTTTAGCGTGCTTGTTTGGATATCATCGCTGCAACTTTTGTCTATCTATACAATACATCATACAATATTAGTTTCGTAAAATTCGAAAAGAGCCACAAACCCCCCAGTGGTTTTGGTATCCACCGCTGGCTAGTCTGAGCTGAACATCATGCCAGACCCCTGTTCTACACATTGCCAAGTTCCATCAAGGCCCCCGACCAAAAGTTTAGAATTATCCCGCACAATGAAAGAAGGAAATGGACAGGAGCATTAAATATTTTAACATGTTTTTGATTGAAGATGTAACAGGAGTCGAGTGTCTTTTCATAACAGAAAATAAAGAGAATAGTCCGTGGATATCAATGTAGAACTGCTTTTCCGACGGTGGTAATGACCTCCGACGTCCCCCGAAGCAAGCCCGAAGGGGGAAAATCCAAGTGCTCCGCAATTCGAGATCTAGTTTCCGTCGCCCCCAAAGCTGGACTGGACCTGGTGTTGGCACCAAAAGTCCACCGCTCTTGAATAAAAATGCTTTCTTTCGTTTCACAAATGCCGCCCAATCCCTCGCCGAGTGCTCAATTCTTGAGATGATGTATAATTCGATTTCCATGTAACCCATAAACGCCGTTTCTTTCTATACCTCTATAACCCATAGTCGTCATCAAGTCGTGGGAGTTGCGATGCCATGTCGTGTCCTACATTCGATCCATGAGATCACCGCCAGCCAGACTACTAGTGCCTGAGCTTCTGCCGCTGTGGCTGAATCCGTTGTCAGAAAGGAGGTCCTGAACAGCAACCTTGGGAACCTGAGGAACTGGAAGTTTTCTTTGAGATCCATCGGGTCGGCTGATAATGTCCGTTAAAGACATGCCTGTAGGGCGAGGCTGTGTGGTGGGGGCAGCTCCTTGCTGGAACTGACTCTGCTCGAGATGAGGCTCCATAGGAGCCAGAGCAGGCGTCGTGTTGTGCTGGAGAGACAAGTTTCGGAGACTGGGCAACTCATAACCAGAGGAGAATGGTCGCAGACGGGGAGAGTGAGCGGGAGTGGCGATAGGAGTGTGGTCGGGAGTAGGGGACAAAGAGTCGTGAGAGAAGGTTGGCGAAGAAGGAGCTGTTGAGTTGGGGGAGTTGGGCCTTGAGCGCTTGGCATGTCGCATGGCACCAGAGTAATGGTCATCGCTGGGGTCCTCGTGTGAATGAGAGCGACCCATATGGTAAGAGGAAAGCGTAGGCAAGTGGCCTCGGGAGCTGTGCATTCCGTGGCCAAAGTAAGGGTGGTGACGGTGGTTGTTGTGGTGAGGAGGGGCTGTCAAAGTCTCGCGCTCAACCTGAGTAGCAGCCTTAGCCAGCATGGAGATATCGCCGCCACGGTTGTAGTGAACAGCAGAAACCGGCAAGGCGAAGGTAGAGTAAGAGTGAGGGGGAGAAACATTAGGCGAGGCCAAGGCAGAGCCGGGAGCAGAGCGAATTGTCTTGGGGGCAGGAGGCGGCGCCATCATTCCATCTGGAAGCATATGGTGCGGGATGCCCTGCTGGTGCATTTGATGCTGCTGCTGCTGGTGTGCCTGGGCGGCCTTGTTACCTCGCCTTGAGTTGGGGTTGTTGTGAATACGAGAGTGACGGGTAAGCTCATCAGATCGGGAGAACTTCTTGCTGCAGCCGGGGAATTGGCAGGCATGAGGCTTCTCGCCAGTGTGAGTGCGGATGTGTCGGGTCTGATGCTCTAGGCGGTGGAAAGCCTTATCGCAAAGAGGGCACTTGTAAGGTCGGGGCAACTCATTGGAGTTCTCCGAAGACTGAACACCCGGAAGGGGTCCGTTAGGTTTGATAACAGTAACTGCTGCAGTGGCCATCTCGACGTCGCCCTGATGGGGTTTCTCGGGTTCCTGGTCAGCTGGTGTTGTGGGATTAAGTAGATTGGAAAAATCCACGGCCGACTGTGCTCGTTGCATGTGATAGACGTCTGGAAGACCCAACACTCAACAAGGTAGATGTTATTGAGGTTGGCGTAGGTGGAAGAAGTCCAGAATGTTTATGTTGATAGTGGTCGTTGTAATCGGTTGCGTTGCTGTAGCTGCTGATGATTGCTGTGAGAGCTACACTTCGATTAAGTTTTCGTAGAGTGATGTACGTTTGTGGAGGAGTCAAGTTCCGGGGAAGCTGGAAGATCGAATTGCAGATATTTGGAAAGAACGGGAATCTGGAGGATGGAGGGGATGGGGGGATTGGATGGTTATAAAACATGCCGGGCTCGGCACTAGAACACGCACTGCGACGTCGAGTAACAGAGGGAGGAGCGAGCAAAGCGAAAGGGTGGAGTGTGGATGGATGATAGAAGGTGGAGGGTGGAGGGTGGAGGGGGAAAGAGAGGGAACGAGGGACGGGAAGGGCCATGATGCACCCCCCTTGCCTTAGATGCACCCCCTCCACCCCACGTCCGAGGGCACCAGTATGGCTTGTAGGTGCCTGCTGAGGGTACCTGCTGAGTTGTGCCAGGCAGTGGTAGAACAGAAGGGAAGCGCCGCCCGCAGGGCAAGTCACTGGAAGGGCTGGAGATGGTCTGGTGTACCGCTACTGTCTACAGGGGAATGTCCACTGATTTTAGTTCAAGGGCCCCGTGGGCGGCCCCATTGTGGACTCTGTCAGTTTTTTTTCTTGCTCTAGGTTGTTGTTTTTTTGGTCTCACTCCAGGTTTGCGAGCCTGCTCGGGGGGTTCGTCTACTACATCCAAGGGGGTGAGCACAAAACGTGGGCAGGAAGGTGAGAGTACGGGGCGTGGGGCGCAAGTACTGCGGGTTTGCGACTTGTACCTGCCCCTCCACCTTTTTCTTCTCTTACCCCGGCGGGAGAAGCAGGAGGCTCCAACAGAAGGTGCAACTGGGGCTCTGGAACAAGTGCCCCGTTCTTCGGGCCTTATCCTTGGGGGCATTAACGGGGCGAGCAGGACGAAGAGTCACCAAGGACAGCTCAGCTCAGCACAGCTCTGCATTGGTCTGCATAAGGAAGGACAGCTGTCTCTGCGCGTTGCGGCCTGTTGGTTGGAGAGAGTGCTGTTCAACGGTGTAGTCTCTCTTTCGTCCATCCCCATACCTGGCGTGCTTCCTTAATATGCACCGATTAGTGCCACGATAAGAATGATCTCCCGCTATCCATTATCCGACCCCAGAACTGAAGCAAAGGCAAAATAGAGCGAGTCATACCTTGTCGGTGCGACATGGGCCTGGGGATAGGGACGGACGGGTAAACTGGGGAATTCTAGCATCACGCCTCTCTCAGCCACGCCCTGGTCGACCATTCCAATCCCATCCTCCGATTTTCTCCATTGTCTCTCCTCGGCTTTTACGTCCCGACCGCCGACGTCTTTTCACCTTGACCTTTTTTCTGTTGCGAATGTGGAGGTTCCACTCTGGCTGTCTTATTGGTCCGCTTCAACGGCCCAATGTCTTCTGGCAGCCAATGCCCGCAGCGGCTCGACGGTGAGAGATTTCATACGGTCCACTTCACCGTGACCCTTCTCCGTTAAAGACCTCTCGCTCGGCGATATTAAAAGACATGGCCAGTTAGCTGAGTGAATGAAAAGAGTCAGGCAAGTCACAGGCTTAATTGGCACTGGAAGCGTTGAACTATTTTCCTTCCTAGCATAAGGCGGCTAAGATTTTTCTCAATACCCCAAGGTCTCTTTCCCTTACGCTTTTACCGGGCCGGCGCGTGGGGCATCATGCCTTTTTCCACGGTGTCGTGCTTAAGTGATTGGTCTCCATTCTTTGAGCGGCTCCGACTCAGTCTCCAGTAGTTTTTTTTTATCTGATTTTTCTTAGTCTCTTTGTTGACTCGTTTGTGGTCGTTGTCGACCTTGGTTTACTTATATCAACATGGTATTTACGGAATCCACTAATTCCAAATATCGTGGAGGAATGAGCAAAGATACGAAATTACGTCGCCGATCACATGTGTTAGCATTTTCCTGCAATGTTCAGTAGTGCACGTCTTTTGTCATGCTCTTTGGCTCAGTAATCAGCAACCAATGTCGTGATACAGGTTCAACAGTACGTAATCGTCCGTTTGCAAACGTCGGACCTGTACTTCCAGTGCCAACCATGCTTTTCTTTTTATCATGCGATACTGCGCTATGCTACCAAAGATGACATCCCCCCGTTTCTCCTTTACTCCTTCTTGTCATCCATGCAGTGAACAAGCAACCCATGGACACGGATGGACCCAATGCGAAGAATCATGCTACGATAGCTGCCAGCTAGCCCTGAGCTACAGTGGAACCTCAACTGTTCAGGGCCTCCTCCACTGTTTTCCATGGATCTTGTCCTGATATGGAGCTCACGATGCTTCAAAGGTGACACTCCACTTAGTGGTCCATTGGTAGGTAGTGGTTTCTCATTCAGTTGAGATTACTTTTTTATCTCGGCACTACCTCTGCGGTCCGGTCCAAGTCTCCAGACGGGGTCACGCCTCATCAATTGTTGGGCTAACTAACATATCTTTTCTGGATCTGTTCCACACAAGTAACAGATAGGTGCCTTTTTACCCCAGAATGACAGTCCACTCACACTTTTGTCCCCAGGTTTGAGGTAATGATCCTCATGGTGTGTCAAAGCCGCCACGGCCGCCAGTATCAAAGAGTGTGTTCTGGGCCCCCAATTGTGAGATTTGGACTGTGAAAAACGCCTAGACGCCTAAACAGCCCTGCTCAGTGTTGCCATATCGCTCGGCTATTTGTCCGCATAGCTTGACACAATGACCTTGAGCCAAATGTGGGGTTAAGGGTTGGCGCTTGCCGGCTAATCACTTTCCCCCAGCTGATCACGATAAGCATACAACCGAGCGAATGCCAGATGAATTCATCTTGAAAGCTTCACCTGTGATATTACACGGAAGCCTGAAGGCCTTTTTTTTTTCAACGCACGAGGACGGAATACAGACGCTACAGCAAATCTATCATGATGGGATGGCACAACAAATACTGCAGCAAAGGCTATGCTTGATCCCCACAGCTTATCAGTTGCCAAACTCTCACAACTCCAGCTCCAAATTGCGAAAACACCAAAACATGCCTCGTGGGCTAACAACTGCAGTCCAGGATTTTATGGGCCCCGCACGAGAGTGGTTAGAGCGCCCGCCATTTGCGCTTCAGTGGTGTTATCTCCCCAGAGTAATCGGGCCATTCACCGCGACAAGCGCGCTCCCCAGAGTCCTAGGTCCGTCTCAAGCCGTCGTCTGGGGGTGGATGATTCGCCCTTGGCATTGCCTAGGTTCTTATCGTCACTTTTGATAAGTCTTTTTTGTTAGTAGCAGTGTAGGGTGTCTCGGTACTTACTACTCCTTGAGGGGGGAAGGGCTAGACCGTCTGATGAGCAAAGATAAACCCATAAACGGACGCCTCACGAGTCGGGGTTCTAAGACACGAGCCATTGCCTATGACAAAGACATGAGTTAGTTTATCCTAGCTCTCCATTTTCTTTGTTGAAATTTGCCTCCCCCATACGCCAGTTTCCCCATCCCCGGATAATCTTCTCGTTCTCGACGCCTGTGACTTGTCGCTAAGAGATCCATAATAGAGCCGCCCCCATACAAATCTCCGCAATCAACCTCATCACGAGATAAGCCGAGATCCATTCACCCATATCTGTTGACGGTTCCAAACTTGACGCAAAGCGGCACTTTGCTCCAGCCTAGCATTCGTTAATGACAATTCAACACCCCCACAGCTCACGATGGTGGTTGTGCGTTTCGCCTGCAGCTGCGGCTCGGCGGATCGATGGCAACATATTCCCCAGATTCCACGTCTAATCAGAGTTTTGGTCTAGGTGCCAATACTCCTGATACTTGCCCAGGGGTGTCTGAACCTTAGTTGTACAGTCCCAATTACAGGGCTTCATACGCAAGAGTTGACTGATATGATACCACAAACCCCAGACAAATTGTGGTCTTTGCAAGTGGTAAGGATCCTAAGCCACCAGGACCTTTCATGTGAATGGACAGACCCTGAAAGTTCAGCACACTGTTGACAGCGCCGCACCGCTCTAACACACGTTTTGCTCGTTTCTGGCTAACTTCGGCCGCCTGGTACGGTACTTTATTGCGCTGATCCTGGTGCGCCACCTCGTCGTTTACCCTCCCGAAAGGCCAGTAAAGCCTGTTCCTGTGAACAGATAAGGCAATCCGACCCCCAACTAGGATCTCAGGATGTGGGCTCCATCTTTCTCCAGCTTCCCCTTGTAAGATGGCGCCCCAGACCTAATGTCTAATGCTGGGCGGTAATCCTAGTCGAGCTAGCCAGTTGCGGTAATTCCGGGGCAAAATGATCTAAGATCTTATCCTGGCGTTCGGTGGTTCGGAACGGCGAACACCGCATGCATGGAAGAATATCCTCAAGGCTCGAGTTCGGCCCGGGATTCAGGTGCCTTCCATATTTGCTCTGGTCAAATGCATGTGCATACATATTTTGTGGTGTTGAGCCATTGTACGCCGCCTCTGAGGCACAGGATTGTTTCGTTAGAAACAATTGACACCACGGTTGACACAAATCTCATGGCTGGCTATACGGATCGTCACGCTGTTTCTCAAGGGACGAACGGAGTTGCGAGCCAAGCGTGGTGACGATGAGGCGGAATTACCCAGCTTGTCGCAAAGTGCCCTGACCTGGCCTGACTTGCGGACCCTGCCCCTGGACTCGGCATGAAAAGATCTCCGATTTGAACAACGCTCGCCGGCTATTTCCCCAACTCCTATCATACATACCTTGAATTTCTTCCCATTGGATGCGCATGTAGATTGACAGATAACAACTACCTAATTAATACACGCACATGCAAGATGGGACCACCCATGTCTTGCCGCTGAGGCCAATGCGCCCGCCCTGAACCCAAGCAGTCGGTTGACGTTCATAATTAGCCACGAAGCTGAGAAACTGGCATGGTTTGGTGTGCAATCAATATTCGCCCAAAACTATTGTTTTGCCTTGAAATGCGAGTCAAACGCTTGGGGTGTTGCTCCGAGCCCTCAAAGAGTATAGCGGGCCAGACTCATTACCTGACACTTGTGGTGGATTGCGTATTCAACGCTGTCAGTCTGAGCTCCGAATGAAAAGCCGAGCAACACTACAAAGGCCCGAAAACATCAAGGGGTCAGTCATCTCGGTTCGCTTCTTAGCTGTACAAACTGAGTCGACCACTTTCAGTCATCATTCAAAGTCCGGCCCACGTGGTGCGGCAATTGGTGCGTTGTCGTCTTCATCGCCTTAGTCAGAGAAGAAAGTAGGAAAAGCCATCCAGGTACAGATGTCAGTATCCGTAGCCTGTCCTGTATTGGAGAGTCCAGGCGGCTTGGCTTGCGAGAGAGGCTCCTCTTTGTAAATCCAGGGGTCTAGATCTCCAGCCAACGACAGTCAAGCCAAGCCTTTGCGGGGCTCCAGCTTTTTGCATGCACAAAGCCAAAGCGCCAGCGCCATCATTGTTCCTTGCAGAAGGGCCTTGTCTGCGGCTCATTGATAGCTGAACTAGTCCAAATAAAGGAGGTTTGGGCTTCCCTTATCGCTGTCGCCATTGACAGTAGTACTTTGTACTCTGGCGGATAATTGAGCAAGAAGGTCGACGTCTCGCGGCGGAAAAGGCCAAGGGTCTGGTAAAATTGCGGTTAGGGAAATCTTTGCTCTTAGTTTGACCCTCACTTGCTGCGGTATCCGTACTTACTTGGACTTCGCATGAAAGGCTGTCGTGGGGGTATGACACAGCGACCTTGCGAGTCTTGGCAGCTTGCGTGCTCATTGCTCCCCAAACTCCAAGTTTTTCTCCCCAGGTCCTATCCCGACATTGGCCGAGCCGTGTGCACACTGTCAAAAAGGAATACGCCAGCACAGTCGCTGCACAGTACAGCTCTTCACTCTTCGAGCCCCCGGTGGAATGTAATGTTCAGGGCCTTCGGTAAGATAGAATCATTGCGCCGAAATCACCTGTTCCCACCCCGCAATGCTACAATTGCGATGGCTTCATCCGCTACATAACCGGTGGTCTCGAAGTAGCTGGAGCCTGGCATTTTGGCCTCGCGTTAGTAATCTTGCAAGAACCTCCATGCTCCACCAGGGGCCGACCTCGATAACTTCAGGGCGTCTGACGGTGGTACCTTGCATTCTGACGAGGCCCGCCGCATGTAGCCGTGTCAGTTTCTTTTACCAGGGCACGCCGTTTCAATGAATGTATAATATCGTGCACGGCCACCCTAAGCCTCATCTATGAAGAGACTGACTAAAGACAGAACCACAGATAAACTCTTGTAACAAGTCGGAAATGGCGGCGCTAAAGGTCGGAGACCGTGTTGCACGTTGATCAGTGCCAACTAAGCTCAGGCGTTAGAGGTGACGATCCAAAAACCAAGACTTCTCCGTCGTATCTTCTCCTTGCATGAAGGAATCTTTACCGAGTCACTTGAAACCATGAGGAGGATGCAGATACTGGGTTCAAGCATGGCTTTGATGTGCCTTCAATACGCGCATCCGCAGAGGCAATACGGAGTACTTTCTCAGGCTTGTACGTTGCCAAACGCTGTTCCCTATGCTTGCATTTCTTCCACGGCAAGACGGCTCGGTTTCCTTATCTTTGCGTGCCGCATATGGTGAAGTCCCTCCTTCTCGCGGCCCCCTAGGCCCCCAGACTGGCAACCCTGTGACTAGAAGTATTTTTGCTCATTTGCTGGGGTTGAGAAGACGGGGTAGCGTCTGCTTCCCCACAGGATCCTCCCGCAGCCAGTCTTGATTTAGACGGCGTGAGATGTGTGGTATGACCGTATTTGGCAATATGTGAAGATCCTCCGTTACTCGAGTCAAGGTGATCTACCATGGCAGATCAACCCACACCATCCTGTCCACCAGGCTCCTAAGTCGGAGGTGATCAGACGAGTCGGAAAATAGTCCGTACGTCAAAGCATATCAGTTATCCAACTGTGTAGCATCCGTGACCGGTTATGTGCCCAGAAGGTAAGCTATATGATTATGCATAGCAAATTTCTTATCCTTCATGATCACTCCTAACAAGCTACCCAGCCAATTAGCTTGGGTTCATCACTCCGTATACTCAACGACAATCTCAGGAGGCCGTGTTTCATGACAACTCATCAGTGCTAATAACCGCCACTGGAAGATCAGTATTGCCACGGCGGTTAAATGCCCGTAGGTATTCTTTCCCCAGACTGGGGCTCTATACACATCACTCACTCAAGATTGGTTGAAAGTGGGCGGGATGGGCTGATGGGCTGGCTGATGGATGAGAGGTGGAAGGTTGGAGAAGTAAGTGATGGTTTCCGTTCTTTTTTAATGTTTTGGTGTAGATTTCAAGTACAGAAACTTGAAGCTTTCGGTCATGAATTCACTTGAAGAAGAAGTTTGCACTGGGCAGGTATGAAGGCGGTTATAGTAACACCTTCCTCATAACAAATCGACTATGTGCGTCACGTGATTAATCAACCATCAATCGCGCTTGAGGAAGCTTGTCACAGCCAAGTGATAGACTGGCCGAGGCGAATCTACTCAATATCCCCATGAAAATCAAGGATGGACTATCACGCAGTTCACGGCTACGATATAGCAAGCTTTAATGCACCAGGCACTCGTCAGTCTTGCCATGCACCACATAATTTGGAGTTTGGGCTGACCTCTTCACAGACCGGCTACCGACTGTATCAGCTTCACAAGCTCTTGATGACATTGGTGGCAACGCGCCAACTCATATCTCTACCGGAATAGAAGGGCTAGATCATGCTCTGCTCGGTACGGTACCTGTTGAATCTCAAGACACTGCTCTTAAAGGTGGTGTTCGACGAGGCCAGGTGACAGAAATCTGGGGTCCTCCGGGGACTGGCAAGACAGCTTTGGGGTGAGTAGGTCACTGGTTCGTATAACTACAGAGCTAATATACACGAAAGTCTACAGCTTGCAGCGCATGCATTACGCGATGGAGATGCAGTGGTCTGGGTAGGTCTGTTGTCTCCTCACCACATCCATGATTCTTGGCAAATGACTAAACTGACTTTGACATTGTAGATTGCTTCCAAGCTTTACAACATGACAGACTTCGAGCAACCACCAAGGCGGTAAAGGCCCGTCAAAGTACCCAAACACCACAGGAGAGTGACGCGCCGAAAGCTCAAGAAAGTGATGCGAGTCGTTTTCATCAATATTCCTGCTTCACACTTCCACATTTGGTCGCTCTAGTCTCACGACCTACTGCGAAGCTCATTCCAACTAATTCATCACTTTTGATTATCAGCTCCTTATCAGCGTTGGTCAACTCGGCATTGCCCAAATCTCATGATGGCAAGGCAATGTCTAAAAACTCCAAGGGTGTGTGCATGCATGTATTAGCGGCTGCAGGTGGTGTCGATTAACATTTGTGCAGGCCCGAGTCCATCTGCAAAGCGTATGCAGGCATTGCAATCAATCATGAGTGCTCTTCAGAAACTTGCCGCGACTAGAAATTGCGCAGTTGTTGTGTTGTCTCAATGTGCGACAAAAATGCACTCAGAAAGGGGTGCAACGTTGACAGCCGCGGTTAATGCAAATGTATGGGAACAAGGGGTCTCAACCAGACTTGTCATGTTTCGTGACTGGGTCTGGCAAGACAGCAATCTTACGAGTGTATTTCTCGCCGGCCTGCAAAAGCTGGATGGCAAAGCATGCCAAGAGGTCGTAGAAAACATTGTCGCGTTTAAAGTGGGGTCGGTACGTTATATCAGGCACAGAACCTTCCAGTTGCCAATTACTTACATGATGGCAACAGGACAGCCTAACGCAAGTTCCTTACGAAGCATTGCAGTCTATGGAGTTGGCCCGACATAAGCGGAAGCTTGGGCAAACCGAACTCGAAATTCCGGACAGCGAAGACGACGAGGATTACGGATGGGCAGAAGAAGACGAAGCAGCTATGCCGGCGCCGCCGCCCCAGTGGCAAGGCAGTGAAGACCTCATCTTAGGTCAAGACATCGGGCAAAGTGATGATGAGAACAGCGAACATGACGGTACCGACGATGAGTCGACCATAAAATGAGGCTCTAGATGGAGACTAATGGAGTCTGGGGATTGTTGGGGGTAGTTTCGGCGCCGGTAAAGCGCCGAGGATGGCGACCGAAATCAGACGGCGACGGCCTCTCCAGGCATGGGCAGAGCCTCGCAACAGAACGGAGGACTCAACATCTCCCCGCGGAGCAAAATGAGGAAAACTTGAGCCCCTTTATCAATTAGCCATGACGGCTCCGCCTTGAACAAGAAAACAGCGCAAGCTGGGATTGCGAGGAGCCACAATAAAGCCGCGCATCATGCTTGCTGGGCCTGGTCAGCTTGCCAAGAAGCTCGGCCAAGTCCGACCGTAGTCTGATGAGGTTAAGCATCGTCGTCTAGGTCGCGGTTCGTGGTTGAGAATATTTCGTCATGCTCCCAAGGTCCCCCAGACTAAGGCATGCTTCTGGAAGCACAGGAATTTTCTGCGAAGAGGCAACCCCAGTGCCCGGATCCCCCAAATAAGCCTAGTCATTCTTGGCGTTTCTCCATCCAGGACAAGCAACGGCTGACGGAGGTTTTGCTTTACTAACGTGGCACCCACAGGTGCGTGCTCCACCGGGCCGGTCATTCTCTGGAGAGAATCTCGAAGTACCTATGGGGAAAAGATACTTTGATGCGAGTCTCTGCCCCAGGGTTTTGTAGAGCCACACCACCCTTCCAAGGCTGCCTTTAGCTCCTTGTTGTTGTTGAAAGCGTTTATCCCCAATATTCTTTCTGCGGCCCTGATTTCTGTGACATCGATGGTGGCAAATAATACAAAGGGAAAAAACGTGTGCAGACAACCCTTTCAATCAAAATGCCGAGTGGTTGAAGAAAGGAAGTTCGGGAGAAGGTGCATGGAAGCAGGGGTGACTCAACGCATGACGCATCAGTCCATGGTAGGTAAAGAGGATGATCAGCACTTATCCCGTCTATGTACAACACTTATCGGGAGCTTTCCTGGCTATTGGTCCTGTCCCTGCTTGTTGGTATTTGCAGGTTAAAAACACCAAAGTCGGGCGCATTCATGCATGAACAATTCACCCTACAAACCCCATGGTTACCTTCAGACTTCGCCTAGGCATGTTGAAACCTCAACGGCATATGCTGTTGTGGATAATCTACACCCAATATCCAATAACAAAAGCATGCGTGGTGGTTTAGAACAACAAACAAGCCTCGCACCAGACTGGGTTCAATAATAGTTGTAACCCAACCAGCTCAGCCAGCTCCTCGACAAATCAATCACGAACGCCTATGGCGGTAATCTGGAGAAACGAGAGAGAAAATTTTCAAGCCATGTCAGGCACCAGGGGTCGTGGAGATTTAACGGCTTTGCGGGCTTTTTATCACACACCGCTGCCGTGGCTTTTCTTACATTGGTCTGAATCTGTGTTTCTCGCCAATGACTTGGTTCTGTTCGCTGCATAGAACAAACGGGATGTGCACTAGCACGACTTCAGGCCCGCGCCAGATCTCACGATCTAGGATTCACGCAAGTTGGGCCGAGATGGGATTGGACTGGACAGTGCTTAAGCATGCGACTAGCCTGGCTTGGGAACTGCAGTGGTGCCGAGACATGTCCGGAGTATGACAATTTGTTGGTCTTTGCTCAAAAATCTGTCTCACTGAGAGATGCTCCGGATACGACACCAAGGTCTATTTCGCGACCCATTCTAAAACCCCGTACATGTTGTACAACTTCCACTTTGGAAGACTGTGGATAGCTGCAAGGGCCAGCGGTGTGAGTCTGTGAGATTCTACAGCCTCATGTTGGTTTCGGCCACAATCGCCATTCTCCGATATTTCGTCTGTGTCTTCTCCTTCAATTCAAGACGGCTCGGGTCGGCTCAAATCATATGCAAATGCATACGTTTATCGTGTATTGTTCAAGTGTGTATAAAACATATCCAAGGCTAGGGTACATACATCTGCAGGACACTCAGACGATTATCCACCAGCATGGGCCGATGGTAGCGGATATCTCCTCCGAGATCTCCCCGTCTGCAGCAGCTATCTTTTTCTCCGCAGTGAATTTGCAAGAGGTGGTTTGCACCATGGGTCACCATATGTTGGGGGTTTGGACTCGATCGATTGATGAAACTATGTGCTCCCTCAGCCAGTTTCCCAGTACAACCTGGGAGAGTCGGTGAATTGTCTTGAGGCTGTCGCAAGGCGAACCCCGGACGATGTGGAATGATGAAGCACGCGCTCTGATCAGTTTCTGGTCTGATCTGCCAACTGCCCCAGGATTTCAAGCTCCTGTGTCTCTTTGCCTCTCCAATCACAGCCGCTGATTTTGTTGGTTCCTTTCCCGGTTGTACACCTCCGTTTTGGATGCCTTATCGGCATATGCGCGGCAGATGGCCGACGATCTTGCTACATTGACCCCATGAATGATGCACCGTATTATTCTCCTTCCTCCTCTGCTTTGCTTCTCCGCGTGTGCATGTATGTATGTACACGAAACCAGGTTGATCTGGGGAACTCAAAGGACCAGGGCACACCGGAAACTGCGGGCAATATCGCGTGATGGTATGCACAGATTTAGACGCCAAACTGCACAATCGTATCATCCAAAACCACTGTCCCCGGCACTCAGCGACATATGAACATTGCTAAGTTGCCATTGGTCTAGGTAACACGCGATAGGTGATAGACCCTTGAAGGGTTACGAACACTACTCATGTTCGATGATGGCGGTTGTGTTGTTCCGGTCATGTATGCGTGTCAATCATTCATATACATTTGCTTCGTGCCCCGGATCCCCCGTCAAGGCTTAATATCGATACGTACAATTATGGGGAGAAGAGACCATGGGGACCCCACGAAAAGTAGACAGATCATTCAATGTACCCCTTCAGGGCGCACTGATCTGCCTGAATACACGGTCTTCCTTCATTCAAGCTTCTGATTTATGGAGACGATGTATGGACCCATTGCAGCTTGTTGCAACGGACTGTCGTAAGCCTTTGCGGATCCCCCATGGGTCTCATGTTTGAAGAGTATTGCGAGTCACGCTATCAAGCAGCTTCGATTCTGATATTGCCACATTGAATCACTACGTAGCTTGACCGACGATCATAGTGTAGATCGATGAGTCGGCCAAGAGCCACAGAGCGCGCTGCTCGAAACTGAGGTTGACGTAACATCAGATCGTAGCGTGGAACTACACCTGAGCCTGGATAGAAACTTCAAGTTCGGAGAGTCGTGAAATAATGTACATGAAGCATACAAGTCTGATTGGCAGGCCCGCTCTTCTAGTGTGTCTTGGTTTGAGCATCTTCCAGGACTGATTTGACGCTTTACTCGAGCTGACAAGAAGCGTTTGATTCAAGGAATGGATAGAGCGATGCAATATCAGAGAATATGAGGAAGTATTAGGTATATAAGGAAGACCATGACTCTAGCATGCTAAGTACAATGGGTTTGCAAAAGTTGGGACAACTTCCTTTCTTCTAGGGTTTTACAAGACAATAGAAATTATAATAAACTCTTTTATTCGACATACTCTTGTATCATATTATCTTACGATTATATATGAAATATTCTAATTATTGACTACATATCTTATGTATCTGCATTCCCAGCTGGCTTGATGTCGGAACATTTGCACGGGACTATGCTGGTTGGCTCGTCGTGAAACCGCTTTGTGTTCTAGAAGTGGGCAACTTTGCAATATGACATAAAGCACTTAATGGTATTGACATCACACAGCTTCCATTAAGTCACAATGCCTGTCAGGGGTTTTGAAATTGAGATAACATGTCAACATGGTTGATCTGTGGTTATGTAAATAGTTTCTTGTAAGCTGAACGCTTTTGAAGTGTCGTGTGAGGTCCACGGCATTGAAGTTATCAGTTGAGAAGAAACAATGCAAACACTATTGCAAGCCGGCCTGTAACTTAAAACAATCAAATTATATCTGCTACGCACACACTTTTCAGAGCTGATTGGGTATTGAATGAATATGCCACCCTTCTACTGCTTGAGCCGCGTCTCGTGCCAGATGGTAGTCATGGTATAGGGTAAGAGACTCCCAAAGGTGAGATGGGCGTCGACCGAGGTCAGCCGGGAACGGACAATCTGTAGGCCGATCCCTTCTTAGTACCTAATTCAGCAAGCTTATTGGCTGGCAATCTCATCGCGACTTCCCATCTTAGCTTCACATCTTTGATGCAGGACAGGCAATCACGACTGAGTTCAACTCATCGTCAATGGTTTTGACTCATCAACTTGAATTAACTGCGGAAACATTCTCATACAGTAAAGCTTACCGATGCTACTCTAGTAATATCGAACGACGAGTCGCCTCTTATCGAACATTGTATGAGATAACAAAGAAGGTTCAGGTAAGGTTTACATTCATGCCCCTTCATCTTCGCCATTACCATTACAACTACATCAAAACCTCCACCCAAACACAGTCTATACATTTGTGTTCAAAGCCCAACAAGGACCATGCTTAAAGTTGATGGATGTGCCAGGCATACAATAAGTTCTATTATAGAACTGGTCTTTACTCTCACGCCATTGCCCGCGCTGTGAATGGAATTCATGCTCACCACTGATTCAGATCTATCTAGCAAAATCACCAGCTTCAAAAAGCTTGAACACGATTTAAACCTCAATCTCAATTATTTCACCATCATCTCCAACATTACAGCGTCATGATGACTGAACCTCAGCCCCAAGAGGTTGGCATCACAGTCGCCAAGGACACTGAGAGTGTGAAGACACAAGAGAAGAAGCCGTTCTCCTGGCTGTATGTTTACCGTAAACTACCCGTTTATGAATACATATTAACATCGGCGATAGCGAACCACATCCGACCTTTGTCATTATACTAGTCGGTCCTGATGAATGCCCTTTTGGCATACAGAAGGATTTCCTATGCTCCCGATCAGAATTTTATGAGAAACTCTTTTCAGAAACAAATCACGACAAGGAGATCGAACACGTTGTCAAGCTACCCGAGACTACAAAGGAGATTTTTGGATTGGCCCAGCTCTTCCTCCACACAGACAAGATCATATCGGATGAGTCTAATGTGCCTTCCTACGAGGCCCTTGTCGGGCTTTGGAAGCTTGGCCATAAACTTGGCGTGACGGGGCTTTGCGACAAAGCTCTCAATGCTATGATTGACTGTCGACGGATCACCGAGAGAATTCCGGCTACACCCCTTCTTATCCAGGTCTGGAAGGACACACCTGAGGGGTCATCAATCCGAAAGCTGCTACTATCGTGGACTGCCGAGTACATGCGATCTTCTGATGCTAGAGCAGAGTTTGCCAAGTCTCTCCCCCAGGAGGTTCTCAGTGAGCTCGTAGTAACCATGAGCTCTTTCGATACAGCTCCCACGCCAGAGACACCAACCGCCGCTGTCACCCTTCCATCCGCGACGCCTCGAAAGAATGTCCATTACCTCGAGGAGGAGCCCGAAAATGATGCGAAGAAGAGCAGACGAGTGAGTGGTGTTACGGTCGGCACCCCTTTGTCAGCAGACCGATCAATCAAAGCTCGGGGTTCCTTGCCCAAGCCCGCACCTAGACGTAGGACGAGTGCTGGCTATGCTGAAGGCCGAGAGTTTACTACTTCTCAGAAGCTGGAATTCTGCGCTGACCTATTGACCAGAATGTTGTCGGGTCCTGGTATGTTATATGTCTCATGTCCTTGTCCTTCATAGCTAACTTGTGTGCAGGCTTCTGGACTAGACTCGTCGGTCCTTTCCGAGACGCTGTCGAACCAGTCGAGGATGGCGTGCCAGACTATTTTGAAAAGGTCAAACGACCAATGGATCTGACCACGATCAAGGCCAAGATGGACCGCAAGGAGTACACTACTGATGAGGAGTTCCTGGCAGACGTGCGCCAAATCTTCGACAACTGCTTCACCTACTGGAAGAAGGGGGATCCAATGTGGCTTGCCGGGGAGAAACTCCAGAAGACGTTCGAGGATAAGTTTTCTCACATGAACAAGTGGATTACTAAGATGGGCGGCGATGAGGTTGATTAGACAGACTCACTGTTTTACTAGGCACTTAACTAGGCGTTGGTTTGTCAGGACTTCTTATAATGCCCGTAGAAAGACCCACGGACGCTCGGCTCACGATGGAGGGGAATTGGAGCTGTTTTTGTTACCTGTACTATAGTTTGAGTGGCCAGTCGACTGATGCCGGCTGCTTCGATCCATGTAGATGGAGAAGGGACCACGGGATGGGGATAACGTGCTTGTACTTAGGACAATGGGCTTTGTTACACGGCGTCTCTGGGAACTTGTTCAATAAAGGGGAAACTGGGTCAAGGCGATTTCTCTTCGATCAATGGCAGTCCCATGGAATATTGATCTCAAGGTAGAACAAGGTCGTTGATCAATGGACTAGCGGATGATCATGAAATTTGACAATATCTCAAGTGGAATTAGGCCGAGAAGCCAAGTGCTAAGTGCAACACGATCTTGGGGGAACACAGGTGTTGAGATGAGGAGTAATCTGCTGCATGTTGGAGCTCTATTCAGTGACGGATACTACAAATTCCGGGTCTAGCTAAGGCTGAGAGTAATGGGAAAATGGGTTTGTGCCACGACTTACTAGCTAAGCTAGTTACTACGGATCACTCATGGATAGATGTGTTCAACACAAGTGAGGCCAGCTCAATCATACGTGTTTTCCTATGCCTGTTCAGGCATGGAGTCGTGCATGTAACCGTAGGCATTGCTGCATGAAGCCGACGATGAGTTGTCAGTGGGTACAGAAAGCCAGCACAACAACGATATCCGTACGTATTTGTTAATTAGTGACGCCGACGGAGAGAGTCTAGACCAGCAACCACGTGTCGAGCTTAGTGTTGAAGTCATCATGATGTAGAGTTGTAGACCAGGCGATCGAGTCGCGCGACAGCTCAATAGATGCTTTTAGGGTAATGTTAGTCCGGGGAACAGACTCCAAAAGGTGAACCAAGCAAGATTGACTGAAATTAAGATTGTCACTGACGTTATGGGTCCAGCCCTTAAGAGCAGGTGGATTAGAATACAACCCGCACACCAACCAAGGCTGACAGAAAGATTTGGTCTAAACTTGACACAAGTGCGACGTGTAAAATTTGTCAACATCTGTATCGTAAAGTGCTCAGACACCTGCCAAGACCCCCGGTTAAGCGACTACCCTGTGGGTAAATGTATTGGAAAGTTAATAGCGCATGACCATGTCGTTAAATAACCTGAAACCAGAGCCAAGCCCCCGACGTCGACCAAAGAGAGTCGAGAGAGACGTAGAATTGGTTATATATCTTTTAGAGAGAGCCAATAGAAGCAAAGAGAAGAATAAGAGAAGTCAAAGCACTAGCGAATAATTATTAGTACTTCCTTCAGGCTATTATTTTTGACCAAGTATTATTATTTATTATTCTGCTCAAGTATTATCATTATCTCTGCACACACTTTGGTACCAAGGCTTCGGGCTTACTTGCTCTGTTCCTACGTCAGACGGCTTCTTAGCGCAACGGGCCTCGGCTAACACCTGCAGCCTTTCCCCTGGACCACTGAAGTTACCAGCACGCAGAGATCATTGACCACTCAGCGGTTACAATGGGTGACATGCCCCAGTACCCGGGGTTCAGGTCTCAGGTGCGTACCTGCCGCAAAAGGCAACCTTAACATGAAATGTTCTCAGAGAGTGATAGAGGTCAGTAATTACCTAGATGCCCGGTCTAGAGAGTAATCACTGCTGAAGCAATACCACTCATTGACGCCAAAAGAGATTTGGCGTGCTTTCGGTAACGCTCATGCAATATTGACTGACTCTTGAGTTTGGGCGACACCAACATATTTCCCAATATCACCATGGCCCAGTACGGCCTGGGCTATGTTATTGTGAGTGGGCGGCTAATTAGCCTGTAGAATCTATCAGCTTGTTAGTTTGCTGTGCTAAGAGGCTGTCATTTGACCAAGTCGACGATCATTTCAGAGGATCTGGGGTGGAAAATATCGCAATGGAGACAATCAATTAGTTGTCATTGCCAAGAAGAAGCCATATCGTATCACCAAACATCGTAGCGTCATGTTGTCTAACCATGAGTGATGGAGTAGAACCAGCAAGCACCCGTTCTATTATCTGCCAGGAGAGTGTGTTATTTATACATGTTTCAATAAAAACCATCTGCTCTGACTTTTCTAAATATCTTTCTCGTCGCAAAAACACTCAAACCATCAAGTGCATCTCCGTATCAGGTTCCGTTGCCCCTCTGCTCCATCCCTAATAGGCATGGCGTCTCGCAGTCGCTCGCGGATTGGTGGTGATGAAGGCAAACTACGATGGGCATTTTAAATTAAAAGATGGATTAGGGGGAGGCCTTGTCCCTGTCAACCCCGGGAGAAAGCTAGGGTCAAGAGGCCCAAGACTTGTTCTGCATTATGCTCCGTTTGGGACCAGCCTATCAGGGCCATGAAACCCGTCCCCATCTGCCAGGGAAGGAAAGGGCCAGGCTTTGACTGTTGTCACTTCCCGAGCGAGACGAGTGGGAGACAAGTGAGAGAATGAGAGGAGGAGGAAGAGCCCTGGCAGGTTCTTTCCCTAGCTTGGCGCAGCCAGTCACCACTTACATGAATAATAAGGCCAACGCCCCATCTCTCTCTACAACCTCACCTTTGATCTTCCCTCACCCTCCTCGTCCTTGTTGTCGTCGTCGCCGTCACTATCTCAGAGAATCGCTACTTTATCGATCCTCGTTACGTTCTTTAACAACAACATACCTAAGTCTCTCGCTCTCGGTCCTAGTTTTACCTAGCATCTCTATTGCCTTTAAACGCACACTCGCTTGTTGCTCAACACGAACCGTCTTCTCCACCATCATCTTTATACCCTGTTTGTGGCTTTGCTCCCTGTCTGCCAGATCAAACCGTATAAGCTGTTGAACTCAACTCAACTTCAACTTCAAGCTCAGTTTTTGTGCTCATTCGACAAGATGCTTTTCCGAACCATTGCCTCTATTGCTGTTCTGGCTTGTGCCAGCAACGCCGCCTCCGAGCCCGTGCCTTACAAGCTGATCAAGGCTCCCGTTGCAGGCCTCAGCTTCGCTCGCCGTTCTACTCCCGGATACCAGCCTGATCAGTCTGTCTGCGGTGGTGGCGGTGACACTTGCGCTGATGCTTGTGGTGCTGGTTACCAGTCTTGCCCTTCTGAGGATGACTCTACCCACTGTTTCAACCCTACAGCGAAGCAGTCCTGCTGCTACGATGGCACTGGAAGTACGTACTATAAACTCATTAACGAGACTTTCATGAAGGGATGAAGATTGAATGCTAACCATCTTCCCAGACTCTTGCGATAAGGGCTACTACTGCAGCCATGATACCAAGGCCCAGACCTGGTGTTGCCCTGACTCTATGGATCTTGCTGAGTGTGCCGCTGCGTATGGCGTTGAGGATGGCCTCAAGACCGAGCGACTCATGACCACCACTGCTAAGCCTACCACCGCTGCACCTACCACCACTGCACCTACCACCACTGCACCTACCACCACTGTTATCTCTACCACCGCTGTCCCTACCACCACTTCTCATCTTGAGACCTCCTCGACCACTGTCTACATCGTCAGCACCTCTCTTGCCACCACTGAACCTGCCTCAACAACCGATGTCGCCTCCACCACCAAGCCCGTCGTCGTTAAGACCACCACTAAGGCTGAGAAGACTACCATTGTTGCACCCAGCTCTGGCCACAGCACGGCCTGGAGTGGTTCCAACAGCACCATTGCCACTGCCGCCCCTACTCAGCCATCTGAGCCTGCTTCTGGCCCTGCCGAGCCTTCCACCATTAGTAGCGGTGCTTCCCTTACTGGTGTGAGCGCCATGCTTCTCGCTGCTGCTGGTGTCTTCGCACTGCTTTAAATCAACTTCAGCCTCGTGGAAACATTGGTCTTCGTAAGGAGCCATCTGAACATGACACCTCTGGTGTCACCGCGAATAATGAATAAATGATTAAGAGAGTAACGAGAAGCTTGTGCGTTGAACATGCCAAGCAGGAAGTTAATCGAAAACAAACACGTGATGCAATGTCGAGCTGCATACTCTTCTGATGAAATACCCCTTTTTTGAATACCCCCCTTCAGTTTACGTCCCACTTTAACAGCATTCGATCGGTTTGGTGTGTTTTGTTTGGCTAGGAAAAGAGCATGAGGAGGATGAGTTGATATGAAATGAGAAACGCTCAGCGCTTGAAAGATACGTTCGTACGATTGGTAAACGGTTTCCGTATACCTAATTATCCCTATATTTTAGCTACTATTCGTCACGTTGCGAGAGCTTAGTCTCCGCCTCGTAAACTTGACATTAATAATTGCCCTGGTAGACAATTTTACTCGACATTGCATACGCCTCCGAAACAATATTTTTATGAAAGTGACTAGAAACTGTAAACTCAGTCGTGTTAGACATATATATGCTTCTCCATGATAGGCTTAAGTTTATGATATATCATCCTAGAATCTTGGGGGCGAAACTCGGGCACATAACTAGTTTGCCAACGGCGCAGGTATGGGTGCAGACATATGAGTCCCCATTGTAAGCCTAAGCTTTGGCTCCTCATAAAGAGGGTGAGACAGTTCAGGAAGCTCTCCCATGTCATCATAAGTTTAATATATGTTTTGCCCCAGTGATTCATCTCCATGGTTGGGAATTCTTGCTGTGCTACGGCAGCTAGAGGCTCAGAACCACATCAAAGTTACGAACAAGTTGAGGAGAATTACGTGATACAGCATATAAACAACCTCCAAGTTTGGACGTCAACGTCAGCATTGATGTCACATGCGACCAGGAGTGAAACCCCATGACCAATATCCTTGCCCGGACAAAGTAAAGTACAGCAAAGCACAAGTGAGAGCTCATCTGTTTAGCAACGCATGCTGTACGGAGACTCTTCTACAAGAGTCTGAAGGGTATCATCGATGACGCAAAACGAAAGGGTATGATTTCTCTCCGCAACTAGGTAGATACGTTGCGTGCTATTAGCAGCGCAGATTGGGAAAACACAACAGCCTATCCCATTCATTCATTCATTCATTCCATAATTGTATTCTCATGTTCGATTCATTCTTCCTGCTCTTTAAACTCGTTTATTCGTGAGGGAATTGTCTATTGGTAGCAGCGGTGATGCTTGACACGTTTAGGCGCCGACAGCCTCGGGCTCCTTGTTCGCGTCGTAGCCGTGGGACACCTTGAGCTTCTCAACGAGCTCGACGTACTTCTCCTGAGCAGCCTCGGGGGTAAGCTTGTCCTCCTCGACGGCCTTCTTCCAGGCGTTGTACTTGGCCTTGCCCTGGATGTGGTGTTAGTTTGTCGCTCGTGGGGGAGTCGTGAGATGCGGGGAGGGAAGAGAGCTTGCCTTGAGGTCGAGCATGCCGGGCTTGGTGGCCTTTGAGAAGTCATCGCCGTTGCTGACCTTGAAAAGAGCTGAGACAGTTAGCTACTGGGCGCAGGATAACAGCGAGGAGAGGAGGCTTTACCGTAGAGCTCGAGGAGTTCAGTGGGGCCGGGCTTGGAGGTAAGCTTGCGGGAGTCCACGACGGCGGTCTGGAAAGCTTGGTTCTGGGCAGCAGACATGATGGGCTGAGTTTAGATTGTGTTTGGAGATAAGTTTAAAGAAGATCAAGTTCAGGTTAAGAAAGAAGAAGAGGAAAAGAGGTGTTGGGATGTTTGTTGAGGAACTTGGCTTTCTCCCGGCGGGCGGGTTATAGCGGGGTCATGGGGTGGGCAGTGGAGGGGCTAGGGGGGCCCAAGGCCGCTGAGTGACGTCTTGAGCTGTTATTGGTTGCTTTGGGGACCTTTCCCCAAGAAGATCAGGACCGAGGAAGGGAAATGCTTATTGAGATTTGGAAGATGAAGAAATGCACGTGGTGAACAGGGGGCATGGAGTTGCATGTTGAAGATATATCATGTGTTAGGTAATTTGGTGAATAGACTTCTTTGGTGAGTTAAAAGGCGAATATGAAAACATACAATTCAATTAAGATGTACAGCAATAGCTTGAGTCGGTCAGATGGCTCTCAAACTATGGTCTGATAATACAGGGACCAATACTCAATGCATAGAAATATGTATCAGTGATATAGAACTCATCGTGCACTGAAGCTGCGATAGCTTCAAACAACACAGAACCCAAAGCAATAATATACGAGCCTGAAACATAAGCTGTTGCGGAAACATTATTTGCTACACAGCCTTGAACTCGTCATAGACAAGCTCCGAACTCCGAAACTATCGGGGACGGGTCAACATCCCCGGCTTTGAACCTTCACAACTCAAATATCTCTCCGGAGCCAATTCACATTACAGGGGCAACCGCGTATTTAAGTGGAAGACGATATCCATTACCTGGGATAACCAATTACTTATTTATTTAACTTCCTCACCTTGCACCGACGCATTAAACATGACAAAGACTGTCGTTGTCTTGGGCGGAAGCCTAGGCGGTATGGCTGTTACCCATCAGTTGCTCAAGTACACGCGGCCCCGCGAGGAAGACCTCAAAGTTATACTCGTCTCCAAGGTACGACATATATAAAGCCGGGCTTTTGCAACCCTGATATTGACATATTCGCAGAATAGCCACTTTTACTGGAATCTCGCATCCGTCCGCGCCATTGTCCCCGGCGTGGTAAAAGATGAAGATATTTTCGCTCCCATCAAGCCAGGCCTGGATCAGTATCCCGCCGGCAGTGTTGAATTCATTGTCGGCACCGCCTCAGCCGTTGATCCCACAGCGCGGACCGTGACTGTTGATCCCGAGGTTGGAACCACTCCGACTGTGCTCAACTACGACCACCTCGTGCTTGCTACTGGCGCCGAGACTGTCGACCCGTCTCTCCCATGGAAGGCATCTACCTCGCACGAAGAGCTCGTGGATAGTCTTCACCAGACTGCCGAAAAGGTTGGAAAGGCTACGCATATCGTCGTTGCTGGCGCCGGAGCCACAGGTGTCGAACTCGCAGGGGAGATCCAGTTTGCTTTCCCCTCGACTACTGTTTTACTCATCTCAGCTGAGGATAAGCTTCTGGCCGGAGACCAGATTGCCGGAGCTGCCGAATCCGAGCTCAAACGTCTGGGTGTCGAAATCCGTGCCGGTGTGCGCTCCGAGGACACGACTGAGCTACCAGATGGCAAGACTCTGGTAAAGCTGTCGAACGGAGAATCGCTGGTTACGGATCTGTTCCTCGCGACCATGGGACTACGACCTAATTCTGGATTCTTACCCAAGGAGTGGCTAAACGAGCATGGCTATGTAGACGTCGATGATGCGATGCGCGTCAAGGCCACAGAGGGTGTATGGGCAGTCGGAGACATCGTATCCAAGCCTCGCGCCTCTTTCATGATCACAGAGGCACAGGCCGGCGGCGTTTTCAAAAACATCGAGCTTGCGCTCAAGGGCAAGGAAGCACAACCTGTGAGCGGTCCTCGCGTGGACGCCTTTCTATGCGCCACTGGCCGAAGCCGTGGAGTTGGACGCCTGGGCAAAGTACCTGTGCCGTCACTTGCGGTATGGGGAATCAAAGGCCGTACATTAGGCACTGAGCGAACGAAAAAGTACGCCAACGGCAGTATGTGGTGATGAGAGTGCGAGTTGTGGAACGCCCGATATCCTCCTATTCAAGAAAGCGCCATGATATTCCTACATAGAAAAGAAAAAACCATACCCATTCCATAATCTAATTAATACGCCTATCCTGTCTTCTCGTCTTCAATCTCCCTCCGGATCTGTTCAAGAACTTGTTCGCGTGTTCTCAAATGAGTCTCTAGACCCTCGACCTGCTCGCGGACGGTCTGGAGATCCTCCTGTATGCTCTTGAGGCTCCCTCCAGCGGCGCTCTTGCCAGTTCCCTCTTCTAACTCCCTAAGTTCTCTGCGCTTATATTCGAGCAGCTGGTCGAGCTCCTTCTTAACCAGCGCAGGCTTGGAGTCGCGTTTGCCGCCTTTTCGGCGCTCCGCGATCTCTTCTACCTTCTTCATCTTATCCTCGAGGTCCTGGAGCTTGCGCTTCAAACGAACCTCTTCCCAGTCCTCCGTCTTTTCCGTCGAAAAGTCTGTGCCAGTGCTCTTGAAGCCACTTCGGCCCAGGCGCGTTAAGTATTGATCGCCGAACTTCGCCTTGCGGCCGGTACTGGTGTTCTCATCGGCCTTTGTGGCCCATCGCGAGTTGGCGCCGGTTCGCTGGTTATCGACTTGGTAATCGATCTGGTTGCGCTCAAAGCTGGATCGCAGGGAAGCAGGAACGGTGCGCGGGATTCGGAAACCCTCGTGTCGGTTATTAAGGATATGTAGGAAAGCGAGGCAAGCGTCCTTATTGATGGTCGATTGCGCCGAAGGGTTGATCAGGTTCCAGGCGGATCGAATATCGGTATCGGGAACGTCGAGGGACTCGTAAAGATCGCTGAGTGCATGGACTGTGTTTATTAGCTCTGCCGATTGGTACTGAGATTCTTAGACATACAGTCAACCTCGCCGCGCATATCTCGGTTCTCTTGGTAGATCGACTCGTATTTGGCCTTGTCAGCAGGCTTCATATACCACTCGAATCCATCTTTAAGCCCAAGGTCTTCCGATTCATCCTCGACTTGCTCGAACTGCACCGACTTTCCCGTGATCGCCTGGGTAGCTTGAACCAGATGAGCCTTGGACTCTGGGACCAGCCAGTCGGGCAGCGTGGTCGGCACATCCGCGTATTCCTGTAATCCGTAAGCTTAAGTGCAACAAACTCGCCGAGGAACCGCGCCATACCCCGTTCAGGATATCAAAGATGATGCGCATAGCGACGCAAAACTCCTCGAAGTCGAGGTTTCCATCGTTGTCCACATCCGCGAGATCCCATACTCGCTCCAGCTGGTCATCTCGAAGTCCACTGTTCTTTAGAACAGGGGCAGCTTGCTCGCCTGTAAGAAACTTGCCGCCTCCTGTCCGCGTGGAAAAGATGTTCCAGTAGGTTTCGATTTCCTGCGCCTCGATCTTGGGAGCCATGGTTGCGTCTATGGACTCTGGACAGTCTCGTGTTGTTGTTCGTAGGAAGTAGAGCGAACGATGCGAGCGCTACTTGAACGGAGAGAAAGGAATCGATCGCAATCGTTTTGGCGGCGACCGCAGAGTATGTTGTATTAATGGAGAGGCGATCCAAGAGGTCCTGAAGCTGGATACTAAAGGTTGAAGGTAGAGTGAGGTTGAATGACGAAGCCGCTGAGCTCCAGCCACGCTTGGACTGGGTTGCTTCCCCTGATGCAAGTGCAGCCCCCGCTTAGCCAATATCCAAATTAGCGCATAATCTCATTGGGCAAGCATGCGATCAGTTGAGTTGAGGGAGAACATGTACTAATAACTTGAGTCCAGTTAAACTTATTGTATCAAGGTCTTAATGGTGTTAGTTGAAACATTTTCCTCTCATGGTTGGTGGATAAATGCTAATATCAAGCAAGATATGTTGAATTTCTGACGTAAGGGCTATAATGCTGCTGTTGCGTGTATATGTGTATAGTGCATAGAGAGTATCCATTTCATAACCTCTGATACCTCTAATACTACACTATGTGTAAGTAAAAGCTAAATGGTATCAACCAGCGCGTCATAACTCTAAATAAGAATGGGCCTTTAAACTGTCATATCATCAGGCATCTGCATATTAGCGAGCAAGATGCTACACTGCATACAAACTCGCAGCAGTTAATACCCAAAGGTCCTGAAAGTCTGGGCCTGATACGCTAAAGCGAGAAGAGGTTCACCGAGAGTGACTGGCCAACCGGCATAGCCCAGGCTTTGGGTGGTTGAGCCCCACTGCTTAATCTGGAAGGGACCTGGAGAACATCACAATATCGTGAAAGCTTAGTGGCTGGGCTTCAGTGAATGGTGGACCGGATAGCGGGTGAGGGGCACGGCTGCCACACCCGACAACTTTTTTGGAGGGGCAAGGAGTAAAGAGCGTGACCCAGGCCTTTAAATTAGTCGACCTACCTTAGTATCCATGGAATCCTTAGACCGCTCGATTTTATTCCTTATATACCCATCGCTGTATCTTGCTCTTTGGCGCATCCTGGACTTTGCAAGCATCGCGTAACTGTCTTTTCGCAAAATAGGCTCACGTACCGACCAAGTCAACTCACAATGTCTACTACAACCACCACCACTACCCAGCCTATCACGGCTGAATCTATGCTTCGTCTTTTCCCTGATATTGACACCAGCTCCGATCCTCTATCTGGCCACGATGAGGAGCAGATTCGTCTCATGGACGAAGTTTGCATTGTCCTCGACGAAAACGACAACCCAATTGGCACAGCTAGCAAGAAGATCTGTTCGTGAAACTGCGTCTACTATAGACAATGCCGCCTTGCTAACTTGAAGACTACTAGGCCATCTCATGACCAACATTGACAAGGGTCTCCTTCACCGTGCCTTTTCTGTCTTCCTCTTCAATGATAAGAACGAGCTCCTCCTCCAGCAGCGCGCTTCCGAGAAGATCACCTTCGCCGATATGTGGACCAACACTTGCTGCTCTCACCCTCTCAACATCCCTACCGAGACTGGTTCAACCTTTGAAGACTCCATTGCTGGTGTCAAGCGAGCTGCCCAACGCAAACTCGAGCACGAATTGGGTATCAAGAAGGAGCAGGTTCCCTTTGAGGACTTCCATTTCCTTACCCGAATTCACTACAAGGCTCCTAGCGACGGCAAGTGGGGTGAGCACGAGAGTAAGTAAAAAGCCAGGCTTTGATGGCATAGTGACTAACAGCTGGCGCAGTTGACTACATTCTCTTCATCAAGGCCAATGTTGACCTTGATGTCAACAAGAACGAGGTCAGGGACACACAATACGTTACCCCTGAGAGCCTAAAGCAACAATTCGACGATCCCAAGTTGGTTTTCACCCCTTGGTTCAAGCTCATCTGCAACTCTATGCTCTTCGACTGGTGGAAGAGCCTCGACTCTGGCCTGGAGAAGTACATGCACGAGCAGGAGATTCGACGCATGTAACGACTTAGGAATAAAGACATGGAAACGAAACTGGGAACAATGACATGAAAAACGGCATGGCCGTTCAAAATGCAGGACTCGGTATATATTGCATCGAGTTTTCACAATCAACGAACATAGATATCCGCTCCCGCACACCGCTGTATTACAACTCAGAGGGTGCGGAGCAGCTTTTAATTCAACACTTTTCACTACTTGACCTCGCCTACCAGTACCCATCGAAGAGACGGTAGTCATGACCACCAACCAGAGTCTCAACCTTATTCTGCAAAGCCAGGCAATAAGGCAGGCTGGGTACAGACTGAACCTTCATGTACAGTCGAATGACGCATCAAGTCAACCATTAATCAGGTTCATGATGCCTCGGTGCTCCACTGCTTCCGAGTCAGCAAGTTGTCGACCCCATCAAGTGACACGTTGCTACTAAACAAGGCAGTGGCTAGAGTTCCGGCACAAGCCGTCTCCATCCACCAACAAGCTGGCATGGTGCTCTTTTCCAGCTGGGACTTTGGTGACTGTCTTTCACTTTAACTGTTGTTACAGTCAAAGCCGGCAAGAGCCAGCACCTATCCAGCTCATTCATTTGTAAAGACAGCAAAAGATCCTGTATTTATGCTAACGAAGACAGAATGCGCGGGACATGAGCAGCTGTTCTAGCGTTGAGATACAGACCTTGAGAACGGCTGCCTACTTAGGCATAGCTTACCGTTCCTTATCCTGTCAAATCAAGGCGATACGATCTCCTCCACTCTCAGCTGCCGGCGGCTTGACCCTTGACCCTTGACCCTTGACCTGACTTACACGGTAAGAATGCGCCCGGCATACAATCTTACATCCAACCCCACGACGTGAGACAAGCCTTCTCTGCTTCTTTGTTCCCGTTGAATGATATTTATTGGGGTTCAAACCTCCTTCTATCAACTCCTTCAATGATTGGAGTATCTTGAAATGGGGAACAACTGTACAGGTAACAACAGCGTCACCCCCACGATCTTGCAACTGATCATGTGTCCCATGATCGTCAGCCAGCAAACACTGTGCTGTCTATCTCGCCCTGTTCGCCTCATTTTTAGACCTGCTTCCCATGTCTTAACTAGAGTGTCACAATGGGCATCGCCAAGCTAGTCGCTACCCCGCGATAATAGCTGTCATGTTCGGTTTGGCCAATGGCATCATGGATATCCGCTTGGGATCACTCCGTATCTATGTTGTCAGAGCTATCCGGCTAGACGGCCGCACGGCATGCTTATCAAACATGCGTCCCTTAGTGCCGTATTTAAACCCATGGATCTCCAATCTCCTAACCCGTCTTTGTTCCTCACCTACTTTGAACTCAGTTGCTCACCTCTCCCATAGCAACACTGCTTTGCTCAAGTCTTCTCCTCAACCCCAAAGACAACAGCCGCTGGCCACTAAGAGAACCCTCTGCCAGGACATCTTGCTAAGCCTTCTCTTGGGCGAGATTGCTTTGAAGAATAGCCAACTTGGCGTCTTGCTGTTGCTGTTACCACGTGCTGCTTGCTACATTCAACTCTTTGTATTGTTGATACTTTTTGACTATTGTCTGACTGTTGTCTGAACATATTTGAACATCCCCATCTGACACAACTCCAATCCGCCATCGTGAGCACTTTGTACCCTCGCATCGCTCCGTCGACAGATCTTCCTTGATATCAATCTATTCAAATCGCGAGCCTGGCCCGCTCAGGTACTACCTTGATGTCGGTTGAAGTTCGCACCAGCCTTAATTGTTTGCGCCATCCCTCGAGGTTCACGTCCGTCTGCCGAACTCAATTATCACGAGTTCATACGGGCGATAATTGCCAGAATATACAATGTAAGTCTAGATCCCGAGGCTATGAGCTTATCTTGCTTAATACAGAACGGCGCCCCTTTCATTGCCGGGGAGGGGGCCCCTAGGCAGCGAATAAATCCAATACCGGTTAAACTGCAAACATGGAGATCAGTAAAAATCGCAGTAGTGGTACCAATGGATCGAACGTACTGGCCAAGTGGCGACGACGTTCCCTTGTTCCACCAACATGGGAAACCTCGGTTCGTCTGGTTGAAGTGAAGGAGTCTGCGGCTGCTGGCAGCGCTCTGGCCCAGGCCTTTGCGACTGACGCTATGAGCCAGTATGTGCTCGATGGGGACGACATGGCCGATTACTCAGACGAACAGATATGGAAGCTCCATGTTGACTATATGACTTATATGGTTGCAGCACACTGCTATAAAGGAGTTGTGACTGCTATTGGGTCAGATTATGATGCTTTAGCTCTCTGGTGCGTCGCACAACAGTTTCGTCGATAATCTGGGGCTGACAGACTTGCAGGCTTGCTCCGGGCCAACAGATGGATGACTGGTGGACTAGTCTTCGTAGCGGTATGTGGAAACTATACTACCAGTTGTCAGCTGAAGGGCGGAGACGATACTATGACGAGATGCTGCCCGTCCTCGACCAGACGAAAGAAGATATCATGGGCGAACGGAATGAGGAGTGTTACTACCTCGTCTATATAGGCACAAAGCCTAACGCACAAGGCAGGGGTTATGCCGGAAAGCTGATTCGAGACATGGTTACAAAGGTGGGATGCTTCACCATTCTTGCTGTCGTTGATAAGTATTAGTGTAAGCTAACAGAAGGTAGGCCGATGCTGAACAGCGTCCTATGTATCTCGAGTCCAGCACCGAACGTAACAACGGCTACTACGCCAAGTTCGGTTTCGAGGTCAAACATCACGTTGTGTTCGAGGGCGGACCGGAGCCCATCACGATGTGGATCATGGTTCGCGAGCCTCAGACTCCACGACCTGCTTGCAGCTCTGTCGTCGTTTCTGCCGTCAGCAGTGCCGTCAAGTTCTAGGGAAGCGAGCCTCTGGTCTCACCAAATGTCGACACCGGATCAGAGGCTGAAGTCGAGGAGATTGAGGATATCACCCGAGCACAACAAGATTGGAAATGCGTTGTGATGTGAGTTTTGATTATCAGAATGTCTTTGGAATTTCCGAGTGTGTTTAAACGTGGTCATTCTTTTGGATATACTGTTGTGCTTCTTGGATGATGCAAGTAGTTTGAAATTTGTATTTGTGCTGCGCAACTCTGGCGATGGACAGTCTCTACCGCAATAGTTGTCTCTATATTCTGCTTTCACAGTTTGCCGACTAGCTCGAGTCATTCATTAGGGAGAAATAACCCGGATAAAATTGTCATTCCTTCATAAGATGGATCCTCCTGTAACCACCAACACCATGCACCTAGTTTTTGTAGTTTGTATTACACATGTAAACGTCTACCTGCCTCTTTAGGCGGCCATCATAACCCTCGGCCTGGACTTAGTATTCAAGAATTGCCCATGTCTCGTCATCTACGGTTGTGTAGATAAGACCTTGTCCAAGCAATTCGTCAGCGGCAGTGAGAGCATCCCGCACTGACATGGCAGTAGTGTTGGTGATGACGTTGAGGTGAACACCCTCGTTGCCACCAGGTGTATCGTTCATAAAGTTGAACATCTTCTTGGCTAGCACACTGCAACCAGCGAGCTTAGTAGGCGCTTGGCCGGCATTGCCACCGCCATTGTCGTTGTAACCGCCGCCGTCCACGAACATGCTATCTCCGTCTCCGTTGGCGCCACCCTGGCCACCAAGAGGGCCCTTGGTGAAGTAGAGATGAACATATGTAGCCTCGAGCATATGGTAGTTGACCTCGTTGAAGTCTGCCACGGGTCTAATGACATGCGCACCGACATGACGCTTGTTGTTGAAGGACTTGAGACGGCCCCAAATACGAACGTGGGACTCGAGCTCGAAACCAGGGTCGGCATCGTCTTGCTTATCGACATCAATCCACTTCTTGACCTCAATCGTTCCGGTGCCGTCTTCGATCTTGAGGGTGATATTTGTAGGTTGAGGCTGGACGTTGCGGACCTGTCCGACGAATGTGATTTGGGTCACGGGGGAACCGTCGATTTTGAAGTCGGCGCCGGCGTAGGCCTCTTCGGCGTCGAGGATCTGCTTGATGGTGACGGGACGCAAAGACTCATCCTGGTATGACTATTGATCGTTAGGAAAAGCACTGAGATGTGTCGTAAACGGGGGATGTTGTACCTTGCCGCCGCCGCCTCCTTGGCTGCCCTGCTGTGAGCCCCCAGCAAAGAAGCCGCCCGAGTCGTCACCTCCTTGGGCACCGTAACTTGTTTTTGTGAAACCAGCGTAAGCAGCTACAGAGATTTGAAGAGTTAGCAATGTTGAGCAGAGCAGAGCTTAGCTTAGGTTTATCGCGATTATGGCGTACGTACACATGATTTTGGTTATATGTGTGATGTTGAGTTGTGTTGGGCTAGGCAGAGCTCACGGCGTGAAGAATGAGACGCGTTGAGGCGCGATTGTTTAATGGGCTCCATCACGCTCGTGCCCCGCCTATCACGATGTGGGGGGCACCTTTGCCTTAGTCATTGAGCTGTCTCTGTTCGTAAACTACCTACACTTATTACAGCACGTACTCTCTGACTCTGAGGGCTACCTTGGGTACTGTTGGATAGCATAGATCCATTACAGGCGGGTTCGAAAAGAAGCAAGAAGAGTTGGACCTTTTGTGATCAGTTACCTAGATTTCAGCCGATAGGATGTGCTGCAGTACAGCTACAGCAGGCACGTGCTTGGGCAGGGCAGTTATGAGAAGCAGGCATATGCTATTTCGGAATCAACTACTGGTCTATCATATCAACGGTGTGTTGCGCATTAATATCTAGACTCGTATGCTCGGTATGGTCTCAATTGCCGTTGCTGATCGACTCGCAATATCCTTGAAGCCCTCCCAATCCGGTAGAGGGTCACGCATCTGCCGGCATCTCTATGGCGAGTCGTGTTTTGCCGTCACTGGACGTAGGCACAAGACAACAGTTGCAATGGAAGACTGTGGCATTACTGAGAAGTCTCTACAGCTTCCCGAAGCTTCTCCGCCACGCTTTTCCATGGTGGCATCATTGATAGTTGAGAATGATCAACCGATTAACAGCACATCCATACCTCTAGCCTCGGCAGCAAAAATGGGGCTATTGACTACGGACCCCGGCTTCGGCGTTCGCCCCGTGTTTCTCCAGGTTTCCTTCCACTGAGATACCTGCCGCAATCACACCCTAGGTCGTCGGCCATCGGTCATCACATCCGTATGGATACTTGCATCTGACATCAACATCAAAAGCTCCTCCTCTTTTTTACCTGTGCTTGCTCTGGATAAACCATCTTCAATCCTCCTCCTTCTTTTTTAGCCTTGATTAACCATACTTTGCGTACCCAGCGTTTGCTTTTATCTTGTGTTACTTATATAATCTCTAGCAAGCCAGTGGCATCATGGCAAAGCCACAGACCGCGAATCTCCCCCTGATACCGCTTGCACGAGGCACCATCCTCCTTCCCGGCCTAGTCCAGCGAATTCCCGTGTCGTCAAACCGTCCCGATGTTCCGGCTTTGCTCGCCCACGTTTACGAACAAGCCGCTTCCAAGGGCCCAGATACACGCATCGACAGCATTCCCATCGCCTGTGTCCCGGTTTCATCACCTCTGATCGGTGGGAACGGCCAACGACTCATCGGCAACGCTGAAGATATAGACCCCGCTGAGATTGAGAATGTGCTTCCCGGCGCGGCGAAGAAGACCGATCTTTTCTCGTTTGGCGTCGCGGCCAAGATCATTGGCATCGATGGAAGAGGAACTGGGGAATTTGCATTGCGCGTCGAAGGTACTGCTCGTGTTCGCATTGACTCCTACACTCGCGAGCGTCCTTACTTTGAAGCCAAGGTGACATATTTTCACGAAGACTGTAAGCTATTCCACGCAGCCACTCTATTGCCAACTGCCATTGACTTTTGCGACCAGACAATTCTACTGATAAGCAGACGCAAGACTTGTTTGCTCTATTGAAGACTCGATCTCGAGAACTCGTCACAATTCTTAGGATTTCCTCCCTTCTTCCCCGAACCCGAGACGGACCGATCCTTTCACCGGTCCTCACCAGACGACTTGAAATGCTTATCATGAGGAAGGAATTAAAGGAGGCTGGACTTCTTGCCGATTTCATGGCCAATCTGGTTGAAAGCACTCACGAGGAGAAGCTCGAAGTCCTTGCAGCTCTAGATGTCAAGGTGCGCCTCACCAAAGTCATTGAGTTACTTGAGCGCCAGGTTGGCGGCATCAAGAACAACTTCAAAATCACCACTTTCACAACCATGCCCGTCCAGATCTTGGATCGATTAAATGAGAACCAAAAGCACAAGCCAGGATCGCTGCCCCAGATTCCCGGCATGGCATTCGTCCCCCCCAATGGGCAGATGCCGGGCAGTAACGACCCAAACGACGACCAGGAGGCCAACGAACTCGACGAACTGAAGCGTAAGATTTCAAACGCCAAGCTTCCAGCCGAAGCCGCCAAGACTGTGGATAGGGAAATGAGACGCCTGCAGAAGATGCAACCCATGAACCAGGAATATCAAGTTACTCGTAATTGGTTGGAAATTTTGGCTGAGATACCCTGGACAGTCACAACGGATGATCGTCTGGGCCCCGAGACTTTGCACAGGGCAAGAAAGCAGCTTGATGATGACCATTATGGCCTGGACAACGTTAAGAAGAGACTTATCGAATACCTAGCTGTTCTGAGGCTAAAACAATCCATTAATGACGACGTCGAGAAGAAAATCAAGGACGCGGAAGAGCAGATGGGCCACGCTACCGCTACCAAAGAGCAAGACAAGGAGAAAGAGAAGGAGACAGCTGAGGAGAGCTCCGAAGTTGAAGAGGCCACCAAGCCGGAAATGGCCAAGCTTCAGATCCTCAAATCTCAGCGTATGGTCGACAAGTCTCCCATCATGCTCCTCGCAGGCCCTCCTGGTGTAGGCAAGACAAGTCTGGCGCGATCCGTGGCTACAGCTCTTGGTCGCAAGTTTCATCGTATCTCCCTTGGCGGTGTCCGAGACGAAGCTGAGATCCGGGGCCATCGAAGAACATATGTTGCGGCCATGCCGGGTCTCATCGTTCAGGGACTGAGGAAGGTGGGTGTTGCTAACCCTGTCATCCTTCTCGATGAGATCGACAAGATTGGCCAAGCTAGTATTCACGGCGATCCTTCAGCTGCTATGCTGGAGGTTTTAGATCCTGAACAAAACCATAACTTCCAAGATCACTATGTTGGTATGCCAATTGATCTCTCCAAGATCCTTTTCATCGCCACTGCCAACAGTCTCGACACCATCCCTGCTCCTTTGTTGGATCGAATGGAGATGATCTACATTCCCGGCTATACGACACTCGAGAAGCGACATATTGCTATGCAGCATCTGGTCCCCAAGCAGATCAAGATGAACGGGTTGGACGAGGTTCATGTTGCCTTCAACCAAGAAGTTGTTTCCAAAATTATCGAGAACTACACTCGCGAATCTGGAGTTCGTAATCTGGAGCGCGAAATCGGATCTGTCTGTCGTGCCAAGGCTGTTGAGTATGCCGAAGCTAAGGACGGGGGTCATATGGAGCATTATCGATCCGAACTAAGCGTAGAGGACGTCGAGAACATTCTAGGTATCGAGAAGTTCGAAGAGGAGATTGCCGAAAAGACAAGCCGCCCAGGTATCGTGACAGGCCTGGTAGCCTACAGTTCTGGAGGCAATGGTAGCATTCTATTCATCGAGGTTGCCGACATGCCCGGCAATGGACGGGTTCAGCTCACAGGAAAACTTGGCGATGTGCTGAAGGAAAGTGTCGAGGTGGCTTTGACATGGGTCAAGGCTCATGCTTTCGAGCTGGGCCTTACACCTGAACCTACCACCGACATCATGAAGGAGCGTAGCATTCACGTGCACTGCCCATCAGGTGCTATCCCCAAGGATGGTCCAAGTAGTGGCATCGGTCAGGCTATTGCACTCATTTCCCTGTTCTCGGGGAAGCCGGTGCCACCAACAATGGCAATGACGGTATGTTATCTGACAGGCCATTGACTCGTGATAATTCAGTACGCTGACAGCCATTTGTGCAACAGGGCGAGATTTCTCTCCGGGGCAGAGTTACAGCCGTCGGAGGTATCAAGGAGAAACTGATCGGCGCCCTCCGAGCTGGCGTCAAGACTGTGCTACTCCCGGCTCAGAATCGCAAGGATGTTAAGGATCTTCCGCAGGAGGTCAAAGATGGCCTCGAGATACTTCACGTCAGGTAAGCCATCTCTTCCCTGGGTCAAACCCCTCTGTAGCACACTCAACCCTGCTGCCCATTATACCCCGATGATAGGAGTTCGGTTTCACTGACGCATGTCTTGAATAGTCATATCTGGGAGGCGATCCGTCTCGTCTGGCCAGACTCGCATTGGGCAGAGGACAGCAATTACCGAGGCATCGAGAGCCGACTGTAATGCGCTCAGCAGAACAATTGTCGGCTATACCATCACCTCACTCGTAAACAATGTCTCGTCGGTATACATCGACATACTCTGCAATTCTGAAACGTCTCGTGGCGACTTGCCAACCGCGTCGCAAGCCTCTGCCTTTCTCAGCGATGGTGACCTACTGAAGCTCACCGAGATGGCCCAAATCAGCCCTCTTTGCGACGCATCTATCCGGTCCACCAAGCGGCTGCTTGTCTCACAAAACCCCCCTATCCCGTGACCTTGGGTTGTCTTTCCCATCAGATCGAGCCATCACCCCCTTGCGCATGCACATATATGTTCAAATTCGAGACAGCTAGGAGGGCCCAGCTGTGGCATCTTCAAAGACGCATGTCTTGCGTCGAGTTGTGGTGTATCCTGTGTTGTCTTTTCCTGCCAAAGTATGTGCCAGACTTGCAAGACGAAGGTAACGCCGCAACGAGCCAAGCGAGTATGAGGTTTGCCGTGCTACATCAGATTCTACTCGATTAGGGGGTCACAGAAATGACTCCCTAACTAAAATGTGTCTCAAATCTGTTTTGTTGTTATCTTCCGAGAATCGTCAAGAATGAGCTTTGCAGATGAGACATCATAACACCTTCGGCAGGCAATACCCGAGCAAGAGTGTCGATATGAGCCAGCAAGACATGATGCGATTTGGTCGGCGAAAGGAGTTTTAATTTAGGCGTTTCTTGTCTCGATTTGTTTCCTCGTCTGGGCATATCACGAGGCAACTTCCTGTATCACACATTATGAGTATGTACGGCGGTAGATTCAGCTATCTGTAGTGTATAAACTTCCTCAACCTATCTCCCACGACTTTGTTTCGGTTATCTGAGCATCCACGGTGTCGTTTTGGGTCTACGAATCCAGAGTCCTGGTTACCCAAACATTACTCTTGCTTCAGTTGTGAAGCTAGATCGAAACATCACAATGTATACACATGAATGTCATATGGTAAGAAATTCGAGTGCATGGTAGGCCACTATACGAGAGTGTGGTATGATAAGTTCATCTTGCATCTTGCCGCTAGGCTTAGTAAACTCCGAAGGGAATGCATTCGCTTGCATGACAAGCACAAGCCCGATCTTTGTAGCCGTTTCCAGGCCACTGTGGCGGCATGGCGTCGAGCTGACCATGCCCTCGGTGACTTCAGGGAGGGAAAGACATTTAAAGAAGCAAGTCCTGACGCCACATTCATGGCCAGGAGACTAGTGCTCCGTAAGATGAAGGGAGTTCGATCCACAGCCGCAAGATCGACAACATAGCTCAACACGCATTATAGTAGAAGTGAGCTGGTTCTGACGCCTGATGGTAACCTTGTTCCATTATCAGCCGAGAACTTTAGACGGGATCCGTACAGCTGCGGCATTCGACCTTGGATCTGACCAGGTTAGCGCAACGAAGCTGCAATTATGTTGCTCCGCGATGGATTCTGCGTCACAACATGGTATGCCTGGTAACTACCCCATGGGCGCGCCTCTTTGCTTTTCACTTGCCCCTGGGACAATCAATAGTGCCAAGTAGTTGGGGCCTCCCCTACTTGGTGTCTCTTGTAACTCACCTTGACGGCGTGAACACCCATACCTCACAAGTTGCTTCTGGCAAAAATAATCAGACCATAATTGAGAAAAGAAATGTGAAACATACTCAGAGACAAGCAAAGAAAAGAAAAGTGTGTGCATGCTTTTCAGCTGTTGAAGACGCACCCTCTCGATCGCTGGATGTCTTGGCGAACAGCAATCTGGTGGTGGCATCGGCAGTAAAACAAAAAGAAACAGGCGAATGGTTCGTCTACCACGCAAACCAAACTCTCAGAATGGTGATGGCTCTGAGACAATACGCCACTAGAATGGATTAACACGCGGTGGTGGGCCAGTCCAAAGAAGCACATCCACGCAGGCATATTTGCCAGTCCCTGGATCAACCTCAATTCTTAAATTGGAGTGCAGCTTGCTAGGAAACAGACGCCCAGTCACAGTCTTGACTGCAGCTCGTCACTAGATTTCAGGTGATGAGTATTGCCCAATAGACCGGATGAGAGACCAAGCACGCTATCACCTGCGGTGATGAACCAGCACTGCATGAAAGCACACGGCCGCGTCCCAGGTCTCCGGGACTGTGGTTATCGATGCCCCGTGTTGTACAGGACATGTCTCGGGAGTCTTTTATCTGTTGTTGAACAAACGTTGCCTGAGATCGATGGCAAGCAGTCTGGAGTGCCGCAAAACCGTTAGTCAATGGCTACCTGTGTACGACTGTTCATTTGGCGCTCTGTAGCCATTTTGCTCGGGAGTTACTGTAGAGCATGTACCATCCTGCGGAGTAACATCCCCTACATAATTAAAAATAAAATATGATCAAGTAAACATCGAATTTACCTGAACATATGTACAGTTCTTACCGCGCCTCTGAAATTTCCAGTCTATGAACCCTACTGAGGGTGTTGAAGACCCATACACGGACAGGATTTGGTCTCGTAGGAAGCTTGGGACCATGGTGGGATTCTATCGATCCCACAGGCAGTGGAGCACCCTGAATCCTGTGATAACTATCTTGTTGTTGTTAGTGTCTGCCCGGTGGTCATCTCCTCCACCGTCAAGCTATCGATCCCGCAGCGTGTGAATGCCTGTAGTCCACTAACGCCATTGGCAAGCATTCGTCCGGAGCAATAAAGCAATGTCTGTGCGAGGTGACGTATAACCTATTGGTAACTGGAGGGCTTGACATAGATAGTGTCGGTCTAGGCTAAATTAGAAGCTAAATACTCAGAGCTGACAGCATCGTCATATCATATCATGTTGGGTTGTTCAGGGAGCAACCCAACCACGGAAATTTACTAACGTAGTCATTCCCTTCCCGAATCCCGACCACGGCTCCAGCCGTCATGGCCAAGGCTCTGAGAGGCTGCGCATCGCGCACGAATCGACTTCTGGCTTAAGTGTTGTCAGTCGAGGAAGATAGAAGCATTATGCCACAGAACGGTAAGGCAAGAGATGAGTCGGTGGATGAAGCTATCCTCATCCCTGTTCCTCTCGCAAGGAGTCTGAGTCTTGGCCTTGAATCCGAACACTAGCAAGCGGGGTTTGATGAGATGAAAAATGCCACCCTAGATCATCGTACAGCAATTGGCCTGGAGAAAGTTTCCCTTCGCCACCTACTCGACTCTGCCCAAAATGTTATGGGCCGTACCGGGGAGGAACGTCAGGCACGTTAACAAATCGAGGCTTGGAGAATCTCCCTCGTGCTAGATACGGGGTGAGAGACATGAGGTCACTCAGATCAAAATGGCCCGTGGCAGTTGTGGTATTGCAATATTCAGCTTTCATTTTGCAAAACGTTGAAGGCCAATAGGAGTAAGAGGAGCTTGTGTGCTAGGAAAATCTTAAGACTTCTACTTGAGCGATGTATTGTCTTAGATCGTTGAGCAAAACAGGCTGTGGTCCCGACCTTTGGACTCGTACGATGGGCAGCATTCTGCTTGGCTACCGCTGCAATGGCGCTGCCGCCCGCTGCAGTAAAGTTACTTTTTGTGCCGTATCGAAACTGCGAGGGCGTTGATAGACATCGACCAGCCCGTTAGCTTAGATCCATAACCAGCAGGTCGGAGGTTTGGCATCTGCGGCCGGCCCAAGAAGGGAACTCAATGACGAGAGATGTCTAATCGTCAGGGCGGCTTCCCAGCGTGGTTGGTACTGTTGTATGTAATGGGGGCCGCTTACGACGTGGTTAGCCTGCATGTAGAGAGTCGGGGTCCACTGCCATGTGCCCGTCCCCTACCCGAAGTGTCCATGAGGTTCCCAAGTGGCGCATATCATTACAAGGAGTGACCCTGTCTTGACCTTGGAGATACCCTAAAATTGGAAGCGCCAGCAAGTGGACTGTGCCATCGCTGTCAAATTCCCATGCTTGTCCTTTAGCTGGGCGCCACACCGAAGCAATTTCTGAACTCCGGCTTAGGCTGAGTATGTATCGGCATGGCGCCGGAAATTTCGGGAATTTTTCTTGTGGTGGTTTCGAGGCTGAGGTATGCGAGGCAGATGTTAGTGGCAACTGGCGATCAATATCTGCGCGTGAAGGATGGTTGACGTCTAGTCTCGTTGCTAAAAATCTCCGTCCAAGACAAGTCCTAACTACCTGGTGTGTGCCTGTATGAGAATGATTAGACGATACTATCCGGTACATGATCTGCGGTGTCAGCATGGAATAGTTGTGTTCTTCCAAAACCGGGAAACCCTATTAATCTCCGTATGTTGTATTTCTGAACATGACAGGTCAGGATAACCATTTCCAGTGAGTGCATGGTCTATCGGACGCATGGGTATCGAATGAGGTTGGCCTCGGATTCTGGTGCCCTGTTGCTACTGTGCGGTGCGGTACGATCCTGCGAGGTGTGCATCTCCGTACGGAATAAACTACGGATAGTTCTGTGCCGTAATTATCTTCCCCGCCTGATCTAGTGGGCGGTGTACTGTGGGTTGGGTGATTGATTGATTAGGAATAATTGTCCGTAAAATGGTAAAACCGTTATGACTCTGGCACCGCCGATCCGATCAGACGCTAACTGCGTTATGCACAATCCGATCTTATAGAAGATGTACTTATCTTTGCAGCCGTTGCGATGCCTAACTGAGTAGGTAAGTAGTAGGTATTTGTCAAGCTGGGAGATTGTGTCGGTTGTTGAAATGGAATACGTGTACCTGCCTGTACAGTCTAAATAGGTAGGTACTGTGTATAAGTTACTTCCCCGGCATATTAAAGGAGGAGCTGGGTCACGATACGGGCCCGCAGCTACCTCGTATTGGTATTGGCATCTACATTGGCATTGGCTCCTTCTCGGTCGAGCTACGACAGTTTCGATATCTAGGGTAGCAACTCGGCAACTAGAGTGATTTAAGCTATAACGGATCAATCAATGTCATATCAATTCCCATGATACCCAGGTATCTACTACTACCTAGGCACAGATGCAATACCTACTACTATGT